GCCAGTCTTATTCGTGAAGAAAAAGGACGGTTCTCTCCGCCTCTGCGTCGATTATCGAGGCCTGAACAGCATCACGGTGAAGAATCGCTACCCCCTGCCCCTGATCAACGGTATCATGGATTGTTTGCGCGGCGCCCGCCGTCTCACCAAGATCGACCTCCGCGGCGCTTATAACCTCTTACGCATGCGCCCTGGGCGATGAATGGAAGACCGCCTTCCGCTGCCGCTACGGCCTATTCGAATACAATGTCATGCCCTTTGGACTCAGCAATGCTCCTGGCGTCTTCCAGTACCTGATGAACGACATCTTCCGCGACATTCTCGATGTGTTTGTTGTCGTCTACCTCGACGATATCCTGATATTCTCCAAGAACCCCGAAGATCACCCCAAACATGTCCGCGAAGTCTTGTCCCGCCTCCGACAGCATGGGTTGTACGCCAAACCAGAGAAGTGCGAATTCAACCGCGAATCCGTTGAGTTCCTAGGCTTCATCATCTCCAAGAAAGGCATCCAGATGGACCCCAAGAAGATCGCTGCCATCACGGATTGGGAACCTCCCAAGAATGTCAAAGGCGTCCAGCGGTTCCTCGGCTTTGCCAACTTCTATCGCCGATTCATCCAAGGTTATTCCAAGATCGCTACCCCGCTCACAGCCCTGACCCGGAAAGACATCCCGTACGCCTGGACACCCGCCGCAAACACCGCCTTCGAGAACCTGAAGAAAGCATTCACCACCGCCCCCATCCTTGCTCACCCTGACCCAGAGAAGCCCTTCGTCGTCGAAACTGACGCCTCCGACTTCGCTCTTGGCGCAGTTCTCCTCCAACCTGACCAGGACAATCAGCTCCACCCCGTGGCCTTCCACTCTCGCAAATTCACGGCCGAAGAGATCAACTACGAGATCTACGACAAGGAACTTCTGGCCATCCAAGACTCCTTTGCCCAGTGGCGCCACCATCTCATTGGCGCCCGTCACAAGATCACCGTTTACTCCGACCACAAAAACCTTCAGTACTTCATGACCACCCGCACCCTGAACCGCCGCCAAGCCCGCTGGTCGATATTCTTCTCGGATTTTGACTTTGTCATTACCTATCGCCCCGGTCCCCAGCAGCACCAAGCCGATGCCCTCTCCCGACGCTCCGAACATGAGCTAAAAGAGGGGGAAGAAGCGTTCCGCTCCCAGGCAACCACAATTTTGACTCCCGAACGCCTTCGACTCGCGGCTGCCTACCTCACACCCATGGATACCACGCTGCTTGACAAGATTAAGGCCGCCCAGGCCTCTGATCCCCTCGCTAAGACCATTCGCGAAAAGCTCAAGATACCCCTCGCCCAACGAACTGAGGAAACCCAAGATCGTATCAAGCGGTTCTCAGATGAAGATGGGATCCTGCTGCACGATAACCTGGTCTATGTCCCCACCAACGAGCTCCGAGCTGAAGTCTGCCACGACATGCACGATACTCCCCTAGCCGGCCACTTTGGGATGTCCAAGACGCTCGAACTCGCCTCCCGCAACTACTGGTGGCCCAGCCAGTGGCGCTTCGTCAAGGCCTACGTCAAGTCCTGCGATACCTGTAGCCAAGCGAAATCCAGTCGACACAAACCATACGGCCTACTCCAGCCCAACAGTATCCCTACCCGCCCTTGGGGATCTTGGTCCCTGGACTTTATCACCGGTCTGCCTCCCGTGGACGGGTACGACTCCATCCTGAACGTCAACTGTCGCCTCACCAAGATGGCCCACTTCATCGCCTGCAGCGAGTCAGAATCCGCCGAATCCACCGCCGACCTAGTCTTCCACAACATCATCCGTCTCCACGGCCTCCCCGACGACATCATCTCTGACCGAGGACCCCAGTTTAAGTCCCGGTTCTGGCGTCGACTTCTCGAACTCCTTGGGGCAAAAGCCAACCTCTCCTCGGCCTTCCACCCCCAGAGCGATGGCCAGACGGAACGCACCAACCAGATCCTGGAGCAGTATCTCCGATGCTTTTGCAACCACCAACAGGACAACTGGAAACAGCTTCTGTCGTCCGCCGAGTTCGCCTACAACAACACCCATCAGTCCGCCTCCCAGACCACCCCCTTCTACGCCAACAAGGGTCTCCACCCCCGCTTCAGTTTCGCGGCCTCTGCTACCTCCGAATCCGTCAACCCCGCCGCTGAAGCCCGCGCTAAACAAATCAGGGAAGTCCATGAACAGCTCGCCCTCGAGCTCAAGGAAGCCCAAGATCAAATGAAGCGCTACGCCGACGCCAAACGAATTCCTGGACCGGACTTCAAGCCTGGCGACCACGTCTGGCTCCTCCGCAAAAACCTCCATACAACCCGGCCCTCTCAGAAACTCGACCATCGCAAGATTGGGCCATTCCCCATCGTTGAAAAAATCAATCCCGTCGCCTACCGGCTCAAGCTCCCGCCTACGTACAAAATCCACGATGTCTTCCATGTCTCGCTCCTCGAACCCCGCTTCACCATCCCCGAACGACACGAACCCGAACCCGCGCCCCCAGAGACCGTTGAGGGTCAAGAAGAGTGGGTTGTCGAAGCCATCCTTGACTCTCGCATCCATTGTCGTCGCCTTCAGTACTTGGTCAAATGGCAGGGCTGGACTGACTCCGAGAACACCTGGGAGCCCGTGGAACACCTCACCCATACCGACGCACTCCTCCAGGACTTCCACAGCGCGTACCCCAACAAGCCTTCCTCTGTCCCCGTAGCACCTCCTCTGCGGCCACACCAAACTCGACGCCGCCGCCGCCGCCGCTAAAGAGAGGGGTGATGTTATGGACGACGCGCCCATACCATAAGCTTACCTACTGACAGCCTGCCAATGTCAACCGCCAAATGTCAAACGCCAATGTCAATGTCAATGTCAGTGTCAATGTCAGTGTCAATGTCAATGTCAATGTCAGTGTCAATGTCAATGTCAATGCCACTCCCCCTCTCTCCTCTCATTTCGCCAATCCTCTTGCAATATCGCCACTCCTCCTCTCTCCTCTCATTTCAGCCAATCCCCCCTCGGCTTCTCCACACCCCCCACTACTTCCCCATAGCCAGCAGCTGTAGCAATGCTCTCTACGCTCGCCACGCACGCTCTAGGAGCATAGCTGACGCCCCCCCAGTCCCCTCTTGTTGTTGTTGTTCTCTGATCTGCTGGGTTGCCTATCTATAAATAGCCGGCCTCTCTTCGTCCGTTCCCTTCCTCCCCAGCAGATCAACACCAGTTCTTCTCATCTCCTGTTCTAGTCCTTGTTTCTTGTTTCGCCAATACAATCTCTTGTCGCCTATCACTCTCGCCCTGTCTTCTCTACTTCGCTTCCGCCTCCATCGTCGAGATCATAACAGCGCTGGTGTGGGCAATCTGACCTTGACGCATTCACCGTGTTAAATCAGGTTGGTCCGCTAGAGCGGTCTGCATCAGACACCTTTCTCTAGCAGGCACGCAGAAGCACGCACACCTTACACACCACACAGCGGCACATAACATGCAGATCGATGCGCCGATATGCTCGTACAACCCCTACCTGTACAACCCCTACCTGTACAACCCCAACATGTACTGCTCCCCCCAATAAACCCCGCGCTCCAATAAAATCCTCCTTCTCCGTTTCCTCCATCTTCGTGTCGATACAAATCAGAATGGGTCAGCGCAATCGTTCTAAAGTCTGCAATCGCTATAAAGACTCAGCAAGCCCAAGGACGCGCCCGGCAGCAACGACACCCTCCTCCCGCAACAACCGTTCGACTTGTTTTGCCAGCTTCTCGTTGATTTGAACGGAGGTCCCGAGGCGATTGGAGTCGTTGCCTCTGACGGACAACGTGGTTGCGTGTACATCCTCAGGCCCTCGCCAAACAATCTCGACTACGCCGTCGCACGCATCAAAATCCACATACACACGATAGTCCGCATTTACAAAGACTCCACCATGACAGGCGAATCCATCCGCCTTGCTCTTCAGCTTGCCCGTTGTGTTCGAGACTGGGAACCAGATTCCGTATGTGAGTTTCGATGTGTTGTTATCGCGGTGGAATTTATTGGCAAAGTCATCCCATGTGGCGGTGATATTGCTGGCGAAGGAGTCATCCGCGACGAGGTCCCCGAATTCCGCTTGTGAAATAGTAGGCACACGCAGTTCCTTTGCCCGCTTTTTGATGCGAGAAAAGAGGTAAGGGGAAAGCTTATTGAGGAAGTAGATGTAATGCGCCTCAATCTTTGGTAACTCAGCTTGCAAGGCGGCCCACTTCTCCCTGCTAACGGAATCCTTTTTTCGTGGTTGATAGATGCCCATGCTTTTTCCACTATCTGTACCCACACGCCAGCCAACACCGATCATGGTACCAGACGTCTGTGTACCATTTATCGTCACAGGGTAAGCTAACTGACGCTGGTGGTCGAGGTGGAGCGCAATCTCCTCAAAACGGGTCCTGTCATCCGCTGACATATCCGCAAACGGATGAAACCTTGCCGCAAATACAATCTCATCCGTTTGCCTGTCGGCTACAACAAGGATGTCCTTGTAGAGACGGGTGTACGGGTGATCGTGATCAACTTCCCTGGTATATTGCTTGAGGAAGTCTTCGTGCGTAAGGTGCTTTCCAAACGGATGCGGGCTGGTTTGCTGCTCAGTCTTTCTTGTTGCCCAGAATATGTACGCACTGTCGCCGGAACCTGTGGCACAAGGCCATACAACAGTTGGTCAGTCGCGTTGGTTGAGACGGTCAGTCGCGTTGGTTGAGACGTGTCTGACAGCATACGTAATGAAACGAACCTTGGTCAACACTTCTATGCTCAGCTCCAGCCTCGGTATCACCCGCCGTCTTCAGTATCCTCCGCATGTTTTCATTCTTTTCTTGTTTGCGCTGTCGGTTTGCCGCCTTTCCCCTTGCCCAATCGGCTCCGGAACGTCGTCGCGGCTTTGACTTCGACCCTGGCTTTGACGTTGATGCTGATTCTGTCATGCTGATTTGCCTGGTGAATGGAGTATGTAAATTAGTTGGGGCGGAGTACGTAGGTTGTCCCAGGAGCATTGGAGTGGGTTTGTGACGTAGAATGGCAAACAAATCGCGAGGCTGCCCCTATTCCGGGCTGTCTCGGGCGATCGCGAGTCGAGAAGGTTGCTAAGCGTATCGCGAGGCTGCCCCTATTCCGGGCTGTCTCGGGCGATCGGTTTTGGTAATGTGTACGCTCGTGCTTATTACAGCCTTCACGCTCGGCCTTACGCCCACGCTCGGCCTTATTACAGCCTTCACGCTTGGCCTTATGACAGCCTTCACGCTCGGCCTTATAACAGCCTTCACGCTCGGCCTTATCACAGCCTTCACGCTCGGCCTTATTACAGCCTTCACGCTCGGCCTTATGACAGCCTTCACGCTCGGCCTTATTACAGCCTTCACGCTCGGCCTTATTACAGCCTTCACGCTCGGCCTTATTACAGCCTTCACGCTCGGCCTTATCACAGCCTTCACGCTCGGCCTTATTACAGCCTTCACGCTCGGCCTTATTACAACCTTCACGCTTGGCCTTATGACAGCCTTCACGCTCGGCCTTATAACAGCCTTCACGCTCGGCCTTATCACAGCCTTCACGCTCGGCCTTATTACAGCCTTCACGCTCGGCCTTATTACAGCCTTCACGCTCGGCCTTATTACAGCCTTCACGCTCGGCCTTATTACAGCCTTCACGCTCGGCCTTATTACAGCCTTCACGCTCGCCCTTATTACAGCCTTCACGCTCGGCCTTATTACAGCCTTCACGCTCGGCCTTATTACGGCCTTCACGCTCGGCCTTATGCCCACGCTCGGCCTTACGGCCTTCACGCTCTCAGCGCCGTGGTTTGCCATTTGGTACGGCTGGTACGTAGGGGGTAGGCACTACTACCCCAGAATTCAATTTCCCACATCCAAAAAACGAATCATGGCTCGAGTCCTGCAACATAGGGCACTCAACTCTCCTCTTCCGCTTATGCAGATACCGATAGACATCCATGTGCAGTATTCATGTTCGAGCTGGAGATGAGATATGGTGGGTGATCAATGATGACTGATGAGGCTTTGCGAAAAACCGGAGATCAAACGGGAACAGGATGGTTGACGGAAACAGGATGGTTGCACGGTAACGGGATGGTTGGACGGAAACGGGAGACGCAAGGATGGGATGCGGAACTGCCACCTTGTTGCTACAGGCGTCCCTCTGTCTGATATGAAAGTGAGACTGTCGCACACGGGAGGAGAGCGATGGTGGAGGAGAGGAGGGGTAGCTGGCAGGTTGTGCCGGGACTCCAGGACTCCCGCACTTGCAGAACATTCCCACTTGCACATCTTCATGCACATCCTCACGCTGGTCTCTTGTTTTACAGACTAAGCGACGAAACGAATCTGAAGGGGAGGGGAAGCGGACAAAGCGGGCAACAGCGGTACACGGATTCAGTCGTTTTAATACACTTCTGAAGCAAGATGCAGTCGGAATCATCTCACGCTTCAACCTCAACGTCGAATCCGCGGAGGAATATGCCACAACAATTGCGCACCCCGACACAAGCCGTATCAGGTGGATAAACGCATGACGAAAACATCTATATGACCAGCTCAGAGCGGGAGAGAAGGAGGCGATCGAAGGGATTCCGTTGTCCCCAACTCCAACTCCAACACCAGCCCATGCCCTTGACATGTTACTGAGCGCCGCGAAACATCTCCTCACTTACGCCGATTCCAGTATCGAATTCGGATTGTTTACCTTTGATCACACTACAGAGTGCGCAACAGCAACAGGGACATCTCCGATGCTGTGTGCGACGCTTAGTGACGGGTCAGCTAAAGCTGATAATGTTTGTCAGCGAATCAAGACCCATTTTCGCACACTTGCACGTAAGTTACATGCCGTTGTCCTCATGCTCCGTGTGTCTGTCCTCGGCCACTAATCAGGGATATTATAGAAACCGCTTCATGCCCCCCCAAACGCCGCATGTACTTTACCTCCAGGGAGGATGTCGTCGCGTTTGTCAAAGAGTGCTACAATCAGGCATTCGTGAAGGAGTGTCACCAAACACATTTTTGCGAGATATTGGCCTTCCATGAGAGGTACCCATATGCGAGCGGGTGTCCGCCATATCATCCATACTTTGGCGCGCTGGCCAAAGCAAAAATGGATCAAGGTCAGCGAGACGTGTGGGGAATGTATGCCCCCTACCTGGAATTCAAGTGGCGCAAAAAGGGGCAGAAGCTGTCTCTAGGTAAGGCGACCGGACCGTGTTCCCGCATGCATTGACACAGCACACTCACCTATGTATCATAGACGACATTTTTGCTCCGGTTCTCCCAAATGACCCTCTCGCTATGCGGCCCAGGGCGCGGATCCACCAGTTTCTTGACAAGGCTGCATGGGCACAGAGCCTGGAAGGAGATCACGATCACCAGCCCACACCAACACCTGGCCCAACCCACACTACCACACCCAGCGCCATCTCAAACCCCGACATTGGTTTTGCTTTTGGCAGAGTTGACGACGGCGGCGGCGGTGTTGAAATCGTGGCAGGCAGCGGCGGCGGTGGCAGCGGCGGCGGTGGAGTTGAGGGAGTTGACGAGGACCAGGCGCGACAGATGATGAACACTGATGCTTGTCTCTGGATATATAGGTGGTGCGCGTTGTTACAAGCCTGTTATGATCTCGACGACTGAGGCGGAAGCGAAGTAGAGAAGACAAGGCAAGAGCGATGGGCGACAAGAGATTGTATTGGCGAAACAAGGGACAAGGACTAGAACAAGAGATGAGAAGAACTGGTGTTGATCTGCTGGGGAGGAAGGGAATGGACGAAGAGAGGCCGGCTATTTATAGATAGGCAACCCAGCAGGCCAGAGATCAACAACAACAAGAGGGGACTGGGGGGGGCGCCAGCTATGCTCCTAGAGCGTGCGTGGCGAGCGTAGAGAGCATTGCTACAGCTGCTGGCTATGGAGAAGTAGTGGGGGATGTGGAGAAGTAGTGGGGGATGTGGAGAAGCCGAGAGGGGATTGGCGAAATGAGAGGAGAGAGGAGGAGGGGCAATATTGCGGGAGGATTGGCGAAATGAGAGGAGAGAGGGGGAGTGGCATTGCCATTGACATTGACACTGACATTGACACTGACATTGACATTGACATTGGCGGTTGACATTGGCGGCTGTCAGTAGGTAAGCTTATGGTATGGGCGCGTCGTCCATAACAAAGCCAGGTCATCACGGCACCCAACCATTTATCCGCCACTGCTAGCCGTTGGATCCACTTGGCTCCAAAGTGTCAAAATGGCACGGAGATCCAATGTCCCTATTTGGGTTGTTCCGGTAAGAAAAGTTACTTAACCGTACCGTACTTAACTAAACTAACCTTCCTTTTTTTTGTTTGATGTTAAGCGGTCTGTCAACATCGCAGAGTACAACATACTGCTATCCCCAACAAACCCAGACAATCTGCATTGGGTCCTGTTTGCGATACTCGTCGCGGTGCCGGCGCCCAAGTCCGCAAAACCCCTGGGCCCCCCTGGTGCGCCATTAACCAGACACGAAAACCTATCCATAGTTTTATTTGACTCCAAGGCTTGCCCAGGCGACAAGTACCACATTGATAAGATGGCCAATATCGGCTCCATCTTGTGGGATTGGTACACCAGGGCCACTGAAGCCCCCCTCAACGACGCACCGACACCGACGGTTGACGCCCTCTTCACGCCTCGACAGACCAATGACCAGAACTGCGGTACATTTGTGTGCATGATGGCCGATGCCATTGCCCGTGGTGCGGTGGGTGAGGTCTCAGAATCATGGTCCGATACGCAGACCGCCGTCAATGCCCGCCATAATATCGCTCTGAGCATCGTTTTGGCGACGTTTCTTAATGAGGGGGATGCTCATCAGTATATGAATGTGACAAAGTGCTAGATCTCTGGTGACTGTAGCCATAGTCCCTTCAATAGCATCATTGTACAGTAGTAGTCAAAATGCCGTACAAACATCGGCCACGCTTCGGCCAGGTCTACACAAAAGATCCAGTCCTGATCAGGGCTGCTGCCGGATTCACCTGGAATATACCGGCGGCCACAACGAATGTGTTGAACTTCGGCGCATCGAGTCCAGAAACCGTCACAGTAACCGGATATGGCTTGATGAACTTCATTATTTCTGGAGGTGCCGTGCAGCCAACCTTCCAATGTCAACCCTAACCCAAGAGAGGTGACCTAACACTCCCAAGACCCGAGTTAGGGTTGCGGGTAGGGTTAGGGTCGTTGCGGGTTGTGGTTAGGGTTAGGGTTAGGGTTGGGTTAGGGTTAGGGTTGTGGGAAAGGAAAATGTGCTCGTACAGCGTTGCGCCAATAATGAAAAGGGTTAGGTTAGGGTTAGGGTTATATCCTGTGCGAAATTCTACCAAGTGCGGGTAAACGGCGGGAGTAACTACATACAGAGTCCATTCGGCAGCGTTGTTAGGTTGAGGATTGTTTTGAGGGGGGTGGGGTGAGGGGTGTTGGGTAAGCGGAGGGAGAGTAGATGTTGATGACGCCGGTGTCGGAGCTGGGGGGTGGGGGGAATCGGGTTAGGTGTGTGCGAGAAGGGGTTTGATGGGGATGAACTCGTTACCCTGTGGCGATCAAGTCGGTGCTGTAATATGTTTGTCAGAAAGTAAGGCGACGCATAGAAATCACGCCGTCACATGTCCTGTGGTCCTGTTGGCTCAGCCCTTGGCTCTCACAACAAGCTCAAAACCCAACAGAACTTCCAGCTGCCGAGCTGCCCAGGATACATTTACTCCCATTTAGACATCCGTACCTTGGCGCATCTCAAGACAACGACGCAAAGCAGCAACTGGTTGGTTATTAAGGACTGTGCAGCGACCAGCCCTTTGAGAACAAAGCTATTACCTCCGCCAGATGCCTTCACCTCCGAAGCCTTGGGAAGTTTCTGGAGCCGCAGGAGGGGCAGGTCCAGTTCCAACCGCAACAACAACGAGCGCTGCGCCGGCGAGTGCAGCACAGTCAGGACAAACAACGGCTTCCACTGCTGGTCCACCTCCTGTACCAACGCGACCGGACTCCGCTTCTGTAGCTTCCGCTGGTAAGTTGCACTCCTAGCGGAATTGCGCCTCAAGTATTGTGATTGACGATGCTGTTTTCCTGTAGGATATTCTTCGACCATGTCTGGTTACAATAGCGGGTATGGCGCTAGCCCATACGGAAGCCAGATGGCCAGTCAATACGGAACGCAGTATGGGGCAGGTTATGGGTCAACACTGTCGCCTTACGCCTCCCGCTACGGCGCAGGTTCAACATACGGAGGATACGGGTCGACCTATGGAAGTACATACGGAGGTGGATACGGAGCAGGAGGATACGGGGGCGTCGGGGGCTATTCGAGATATGGGGGCACAGGCTACGGGACTATGCCGTACAATCGATTCGGCGGAGGTCCGCCTTATGGACCAGGCGGGCCCGGGGACATGCCCCTATCCGCGCAACTCGAGCAATCCACGCAGGCCACGTTCAATACCCTCGACTCGATCGTGCAGGCATTTGCTGGGTTCGCACAGATGCTGGAGTCGACGTTCATGGCCACACACTCGAGCTTCATGGCCATGGTCGGGGTGGCTGAGCAGTTCGGGAACTTGAAATCGTACTTGGGCCAGCTATTCTCCGTGATGTCGCTGTACAGACTCGCAAAGAGGATATACTGCAAGCTCACGGGCAGAGCGCCGCCCGTGGACGTGGCATCGTTGAACGCGGATTCGTTCAAGGATTTCCAGGAGGGGAAAGATGGGAAGAAGCGAAGCAAGAAACCTCTTTGGGTGTTCCTCCTGTTCACCATCGGGATTCCTTACGCAATTTCGAAGCTCTTCCAGCGTCTGCAAAAGCAGCGATTGGAAGCGGCTGCCAACGCTCCCGAGGGGGCCCTCCCACTGGTCGGCCCCGATGGAAACCGTCTAGGCCCGCAAGAAATCCGAAACCTCGATTTTGGCCGCGTCCTCTACGACTTCAATGCCGAGAACCCCGGTGAATTGTCCCTGCCGAAGGGGGAGATTGTTGCAATCTTGAGCAAAATCGACCCAGCCACAGGCCAGCCGGGACTGTGGTGGCGAGGCCGCTTGCAGGCGGGGCAGATGGGGATGTTCCCTGCCAATTATGTCGAGTTGATACCCAAGAAATTCCCCGTAAATGATGCGGAGATACTGCAACCCATGAGGGAAGCGCCGCAACCGCCGACTTCATTTACTGGTCTTGGGGCTACCAACCTCGCTGCCCCAACGACGGTACCAACCGTATCACAGCTAGCTGATCCCGCGCAGCCGGCACACATTCCGCCTCAGACAACCACCATACCAGCACAAACACCACAAGCCATACCCAGCCAACCGCGACCCGCCACCCCATCGTCAACCGTCTCCACACCATCACAACAGCTCGCACCACCAAAACTTCCCCCACCAGCGAAATCCACTGCGCCCAAAAAGCCATGGGAGATAGCAGCATCAACCCCGCCGACTTTCAAGCCGCCATCTTCCATGGGCAACGGTTCCCTAGCACCAGCGACACCCGCCGCGGCGGCTCCGCCGGGCCCAAAATCGGACCCGCTGCCGTTTGACCCGGCGGAAATCAACGAAGGACCTGAGAATACGCGCTTTGGACCGTCGCTTGTGACTTGACGAGGGTATGCTTGAAATTTTTGTTAGTCTGCAACCTTGGTGGTCTTCTATTCTCCCCGTCACTTGGCAAGTGCGCCATATTTTGCGCTTGTCTGCCTGCATAGTAGCATTCACGTGTATTCACAACCTCATCCATCGAGATGAGGTGGAAATTTTGGTCTTCAGATAGGGTTCCGTAGCATATCGCCAGATCCCTTTGACCCTCTTGGGTCCAACGTTGCGAATATGTTCCTGGCATCATTTGGCTTTGTATTGAGTAGAGAAAAATACACCACTCTCGTCTTATTTACCCACAACGACCGATTTGCGCACGCTGCCCATTGCGTCGAGTACATCTTGTTTTGAGATCTGAGAGAACGGCACGGGCGATCAATTAGTTCCGGGGCCTGATGGGTTCCAGTAATGATCATGTCAGGAATCTCACCTGCTGACTGTCCAGGTCGATTCGAAGCCTTCTTAAGGCGGCTTCGCGGCATATGCTTTCGATATCGCCACCTGTGAAGGGCAGGGGGACACGCAATGAGGCCAGTTGGTCAAAGACATGATTGGTGGTCCACTGCTGAAGTCCTGTTGGTTTCCCGTACCTGTGTATCCCTCCGAGATCCGCGACAGCTCATCCACGTCCTCCTCCGTCAACGTATTGGGCATCGTAGCCAAAAACCCGCTGTAAACCTCTCTCCGCGCCTGGATCGCCCCCACAAAAATGATCAGTTTCCCGAATCCAAAGCAAAAGCAAAATGCACCTTTAGCACAACTCACCTCCAACCCCGGGGGCCCCACATGTATATGCTCATCAAGCCGGCCCGGGCGCAAGATGGCCGGGTCTACGATCTCCGGTCGGTTTGTGACTGCATAGCAAAGACCGGTGAGATGTTGGGTGTATAGAACGACGATGGGAATAGTACGGACCTGCGACGATAAAGATTGTGTCGTTGTATCCACCCGCGGAGGATTTGGAAAGGACTCCGTCCATTTCTGAGGTTAGGTGATTGAGTGAGACAGAGTCTCAGAAAGAACAGGTAGTGCAGGTGGAGCACTTGGCGAGCAATAAACACCAGACGCAAACCCACCGACTAAGAAACAAGTAACGATCCGCTCTCCCGTATTTTCGCTCGTCGAGTCCATTCCTCTTCGAGGCACCAGCATATCGATCTAATGACGCATGTCCTTGTTAGTATCGACAGTCCCATGCAAACTTTCTCGCAACTGAAAGCGTTTCACACATACCTGATCAATCAACAAAATACAAGGAGCGTTCGCCCGAGCCTGGGCAAAGATCCTCGCAATGTTGGCTTCGGACTCGCCGATCACTTTGGAGCGGATTTTGGGGCCCTACAAGCGTCAAGCAATATCATGAATTAGTACAAAATCAATCGAACGCGGCAAAAACATAGCGAAGCCTACATCAACATGAACACAATTAAACCCAGCCTCATGAACAAGCGCATAGCTGAGCACGCTCTTCCCCACGCCCGGCGGTCCATGTAAGAGGACGCCTTTTGGCGGGTTGATGCCCATTGCTGCATAGCTCTCCAGGTGCGTGAAGGGTTGTAGAATGGAGTTCTGTGGAAAACATGATATGTATCAAGGTAAATCACCAGCATTACTGTTGCAGTGATACGTCCCAGCCACCGACCTGTATCCGTTTGATGACTTCGCCCATGCCGTACAAGTCAGTGAACGCCCGTTTGGGTACCTAGAACGAAAAGGAATCAGTGATCTTCTTGCGCGGGAGTGGGAAGACACATGTCGTGCAAACATACTCGAGAACTCAGTTCCTGGAAACTAGCCGGTTTGACCAGCTCCAACGCCCTGAGGAAGTCTTCCAGTGCGAGAGTGTCTGTGCTGGGGTTCTACATTTTCATGATGAGCACAGTTTGAGGGAACAACGTAGGAATCGATCAACTCACACGCTGCTGCCACACGAATACGGTCGTATGGCATAAACTCTGCAAGTCGGCGCCTACGAAGCCGTGCGTGACGTCGCTGATTGCTTCTAGGATCTCCGTCTTGTTGGTTGGTGAGAGCGGCAGTGCTTTGCAGATGGTCATCGAGCTTGAGACAAAAGGTGAAGAAGGAGAGGCGGCAGCACAGGGGGTGAATACCTTCGCATAACTTCTGAAGGATGCTGAATCTTTGTCGTGCGTTGATCACGTCAAGCTCGAGAGCATTATTCAATCTTCCTGATCGCAGTAATGACGGATTGATGGTGTGGAGGCGGTTGGTTAAACCTGTTCGATGCCATGAAGGGTTACCCAATGTGTAGGCGATGGCGGAGAGAAATGCCCGCTTCTCTCTACTTGCATATGACAAATACTCCTCCAGCTGAGGGCGTCGAGGTGACGTCGCTGTTTGCCGTAGAGTCTGGCGGTTGCTGTTGTGGTGGGTTGTTTCTTGCATCGAGAATGCTCATAAAGATGGGAAGAATTTTCGCAGCCATCCCTGCAAGTCCATGTTTAGAAGGGTATCCTGCATCACCCCTCACATCTCGGTTCCAACTAACCCTTACTGCTCTCCGATTTGCCGGCCTTCGACCCAATGGCATCAATATCGTCCAGTATGAGCACAACAAGAACACCAGGGTTATTGTCAAAGAGGTCATGAAAGTACACCTCAGCGTCTCCTTCGCCTGATTGAGGGGCATCAGCAACGTTGTTGTTTTGATATTGTATTGTAGTAAAAAAACTATAACACATACTGAACTGGAATAGGTCCGCACAATTTATGTACTTGTAGGGTAAACCAGATCGTTCTACGCACGGCAATGGTTGTAGATGCTCAACCTTATAGAACTGCGAGCACTCATGACTCTCACAACAATAACCACCGCACATACCAGCAAGCATCTTGGACAACAATGTCTTTCCCACGCCTGGTTTTCCATGAATAATGACGCCCGACGTACGCTTGTGTTTGAGATTGCGATATCCGACTGCCGTGAGGCTATCCACGTATCCATAGAAATTATCGATAAGTCGGCGAGACACTTTCTCCGTCCCTGGAACTTCTTTCACAATTTCTTCCACCCAAGTCTCCCGAGGTCGTAGACCTGATCTAAGCTCCTCTATTGTGAATGTTGGCGGCTTGACGACGAACACCGTGTTTTGATCAACCATTCCCACGTCCACATCGCAGCTCTCTTGCTTGCCATAGCCCTCAACTCGAAGAACGGAATACGCCGACTCTGCTACCAAAAGGGTGCCCAGCTGCTGTCCGACTGTCACGTAGTTTCCCAAGGCAGCCTGTCGGAGAACGGCTCCACTGCTTGCAGTATGCCGCACGTCCCATGTTCGGCCTGAGCCCTTTCCCTGCGCAACTCCCAGCTTGATTGGAACCAGTGCCATATGGACGGTTTTAGCTCGTGGGACCGCTGTCGCCTTTTGTTCGTACAGATCAGAGAACAAACTCCCACGATAACCAGTATCGAGACGGCGAACACTCACCAGGAACACGTCGTTCACAATGACAGTGTCACCTTCCTTGCAATTCAAGGAGCGAGCTACCGAAGCAGTTAGTGCGCATGACAAGCCGTCCTGCTCCGGCCCTAGCCTTAAAGTGACATCTGCCGCCTGCGAGAGACTTCCGACCCTGATCTTCGCCGCCGTTCTGGTCAGAGGAGACACTTGCTGTTGCACGTTTGCGCAAGAACCCGACTTGAAACGCTTTCCCTGAAAGGTAGCACTGCGCGAGAGCCATATGACATGGTCCCTGCAGTCTGGGAGGACCCGCTCGACGACGACCTCCATCCTGGGTGATGAGTGTTTCGTGGTAGCCGTTCCAACCTCTCCGATCCAGAACTCAAGAGGTTCTCAAACCTCGCTCCCACGGCGCGTGCAAACTTTCTGTGCAAGCGGCCGATCATCAAACCGAGTCACTGGGGCTTCTCGTGTCGCGAAAGCGCTTCAATCGCAACGCTTTCATCAGGAACGGCGAGAGTTTCCATTCCCGCGCACCATTCGGCCTGAATCGTCGGATAGCACTGCATACAGTACAGTCCCCGCTTTCGGTCGCAACAGCGTCTCGTGTCAGTGCTTGCTCAACGCTAGCTCCAGTGTACAGAAACGACTTGAAAGTCTCGATCTATCGTCGCCTCGCGTTCACCCTCATCTCAAGTTTTCGAACTAGGCGGTGCGCCATCGTCCCCGCATTTACTCTTGGCAACGCAACGGCCCTCTGACGACAACGAGCCCATCTGGAGGCCACTGCTCCCTATCCTGAGCTATTTATCCAGCCTTCCATGAACAAGTCGCTGAATTCAGGGGATGCTGCCCCAGAAGGGGCGGCGGAGACTAGGAACTCTGTCCTGGGAATTGATGTAAGTTTTCGTCAGTTAATTGGGCCAGACGCGGAACCTCGTGGCTCACTTCGCTCGTTTAGGGTCGGAACAAGATACAGTATCCATTCTCAGACGCTGAAGAGTCCACAGATGAGCTTGGTCCGGCGCGCAGGCAGGGCGAGCGCGTGGGGAACGAAGAAGCTGACTATTCGCCTCGCTTGCGCCCAACGGAAGACGCCGAGGATTCGGAAGGGGTGGAGCCAGTGCAGCTCGGAGAAGCGGAGAAGACTATGAAGAATGAGCAGGTGATAATGTCTGGATACCTTTACAAGAAAGGCGAGAAGCGAAGGGTAAGGCAGATTGCGGAATTTGTCTTACGCATCAACAGAACTGATGACATGAATTGATTTTTCATCTCACAGACATGGAAGAACCGATGGTTTGTCCTGAGACCCTCGCGTCTTGCTTACTATCATAGTGAAAAGGTAACTCATTGCGATGCAGCGCGCTCCCGAAATCTCTCAAAGCTTAAGATTTGGTCACTGCAGGAATATGAGCTGCTCAAGATCATCGACTTGCATGACATACATGCCATTGCTGAAGTAGAGCTCAAGAAACGCTCCAACGTCTTTGGCATCGTCACCCGTGGACGAACATTCTATGTGCAGGCGGAAACGACGGAAAGCATGCAAGACTGGATGCGGGCGATAGGATCCGCCCATCATCGCATCACTTCGACTGCAGACTCAAATACATCAGGGCAAGAAAGACTTTCGTCCACACGTCGATCGTCACATGCCCAATCTGGCGGGTTATCTCCAACCAATGGTCCTCCCGCACCACAACGGAGAACGTCGAATAATCAAATCCCATCGACGAAGGAGGGTGATGTGGGAAGTCCACCGACCGACACCGTCGAGCCAATACATACTAAGGCTGGCGCAGCTGCGTCGTCAGCAAACACAGAATCAACACAGCAAGCCGCAGGCCCTTTATCAAACGAAGATTCGGGCCATCAGGCAGTTAGTAACATCCAGTCCCATGGAAAACCTCAATCTTCAGATTCTCTCCAGCGAGCTCACCGGGATACATCATCGCAGACATCCAATCCCGAGTCCGTGCAGACAGCGGACTCCTTCCAAACGAACACCACCACGCCATCCTCAGTCTTCACCGATCTGGCTCACTCGTCCATCGGAACCCCCGAGACAATCCTGCACGCTCATTCCTCTGCAAGCTTCGGCGCCCCTGGTGCGCAACCATTAAGGTCCGTCCCGGGCAGACTCGGCAATGGCTCAGCCCCCACCATGGGCATAACACATACCCCTCCCCTCCTATTGGACACCTCCACCACCTGCGCCACCGCCCCTCACCACCCCAACGTCTCCTTCGCCGTCGACCGTTCAAGTCGAGCCAACTCCGCCGCGTCCACTCCCGCATACGCAAACCCACAAGGAGACAACACATCCAGCAGCGACGACGAAGACGGACAACGAACGCAGGAAGAGCTTGAAGCGGCGGGGATCGGTGGTGGACCTATGAACGACAACAAGGTGATTGTGCAAGGATACCTCGAGAAACGGGTGAGCAACAACTATAAAAAACTGGCGACGCACAAGAAATGGAAGAAGAGGTGGTTTGTGCTCAGGAATGGACGGTTGTTTGGGTATAAGAATGACGGGGTATGTATTGTCGGTGTCGCCCATTCCCTATGATACGAAATGAAACTCATTCAATTTACGTTTCAAAGGAATACGTCGTAAAACGCCTGATACCACTACGCTCCGTCGTCGACGTCCTGGAAATCGACCCACAGGGCAAACACCATCTTCACTGTTTCAAGATCGTCCTGCCCAAACGACAGCTCGTGCTGTGCGCGTCATCCGAGTCCGAATTACGGACGTGGATCGAGGGGTTGCAGGCTGTGCACGCTGCGCTGAGGAAGGCGCAGGTGCATACGCCGACGGCTTCGATGACCCAGCAGCAGCATGCACATGTGCAGGTCCAGGTTGAGCAGGTGCAGAGTACTGCGTGATGCAGGATCTCTCTCGTCTGCATATGCGCCTCAATCTACAGCCTTCCGGAACCTTGTACATATCATAGTAGGCTGCTCTTACCCATCACAAAAGTCGTACATTCTCAAAGCAAGCCAGGAAAATCAGCTTTTGGGGAAAGCGGCTCTATTGGTTACATACGTGTATCTGACATGACAGAAGAGTCTCTAAAAGACGATGCATTTTCATTATATGAGATACCTATACTACTACTATTTAAGGCGGGATTAGCTCAATGAGCGACAGTGAGATGGGAATAAAATTAGGTGTATGCGTTTCTAGGGGGTTTCTTCGACTAACGTTGGAAAGGGGGTTCACGGCCTATGTGGCATTCAGAGCGGAAGTAGAGATTCCAAAGTGTCCACGATGTTGACAGCAAGAAAGCAGAAGGCAAGAGTCCAATCAGACGAGCTTCTTGCTCTCCAACATGACGGCCACAGGGGACTCGTCCGCGACGCTGCGAGGCACTTCAATCAACGGCGCATCAGCGGTAGCCGTGATAGCAGCCACCGGCGTCTTCTGAACCTTGACGCCATGCTCCGCGTCAACCTCCTCCACCAGGGCCAGAATGATCTTCTCAAACTGCCTCGCAACGTCCTTCGCAGCGCCCTTCGCAAACACACGGCCCTCCTCGGTCTTGAGCACATCGCCCTCGTGCAGGTCCATGACGACGGAGAGGGTAACGGCGCCGTTGTAGGTGTAAGCGGCGCAGGATACGGTGTTGGCGTTGGCTTGCGGGATGAAGGCGACGGTGGATTGGATCGGGTGGCCGGCCCAGCGGAGGGTTGTGTTGGGGCCGGGAACGTTGGTCAGTACGCCGTGGAGTTTTGTGGTGGTGAAGAGGGTGAGCTTAGGGACGGAGTTGGGGAAGGCGTAGCCGGGGCCTTGGGCTAGGTAGTGCACGAGAGCTTCCGGGCTCTGTTTGCCCTTCGACATGAGGGAGTTGACCTTCTTGATGCGCTCGCGAATGTCCTTGACTTTGTTGGGCACTCCAAGCACGTATCCGGAGGACCTGAGAGGAGCGTTACGAATAAGAATCTTCCCCAAGAGAACGAGAAATGAGATCATGAAAGCTCACCTGTTGCTAGCGGACGTGTCAGCCGGGTGACGCATGGACGTAGGGATCAACAACCAAATAGCGTCGTCGCCCTTGTCATGCTTAGCAGGCGACAAGACCGACTTGGCGTGCGCGTCCAGAGCAGCGACAACACAAGCAGTCAGCACATCGTTTACAGAGACACCGAGAGCGTTCTTAATCTTCTTCACGTCGTCAAGGCTGGAGTTAATGGTAGTCCACGCAACTTGCTTGCGACTGGTCTTGTGGTTGCCGACAGTGTATAGCTTACGTCGGCTGATGAGGAATCGGGTGATGTTGGCGAGGTACATGTACAGACCGACCAGGAATGTGAAGAGGGCGACGTAAAAGCCGGTGAAGTGAGCAACGGCACCGTGAGCGGGGCTGTGCTTCCTGGCGGGCGCCGTGCATCCGTTGACAGCGACCGCCTTGCCATCAGGCGAAGGGGTGGACGACCGGCTGGGCTCCGGAGTAGACCGGCCGCTGGCGTGTCCTGCGCTGTATTGCAGGGAGGAGATGTCCTTGATTGTTGGGTCGAGGCTCGCAACGTGAGAGATCAGGGCGCGGACGAATCCTTGTCCATCGCCAATAGCGTGGTGGGCTGTCCACAGAAGCGCCTTCTTTCCGTCCTTCAAATTGTTGAACCAGAACGCATGCCATAATGGCTTGCTGGTGTCCAAAAGGGTTGTGTGCAAAGGAGCCACTGCTTCCATGAATTCGTCATCACCTCCTGGAGCGGCCTGGAGGAAAAGAATGCGTATTTGGTCACTATGATGAATCAACGATGCACGGAAACCATCGATCAAACCGATCTAGAACGGAAAACTTACCACTTCGATAACGGTGAAATGATCTTCCAAGTCGTAATCCTCAGCAACCTCCCAGTAGGGCCTGGCAAACACTCCGGCAGGACGCACGAGTCTCTGCCTGCACCTGAGCGTATTGTCCACAAAGCTGGCAATATGACCTTTCATGTCCTGCTCCGTTATCTCCGGACCAAAGGTATACAAGCCCGACACGTTCATGGGTCGGATTTCGTCCTCGACAAAGAGGAAGATGTTGTCGTGACCCGAGAGGTACTCACGGGTCTGGCTTCCGTTGACCGCGGTGGTCAATTTCTGGGCAGCCTTCTCGGCGACTTCACGGCCGGTGGTGAGGGTTGTTGATACAGGCATGGTGCTTGTGGGTATTCTGGATTCTGAAAATCAAACTGTGAAAGAGGACGGTGGAAGAGACTTCCCTCAGTTTATGTAGTGTGCGCAAAGCGTTCAGCGGCTGAACGGCACAAAGGTGCTGATAGGATAGGTTTTGTAATGCGGACAATGGCGGGGTTTTGGACTCCTGAGGTCATGGCCTTCGCGAACGGTATGAGTTGAGCCACGGTGGCACGCCAGACGGTTTGCTTGAACTTCACCGCGGAAGCCGAAATTACACGAAGAAATTTCGCTTTGGCTGCTCGGCAGGCGCGTGGGAATTTGAACAACCGGCGAAGGGAGACAAGCCTTTGCAGGCTCCGCTACCCTCCGCGGGTAATTCATTCAGATGTCTGACGGACAGAGCCAAGCCAAGGTCAGGATTGCATGCAGTGGTACTGTACAGTATACTAGCGGTCGATGTCTTTACCAAGTCAACTTCATCCTTTAAACGCGTCAAACTGTCATCAACGCTTTTCTTCTACGCGATACCTGCTTTAGCAACGGCTTGAAAAGGATTATTTTCTCAGCAAATGAAATACACAAGCTTTCCGAGAACATGATGGGTTACGTGTAAAGGTAAAAACAGTAATACTGATTCAGTGAAATGGGGGTAAGCCGCTGCCATTGAATCATGGCCTCAACTGAGATGTCGCCAACAGGCGATTCGCTCAGACTTGCGCTCTGCCTCTCCGACATCCAAACATTCGGATGCGCTTTCAGTGCTTGTTCTATCGAGTTTGGATGATGCCAGCGTTGATCAAAGTGCGGATCTTGGCGGCTACTGCGGGGTTCTTCATGTGACTAAGGTACCATAAGAGAAATGTTAAAGCCGACGACAGTGCTAAAATCGATTCCAATTTGACCCCTCTCTGGATACTTACTCTTGAGCAGCTCGCGGGTCTTCTTGCATTTGCTTCAAGATGCTCTGCATGACGGGGTCTGCCATAATCCTTTGCACCTCAGGGTCCTCCATCGCGCGCTTGAGGGTCTCTTCCCTGTTACCACCGCTTTGGACCTGGTTCAATCCCTCGTATGCCTTGTAGATCTGTGTAATCCGGAAGATGAATTTCGGCCCTCGGCGGTCACGCGACGACACATGCAGTTCCAGTATCACTCACCTGTTGATCAATCTCAGCCGTGTGCTTGCCGTCCACATCCTTCTCCTTTGCTTCGTTGCACATGTCGATAGACTTCATGTATTCGCGTTTGGCGAGAAGGATTGCGGCTTTGCGAATATACGCCTTCACGAAGTTGACGTCCAGGGCGATCGCGGCATCACAGTCCTTCTCGGCCTCAGGGAGAGCCAGCAGCTTGATGTAACATGCTGCACGGTTGGAGAAGTTCCTGGGGTCCGCGTCGTTCCTCTTGATTGCCTCGGTGTAGTGCTTCACAGCTTCTGGCCAGTTCGAGTTCTTGAACTCGACATTGCCCTTCTCACGGGCCTCATCTGCAAGCTGTGGGTTGCGGTACGCCTCCTTTTCCCGAACCGCCTTCAGCTTTTCGGCTTCCTTCAGTTTGGTGAGGATGTCGGGAGTGCGGTGCTCGGTCAGAGACTTTTCATAGAACCTGATTGCGTTGAGCAAGTCGTCCTTCTTCATATAGCAGTTACCAATACGCCCGAAAGCCCTGCAAAGTGGACGCATTAGCAGGAAGCGGGTCCCAAATGAACCTGTCCAAACCCGTTACTCACTTGGCAATGATTTTATAGTCTGCGCGAATTTCCCGTCCAGCCTCGACCGCCTCTTCGCAAGTCTTGATACTCGCGTCGTAGTCACCGGCCTCAAACTGAGCGGCTGCCTTATTTGTCAGAACAGCGATGTTCGTCTGGTCGATCTCGAAGGCTTGGTCGTAGTGCGAGAGAGCGCCAGGGAAATCGCGCTTCTTGTATAGCTGGTTTCCCAAGTCCTTCTCCTTGTCACTCTCTGTGCGCTTCTGCTTCTTCTCTTTCTCTTCATCCGTTAGCGACTCGGGCTCAGGCTCGGGGGCTCGGGTCGATGGCGTTTGTTGCCTTTTTGGCGACTCGGATCTTGGGGCTGGTGGAGTGTATGCAGTGTCATTGGCGGCAGCATTGGCGGCAGCAGCTGCATCCTCGGGATTCGTGGCTACAGTCGCGTCCAGACCCATTGCGGCCATCATGAGAGTCATGATGCGCGGGTCCTTCATGTACAGGTTCATGTTCTGGGGATTTCTTTGGATATCCTGAATCTTCATCATAACATCTGGTTGAGCGATGATGCTGGCCACTTTCGGGTTGCTCATTATCTTTGCGAGACCGGCTGGCCCGAAAATGTCACCAAACGGATCTGATTGTAGGATCGCAAGCGTCAGTATGAAGCTGGCTGATGGTCAGAAGCAACATCAGCTTACTTGCTCCCCCGTCGCCCATAGCGGCTTCCACCTCATCCAGTGCCTTCTTCAAAGGCGCATTGTTGGGGTCAACCTGCAATCCCGCCTTGTAAACCTCGGCGGCTTGCTCAAGGTCGCCCAGTCCGTGCAGAGCGGCTCCCTTGCGCGAGTAACCCTTATATCATTGAAACTCCGCATAAGCTTTAGCTCTTTCAAATCGAAGGTTGCGGCACCTAGCCTACCCTTGGCCAGTCAGGTTTGATCTCCACTGTCTTCTCTGCATCCTTCAAGGCCGCCTCGTAGTTCTTCAGACTTGCGTATGATGCCGATCTACATAACGTGGAACGTAAGTAAAAGTCATTCCGAAGACTATTCGCACACAGGCCTGAAGGCCCACCTGTTAGAGTAAAGAACATGGTTGTTTCCGTCAAGCTCGATGGCCTGAGAGAAGAACTTGATAGCTTCCTCGAACTGTCCAGCTGAGAAAGCTTGGTTCCCTTGGCTTTTGAAATCTTCGGCCTATAGTATAAACGCGGGGTTCAGAGCGTGGTCGTAGATCAACAAAAACCCAAGGAAGAAAGTCTCACCGTCATTTCTACTGTAGTATCAACAGGATGGAGTTAAAGATTACCGTTGCTTTGTGTGGGTATTGACTATCGCAGTCCAGTCTAGTTTCGTGGGGAATGTGGAGGTTCGCCAGAGGTCGACGGGGCCTTTCATATGGTCCTGTTTCTCAACGAGTCCCTCACGAAATTTCGACGGGCTTCCCGAATTTTCCATTCCGCGCCTGTGCTTTCGCAATTCACACTCAGCGAACGCACTACAACAATCCGACGACCAGGAGCTACAGGCAACGACGGGGTATACCAACGCTCTGCGACAACGACGCGGCGGGATAGTACCAGAAGAGCGAATATAGTGTAGTCACCATCACGGACCAGAAATTGCGAAAACGCTTCAGAAAACCTTTAACATGAACCAAGCACCACAGCCAAGCGGCCCCTTTGGGAACAATGACCCAATGGCCATGGCCGCACAGGCTTTCATGGAGTCCTGTCCTGCCAAGGTTGTGCTGAGTGGAGGAGCGGGTTTCGCTCTCGGAGGAGCCTTTGGAATGTTCATGTCGAGTGTGGACTGGGGAATGAATACGGAGGAGTTCCAGGTGCGTCAAAGAGCAGCGATGTCGCTTTCTTTGGAGGAGCTCGTACTTACAGTTTTGGCAGAAACTATCCACGAGAGAACAACTTAAGCTCACAGCAAAAGACATGGGAGCGAAATCGTTCTCGTCAGCGAAAAACTTCGCCGTGGTCGGAGCAGTATTCGCTGGGACAGAGTGTGTGATCGAAGGGTATAGGGCGAAGAACGACATCTGGAACGGCGTATCTGCGGGATGCATTACGGGAGGGGTATTGGCGGCCAAGGCGGGACCTCAAGCCGTCGTGGGTGGATGCCTGACGTTCGCGGCGTTTTCGGCCGCCATTGACTGGTGGATGAAGAAGGACGACTAGAAACGGCATCGGGAGGCTCGCAGAACCTTCCACCGTACGTAGAGTATGGAGGTCTTTCCGCCCATTTTCGGCAAACCGCTTAATATAGCCCCATGCATTATGAGCTGTCTGTACATAGATTTACTCCGCACGTAGTCCATTCCTGGACTTGAATAACTTATTTCAATCGAATATAGAGGATATATAGTAAGCTCCCACTCTCGTTCGCAACTCTTTAGAACTGTAGCGACTCTCTGCTCGACCGACGGGCCCGTTGTGTTGGACGAGCTCTACCTCAACCCGGATCCCGACATATATACAGTACATGCATCCGACGACTGTCTAATGTACGTCTTTCGCTTGTTCGGCATTTCCCCTTCGGTCCACTTCCGCTATGCAGGTGTGATATTCGTCGTACATATGTACCGTTGAGCCGCAGGACAGCTTTTGTATTCCCCAGCAGCTCGCTCAAAGACTTTCGATAGATCTTTGCGTTTGGAGTCCTAAGCAGCCTCTGTTTTGATTTGAATGCCGTGCATGCCTTTGATGTCCTCCCTCAGGATGTCGGTGACCATCTGGTGTTGTCGTATCAGGGGCTTTCCCTTGAAGAGGGGAGAGGCGATCTGGACGGCGTACATGGACCCACAACCACCTAAAAACTGAAGTTGAGAAAAAGAAGACTAAAAAGCAAAAGCATGGTACTCCATCTGACCTGAAATATCCGAAACCTTCAGTTTCGTCGCCTGTAGCTGGTTGGCCAGCTTCTCATGCAATGTCCTCTCTCCCTCCGTGTACGCTGGGTCCAGGGGGGCAACACCACCAGGTTGACTTGATAAGAGCCGGCTACTTGCAAGGGGCGCCTTGAGCAGCGACCCTCTTGGCCGCAGTATGCTCCGTGCAAAGAGCGACATTGCGTATGTTTAGTTATGCAGAGTGCAATTTGGAGAGTGGGCAGCTTCCCTCGTTATGGGAGTCGTCGAAGGTCTCCAATGGATGCCAAAGCGTAGGTTACGACGGCATGAACGCGGTCAACACATCTTCGTGGCCAGCAGAAGTCACCGGCCGGCTGCGACGACGAAACGCCTTGACCAGCATCATTGAAATTGGGAGCCGCTGGTTCCCCCAGCGAGAGAGCGAGCGGGACCAGAGCGGGACACCTTAACCCTTTTGGTAAGGATTTCAACGTCGTAACCTTTACGTTTTGGAGAGAACCCTCACAGGGCTGCTACAGTATATCTACGGTGATGTGGAATCCCGGGAATGTGCCCAGAACTGGACAGATCGGGCAATCCTAGCTCCACGGAACAATGTGTAGCCATGTACTGTATGTGTGTGGTTATTACGGTAATACAGTATTATTTCGTGCGCGGACACCAGCAGGTTGCTAGAAGGGAAGTCCCGGATGCCTGTTGTCACACCAATCTCCTGAAACCTGCCCATCCCAAATCCGACTCCCAACCCACCAATACCCCGCTCACTCTCTCAACAATGACAAACCCCAACAGTCGCCGTCTTCTGGTACCCAACCCGCGGCACCATCTCAGTCGGCTTCAGCGCACACGCCCCCTTATTCGCCTGTCGACGTGCACACGCCTGCGTCGGGTTTAGGTGTGCCATCTATCATGGATATCGAAGATGTTAAATTTCTGCTGGCAAATGAATACGATCTTGGTGGGGAAACCTTACGGGTGATTGCGCCGTCTGCACATATATGTATTTATTCCCCCTCGTAAACCCGGACAACTGCGGCTCCACACCTTCCAAACTGCCCAAATCCCGCCGTTCCCTTGGTGCCGCGAACCTGCAAAAAAAAAAATCAGATCAATCCCCCACTCCCCGTTCCCACCAATCCACTTCACTCACTGATCCCCCGTCTCAGTCTTGAACCTCCCCACCGAATCCGCGACGTCAGGGAAGATATGTGTCGGATTGTTGCGCACGCTGCCCTGCGGTTCTTTGGAAGAGAGGGCGAGGTCGGGGTGGTGGAGGAGGGTGGCGAGGGTGGGGTTGAGGACTGATTTGCGGTTATGGTGCAGTCTAAAAAAAAAATCAATCATCAATCAACACATTTGCCCACGTAATCGTAAAACCGACGCAAACTAGTCACGCACTGGTAAGTACTCCTCCCACACCCCGGATCCACCATCCCTGCCCACTCCGCCGACCTCCGTCCCAGCGTGCGGTCCAATTCCTCCTGCGACGGCAGCGCCCGTGCGCCGCGGGGTGCGTCGGCGTCGCGGAGGATGTTGCCGTGGTGGGAGCGCGTGTACCCGTCTTCGTCCATTCGCGCCGTCTTGTAGGTGTACCAGGGACGGGAGGTGGGGGCGGGGGTTTGGCTGGAGAGGGGGGTCTTGGGGGGGCGGCGGGTTGAAAAGGTGTGTTAGAATGGGAACGGTGGTATGACAGGTGGATTGATATGAGCATTTTCATACATACCGTGAACCGATCATCGACGTCGTTACCGAACCCCTTCACATGCCCCACATCGTTCGTATACCCGCTCTCTGAATGGAGGACATGGGATTTGTCGAAGGTAGAGTCTTTCAGGTGTAGCCGGCGCGCGTCGTAGCTGGTTTTCATGATCGATGGGTCGGTTTTCCAGTGGCGCTGCGGTTAACGATGAGGGGGGTTCGACGGCGTCGGTAGATGCGCAACAAGAAAAGACATAGGAGAGGGATGAGCTCAAGATTGTATACCTCTTTATCAGAAATGACGCTGAACTTTGGCGGCATGTGCGTAAACCCTGATTCCGTGAAATGGCTGATGGGCACGTTGAGGAGAGCGTCGGTCTCTTGCGGGGGTTGGAACTGTGTCTTCTGTGACGTCTCAAATGGGTTGGGAATGCTGCGTGAGACATGACTTGTGAGCATCGATTGTTTTTTCTCCAGAGGACCCGCACTCTCAGAGACTCACTTGAACCCCGGCCCTTCATCCACCCTCTTATCATACTCCACATACGGCACCACATTCCGACTATACCCCGAACTATCCTTCCTCATCCCACTAGGCGTCGTCAGCTTCACCGCGCCGCCCCATCCAACTTCGCCCTTTCCCTTCCCTTGTCCATTCCCACTCTTCCAATGCGCCGTATTAAATGTCGTCGAATACCGCGTGCTGTAAAAATTCTGCAGACTGCGTGCCGGCCCGCGCGAGCAGACGATGATGGGTGTTGGGCCGGTTTCGCCAGGGGAGAGGACGTAGGGGGCGGGTTTGAAGCAGGTGGAGTGGCGTTGGTGGAGCTCGGACTGGCGGGTGGGGTCGAGGCGGTCGGTAGTGGGGAGGTGGGGTAGACGGCTGTCGCCGAATTTTAGTAGGTCCTGCGGCGAGACGTAGTCGAGTTCCATTGTTGCAAGTATCTGATGGGGGACTAGCGGGTGATGCGACACCTTACATGTACAGAGGCTTGTGTCCAGCGATGCAGCAATCTCGCAGAATGAAATCGAAAATCTGTCGTATACAAAAGTTTCAATAATGCCTTCGAAAAATGCATTACCCCCCGGAGAATTTAACAGTACGGAGGCCAAAACGTCCGTAGGTTCCGACTGGAGCGTAGAAATTGACAGCGTGTTCAAGTTAGTAGGAGTAGCTCAGTAACCCCACCTAGTATCAAAGTTCGTACACAACTGGCCGATGACTGTCATTGACTTCTGCTGGGGCACAAAATTTCAAACCGCGTCGGAACCTGCGTTTTGGCCTCATATTGTAGAATGTCTCCCAGCTTACGCTAGCGTGCGAGGACCGAAAAGCCGAAAGTCCGATCCTGTCAATGCAGGTCTTGCTAGGTGTTCGCAACGCTGATCTTTTCGACTACATGTACGATAGTGACTTGCAATGAGCAGCAAAGACCCCTCAACGGCGAAAGCAAAGCCAATGCCTATCGGGTCTCGCAGAGTTGCCCCTAGTCCCCCGGACAGCAATGGGAGCTTGACAGAGCATCTCGTCAATGTGAGCCATGTGCTGAAGGAAGAGACATTGAAATCTGGGCATGCTGTCCACTCAGTCTACCTAGATTTCCACAAATTTTTGAATAGAGGCAATGTGGTTGACATGGCGGTAAGTGATCATGCTCAGTCGTTTTCGAAGCTGCGATCTTTCGCTCACCGTTTCTTATAGGTTGGGATTGTCATGGGAACAGCATTGTAAGAGCGATCACAAGAAACGCCGGCAAAAGCCGTTCCTTAAAGCATCTACCTTTCTCCAATAGCACAGCAATCGTCACATCCCTCGTCAACGACATCTTCCTTCCGATCGTCAGTCTTGCCTCGCCCTCATCCCAGCTATCCAACCTGTACATTTTGGTGAGATGCCCCCAGAAAAACGGTGTGACTACGCCTTGCAATAGATCAACATATAACACGCCAGCGGATGGTAAGCTTCTTTGCAATCCTCAGTTTAGTGACGGAGTTTTCTAGAGTACTCATGTGCACGGGGCTTCTTCTCGACATCAGCGAAGGCAGCGGGGGCGATCACATGGAACTGGTAATCGTCCTCCTGTGAGGGATCTCGAAGCTGGAGATCCTGACCGCTAGCGAGTCTGACCCGTCGATTTGCACGCTCGTAGGGGAAGCTTTATCCAAAATATCGTCAACTTTCTGTTGATATCGTTGATTGGTGCGTGGAATCGACTTCAAAGGCGACCAAGATGAATCGCTAATCCATTGATCCTGTCACGATCAAACAGTCTTCTTCATCGTCAAAGGTAGATCTGACATGAATCTAGCACATTTCTGTGAAGCACTCTCAAATCCGACCTGTTCCAATCAGCGTACGCAAAAGCGTTTCGAAGCGATGAACCAGTCAAAGCGCCTTCAACGAAACCTTGCGCGATGTGCACCAAAGGTACGCCCTGTCGATGGCATTCGTCGTTTGTTTGCTTCCGCATTGCCTGCAATGGCCCTACTAACATCCACCTCTCTGCTTTGCAGACATTCCGCTCAAGGTACGGTCCCTCGATGGCCTCCGTCATTTGTTCGCATCCGCATATCTGCCATGGGTTTACTAACCTCATTTTTCGACATGCCCAGGCCAAACGCTGCCCAGAGTGTACGGCTGACGTTCTGGATGATGGAAGCGGAAACAACAGTAGTCACGGCGACGACCGGTCTATCGAACGAATAGAAATGTCCCGAGCTCGCTGATGTACGGGTGTGAACTAACCAACAAACTTGGCCGCCGTAGCGCGGTCCAACTGATCCATTCCCAACGGCTCTATCTGGGATCATCTACGTAGCATTTAACGTACATTGCGACACGAGGGGGTTGTCTTATGGACTAACTAACTTGCTTGTTGCCCGTCACTTCGCATGAGGCGTCTGACACCTCTGTCGCGCGATGGACATCCTAGTTTTATGGGTCAGTCATGGACTACCAAGCAACACCCTTTGCAAGAATATATGTACACCCTCCCCACATACCTCTTACAAACTCACAATGTACGGGTTGACATGTGGTTGCTCAGGGAAATTGAATGCGGTAGGCGGGTTTCAGCTGTAGTGTAAGCTCGTAGTGGAGCTGCATGTGGAGGAGGTGCCGGAACGGGTAGCGGCGCTGCAATGACTTGGCAGCCTGGATATCTAGGGCTCCTCCCCCTGTGGAGGGGTCCCGGCAGTGGTGCCGCTTCACAATCGGGGAGTACCACCACACTCGCCGATACTTAGATACAATCCAATATCACCATCATTTCAGTAGACTCTTAGCGAATACCCGCTATAATCGAATAAGCTGCTATATGAAATCAGAGGGGAAAGAACGCAAATAATGAACGCTGGACGACTACCTAGCCTATGCGAAGGGGAGGTTTCCTACAGCCGAAATCACGCCGCCTCAAGATAGATCCATCGGTACTGGACATCCGTTGCTCAAGAGGCCACCTTGGGCCTCAGCAGCCACAATGGCGGCCACTGGACTCTGCGGGCTCTGGATCTCCTTCAAGAAATCAACAAAGCGGGGACTGACGCCGCTATCACTAATCTTCGACAGGATGAGAGCGGTCCGAGCCGCGCTCCGGATGAGCTCGTTGGTCTTCTCGACCTCTTGTTTGACTGCGTTCGACTTTGTCTTCGTGAGCAAGGTGGTTTTGAGGGGTTCAACCATCTCGTCGAGTTTCTGAGCTACAGCGGTTGGTGACAGGTGGGACAGGCGTTGGAGCATCAGATGTGACAGAATCTTGATATCTTGAGACGGGTCGAGTAGCCCGCTCATTACTCTTTGCAAGAAGGCGAATACGTCGAGACGTGACAGGCATGTTTCAATGAGTGTGTACATGCACTCGTAGGCGGCCTGGGAGAGATGGAGTCAATATCAGGTTTAAGTTCTGGATTCTCAGTCACAAAGAGCTACGTACCTTCCTGGCGTCCAGCCCGTCGTCCACTTGATGCTTAAAGGGTCCCATCTCGACAACATGGATCAAGTTGGTCTACAAATGGAAAATATCAGCTCGAGTAAGCCAGAAGTATACTGCAACAAGCCAGAAGTGTACTGCGATCGAAGACTTACGTTTACAACCGTTTCTTCATACAGGAGAGGGAGTAGTTCAGGGAGACTGTCTTGGATCAGGTGTGGTTTGTTATGAGCTGCCGAATTCAATGTAGCCAACGACGCCCTTCGGACATTCTGAATCACGAACGGTTGCGTTAGTCGGTCGAATCACAATAAGTGGGAAGATGTCAAGCTGGACTCACCAAATCAGTGTCCTTCACAAGTTTTAAGAACTGCGGTAATAGAGGTCGGAGAAGAGAGTCGAAATCATCATGCTGCGTGTGCTCTGTGAACGTGAACCGAAGCGCCGTCACGACAGTAGCTCTTGCATGTGCATTCGGGGAAGAGAGGCGGGATTGCAGATCGGGCAAAAACGTGCTGGGTTGCGACAGCGACAGTTTTCCAAGGCACTCGGCAATGGCGTTCCTAGTGGTCTCTTCCGCTGTTTCTTCCGTATTTTGGAAGAGGAGCTGCCATAACTCGGGTGCAAATGAATGCAGAATGGCCGTAGATTCGGGAGAGGCTTCATTGTGCGAAAATCGCGTGATGATTTCTTTGAGGGACACCAGAACCAGGTATCGCCTTTTGCCTCCCTCTCGCACGGTTTGAAGCACGACTGGCATGTAACGCTTGAGGTTACCCAAGGCGATATTCCCGAGCGCGAAAGCAGCGGCCTGTTTGATGTCCTCGGAAGGAGATGCGAAGAGATTGAGCACGATCTGGTCAACACTCTCATGCTGCGTGGCAAGATCCCTGGAACACCGAGGTCAGTTATCGTCGACGAAGACATAGTCTTCCGAAACAGACCCACACTCACATGTTCCGCCCAACGTCACCCAAAGTCAAAAGACTGACATAAAGCGTGTTCTCCGGGGCGCTGTTCTTCTCGACTTCCGTGATGAACTTTTGCACAGTCGCATTACCGCCAGGGGAAAAGTTGAGGCACAGAATGGCTAGCGACTGCGCGATGATCGACAACGCCTGCTTTCCGCTGGCCAACCCATCTACCCCTGAGGTGACCGGTTTGAGAAGAATCTGAACGGAGTGCTCAAACATGTCACTTCCGCCGATCCGGACGATGGCTTGCCAAAGCTGTGTCAAGCTGTCGAGTCCCGGACCCGCTCCCAGCAAGTGGGGCGATTCCATGATCATTCTCACGATTTGCGGCTGCAACTCGTTTTTCACCACTGGCAACACGCGGTCGTTCGGGCCGTTGAAAATGATAATGGAAATAACGTTGATCGCCAGTGGGAGAATATGGAGATCCGAGTCTGAAAGAAGTGGGCGAACCTCTGCCAAAATTTGAACGTAGATATCTCCATGGATGACTTTGCCGTATCGCCGAATGAGACTCTCCAATGTCTGGAGGCTAGCAACACGGAGCTGCCGATGAGTTTTGCGCAGGTACGAGGCCAGTTCCGATACGACTTCAGGAAGAACCGGCGAAAGGTCAATAACCTTTGTGCTAGTGCTTTCGGCGAGAGGGCTTTCAGCGATGCTCTTAATGACGCGCACTGTCGTCAGCCGCGTGAGCTCGTTCTTCAAGCGATCGACAAGCAACGGCAGAACGATGGACTGTATCTGATCTGCGGGCAAGAGGTCACCAGCTTGCGACAGAAGTACTCCCAGAGCTATAATCGACCGTTCCTTGACCTCCAAATCCACATCCGCTGCTCCTAGGCGTTGCAGTGTCGTCTCATATATGGTGCTTAAGTAATCGCCGAATTGAGGCTGTGCCAATGTCGATACGTCATAGCGTTTGCTGTCTCCATCGTACGAGATTGGGCGGATGACTTTAACGAGCTCTATCACAACCGTCAAGGCCTCGGCGGTGATCTTGTAGAATTTGTCTTGCGCCGCAGAAACGATGAGCGGAACGAGCTTGCCCAGGTGTTTATGGAATACGGTTGGCTTATGGGTGAGGAAGAGGATCCGCAAAAACTCCAGAACTCCAATCTTGACGTTCGAGTTCGTAGTCGCTTTCACGGAGTGCGAAGGACTGGTCGCCAGTGATATCTCGATTGCTGGCATGAACAGGCCAATGCTCGACTCCAGACCTCCATCCAACACGCGTACCAATTCTCTGAGTAGATGGAACCCGGCCTGGCGAACCGGCACCGATTTGCCTTTCAGCTCCTTGGACAAGATTTTGCTCAGTCGGGGAACGTTCTGGCGCAAGAGATCTCGGGTCGTCGGCGTCTCGTCAATCACCATATCCGTGGCACCGGGGGAGACCCTCCGGCGCTTACTCTCGGGCCCATTTCCGACATCACGTGCCTGGGCCTTCTCGGAACCTGTTGCTACTCCAGTTTGTCGAATGAGGGTGGTGAACGTGCCCAGGACATCCACGCGGACGCTCTCTTCCCTCTCTTTGAATCTGGCAATAAGCGCAGGCGCGACAGTCTTCAAGAGCTCCTCAAGGAAGTCCGACCGAGTCCCAATGATTGATGCCAGGAGCTTCGAAGATCCCTTCCGAACTTTCCAGGAGACGTCATCCTCGTCCGAATAATCATCTTCATAGCTGAGTGTGAATGAGCTTACATCCTTCAAAAGTGCAGATGAATTCTGTGCTGTACACTTACTCTTCTTCCTCCTCTTCGTCTTCATCGTCATCCTCATCGTTTCCGTCCTCTTCTTCGTCCCCATTTTGTTGATCAACATCCATAGCATCCTCGTCAGATTCAAAGTTCGGGTCGTGCTTCAGATATTTTAAAGCTATGGCGATGACCTTAGGAATGTGGGGCGTCATTTCTGTCGGACAACGTAAGACAAAGGAGTCCAATGCATGCAGGCAGTTTTCTCGTAGCTCGTCGTCATTGATCTCGATGTACTGAAAGACAAGTGGTAGAGCATCGTCGAGGTGCTGAGCTAAGCGAGGCGAGCTGTAACGACTATTTCCACGTGTCAGTCTGTTGTCCATCCGTACGAGGTGTCTCCACATCTTACCTCAGCGCGGCTAAGCATCCAATGTGCGTCCTCAGTTTGTCGTAATCAGAGGAGCTGCTCCGCTGCTGCAGCTCGTTCAACACGGCTTTTACCAGCTCCTCGAAAAGCTCGTCCGATAGATGAGCGACCAAGTGCCCTAAAGCCGCGGTGGCTCGCTTACGAGCTGCTGCTCGTGAATGGTTAAGAATAGGGAATAACGTGTTTTTGATGGATCTCTGTAACTGCAATCCGCCGGGTCCTAAAGCGAGGGATTGACCGAATCGACTCAAAATCTCGGAAAGAATGTCGATAACGTCCAGTTGTGGGTCTTTCACATCCTACAAGCGCAATGTCAGCCAAAAGCGCCATGATGAGCACTGACGAAAGCAACTTTTAGCATACCGGGGAAAACTGTTGCAGTAACTTGGGCACAAGTTGGCTCACAACCTTGCTTGACACCGGCGAGTCGGAAGGCAGCTCGATCACAACGGTCTTGATTCCGATGCCAGCAATGTCCCTCAGGTCTTCACGCTTATCGGTCAAGAGACGGCAAAGCTGATCAACCACCTCTTGAAGCTGATTCTCATGAATCTTCTTCACTAGTGGTGCGAAACTGTGCACTCTGTCAAGAGGAGTCCGGGACACTCCTCGTCCCAACATACCACAGCTGGATCGCGAACACATACCATTTCACCGCTACGTTTTGAACCTCTCCATTTGAGTCTTCCAGCAGCTTAATAAGCGCTGAAACAACTTTCTTCTCGTTGACGTCTTCCATTTGGAAACTGTCAGACTGGAGAGCTCCCATAAGATCATTGGTCGCCATCCACCGGTAATCCGGATCGTGATGGGACATCTATTCAGAGTGATTGATACAAGTATAATGAGTACAAATCTCCTTGTGAGGTTCAACGACTATCGCCAACGTACCTTGTCAAGGAGACTAGCGACCAAGTAAGGCCCCGTGGGGTTGACCATCTTGCCCGTCGAGATTGAGAGGCCTTTCCGTTGACGCGATGTTCGGACGTCCCTGTCCACTTCTAGCTTCCTGAGTGCCTAGATCTTGTATATACTCTCTCGAAGGAGGAGCTTTGTGTATGATACTGGGTCGCTTTTCGATGGTGGTCTGGTCGTTGGCGGATCGTTTTCCCAGGAGTCAGGATCGAGAAGGTGACTCGGATTTCGACGTGTCGCGGTGCCGACTGCATGCATTGATCGCTGCATTGATCGGCGAGCCTTGAAGTGGAGCTCCGACTCCGCTGTGGAGAAACCAATTTGTAATTGTGCATCCTGGCCTGCCCGCAGCAGGTCCGCTTGGTTTTTCCTCTTGCCTCTGCCCTATATAAAGGACTGCCAGCGCTATTCCGCACAGGAGTGTCTCAGCGCTCTGAAAGTCCTTGCTTCACCCGGCTGTTCAACGTCGCAATCAAGAGGTCAATATGCCATATACAGTCGCAATTGTAGGAGGCGGGCTGGTCGGCTCTCTTTCAGCCGTCTTCTGTGCCAAGCGGGGTTGGAAGGTTGACGTATATGAGGCACGCGAAGGTAACTAGGAAGCCACTTTCGGCTCATGATCCTGGCCACAGTGGCAATCCGTTCTAATATCTCGAGCTCTTTGAAAACGCAGACCCACGCGCGCAACATCTCGAGGGGGGAAGATCTATCAATTTGGCTCTGAGCGTAAGAGGAATCAGCGCCATGACTGCGGCGGGAGTGGAAAAGAAGATCCTGGACAACATGATTCCTATGCGTGGGAGGATGATCCACTCCAGAGAAGGTGCTTTGCAATCGCAGAATTATGGGTCTTTTGGAGAGGTTAGTAGGATTGGTACAGAATAGCAAACGACCTGCGATTAGGTGGTCTGCGCTGGGACTCCAGTGCCTAAGCTTTCGAACCTAGTGGATATGGGATTCTGCCGGGGATATCTTGGAGATCTAGCTGTGGTCGCCGAACGGGGAGACGTGCGCCGATGTGTAGCATTTCGTGGCCCCTGGCACAGTCATTGATGGGGTATCTCTCCTTTCTACGTCATTAGTGCATCAACTCGATCGATCGCAACTTGATGAACGAGCACCTACTGTCATCTGCGGACGGTTTCCCTAACGTCAAGATTCACTTCAATCACAAGCTGGATCGCTGCGATTTCGATGGCAAAAAGCTGACCTTCATGAAAGCTGCCGCTGATGGGAGTAAGCCAAAAGAGATAACCGTTGAAGCCGATTTGGTGATCGGCGCAGATGGAGCATACTCCAGAGTGAGGAATCAGCTGATGCGGAAAGAGAGGTGGGCGCTTTTCACACTGCGTCGTTGGCATGGCCTTCCGTCACAAAGGTCGTACTCACATTTTTGCGTCTCACAGGGTTGATTTCTCGCAAGAGTACATTGACAACGCGTATCTCGAACTGACGATCCCGCCGACCTCATCTGGCGATTTTGCCATGGACGCAAATCACCTGCATATCTGGCCACGGCAAACCTTTATGTTGATTGCGCTGCCGAATACCGTAAGTTGCATGACACCGCAAAGTTCTGTTGGGACGGCCGAACACAACTGACCAACGAACCGCGCTGGATTCAGGACAAATCATTCACAGTCACGCTGTTTATGCCGTGGGAGATGTTTGCCGCTGTGAAGACCGAAGCTGATGTGCTGGAACTGTTTGAGAAGCACTTTGCGGACTCTGTGCCGCTTATCGGGAAGGAAGCATTGTTGAAAGACTTCTTCGAACACAAGCCCGAAAGCCTGATACAAGTCAAGGTACCGTCCGGCTTCCGAAGTTGACCATACATCATTGCCAGAAAGCTTGACGAGACTTTAATTCTACAGTGTCGCCCATATCACTACAAAGATCGCGCCGTCATCCTCGGCGACGCTGCACACGCGATGGTTCCCTTCTACGGCCAGGGGATGAATTGCGGTATGGAAGACTGTCTCGTCCTCGACGAGCTAATCACCGAACATCTCGGGCGTCCGTCGAGCCCATCGTCGCGTTCGCCATCGACAACGCAAATGAGCCACGTCCTCGCGCAGTACACCCTGCAACGCAACCGGGACGTCGAAGCCATGTGCGACCTGGCGATGTACAACTACGTCGAGATGCGCGACTCGGTCACGAAAAAGGAGTATCTGTACAGGAAGAAAATCGAAGGTTGGCTGCACAAGCTTATGCCGGAGCGGATCATCCCGCTATATACCATGGTTTCCTTCTCGAGGATACCGTACGCGGAGGCGATGAGGAGATGGCAGCAACAAACGAGATGGTTCAACTTGGGAAGGAAGGTGGTGGAAGTGGCTGGGTGGGGTTTGATCGCGAGCCTAGCCTTCTACGTCGGCAAACGATGGAGGGTCACCAGGGGGATGCTGCAGGCTGGAGTCGCAAGGGCGGCACGGAATATCAATGCCCCGTAGGAGGGCGTTTCTCTGCAACCCTCGTTGCCTTCACTAGCCCCCGCCTATTGATATATATCAACTTCGTTTAGGTGCCACCCTTACGTAGTCAAGATCTATCCTTAACGTCCCCATTTACTGTAACTGCTCTCAAAATACATGATTCTTTTTTGGGAAGTGACGGGCGGACGACTGGTGCTGGAAAGACACGCCGGACTACCTGTTGGGGTGTTTGTACAGTTCAGCCGGGGGTTTTTGATTGCCGTGGTAGCTGTGTGTCAAAACTCTCGCCTCAGTGCTGTGGTAATGAAGCTGCAATGGGTGATTGGAGGGTCTCTGTCATGCGATTAGGGTTGGGGATTAGGGTTATCACCGGGTTAGGGTTGTGAGGTTGGGATTAGGGTTGATAGCCCTAACCGGGATTAGGGTTGGGGATTAGGGTTATCACTGGGTTAGGGTTGTGAGGTTGGGGATTAGGGTTGATAGCCCTAACTGGGATTAGGGTTGGGGATCAGGGTTATCACCGGGTGAGGGTTGTGAGGTTGGGGATTAGGGTTGATAGCCCTAACCAGGATTAGGGTTGGGGATTAGGGTTATCACCAGGTTAGGGTTGTGAGGTTGGGGATTAGGGTTGATAGCCCTAACCGGGATTAGGGTTGGGGATTAGGGTTATCGCCAGGTTAGGGTTGTGAGGTCGGGGATTAGGGTTGATAGCTGGAACCTTCCCCCACAAGGCCAAGAACCATGTACCCGTTGCAACTCCGCACTTGACGCGTTTGCTTCAAATTCAAATTCAGGCACCCACCTCACAGCGCTCAGTGCTCACACTCTAGAGAAATTCGTATATGAAGCAAGTACGAAGTCCCGTCGTCCGATCTCCGCTTTCTGGGCTTCTTATGACCTGTTCGCGTTTCGCGTTTCTTTATGTCAGCCTCTCTGCGCCTTTCTTGCAAACGGCAGTCCTCGCACCCCGACCGCCCCTGATGCTCTCCTGCCATGGGACTCGAGATTCTGAGTCGAGAACAGCTCGGCCCCCTGTCACCACCCTGCATACCCCGTGAACTCTCCTATATATATAGCTCTCCTGTCGCACTCCTGTCGCACTCCTTTCACTTTACTTTCACCCTCCTGTCCATCAACTTGACTGAAGGCTTGAATATCCTTGGAAGCTAGGGCAAACTATTTTCACGCTTGCTCTTCCAGGTTTGGAGGGTGGTCAGCGAGTACACTACTGACGGTTGAGCTGCCGGGCCTATATGGATCAGACTATTTTTTGTAGTCTGACGGGACCATTATTTTGCCAAGAAACTCCGGGCTCGTTCCAGGTCGGCCTACATCTACAGCATCTCGTGCTCGCTCGGTTGTCCGAAGTGAACGAAACGACCGCTTTCGTGCAGTGAAAGGGAGTTAGCAACCTTAGTCCGACCGCAGCGTACCTCTCTTCGAAGTTCCATACAGGCATCCGAGCCACTGTGGTTTGCCATGGGTTTTCCGCGACCTCGGAATACTCATAATCGTCTTGGCCTGGAAACCCTCTGTGGTGTGCTACACTCCACTACTCCAGTCGGTCGGGTTAAATTAATTGACCTGTTCATCGCTTAAAAGATGTTTGACTTCCATATCAGAGTTTTCATGAAGCGCTCTTTTCCTCTTATACTTTCCGTTCCATCGCATTCGTTGCGCGTATATCAAAGATCTTTCTGAGGCTCTAACACGCCAGTTCTGCGAAGGCCTCGAATAGACCAACGTTCGAAGTTTTTGGCTCCGAGTGGCATGTTCCTCTGGGTGGTTCACGATCGCGTTCCAGAATGCGTGCAAAGTCACCCAGACGAGACAGTCGCGGAGCTCTTCAACAAAGTTCGGGATACATATAGTCAACTCCGATCGGGCACCGTTTGGCCGCCTGGCTTGGTCTTGCAGTTCCCACGTGGGAAAGGATGCTGTGCTGGGTGGATTGTTGGCGTGAACCAGCTTGGAGCATATTTTGGAACGGCAGTCAACGAAGCAACGAGAGTGGGGACTCTTGTAGACCTAGCCTTTGGAGATGGGTGGTGTGGGACAGTGAACCCGGGGTATGAGGATTTCGTAGAAGTGCAGATCCGATCAGAAGCTGAAGCTAGGCCTGGGGACGATATGGAAGGTAGGTGAAGTATGAGAGCACGTTGTACCGAGTTTGGACGTGCACCTAAGCTTTTCCCAGGAGTTATCGATCAAGAACAGATGCGGATGACGGATGTTCTTTCAAGCATGAGCGGATTGCAAATCACATGAAATGCTCCTGCAGCGCTGTTACAAGCCACGACACCGGACCGCACGGGGGGCAACTGGTCATGGTAGCTAAGAGCTATGGGATTCGCTCCATAACCCCTGCGTCAAAAACTCCACTGGCTGACGACGTTCGAAGCGGATCCAGTGCTGGAGTTCAAATACTCCTGTACTCCCCGCGGAACATGGGCAGCAACGCCGGCACGCCAGTGGGGTTGGATCGAAATCCCAAACGAAACAGTTGGGAACTATTCCGACTCTTGCGTATCGCAAGGAGCGGCATCAAGCGACAGGAGCAGAAGACCTTCCTGTTCATGGATCGTTATCCTCTATAGATCTAAATAGATGCAGTTCTATCGATCTACTTAAAATCGGTCGTACGCCATCCAGTCATTCCATGCCAACCTAATATTGCGTGCGGTGTTTCAGTTTCCCCATCTCGTTATTCGCCCCCGTAATCTACAACCGACATGGAATGATAAATACAAGCATTGCCATAGTTGCCAGGAGCATCGTACATGGTCCACTCTTACCCATCTGATGAAATCACCGAGTTCTTGAGGAAGGAACCGGAAGAGAGGAGCTGCGTTTGTATAGAGGGGTAGATATATCTCACTGTTCTGGGCCTTCTTCAAAGCGTCAATAATAGCATCAACAACTTCTTGTGGGTGCAGGACGGGGGTAAGCCATGGGATGCCATGGTTCTCGTCCACGCCCGCAAACATCCCCGTAGCGACGAGGCCTGGGTAGACGTTTGTCATTCGGAGATTTCTGGTGAATAGACAATCCCGGCGGTTAAACAAAAAAGACACCATCCTTGCGCATTCACTCGCTACATACGTTCCCGATAGCTCTTGGCGTAACACTTCCAGAAATCCATTGAGCGCAGATTTGGAGGCACAATAGGCCGCTGCATTTTCATGTTGCAGTATGTGAGTTCGGTGTCATGCTCAACATGGCGGCAGAAAGTCCTACCTGCACCACTTGCTCCGGAATGACCAACTACCGATGACATGGTGACCTAGTACAAAAAGCGCAACCTTAGCTACCGGCTCCGACTTTGAACGTCATCCGCTCTTCGCTCTCGAGTTACCAGATGCCCCTTGTTCTGCGCAAGCATGTGCGGCAAAAACGCTTTCGTCACCCAGACCTGCCCTAGAAAGTTCACACTCATCGTCCTTTGGAGGCTTCAGATGATGGCTATCAAGCAGACCGAGCGGAATGTTGCTAACCTCTCAATCAAAGCGTCATCCGTATCGATCAGATGTGTTCCGCTGTTCACAATCCCCGCATTGTTGATCAGGACTGTCGGATACCCTATCTGGAATACAAACTCAAGATTGAGAGCCCGCATATGAATACTATGAATTGACAGACATGTATCCTACCTCCCTGCCGATTGTGAGGGCCAACTCCTTCACCGCGTATTTGTCCGATATATCGCATTGGTAAGAACATATTCTTTCTGAAAGTCCTTACAGTTTAGTTCCACTTCGTGCCGACTATCGTGTTCCATTGTTGGAACACACCATCAGTGTTCTCAACAGGGTTCCGATCCAAGAGAACGACTTTCTTTGGTCGAAACGTGGTGGCGATATCTTGAGCAAGTAACTTCCCCATACCATGAGAACCTTTCAAGAAAAGAGTTAACCTCCGGCCAACGACTATTGCCCCCTGGCAATTAGAACACACCTCCCGTTATGAGCACTATGCGCGAGGCCCAGTCGTCAATGGGCCGCGCTTGGGAAGTCCGCCAGAAGTGGAGAAAGACAGGAAGGATGGCAAAGACGGTACATATCAAGCAAAGTATCCATGTCGAGACCGGCCGAAGAATGTGGAACACCAAACCCCAGAACAAAGGGGTGGTAGAAGGATTGTTGAAGGCGAATCTATAGATGGGACCAACCAGCGTATCCAGGATAAACTTCGGACGAGAGGCGAGCATTGAAGATCTTGGGATGGCTTTCAACGCTGTACAGTACGCCGAAACTCGGTCGCTCATCAGTCTCCTTTTCCCCTCCGTAAACTGTCCCGTAAACCTCCGTGCCTGCCGTTTTGACGCGTTTTGACGCGGCGTCGGCCGTCGAAATGGGAATTGGGTTCAGTTCGACTCCGATTGAGCACTGTTCAGCAGCCGTTTTACCAGTACCACAGTAGACCGCTATGGTATTCTATTCCAAAATCGTGGACTAATACGGTGTAGTACTGTTCTATCACGCCAGGCTATCGAGCAAGTTCTCGACTTCCACCCTTCTCTCTACCACCTGTTGAACCTTCTTCGTGGACAATCTGTACACACCGACGCTCTCCAAAGCTTCCCGCAAGGCAGTGTCCTGCGCGTCATTGTTGCTATCTTCATCGTCAGACCTCTGGCCGTTGCTGCTTTCCAGAAGCAGCTCGACAATCGTGACGAGAGCAGGCGCTTTCGTGCCGCTGGCGCGGGACGTACGAAGTGGCAACGTCAGCAGCGAGAGACTTTCGGTGGTTCTGGTTTGAGTTGACGAGTTGATGTGTGTGAGTTCCAAGAAGCTATTGACGGTGCGGGACAATGAATCACCCACATACCTCCTCAATAACGCATCTGGCTTCCGTACCCATCTCCCCAAAACACCCTTTGCCAACCCTTTTGACACATCATACGAAACCTTCTTCGCCCCTTGCGCATTGAATCTGCCTCTTAAAATCAACTTGGTGAAGAAGTGCTCATCCAAGCGCGGCCCAATGTCGCGTTGGAGAAGTGATAAGAAGACGGTGACCGGGAGGTGAGAATGGATCGCTGGCAAGAAGCTTGTGAGGGTATCTAGAGCAGTGCAGAACTCCGGTGTAATTTCGTCGAGAAGCGGTGAGGATGAGAACGTGGGCGAATCCGAATCCGAATCGGATGATGATATGACCCAGTTCCGCCTACCGGAAGAGGAGAGATAAGCTCATCGGGACTATGCTTTAAGCGACCATCCAAGTTCCCAACCTTTTGTCATATTGCCACATTGCTTCCGAAAACTCCTGCATGATATCCTGCACCACCAGATCCTGCAACCTGCGGATGGTGGCATCGTACGCAGCAACCACTTCATCGAACAGTGATGCCTGGTCCCCTAACAATTCTGCTGCAGTCGCTTTCAGAGACGGATCAATCTCCAATACATCATCTGCCTCGTTAGTGAGCTTGTTCTGTTTTCTGACTTGTTCCCGAAATTCGATGAAGAACTTCATGCCATACGGTTAGTCAGAGGGTTGACATCGCCGTCTGAGCTTGATCACAGTTCAACTCACTGGCAGGTTCGCCCATTCTCGGAGGTTCGATGAGATGAACTGCAAAGAGCAAATGTACCGGCATAGCATCTGGAGCCGGTTGATCTTGCTCGGCAGCGAGGCGCCAGCGGTATTCACAGGATGAAACGCGCTGACATGACGTTTGATCCCGTCCCGTACCTCCTGCAGGTAATCCTCGAGCAGAGGAAGTTGCAGCTCGTTCAGGAAGGCAAGGCGATGGGAGTAGTCCGGTAACAAGCGGTAGCGATCTATGCATCACCAAAATAAGGTTTTCCTGCGCCAGTGAAGTTTGAAGCCCCATGTCAACCATGAAGACACACCCGTGATGGCTTCCAAGATCTTGATGAATAGTTCAGCCGATTGTGTTGGCTTCGCATCCCCTTCGCCAAAGTAATCCTCAACGAATTCCCATGCCTTGTCAGCTTGAACGGCATCCTCGAAAGTAGCCTTCGCAGCTGGGAGTTCGAAGAAGTGAGACGGGATCAGAGTCGGTCTGCCAACAACATCCCGGCGACCCCACTTACCAGCCATTTCCATTATCAACCACTGCTCGAACCACTCTCGCCTCTCCGTGAACACACTGGCACACCCGTCCCATTTGCCGCTAGGTTTCGTATACAAATGCACTTCGCGCAGCGCCTTGTCAAACGCATAGGTCTCTTTGCTGGCATGCGTGAATAGCCTCGGATTTTCCAATAGCTTTGGGATGTCCAAGCGGAGCTTGTACATCACTGCATCCAAGAGCCCTTCAACGAAGTGATTCTGGTATGGCGATTGTAAGCGCCAAGGAGCGACTCTCTGATGACATAATCATGCATACCTTCGCATCCCAGCCAACATAGCCATATTCCTCCAAAAGGGATTGCACGGGACCGCATAGAAACGGGGAGAAATCTCTAATCATTGCGAGGACTTTCGTGAAGGACCATTCGGGCTATGCTCACGTACAGTGGTGAGTAGCGTAGATCGGATTCCCAAAATGTGAATTTGGCACACAAATTTACCTTGTCCAACCGATTTGTAGGTCGCTCCCCAGTGAAGTGATACTTGTATTGCAAAACCGGTAAGCGGAGGAGGACCTCCATCGCGGGGAGTGAATCAGGCTTGTCCGCTTCGCCGTTAGTTTTCCTGTCGTCCATATGTATAGAGTTAGGCAACCTAAGCTTCAGAGCAATACAAGCTGCACCATTGATCATACGGTGCCTGGAGGAGTAGCATGTCGCCAAAAGCGCTCTTGAAGGCTAACCAGTGTGGGTCAGTCGCCTGCCGTCTGAGGCTCTCCACAGACACGGCCTTGGGCCAGCCGAGCGCCTCCAGTGCATGTTCCAATTTTCTACGTGCAGACCGATCAGCAATCAGCAAATGGAGCATATGCCTCCGTATTGCGTACAGTACCGAATGCATACTTAGAGAGATGTCCTTTCAACAGGTCATACAGTGAAAAGATCACCGTATTAAGGTACTTCAGCATCTCCGGTTGCACGGTGAAACCCAATGCGGGATGTAGAGCATCGTCTTCACTCCGTGCAGCGGTAGTTCCTTCGAATGGTTGATTAGAGTTCAGCCTAGACGCTGATTTATAGATCGCTTGTAACTTGTCGTACGCAGTCAAGGCACGTTTGATGTCTCTTGCTGTGTTGGATTCCACCTCCGAGCTGCGCCAATGTTTCAGTTCCAAAGACTTTGATATGTGTGACACCAGCTTTGTGCGCTGGCATACCTCAAGTCATCGACATCCAACAACAAATCAACATATCGTTTGGCAAGCTTCAGCCTCGAGAGCTTTGTCTGAGCTTCCATAAGAGTCTCCATATGGTGCTCTCCACGCGGAAACGCCTCCACTTTCCGAAGTAGAGTCTTTCGTCGCCCCCGCAACTGTTCTAACCGCGCTTGGGCGGAACGAGTGTCTGAACATACTTGCGAGAGACGAACTGGGCCACTTTTCGAGAGTTGTGATGCCTGTGGAAAGGGGATTGAGGATTTTTAAACAAGCGTTTATTGTGAAGTAAGAACGCACCACTCCGGCCAGCTTGAGCCGCTGGTCCTCCAAGTCGGCTGTGAATTTCGGCAAGTCGGCCAAGGACGAAAGGTCTGCCAAGCGCTCGTTGAGCAGTGCGCTGACTCTGGTGGCCACTGCCATCTTGAAGGACAAGCTCTGTATTCCGAAGAAAGCTAAATTGTCGACCGCAGCCAGACCGCAATTGGGAGATCTTCCCTGCGGTTATGCCCCATGTGTCATTGCGATGTCATGGCCAACGCGTCCCTCGGGCGTCCTGCAGACTCCGACCGACTTCCACAGCCTCATAAACCTCGGCATGTACTGTACTCCCTCCATCCTCGCCCCCGGCCCACATCTACGCAAAACGATAAAGCATGTCTTCCATATATAGGCTACAGCAATGGGTGCAGCGGATACTTACGGCCTCACAAGCAAAGTCATCACACAATATCAGGACGTTGCACGGGGCATATCAGATCCAGGCGGAGTTCGCGCTATCTACCACCGTGCGAAATGACCACCGCTATCATCCCTCCGCTTGGACGGGGAGTGTACAGCATCTCCGTCAAGAACAGCAGCTCCGCCAACGCGCCGACGGCCTTCAATCTGGACGGCCTTCGAATACTGAGATATCCACCTTACCTGCGATCCTGATACTCCACGGGTCTCCAGGAGGCATTGACTCGGCCCAGTGGCATGCGCGAGCCATTTCGACCTTTGCAAGTCCTTCCGCACATCCTTTCGGTCTGTTCGCCCTCTCACGGCCGGGATACCTCTCCTCCGGTCCCGTTTGTGCGTCGTTTGCGGAAGAAGCGGACGTGATCATCAAAACGCTCGACGCTCTAGGCCGGACTGCACCTGTGGCGGTATTGGCAATATCCGGGTCTGGTCCGCTCGCCCTGACACTAGCAGAGAAGTTTCCCGACCGCATCAATGCTGTGTTGATGCTGGACGCTATCACAAAGCGGGTACCATGGTCCCACACGACGCTAGCAGCGTTAGCGATGTTTGGAACAGAATTACCCTCAAATACGTTCGCATACCGCGCCGCGACGAGCGGTAACGTCCGTGACAATGTACAGAAGCTGCTCGGTGAAGAGGCTCTGAAGGAAGTTGAGACGGACAAAACCGTGCGGCACTTTTTCCGAGACTACAGCGCTTGCTATGCATTGGGCTCAGTGCGGCGGCCAGGATTCTTTTCCGACATGAATAGAATAGCCAACATGGACGATGAACCACATTGGACGGGGGTCAAAGCTCCAATATTGTGCATGCACGGCCTGAAGGATGATCTGGTATCAATAGCGCACCCGGAGCACTTGCTGTCAACTGCATCTACACAAGATAATGCCAAGCGGTTGATGCGGTTTCCAGATGAGAAGCACATCCTGCCATTGAAGCAGACTAGCCGGGCGATAACAAAGTTCTTGGAAGAGACCGTATGGTAGTGCTGATACCTGATTCTATATACTAGGCAACCGTATGTACATATGTATACTGTATGCTGTTGCAATAAAACCCATCCTGATACTTGGCCAACATTTCCTTCGAGCGGGTGGAAAGCCAGTGACTTCGTCTCGTCTGATGATGGTGAATCAGGGGCCAAGCGACGCTAACTCCAAAATCCGCTTGTTGCTCCTGCGGTCCTGTGCAGTCCCAAATCCTAACGCTATGACACATCTGGGACCGTCACCAGTGGTCAGATGCCACGGCCAGCTTGTGCCGGCACGGAAAGCCGTTGCAATCGTTTTGCCTTAGAAGAGATGTTCCCCCTCACATGGAGCGCACCTCTTAACCCCAAGCAGCCGTCGTTGAATAGTTCACTATCAGATTTCCTTCCGCCCCGAAGCACTATGAGCAAGCATGCGATTGTAACGGTCAATATCGGTGCAGAAAGTATAAAAAAGCACATCAGAGCGATGACATCCACATATCCTACTTTGTACAAGTTTCCGACGATTTCGTCAGGAGCTGGTGCGAAAGAGCTGTTGACGTACAGGAACTATCCAACCAATGTCAAGATTCTGCCAGATCTGAAGCCATATGAGAAGCAGCCCTCTTACGGGGCATCTCTCTTACCAGAACATCCTGTGGCTTGTAGTTGAGCTCCTTCTTCAAGAAGTTGATAACCGTCTGGAACTTCTGCGACGCGGAGATTTTGAAGAAGGCCTGCTTCAAGATGGGTGCGCTTCCCGTCGCGCGGAACCTAACTACCACTATACCGTGAAAGGCAGACTTCTATTTTAGCCGCCATTTTCAGCTATTCCGCGCAGGAGGGTAATATCTTGTGCGGAGATAGTGTACCTTTCGTTGCAGCCGCACTCGCAGAGCTAGGCCGCCGTGAGGGCGGGCTTGGCAAGGTTGCAGCGACTGGGGTTTCTGGCGCGTTTGCACTCATTGAGAGACTAGGGTGTTGGGTTTGCCGGGTGGAGGGATGGTGAGAGGGAACTACCTCACAAGCTTCCGCTACGATGAAGAGCAGAAGGCTTATGGCGACATGGGGGTCGTTGTGGGGTTCAGCTCCTGAATGTCGAAAGCCGCATGTCTGAGCAGTGCAGGGTAATGAGGGGTAACGCGGAAAACGCGTGAATAAGAGCGATGTCGACTTGCTTGCGAAGTCGAAATTTGGACGGTGCGCATCGCAAGGTCGAGCCACTGAGCCTGCGTTCACAATACCTAAGGATTGTATCTCCCCCGGCACCGCGGTCGAGAAGTCTTGTTATACTAGCTACCTAAAGGCACTCTCCAAATTCGGTCGTTTTCTGGGCCTCCCGCGCTGCGACTTGTGTTGCTCGGGTGTCCGAGCTCGTGGCTATGGGGGACGTACGGCAACAGCTGAATCATCAGCTATTTGTTGGGTTTGGGGAAGCGGGAATAGCATCCCAAACACAAGGGAAAGACACGCGGTCCGCAACCTCCGAAGGAGGTGGCCCGACGGATAAGCTCAGCGAAAAGCTGGTCCTCAGCGTGAGGGTGTCTGAAGAGTCGAAAAAAGGCAAAGAGAAGGACAAGGATAAGGACAAGGACGATGATGGGGCAAAGCGGGGGAAGTCTAGTAGAAAGTTTCGATTCATATGCATCACTGGTGAGCATCGATGATGAACTCTTCGTTCGAAGGCGGACTGTCGTTGATCCAATGTCGTAAAGTGAAGAAGAACATGAAGATCCGCATACATAAGGTCAAACAGAGCAAGGGAGGGAGCTTCACCGTGAGCAAGACATGGGGACTAGACGACATCAAATCTATCGAGTCCATCGAGGTACAGGCAGTAGCTCTCAAGCTTCCAAATATGCGGCTGAACGTCATCGTCAATAGGACACACAAGTGCTGATTAACTTGGGAAAGCCGTATCAGTGGCGCCTCGATGACATGGAGAAGAAGATAGAGTTTCTTTTCACTCTGGCAAAGGTGCTCATCAGGTCGAAATGAGCAAGCGCGAGCATCCGACTGATGCGTATCGTAGCTCTGCAGGAAGTACCTGAAGAAGCAACCGAAGTTCATCAATGTGGAAGAAGATTCTCTGAGACGTATGTTGCGGTCTTCTTCTTGGAGCGGTAAAGCAGTGGTTTGACCGCAAAGGCCTCTTCAGAGCAGATGCACTCGGACACCAGTTTCCTCAGTGCCACGGAAAAGGAGTTTACGAATACTATGGCTGCTATCTCGAAGCGGGGGAAGGACGACGTGGTGGCTGAGGAGGATGAAGCAGATGACATCCTTGCCGAAGACCGTGAGTGACGCAGCAGACCGCTCTCATGATTCCTTTCACGCTGACGCGGGGACCCCAATCTAGCGGTCTTACCACTCATGGAGCTCGATGGGCCAAACATAGACCTCGGGGAAGTCCTGGTAAGACTTCGAATACTCAGAAAACGACATTATTCATGCACGGAGTCTGATAACTTCCGCTGAATTGATAGAATGACTTCGATTGGGAGGCCAGTGGAGACGCAGCAGCCCTTGAGACGAGACTGGTTACGGAATTGCAAGCCTTGGAAGCGGTACGTGGAACGTGGACTCGAGAGATGACATTTCACTGCAGCGGACCTGACATTGAGCCGCAGGCGAACGTACACGCCATAATAGGCAGTGAAGAACAAGCGAACCTCGTAGTGGATCAACTCGATCATGCTATCCTGCAGCTCGATCAGATTGATGAATGGATCTCGCATTATACCCAGCTTCTTGATGTAGGTTGGATATGCGCCATACATGCGCGCTGCTATGCACACTCTGAAGATTGATGTCTGCAGAGCATGGGACAAGATGTCCACCAAATCGAAATCCGCCACAAAGGCATGCAAATAGCGGCTGCGAACCAGAAGGCCTTGCTGAAAGAAGTGGAGAGCATTCTGGTACTTTCCCGTCCGAACTTTGGGACGTGGTCACACCCAGGGCTGATGTGGTTCGACAGGAAAGCTTGCGGCTTCCCGCCTATATTTTGGATATCTTGCGCAATGAGCCCTTGACGGACGTCGATGGGATAAGTCAGAGCGAAGATGCAGTCAAGAAGCTCAAGGAAGTCACGCAGCGGAAGATAGACAGTGGTACGTTACCAAATGCGCCGCTTCGCTTCTTTCACATCCTAACTTACGGAACCATTACCAGATGTTTCATCGCTACAGGCGATCAAAGAGCGTTTAGCTTTCCTCAATTTCCACGCGACTAGCTTCGCAGTCCGGTTACATGACTATCTGAATGGGTACTTTGGCACACTGGTAAGTGGCGCAACACGCGGAGCTTTCGCAGTGATTTTGACTCTGATCGCGGTAACAGACAGACGCATATCTGCACGATAAAGCTCGGACATCAAAGAAAGGAGATCTTAGACTGCACAACCATGATACGCTGGAAGAGAAGCTGTATCGGTTCTGCTTCCTGCTGAGGTGGCTGAAGACTGTCGATACCCGGAAGCATTACAACCTGCAAATGGTAACCTTCTGCCCTGACTCAATGGACTTCCTGTCTCTGACGCATAAATCGGTATCAGTCATACGTCCAGGAGATCGCCCGGGTTTACAATAAAGAAGTCCATGACTTTGTGGAACAGCTGCGAACACACCATATACATCGGCGGACGGAATCAGAGGAGCAGGACTACGGTAAACCGAGATTTCCGTATTATCTGGTCCTAAAGCGGAAGCCTCATCTTTGCTCTACCATGTAAAGTATTCTCCCTCCCATTGGTATCGGTCTCGTCCGCTGCCACCAATGCCATCAAGTCGGCAATTCCATTCTCTAAGGCATCTCATGGGACCCTGCCCACGGACAAGCCAGCACGGAGCGGCCGAATCAAGGGCGCTCCATGGAAAAGCCGACATCGCGATGGCGACCCGGATACCCCGGAAAATGATGGTGATGATGTTGCTAGTCTTCGCAGACGGGGTTCAACTGCGACCCGAAGCTCCGTTGCAGGAAACAGCGTTCTCAGTTTAGACATTGGTGGAGACGAGAGAATGCCCCCGGATGAGGTCCGAATCAGCAAGTGCTTTGCCGGACCCTATGCCGCCTCTGAACATCGCATCATTTCCAATCTAGGCATTGAGACACACTCTTTCGGTCCTACTTCCCGTCATGGTGCGCGAGCAAAACTTCATCACCGATCTGTTTAGTCTGCACAAAGACGGCGAAGATCTGGCAGATCCGCAGGCGCCAACAGCGGATCAACCAATTGAGCGGATCCATGACTGGCAGGACTCGTTAGGGCAGCCACGGCCGCAGAACAATGATCTCAAGCTCAATAAGCGGATCCAGTAAGTCTAGGGAACGTCCCTAGCAGAATTAACGTTAATGGATGAGAAAACTGATGCGGGAATGTAAAGTGAACTCCAGCAGGGCATCTTTAACGACGTGCGCGCCGAGGTACTCGGCACTCTGGACTTTGCCCTCAAAGGAGACCAAACCTACGCTATCGGGATGATGGTTGCAGTGGAAGATTTTGTCGACGACTATAAGGAGACGTGCCATTCGTACTTGATGGAAGTCCTCGATGATATCAACAAGAAAGTGGGAGGTGTCTTTGAAAAGTTTCTGGTGTGTACGGCCGAATTGTGCGGACTTTGAGTGAGCGCGAGATGCACGATTGCTCAACATTCCGCCTTCGTAGGAGGAACAAATCAAAGCCATCGACGAAAGCAAAACCACGCTCAAGAAGCGGAACGGCATTCTATCCTTTGTACGGACCTTCCCGGTATGTTCATATCTCCCATCATGTCGCGTGCCCGCCACTTCTTAAACTCAACCACGACCCCATATCACCAACAGAAATTCGTCCAAAGAGTGGAGAACATCCTCAACGGCTCCACAGGAAATGCCCAACGCACAATCAACCAAGCCTACGCGCGCATCATCAAGATGATTTTTGAGACGCTTGATACGATGGCACAACAGGTCACTGTGGACGTGAAGGCGGCGCCGGATGACAAGGAATCGCTGAATATCCATATTCTGCATGTTGGTGAGTCCCGCCCAGTTTTAACAATGCGGAGCGACGGATACACCATAGCGTACTGACTGCCATGAGAAAAACAGAAAACATGCACCATTTCTACTCGTTCATCAGAGAAAGGAAGGTGCCCAGCCTCGATGTATATGTCAAGCAGGCGAAGAGCATCTACGATGTGCACCTCGATGCGTACTGTAAAGTCGTGATTCGCAAGCCGTTGGGGAGATTATGGGTATGCAGACCAAATCGCTCAGTATCAAAGCCGTCTGGTTGAAAGCCCCTTTCAAATTTTTACACGCCGTTTCTCTATCGTGCTTTAGGATTTCTTCGAAGGTATTGAAGGCCTTCTGAAAACCAATACGCCAGAGGAAATCAACTACCACATGCAATACAACAAAGGGGCGTTGAAGGAAGTCGTTCGGAAGTATCCGGGGAAGGAGGTGCGTTTCACACCATATCTCGAGCTACTAGCGCATTGATTCTCACTCCTTCCTACACAGATAAAAAAGGGTCTCGAATCCCTTTACAAAAAGGTCGAAAAGCACTTCACGGACGAAGAAGGCCTCCTGCAAGTCGTCTGGCGCGGCATCCAGGAGGAAACTGCCAAACGATACAAGCGCTACGGGGAGCTCATCGAACTGTGCTACCCAGAGACTGTCACGAAGCTGGAGTTTACGATGGATGAGCTGCTGGGATACTTTTCGGAGTTGGCTAGGGCTCATTGAGTATGAGACGAGCGACCTTATTTTTTGGGATGGGGGTTGGCTTTTGGCCGTTTTTGAAGAAGGTTGTGTATTTACAATGAAATATCGCTGTTTCGTTGAAGCTATATGCAGAGATTGTAACCAAGTTCAGATTCTTGTTTATTGGAGTGGTCTCCCCACGCGTCCGCAGGGGAGAGCTATGGGCAGCACAGCTCGGTCGACGCATCGGGACTTGAGCGTGTGAGCTTCTGATTCACTCTTGAGACTGCTAGGACGGTTTTGTCGCTTGTAGTTGCTTCTCGATAGCGTTCACCCATAACTGGGCATCCTCAGCGTTCACCGTCTGTATTTTGGATATACTCAATCAGCGAAACTATCCGACAAAACAAAACCAAACACCCTTGGCCCCAGATCGCCTTTCCACAACATACCTCAAGGTAATACGTCCGCTTCGCCGTATGCACAAAGAAATGCCGCGGGTCCTTCAGTTCGACTTTCAGCTTATCAATCCACGGTATCTCGCTCTTCGGGTGCGGGCCCGATTTGGTCTCGTCAAAGAAGAGCAAACGCGGTAGATCGGTCAAGACTAGGCCTCGCTTCTTGGAGAAGAGACCTTTACGCTGTTGTATTCGGTAAAGGGGTCAGTCGGACATCTGTTGCTAACGCAAATGCGGCGAACCGATACCTTGTGCACAATCCCTTCCATCAGAATCACTTCCGTGGGCGCCACCACCAGTGGCCGCAGCGGCGACTTTGCCTGCTCTTTCAAGGTCTTCAATTTATCCGCGCTGTCCGTACTCGGGATCTCCTCGAAGGGATCTCTCGAGAGCTCAATGTCGCCATGGAACTGGCCCGTCCCAGTCGTCAAACACGCCAGCTCACTCGTCAAATCCTCCATATTGTGATCCGATGTCGCCGGCAAGAATGGCCGGAGGTCCGGTGCGGTCTGAGATGGGAGATCGTCCCACACAAAGTCGGCAAAGAAGGGGTGTTTGCGAAGGTCGGCGAGGGAGGGCCGCGCTGCTGCGTCGAGGACGAGTATGCTGCTGACGAGGTCGCGTGCTGATTCGGGGAAGCCGTCGGGGAAGGTGTAATCGAGCTTAATGATCTTTTGGAACGTCTGATACTCGTTCGCACCCTTGAACGGCGGTTTGCCGGCCAGGAGGTGGAACAGTATGCATCCTATTGCCCATATATCGGATGATGTGGAGGCAGCGCGATTGTTCAGGAGTTCTGGAGAACAGTATTCAGCTGTTCCTACGAAGGAGTTGCGCTTCGTGTCAACTTTCGTTTCCTGATCATCGTCCAGTATCTTTGCCGTACCAAAGTCTGTGATCTGACGAACTGAAATCAGCATTAATCCCAGCAAAAAACTGTGCGAGGATCAGTCCTAGGGTCTCCCTCCCAATATGTTGCCAAGCCCATCCTCGCAGAGTGCAATCCATCCCCGCCCTGGATCCCCAACTGCATTCGAATGATCGGCATACCTTGATGTGCATCCTGTCGTCCAGTAATATGTTCTGCAAGATTGGGAGCTATGAGTATGCGACACTATGGAATGCCGTCGGGCAAACCTCCATCTTCCACACCTCTGGTTTTAGATCCCTATGTATAACATTTATGCTATGCAGATGCTCCACTGCCTCTATGATCTCCGCGACGTAAAACCTCGCATCCTCCAGCTTGAACGACCCCAGTTTCCTGATAAACCCCAGCAAATCGCCATCCTTTGCATACTCCAACACAAAATACAACGAATGCGCATCCTGAAACGTATAGTACAGCTTCACAATTAACGGATGCGATAAGCGATGCAGCACATCCTTCTCGATGTTGACGTATTTGATCTTTTTCTCTTTTATGATGTGGTGTTTGTCGAGCACTTTGACCGCGTATTCGCGTTGGGTGGAGATTTCCTTTGCGTAGAGGACGGTGGAGTAGGAGCCTTCGCCCAGGACGCGGCCAAAGACAAAGTCGTCGGGGGTGCGTTTCCGGGCGGGGTCTTCCTTTTCGACGGAAGCTGCCTCAGCCGCCCCGCTGCTTTTACGTGAAGTGTGCGGAGAAGACTCTTTTGACGGGTGTCCTGCCAATGTGACGAGTGTTGAGCCTTGGACTCTGCTGTGCTGAACAAGAAAACACAGCTATCTACCTCTCATTACGAGCCCAGGGTCGTCGACGGAGCTACCGTTCGACGGTAAGCTCATAGCGACCGACGATCTTCAGTGACAAGCAAAGTAGGTCACCAGGGGTAGGAAGCGTCGCCCGCTGTCACTCTCTGTCTGCTGGCCCTAGAACGCAGGAAAAGGGACGTCTGGCAAGCGGGCAGGAGCCGTCTTTCTAGCCAGCTGTAGCGTAGGTATGTGTTATGAAGAGGCAGCGAGGGCTCAGTGTCGGTTTAAATGTCGAGCGAAATGCCATGTCCAGAAAGCGACCTCCAGGACAAGGAAACGTCAGTTGGCGACGCGTCTCGTCCCGGCTCCCCCTGCGTCTCCCCTCCTTCTTCTCACCTCAACTTCAACTCAGGCTTCAGACGACGACGGCTTTCCAGTCCAACATCACCGCAAAGGGAAGACAGGCCCAGCGTCCCGCCATGCCCACTCAGCTGCCTCCCTCGCCACAGCGGGGTGCGCCAAGCACCTCCACCTACACCTCACAGCATCCCACGGGAGGTGGCCGCAGCGGCACGTCCATCTTCAGGACCGCCTTGCAGAAGATCACACTCTACTTTACCTCCCTCACCCTCGGCACCACCATCATCATCGGCCTCTGCGTCTTCATCCACCTCCTCAACATCCTATTTTCCCTCACGGACAACTTCTGTCTGCAGTCGCCGGCCTACTTCAGCTCGCCGCTCTCCAGCTTTCCCAAACTGTTCACAAACCACTTTACGCATACAGATATCTTCCACCTCATTGGAAACATGTTTGTGTTTCCGGCAGTGGCGGGTCCACTGGAGCGGGATTTGGGGACGTTTCAGTTCCTACACGCCGTCGGCATAATCCTGGCTCTTGTCGCCAGCTTTCTGTACATTATCGTTGGCGGTGTGATAGGCGTGATCATCAAGGCTATTGGACAACAGTGCTCGTTGGGCCTATCTGGGCTGATATTCGCGTTGATGACCGTCGAAGCCTGGCAGGGCAGGCCGCCGTTTGAGCATGTACATATCGGATCATGGGAGATCCTGGGGCATTATCTGCCCTGGATTATCTTTGGAATTTCATCCATCATATATCCCTGGAGCTCGTTCGTGGGACATTTGACTGGGATACTTGCTGGGATACTATGTAAGGAGACGAACTCGGTCCCGTCCGTAGTCTCCTCGAAAGCTGACCCTTTCGTCATATCAACCTCTCTTGCAGATGGAATGGGGTTCCTGGACATCTTGCTACTGCGACCACGACAGCTGGCGGCCCTACGCGACGCGCGCATCTTCAGCGGGCTCACGCGAAGACGCAACTTTGTCGACACGCAAGGTTCAGTAGCACTGCCCACCACCTCACCGGGCGGATCGGCGCGGGTATTGAATCCATTGTGAGTTAGACTGCGTTACGCGGGGTGCTCCCTCTTGCACGCGTGTGCCACTCTCCGCATGACTTACTTATTGCTTCCAAACTGCCATTCCAAAGCGGCGGCAGCAGCAGCGCACCCAACCACAAATCGACAACATCCGGCAGCGGCTTCTTCAACAATTTCACTCGAAACGGCAGTCAGGCACGCGGCGGTCCGTCATACACCTCCCTCTCCGATGACGCGCTCCTGAATAGCGATAACGACCCTCTGCTATGGGATGAGGAGCCGGCCGGGGTGGGCATTGTGGATGATATTGATGAGGCTGTGCTGGATTTAGAGGGAGTTGATGGGCTTGATGGGGAGGTGGAGGGTGGAGGAGCGAGTGGTGATGGAGCGGCATCTGTGGTTGTGGAGACGGGCGGGGCTGATGCTACGCCAGCGGCACTAGGGAAGAGTACGAAAGCGGAGGGGCCGCCGTTGATATGATCTGCGACTCGCGAGACTTGAGTCTACTGCGAGCTGAGAAAGCCGGGACTTTCCTCAAAGTGACAAGGTCGTACTCAGGCGTGCAGCGGACTACTCTGCGAATGTTCCAACCCTAAACAGTCGCGCAGACCACCTACAAACGACTTTCGGTGAGCTTTGGAGTTTGTCAATGGTGGAGCTCTGGTTTTTTCTGCCAGTGTACATACATAAGAAGAGTTCATTTGAAAATACGTTATGAATGGATTCTGTGACACTAACCGAAGATTCTGCTTCAGAAGCACTAATGGAAGCGCCTGTGAAGGCTGACGCGTACGGTTTGGAACGCGTGGCTTAGCCCCGGAATCTCGGAGCTCTCGAGACGAATGCCTGGGTTCTGGAAGCCGCCAACGCGAAAGTGCTGGATGCTGGTAACATCGCTAATCACAATCCATGACGGAGACGCTATAAAACGTTAAAAAGCCTCCATGGAAGTCTGGAAGGCTGCACGCCGCCGTTCTGCCCGCAAGCTTGGCAAACAGACAGCATCGCATCTGCAACACCATCGTCGGCGAAGAGGCTAGGCCGACCAGTAGATAAACCCACAGGCGGGAACTGAGGGACAAGCCCTGAATAGCACGCTTTAGCGAAAATGGGAGCATATTGGAGTGCGTTTCGGGCCGCAGAGTAAGTCACCGTCAGAGTGTGCCTTGTCGCGCATCGTATCAGACGACCTCTCTACTTATACTTCTTCTCCCGCCGCTCTGTACTCGCTTCTCATAGTCCGGACGTTTATCTTGGTATGTCTTTTTGTTCGAGTCTCTACATTTAACCCAGTAGTGAATCGTCGCGCTAAAGCATTTCTTGCACAAACAAACAGGTTACACAACCTACAAAGTTGTGAAAGTCAAAGACAGATATCTAGGGCTTCTCTACTATGGCTCCAGTACCTGCATCTTCGCCTATATCCTGTGGAATATCTTTTCGCAGGAACTGTATCTGAAAAGGTCTGCTCCGACTGCCGGTATGTGGATGCGACAGAGGAGGTGGATTTGAGAGAATATGGTCGGGACAAGGAGGCTCATGGTGAACGACCTCATGCACAGGCTATGTCAGATCAAGCGCGAAACTCGCAGCGGGCCTGCCGGATCCCGCGTATTGCTCGGTCACGCCCGTCCTGGAGGCCCGAACCGCCTTCGGAGGCTGTCTCCACTGGCCCGCTGAACGGATCGTCTTCCCCTACGACGGCGAGCTGGGCACGCTGTTCATCACCACCCGGGTTACGCTAACCCAGACCCCGCCGCCCGTTGCGCCCTGCACCAACTATATAACCGACCCGAACTGCCGCGCCCCGTCCCTCGATGAGGTCAAGCAGACTGCCAACTCCACCACCTTCTACATCGCTAACGTCGAGGACGTCAGTCTGCGGCTTGACCACGGCGTTCTTGTTCAATTCGGCTCGTCCCTTCTCAGCCCTGAATCCAAAACCATCCCCGCCGTGAGCATGGAAGGCAAAATGGAAATTTGCCGTGGCCGGAACGCATCGTTGGAGCAGCGATTGACGTGGGACTCTGCGTACCGTGCCAACAAGAGCACGACGAATCATCTGGATACCTTTCCGTTGAGGGATTTGCTTGCGGCCGCGGACTGTAATACTAAAGATTGGGGCTCGTTGGAGCAGGAGTCCACTGCGGATGGCGCTCAGAAGGGGGAGTCACTGAGGACTAATGGATTTGTCATCTCCTGTAAGTACTTTCTCGCGATGTGGGCGGAGGCGATCCTGCCAAATTCGCCGATCACTGACACTGTCGTCCTTGATTCCAGCACCCATCATTTACTCCAATGTCAGAGGGAAGCAGCAATACCGCTACAGTTACAAACCGGAGCGAAGTATGTTTTCCAGTTCTCGAACTTCGATTTACCGCCATGAATCTCATTTTTTCTCACCTCTCTTCCCTCACACCCGCAGTCGCCAACACAGACTACAAAGCCACCGAGTCCATCTTCCAACCCGACGGCTCAATCCTCTACGTCTCCCGCCGCGGCATCCGCGTCGTCTTCGAACAGGACGGCTCCATCGGCGTCTTCGACTTTATCTCCCTCCTCACCGCCCTCGTCGCCGCCACCGCGCTCCTGCGCGTCGCCACGCTCATCGTCGAGTCCCTCATGCTGTGGGTGATGCCCCACCGGCACCTTTACAAGGACTCTAAGTTCGAGTCAACGGAAGATTTCAGCGACATTCGCGACCGGCAGGAGGAGGAGCGGGCTGAGCGAAGACATCGGAGGAAGGTGGCCCGCGCCAACGGCGCCAAACCCAACCCGGACGATATGGTTAGCTCGGACGGCGAGTCGTCGGTACAGAGCGGCGCGACGACGGAACGGAAGGCGAGGGCGGGACATCGGAGGTTGGCGGGGAGTCCCGTGGCGGTCAGTAGTCGGCCGGCGACGCCCGATCAGGCGTATGGGGAGGAGATGAGTGCTGTGGTATATCCGAAGCCTGGTGCGGAGGGGTTGAAGAGGGATGAAGGCGCGTTTGGGAGGGCGATGGCTGGGCATTATTCGGCTGAGAACAAGGTGTGAAGGTGATTGAGCGCCTCAAGGTGGGAGAGCTTCCTTTCGCTGGCCGGGCCAGCAAGGGAATGGACAGTGTGCTTGGGACTTCTGTGACTCTGGACATTGGCGTCTTGCTTTTGATTCAGCCCTTCCTCTTTTACGCGGACTTCCGTTGTTCCTGCGGTTCCCCTCCTATTGTTTGTTTCAATTGTTGTTCAGTACCCTCATAATACCGTTTCCATATCCATTAATGTCACCGTCTGCGGCGGCGCCGTTTCTCGGTTTCTAAGTGTGTTTGTGCCTTGCGTAGTCCGTGAATCAGGCAGGGTTATAGAATCAATAGACCAATAGAGTTGACCGCCAACTTTCGTTTCCTGATTCATCAATATTCACGACACAACGGTCATCGACCTCAATGGAATCGTCCGGGCTGGTTAGCTGATGCGCAGTTGTGGTGAACTTTTCTAGTCTCCTTAGATAGTTAGTATCCCGTATTTAGCTATTCCCACCCGCGATGGCACATGGACCTGCGTGCATCGCAAGATATGCGACATTACTTCTTGTATGTTGTAGAGTTGACCAGAAGCAAATATGAGAACAAGAACTTCTATTTCCATCGAGTAATAGCGTCAGAATAGCGTCAGGGGGGAGGATAAATTAGATGTGTGTTGTGTACGCCGTTGCCTGCACGTTGTATCCGACTACGATTATGGGTGGTGTATGATGTTATGTGATGCTAGTAATCATGCAAACTTGCTATATTCCACCGACCTGTACAGAAAAGAAGACATTGTCAGCGCCGATTCCCAACAGGAGGTCCCAGCCGTCCTATCCAACACACAATACACCGTACTCACGTGTCAACCGGCGCATAAGTCTTTGACCGCCGTTGCGAGATGAGCTTCATTCCAAAGAAGATCAGGCAGGCCGATACGCCGCCGAACGTCAGTACCAGGCCGAGGAAGAGCAGTGGGGATGCGGGTGTTGGGTCCTGCGTGGATGCGAATGAGGTTTTTTAGATTTATATCTGAGGATTGTGAAATCACACGTGGCGGTTATCTGTATACATACCTCGATACGGGACGGTGCATTCTTACTGACGGCATGCGCCGACTGATGCGGTGCTTTTGGTCGGTTTGTTATGGATTCTATTGCTTCCATGGTGTCGTTTGCTGATGGCGATTTGCCCAACGCCTCGTGCTGCCCTGCTGGCAGTTTCTCAGACACTTTGTCTTGCCCTGCAGGTGGCTGCTCAGCAGACTCCTTTTCCGACGCTGGAACGTGTTTCTGGGATTCCGTTCCATTGGATGACTTCTGCTCTGAAGATGGCTTCGACCAGTCTATTCCCTTCTCCGAGGTCGATGCGTGTCCTGCATTTTGCGTTGCGTTGGTCGCCTTCTGCTGATCGATAGTTGAATGTGATCCTTTCAATTTGTGGTCTTCCTTCGGTGCCGATGTATTGTTCTCGATGTTTGTTGCGTTCGCGCCATGGAGCTTCTTCATGCCAGCAGCTATATCTAATGATGGCTTGACTGGTCGCGGCTTCTGTTTGTTATCCGCGCCCTTCCCTCCCTCTTTCTCCCCCACCGTCTCCTCCTCATCTACCTCCTCGGCACCCTGTTTGTGCTTCTCTTGGTTCACCGTCTCCGGCTTGACCTTGCCCTCGGTCTCATCCAACTTCCTCCTAGCGACAACCTGCGCCTCCACATATTTCAAGACATCGTTGACCTCATCCTGGCCCATGTACTCCTCCACCCGTTTGCCATCGACGAAAAGCAGGATCGTCGGGTACGCATCCACATCGTCGACTTCGCAAAGATGCGAGTTGGAATCCCTATCGCCATTGATGCTGCATTCGATTTTGGCGATGTGCACGTTGGAGGAGGTGTAGTTGCGAGCCTCGAACTCTTGCTGCACTTTCAGCCATTTTGGTGTAAATCTGGTGGGAGTCAAGGTATTAGCTTTTGCGGCACGAAACAGGATATTGTAGCTCACCGCACGTACCTTTGTGTATACGGACACCAGCTTGCGCCGTAAAATAAGCTGGGAGAAGAAGAAAGAGGGGCTTCAGTCTCGAGCAGTTGCGAAAAAAGGCAATTTGAGCAAAGGAGTGCTCACATCCAAGTATCGGCTTCTCTCAAAGCCTCACCGACTTGCCCCTTTATGAAGAATATGCTCTTGTCCGCTTCATCCGCTAGTCGTTTTCGCTCTATCCTTTGCTCCTTTGCCAATCCTGCCTGTACAGCCTGCAAGAAGGCCAGTAGGACAAACGCCAGTGCTGCTAGCGTATAGAGTGCCTGCAATACAGGTCGCGATGTCGCCATGTTTGCCGGCTGACGGAGAAGGTGAACTGCTCTGCGTGCCTTTTCGACTAGACGAGCCGTATATGACTTTTGTTGGGGATGTGCGGTCGTCACAGCGAGAGTCGAAAGGCGTGGGAATGTCAAATGTCGAGTACGTATGCTCACTTTCAGTGAGTTGGCAAAGGCGATTGAATTGAATTGCAAGCGGCCGTCGTTCTTTATTTATTTGAGTGAATGGGCGCCTCCTTAACTTAAGTCTCAAGTCTCAAGTTGAGTCTCAGGTCTTTCGACGGGGTTAAATAGTTGGTCCGGGACCCTGGCTTGCATCGCGCGTCTCATCAGCGGCGGAGTTAAGTTATTATGGGACCATTCCAATTCGCTCCCTCTTGAGTCCTGGCTTGACTCGGGATTCCTTTTTTCCTTCCTAAATACAAGGAACTCTTGATCAACGCTGTTTCACAATCAAATAACCTCGTCACTTCCACAATGTAGAAAAAGAGTCGCGGAGGTTCCGTCGACAACCGGGCCCTTCCTTATACTGTACTTTCCACCCTCCTTCTGTCGTCGCTCTCGCTCGGTCGTCAGGAGCTCTCGCGCTTACAATTCTTGTCCACTCCGTCATACATACAGCAAAAGCGTAGCCAGCCCTAGCATCGCCGGTGGCAACGATTGTTCAGTGCGACGACAGCTGCAATCCACTCGAAGTAACTTTCTCTGGAGAACTGGTCTTGTTCAACACCACACAACATAGCGCAAACACCAACTATGCTACCACCAGGACCGACGAGGCAGATGCTCGCTACAGCTACAGCGACAGCCCTACTCTTCCTCTCAACACCGGCATTCACTAAGCCTCTCGGCTACCCCATCGAAGATCTGACAGTCCTCTCGACGAATCCACCAGCGCATGTCTTCGTCAACGGATCCGGCGTTCCGACCTTGGTTTCCTTCCGGTCCACTGATGCAGAAACTCCGAGCGACATCCTACCCATTACCACCAATTCAAAGTTCCTGTCGGTCATGTCCAGCTTTCTGCCTGAGGACAGCGCATCATTTCACGGTGTAGCGTCACAGAGCGGCACCAACGTCATTCTGGCCGACACGAGGTACAATGTGCTCTATAAGGCGGATGTCGCTACGGGACAGACGAGGCTCCTGTTTGATCCGACACTGTTGCATCAATTTGCAACGAACAAAAGCACCACCGGCGCTCCAAAGACCTCTGCTACAGCGGACAACACCGGTCTGACACGCGGGGCGGCCACATCCGAGGCGCCACCACCCAACATGCCCTTGAGCGGCATCGTCCGCGTCGACAAAGACACCAACGACGTCCTCTTCGTCGGCCTCAAAAACCAAATCTTCCGCGTCCCCGCCACCCGCCCTAACCTCACCGACCAAGGCGACATCATCGAAATGATCTCCTCCGGGTTCGGCCGCTGGCAGGTCGCCGACATTTGCCAAAGCGACCGCCGCATCGTCGTCTCCCTCTTCCGCCCTGGAACAGGGCCCTCGCCAAAGACCGTCCCCATCACCGGCCCGCACGCCAACGGCACCGCCGCACCACGCCCGGGATCCATCTCCGTCGTCGCGAGTTGGACCGTGTATACCGACCGCGCCACGACCCTGTCCAGCGAACGGCCCCGTGTCCTGCGACGGAGGATAATCGGCGCTGCCATCGCGCGACCGCTCACGGGGATGAAATTCGATTGTGCGGGGGATATGGTCTTTATCGTCGACGACGGGCGCATGACCGTGCACAGACCGGGCACGCCGAACCCCGTCGTTCCGGGAGAGATTCCAATGGATGTGTTGGATCCCACCACGGTTGTTGTGAGACCGGGGCTGAGCGTCGTGGTGACGGGGACGTGCGATGGACGGCCCTGTTATGATGAGAAGCCGTGGGCGGAGGTCATGGCGAATGCTGATCCGACCGTGGTCAACGCTCCGGATAATTAATGGCCTATTACCGCACACAAGTTGAGGGGTCTTTCAGGAAGTGTGGACCCCTGTGTAAATAGAATCGTGTACATAGACGTTGCAGGACATGACATGCCTGTCCCCAACCCATCAGCTTGTAAGATTTATTTGCATTATTACTTTACATTCATGCATACATTCATGAAAGAACCCCGGCGCTTTCCCATCAACAGCGAGCCGTCAACCAAAACGGAATCTGCCCATTTATGCAAACATCAATTAGTCGGTTTTCCGAATAGGCGCTCGACACGTATGCCTCAATTCGCGTCAACGCCGCCTAGTTTGGTTTTCAAGGCCACTTCGTTAGAGGCGATGAGTAGACTTGGCGTTCCGGCAATCGGTAAAGATGCGATAGCAAAATGCCGCAAAATGTCGAAACCGAGCAGACACTCGTCGTTAGACTCCTCACTCCAGAGATCGATCCTCAACTTCGGACTCCATTTTGTTTGAGCAGGATTGATGCCAGACACTGTAGCACGGAAACAGGTGCCCGAACCTGTTCCCAGACCCTGGAAGGACACAATTGTAGTAGCCGGATTGCCAAGTTGAATCAAATGATGGTGTTGCAAATCGTGCGCGGACACCCTGTATCAAAACAGACATCCTCAATGCTAAAATTTGTAGCGTGCCCCTTTAGGTTGTCAATTCGTACTTCCAAAGGAACCTGCAGAAGGCAAGTTATAGATATTGCTCAAGAATACAACGAAGTACAAGTGATACCTTAAGCTCTGCCTGGGCACCTGGAATACACGCTACAGCCCTCTTCTTCTCTCCTCGCAGATTTTTGTCATTCACCGGCTGAAAAGCACCACCAGGATGTTCGTCCACCACTTCCATGATATCATCTTCGCTTGGAAAAAAACGGACAATGGACTGATCGTGGATCAGAACCCATTCATCCTCATGCCCGGCAAATGCACCTTCCGACCTAAGCTTGTAAAAGGCGATCAAGTTCTCCACATAGTCCGAGCGGCCTTCCTTCAGCCGTTGGAGAGTGCCAACAATGGATTTTGGAACATAAGGGGGAAATTCTGTCATGATGTTAGCAAAGGGTTTTTGCTTGATATCAGCAAAATACTTTGATTGTACCTTTCTGATGTGCATCTGCTTTGGCTTGTTTCGTGTCTTCGTCAATGCTGGCGTCTGCGATCGGTGAGCTGCTCTAGCTTGCCGCGCGGCTCTAGCTCGGGGAACGGTCCTTGCTTCGTGTGATGCATCCCTCAGAAGACTGTTTTTAAGATAAAAGCATGTATCCGATGGGAAAAGAAATACTGAAGTGTTCCGAGCAAGTCCATTCCCGAGTAGATTCCCGCGGGCATGAAAAAGAAAAAACGCGTTCACAGTCTTCACGGGAGCGCGCGTCCCATATGGACAGTGGAGATGTTGTAGCAAGCTCTCCTCGGTCGGTTGAACACGTTCTCATCTCAACGCGATCTCATCTCGCTCCTGCTGCTTCCGTCAGCGATTCCTTTTGCGTGATCCCCACTCAGCAGCTTTTCGAAACTGGCGGAGCTTTTCTTGGGAGCCCTCGGCGTCGGCGTCGTCCTCGGTTCTTTCTTTCTCAATACTCGGAAACGCACCAGATCGCCGGCCCCAACTGATCTTGACAGTCGGGAAAGAGAACGCACCCCCGACCGCACAGAGACGAAGAAGCGCCCGCGTACCCAACAACCACAGAACATCAAAGAACCGCTTTCCAACAAAATGTCCGTCGTTGGAATCGACTTTGGAAGCTTGAACACCGTTGTGGCCGTGGCTAGGAATCGAGGTATCGACGTGATCGTCAACGAAGTCTCAAACCGCGCAACTCCGTAAGTGCTTCTGGTCATTGGTGGCGGTGCAATTTGGGCTCACGAGCTGAGGCTGGACGTGCCTTCGAAGTTGATCACCACAATTATGTTTTTCCCACGAATTTTTCTCTGCCTTTCTCGATTGTTCATCTCTTCGTTTTCTTTTAGGTCCCTCGTATCTTTTGGTGAAAAGCAGCGTTATCTCGGCGAAAGCGCCAAAACACAGGAAATCTCCAACTTCAAAAACACGGTATCTGGCCTCAAACGCTTGCTTGGCCGCCCGTACTCGGATCCGGATATCAAGGTCGACAAAAAGTTTATCAATGTCAATCTTGTGGAGGGAGAACGCGGCGAGGTTGCCGCATCCGTGTGGTATCAAGATGATCAGCGTCAATACACCTTCACCCAAATCGCGTCAATGTTTCTCACAAAGGTCAAAGAATTTACGAGCAAAGAAATCGGAACGGCGGTGACGGACGCTGTGATATCCTGCCCTGGATGGTACACGGACCATCAGAGAAGGGCGCTTTTGGATGCCGCGGACGTTGCTGGTATCAACATCCTGAAGGTCGTCAATGACACTACCGCGTCTGCTCTTGGTTATGGTATCACGAAGACGGACCTTCCGGATCCCGCTGACAGCAACGTCAAACCCAGGATTGTGGTCTTCTTTGACCTGGGTTATTCATCCACTCAGGTTGCGGTGGTGTCCTATGTCAAGGGAAAGCTGATTGTGAAGGGGACGGCATATGACCGCAACCTTGGTGGACGGGACTTTGATGAGGTGTTGGTGGAGCATTACACCAAAGAGTTCTCCGCCAAATATAAGATCGACATCCAAAGCAACCCCAAAGCGATCTTCCGCCTGCGGCAAGGGTGCGAGAAGGTCAAGAAGATCTTGTCTGCTAACGCGGTCACCGTTCTCAACGTTGAATGTTTAATGGATGACAAGGATGTTTCTGCTCAAGTGCAGCGATCTGACTACGAGGAGTGGGCTGCCGCCCTAGTCGAACGTCTTTATGTTCCCCTGCGATCCGCCCTCGACGCTGCTGGCGTCGGGCCAGACGAGGTCGATTTCGTGGAGCTGGTCGGAGGCAGCACTCGAGTTCCCTCTGTAAAGCAAACTTTGGCGGATCTGTTTGGCCCCGAGAAGCTGTCTACTACCCTCAATCAAGACGAGGCTGTGGCACGTGGATGTGCTCTTCAATGTGCAATGATTTCGCCCGTTTTCAAAGTGCGCGACTTTGCGGTCCAGGACTGGAATGGATACCCTATCTCGCTGTCATGGGATGCTGCTCTTGCACCGGCCCCGAAAGCTGGTGAGAAGGCTGAAACCGTCATGGAAGCCTTCCCCGTGGGCAATGCGATTCCCAGCTCGAAGGTACTTGCGTCACGACCCTGATTTCATACATAGTTCATGGATTAACCATCACTCCTCGTAGATCATGACCTTCTACCGAGTCCTGAAAGACAGCGAGCTGTCCAAGAGCAACGGTTTGGTGGCGCTTGACATCCAAGCCGCATACAGCGCGACCCGCGCCGAGCGGGCATATCCCGAAGGTTTGGGTGCAGCGATCGGCACGTGGACATTGAAGGGTATCAAGAAAGTCGGCGGCACGACTGAGCAGACGGAAGGTGGAGAAGCGAAAGCGATCATAAAAGTCAAAGCACGGTTGGATGGCAACGGGCTGGTAGTGATCGACAGCGCGAGCCAGATTGAGGAGCAGCTAGTTCCTGTGACAGACGAATCGAGAAAGGAGGAGACGAAGAAGGAGGATGGCATGGACATCGACTCACCCTCTACTCCTGATGCCAGCAAGACCAAGCGCCTGATCAAGAAACACGACTTGACCATCACAAACAAAACGGCAGCAGCACCCGTCGAGCTGTTAAACAAATGGAAGGACGCCGAGGGACAGATGGCTGCCAACGACCGTCTCATCATCGATACCGCTGAGGCTCGCAATAACCTCGAAGAGTACGTGTACGACACAAGATCCAAGCTTGAGATGGCGTGGAGCGAGTATATCACCGAAGCGAACCGCGCGGCCTTCCTGAAAAACCTGAATGATATGGAGGAGTGGCTCTACACCGAGGAAGGTGACACAGCGAGCAAAGGCACGTACACCGAGAAGCTCAACAGTCTCCGAAAATCGGGCGATCCGGTCAAGAAGCGGTTCCTTGAACATGAGGAACGCCCGCGCACCGAAAGGCAGCTCCGCGAATACATCAACTCGGCGATCGTCAACACCACCGCGGGAGACGATCGCTACGCGCACATCCCAAAACAGGATCTCGAGAAGGTCGTTAAAGAATGCCAGGCGAAACTCAGCTGGTTGAACGATGCCATTGCGAAAAGCAACGAGACGCCTAAACACCAGGACCCGGCTGTTAGCATCGATCAGCTGCACAGGGAGAGGGAGAGTTTGCATTTGGTAGTGAACCCGATCTTGAGCAGGCCTAAACCGGCTCCTAAGAAGGAGGAGAAGAAGGATGAGAAGCCTGCTACGCCTAAACCGGAGGCCCCGAAAGCTGAAGGCGAGGACGATCGGATGGACGTTGATTAGGTTGTAGAGAGCTTTGTCGCCTTCTGTTCCCGTTCGAGTTCTAGGCACCAGATAGATTTCCGCAACCTTTTTGTATATTTTCCCATGTATCATTATTTTCAATGTGTTAACCCTGTTGACATGACCATGCAACGGTATTTTCGAGAGGACTGAGATGTGATGGCAAAGTCTCCGATCACTAAAAGTCCGCATCGGCCTACATGTACATTCTGACTCACCTGCGGAAGTCATCATCGACGGACCCCTACGCCTATCTAAAACCTGCCTCTACGAACCAAGAACCACCAATAAGCCGCACCCATTGCCGCACCCCCTAAATGCCCCGCCGTATCCGTTCCCCCACTGGTCCCCGTATAACTTTTATACGCATCATACGCCACAAACCCACCAAGCGCAATGATCGCGGGGACGGGGACCAACCCGAAAAGATAGACGCTGGCGCGCGGATACGTCAATGCGAAGAGGAGCGTCACACCGGTGACGCAGCCGCTGGCGCCGAGGGAGTAGGTGGGTGGTCCGCGTTGTCGAGCGGTGTTGACTTGGTTGATTAGCGAGCCGACGGAGGCGGCGAGACCGGAGAGGAGGTAGAGGCCGAGGAAGTTGCGGGGGCCGACTATTTCGATTACCTATGGAAGAGAGTTGGTATACTGTACAATCGGGAAGAGCGGCTGAGCGATGCATGGGTAACTTACGGATGGAGCAAAGTTGTACAACACAAACATGTTGAGCAGGATGTCTTCGAAAACAGGATCGAACCAGCAGGGGCATCGTTAGCACAAGCACCTTGATATGCCCAACCGCCCCTATCCTATAGCACCCCTCTACCGCAACACTCACGCATGAGATTGCTATGACTGAAAGCGCAAGTCAACATTGTCCACCATCTCCCCAGATCGATACAGTTGTGCGCATTCAGCAAGAAGTTCTCCCGCATGAATTTCAACCATTTATGGTCGCCATACTGCTTCGAGTTTGCGTTAGCGTACATCCACATCAGAAACACTGCAGGAAGTCGGGTCAGTTTCACAGAAAGACACGGATGCTAGATTGACGCAAGGGAAGACGAAGAGGACGTACCCACAACGTTGACACTGATAATCCCATATAGCACCGTCTCCCCCGAAAACGGGTCCTTGCCTCGCCCATACGACGCCCGGCCCCAGGTGCTCCCAAACCCTGTGTTTGCGGGTTGATACCAGTTTGATCTGACGCCTCGAGTGTGCGTAGTTGTTGCGGGAGATACAGACAACGGCGTGGCGGGCTTTGCAAGGCGGACGCTTTTGGTAAGGAGAGTGGTGCGTTTGAAAGAGGCGAACGTAAAGTGTACGACCGTTCGAAATGGGTTGCTATTGTTAGAGAACTGTCGGGCGCCGAGTCGACTTGTGATGCTTTGGAAAGTTGGTGGGTTTGTTGAGGGGAAGCATGCCGATTGGCGGTATTCAATGAGTCGAAACGTCACAGTGTGGATGGCAGCTGCCGGTTTGGCGAGGATGGAACAAAACGCTACTTGTGGGCGACGGACGTTGTGTGAAATGAGCGGACTACGAACTGAGCAGCCCCATTGAAGGCTCCGGAATAAGGACATCTCGACAGAACCGCTTGCGCTCAACAGCGCAAGATGTCAGAGATGGATCTCTTCGCCTTCAAGAAACGACGACGACGGAGAAACGTTCGGAACGAGGCAGTGCAGCGTCACGCATACTGTAAGCGCACTCCGATCCTGTCATTTTGTGCGGAGCCCTTATACAGTATATATACCAGGCTTCACACGGCAATGACAAAACGGGCGTTTGCCGAAGTTTCAAGTGATCTTCATTGACTGGCAATGAGCTGCTGCAACAAGACAAACAACATGGCCAGCCCGAATCGGACATTCACACCTCTAAGATGGTCCGTCAATCGCCGGCCGCTCACATCAGAAACAGTTGAGAAAGAAACGCAAATAACCCTTCGCCCGTTCCCTGCAATCTCCACACCTCGACCGTCCCGCACCAGTTCTCGCCGGCGCCAGGGCTTTCCCATCCGTCCCAGCCCCACTACAACCCACCACAGCCCGTCACGGCCAGGCCTGGATCCCGTACACTCCCAGACCGGCTACTTCACAACAGAGACAACCTCAGCCCTCGAAGAAGCTTGGGGCTCAAACACCTGTCCACCGAGGAGTGCGTCGCGGAACTGTGGCGGATCATCTCGCTCGAGGAGCAAAAACTGGAATCCCTCCGCAGAAGGGCAATGTTTGAGCTTGCCGACAAGGCATGGACGACGAAGGCGCGGTTGGCGTTGCAGGCGCAGCAGGAGAAGCTGAACCGGACCCGCAGAGTTGTGCATGGAATGTATGTGGACGACAGCGCGAGGGTGTTTCTGGATGAGGAGGATTTGAGTTTGGAGGCGTATGAGTTGGAATTTAGGGAGAGGCTGAGTGCACGGCTGAGGGAACGGGAGGAAAAACGCGGGAGGAAGGAAAATAGAAGGGAGTGGCGGGAAGGGAGAGCTGTTCGGAAAGAAGAGAGGCGAAAGGCGAGGATTGAATGTGCGGTGGCATGGGAGAGCCATCAGGCAGCTGGGCAGGAGGATGAGGTCTCATGTAGTGCTGAAGAGGGAGCAGAGGAGGTACTCGCAGCTTTGAAAGAAACGGAAAAAGAAGGTATTGCGCTAAACGATGAGACAAGCGGCGAGCATCTCAAGTTTGCGGATATCTCCGCCGTTGCCTGCACGTTGTATCCGACCAATACGAATTATGGGTGGTGTATGATGTTATGTAATGCTAGTAATTTGACGCCGGTCTTTTACGCCGGCGCTACTAAGGTTTCGGATTTCGGATTACACCCCCAATTATGAGAATGCCTACAGTACGTCCGTTTTGGAGGTGCCTGGAAGAAGATTCGGCGCATCCCTTCATTTGTCATTCTCGAAGTTGGTTCCCTTGAAATTCGGTGACGGGAGGTTCTTGGCAATTGATCGACATCTCATCAGGACCTGCCCTGGACCTTCCAGTCTTGAATGTCGCATGAACCCTAACCCTAACCCTAACCCTAACCCTAACCCTAACTCGGAACCCTAACCCTAACCCTAACCTGTTTTCGTGGGGAAAAAGCATACCGGAAAGAAAAGAAAGGGGAGGGTATATCGTGGTATGTGTACTGTACGTAGTCTGCGGATAGTGGTAGGTGCGCGACGAACTGGTAGGTGGGGTTCCGAGACAAGCAAGGGAACCCTCTGCAGCATCCAGAAACGTCGCTACCACCCCACGGGCCAATGCAATGGCGAAGACGGCTTATGGCACATACCCTGCAGCAGAGAGAATGAAGGTGTGAGAACGGCGTAGTTGGAAAGGAGACCCGTTTTAGTTAGCGTGCGCAGTCTCAGAATTCAGGGGTAGAATCGAGATCGCAATGTTGGGAATTACCTCATTACCCATTACCCCATTACCTTGGTTCCCACGGTCCCCCTCGCGCTGCCATACCCATCCTCAATTCCCGCCTCAGTGCCCTCTACAACCATTACCGAGGCTTGCTCCGCTGCATGCACCACCGCTTGCGCCGCCGCTTGCTCGGCTTCTTCTGCTTTTGCTGATGCTCGATGTCTCAGACTCTGAACATGTTGCCGAAACAGGCCGGTTGGTGATCGCTATTTTGCAGGTGGGGCAGACGGCCTTACTGCCGGTGTGCGCTCGTGGAGGTTCCCAATGAACCTCCCCTGGAGGGACCTCGCGAGTTCATGCAATGGAGGTTTGGTGAGAATGTCTGTGGGGGAGAATGTACTGGAAACCTCAGCCAGAGGAGGAGCCTGGGGAATTTCGAGACGTGCCCCGAACTGGAGCTGGGAAGTCTGGGGAAGGTGGGTAGGGTTAGGGTTAAGGGTTAGGGTTATGAGCAAACAAAAAGAACCATCCATGGCCTCCGACGCGTTAAATCCGCGCAAATGGCATTTTCTATTATTGGGGGTGTAATTTGGTCAGGATCTGGCCAGACGGCACCAGACACGGAGACATCCCCCACCACCCCTCTCCACCTCCTCGTCCCCCCCCATTCGCAACTGCCACATTCTTCACCCCTACACAAAGTCACAAACCCTCGCTAGGGCGGGCTCCGTCCCGGACGCGTCCCATCCCGGGTGTCCTCAACCTGCCTCGCGTGTGCTGTATCCAAACCTCCAGATTCACACTACGTATGTACCTCCCTATATCTCTATACAGCCTGTCACAAATTCCCTGCCCTCAAACTCTATCCAACCCCGCCTACTTCTCTTCGCATTTGTCCTCACGGCGACATGCACGATTTGCTCTCTTCGCCGCTAGGGAAATTGAGGACACCCCGGATGAGAATTGGTCTCCTGCTGGTACTTTCCGCTTTTGTCACAGGGCTACTGCTGCTCGCTTCCCAGCTGTGTCCATCATCGAGTTCATTCGAAGGTCGGGTGGGTAGTGATGTTGTAAAGAGGTAGGATCTCATTTCCGTGGTTAACTGTTCTCTCTGCGCCTGTGAGCGCTTGCTCACGTACCGTTTTCCAGTTGCCACGAAAACGGGCGGGCCAGCTACGCGCAGCATGCGGAAGCTTCCACACGAGTCCAGGCCCAGTCAGAGTCTGATACGGTAGCCCACCTAGACGCAACGGCCCCTTTCCACGAGGAAGTTGCAGTCCGGAAGATCCCGCGCATCTTCCATCAAATGTGGATTGGGGATGCTACGGAGATGCCAAAAGGCCCCCTCAGATCGTGCAAGCGCATTCACAACGACTCCAGCGGCTGGAAATATATCCTATGGCAGCCACACACCCTGCTGAATTTCTTCCACTCAGGAGACCTTGATCCGCAGTTCACCGATTTCGTCAAAAATAAGCTCCGGCTGCTCGAATACAATCTGACGTCTTCGGATCGCAAAAGCCTACTGCGTGCAGCCGACGTGTGGCGGCTTGTTGTCTTACATCACTACGGTGGCGTCTACGTTGACGGAGACGGCCAATGCATCCGCTCATTCACTGACCTAGTCGAGAATGACAACGAGGGCCGTGAGTGCTTCATCGGCTACGAATCCAGCACGTACCGAGGAACGTTGCGCGCGAACGGCATTATGGGTTGCGTTCCCGAATCTGTCACCATTCAATATACCCTGGACGCGATTCACGCCAATGATGCACTGCGGGTCCCTGGTGAGGCCTGGGAGCTCACGGGCCCGAAACTCCTTACGGTCACAGGTGAAACTTTGGAAAATGAGCTGCCGTGGCGTCGGCTGCGGACGGAACACGGACAAAAGCTAGGCTACAAAGTTTACCCGTCAAGCACGTTCCTACCGGTCCATTACACCGACAAGCAGAACGGGATGACGCCCGAAGAAGGTTTGCAGCGAGCGAAAGATCTCGGAAGTTATATGGTGCACTTATGGGGAAGCACCTTGGACGCTTACATGGCCGAGGATGGCGATGCATGAATCCGAGCCGTCTTTCTGATGGGCACAAGACGACTGGGAAAGGCAGTGCTCCCGAGGCAGTCCTCATTCATTAACTTGGCAACTCTTTCATTGTCGCTTGGAGCCCTGCCGCCTAACCTCAGATATCATTCCATGTTCCTTGTTGGAGACGTGCAACTACCATTATGTATAAGAGTAAAATCTCTTTAATATTTCTTTTTTGAAAGATAGTGGGATTACTTCCGAAGGGAGGGAGCGATAAAGAACGGCGCATGCTAAATACCCGCCCAGTGAGTTCTTGAAAATCGACCTATAAGCAACTTAGCATACCTTGAAGGTGTGGCACAACCACCCGATTAGCTGCGTGCGGGTTAGCCCGGGAGGTTTCTGTGGTTATGTGCTAATGCTCGGCCTAGCCGGCTAAATATCCGTATACTGTGTTTTAATCGAGGCGACAAAGCCTCCAAGGAACTCTATTGAGACGGTGTAAAGAACTCGTTGTACTGTACGATGAAGAATGATATTTTGACTAGAGAGCAGGAATAGGATCCAAGGAACTGTATTGAGACGGTGTAAAGAACTCGTTGTACTGTACGATGAAGAATGATATTTTGACTAGAGAACAAAAACGTACGTACAATCGACGAGCAGATGCTCAAATATGGGAAGAAAAGAGATAAACTGTCTAGGATCCCAGACAGACGGGACAAGGCTACGTAGAGTCCCCGCCCTCTCCACCGTCGCGCTTGCGCGCTCCGGCTGCACGTTCAAACACATCGTGGAGCTTCTCCTCCAAACAGCCCCCGCGCGTGATGCTCGCTGCAAGGCTGCAAGGACTCCGCGGGCTTCCTCCTGGTCTCAACAGCCACGGACACAGGGCTGCATATACTGTATAGCCGAACTCTTGCATAGCCGAACCGCCCATTGCCGAAGAGACTGGCCTGTTCACCTTGTCGTCACTCTCACCGAACGTGTGACAAAGGCGGACCGCCTTGTGGGAATTGCGGTGACTCTCCTGATGCTTGTGTGTACCGACAGACGAGGAGGAGAAACGTGACGAACAAGAACATGAATCTTTGTAACGGCTGTTCCAAGCGCCGACGGAAGTTCCCTGGAGGCCAACCGTGTCCAGCTTGTGTGGAGGAGGCTCTGGATTGTGTTTACGATCGCTGTAGGAATTGTCGTGAGATGCAGGTGGCTTGCGATGGAGGTCATCCGTGCGGGGTTTGTGTAGAGTTTGGGGTGGATTGTGTGCGGGCGAAGCGACGACGCCGCAGGAAGTAGTTTGTTGTAGATGGTGAAATTTTTCTTAGGGTAGGGTCGCATCAAAAGCAGCGGGGAAGTGGCCCAGTGCACCCAAATAAGCTTATTGACTAGTACCAATTGTGTGATTACAAGAATGAAGGAGCTGATACAATTGTTGAGGCCGTTGGGAGTCCGCCCGGGCCAAGGGCTCCTCTTGCCGTGGCACTGATGATCAACGTAACCGACCGCTCTTATAAGACATCGCCCGTAGCCATCGGAGCTTGTTGCACTCGCAACGGAGGTTCAAGAGGAATCTGCAGAAGGGTCTCATTTTCACCGGCAATGTAAACACGTCGCAGGTCAAACGCAATCGTCGATGGCCACACGACGCAGCTAAGAGCCAAGGCAGCGATTGCAAGCATGAAAACATCAGCGTTCGGCCACATTTCGCTACATCCGACAATGTCCCGGAACGCTACCGAATGCGCGCCAAGAACCAGAGTTAGGTTTGTTGAGTTTGCCACAACCTCGAATAGGGTTCCATGACCTTGCGACCAGCCGACCAGCTCGTTCCAACCTCCACGGCGGTTAGGGCAACAGAGAAGTCTTTTAACGGTGACTTGGTTCTCTGGTCCGTTCACATTAAAGGAGATTTCCTGTTGCTCAACCGAATGCGGCCAATTTTCCTCTGAAGCTATCTTGTCGCAGGTGAAAGATGTGAAAACGATGTTGCTTTTGATCCAGTCCATCACAAAGCCTTCTGGGTTGATACCGTCCGGTAGGTTTGTGTCGTGAAATAGGCGCCAATTGTCGTGAAGAGCCTGGAAGACTCCTGGAAAGAAGAAAAGGTTGGATCGAGCTCTCTTCAGATCAATTTTCTGACGGATCCATTGACACAAGCTACGATCACTGTCACGCGCCCGTGGATTCCAATGCGGACGCACTAGGGCTAAGGCTTGTCGTAAACAAGGTGTTAGCCTCTTTTGTTGCAAGTCATATTCGATAGCAACATCCTCAGGCTTGTTCGGGAGGTCTGGCTGTAGCTGAGTCCAATTTATGCTCTGCGTACCGTCGGTATAGATGTCGTTCTCGAAAGAAAAAGCTGATGTGAGAAGCGCTGCTAGTTCCTCATGTGTTGTATGCAGGAGACTTGCGATTGCAGGCAAAGCGGAGTGAACTTCGTCGTAGTCGCCATGTTCTCCTCGGTAAACTTGTACGTAGCGTCCATCAGCAGTATGCATGTAGATGGCATAATCAAAGAATGACATCCCATCTAGAAACTGCCTCCAAGACGATAGTCGAATTGTACCAGTCAAGTATATGGACTTTGACGAGTCGGCGAAGTCCATAACCTTAATGGTGCATTGCCCGCTTTTCTCCGAAAACGTTTCGTCGCTCTCGTCAATGAAAATGTCGTTATCGACTTCGAAAAGTATTTCGCAGCCGGGTCCGCATCGGCTCGGTGAAATAAAAAGGAACCCTGGCAACGCGTCATACGTTCCTTCTAGCTCCTCATATTTTTGTAACTGGGAGGAGAAAATGAATTCTCAGTCTAAGGCACGTACAGGAAAAGAAAGACTTACCGTGGACGGCAATGTGAAGATACGTTGCAACTCCGCGCATATCAAACTCAACCCGCCCAGCCGTGAATCAGCGGCGAGGAGTCGGTGACGTAGATTCCTGGCACAGGAGCGCAAGCGAATAAAATCCCCGAGAGACAGGTGCTGCGCGATCCCCGCAAGGACAATCAGAGGAAGCTCGTCCACGAGAGGCATTTTCGTGTCCAGCTTCAAGTACGTCTTCTACCGGTACCAGATGAGCGATGATCAGTTCCGCTGCAAACACCTTCAATGGAGCTCTCAGCGCGCTCAAAAGTGTGCATGTGCGCCGCTCCTGTGACCTGGACACTTTTGCACCAAAGATGTCTGAGATAGCATTACCTTACGTGGTGGTGGAGGCCTACTGCAAGAACGGGAAGAGCAATATGTATTTACGCCATCCAACCAGACAGACAGCGCCACAATAGGTTTTCATTCCTGAAACGCGAAAGAGGCGTCACTGTCCGAGGCGTTAGCACGTCCTGCACGTCCACCACAATTCTGGAAAAAACGGAAATAAAACGAGGACCTTCGTAGCTTCCGTAACGGATAGGACTCGTTGCCGGAACCGAGGAGGATGTCTGAGCTACGGCGCAAGCTCGCCTCACCCTACGCACGTCCAGTCTCCACACGCTCAGCAGCACCAAAACCTATCTACCTACACTCGCCCCCTCTTACCATCACCGCTGCAGACATCTTTTTCAAGAGCGGCAGTGGCAAGGGCGGGTATGCATTCCTTGCCCACAAAAGGAGGACAAGCCGGTCAAGTAATTCAGTTGTGACGCGTCGGAGTCATTGACGGAACTCTGTGGAACTGAGATCAATAGACCCGCACATCCTTTTGAATCCATATGCCCGGCGGTGCCCCGCGCGATGACAGCTAGCGGAGCTTAGGGCGGAGCGGGGTGTATTTTTTCAAAAGTTAAAAACAGAACGAAGCAACGGAATTCGCAAGGGAAGAAGAACACGGAGCGACACATGGAACGCTTTGCGCTGACGCTGTTAACGATATTTTGAGTCCATCCCTTAAGCGCCCCTGCCCCGTGTCCCCCGGGAGCGCGAATGTACAAGTTCGCTCTTTTCATACTTTGAGACCCTCTGAGTAGGATGTGCAGGTGTACGTGGGGCATCTACGAGTGTACGCGGCGCATCTTACGATGCATCTGACATTGAACCTGGCGCAGCTACGAGTGTACCTGGCGCATCCTGCGAGGTACCTGCCGCATCTGAGAGTGCATAACCTCAGCGCGGCGCTTAAGGATGAGTCGCAGCGCTCGGATAAAAAGCGGGTGGGGCCCAATTGAGACCCGAGTATGGCGAGGGCGGAAAGCGATACGTGATACTTGATCCAAGAATGGCGGTCATCTTCGTGAACGGTATGTGGGACAAGCGCAAGGGGGCACAGTCCAAGGTTCGGACAGCATCTGTGGAGGAATTCGTGAAGATCCTGCAACAGCCCGGCCTCAAGACGCACTGCGAGGTCTTCCAAGGAGATACGTGGAAGCGAAACAAAGTGATAGCCTTCAGCCCTCTCTTTAAATACGGCTTGTAGCCCGCCAGGTCGGGTGGAAAGTCGTCCTCAACCGCTTTTGAGCGGTCTCCAAGTCCAGTTCCCCACTGTGAAACGACTGCGCAGCCTCCTTCTTGAACTTCATCACCGTATCGAAGTCCTTTCTCTCCAACCCACGTGCTCCCAGTACCCGCTCGAACGTCTCCGCAAATAGCCCCCGAAATCCGGCTTCCAACTTCTGACGCCGCGCCTCCACCTCCAGCTTATCCTTGACACGGTTCCACGTCACACCTTCCCAACCAAGTGTTTTGAGCCCATCGGATCCCAATTCAAGATATACTGTATGTCGTCACAAAGGCGATCACGTAGCTGTCCCACAAAGTCCCGGTAGGTTGCCCTGATGCGTACCCGATCTTCTTGTAATTTAAGCTCGTCCAGAATTTGAGCAGCGAGGCTCTCAAGTCTCTCGGTGAGGTCGACATGCGATTGAAGGAGGCCGAGGATTTGCTCGCTTACTGACTCGAGTTCGGCAATGGCATCCATGATCGCGTCCAGCGTCGCCATGTGATCCGGGTCCGTTTTCTGCTTGTCCGGCAGGTTCTCTGTCAGTTCCCGGTTCAGTATCTGAAAAGCTTTCTAATGTGTTTCCGTAACCGTGGCGGTGGTCTGCCGGAGGCCTGAGCTTCGATTCTTTAAAAGGTCAAGCTTGGTGCGCAGCATGGCCGACCTTTGGTCGTTGGATCGCTTGTAAAGGGTGTACATAGAATGAACGACCAGCCCCTTAAGCCGTATCAAAATGGTCTAAGTGCGGCAGGGAAATTTTTCAGAAAGTGCCGCAAAAACTACTGGGGGCAAACTAATCTTATTGCGCCGCAGCGAACGAACACAGATCCAATCTGATTGTAGCAACCGTTCGAAGGGCGCCCATTGTCTTTCCTCAGCGGTCCGCTGTAAGGTTACAGGCCAATGGTCTTGTTCTCCTACATAATTGCAGTGGGGGCAGCCCGAGCGCACGGTGTCATCCTCCTCCTTGTAATGCTCCGGGTAATGCTCCTCCTGGTACTGAATAATGAAATGCAGGAGGGCGACGTTACCGGTCACACAAGCATGGCGAAGAGGCGAGTCAAGGAGTTCGTCCCCATAAGAGTAATGATATTGGTGAGGATCAGCGTCTTTGGTACCGGCCTCGACCAGTAATCGAAGTAAATTGACGGGCCGACCAAGGTGTACGCCTGCCACATAGGCATCTTCCATGTCTTGCGCCTTGTCCGCGGGTGTCCTGGAGATGAGCACACGAAGGAGCGCCAGAAGGAACGATTCTTCCCACGGGCCATTAATTGCAATGAGGAGAGGGGTGGGATCGCGTCTGTAGACGCCGACCTTGAAGTCGTAGCGCGCCCGTAACGTTTCCGAGTCAGAACTGCGCCGCGCCAGGTCCTCACAACGAGTGGCGGTGGCAAGCACAAAAACTTGGTCCAATTGGGGTGGTTGGTGATAAAGCCAGCTACAGCAATAGCGGAGGGAAAGCGCGGTCACCTCATCGCAGTGTGTGGCGACTTGGAGGAGGAGCTTGGGGGGCAGACGAGGTCCGTCAGCTGCAGAACAGGTCCGCCGGACGTTATCGCCGTCCATGGATAGAAGGATAACTGAGGATCGAACTCCTGCGAAGTAAGCAACGGGAGAGGTGTCTTCACCTTTGTATCGCTACGCTGTTTGAAGAGGAACGTAAGCGCTGCGCCCTCTTCATATATGCAGCCGTCCCTGTGGGTGCGTTGTCAAACTTTTCCGTGAGGAGAAGAGGAAAGGCAAACCGTCCACGCGCCGTGACGCGTCCGAGTCATCCTGTATGTAACCCTAAGCCTTGGAGTCATCGCAAAAAGAAGGCAAGAGGAAGAAAGGGTTAGGGTTAGGGCTAGGGCTAGGGCTAGGGCTAGGGCACCGAACTGAAGGCGAAACAAGGTGCCCCGCAGAGTGGAATATCTCCGTCTCTCTCTCTGTCGGTTCGCTGCCGGACCCTCCTTCGTTACTGTACCTCCCTCGACAGAAACCCCCAAGGTAAGTTGCGGGCTCGCGGTCTTGTTCGGAAAAGAGGTGTGACATGGAGGTGTGAATTTGACACTCCCACACCCTTGCAGTAGACCCAAAAGCAACGATGACTTCCCTGTACAGCATCAACTACCACACTCGGTCAGTACGTTCCTCTCAATGAGCCACGTCTCCCTTTGGCCGCATAAACATGCCCACAATGGGTGATCTCATCCGCACCCAATCCCCCCCGCAGCGCCCACAAACGCGACGCCTTCATCGAATTCATCAAATCCCTCCTCCTCAACCCTTTCGTCCTGCACACCCGTCCCAGTTTCCTCGCCGCTGATTCCGAAGAGACGCCCGAATGGGAAAAGAAGTTTGCTCCTGCGACTCGCACGCAGAAGAATAGTCATTGTGGAGAAGGGGAGGAAACGCAGGATGAGAATGTGAAGCGGTATTGCGAGGTGCTGCAGTGTGTCGAGGAGCTGATTTATGATCATATTTTGCATCAGAGGCAGAGTAAGTGACCTGCGGTGTTGGAAACGAGCGGAGTGGGAAACGAGCGGAGCGAGTGCGATGATGTGTGATGGGTGGCCGAGCGTTAGCAGAGAGTGAATGCTTGAGGGGACCGACCGACAGCAAGGAGAATGCTTGAGGATGGTGCGGGAGCTAGCACCGGCGAGCGTCAGATCTTTTAGCGAGCGAAGCGAGCCAGGGATGATCGTTCATCCAGCGCCCATCAACCAACCGACCACAATCACTCACGCTAAATCATTCCTCGATAATTCCAGATCTCATCGAACTATCCCGCCTATCAGCCCTGGTCCCCAGCATCGGGCGTTTCTTCACTCCCCTCCCGCTCCGCAACAGTTTCATACGTCAGGACGCAAAACGCGCGATCGCCGCTCGACGGTCCGTCCCGCCCAGTTTCAACGACATCCGGGCCGTGTTGAATGATGCGCAGGTTACCGCCATCAGCTCCACCGTGAAACTCATGACTTTGTAAGTCCCCCCCCCCCCCCCCCCCCAATCCGTCCCTCACAACTATACCATCACCCCGTTTCTAACATCCCCAACAGCGACGGCGACATGACCCTCTACGCCGACGGCGCCAACTTCCCGCCCACCTCCTCCCTCGTCCGCCTCCTGATCACCCTTCTCCACCACGGCCTCCACATCGCCGTCGTCACCGCCGCCGGGTACCCGAACTCCCCAGCAAAGTACGAAACCCGCCTCGCCGGCCTCCTCACCGGCTTCCGCTCCTCCTCGCTCCCCGCCGCCGCCCTCGAGCGGTTCTACGTCATGGGCGGCGAATGCAACTACCTCTTCCGCTACGACGCCGCCCGCGGCCACCTTGTCGGCGTGGCCCCCGAGGTGTATGAACCGGAGGCGGTGCGACGGTGGAGTACGGACGAGGGGCTGATTGCAGGCGTGTTGGATGTGGCCGAGGGCGCGTTGAGGGCGGGCGCAAGCGAGATGAAGTTGGAGGGCAAGGTCGATGTGCTCAGGAAGGGGAGGGCCGTAGGCGTTGTGCCCAAGGACGGGGTGCGGTTGACCAGGGAGACGTTGGTAGGTTTATCCATATCCCTGCTTGACCCTTTCCCATTATCAACTGTAATTCTACTAACCCCACCCGCCCACTCCCCGTATGAATGATTTTTTTTCTTTCAACAGGATGAATTCGCGCTAACGGCCCAACGCGCCCTCACATCCCACTCCCTCGCCCAATCCCGCTCCCCTCCCGCCACCACGACCACGACATCCACCCCGCCACCGACGGTCCCGTTCTGCGCGTTCAACGGCGGCAGCGACGTGTGGGTCGACATTGGGAACAAGCTGATCGGCGTGCAGATGCTGCAGGCGTTCCTCGGAACCAAGGGGTGGGAGACGCTGCATGTCGGTGACCAGGTTCGTGGTTGTCTGTCAAAGCTCTGTAAAATCATCCGTGGGAGGGGGTTAGTGGGGGTGGTTAACGCCATTCTTTTTTTTTTTTTTGGGCTTTTGCAGTTTTTGTCAACGGGAAATGATATATCGACGCGAACGGCGTGTTGTACGGCATGGGTGACGAATCCGGAGGAGACGGCGGAGATCCTGACCGAGCTTTGTTCGTTGCTGGGTGCGGGAGAGGGGGGCAAGTGAGGACACATATATATGTGTGGATGAGGCGCGGCACCCCGGTTTCCGTTGTTCATATGTACAAGACTTCCCGAATGATATTTATGACATGTGCAAGAAGAAGTTGGAGGGCGTCGGGATTCACAGAGACTCCACCCCGCGCCTCAACTCCGCCTGCCGTCGCTGCAGTAGATCCCGTTCGGCCCTCAACCGCCCCACCAAGTCCTCCAACATCCGCGTCTCGTGCGCGGTCCCTGTCCCTGTCCCTGTCCCGCCACCCGCGGCTACCTCCCGCCTCTTGTACTCCACCAACGCCTCCCCCTCCTCCTTCGCAAGCACTGTTTCGGCCAAATGGTCGCGCGCGAGCTCCTCCTCGCGTTTGGAGCGGGCGAGGTCGGATGTGAGCTGTGCGAGTTCCGAGGTGAGGGTGGAGAGCGGGAGGGAGGAGTGGGAGCCGATGTCGCGGGTTGAGACTGTATGCCGGGGGAGGGAAGGGGGTTGAGAATGAGGTCTGAGAGGGCATGCGCTTTGTGACCGTACCTGAGGGCCGGATGGAGGCTGCTGGTACTGCGACGGGCTAACGATTCATAAATCACATGGGGAATAAAATGTCAGTACTCACACCAAGAATGGAAATCTACGATTCCCCCCACACACACCTCCTTCAAAAACGCCCCCTTGACATCCAAGGGTATCCCATGGGGCAGCGGCTTGCCTTTCCGTCTCGTGTTCAGGATATGCGAAAAGTAGACAAACTGCTCGAGGTTGATGCGTTGGGCCATGCGGATGTCGACGAGCTGCCAGATCTGTGAGAACTCGTGCTCCGAGAGACGCGAGAGCTGGAAGAGGGGGCCGAGCTGGGATACTGCGGTGGGTGCCAGTGGAGAGGTAGGCGGTCAAGCTTTGATATGGTTTTCGACTATGTGTTTGTCCCGCACTTTTACGATGCCGCAGCTCTTTTTGAATTCGCTGAAGTCCCACAGTCTGCCCAGCGCAAGCCCTCCCTTCAAACAGCCCCTAATCCCCCGCGGATACGTACAAGCAACCTCATCCTCATCCTGACTATATTTCGCAAACTGCGTCTCTATTTTCCCAATTCAGACGGTCAGCCATTCTCCATCCCAGGGCTCCGAACCCAGACTTCCGCCCTCCTAAATTCGCACCTGCAGAGAAGCTGCAAGGACATCAGACAAAGAAGGAGTGGATGAGTATGTCGACGTTGCGGTTGCTCTTTTGAAGAGTTCAGGGGAGGGAGGGAGTGTGTACATACCGTTCTGCTGGACTGATGTACCAGTCAAAGTCCTGGGAAGGGGAGGAGTGTGAGCGAGGTGTCATAGAATATACGAAAGGAAGGCATAGAAGCTCCCAGTACGTACGGCCATGTTGGGGTTGTTGCTTGTGTGCTTGTGTGGATGGGAGGGAGGGAGGGAGGGTTGAGTCGCTTGAGTTGCGGTCGCGAGTCCAAGGCCCAAGGGGCACCTGGAAGGACCGCTTCTAAGTACCGACGGGTTCGCCAAGCCTCCGTGTGCAACCCAGAAGTCAACGACCAGGTGCCGCGTACAGTACTAAGTACTACGTACAGTACTAGTAATTTAGTAAATACTAAACCCCCAAACCCCCCCTGTGCGTCCGCTGATTGACAACTCGGGGTACGCCCTATTACAGTATATACATACATGCAAGGGTGGGTGGGTGGGTGAGGGTTCTCGAATCGCTAAAGAGTATGGCTGAGCGCACGAATAAAGGTCGAAATATGATTTCCATAAAATACAGCTAGTTAACGGGATCCCCAACGTCAGGAGTCCGCTGCACCCCTGGCTGCCCCCGTCTTTCAAACGCCAGCATAGATTGTGTGTGGAAGAGCTTCATCTGGAGTTCAAGCTTTTCCACCATGCGCTGATCTCTCTCGTCAAGGTCTTTGGCCAACTTGTTATAAATCTCTTCCGATAGTTTCGGCCCATTCCACCACCGCTGCGCACATACAGTAGGCTGCCAGATATCAGGTTACGACGCCCCAAGGACACATCATTCCGAGCATAGCCACCGGCTCAAGTTGCCGACCCCCATGCAAATCCTTTCAGCACGACCGCTAGCCCAGGGCAGGACTGACAGCTGGTCGGTGACTTCTGGGGTTGCACAGGGAGGCTCAACAACCCGTCGTAACCTGATATCTGGCAGCCTACTGTATATCCACAGCGACCAACCCGGACCCGAAGCCGAAAGCAAATCGCCAATCGAGCTTTTGGCCTAGTTTTTCGTGGACGTTCGACAACTGTTGGAGCATGTGCTTGGCGAGGTCTGGGAACAGAAAGCCTTCGCCCTTGGCGGCCGCATCCAAGGGGGAGGGTGGAGTGGTCGAATACCGACGCAGAATTCGGGCGATGGTGAGGCGTAGTGGGCTCATAGTGCTCGGTCTAGATGTCAAAAGGATATGAGATACGGACTCTGATTCCCCACCGTGACTTTTGTGAGTAAAGACAGAGAAATCACTTTCCTCGCACCGTGGGCAGGCCCGAGGGGGCGGGAAAAATGGCGTGTATGTTACTTGACGGTAAAAGAGTTTGGGCAGACTATTTGGCGGTAGTTCCCGCGATATTCTGATAGAGCCCCCGTCGTGTAGTTTCTGCGAGCGGTCGGGCGGGTGGGCAGCGGCCGGCGGCCAACCGCGAGCAAGGGATCGTAAGGCAACTGCGTGCGATGCCGGCTGTGTTCTGGGGGCCTTGCTGCCCGCAGTACTGTAGGGCGTCAAATGGTGGGAAAGTGCGAAACCCTTCTCGAATCGCTAAGCGTATGGCTGAGCGCACGAATAAAGGTAAGGAAAGGGAAAAGGAGAAGGAAGAGGAAAGGGAGGACTATAAATCCGAGAACGAGTCACGTGCACGCTCAGCCTGGGTTTTATCCACACATGCACCCGAGGGCTCGGGATGCATCCATCAAGCCTCGCTCCCACAACACAGCTCAACCAAGTCTTCCAAGTCCCCAGCAGCTACACTGTACACACATATATGTATGCCTCTCTGCCCGAATAAATAGGTCTCGCACACGGTATCACAATGTCTCCTCCGAGTAGTGCAGAAAGCGAAGCTAGGATAGGCACGCTAATCGAGCAGGGCTTGGAGCTAGAAGGTCAGCTTTACAACCCATGGCATGGGGAGCGGAGTCTAGTCCAGGAATACAATCGCTTACTTGATTCAATAGAGATTGACCTGAACCTCTTCCGAAGCAAGCGGCTCTGGTTGCCAACAGGAGCTAGGGGAGTCTTTGGTATGCTTTCCGGCGCTCCCGTTGATGGCCATCCAGTTCTGTCATTAACGCATAGAAACATCCTATCCTAGGCGGACAGGTTGTCGGTCTGGCATTGGCTGCTGCTAGTCGGACGGTGGATAAGCGTTTCCGGGTGCATGTGGGTGTTGTCTTTGCCTTCTCTTCATAGGCCTCCCGTATCGACCTCCGTCGTCGTTGATCTTAGTCGCTACACTGCTACTTCATACTGCCCGGAGACAACACCGTCCCGATCATATATCGCGTGGATCGAACTCGGGATGGCAAAACCTATGCCACGCGTAGCATCAAGGCGGAGCAGCGCGGCAAGAGTATCTTTGTGTTGACCTGCTCGTTCCAGGCTGGAGAGAGCTCACCGCTGGAACATCAAGTATGGAGGATGGAAAGGATGATAGGGCGGAATGGGCAGGTTTTTGACCTCCGCTTACATCATGCAGTATCCGATGCCCGACGTGAGGCCACCAGAAGAGCTGCCGAGGTGAGCTTCTTTTGATTTGTGGTTGTCGGGACGCCAACTCACCCACTTGGTGATGTCGCGTCTATCGAGTAGTAATGAAGAGAAATTACAACGTAAGGAGTACCCTGCCCAGCAGCGTCATTTGGTGAGACGTCTTCAACTCTCCTACTGTCACGCGATACAGATTGGCTGCACCACCCACGCATCGGCTCCATCCCAAAGTACAAGGAGAATCTTGAGATGCGATTGCAGGAGGTGCGTGCATCTTTCAACATGGTCTCGGTGTACCAGGCCCGCCTTTTCTGACTGGTCCCTTCTGCAGCCTATTCCAATAGATATTCGGGATTGTCACGGTCTCCCAAGGGCTCGAGAACTATTGCATCCGCGCAAACAGGAGCCAAAGCAATACATATGGATGCGGGCGAAGGGGACGTTGCCGGACGATCCAGCGATACACAACGTAAGTGCCGAATCCTTGGAAACTGACTTTTGTGGGAAAGACGCTCACCGGTTCGGGACGTTATAGTGTGTTGCGGCATACTGCTCTGATGTGAGTGATGTAACAAACATGCTACGGATCTTGAGGATGTGAATGACCTCGATTCTGAAGGGTTGCTGACACGCGTTCTTGACGGCATAGCATTATCTCTTGACGACAAGTCTTTTGACTCACGGCATTAGCAACCTTTCGAACCCTAGATTAACGATGTTGGCCTCGTTGGACCATGCGGTGGTAGGTCACTAGATCTAGCAGGAATATCACGTCAATGACCTCACTTTGCATATTCGCGACGGACGACAGTGGTTCCACGCGCCATTTAGGGCCGACGAGTGGCTGCTGTACGAGATGGAGGTAGGTCCGCGATTAGCTGAATAGGGTCGGTGCCATATCCGCAAGACCCCTAACGGCGGTCTTGTTGCGCAGAGTTCCAGAACCGTTGCCAACCGAGGACTATGCTTCGGTCGTATTTACACCCGTGATGGTCGTTTGGTGGTCTCTACTGCTCAGGAAGGCGTCATTAGGACCGAGTTTCGCCCCAACGTTCCACGTAATCCGGAGTGCAAGGACGGGAAGGACCAGCCTGCGGGCAAGGAGGAGAAAGCGAAACTTTAGGGAAATGGAGACATTTCTCTGTGATCAGGGCGTCTTCCGGACATAATTTAGCACGTAGCCATGTACTTTTAGGGTAGCATGTGAAATAAATCTCGCATGAATGAATGGAGTTGACATATCATTGCAGGCCTGATGAGTATCGTTACTACTGTATTTATCAAAAGGATAGAGGGATCATCGCCTCGTATACACAAAAAGTGGAAGAAAAAGAATGCCAAAAACTAAGAGCGTTCCCGCAAAGCTACTCGTACTAAGCAATTGTTGATGCTTTGCGGGTCACTACCCGACTGAATGACGACGAGCATGAATTTACGGGTCGACGTGGGGTAATGACGGTCCAAGCCCCTGTTCTCCGTCCGTTTTCTCGGTCGGAGGGGCGACGGTGTCGCTCCTGGAGGCGCCCTCAAGGAGACGAACGGAGGTGCCTGGATCTCCATCGTGTGGCTCCACGACCTGTATTTTTTTTTCTATAGAGCTGGGGATTTATGATTTAGCGTGTTGCTACTTTCCCCGGCAAGACCCCGGCAAGGACCAAGAACCACTCACCTCATGTCTTAGGATATACACTGCAGGCCCCACCTAATATAACTTGTGCTTCCGGTTCTACCCTGGTCGCCCCAAATCGGAGTCGACTAAATGCCTGTCTGTTCCGGGTGTTTCATGCTATACGCGGCGGCAGATCGACCATCAGATCTACAATTCCCAAACCACCCTACAAAAACCCCATCGCCCATCGCCCACAAACCCACCTCCTCAGCGCAACAGCAACCAACTTCATAAACTCCCTGTAATCGCTCTCCGCCAGCTCATGCGGCCCGAACCGCAGCTGCTCATACCGGTCGATGTAATAGCGGCCCAGGTCGGGGCCAAGGACGCCTTCGGAGATCAGGTACTCGATGTAGCGCCGCGCGGTGAGGGTGGAAGGTCGCCGGAGGTAGGGGGAGATGTCGATTGCCGCTCGTTCTTTTGGAGGTGGAGGTGAAAGTCGATCGACGTTAGTGAACAAACGGAAAATCAAAAATGGTCAGCACCAGCGACTGAGATGGGATGAGCAGAGCGCCAGCAACAGCAAACCGACGAGATGAGCGGAGCGTTGGATGATGTTGGATGAATGAAACGACATTCTGGTTGAAGATGTTGGGCTGTGGTGCGCTAAGCTAACTTCGCTCGCAAAGGATCTGACGCTCACCGGCGTCGCTAAAAACCGCAGTGAAGAGAGTTCTGCGCCTTTGGCGCAATGGGACTCGCTCACGCTCGCGCTAGCTATTGCTCGGGCTCCCAGGAGCGAACCAACCTCGCGCTCCCCGGGCGATCCTCAAACAGCAAGATTGCTTACGGCCCAGTCCTCAAGTAGCCCTGCAAATCGCTCCGCTTGCCGCAGACAACTGCATTCGCATGCACACCCACCTAACAGCTCAAAAGTCTGCACCGCTGCCGTTTTGAAATGCACCTTCTCCAGCGCTGTCCCCTGTTTACCCCACCCGAGCTCGAACGCGTCCTGTGGCCTCGGTTTCGCTTCCAAAGCGATATTGGCGACGTTGGAAAGGTCGGCTTGGATGAGTTTGTGGACCCGTTTTGGGAGGTCGGATGGGTTGATTGGGACGTAGACTTTGGGGATGCTTTGCAGTGCTGAGCGGATGGAGAGCGTGCGGGCGGAGGAGATTAGGACGGCACCTAGGACCTGATGTGTGACGGAGATGAAATGGAAATTAGGGTAACCTGAAGGCTGGCTCGCCCACGCCACCACCACCTCAGAAAGGAAGCCCTCGTCTAATCGAAATGACACCGTACATACCAGTAAACCCACGCTCGACCCGGCGCTGATGAGAAGGACCCGATCCTGGAACAACCTCATGAAGATATCCAGACCGCAGAACCCCATGATAGCGGTCACCAGGAGAAGGAGAACGAGCAGCCAGGAGATATTCAGCACCGAGGGGCATTTCGGCTTCCATGACCACGCCATCGTGAGATTTTTTGCGCGTACGGAGGCGGAGAACGGAGCGCAGGCAAGCCAGTGTTGCGAGTAGTGCCAGCAGAGGAGGAGAATAAGTCACTCGACTGAGAAAGGAGAGAGGATGGGGTGAAGCTCAACCAATGCAGCTCTCGTGAATATGAAAGTTTCTAGACATTACAACGCTGTCCTACGCGTTTGGGCTACAACTTATGCTTCGCCCATGGCCCATGCCCACTGGGGCACTCCGTGGGGCTAAATAATACGGGGGAGTTCGCAAAGGGACTAACTAAACTATCTTTGAAACACGATCTACTGCCGTCTCAAAAGGCACCTTGACACTAGTGCTTGGTGGACTTGTGCGGGCGACTTGAGTCTGGCAGTTATGGCGTTAGACTTGGGGGAGACGACATGCCGCGCCTTCGGTCATCATTCTTGACGGTTGACTGCTTTCACAGGAAGAGAGTTTATTGTAAGCGCCGGGGTCCAAGAGCAAACACATCTTTGACAGCAGACAAACAAACTTACATGCGGCTAGGGACGGTTACCCAGCCCATCCCGGACTGCGGAGGTGCAGCGAGCGTTCCATCACGTGAGCGGTGCGCAGGCTTAAATAAGTCAGATACGGTCCTACTGCGGTGAATTAGAGCTCCTTCCCACGCGATAGCTGCTCAGGACCTGACAGACTTCTTGGCCGTCCCCATTCCGCTCTGACAAGCGCCCTCACTATCACCGTCGAGGCGGCGGGGTGACTCGGTCGAGCCCGGTGTGTTGGGGCAGAGCCGCGTTCCGCGAAAAACACAGGCGGCAGGGTTCTACGCAGATGTCCTCCTTTGAACTGGCGCAACCATGGCGCAAGCTCCTGTACGTCAAGCAGGGGTTTCCTGATAACTATGTCGACGAGACGTTCTTGGATGCTTTGCAGAAGAATGGTAGGCGGGGCGGATTACTTGGACTCATAAAATTACGTTCGCCCACGCATGCAGCATTACGAGGAGTGAACGCTGGACTCGGCTTGCGCAGCGTATTGCACGGAAGAAATGCCTGAACGGTAGCGAGGGCGAGTAGGAGCGGCGAGTGAATCGAGTCCGTTTGCGCTAGAGGCACCTATCGCAAAAGTCAACAACAGCGAGCACTCGTGGTTTGGTGCGAGCGAAGCGAGCCGCAGCCGTTGTGTAATATCTCGCCCAAGTTGAGGCCGGAGTTTGTGGATAGCGAGAAAGTGGCGGTTTATTGGACGAATATGGGGGAGGTGGCAATGTTGTTTCTATCCTGTTCATCCCTCCCAACCATCCCATCAATCACCCTTCCGCGCCTATGCATCGCTCACCCGACTCACGTCCTTCATTCCCCATCCAGTGAACGTGCGCGCCCACAAATACTGGCCCACCGTCCTCCGCACCTGCGCTGTCTCGCAGCACATCAGCGGGATAACAGCTTTCATCGCCGTCTTTGTGCATCTCTACTCCGGTGTCCTCGCGCCGGACCGGCTAATGATGTGGGATGCAGTCACGTTTGCGGTGGGATATGTCGCGTGGGATGTTATGGCGATTGGGGCCGGTGGTGGGAGGCGACGTGAGTTGGGAATATCGACAATTGGGAGTCATGAGTCACCCGTCTCACGCACATGGATATTGTAGGATTTTCCATCGCACGAAGAGTCCTCCTCATCGCCCTCACCCTCCTCCTCCTCACCCCGACCCTGAAAACTCTCACGCTCGCCATAAGCAGTGACACCATCTGGGCGCTGTCCGCCATCATGTTCCTCTTCAGCCTCGTGTTCCACGATTACGGGTCTACAAACAGCTTGAAAGTTCGGTAACGTCACACCCATATATCACCCACAATGCTCCTGCAAAACACCCACATCTCTAAATTTGGGGAATTTTTGAACAACCGGATAGGTTTCCAGACTCCCTAAGCATAAACGCCGGCATCTTCGCCTCCATCCTCCTCGCCTCCCGCCTTCCCTCCAACACCCACGTCCTCGGCCTCATGCTCTTTGCAGTCCTCGTCTTTGCCCTACTTCCCGTCTTTCGTCGGACTTGCCGGGTAAGCAAACAGAACAAATCCACACCACTGAACTTCCCTCTCACTATATTCACTAAACTGATCATTTTCTTGATTAGGCGAAATCAACAACAAGCGACATCATCATGTCCACATCCCTCATCACCCTCACAACCCTCCTCTTCGCCCCCATCTCCCACTCCCTGATGGTCTGGTACCTCGCCGGGATGGTATGTGTGAATTTCGGGTGTCCGTGGTGGTTGATTCGGACGCAGAAGTACAAAAGGTAGGCGTGGATGACGTCTGAGTGATTTCTGGTGTGCGGGGGGGAAGGCGCTGATGGGTGTTTGGGTCGTTTTTTTTTTGTATAGTGAGATTAGAGGACCGTGGGATGAAGCGCGGATTATCAAGCGGTTGAGTAGTTTGGATGAGGGCCTTTTGGAGGGGTTTGTGGGGTGATGGGGATGTTCACACGGTACGGCGTTTGGGAACGGCCCCCGACCCCCGTTGAGCGCTGCATGGTATTGCCAAAGCCGGCCGGATGAGAACCGGTGCGTGCCCCGAGCTGGAAGGGCATCAGCAGCAGCGACCCCAGCTCATGGCGCGCAGCGGAGCGGGGTTGGTCTAAGGGCGCGGGTTGCGGCGGATGGAGGATGCGGAGCAGAAGTCCGAATCGCATTCCGCGCATCCTGTCGATCTCAAACACCAACAACCCCTCGAACGCCATTGCCGCCTCGGACAGGTGGCGAGGCGAATCGGTTCAGCGCGGTGATGGGCCGCACCCCGGAACCTTTCGGGTCCTGGTCATGCAGGCGGTGTCATTCTCGTTTGGTATCAGCGGCGAGTGCACTCTGGAACGGATGTTGTGGATGGCGGGCAGGGGCCGGTCATCGACCCTGCTGCACACGAAGGGGTGGGAACAGGGTGTGGCTGCATCAACGTTTTGGGTAGAAACGTATCGGGACCAGTGAAGGAATTGGGGAAACTATGACTCTCTTAAGCGAAACCACAGCCAAGGGAACGGGCTTGGCATAATCAGCGGGGAAAGAAGACCCTGTTGACATGTTTGGGAACCCACCGCTATTCACGAACGTAACCAACCATTACAGCTCATGGCAGCCTTTCAAACACAGGACGTCGACGGCCCCCTTCCTCGTTCTCCCCTTTTGTTTACGTATGTAGGAGCGTGACCCTGTACAGGGAGGGCAACTGTCTTGGGCTTCCAGAACAAGGTTAAGGTTGACTGCCGAAGGGAAAGACATGCCGGAGATAAGACCTGCCCTTGCCCGCGCCCGCCCTTTTGGGAACTGCATATGCATGTGCAGTCGACTTCACACCACGGGCGAGTACTGAGTTATGAGGGATTTACCATTCCTCTCGACTATCATCCGAAAAACACACGATGTGTTCGATAGACATCACAAGACGGGAGTTGTTCCGTCAAAAGCCAGCGCAACAGCGAGTTCTACGAACACCGCAGCCAAATCGAACGGAAACGTCCTGACGAGTGCGCCGCTGGTCGACGATGACGATTCACTGCTGCTATCGAGATACAACCTAAGGCCGCCGGTCACACTTGCGCGTCAAGTTCGGCCAGATGTTACCGCTCACGAGCTGACGCCAGACCGTATACCCTCGGTCATGAAGATGCTGTACGACTCCCGTCAATATTCCACGACATACCGCGATATCGACTTTGACAAAGAGGAGTTCTTCGAAATCTTTGGTCGAAAGTTACTAGGAGCGAAAGGACATCTTTCCGTGGTGCTATGCACAAAAGACCCAGCGACTGGGCAAGAAACTCCCGCCTTCGTGACGACAGTAAGCGATATGCGAGAAGCATTAGATGGGTGGAAAGCAAACCGGGACGCCATCGAATCCAACTCATCACCATTATCGCCAAGCGCGCAATGCGTGGCCGTGCAAACATTTTTGGAGATTGGCAGCCGTGTGATGGAGCAGCTATACGCGAAGTTCCACGACGTGCCCATAGGGAAAATGATGCTTGTTGGGGGAACCGCCGCAAGCCCTGCCGTGAAGGGAACAAACATATCTGCATACGGGATGCAGATAATATTGGAGAAAGCGCGGCGGGCGGGCTATGTGATAACTGCTGGATGGTCGTCTCATCCAGCGATGATCAAATTAGCGACTGCTTTCGGAGGGGTGGTCATGGCCACAATTGATGCGAGGGAGGTGCAAGTGCGCGACCGGAAGATTTATGCAGAAAGGGGACACGAGGAAATAGGGCAGGTGTTCGCCGGAGGTATACCGCACTTCGAGTAGAACAGACATTAGTTTCTAGTACGGAAAATCGGTGATAGAACCACAATGGACTGGAAGTATCGCTGGTCAGGTCTTCAGTCTCAAACATATGTACAATACCTACGTAATAGTCATCATGAAGTGGGCAAGAGTAGAAGGATCGGAACGTGTTCGCAACGCGTGGGGGACAGGGAGTCGAGATATGGCGAGACACAAACTCCGAAGCCGGCATCTGGAGCCTTCCTGCAGCCCAAGAACTCAGGCAGCTCACGTTTGATGACGAACAGTATATAGCTGATTTGGCTAAGCAATGAGTTTGGGGTGCTCGAGCAATATCCGCGCCAAGAAGTCTAGGGAGTCGCCCTGCTGCCCTGTTCTATGATTTTGCTAAGGAGCATTATTCTATGTCTTCTCTATTGCGCGCGAGTTCACCAGAAATCGTTTTAGAGATGCTACGGAATCGCACATGAAATAACCTCGGTATGACTCGATTTGCACATCTCGTTCCAACAGCTACCTTGTGCTGGCACATGGAAGCTTTCCGAAACAACGCTACCCTGCGGGACTTTCTGCCTAGAAACAATGGCGCCGGTACGACAGCGCTTCGCTTTTATGCTTTTATGGTATGCTCCTGATGCAAAAGACCCTCCGGTGTCACGAACGGTGGCGATATGAGGGGACCAATGTTCGACTCCATCATAGATCGTCCAGATCCACGCATCCCACCATTCTCGTTAGCGTTATCGAAGCCGACTGCATGTGGAGACTTTCCGCGATACCCTTGGGAGTGTTTCCCATTGTGCTTTTTGTGTTCTGGTTAATGGAACAGGAAAGGTCAGAAACCGTTGTCCTACGAGACCTGCTCCCGCCAGTTTACGACAAGTGGTAGGGCATTCTTACCGTCACTCCAGAAAACCGGCCCGGCGAGGTTGCAGATGCTGAGAATTGAAACCTCCTCTTGCCAGCTGATTTCCCATCTGCGGTTCTGTTTAGTGGCACACTATTCCCTGCTGACCTCGTTTGGCCGTTGCCTTTTGCGGCATTCGTTGAAGCTGAGCGGGTGGCGTGGCTAGTTACGTTGGGACCCTTGCCAGGAGAGCGACGGGATGAGCGTCCCGCAGAGGCTGTTGAGACTGCTCGTGGACAGCGGGCGAACATGGTGAGAAGCGCCCTGAGTCGTGGCTTGCGCTTGATTTGTCGGAGAACAAGAAAGCAAGTCGGACTGTCCGCCTAGTCTCCAGGAATATAGATTCTCAGGCTAGTGCCACTGTTCGAAGTGTATAATAAGTCGGCAGCTCCTGTCGTCGATGTCGATACCTCGATAAGCGACTCCTACGTACGTTTACTTATATTGGCCGCTTACAGACGTTGCGATTACGCCACACAAAATGAGCCGGCTTGTTCAGGTTTGCAGACGCCAGAGTCAGGGTGAGGATAAAAATGGGGAATTAAAGTGCCCGGCGACGCGACCGGTTACATGTTCCCTGATGTTCCCTGATGTTCAAGGCGACCCGACGCATGCACTCAGAACCCATAGGTGTGGCTGCTTTGGGCGACGGCGATGTGAGGCCAGTACCTTCACGCCGTGCCAGTATCGTATGGAGATTGACTGAGCGTGGGAAGGTTTTCAGATGGATTCCTGGGGCCCAATCGCCATCGTCCGAATGGGTCCGAACCGACATGATAACCTCGCATGTGAAGTCACGTGGGCGCGATTTGAACTTTTCGGCGTCGGGCTTCAACTTGGTCGGCAACGAAGGCAAACCAACGGGCAATCATCGTCGGCAAAGGCAACAAAGTCCTACGCTCGCTCAGTTAGATCGCCTCCTTGCAAAGCACCTCCCGTCGCTAGCGAATCTGGGAATACTCGCAGCCCACCGTAGTGTCACTTTCCTGGAGGTTTCCGCGGAATTCCTAACAGCCCATTTCGCAACAATGTTACGCCAATTGTATGTTTTGCGCATGCTCAACGCCTGGTAAACGGCCGTCTTACTAACCACACCTTTCTCGATCTTGCAGAATATCACAAGCGTCCGTATGCAGGGCATCCATAGGCATTAGGCACTGTAAGTGACTTCTTTCAGGGACACTGCAGAAGGATTCCCAGTTCGGGATTCAACTCAACACCTCCTTCCGCAGATGCAACCGCCACCGCACGCCCCCCACCCATCACAACCCTTAACGGCGTCCTCCCCCTCCCCACCGCGCGCGCCATCCTTTCCAACCCCAAACGCACCCGCCGCGGCAACCCGCTCGACCTCCGCCGCCTCTACTTCTACGCCCAATACGCCGAAATCATCTCCTCGCGCGCCGTCTTCATCATGCAGAACCACAACCTCACCTCCCCCGAATACTTCAACCTCAAAACAACGTTCAAGGAAAAAGGCTTCATCGTCACGACGGTACGGAACGATGTGTTTTCGGCGGCGATACGGAAACATGCCAAGGGCGTGAATAAACAGTTGGGGAGGGATAGCGGGTTGGGTGGGTTGAGGCAGCTGTGCGCTGGGCCGGTGTGTGTGGCGTTCTCGAATGCGGTGGACAGTGAACGACCCCATTTGGCAAGGGATTTCGCGGAACTGGTCAAACCGTTCAGCAAGAAGGGCAAACTTATGGTGGTCGGCGCGAAATTCGACGGGCAGCTGTTGACGAGTGATACGTTGGAGACGGTGGTGAAGTTGCCCGCGCTGGGTGAGTTGAGGGCGGAACTGGTCGGGTTGCTGGGGATGCCGAGTATGGCGCTGGTGGAGGTTTTGGGCAGGATTCCGCAGCATTTGTTGAGTTCGTTGGGGGAGCATGTGAGGGTTATGGAGGAGGCCGCTGGGGATAAGGGGGCGCAGGAACCGACGAAGGAAAAGTAGATAGACCTGGCTTTTTCAACTGTAGATTTCTTTTTGTGCCATCCTCTATATATATATATATATCACATACCACTCGTATTGTGTCTATTCGCACACCATCGGATAAGTTATCATATCCCAGAACAAGGTCATAAATACACCGCTCAGCAATCTGTGGTGGGTGGCCTTGGGGGACCGAACGTTTCACCGCCCAAGAAGATTCATCGTCGCCTCATACGCCACGAACGTCGCGGCGTTCACAGGGGCCGCTCGGAGCATGCACGGTCCGAATCCTACACCATTCCCAAAACCATCAGGTTAAGCAACATCACCCCCTCACCGAGTGCTCGTTCCAGTCGCACAACTCACCTCGATACAACCCCCTAACGCCCTCCTGCGCGATCGTCCGCCTCGCACAATCCCACATGCCCCTCCACTTCGCCTCCTTGCCAAACCCATCCACCTGCAACATACTCTTGACGACATCCACGGGGTACACACTCAACCAGAGCGCGTACCCGCTCCCGGCGCCATACGCGCACTGCTTCCACATCTCGACCTCGCTGCGCTTCTTGTTGTGGTTTATCATCTCCCGCTGCATGAGGTACTCGTAGGTGGCAAAGTAGGCGCCGTAGCCGACGAACTCGCGGATGAGGGTGACGTGCTGGGCTTTGTAGAGGCCGCGCAGGCCGTGGGTGGTGTAGATCTTGCGGGTGACGTCCCACGGGCCGGTGTACATGACGGTCCCGGGGGTGGGGTTCTTGGATTGGACTTGGAGACGGGTGCGGATGTGTTCGATGGGGCCGGAGAGGATGGAGTTTGCGAGGCCGGAGAAGGCGCCGGAGAGGAAGAGTTGCGGGAAGGAGAGGTGCGAGGGGTGGGAGGAGTGGGAGGAGTTGTAGAGTGTGAAGGAGCGTTTGGCGTACTCGAGGGCGCCGAATTGGATGGCGACGCAAGCGCCGACCCCGAGGAGGGGGGTTAGGGTGCCTTTATAGAAGCCGGTGAAGCCTGTTTTTCCACATGACGTTGCGGGATGGTTAGTCTGGTGATGACTGGATGAGAAATTGAGACGTTGGGAAGACAGTACCCTCGTTTTTGAGGGTTTGACGCACGCAGTCGCCCATCCCGGTGTAGGTTGGGTTCTCGCGCGGCTGCGTCTGTAACCGCACTTTGACCGTGTCGAAGGGCTGTCCTAGTCAATCAATTGGGCGCGGTGGTTAGCATTCTGGTCGATGGACCGTTGAATGATGATGAATGAAATGATACCCTGCTCACTAACGCTCGCGACAAGGATGTTGGGCGAAAGAGGAATGATGCAAGAAAGACCTCGGCTCCCTGACGCTCGCCCATTCCTCAAGTATTCTTGCGCCTCGCTTCGCTCGGACTCTGGCACGCTCCTCAAGCAAGTTCACACTTCCATCACGATTTCACACCTGCCACATCCCCATGCCCATCCCCCCCTAATTCCATCCCATGTTCATCCCTACCTGACCAGTCAACACCTGCGTCCACCCCGCAACAGTCCCCGCAAACAGCTCTTTTGCAGTCTTGAGCGAGTCCTCTGTGGGCAAGTGGTTTAGGGGGAGGTGTGTGTCTGTTGCCATCTTGCGGGAAGTGTTCGATTGTGCGAAAAGCGAATAAGCGGGACGATGGAGAGGGCGGGGTGGGGGAGGGTGGAGGCGAGAGAGAGGGACGAGGGCGTGAGGGAGGGAGCGGTTGAAGAGTCCTTGGGGGGGGGAGGGGGAGGGGTGGCCGTGGAATACACTAATGCAAGGCTGGACAGCGAGAAAAACGAGAGAGGATGTGGAGCGGATGGAAGGCGATGCATGACTCACTCCTATTAGGCTCACGCGCGGATCTCGCATCTCGAAGTCCCATGGCCCGCGTGTGTTAGTAACCGCGACATATTGTTGGAAGACATGGTGTTCGCATTGCGCCCTCGAAAATACAGAGTTTATCCTCCCTTCCCAGAAGCTCGTGTCAACAAACACCTCTTCTGCTCTTGCTGAAATTCCCACGCTCGGCGCTTCCCTCAACCAACTTGTTACTTACTCAATCCAACTACGAAATACCCCCCAACACAATGTTCACCAGGACAGGTCTCAGGCTCGCAACACTCGCTCGGCCCGCACTCAGCGCTGCCGCACTGAAGCCACGCGCTGTATGTAAAGCACTCACCCGATCATATTATGCATTATCTTCCGCTTCCATTGCAATTTCCCACGAATTGAATGTGATACCGTTTTTTAGGTCGCAGCACGTGCTTTCGCTTCAGGGGCAGCTGATGGGGTATCGGCAGGGATTGGGTTTGGGTTGAACGAGGAGCAGAGGGAGTTGCAGGAATTGGCCAGGAAGTTTACGCTGAACGAGATTATTCCGAAGGTATGCGAGCGAAGCGAGCCATGGTGGTTGTTTGCGGCGGGCGATCGTGATGGTGGCTGTCTGCAACGAGGGCGAAGCGAAGTGAACGGCTGGTTGGGTTTGGGGAGATGGGTAGATGGACAAGAGCGAACGCCATTTGGTTTTGCGATGTGAGCTCGGGCGATAGCGAGCCATACTGCGCCTTTGGCGCATAATCCCCTCACCGTTCGACGGTTGATGGGTGATGGTTGATGGTTGATGGTTGGGTTGATGGGTTGATGATCGCTGCGCTCATCCATGGCAATGAGGCGTGGGAAAATAATTGAAACTTACACTTCCTCTACGCGTAGGCCGCCCACCACGACAGGACCGGCGAATACCCAACAGAGATCCTAAAGAAGATCTGGGAGGTCGGACTTCTGAACCTCCACATTCCCGAGACCTACGGCGGTCTCGGCTTGGGCGTGTTGGACTGCGCTATCGTGACAGAAGAGCTCGCCTACGGATGCACGGGTATCCAGACCGCGGCTGAGGCGAACGGTCTCGCTCAGGCCCCCGTTATCCTTGCTGGAAACGACGCGCAAAAGAAGAAGTACCTGGGCCGTATGACCGAGGAGCCCCTTATGTGCGCTTACGGTGTTACTGAGCCTGGCGCTGGATCTGATGTCGCTGGGCTGCAGACGCGGGCTGTCAAGAAGGGTGACAAGTGGATTATCAACGGTGGGTAAACCATTCAGATTTCTAAGCAGTTCCGGAAAATCTGTCCACTGAACATACCCCTCGCGTCAAAAAGGAAGCAAAATGTGGATCACCAACGGCGGCAAAGCCAACTGGTACTTTGTCCTCGCCCGCACCGACGAAAAAGCCTCTACGGGCAAAGCCTTCACCGGTTTCATCGTCGACGGCAATTCGCCCGGGATCACCATCGGCAAGAAGGAAATCAACATGGGTCAACGCGCCTCCGACACCCGCGGTCTGACGTTCGAGGACGTCGAGGTCCCTGTTGAGAATGTATTGGGAGAGGTCGGCGCGGGGTTCAAGATTGCGATGGGGGCTTTTGATATTACGAGGCCGTTGGTTGCTGCTGGGGCTGTGGGGCTTGCCAGGCGTGCGTTGGATGAGGCTGCTAAATACTCCCTTGGTAAGTTTCCATCTCTCATGAGTGCAGTCGACAGGGACTTCTGTCTCTGCGAGGCTAGCTCCTTCAAGAAGTTTCGACACCCGTCACCGATCCTTTCTTCATCTCACACTCTCCTTCTCCCCCCGCATAGAACGCAAAACAATGGGCAAGCCCATCGCCACCCACCAAGCCGTCGCCTTCATGCTCGCCGACATGGCCATGGGCGTCGAAGCCTCCCGCAACATGACCTGGAAAGCTGCATGGCTGCGCGACCAAGGCCACAAAAACACCTACTGGGCATCCATGGCCAAGGCGTTCGCGTCCGAGGTGGCTAATAAGAACGCGGCGGATGCGGTGCAGATCTTTGGAGGAAATGGGTTCAATTCGGAGTATCCAGTTGAGAAACTTATGCGGTGGGTGGTCTTGCTGTGTCTCTATTGTGTATCTCGCGAATGTTGTATCTGATGTCTTTTCGACCGACAGTGACGCCAAAATCTTCATGATCTACGAAGGCACGTCCCAAGTACAACGCCTTGTCATCTCCCGGACCGTGCTGGACGCCGCAAAGGCCGGCGATGTGTACATCTAGAGAGACAATACTCCCACACACAACGTCTATCCAGCCGAAATTACTCATAATTCGATGCCGCGGAAGAGGGGATAGGGCATGGGCTTCACATCATAGACCGGCCCTCCGATAGAGATCGTGAAACGGCGAGTGACTTCCATTTTCCCGTCTGAGCTCCCCACCCAGCCCTTCAACTTTCCTCCGAAACCCAAGAAGGACAGATTCCCTCGGCCCCGTACTGTTACCCCTTCCCAAATATACTTTCGTTTTTGATCTGCGACGGAAGGGCTTCTAAAACAGTGAAGCGTTGTCCCCAGTTGTTTCGTGAACTGCATACTCATCGTCACCGAGAATCCGCTTGGATGTAAGGCCTTCCCGTCAACCCATTTCCTCAAACGGTGGTGTGGTTAAGTCTCACACAGTATGTCCTCGTAGGGGTTTCTACGTAGTCGGAGGCAGAGCTTGTGATCCAGCAGAACGGTGCTGAAAACTCCTCGATGGGGTTCAGATACTTCTACATCGGGAACCTGGTCGTGAACTCCGAGAATGGGGGACAATACCCATACTGCTTGTGGGGTGTCGGCCACCTGGCGCGTGCGCGTGCCAGGGAACATAAAGCTGTAACCCCCGCCGAGCAAGTCAGTGTCGGCCATCTGGCGCGTCTTGCACCGTGTCTCGGATCTGAAAGCCATTGGCATTCTGGCCTGGCCTGGCCTGCCGCTGGCCAGGCTGGTCAGGCTGGCCCGCTGCACGGCGCGTCTCTTGTGACACGGACACTCAATTCCATTAAGAGGTGGGTATAGCTTTATGTTCCCTGGCAGCGAGTGCATGCGTGGTCGCCCGCGAACATGTGTCGGGGCCCTGTTTGGGACATGTTAGGGTTAGGACAGCGACCCTGCAACGACCAACACCGCATCTGTGACATAACAGACCTCGACGTAAAGAGTTGAACGGCTGACTGATGGAAGTCTCTCAACTGACTTATGAGTCCAAAAACGTTTTATTCCGTATCACCTATTTACTGCCATCTTCATCGGGCAGAACGTCAGAAAGATATACACGTCAAGCGGTACAATGAAAGTGGGCGTGGATGGCCGGCCCCCTTTGAAGCCAACTATGCTGGCAACCGACGTCTTGTATGCCCCAGCCTGTCTACTCCGATCGTAATTGAACGACTTCACAGGAAAGAGTCGACTCCGCTGCGTTGATGTCACGCGTAGATTTGGGGTCCCGGGGACACGTGCCCCATCCGAAAATCGTGCGCGCAAGTCAAGCATCGGAGACCGTGCCAAAAAGGTTCAGATGTCTCGTCAGTGGTTTCTCGCCGCTTTGCAGATGACCACGATATCGATGAACGCCAAGCATGCCTGAAGACAACTACGTATTATTGTTTCTTCGCGCTTTATGTGACGCGTGCTTGGCGCGCGTGCTAGAATGGAGCACGCTAGCGCTCCTCAATCGTAGAGTGCTTTGGTTTCACCCAGCAAACTTCCGCCGCCAGTCCACAACGAGTTGTCCAGATCACGCTGTTTCTGGATTTGCGTGAGGACCTACTCATTAGAGGCATTAGTTGTGGAACCGGCAAGCCAAACTGAGTGCTGAACACTGCATACCATTATGAACCCGGCACTCGCGATGGCGCTTATTAGAAAGATGACGTCAAACCAACGATGGTAGAAGTTGAACTCAATCTTGCCCAACACATCGGTTACAATTTTACGATGTTGTGGTGGAAGGCTCATTCGCAGCATGAGGACGGTACTCAGGAAGTACATTCCCATGACATGCGCGAGGAAAAGGACAATGTTGTTGGGCGAGAGTGATGAGGAAAACGCACGAAAAAACTATGAACAAAGTTGAGATGCGACCCGGACTCACGTGAATCAAGTGAAACGATGGGACACACCTTCATGAACTGAATGAGGAGACCTCGAATGGAGCAAACGACAAGAATGCCAACAAATACAAAGGACAATTGCGGTGCCCAAAAAGTAATGTCGATGTCGAAACCGAACCAGTGCACCAAGACGTTTAACCCGTGCGTGACAGGGTCCGCCCCGCCGACGCGATTGAATATGATGTTCAAAATAGACTTTTGGGGGACGAATTCAGTATGGGCTTCACGGGAATGTAAGGGCTTCATATAGCTTACCGCAAACACTTTCCACAGGCAGTACCCCGAGAAGATGTATCCCATAGCGTTGAAATAATGTCCCTTCAAAGTTTGCGCATTTCGAATGCGGTCTCGTTCCATGTTCAGATCCTCCAAATCCAGGAAAAGCTGATGCATGACAGTTTCAAGGGCCTTTATTTCGTGCTTCAGAATGCTGATGTCTAAAATGTCATGCAAGACATGAATCAGTGACGACAGTTCTCCTTTCCAGCTAATGAAGGGCGGCACACACTCGCTCACTTTCTTCCCCGTGTCGGAATCCGTTCGTCACTTTCGTGAACATATTCTTCATAAACCCTCCCATCCCACTTTGTTGCCCTGCAAACTGTGTAACCTCGATGAGCTCCATCGCAACAAGAAAACATGGCACCAGAAGCTCACATCTTCTTGCCCGCGCAATCTGCGCTCAGCCAGCAGAAGCTTCTTCTTCTTGCCAAACAGCATATCCACTGTTTGTAGAAGTTTCTTCTCCGCCAGAGACACATCTGCTTCGGTGATCTTCCTGTCAGAACGATTCAGCGAATGATAACGTCGCAGCTACTCTTCGTGAGCCAGCTCACCTCAGAAAGAAGAACAGCGTCGTGTACGGACTATTTACAGCGCCGAAGCCTGAGAGAATGGCAATCATTGTCACTCCAATGACTCCCACCCGTCCCATCCCCGGTTCAATTCCGAAGTAAGCTGTACGAGATCGTCAAGTATAGCTTCAGTACACTATTTTCCATGGCAGGGAACCATCCGCCAAGGCTAACCACTCGTTCCGGGATCCCTCGCCGCGTTGATCGGGAACTGATCTCCGATCTTCCAGAAGAAATACAGATATACAATCCAGCACAAAGATGCTAATGGCCACCGCCGCTGGCGCAACCATGCTGCAGACGCAAACGAGTTAGACTGTGGAGACTGAATAAGGGAACAACATTGCTTCCATGTCCGTTGTCCGCAGTGTTACCTTTGTCTCGCTCCGCAAATAATATGTAGAATTGATAGAATGGTAGCAACACGATGACATTAAAAAGCATCCCATACAAAGTTATCTTCCAGTGGAGCCATCGCGATCTGCGGAATTTGGTTGGATGTGAGAATTCACAGCCAATAATGCTTTGCTCCACCGGTTCCAACCCCAGCCAAAGTGCGGCGCCGTCGCATACCTCGCGTCCAAAACGTCGCCGATCTCGAAGATGATCATCTCGAACAATGTGCAACAAGCGGCGAACGTGGCCGCGAAGACAACTCTGACAAGGCCTGTCCGTACTTCGTAGTCTTTGAACAGCTTCTCCATCACAAATACCCAGCCCACCCCGAAAAACAGAAGCTGGGAGCCAAAGACCACAAGCGTCGATTCTACAAGGTTGCTTGTGGAGCTTTTAGTTGCGTCGAGTGGCACGGGCGGCGGCGGCGTCAGACCGGCCGCCGTTTTCGAACCTACGATTGACATCCTTGCTGTATTGGCATTCGCGTTTATTGCCTGTCAATTGCACCGGTGGGGTGGGTAATTGGGAGGACAGTCAACTCGTATACGTGGCGGAAAGCTAGGCTATATACATAGATACTGCACAACGCACAGACAAATGAGTGAGGGAGTCTGGGTGCTCCTTCCCGGGTCTGCTGTGTGGTGAAGATGGAGATTGGAACTTTGAACGGGATCGACGGAGGTTGGGAAAGTTCCCCCCTATGGGAACAAGGGCTTTCTCAGAGTTCGAATATTACATACACTGCGGGTGTGGCCTTGGAACATTACACTTGCTCCTCCGAGAAACAACGCACCGGTAGCCAATAGATTCCATTCTCACTCTGTCGCTTATCACCCTCGTTCTCACATAACTTAGAGAGGGGACACTCTCGCGCGCGCCTTTGGAGCCCTGGGCCGCCGCGAGAAGAAAAACCTGAGAACGTTTGGTGTCGGGCACTTTCTCTTTCATTGTCTGGCCAGGGCCGGCCAGAAGTGCGGTACCGGATATTCGGTACACTTTGACGGGATATGGTGAGCGATATCGTATATGGTGAACGTCAATTTGAAGAGACGATATGGGTAAATACGATACACTTGGCGCGAGATACCGACTCGTACCATTGACTACATCGCTTTGTCATTCAATCTACCTCTATTCCTCACTCGCCACCCCCTCGTTTCCCACCCTGACCCCCTGTCTTCCACCCCCTTGCCTTAACCAACCTCCTCGACGCCTCATCGACCTCCAACCCCGCCACCTCAAAGCACCCCAGTACCGCCTCCGCGCTATCTGCACACGGAATAGCGGCGTATCCTTTGAGGAGGGTACGGAGGGCGGTGGCGATGTGGGGTGGGGTGGTCGGGAGGTGTGCGATTGTGAGGATTTGGTGGAGGGTTGATAGGATTTGGGAAGGGGTTGGTGGTGGGTGAGGGATGGGGGGGACCGCCGTCGTGCTCACGGCATCATTTGCGGTCTCGGGCACGGGTGTTTCGAGGGGGGTGGTGGTGGTGTCGTGGGTGGGTTCCCCATTCGGACCATCCTCCCCAGATCGCCAAGCCAACCGACGAAGATCTCCCATAGCAACCGCAACGTTTCTCGCTGTCCGAGAATTGACAAACCCGATTTTCCACCCCCCCCGCCTCGCACCCTCTTCATCCGCCCACTCGGCATCCACAGGACACCGTAACCCCCTCCACGCCAACACCGGATCCCGCACCCTCGCCGCCAACCCCGTCACATACAACGCCGAGCGGTCCGTAGGCCGTATCCCAGCGCGGTCCATTTCGTCCAAAGTCGCACTCACTTTCGCAGGGTGTTCGGCGAGTGCGTACCCGCCGAGGAGGGAAATGTACGTCCGCGCGGTTGGCGGTATTGGGTGGGATGTTCTGAGACGGTCGAACCACCGTTCCATGTGGGGAATCTGCTTGGTGACGGCGTAGTAGGCGATGAGGTGGCGGTGGGTTGTTGTGTCCAGATCTGCGTTTGGTTGTGCTGCTGCGCTCTCGGCGTCTCGACGTTGCTGCTGCATGTGCGCGACCATCCCCTCCATCTCGTCCTGATGGTGTCCCAACGCACATCCCTTGATGAACGCATTACATAACTGCGTTGTTTGAGGGCGCGTCCAGACCATTCGTTTCGCACCGGTCCCGGTTCCACCATAAATACTCACCCTCGCCTCGTCGAACCGTCCCGAACGCGCGAGACATTCCACCATCGATTCCCTGATACTGAAAAGGGATAGCTTGACCCCATGCAGATTCCTGGCCAACATCAACTTCTCCACGCCCTCGACGCTGCCTGCGCGGGTATAAGCGTCCAAAAATGCGCTGTAGACATCCACATCCGGTGCATCTTGGCCAGACGCGGCAAAGTAGTCTTCCCACAGTGTATTGATCGCATGGAGGTGGTCGCGGGGCGTGAGATTAAGCGAGTGTGGGGTTTTCAGAACGCGCAGGAGGGTGCGGAAGTGGTGGTTTGTGCAATGGGAGACGTCGTTTGCCCTGCGGATGGAGAGATAGAGGGACCAGATTTTGCGAGCGGGTGGCGGGGTGGGATTTGTTAGAGCGGCATCGAGGGTGCGAAAGAGTTTTGGGTCGCGGAGGGTGCGGTATTTGCGGGTTTGGGGTCTGGCCCAGTGAGGGAGGTGGGCTGACGGGGTGGGTGGGGAGATTGATAATTGTTCGCTCTGTTGAGGAGCACCTGCCGGTGGTGGTTCCTGTCCATTCTCTCCCGCTTCTTTCGAATGAGCACTCTGCAAGATCGTTGGGTTCTTCGACTTTGAAGCGGACGTTGCGCTGCGTGAGTGCTCCGTTTCCCTGGCGCCAGAAGTTGAGAGGTCTCGGTCAGCTGCATTTCCGAGAGAGGATTCTTTGCGATCATCGTTTCCCCTTTCCCGTTCTAGCGTCGCAGCTAGCCGACCGGAATGGAAGCTCCGAAACGGAGACAACGAGCGGGAGCACGGCGGCCAATATATGATGGGGAGGCGTGCCGTCCTTGGAGGAGAAGCGGCTGCTGCTGCTATTGCAAGGTTGCGGAAGTGCCGCGTGTGATGGGCCCGCATTGCCGTTGGTGGGCAGCGAGCGAGTCGCCTCCGAGTCGCCTCCCCCTTCAGAAAACCCACCCATCATCCAGCCCAGCATCACTCCTGAACACCGTATTCACTACAATGACAACATCCACCTCCCACGAACCACTCTTCCCCCAGCACACTCAACATCATCAACAACACTCCCACGCAGAAGTCAACCTCCGCCGTCTCCTCGCGAGATTCGAAGCTAGTATTGCTAGGCCTAGGAAGTCCAATGGGAATGGGGTGGATGATTTGGAGGTGGATACCATCGTGTCTGCGGAGAGGAAGCATTATTCGGTAGGTGGGAATGAAGGGAACGAGAGGGTGGGTGATGGAGGGTGAGTGGGTGGGAGAAGGGAGGGAACGGTTGATTCGCGGACTGCGGCGAGCGAAGCGCCGCGCAGAGATGCTCGAGGTTGGCGAGCGACAGCGAGCGCCAGTCACTTCTGACGATCGCTTCCATATTCTCGTTAAGCGGTCTTTGGAATTTTCCAGCCATCATCCTTGTCGAGCGGAGAGGGCAGGGGTAGCGTTCCTCCATCGCTCGAGCGTCGCTCGCGGAGTGTCGCTCAGTCAGAAAGCTCCAACCTCCCAACCACTCACTTCTTCGCGTTTGTCAACAAACAGAACCTAGCACACCTGCACAAACTCCTAACAGCAGTCGAAACCGACCCAGCGCGGAAGAAAGACGACACCGTCCTCTGCAGCTACCGGCAGCGCGTGGAGCAGTTGGAGGCTGTGTTGGATAAGAGTCGGTTGGTGCGTACGAGTCTTCAACTATACTCTTTGATGATGGTGATGATGTCGCCACTGGCAGGTGCTAACTCCCCACAGATCTCATCAGTAGGCCGAACGGTCGCATCGCTACGAAAGTTGTCGGCGAGCGCGTCAGCTCAGGATAATGCTGAGCGCGTGGCTGCTGCGGAGAGGGTGCTGAAACTGCAGCGCGAGGCGGAGGATGAGCTCAGGGCGGAGTTGTTGGATGTACGTTGTGGGATACTTTGGAACGGGGTTATTGATGGCGTTGGGAGGGTCTGTCAGATTCACCTGCTGTGCCTCTGCTTTGACCTCATTCGATGCAGAACACGCGCAAGGCCAACACTCCCACTGTGAATGGAAATGGGAACGGAGCAAAGACGCCGCCGTTGTCCACCGGAACTGGAGACGAAAGCTCGGTTCTCAACGATACGCGGGAAGGTAGAACGGCTTACAAAATGGGCCCGCTGTCTGAGATCGTAATCGTTGCTTACATTCGCAACCCCTATTGTAGAGCTCCTTTCAACGCCAAACAAACTGCGTCATCGCGGGTATGTTTCTGAATGCTCCCTGCCTTACGTCTCTCGTAGCTTATCCTTACTGCTTCACCCATTTAGTCCAAACATCCCCCCACCACCAACCGACACATTCTCCACCCCTCCGACCCCGCACCTCACCCCATCAAAACCACCACCACCCTCCAAACGCCCCACCAAAACCGCCTCCCACGACGACAGCGACTCATTCATCCTATCCGCAACAGACGCGAAAGTAAAACTCGACCGCGACCGCAAGGAACAACAACAAATGACGGAAGACATGCTCGTCATGTCCCAGCAACTCCGCATGAACGCGGGGGAATTTGGGGATCGGCTTAAACGAGACGCCGTGGTACATATCATCATACCATGTCATCCCTTCTTCTCTTTGTGTGTCGATACAACACATTGGATTAACACGCGATGTGTGATTTTTTCTAGATAATGAACGAAGCAACACACCTCCTCGATACAAACCTCAGCACGCTCACCACCGCCTCCGCGCGCCTCGACACGCTCAACAAGACGGCACGGACTACCACGTGGATGGTCTGGGCGACTGTGCTGGTGGTCTGTCTGGTATTTGTTGGAACGGTGGGGGTTATGCGGGTTTTTGGGAAGCGGGAGGGTGGGGCGAGGAGGTTTGTGGCGCCGACTGTCGGGGCAGCCGTCGGAGGAGAGTTGAAGTTACTCGAGGAGGGGGAGGACGGGTGGTTTTGGTAGAGGGCGCTTGTCGGCCCTGGCGCAAATTAAGGCTCATGCTGGGACATTGAGCACTTCTTGGCTTCGGGGCATTGGCGGGTTACATTCGTTCAAGGTACGGAAGCACCCTGCGTGGTTGTGGGTGGGGGAGTTGCCGTAACTCACCGCACGTACCTTACGGGGCACCATATCACTTTTGGCAAAGTCTGATGGTTTGGCAGTCGTGTCTTCTGTATATAATGGGATCCCAGGCTGAGGGATTGTTACATAGCAAGATTTTTATATCACTGGTGGGCTGACGACCTGGGGAGGGGCTGATGGTGAAGTGTTCGATGATACATACACCCAAAAAAAAAGGTTGCACATATCCTCTCTTACATCCATACGCTTCCCTGGGCTCCTCACTCACAGGGAGGGTTACGGTACACTAAATCAGCGGCCTGGAGGTTAGTTGTAGTTGTGTGGGTTAGGGTTTGGGGTTTAGGGTTGAGGGTCTAGGGTTTAAGGTTAGGGTTAGGGTTAGGGCTAGGGTTAGGGTACTCGGGTGAGGAAGGAGGCTGCCAACCAAGAAGGACACCGCTGCCGCTATTGCCAAGGAGACCACCATCAACCGATTCAGGCAGCCTGAGCGGTTGCCATACAGGTTACTTATAAGTGATCAGGCCCCGCCAGAACGAATGGGGCCAGGGACCGTGTCCTGACGATGTGCTCCCATATGCTGTAGATACGAAGTTAGGAGGACACCGCTTGTGTAAAGTTTGAGGAGCATATCGCAATCGTAGGGCTGAGAACAAAAGACAACGATTATACTCGTCCAGTTTCTGGTGCCGTAGCCGCGGAAGTTTTCAGTGTGTTTCAGTAATAGCACATACATACACCCCGTGGAACCCAAAAATTTTGTAGATCCTGATGCCCCCCCCTCCCTGGCCAAATCGCTATCCCCTCCCCTTCCTTCCCTTCCATGCCACCTGACTCACTCAACCAACCCCCTCTCCCTCAAAACCCGCAAAAGCGCCTCACATTTCTCAAACGCCCTCGTCGGCAGACTCACCAACGGTCTCCCAAAGGGTGTCGGGGCGGGCGTCTTGCGTTTTCGCGTCGGCGGCGGTTTAACTTCATCCACCCCTTCTATCATCGGTCCAGGTAACCCTTCCGCTACTTCCCCTGCACCTCCTGTTTCCGATGGAGTCGTCGTCGTCTTCACAGACGTGGATGACCCGTTCACCTGAGGCCGCCCGGGAGGTATGATGATCGTGCCCAACCCACTAGAGTGCCCCGCGCCCCGGCCCCAGCCCCTACCCCTGCCAAGAGCCGAAAAAGTCATCGCCGTCCTCCCCCTCGGAACCCCATAGAACGATCCCGGCTTCACACCCCTCCCCTGCTGTGTCTGCGTTTTGCGTCCCGGGGGTGATATCAGCGCTTTTGTAAGCACCGGTTGTCCCCTCCGCGGCGTTGAGGGGGGATCGAGGGAGTGGGGTTTGAAGTAGTCAGTGATGATGGAGGAGGCGCGGCGCGGGCGGCGGGTTGTTGTTGAGGAGGAGTCCGGTGGGAGGGATGTGGCCCCTCGGGAGAGACGGGAAGGGGCGGGGTAGTCCGCGTCGTCGGGGTCTGAGTCCGGTGGGAGCGGGCGTTTGCCTGCCGGTGGTGGGGCGGACCCATCGTCTTCGTCGTCGTCGGTGTGGGAGCGCTCACGGCGACGTCGGATTGGCGCTGTACTCGATTGCGCTTGTAATGTATTATCATCCACCGCGTCCCCATCCACCTCGTCATCAACCCCAAACGCCCAAGTGGTCACAAAAGCCCCCCTCAGCAACTTCGCCGGGTATTTGGTGATAACCGCGGCATTGACATTCCCCCCTCGTCTCGGATAAGTCGGCGCGATGGACAGATCAGCGGTAGATGCTTCCATCATGCGGCGCTTGTAGAGCTGGTGGCGGACATACTCCTTTTCGCGGTTTTTGAGGCGGCGTTCGGAGTATTCGTGTTTGCGGTGGCGGTGGAGGTAGGTGGTGTCTGATAGGTGGTCCTGGGGCTGTGAGAGATCAGGGTCAATGGCAGGGTTCATGGGGGATTGGGTATGTGGGGGGAAAGACAAGGACTCACGGGTGGATCGTTGGGATCATCCTTCGGGAACAAGTCATGGATCTTTTGATTGATCTCTCTCGCTGTCAGTTCCTGGAAATCGGGAATATCGATCTCGCGGTGGCCGTGGACCAGGTTCTCCGGTGCTTCGATTGGCTGTACAAGGGCGATATGTGCGGGTTGGGGGTGAAGTGTCGTGTTGTGATAGTCGATGCAGTCGGCTAGCTCGGCGGTGGATTTGACGATGTGGAGCATGAAGGAGCCTGTGATGAGGGGGGGTTGCTCGTGGCATGTTGAGGGTGGGTGGGGTTGTGAGGGTGAGTCTGGAGGGTGTGCTTGATGTGAGCTGGGGCTCGGGCTGGTGGAGGTGGTGTTGCGCTGAACCGATGTGCTGCGGGTGGATGGGCGGAGGTGTGGTGCTGGAACATCCGAATTTGCATACACAGTGGGAATCCATCAAACAAGATGAAGTGGTCGGATAACGAGAGAATAGAAAAGAAGAAATGATATTCAATACGCTTTTTGCAGCTACAAAAGGGATCGAAGAAATTCAAAGTTTGTATTTACGTGAAGATTCTATAACGGTCGTCTGCCTGTCACGGAGCTGTCTGCTATTTGAAGGTTCCCGGCTTTCTAATAGACTCATGCCGACTATCTTTTCTAGCTCTTCGATCGCTTCTTTGAATTTACCGACATAGACTCCTATGGAATGAGGAAAGGGTTAACGCTTCGTCACCGAGTGTTTGGTCGCCCCGCAACCCACCTTAGGGCCTAATGCTAATAGGGATGCTTTGCCTCACATGACTGATCCCCACCTCTCTGAAAAAGGTCCAGCCGCAAACGATTTAATCTCGGTCGGTCGGTGAAGCTGATGAGAACGGTGAGAGATTGCGGTTGTTACCTGGTGGTGGTCGGCGAAAGGATGAACTGTACACAGCTGCTCGCAATTGCGTTGCGAAGGAGGAAGTTAGTGGGCCGCCGACAGCTTTCGCAATTGCGTTGGGAAGGCACGTTAGGCCGCGCGTCTAGAGGCGGCATGGTTTACCGAGGGTTTAGGGGTTCATGCGCGAGTAAGCCTTCCGCGCGAGTCTTTCTTATGCTCGCATTCTACATGGGGGCCGATGGTCGTATGTACACATGGGGGGAACAGGTGAGATGCACGCCTGTGGGAATGTTACACACACTACCAAGACAGCCTCTGCCCCATGCCCATTGGACATCTGATTGGACATGGACGTCCGGATAGGATCGCCCCTGCCCGCCCCCCGACAGTTCCATTGACTTCTGGGCCTCCTCACTCACCCAGAGGGCATCATCACACTTCTGGCTGGGCCTTCTCCCCACCGACTGGCCACCACATCGCACACCGACCGCCCATCACATCATACACTTGTGAGCATTGTTGCACCCACCCCACGCGCTACAGGTACGTTTGCGTGAGTGTTTTCGCAACCCCATTGGCGCAGGTTCCTTTCCTTACATCCTCCACTCACCCTTGTTAGCATCCCATCTTCGGTCAGGTCATCATGACCTCCGACGACGACCCCACCCACGAAGAACTCATGGCCATGTGGAAGCAGCAGAGAGCACGGGGGAATGAAGCTGCTGAATGGAGGGCGGCGGCAGAGAGGGCGGCGGCAGAGAGGGCGGAGGCAGAGAGGGAGGCGGAAACGGGACCGAGTGCGACCACTAAGGTCGCTGCCAAGAAGCGAGGCGGGAAGCAAGGCGGGAAGCAAGGTGGGAAGCAAGCAGTCGGGAAGGCGACAAAGGCAATTGCGGCGGCTGCCGCGGAGAACTGCAAGCCAATTGCAGGACATGGCGGACACCAATGACGAGGACTCGAACGACGCCATATCCATCCACAGTGAAGGCCATGACATGGGGCCGCCACCGCGACCCGCACCCAACCCTGCTTCCACTGCCGCACCCAAGCCCGCTTCCACTGCCGCACCCGAATCCGCTTCCACTGCCGCACCCGAATCCGCTTCCACTACCGCACCCGAATCCGCTTCCACAACCGCTTCCACTGCCGCACCCGAATCCGCTTCCACTGCCGCTTCCACTGCCGCACCCGAATCCGCTTCCACTACCGCACCCGAATCCGCTTCCACTACCACTTCCACTGCCGCACCCCAATCCGCTTCCACTACCGCACCCGAATCCGCTTCCACTACCGCTTCCACTGCCGCACCCGAATCCGCCACCGTGCCCACGTCCGACATTCCTGAAACGATCCCCGCCACCGTGCCCACGTCCGACAACCCATCTAGCCAGGCGAAGAAGAAGATCAGGCTATCGGCGCTTGCCCGAGTTCGTCAACGAAACCACGGTGGTCAGTTCATGAGGGACACGCCGACCGACATCAATGTATCATCCGTTTTCCATGCCTCCGGAATCGTTGGGGATCGTTCGAATTACAAGTACACGATGATGCAGAGCATCCTGCATACAATGAACGCCATGGACACTTCCGCTCTCACTATGATGCACGCATTGTTGTTCAGTCCCTTCGAACAGGTGCTGCGAGAAGCACATCTACGTGTCAAACGATGCCATTTTCAATCCCACCAAGAATGGCAGGACGGGATTGAGAGTTTTATATCGGGAATACATCAGAGGATGATTGAACTGTTCAGCACGAAGTTGGATTTGATGGGGGGCCATCGAGTTGATCTTCTCTCCCTGGTCTTGGCTGAACGAGAGCACGCGTCCGAGGAGGAATGGAAGGAGAAGGAGAGGGAGAAGGAGATAGAGGACAGGCAGCGAATGTAAATATACTATGCAGTTTGCTGTTTCTGTTTGAGTCTTGGAATGAAAATTGAGTATCATTTCGTGAATTTCGTGTCAGATCCATTACCTATGCCAGAGGAATGTTGTCGCCGCCGTGCTCGCCGAGCGACGGACAAACTCCAACCAAACCGAGCGACAAACAACCTCGATTGGGGCGGTTGGGGATAAACCCTGGGGATTTCGGGGCGGTTGGGGCGATGAGCGGGGTGGGGAATCCGATTGTTGTGGAGGAGGCGGGGCGGGGGGGTGTGGCGGGCTTGGTTGCGCCGGTGCTGATTGTCGGGGAGGGGCGCCGACGGGGTGGCGGGAGAGGGATGGTGCGGGTGTGGATGCGGATTTGGTGACGGAGGAGGCGAGGGGGAGGTGGGGAAGGCATTTAGGGTGGTTAAGTGAGGCTGAGGAAGGTCGACCAGCTGCGGAGGGTTCGGAATCCCCTTCGGACTCTATTTCGGGAGGCAAACGGAAACGAGGGATTCCGTCACCCCCCCCCCCCCCCCCCCACCACCAATAACCCCCAACGACACCATCAGCGCCCTCCTCTCCACCCCGACCGCGCTCTACACCACGGCCTCCATGGGCGGCACCTCGCTCAAACCGCCCGGACGCATTTCCTCCTGCGCACATTATAGTGCGTCCATTGCGTCCATCCACGCCCGCCGCGTCGTCACATCACCCCCGGGTGGTCACATCACCAATCGGAGCGACGGACAAACTCCGAAGTGGGCCCCAATTACCACTGATGGCTGGCTGACCAGATGGTATCGTTCCGCGGCACCGAACGCGTTGGTGTATGCTGCCACTGAGATAACGCCGGTGAGAAAGAAAGACAAAGTGGCGTACGTCCCATCTGGAAAACAAGTCACGCTATCGGCGGGTGACCTGTGATTGGAGGACAGGCAAGGAAAACCGCTCTTTGCCGTCTTTCACGGCCAGATGGCACGGGATTATCTGGACCAAAGTCAAAACCCTTCACAACGCTCAGCAACTCCGTCCGTCAAGGGTGAGCATTTCGGGCTCACCCCTGAGCAGGATGCAGTTGTGACGCAGACTCTCTGGCGCCTGTATCAGGACCGCTCCGACATACCAGCAAGGGCAAAATCGTCTAACGTTCGATACGACGGCACCACCGATACTACCATCTTCAATGCCGGTATACATATCCCGCACGGTTCCGTGGCACAGATCCCCGTGCCGACGAAGGAGACTAGGGACCACGAGAAGGCTTGGGCTGAAATCGTGAACGTCTTCCAGGAGACTGGGGCATCGTCGAAGCTCTGCGATGTTAAAGATTTCTTGGAGGGCACTGACTGGCGTTCCATCCTCTCCAGCACTATCCCCGCCGAACTCCTACACTACATTGGAGGCGACCCGACAAAGCCAGAGGACCTGGTGATGCCCGGATGTTTCTGCGCCGTGAATTTCAACAACGTTTGTCGCACCCATTTCGACACGCAGAATCACGATTGGTGTCTGATGACGGCGCATGGATGGTTCCTTCGCGGGGAGTTGATTCTTCAAATGGACAACGGTACGGAGTATTTGGGGCCGATCTGGCCAGGCGACACCGTAGCCGGCTTGATGCACTGTATTCGGCACAGGAGCTCAGCATTTGAGGGGAAATTCCGTGGAACTGTCGTTTGGACGGTGAAGAAACAACTACGCGACTTGAGGAACAAGCATCCCCTGCCCCCGTTGGGAGTGGCCCCGTGCTCCCAACGACCTCTACCTCTGGGCCGGCAATGTGGAAAGGCGAGCCGTGGCCAAAGGTGGATGAAGAACACCTCGTCTTCCTTGAACGCGTAATCGGCAGCACGAATATGCCGGTGGGCCAGGCTGTCGGTAAAGGAAAAGGGGCCCTGAAGATACCGGCAGAGTCGTCGATTATAGACCCCGCTACCATTGAGAAGATTGTCAAAACCGATAGCTGGCTGAATGATCAAGCTGTCAACAGGTGCGTTCCTTTTTCTGATGCGCACGTCTCATTGTTGTCTCTCACTGATGCTTTTCGTTGGATGTTACTGCTCCATATATATAGGTGGTGTGCGTTGTTACAAGCCAGGTCATTACAGCACCCGACCATTTATCCACCACTGCTAGCGGTTGGATCCACTTGGCTCCAAAGTGCCAAAATGGCACGGAGATCCAGTGTCCCTATTCGGTTTGTTCCGGTAAGAAAAGTTTTGGACTTTATTACCGTCCTGCGCTTCAACCAACTTTCCGTTTTTTGGTTGTTGTTAAGCGGTCTGTCAACGTCGCAGAGTACAACATACTGCTATTCCCAACAAACCCAGACAATCTGCACTGGGTCCTCTGGGTCCTGTTTGCAATACTCGTCGCGGTACCGGTGCCCAGGACTGCAAAACCACTACGCCCTGGTTCGCCGTTAACCAGACATGAAAACCTATCCATCGTTTTATTTGACTCCAAGGCTTGCCCAGGCGACAAGTACTACGTTGATAAGATGGCCAATATCGGCTCCATCTTGTGGGATTGGTACACCAGGGCCACTGAAGCCCCCCTCAAAGACGCACCTACCATTGCCGCCCTCTTCACACCTCAACAGACAGATGACCAGAACTGCGGTACGTTTGTGTGCATGATGGCTGATGCCATTGCCCGGGGTGCTGTGGGTGAGGTCACGGAATCATGGGCCGATGATCCACAGACCGCCGTCAATGCCCGCCATAACATCGCACTGAGCATCGTATTGGCGACATTTCTTAATGATGGGGATGCTCATCAGTATACGAATGTGACAAAGTGCAAGATCTATGACTGACTGTAGCAGTAGTCCTCTAGATTTCAATAGCAGCAATGTAGTAGTCAAAACGGCGTACATACATACATACATTCTAATAATCAGAATGGCAGTTTCTTTGCCCAGGTGAGCGTAACGGTAATCCTCACAAAAATATGCCCTACACTGCCCCCAACCGTAGGTAACGCCCAGAGGCTCTCCCACCCTTTACAAAACCGCCACGAGCTTCTCTGCACTGACTCGTCCGTTGGCCGAATCATCCAACCCCTTCAATACTCCCTCCAGTCCTTCCAGCTTGGTAACTTTGTTGACCTTCAACCTCCCCTGCACAAAGTACTCCAACACCTCCTCATCAAGGACCTTCGCCACAAACTCCCCAACGGCGGGAGCAAGCCCCATAATGAACTTGAAACTGATCCCCTCGGGCGAGTTGAAGTCCGGGCTGGTGATGGAGACGATCTTTGCGGGGATGTCTGCGTTCGCCCTCAGAACTTGAGACAACTTCCCGATGGCGTCGCCGTGGCCGACAAGGTCCAGACCAGCACGCGCGCGCCCGGCGGTGAGTTTCTTGATTTCCTCCACCACGTCGTCGCGCTTATAGTCCACGACGTGGGATGCACCCAGGCTGCGGACGAGCTCATGGTTCTTGGGGCTCGCGGTGGCGATCACGTTGTAGCCGGCCGCTGAGGCGAGTTGGACGGCGTACATGCCGACGGAGGTGGCTCCGCCCCAGATGACGACGTATTCCGGGGCGAACCACCTGGTGTGGGTGTTGGGGCGGGCAAGCTTGAGTCCGTCGTCGGCAAAAAGGGTGTAAACGGCGGTCGACAGAGCAGTTGGGAAGGTGGCGCCGTCTTCGAAGGATAGGTTGGATGGGAGCTTGAAGGTGCGGATGGCCTCCGCGGTGCTGTACTCGCCGAACGCGTTTCCGGTGGTCAAGGCAAAGACCTTGTCGCCGGCCTTGAATCCTCGTTCGGCGGCTTTGGATCCTACTTTTGTGATCTCTCCGCTGACGTCGTAGCCGAGACGGGTTGGCCAGGACTCGATCAAGAATCCGAAGTTGGACATTTTCCAGTCGATGGGGCTGAAAAGGAAGTAGGGAGTTAGTATCGTGTTTTCGATTGGACAACGAGATGCGCGTAGCCTACTTGATTGAAACAGCTTTGCTCTTGATGAGGACTTGGCTGTCAGAGACGGTCAGCTCCGGCACGCTTTCGATGACCAACTGGCCTTTCTCCTTGACGATGACTGCTTTGGACATTGTGGGCGCGGTTGACGTTGATAACAAGGATGCCGTGAGTGGTGTGCTTCTGTTCGATTCTCGGTTGAAAGAGAAGAGAGCAAGGCCTATTGCGAGGGGAAGGACGAGATATGTGCTGTATTTAAGGAACCGAAAGCTTCCTGCGAAGTGTGAAATGGAAGTGCTGGATGAGTGAAAGGCGAGAGGAGGCTCTGGCGCGGACCCGCCGTACCTCCGAGCGTCGTAGTAGTAGGCATACCTTGTTATGAGCGACGGAGAGGAGGCTGCTCGATACTGTACTTTCAGGAAAAGAGAGAGAGAGAGAGGGGGGGGGAGGGGGGGGGGGGGGGGGTGTTGGCAAGCAAGCGTCGTGGAAGCCTCCTTCAAGAAGCTCTGACGTTGCGCTCGCCCATCTCATAAACCACTGTTAGGCAGCCGCTTTGCAACGGGGTGTGTGCAGCAGGTAAGTCACAGCTGCGTATGGGAAGAAACACGCCGTCAACCTGCGCGAAGTCCACCCCCCCCGCTGTCAGAGAGACGCACACAACAGACACAACACCCCCGCAACCTTCCCAACTGGCCGCTCCAGAACAGCTGTGCGCTCCCTTAACGATGCCGCCCAGACCCTCAACAGCCTCAACAGCCAAGACCCGCCTCGGGCGCCTCCTCGCTTTCGCCCTCCCTTTCGCCCTCCTTGGCCTCCTCGCCCTCGTGCAAACCTCCGCCGCCGCCGCCGCAGCCGCCGCAATAACAACAGAAGAGTACAAAGCCGTCAACAAGCTCGTCACCCACATCCCCCCATCAAAATTCGCAGAAACAATCGCAACAAGCACCCGCCTCGTCTTCTTTGGCTCAAACAGCTGCCCACACTGCCGCGAATTCACTCCCGCATGGCTGAAAGTCCAGCAACGGGTCGATAACCTCGAGAAGGAGTTTTACCTCCACAAAGTCGAATGCACGGGACGGGCCGACAACGAGGACCTGTGCAATGACCAGCAGATCACCGGCTACCCTACCGTTCGGCTGTTCCATAACGGGAAGCAGATCGATGAGCCGGCAGACGTGCAGGATTTGGAGAACCTGAATGTGTATGTGGACGGGCAAATCGCGAAATATGCGTCCGACAAAGTGGCCCTGGAGAACTTGAAGGCGTTGGCTGCGGCGGCGCCGGGGGGTGTCGAGGGGCAGAATATCAACCTGGACGGGCGGATGGTGCATTTGACCGACAAGACGTTTGAGATCATGACCAACAACACGCCGTGGTTTGTCATGTTCCATGCGCCATGGTGCGGGCACTGTAAGCAGCTCAAGCCGGTGTTTGAGGACTTGGCGCCGGCGATGAGGGGGAAGGTTAACATCGGCGCACTCAACTGCGACGATCACCCTAAGCTGTGCAAGAGACACAATGTGCGGGGATACCCCACCGTCAAATTCCTGGAACTGCCGGGGACAAACATAGAGTACAAGGGAGCGAGATCGTACGATGCGCTCAAGAACTACCTGACCAACCTATCAGGCCGAAAGGCCCTCGAAATCGTTACGTCCGCGCAAATCCCCAAAATCCTCCAACAAAACGAAGTCGCCTTCTTCCTTTCCCTCGGCGGCCGCTACATCCAACACTCCGACGCCCTCAAAGCCTTCAAAACCGTCGCCACCAATTTCCGCAATGACGCCCGCTTCTACGTCACCATCGACTCAGCCGCCAACACCCTCTTGAAACCCCCCCCAGGCAACCCGCACCTCCTCGCCCTAAAAGACAACGGCGAAACCACCATCCCCTACATCGGTGACTACCACAACACTGACTCCTCCCGTCTCTACATGCGCCAATTCATCGCCGCCCACAGGTACCCTCGCGTCACCCACCTCGACGCCAACAACCAGGAAGAGATCCTGGGCGGGGATCGCCTGGTCGTGATGGCCGTCATTGAGCCGTCCTCCGCGCGCCGCACGAGCATCAATAACGCGTTGAAGGACGCGAGCAGGGCGTGGGCGAAGAAGGAGGAGGCGGAGAAGTTGCATGATCTGGTGGTTTTCACGTGGTTGGATGGGGTCAAGTGGGAGAATTATGTGGAGAGGGTGTATGGACTTAATCGGGGGATGTTGCCGGCGCTGGTTATCTCCGATCCGAAGGTGCGTCTCTTTATCCCCTGTGCGCAGTGAGCGTCCTTTCTACTACGTGAGGTATGAACTAAAATGGAACTTGCAGGAGGACAAATACTACGACACAGACAAAACAGGCCGCTCAATCGGCTTCGACAAGGAATCCCTCCTCGCCGCCATCGACGAGATCCTCGAGGGCGTCGCAAAGGTAATGTAAAATGCCCAATCCCCATCCCCCCCTCACCCATCCTTCCCATCCTCACACCCCCTCTCCCCCTCCAGCCCAAATACACCGCAGGAATTCTGGGCCGCACCTCCCGCAAGCTCTTCAAATCCCTCGACGGCGTCGCAACAACCGCACGGAGTAATTTCTGGACACTGTTGTTTTTCAGCGTGCTGGTGGGCGTGGCGTATGTGTATGGCGCGATTCCGGGGTTGAAGAGGGGGAGGAATGATCCGAAGGCTGAGTAGGAAGGAGGGGGTTTTGATGTGTAGGGTAGATCTTTGATCAGGGGGAGTTCTTTTTGTGACTGATTCCGCGGATCCGATTGGCGACTGATTAGGCGAATGGTCAACTGGCCCGCACATACCACTACCGGCTCACCTACACACCTCGTGCTCTGAAGCATTTCTGGCTGGACACAAAACCTCCGCGCGTCAATGCAACAAACGTGCACTTGTGGGGAACATGGAGACCGCTCGTCAACCACGACCGCTGGGATATTCCTGATGGATGGGCCGCTATAAGCTGTTTTGGAAAGTTTGGAGTGGACCGGGGGCCTGTTCTGCCTTCCCGACCTGGCAATGTTATTGGCTGTTGAACAACTCGCGCGGCCGGCTGTTATTATTGGCTGTTACTCGCACATGTAACCCTAACTGTAGATTATACCGCGCGGCCGGCTGTTATTGGCTGCTTACTCGCGTGCAACCCTAACTGTTCTGCCTAGTGTGAGTAGTGTGTGCCTGGCTTGATGTGCTGTCATCCAGCAGGCACGCAAAGGCACACGCCCCAGATCTGTAACTGAAACTGAGCACCCAGGCGGGCCAAAACAATGAGGCGGGCCAAAGCACCCATCCCACAACATCACCCTGCCCACCATGACCAACCATATGCACGCCATATCCCTCCCGCGGGCAGCTTCTGGTCCCTGTTGTTGTATTCCCCGCCAAGGTCACAACAACCAGAACCTACGCCACGACTCACGCACCCAGTTCTGAACCGCCGACTTTCGCTGGTAGGTCATTCAACATGGTGCAACGCATTCTCTCCAACACTACCTCCGACACTACGCAGAAAGTGCTGAGGAGTGTTGCTGCATATATGCTCATGTACTTGTGAACGCGGGTCTCACGCATCGCTTTTGTTCAACAACAGTTTTCGACGGCAGCAAAAACCACAGGTTCCCAAAGTACATACAGTACGAAGTCTGCAGCAACACACACCGGCTTAACTCGTTCAGCAGAGCTCATTCGTAGCAGCTGCGCACGACAAATCAGCAGCGCAATCAACCCATCCGCCACACAATCGAGGTGCCAAAGCACAACGGAGCCGCCCAAAAACAGCCGAATACACATCTACCGTTCAACGGAGGATTGGACACCGCTATGATGACAACGTATCAACCGCATCTGGCCTCTACGGAGTCGATACGAAAGCAGCGGAAGAAATTGGTCGTTGTCGGTGATGGAGCGGCTGGGAAGACGAGTTTGCTGGTTGTGCAGAGTGGCGAGCCGTTTCCTGAGGAGTATGGTACGTAGGTTGACGGGGATTGGAAGTGATTTGAGGACGTTGAGGGAATCCGGGGGGTCCGCAAAAGATGTTTGCTGGGTGCATCACTTTCTCTATGCCGGTATTCATCATCCTTTTTCCATCCATAGTACCAACAATCTTCGAAAACTATATATCGCGAGTACAAGTCAAAGACAAGACATATGAGCTCAGTCTATGGGTACAGTATAAAACAAAATGCATGTGGACCGCCAACTCGTGAATGCCTATTCATCATTGTCCTTCGTTTTCTCGCAGGATACTGCCGGACAAGAGGACTACGATCGGTTACGGCCGCTGAGTTACCCCGACACGGATGTGGTACGTTCCGAGATGGAGCGCTGATTCCATTTGCTTGTCTGGTTTCTGGTCTCAAACTAATCGATTGTTCACTCTCAGATACTCCTCGCATTCTCTGTCATCGCCCCAGGAAGCTACAACAATATAAGAGAAAAGGTAACCCGATACCCTTCCCACCGCACCTCGGCCGCCGTCCCCAACTAACCCCGCCTTCCCACGCATTAGTGGAATCCCGAAACCCAGCACTTCCTCCCACACGTCCCACGCATTCTCGTCGGCTGCAAAACCGACCTGCGCCACGACGCCGGCATTCTCGAAGGCCTCGCCAAGATCGGTCAGAAACCGGTCACCACCGAAGAAGGCCACAAGCTCGCGCAGGAGCTGTCCACCTCCACGCATATGAAGGTGCGGTACTTTGAGACCAGTGCCAAAACGGGGGATGGCGTTGGGGACGTGTTCGTGTGTGCGGCGAAGATGGTCAATCGGGGGAAGGGGGGACGGGGAGCGTGTTGTATCATGTGAGGGGATGTATGAGCGACGGTCGATGGACGGTGATGGTATCCGAGCCCGTCGCAGACATTGTATAACTGCAGAACCCCATATAGACGCACCCCAACCCTGGATCTGGACAACTTGGTTTGGTTTCACGTCTCCGAATCCCTTTGTCCATGTTACTTGTATGTCAAATATCCCTTTTTCTCTTCAATCATATCCGACCTTCTTTTTTGGACCTAGGTTTCTACAGTATCTCGTAGCTTGCATGTCCATCCAATCCTCCATGTTCAGACGACTCTTTCCGTGCACGAGCGGTGGAATCTATGGGAGATCAGGCGCGAAGCCTCCCAAATTTCGCGCGCAAGGGCTGGCGTCGGCGGCGTTGCCGCCTCTAGACGCGCGGCCTAACGTTCCTTCCCATTGGACACGCTTCCCATTGACCAATGGGAACCCTACGTGGCCTTCCCATTGGCCAGTAACGCCGCCGACGCCAGCCTATTATAAGTCGGGTAGCAAAAAGCCGTGTCTCCTTGAAATCTCCTATCAACCCGGACTCCACTCCATCTGGCCTCCTTATTGTAGATATATCCATTAAGCGTGGAGTCCCATCAAGCGTTCCTATTGTATGTAAGAACCTCAGAAACCTTCTCCCCCAGTCTTTGTCTTTCTTGCGGGTCCTTCTCCCCCAGTCTTTGTCTTTCTTGCGGGTCAACCGCTGTATATATTTATATGTGAATATGAGAGAGGTGCGCTTCGAAAGTGTATGGTTGTGAGGAATATTGATATTCTATTGCTGGTGCGATACTGCATACAGGAAGTGTGGAGCGCTTTCTACAACTTAGCGGTTGGTTTGTGGATGGATGCGTCGAGACGCTTGGCGACGTGGTCGATGAACTCTCGGGAGGTAACGTAGTGTTCGCGCTTCAATCTGTGATGAGTGGGGTGGGAGAAAGTGTCAATCACGCCTTTCCGGGAGATGTCCAATCTGTTGAAGGTATCTCATCAACTCACCCTTTCCCATGGATAGTCAAAGCCAAATCCTTCGTCATAATCTCATCCTTCTCCACGGTGTCAATACACGCCTGTTCCAGAGCATCGCAGTACTTCTTCAACGCGTCGTTCCCATCCAGCTTGGCACGGTGCGCCAGTCCCCGACTCCACGCAAAGATACTAGCGATGGAGTTGGTGCTCGTCTCCTTGCCCTTCTGGTGTTCACGGTAGTGACGGGTGACCGTGCCGTGAGCGGCTTCGGCCTCCATGGTCTTTCCGTCAGGGGTCAGCAGCACCGATGTCATGAGACCGAGGGAGCCGAACCCTTGGGCTAGCGTGTCGGACTGCACGTCACCGTCGTAGTTCTTGCAGGCCCAGATGAAGTTTCCGCTGTTCTTCAGAGCCTGGGCGACTTGGTCATCGATCAGACGGTGCTCGTACCAGATACCCAGCTGCCTGAACTTGTCAATGTACTCCTTCTCGTAGATTTCTTGGAAGATGTCCTTGAAGCGGCCGTCGTACACTTTCAGAATGGTATTTTTGGTGGAAAGGTACAATGGCATCTTGCGCTGCACAGCCATTTGGAAGCATGATTGCGCGAACCCGCGGATGGAGTCGTCTGTGTTGTACATGCCCATCCCTACTCCCCTTCCCTTGAACTCGTAGACGGTGAAAGATTTTGTTGGTCCGCCGTTCGCTGGTTTGAACGTCATCTCGAACGTGCCTGGTCCGTCGGCAATGAAATCTGTTGACCGGTACTGAGATAGGGTGGGGTAGGAGCAATCAACGTTCGCTCTTTTGTGTGGAATTTTCGACCGGGTCCCACTCACCTGATCACCGAAAGCGTGACGACCAATAATGATGGGATGTGTCCACCCCGAAACGAGACGAGGCACGTTCTTCAGTAAAATGGGTTCCCTGAAGACAGTACCATCCAGGATGTTCCTGATCGTTCCATTCGGCGATTTCCACATCTTCTTCAGCTTGAACTCCTCTACTCTGGCTTCATCGGGGGTGATGGTGGCACATTTGATGCCGACGTTGTACTTTTTGATGGCCTCAGCGGCCTCGATGGTGACCTTGTCATCCGTTTTGTCACGGTACTCCATCCCCAAGTCGAAGTACTTGATGGGCACGTCAACATACGGGAGAACCAGTTTCTCCTTAATCCAAGCCCAAAGAATGCGCGTCATTTCATCACCGTCGAGTTCGACGACCGGGTTCTTGACCACGATCTTGCCTCCACTGCCACTCGCAGCGGTGGCCATCCCGCGACTGCTGCTAACAGGACTGGTGGCGAGGTTGATGGCGCGGTAAGGCTGAAGAGGGGCCATTGCTGTTGCGGACGTCAAGCGAGGAAGAGCGGAAGTGCCGCGAGAAAGGAGGAAGCTACAGGGGAAGACGCAAAGTGAGTTTGGCGAGGTTTCGAAAGGGGAAGACGCAAAGTGAGTGGGCGAGGTTAGGAAGCGACCTCCCACCCGGATCCACTGGGACGCACCTTCTCATAACTGTTTCCGAGATGCGGGGAGTTTGCGAGCAGAAGCAACAAGGAAGTTGGGCGTCAGGAGGGGTTTAAAAGGCGCCTCACTCACTCTGCCGAGATGCTTAGCGTTCTGGAAAACCGTTAGAAACGTTCGGAGCGTTCGTAACTTTTCTCGCCCTCCCTCCGCCGCCTCCGTTTTCCCTCCCCATCCGTTTTCCCTCCCCAGCCAGTCACTGCTGCACTAGGACCCGCAGAGGACCCGCAGAGGACCCGCCTGCCAACCAGAATATACTGTACTTATAGTAAAGTACGTACGGAGTGGAAGGACAGTCTCCTTCCTCTTAGAACATCCTCTCTCGCCAGTTCCCAACCTCGGACTCCCGACACAATGACCACGGACACCACCAACACCACCACAACCACTACGGTAGCGCCGGCCGCTTTACCCACCAAGGCTACCACCGACACCACTTCCCACCGCCACCCCTTCGCCCACTATATCACCCTCCTCCTCTCCCCCACAGCCGCCACAACCTTCACTGCGCCCCTCGCTCGCTCCGCTTCACTCGAAATAATGGCCGGGCGAGCAACAAACGCTCAAATTGGCGCTTTTCTTGTGCTCTTGAAGCAGACGGGGTTGGAGACGGATCCTGCGATTGTCGCAGCAGTGGCGAGTGCGATGAGGGAGGCTGCTTTGGGGGTTGAGAAAGGGTGCGTGAACGGGGATACTGGAGATATCGGGGAGTGGGTGGATATTGTGGGCACGGGTGGGGATGGGATGGACACTTTCAATGTTTCGACTGCGGCTGGCATTGTTGCTGCGGGGGCGGGTTGTTCTGTTGCCAAGGTACGCGAACGAGAGTGAGCCCACTGTTATACCGAGCGTCAGCTAGTCACCTTAGCCCGGGGACGCAATACTCCCTCACCAGAGCTCTTGGCGAGCGTTGTACTTTCTGCGAGCGAAGCGAGCAGCTCGCGCTCATGAACGCTTCGCGAGCAAGCATCCATCCTGGCATTCCTTCATGTATTGACATCCATTTCATTTCCTCATTGGTTTAGCACGGCAACCGCGCATCATCATCGAAATGCGGGTCGGCCGACGTGTTGGAAGCCCTCGACTGTCACCTAACAAGCGTGACCCCCGCCTCGGTCCCCACATTAGTCAACAAACCCAACGGTGGCTTCTGTTTCCTGTTTTCGCAAAAATTCCACCCGGCCATGAAATACGTCGCGGCTGCCAGGAAAGAGTTGGGTGTGCGCACGATCTTCAACCTGTACGTTGTATCATCACAGTGTCTTTAATCACCATTACACTCTATTTAACACACCTCTATTCTATCTCCGCCATCCAGTCTCGGTCCCCTCTCATCCCCCGCCCGCCCGACCCGCGTAGTAGTCGGCGTCCACACCCCCTCCCTCGGCCCCATGATGGCCGAATCCCTCCGTCTCTCCGGCGTCACCCGCGCCTGGGTCGTCTGCGGCGCGATGGGTCTCGACGAGATCTCCCCGGAAGGCGCCACGCACGTGTGGTCGCTCACGGAATCGGGCGCGGTGGAGGAGGGCATTGTCACGCCGGCGGATTTTGGGTTGGAGGGTGGACCGTTGAGGGATGTGGTTGGGGGTGGGAAGCGGGAGAATGCGAGGTTGATGAGGGAGGTGCTGAGGGATCCTACTGCTATCTCATCCTCTGAGACCCCCACGACGTCAGAACATACGAGAAAGGCGATAACGGACTTCATCCTCCTAAACGTGGCCGCATTGCTCTACGTCGCGGGCAAAGCGCCCTCCCTGGTTGCGGCCGTGGAGCTGGCGAGGGAGAGTATCAACAGTGGAAAAGCGTGGGAGGCGCTTGTGGCGTTTAGGGATGAGACGCGGAGGTTGAGGGAAGTGGAGGGCAGGGAGGGCGGGGATGTGGGGTTTGTTTAGGGGTTGACAGGGTTGAAAAAGTTGAAAGGCGCCTGTCTGACAGGGTTGAAAGGCGCCTCACTCACTCTGCCGAGATGCTTAGCGTTCTAGAAAACCGTTAGAAACGTTTGGAGCGAGGCCCGCATATCCCCTAATCTGCAGATGGCAGATGGCACGCATAACCCTAATCTGCACAACAGAAGTTACCCTCCATTGTCCGTTAACTTCGTTGGTGAGTTGGGCGCGTGCGACTAAATAGCGGGACGCAACCGACCAGCCGCCATAGCGCCAAGGCACTACATTCCATCTTGCACTTCGCTCACAAACATCTGGAAACAGCGGCTCCCGTTCGCTCCAAACGTCGTCCTCACCTCTCACACCACAAAGGGCTTAGTCGACTGTACAGAGTCCTAGCCCTCATCGCGCCGCGCGCACATTGCCATCTCGTTTCGCAAAGAACCGCATTTCGTCATGTCGGCCCCAGAAGTCCACCAACTTGCCACAGGCATCCCAATCACGTGCCACGCCTTCAACAAGGATCGCACCCGTACGTCTCATGCTATCGTTGAGTCCGTCAACTGTTCACAGAAACAACGACTTATTCCTGGTACTTACAGAGGTCGCTGTGAGCCCCAATAACAACGACGTCGAAATTTACCAGAAGAATCGCGCTGGCGGCTGGGACTTGTTGCACACGTTGGCCAAGGTGAGTAGGCACCTCGCCGTTGCTTGAGGGAGAGGTGTTTCCTGCTTACCCTCTCTTTGCTTCAGCACGACAAGCTCGTCACGTCGATAGATTGGGCACCCAACACCAACCGACTGGTGACCTGCTCGCAAGACCGGAACGCGTATGTTTGGGACTGGGATGCGAAGCTGGGCCGTTGGGAGGCAAGCCTGTGTCTTCTGCGTATCAACAGGGCAGCCACTTTTGTCAAGTGGAGCCCGAAGGAAAACAAGTTCGCCGTCGCTAGCGGTGCACGTCTGATATCTGTCTGTTACTTCGAAGTGGAGAACAACTGGTGGGTTGCCAAACACATCAAAAAACCCATTCGTAGCACTGTTACCTCGGTGGATTGGCATCCGGACAACATCCTTTTGGCAGCTGGATCTACGGATATGAAGGTATGTTGTCATGGCGTTCGGTTCTTGCACGGACAAGGAATTATAACTAGCGACGCCTAGGCTCGGGTCTTCTCGGCTTACGTCAAAGGAGTTGATGCCCAAATGTAAGTTCCGATATTGGATCATTTACCTTATGGAGGAGGGGAAAGCTGTGCACAACGCTAACAGAAGCGCATCTCCAGTCCTGCACCCGTTTGGGGAGAGAAACTACCATTCAACACCGTATGTGGCGAGTTTTCCAGCGCATCCGGCGCATGGGTCCATAGTGTTGCGTTTTCACCCAGCGGAAACTACGTGGCGTTTGCTTGTAAGTCTCAAAGAACGTGTCTTCATGACGTCCTTCAGTACATGTCTGATCGTCAATTGTGTTACAGCCCACGACTCTACCGTCGCTATTGCGAACGGACCGAACAACCCTGTGGTCACCATCCCGACCGGTGGCCTTCCGTTGGTCTCCATCATCTTCACGTCGGAGACTAGCATTGTCGGCGTGGGACATGATTGCACGCCGTACCTCCTTGCCGAGCGCAACGGACAATGGTAAAAGTTGCGTCGTATGCCACTCCAATGTCTTCTACCCATTCTCATAACCTGCGCATGCCCTCTCAGGGAAGTGGTCGGTAAACTCGACCAAGGACAGAAGAAGGCTGCCGCCGCGAGCTCGGCCTTCAAGATGTTCCAGCAGATGGACAGCAGGGCGCAACAAAGTGCGCCCAAGGTTGAGCTGAACACGACTCACCAGAATACCATCACGTAAGTCGGGCCTTTGGGAACAAGGTATGGCTGTGGCAGGGGAATTTTCTGAACAGAAACATTTTATGAACAGCTGCGTCCGTCCCCACACTGGCGCATCCGACAGCGTCAGCAAGTTTTCTACCAGCGGCGTCGACGGAAAGCTGGTCATTTGGGACCTCCTGTCGTCCGGCCTTGCTGGGCTCAAGATCTGAGGTCCAACATGGGTTGTCCTTGTAATGACGTCGGCTTCAGTCGTGCGTCCGGCTACGTTTATACATTGTGCTTGTGAATGGAACATGTAAAATATAGGAATCCCAATGCTCCCCTGCGGTTCAACAAAGGAAACAATCCTACAAGGGAGTGGTGGGGAGAGGGGAGATGGGGGATGGAATTGTGCGAGTTCTAATAGGGAATTGCTAACGGCGCTACCCGTGTTTGCTATCCACGCTACCCTCCACTTAACACTTCATAAGCGACATAAACAACCTACAGCCAGGGAACATAAAGCTGTTCCCCCCGAAGGAATAAATCAGCGACTGCCGCAACGCCAAATTCACGTGAGTGACCGACATTGATTTCAATTAGAGGGGGGGCACAGCTTTATGTTCCCTGGCTGTACCATAACAAACTTCGGCCGGTTAGGGCTAGGTGTTACTAACCCTAATCCTAACCCTAACCCTGACTGGGGCACTCGACAATTAGAGTATGCGTGCTTAAAGGTTAGCGTGGGTACACTTGATCAGTGTGCAAGCAGGCCGTCGACTTCTGCGGGCGGCTATGCTCGGGAGTCGCACCCGCAAGCGTGTTCTCATGTGGCCCTCGCTTCATCCACTTTTCGTCGTCGTCGTTCTTGCAAGGAGAACTCCATTTGCAGACAGCATTTTCCCACGGCGCTCCAAACTAGCCACAGCCATGCTCTCAATATCAGGTATCGGGCTTCGTATGCCTCCGCTTCTTTGATCATGTCCTCCCAACCCCTTGTCTTCCGGGCCAATTCTCTCACGTCCTTGTCCTCACACTCCTACTTTCCCGTTGCAGGCACCCGATCCGTTGTGCAGAGATGTGTTGCCTCAGTGATATCAACAAACACCTGCAGGTACTGAAAAAGGGGCACCCAGTCTACCTTATCTCGCTCCGAGTTATCCTCTGTTACTCAAACGCCGTCGTTCCGCACAGTAGTAGATCCCTAGCAACAACGACCCCCGGCGAAATCCGCCGCCCGCAAGTCTACACCCACGGCACCGTCGCCGCCACCTCCCCGCACTCGACCGCACTCTCGCACCTCCCTCCCACGCCCGCCACCCACTCCGGCCCGCGTCTCAGCGGCCCCAAAACCCGCCGCGCATTCATCGACCGGCTGATTTCCGACGGCGGCGACAAAATCGTCACCTTTCGCAAAAATATCCTTCACACAGAATACACGAGATTCCTGACGCTGTGTGATCAGATAAAGGGGCAGCCGGTGGACAGTGCGTTGTTGCAGATGAGGTGGTTGAGGAAACCGGTGACGAGGAAGATGGAGGCGGCTGTGGGGGAGGCGATTGTGAAAGGGAAGGAGGAGGGGTTGGAGTTGGGGAGGACTTATATTGGTGGGTAGCTGAAGACGAGGTAGCTGATTGCTCAGGGAGAGAGAATCATTAGACTGACAGGTCCCCATCTCTGTTTCGCATAGCTGACGCATACGTGAAGAAAAACGGCGCCATCCTCCAAACGCAACTCCTCAAAAAGTACCTCCGCGGACGAGGGCGTTACGGCGCGACTCCCCACCCGATCACCACCTTACTCGAAATCACGCTCCAGGAACGGGATACGCCGTTCAAGGCGGTGCAGAAGGATCCGCTGGAGTGGGTGCGGGAGAGGTTGAGGCAGCGACAGGTGCTGTTTGCGAAGAGTGCGGAGGAGGTTTATAGGGAGGTTAGGGGGAGGAGGAGGATTAAGGAGGTCTACTGTTGAAATGAGGGAATCTGAGGGCGTACGAGAGAGGGTCCTGCGTAACACGTGTATTTAATCCATTGTCCTATGCAACACAGACTCCAGATGCATGTTGAAAGTCCATCGTCCTTACGCCGTGGCCTACACTGTGAAAATCTCCCTAAGAGCCAACCTTCACGCCCACCACCACCTCCATCCCCCCCAGACTCTCCCCCTCATCCTCCGCCAACACGTCAAACCCAACTTCCCGCATATAATTCCCCACCCACTCACTACTCAACGCCAGCTTATGGTACCACGACTTGCACATATCCCACGTCCCATTGCCCTTGCGCACGTAGACGAGGTCATGTACTTTCACGCGGCGGCCGCTGCCGCATGGTGCTATTTCCCGTGCGGCGGAAGACTCGACGTGTGCCTGGTGGTGGTGGGGTGATGCGTTGATGCTTGTTGTATTTCCATTAGTCTTTTGATTCCCCGCAGCGAGGCCGTTGAACTCCTGCTGCGGTGTCCGTTTCCCCGTACAGTCGCCCTCGACGTATCCAGCGTCGCCGGTGTCTACATCACATTCGCCTTCCCATTCCAGGAAGCATGTGAAGATGGTCGAGCTGTCGGATTGGACGGGGACGAAGCGGTCTGTGCCGCGGAGTGGGCGTGTGAGGTCGCGGAACTGCAGGACCAGCCTCCCGCCGGGTTTCAACGCCGCGTGGGCATCCGCGACGACTTTGCGGACCTCGTTGAGCGTCGCGAGGTGGGATAACGTGTCCCCCATGCAGACGATGACGGCGGCGGTGGCGTCTGGGACGTACGATGGGAAGAGGAGGAGGTCGTCGTGGGCTGTGGTGAGATGGTGTGAGGGCAGGTTTTGGTGCGGGAGTTCGGAGGTGAGTTCAGCGAGCATTTGTGGGGATGCGTCGAGGGCGAGGACGGTGTAATGCAGATGAAGAAGGGGGATGGTTTGGAAGCCCGGTCCGCAACCCAGATCCACCGCCAGGGGTCTCTCCTCATCGTCCCCGGGTGGTGGTGTGATTTTCGGGAGGTAACGTTGTAACAGGGTACGATTTTGAGCCAGTTTCGTGGCGAACCCGCCAAAGAGCCAGATGTAGTGTTCGGTGAGGAGACGGGCGTAGTGGGTTTGGACTTGGAGGTAGTTGGAGGAGGTGAGGATTGGGCGGGTTGGGGAGGTGAATGTAAGGGGTGGGCGGGGTTGTTGCGGGTGTTGGTGGCCGCCGGTTGGGAGGGGTTGGGCGGCGTCGCACATTGCGGGTAGATAGATGGTGAGGAGGTTAGGGAGGAGGGAGCAGACAGTTGGCGGGGGGTAGTTGTTTCCCTCTCGAAGGAATAGTGACTGCAACGAGAGCCTATGAGACGGCTGCTCTTGCGGTAGGATATCTACTTACTTGGGGGCGAGTGTCAGAAAGGCCGGTCGGTGTTCGTTGGGGGAAAAAGATGAAGAGGGCAGCGGAGAACTCAGGGGAGACTCTGGGGGAGGGAGCGCGTTCTTCCGTGAGTCATCACCGCCATTGCGCAATCCGCGTGCAAGAAGCAGTCGGGATGATGTCTGTTAACGAAAGGGTTAACCCTAACCCCTCCTGACATTCCTCTAAGGCAGAGACTGTCCACTGGCTTCCAGGCAACGTGCACTAGTAAGCATAACGGCATTGCAGGGGCTTTGCAGCCATAGCAATCGCCCCGCCTACGGCGGCTCTCTGTGGAATGCAAATGCAGAATGTCACCTGAATGCGATTCTGTCTGTGCAGGAATGGCAGGAGCTTGACCCTAACCCTAACCCTAACCCTAACCTAACCCAGATCAGATGCGCCCTGCCATCCCTCAAGATGTCCGCCTGTTCGGACGGTTGTCAGTCCCCGGCAGACGATGTTTGACCTGACACCCCGACCACCCCTCACTGACGTTGAGCGCATTAATACTGGTGAAGCATAAGAGAGTACATACGTGTACATATATGAAAGCTGCTCGCGTGCACCGTTGGAGATTGCAAAGAGTGTTTGAGGAAACCATTTCCACGGGAGTTCAACTAGAAAGAAGGGAAGGGTAGGGATGGACGCCGAGCTCCGCAAGCTACCGCTTTCACAGGACCTGCTCAACTACTACCGCGACCGGCTAGGTGCGTTTGTATGTGTGTGTGAGCTTAGACTTACCCAACCGCCTTTCGCTCACTCACTCACCCCATGCGTCCCCCGCTTACTGCACTCCCCGGTACCTCGTTCAGAAAAATGCGAACAAGACTACACCGCCTCAGCGTCCTTGATCGACACTGTGCGCGTGCACCACGACGAAGTGCACCAGGCGACATGGGAGGCTCATAAGCGCGCGGGAGAGATTGCGGATTTGCAGGCGGCACTGAGTGAGGCTGAGGTTGCGCTGTTTGAGGAGAAAAGGAGGGTGTTGAAGTTGTTAGCGGAGGTTGATGAGTTGAAGGGTAGGTTGTGGGAATGACGGGTGTATGGCGATTGGGGGTTCGGGTTGTGTCGTGTTGTTGGAAGTGTCGGGAGGGATAGCAAACCAAAGACGAAGCGGAGCAAACCGATGCCCGAGTTGAGGGCATAGGGTAACTTCGAACGCAGCGAGGGCTGGGATGCTTGAGCGCCGGGCGACGAGGAGGGTGGGTAAGGCGAGGGAAGCGACGTCCGTGGCAGCTTGCAGCGAGCGCCAATCCTAACTCTAAGCCGCCGCGATCATTGCGCCCGCCACCATCTCATGCCTAACGCCATGCATTCGCATTCATATTCCACAGTGCAAGAGCTGAAAGACCGCAAAAAGATCCGATACCTGTTGAAAATTGGGTCACGCCCAGAAGCCGAGACGACCTATTTCCGGGACCAGCTCGATAAGCGGCTTGTCAAGATCGCGCGCGATATGGGTGGCGGGATTGATGAGTTTGATCAGGTAGGGGTGCATTCTTCGTTGTTTGGGGTGTAAATGGGTGTGGGTGCCTGATTTTGGTGGACGTCGTGTCACGCAGGCGGTGCTGGATAGACACACGGAGGAAGAGGACATCCACATCATGGAGGACGAGGTCGCGGCGTTGAAGCTCACGGTGTCATCACTACGCACCCAGTTATCCGATCAGGTAACACCCCCCCCCCCCCCCCCCCCCCCTCCCAAAAAGAATAATTGCAGTCGACAAAACCACTAACCGGATCGCAACAGGCGAAAAACTACGAAGCAACAATAACAGGCCTTCGCCGCGACCGACAGCTCCAAATGGACGAAGAGCGGGTGCGCCGACAGCATGAAACGCAGAAGATGGCGGATCTGTTGGAGAAGTGTCAACGGCTGAGGGCACTGAGTAGGGAGAATATCCGAGGTGCGCGAAGTGGAACCTTTGAGCCACCGTGTGCCGCTTGTGACTGATGTCGCCCACCGTGATGATGTCGTTTAGAGCTGATACACACCAAAAAATCTACACACGCGTACGAACGCCGCCTCATGGAGGAGCGCAGCACGATGGTCGAGCAGTTGCACCAATGCCAGAAGGAGCTTGCGGCTGAGAAGGAGAAGGTTGAGGTTGCTGAGAAGGTATTGTACGTGTGCCTCTGAGGGCTGGTGGACATGTATGACTGATAGGATTGGCTTTGCGGGTTTGTAGCTCGTGGAAGAACGACTGGTGCGCAAACAGGAACACATCGTGCATGAGCTAAGGACGCAGTTGGGAAAGTATGAGAAGGAGGTTAATACTAATAACGTAAGTCGCGGGACAAATGGTCATCTTGTCACTTTTGGGAGTCCCCTCTGAAGGTTGGTTTTTGCAGGCAAAGCTGGAGACGATTGAACGCGCGCACCGCAAACGTGTCAGCCATCTAGAAGCCCGTCTTTCCGCCCTCACCGCCAGGTAAACCCTCCCACATCCGCAGGCCCCTCCTAGCCAACCCACTACTAACATCCCCCAAACAGCTACGCATCCCTCAAACGCCGCCGCGACTTTGAAATCGAAGGCTTCACCGCCGACATCTCTTCACTGCGCAAACAGCTCAAGCATCTCGAGCGAAGTATACTCAAATACGCGCCCCTAGAGGACCGCGAGCTTGTGTTGCTGAATATCGCGAAGGAGACGGGGGAGAGGGTTGCGAAGATGTCAAGTGATTTGCATGGGTTGAAGGTAAGGTTGAGCAAGTAGTGGCATATGTACCTTAAGCTGACAGTGGACCGATTTGGTGCAGGCAAAGGTGTATGCGGCGGATAGGGATCTTCGGATGGTTCCGGTGTGAAGCTTGTGGGATTTGCGTTGGACATGCAACGCCTTGCCGTACGCGAGCAGCAGCAACAGCAGCACACATTGCATTTGACGAGAAAAACTGAAGGCGGCCGGCGGGGGGCGTCATCACCGGTTGATGTTTGTCGGCAGAACGTGGTGCTCGATCTTTTGCTGCCGTAATGAGTGCTCAACATTTTGGATTGGGGGCGATGAAGTGGTCATTTTGGCGGGGCTTTGACGAGCAGATGGGGATCGCCTGATGTTAGGCGACAGCATGAATGGATGGAATCGTCAGACATATATATCCCGTGACAAATGAAAGGCGACATCATCAACGATGTGATGTTGGATTGTACCAGTCGTACGACTCTCCTATTTCCAGCGGTTCGCGAAGACGGTCAAGGAATATCGTACCGGTGCATCGACCCTTGATCTCGACCTGGTCCGAACTCTGGCAAGCCGCTCGTGGAATCGGGACGGGCCATACCAGAATCGATAACCCGCACTTCCCGTGGGATCGCCAATCACCATGGCCTGCAACCTGGAAGCATAGTAGTTGCAGGATGTTTCGGTGGTAGCCTCCGCGTGAGTCAAACGGAAGAGCTCATTCGGCCCAACGGTGTACCCGTGCCAAAGGTCTCGTATCATACTCGACCCGGTACTTCCCGCGGTGCGTGCAGCCGGGCAAGTGAGTGCCAGAGTCCAACGCAAAGGACAGTCCAACGCACTTTTCTAGCTTTTCTTAAGAAGGGTTAGCTGATTTTTGCTGCGGATGGTCCGATGTCTTTAGTGTGCCCAACGCTTTTGATACCTAATTTGTACCATAACTTCCACGACTGAACAATCATGCAAGTCTCCTGTGTATGCATTCAGTTCATACCTACATTCCGGGCATGTCCCAAAAGGGTTGAAATAAATGAAAGGCCACCCTACATCATGTCTATATCCTACACCAACCAGCTCTACACCTACGCCCCCCACCTACGCCCCCCACCTACGCCACCTACCCTTAAATCATATGTGTCAGATACCCCACCACCTGTCCCAGCGCCAATTTCGAAAAGATGTCGTTCAAGAGCCGAATCTTTTTTTCTACTCCTTCTTGCCACTCCTCAATTTATCCCTCCGGGCATAGATCTGCGCCGTGAACGGCCCCTCGAACGATTCAACCGCGATGGCGTAGACGAGGTAGACGACGGCTGTTAGGACCAGGCCTGCTGGGCTTCCTCTCCTACAAAAACAACAAATCGGGGTGAGTGTTTGAGAAGCGGGGGATGTGAGTGGGAGGCGATGGGACCGGGGGGGGGGGGGGGGGGGGAGAGAATTTTACCAGAGAGCACCGCCGAGGAAACAGAGTGTGGATCCAAAGTACATAGGGTTTTCGATCAGGTTGAAGGGGAAGCCGGTCACGCGTTTTTCCATAAGGATGCCAAAGTAGTCGCCTAGAAAACAGAAGGGATACGTTCTCAATATGCATCTCAGCCATGACCGAAAACATATCCCCACCACCCCCTCCATGCCCCGCACCTACCCAAGTAAGTCCCCGTAATCCCCAACTTGAACATACTACTCAACACCAGCACGTTGCCCACCGCCATGCTCGCCACCGCATACATCTTGATGAACGAGTGGTCCAGCAGTTCTGTCACCGGTTGATGGTCCATCGCGACCGTGAACAGATAGTCGCGGAGGAGACCGAGGGTGAAGATGGCGAAGGCGAGGAGGTAGCAGCCCCGAATGGGAGACCCGAGGAGGCGGGTGAGGCTTTGGTTGCGGTATTCTGCGAGATGAGGTGGGTGGTGAGTAAGTGGAGATTGGGGTTTCTGGTCTGCTGGCGACGAGGACGTTGGGTGCCAGCTCCGCTAGAACCGAGGAACGTGACTTGCCATTCGTCAAGTATGCTCGCGCGAGCGCCCAGCTGACTCGAGCTTACCCGCTCAGCCATTGCTCTCCGAGACCCCCAGTGTTTGCTGTCACCCGTGGACGCTCATTCAGGTCCAGCTCCTGAGGCCCGCTGTCGGTTGCTCGTCCCCGCTCCGCTCAACATTCTCAGGCATTCCAGCATCCTAACGTTTGCAACGCTTTCTGCGACTTCACAACCATTTCACAATCCCCTGCCTCACAGAATCCCGACGTACCGTTCCTAGCAACGATATTCCACATGGTGGGGTTAAACACAATACTCCCAGCGGCTATCCAGAGCGAAGGGTGGGCCCAGTTGATTTGAGCGAAAGCGTCCAGCGCATTTTCGAGCGGGTTTGTTGCGGTTGCAGTCATGGTTTGTTGGTGTTGAGAGATGTTGGGGGTGGCAGGTGGTGAGCAGTGGGAGGGAGTTCTGACGTTGAGCAAGTCGGACGGGAACACCCGCTTCCAAAAGTTGGGGCGTCCGGCCCGTCACGTAAGCACATGGTTCGGGTCTGGCACACTGACTGGCGCATGTTCCCCTCTGCTGCAATTCTGAATCCCATAGAGGACCTAAAATGTCAGGAGACCCATCACAGCAACTGGCGTCACCAGCAGGGGGACCAGGAGAGCCGAAGCGATCGACAACAACAGATGCTGACGGGACACCATCACCGGGTTCCAAACACGCCGCGAGCTCGATAGAATCAAAACCTGCGCTGGATGTCCCCACTGCCACAAACACAGATGGAACCAACGGTTCGGCACCGACGATAAAGATGCCTATCGCGACCAACAAATTCAGGTGCGGGCTTATCTTTGCTCTGCGCAGGGGAAGCATGTGCTGTTATGATGGTGGATAGACATCCCTCGTATCAGCACATTGGCTAAAATCACGAGAAAAACAACAGCAACGACGGCTCCTTCGCGGAAAGGTTCAAGCTAATGCATGCCGAAGCAGAGGAGAAGCGGAAAAACGAGGAGGCGGTCAAGAAGTAAGTGTGTGCGAAGGCGGCCCTACGGGGGGGGGGGGGGGGGGGGGGGGCGGAGAAGTTGTCCGGGTAGCTCTGCAGAGTCGGAAGACAACACGACCCTGCAGTGCAACCCATCCTCCAAACCCTCCATGCGCCCGGTCGTTCATTCCCCGATGAATCCAATCATTCTTTGTTTGTTGTTGGCATTATGTTTCTGATGATATGAGCGTCTTCCAGGAAAACAACCTGGGAATCTTCTTTCGTAAGTCCCCCCATGATTCCCACCCCATCCTATACCCAGGCTAATACCGCATACCCATATCACTCACAGCGCACCCGCGGCAAGCGAAAAAAGGGAACAACAACCGCCTCATCAGAAGGCAGTGCGGCCAAAAAAGCGAAAGAAGGGTTTCCAGAGACAGAGACGACCGAACTGGACGAAGCGGCGTCGGCTTATTTGAAGGAAATGGCGAGGATCAAGGAGAAGTTGCCGGGTGGGGACAAGGGGAGTGGTGTTAGGCCTTTGGTCAAGTGATGGGATGGATGGCATTTGGGGAGTACAGATTGGGGATTACAGAGACGGACAATATCATGGATGATACGAAATGGAATCGATAAATATTGAATTTATCTACATGTACTGGAGGAATTCCCTACATGTACTGTACACCACTACGTACAGTCTAGGCTTTGCACGAATACCGAAAACTCTCTCGTTCTACGGGAGTATATCCGCGCCGGCACAGCTTGCTTACAACTTCCATTAATCCCCATATTCACTCATGATCCACCTTCAGCATCACCTCCTCCCTTCACTCCTCATCCTCCTCCTCCTCGTCCTCCTCATCATCATCAAAATCACTCCACCCGCCATCATCATTATTCTCCGCCGCCACGACAATCTTCTTCGCTCCATCCTCATCCCCCCTCTCCATCTTCCTCAAATACGACCTCCGTTGCCGCTCGGTCATGGCCGCAAGGAACCGTTGCTGCTCTTGCGATTCTTTGAGCAGGTCTGCGGGGGTTTTCACTTCTGGTCTGGGCAATTAGAGATGTAGACGTTCTGTAAGTGTTCGTCTCCGTGAACAATCTTGATTATGGGTGAACTTACTGGACGATATCAGTCCCCTCCTGGCACTTGGCACACACCTTCCTCGTCTCCGCACACCCTTTGCAGAGCACGTGGTAGGCGTCCGTGACCCGTTTTTGGTGGCAGGCGAGGCAGGTTTTGGGTTGCGTTAGCGGTTTGTATTTGTTCATTCGTTTCCTAAAAAGATCACCCAAAATCGTGAATCACCCGTTCCCCGAATTCAAAAAGCCCCCAACCATACCCGGAAAAGACTCCGTCGTCGTCTAACCACACCCACCTCCAATCAATGATATCCAAACATCTCTGACAAATCCCTTTGGCGGGCGTGTTGTATATCTTCACGGCGGCGGCGTTGTTTTTGTTGGGCTTGAATGCGAAGGAGTTTTGGTACTTCTGGCCGGACTTTTGCGTGCCTGATTTGCCTTTTGACGAGGAGACCTTTGGTGTCATTTTGATGGAGTGTAAGGGGGCGTCTCGGTGGGGGATGGCTGACGAAGGTCTGGTTCTGGTGGGAATGGGGTCTGGTCGGCCAGCGGTTCCAGAGAGTGCCTCCGGAGCGCCGAGTTGCTGGTGAGTATGATTTTTTTACGTACGAGTACTGTACTGCGCGAGTTGCTGTAACAAGCAGACGCGGCATATATGTATGATAGCATACGGGTCAAAAGGTAGTTGGCTTGCCTGTGTACATACAGTATATACATTCTCTGGGTTCCTTCTGAGTTTCCTATTCGCTGTAGCACATAATGTCGACGAAAACGCACTCACGAATTGACACAGAATACAGCGCGGACGCCGTCGAATCCTGTCCTATTCCAGGATGGACGTCGTTGATAGCCGTGGGTACATATCAGGTCGTCAAGGATGGCACGTTGTGGGCGCCGGCGTCCGCGACGCAAGTGCCGAGTGATTCCAGCACACCTGAAGACAGCGGGATAGCGGAGAGTGAGAACGAAGGGCACTCAGACCCAGCGGCGAGCAGACTGGGGCGCCTCCTTATGTACAATGTCTCGAAAGGGGAGATTGGACTGGATGTGTGAGTTTCCCTGCGAATCAAGCGAGAAATTGCTCGATGTGGCAGTTTTCTTATTGATCGACGCTCGTCAGAAAGGAAGGAGGAAAGTCGCCGTGACTGTGGGGCGATCCTTGACATGAAGTGGTGCGTGGCCGATGGGCATACTCACGCTTTCAACGGGATCGTTCCGTATGACTGACCTTTTGGTATAGGTCACAACAAATGATTGCGGAGAAGCCTTGCCTCGGCGTGGTGGATTCACTGGGGTCAACGCATCTCTATCAGTTCGATGAGGTACAAACAGTGAAGAGTTCTGGAACAGGGGGGAGGCCACATGGCTGATGGGAATGTGCAATCTTCCCAGGACTCAGCCAAGCCCAATCCAGTAGCTTCCCTGCACAATGGAAAGGATGGAGTTCTGAACCTCTCTCTAGAATGGTCCAACCGCTTGAATGCCGAGGGGTCTCCGCGGATCGTATTCAGTTCAAGTGACGGAAGCATTTCCCAGCTTGCCGTAGCTGACGGCGAGTTGCGTCTTCTGCAAGAGTGGCATGGACACGATTACGAAGCATGGATCGCCGCTTACAATTGTTGGGACACAAACGTTGTTTACACTGGCGGGGATGATTGCGCGTTGAAGGGCTGGGATCTGCGCATGGATCCGTTATATTCTACGTTCACAAGTAGGAGGTGGGTCGCAGGAACTAAACTTCTGAGAAATCCGCGTCTATCTGACCTCTGGCGTGTCAGGCACGAGGCTGGTGTGTGCAGCATCCAAATGAATCCGCACAAAGAGCACCTGCTGGCAACCGGAAGGTAATCCATCCACCCACGTCACGATGACCGTCGTTTTAGCCGTCACCTCTAAACACACTGCTCCCAGTTACGACGAACGTATCCTGACATGGGACACGCGCAAAATGCGATCCCCACTAATTGACCACCACATCGGCGGAGGCGTATGGAGACTTAAGTGGCATCCCACGAATTCACAGCGCCTTTTGGCTGCATGCATGCACAATGGATTCCATATCTTGGACGTTGATAGCGGTAAGCGAATCACAGGACAATGTTCGTGCTAACACCCCATCTGACAACTTGTCCCTTGTCCTCTGGTGCTGATCGGGAAAATGAAAGATGCGGCTAGTGTGGAAGTTCAGGCGAGCTACATGGATCATGCCTCTCTGGCGTATGGGGCTGACTGGTGGTATGGAAGTGATCAGATAGCTTCTAGACTAGAGAAGGCCGATGGAGGTAGTGAAGGAGTCCAGGATACTGTTGCGACATGTTCGTTCTATGACCACTCTTTTCATGTTTGGGATGCATTCAAATAGATATGTAAGTTTGATTCCGATCATATCCCAAAAATGTGTGTTCTTCGTTCATGCAACATCGTGTTCCCCTCCGTATATGGATGGGCGGTTTTTGTGGGCGAGACGAGTGGCGGGAAGAGTCGGTTGGCGACGGCGGGGGCTGATGGGTTTGTTAAGGTATGGACCATACCATCTTTTTCGCTCTTGCATTCGGGCGCAGACTAACGATCAATAACGGTTGTGTTGTAGCTTTGGGACGTTGTTCACCACCCGTAGAGGACAAAAAGGATTTTCCCACGATATGACATTTTGTACACTAGAACACGGCTTGCGAAAATCGCGTACGATCAAAATCGCGTACGATCAAAATAACCAGAAAGCGTCTACCTAGCACAACCTAACCGAACTCACAAAGAGACTATCCTGTCCGCACACGCCGCAACTACCTTACAGCGACGCATAACTTCAAACCGACATCTTCATCTTGATCGTCGGCAACGGGTCATACCCCTCCAGCCTCACGTCCCCCCACTCCAACCCCTCCAACATCCGCACCGCCTCCTCAACCGTCCCCGCACCCCCGTCCTTTCCAAATCTCACGGTCGGGAACGGTCTCGGCTCCCTCCCAACCTGCTCGCTCAACGGCTCCACATGATCCGCATAGACATGGGCATCGCCCATGACGTGGATGAATTCGTGGGCCTGTGTACCCGTGACGTGGGCGAGCATGTGGGTGAGCAGGGCATAGGAAGCGATGTTGAAGGGGATGCCGAGGCCGAGGTCGGCGGAGCGTTGGTAGAGCTGGCAGGATAGGCGGGGGGGTTTCTGTTGCTGGGTGTCGGTGGTGGTGCCGTTGTTGTTTTCCGGCGGCGGTAAAGTGACAAAGAACTGGGCGAGGACGTGGCAGGGCGGGAGGGCCATCTCGCCGACGGCGGTCGGGTTCCAAGCCGAGAACAGGATCCGGCGGTCGGTGGGACGTTCCATGATCAGCTTGACGACCTCTTTCAGTTGGTCCACGCCCTGTCCTTTGTACGAGGTGTCGCAGTCCACATAGCGAGCCCCGAAATGCCGCCACTGGAACCCGTAGACAGGCCCGAGATCGCCCTCCCGTCGATGCGTTAACCCGCGTGCATCCAGCGCCGCGCGACTCCCATTCCCATCCCATATCTTGACTCCCTTCCCGCTCAAAACGGTCGCATCGGTCAGTCCACGGATGAAGAACATGAGTTCCTCAAACACGACGCGGAGGGCGACGCGTTTGGTTGTGAGGAGGGGGAGGGTGTTGTTGGCGAGGGAGAAGCGGAAGGGTGGCGGGGCGAAGAGGGCCAGGGTGCCGGTGCCGGTGCGGTCGGGGCGCGGGGTGCCGTGGGCGAGGATGGTGGAGACGAGGGAGAGGTATTGGTATTCGGGGTGGGAGGTTGGGGTTGGGAGGTACGGATTTGGGAAGGGGTGGGGGAGGGCGAGTGGGAGAAGAGTAGGAGGTGAAGCTGCGGTGGCCTGCATTTTGGAGGTTGAAGGTTGAGCGCTGATGATGTGGTCGGTGAGGGCGAGGGGTGGGGGCGTTGCGGTAGCGGCCAACATTGCTTGCGCTTTTTCTGTGAGCTGCTGAGCAGACAGGAGGGAGGTAGCGAAGGAGCGATGGTGGGGAGGGGCCACTTCAGGTCCTACTGGATGGAGTTGCGAGCGAGCGTTTGACGGTCTTCGTGGCTGCGTTCCTGGACATCCATCGTCTGGACATGACATGCGGGGGGGGGGGTCGTGTCCGAATGCGTCCGAGTCGCAGCCCACAACAGCCTCCCGCGCGCGTCACAGCCAATGGGGTTCGGCCTCACCCTAACAGCTCATGGACGGAAAGGGCCAGGACCAACAAGACAGAGGAACGTTCCCTGTTCTGTTCACCTCCGCCGTTCGCCCCAACAAGAGTCCGGCACAAACCCCATGCGCCAACAACGCATAGTCATCCTAGGCGCTGGTATCTCCGGCCTCTCCGCCGCCTGGTACCTTGCACGGTACGCCGGCGCCGCCGCTGCGACGCGAGCACTACCCCCGCTCAAGATCACCGTCGTGGAGAAACAGCCGCGGGTGGGTGGATGGGTGCAGACTTTGCGAAACAACGGCGACGACGGTGATGTGTTTGAGCTGGGACCGCGGACGCTCAGACCGGTCGGAGTACCGGGGGCGACTACGTTGGAGATGGTAAGGTTTCGACTTCATCCTACTCCTTGGTATGCCCACCCGTTTATGAATATTTCCATCCCCACAGGTCCACAAGCTAAACCTCCAACCCCACCTCCTAACAACCTCCAAAACCTCCCCCGCCGCCCTCAACCGCTACATCTACGCTCAAAACTCCCTCCACCACCTCCCGACCTCCCCACTCGACCTCCTCCTCCCCTGGCGCTCCCAATCCCACTCCCCGCTGCTAAAAGGTATCCTCCCCAGCATCCTCCGCGAGCCCTTCGTCAAACCCCGCCCCCCACCACCGGATCCGGAGACGGGGTACGCGGATGAATCGGTACATTCGTTTGTGTCCAGACGGTTTGGCGTGCGGGTTGCGGATAATCTTGTGAGCGCCGTGTTGCATGGGATATATGCGGGGGATGCGAGGCGGTTGAGTGTGCGGAGTGTTATGCCGGTGCTGTGGGATGCGGAGAGTAGGTCTGGGAGTGTTATTCGGGGGCTTGTTGCGCCGGCTCCGCCAAAAGCATCAGTGAAGACACCATTTGCGATTGGCGATGGAGAGGAATCCGCGGAGGAGTTCATCGCCGATGTGCAAAAGAACGCGAGCATTTATTCCTTCAAGGGTGGCGTGCAGACCCTCACCGACGCGCTCAAAACCGACTTGTTGAGTCGCAACTCCACCGACGTGCAGGTCGAGATCCTACAGGGCACCGTCGACCGGTTAGATCTCCCCCCAAACCCAGACTCCCCCGCCAACGTCCACCTCACATCCAGCCCCACCCCCCTCCGCGCCGACCACATCATCTCCTCTCTCGCCGCCTGGGACCTCCAACGCCTCCTCCCCCCCACATCCCCTCTCATCCCCCTTCTCGACACCATCAAAGGCGTGACGGTGGGTACAGTCAACTACCTCCTCCGCGGCGCACCTACGACCGTCCTACCCGTCAACGGGTTCGGATACCTCGTCCCGATCACGGAACGCACGCCGATCTTGGGCACCGTGTTTGATTCATGTGCGATGCCGGTCCAGGATGTGCGCGGGGACACGACCAGGGTGACCGTGATGCTGGGCGGGCATAAATTCTCCGAGTTCTTTGGTGCCGTCGATAAGAAACTCTCCCCGGAGACGGTTCGGGCAATCGAACACGCATCCGAGGTCGCGATCCATTCCCATCTACAGATCCCGCGGCTCAACACACAGGGCGAACCGGTGGTGTTGAACCGATACACGGCGGTGCATAGGGACTGTATACCGCAGTATACGGTGGGGCATCGGGAGCGGTTGGGGAGGATGCACGGGGTGCTAGTGGGGGGCAGGATGTCAGTTTGTGGGGCGAGTTATGGGGGCGTCGGGGTGAATGATTGTGTGGTTGGCGCGAGGGATTTGGTTAGGGGGTTGGTTGAGCGGGGGTTGCAAGGGGCGGGGAAAAATGTGTCGGGGTTGGAGAAGTTCGCTGAAGAATGAGGGGTGGGCATGGCGGGATTCAGCCCTGCCACACTCGATATCCTACGCCCCACTAGATCAGCGCACCATCCTGCGATTCGCTGTATTCATATAGCCATACAGTAGCTCATAGCCCATAGACCACGGCGCATATAGCAATCTGCCAATGAACACACTCTCGAGCATTAGACTGCATATAGTAACTTTAATGTGTCATTGAGTACATATGATTCAAAAATGAGAAAACTGACTATGGCAAACAGATGAAGACCTAGTTACGGATCGTGGCTATTCCTACCTGAGCTTGAAATGAAGCAAGTTTACTGCAAAAGCTTCTGCACGTGCCGCTGGAGTGAGCGGCGTGAAGGTCTTCGCAGCCACTTATGAAGTTAAGACGCGAACCGGAGGTTCGAACACATACAGTACAGTACGATTTTGGTATCGCCTAGCACCGGCCATGACTTGATCGGCGCCACAACTGCCACCACTACCATGCTCCGCCGTCTAACGCCCGCACTGAGGCCTGCTTTGCCGTTGAAAGCCAGTCCCCTCCCACCCGGTTTTCTCGCCATCATACCCCTCCCATTCCCCGCCCGGTCCAAAAGCAGCAAAAGCAAGAAACCCGTTCCAACCCTCTCAGCCTCGGAAACACCACCCACATCACCGCCACCCGGGCCACCCACACCCGTAACCCCACCGCCAACCCCCTTCCGCACAACCTTCGACTACAAACAGAAAATACACTGGTACCCGCAACACCAGTCCCGCGCACTCCGACAACTCCGGAATGGGATACACCAGATTGACGTTGTGGTTGAGGTCCGGGACGCTAGGATTCCGTTGACGAGCAGGAATCCGAAGTTTGATGAGGTTCTGGCGAGGAGGCCTAGGCTGGTGGTTTACAATAAGGCAGATTTGGCGAATCCCAATATGAAGAAGGTGCGCGAGCAGAGTGAGCGGGCGGAGCGATAGTGAGCGGATATTTGGGTCTGCGGCGAGCGATCGCGAGGGTGTCTGCGCCGAGCGGAGCAGGATGACTACGCCGAGCGAAGCGAGGTGCAGGGTTGGTTGCCATGGGAAAGCCGGAGCGATGGTTGCGCGAGGGATAGCGAGCGAATGCCGGTGCGAGTCCCCGCGCCGCAGGCGCAACTCTAGCCGGGCAGTACATGCGAGCGATTAGCCGAAGGGTCGTTTTCATCACACATCGGCCAACATCATTGTCGAAAAAGTGAAGCGAGCAGGGGTTTGTTTTATCCCGCTCTCAATCCGCCGATCACTTTGCTTTCAACTCGTGGCTGACTCATTGCATGGCGGTTCACAGATCATTATAGAAGGCTTCAAGAGAAACTCGGCGGATCCAGTGATCTTCACACAGGGAACAAAAGACGAGCATGCAAAGCGGATTTTGGATTGGGCATTAGGTGCGCACTTTGATACAAATGCGGAGAAGAACATGCCAGGGATGTGGGCGTTGACTAGGCTCTTGCTGTTCGTAGAAAAATATCGCGAAGCGCCGCATAGATACCCTTACATGTCGATAGTGATTGTCGGCTTACCCAACGTCGGCAAGTCCACCATTATCAATTCGCTGCGGCGTTCGGGCGTGTCCAAAGGTAGGTCGTCACAATCACAGATGCCTTTGTTCGTGCATTCCCAACATCCAATCTCACCCATACCTCCACTCCCACCCCAACGCAGGTAAAGTCAGCGCAGTAGGACCCAAAGCAGGCGTAACCCGCGCGATTCAAATGCGGGTCAAAATCTGGGAAAAGCCGCCGATCTACCTCGTCGACACCCCCGGTATCTTCGACCCGCACATCTCGCACCCGATGCAGGGGCTGAAGATTGCGCTGACGGGCGCGACGAACGATCGGTTGACGGAGGAGCAGAATGTTGCGGATTATTTGCTGTTTAGACTGAATAATTCGGGATTGAGGGAGAAGTGCGTTTCGTTTTGTGTTTTCGTCGTTGTTCCTTGTTCCCCCTTCTGTTTGCATCTGACTGACACATTTTTGGCATTTCATCAATCACAGATACCCACCCCTCCTAAACCTAACTCACCCCACCGACTCCATCTCCTTTCTCCTTACCCACATTGCCCTCACCCACAACTTCCTCCTCTCCACCCACTCCCACTCCTCTCTTCCCCCACCCCTCCCTACCACGACCACCACCTCAACATCCCCCTTCACCCTCGCCTTTGACGAAGACGACCTTACCCACTCCCACCTTACGACGGATACCCCCTCTTTGACCACTCCGAGGAATGCGGAGGGGAAAGAGTTGGATATACCGCGGGCGGCGAGGTACTTGATTGGGTTGTTTAGGGAGGGAGTTTTTGGGGGGTTGACGTTGGATGAGGTGAGTAGGGAGGGGATGGAGAGGTGGATTAGGGGGGAGGAGGGGAAGGAGGAGATAGGTGGGGAGGAGGGGCGGGGGGGAGGTGTGGAAGTTGTAGAGCGGGACATGTAGTTAACGTGCGGTGTTGGTGGCTTTCGGATACCCGTAGATGCCTTCGTATGTAATGAAACTCGACATTACGAGCAAGGCTGCCCCATGCGAGTGGCATCACTTATTGCCGAGACTGATCAATCAACCTCAACATCCCGCCCATCCCGTGCGAGAGAAGCTGTGTAAGAACAAACTCAGCAATTAGCCCTTTAAGATCCGGCATGCAGTTGAATGGAAACTCCATGGATGTGTAGGGTGCTGTAGATATGACCAAAGATGCCACCGGTTGCCCGAGAAGTTGCCGTGGTGTGGCCCATGGCCGCGTGAAGTCCGTACCGGTGAGGCCCGGTGTTCTCTTCGAATAATACTGAGAAGTTGCCATCATCGACTGGGATACCCGAGACGCCACGGCCGCCGCTTGTTGCCTGCATCATCATCAGCATGATGCCGTTCGGTTGGTCGTTAACCCGCAATACTCGTGAATACCCATAAGTTGGCGCATCAGGCTCCTGGCCTGGATTGCACAAGAGGCGCTCGTTTTCGTCGCCGGGAAGTATGGCAGCCAACTCTTGCAGCGCCTCCTCCCGGTTGATGCCGGTGGCCTGTACTATTAACTCGTATACGTACAGTACTCCGGGTCGGTGTCCGTGAACTCATGATTCTGCGGGCACGGCATGGTTGTTATCATTGACCTCCGGGGCCAGAAGTTCTGCTCGTGTACATACGTTGGTGGAGTGGCGTTGTAGAGTCGCAAGACATCGACGTGAAACGTTGGATGTTGACGGGACAGGGTGGCCGGAAGGCGTAGCGTGAACGTGTTCGGGGTTGGTCCTGGCTTGACCACCGGAAACCGGCCGAGGTACCGGCCGGGGCAAGATCTTGAGGCTCGAGTTGGGTAGTTCCTTGTATATGGGCTCCGGGTAAGATGCGGGTATCTCATGACACTCCGACACCCCCGAGAATTCGTCGAAAATCGACTCCAATGCATCAACCTCAACGAAACGACCCCAGGACTTACACCGAACGTTCCGCCTCCCCATCCACCGCTTCCACAGCTGCCACCTCCACCTCCACCTCCACGCCATCCAAGAAAGCAAAACATCGTCATATCGAACACCACGTCACCTGCACAGATGAGATCTCGAACGTTTCTTGGTTGGCCGGCCGGTAGGTACCGTGCTTCGTTTGTGGTTTTCCTCCGCTCGTGGTTTTTCGCGAGCGTCGTGTTACTGTCAAAATCGCGAGGTGGAATCCGTTTGGAAATGTGCCACTATTTTTGGCCACGGCACTGGCAGCAACTTGGCCGCAACATTCGTAGCACGGCAGCCATATATAGCAACTGGAGCGGTCCGCCATGTGGTTGCCGGTTGGTAAGTGGAAAAGCCGCAGGGCTAAGTGAGAGTATAAGAGCAATGCCAGAAGTGTTTGCCGCCCCATCGAACGTTTTTCCAAGTTTCCAATAATATTTACAACCAGCACTTCAGAATGACCCCGCTGCTCAAGTTGGGCGTCCTTGTCCTATTGACGTCGGCTTCTGTCGCCAACGCCGACAACCACCTTCAAGCTCGCCAAGCTGTTGTCTCTGGCACTCCCGTAGCTCAGGCACCCGCAGCGACAAGCGCACCGGTGGCCGCCGCACCTGCAGCGCCAGTAGCAAGTACTCCCGCCGCCGCAGCGCCTCCCGCGACTCCGGCCGCCCCAGCGGCAACTTCGGCTGCAGCTGCAGCGCCCGTAGTGCCCGCGGCTCCGGTGGTGACATCCGTCGTAGTACCAGTAGTGCTACCGTCGGTGACGGCCGTGATTCCAGTTGTCTCCACACCAGTTCCTCTCGTTGTGAGCTCCATTCCAATCCCCGCAGTGTCCTCAACTTCGGTACGAGCCAGCACGACATCTACTCCGACATCTCGGGTTCCCACCTCGACCCTAGCGGAGACGTCGACAACCTCCACAGTGTTACCCGCAGCGACGGCGTTACCTGCGGCGACGGCAAATATCATTGCGCCAAATACGGACCCAGTGAACCAGGAGTACTCGTCGTTCTCTCAAACGGCAGTTATCGGGATATCTGTTGCAGCAGGGGCCATCGTCGTCGGAGCAGTCTCCATCTTCGTGTTCAGAAAGGTTGCGAATAGCCGGGCCAGGAACGGTAAATCAGCTCAACTTGCTTTTGCGGTTCACACGAGAAGAAAGACACACAGTGGAAACGGAGGAAAGGCGATGGTATCCAGCAATGCCAACAGTCAATCGACGCTTGTTAGCAACACATCCGTGAATGATGTTCATGCGGGTCAGCCGGGAAGCGCCATTGAGCACCCGTCCTTTGGTCGCGTCAAGCACGACGGACCCGGTGTCGAGGGGCTGCACGCCAGCCCTGCTGACCACGAGTACTACCACCAGCCCACCTCGCAAGTCATCAATGTTGCGCCGACACCCACTGGCAGGATGATACCAGAGGGTTATTACTACGACCCATACACCTACGCACATCCGACGGAGATGATGGCATCGGTCGCCGCGGTCGCTTCCATCCCACATCCTCACCCTCACGCCCACCCACAACCCCACCACTACCAGCAGCCAATGTACTATGAGGTTGACCCGTCCCACGATCCAAACATGAGCATGCCGCGCCCAATCCCACCGCACATGGCGGGCATACCGCACGGACAGTATCCAACTGAAGTGTACGAGGTGTACTACCCACAACAACCATACCACCCGCAGCCATCATTGACTCGACAGCCATCATTGGAGGAAATGTATTACCCCGCAGCAGAGGATGAAAGCGGTAGCAATAGAGGTCATTAGCCTATTAGATCTAGAGTAATTCATTCGTAGGTGCAACAGTGATCCATTGGAATATTGCTCCTGTGTATCATAGAGAGCGCGTATTGAGCCGAACACAATCAACGATTTTGGGACTGCTTGTCGTACATGCATCAAATAGAGCGCCCCGGGTAGAATCGACCGATGGTTCAAGAGGTTCCTCCGGCTCGGTTCCCTTCTGAGAGACGTCGGAGGTTGCGAGTAGGAATACGAGCGGCGGTGATAACGCGACGCGTTCCTTCCTTCCTGCGCTCTTCCGGGCGGGGAAGGGCAGTATTTGGCGACGGCGGGTTTGGAGGGTTGCGAGTGGGTTGGGGGAGGAGTGGAATGGGAGGGAGACTAAAAAAAGACCCGAGTGTCAAATAGTCTGGAGACGTATAAAAGCAGGAGGGTCTCGCTGGCGCCCCTTTTCTTGGCCGCACGTTACGCGTCTTGCGAGCTCCTCTTTCCACCTTTTCACCCCTGAATCATCAATAGGCAGAATGGCTGTAACAACTCTCGACATCTCCTTTCATCACGCTCATAAGCGTTTTGAATCCACAACCCAACTCGTTGGAGTGCTTATCTTCTTGAGTCTGTTTCCGCTGACCATTGTGCAATCTGCTTTCCAAGTCGAATTGGAGAGACGGAGTAAGTCTTCTTTTTTGTATGCTTATGCAGAGTAGAACAATAAAAATGAACAGTATCCCTTTCTTTTTACAGAGTCCGAACGCAAGCAGCTGCGTGATAACGCAAACGCTGTCAATACAATATTTGACGAGGTGGAGCGAATGCGGGCGGCACGAGGAGGCAAGCGCCCTTTGAAGATTCTCGCTGTCGGAAAGAAGCCTCTACCGATACCTGTAGATTGTCATGACAAAGCTGACACCTCTTCTCGGCATTGATCCACTGAGATCCACTGCTTGCGGAGAAGGTGTCGCGTTTGAATCGCGATGACGAGCTCCTACAAAGAATGGTTGATGATTGGCCTGATGGTTTCCCGGCTCGTTTCCAGCTCTGTGCCGCGCGCATTCGTTCCTGGATGAGCGTCACCATGTCGCCCATACGCTTCATCCATACGTCAGCGGGGGTGTGGGCTTCCTCTTGCATGCCCATGTTGCGCGGGGTCTGAGGATGGAAACCGAGGTCGGCCTGAAAGGGGGTCATTCCAGTGCTGGCGTTGACGCTATCGTTGTATCCGAACTCCAGCGCCGAGATGTAGCGACTCCAATTTCGCCCATTGAGGTCTGGGTTCGCCGCTATCATCTGTTTGATGGTCTGGATGGCGCGTTCTGACTGACCGTCGGATTGTTGATGGTTCGCGGTCGCTATTGCTGTGTGGAAACCCATATAATCGGGTATGGTTCTCCACATCTCCGAGGTGAGCTTCGAGTCGCGGTCGGTGACGATAGTGGTCGGTATACCATGTAAGCGGACGATGTTGTCGACGAAAAGTTGGCCAAACCCTTCCGCAGTGATCGTGCAGTGAGTAGGAACGAGGTGCACGCGCTTCGTCAAGCGGCAGACAAACACCGCAAGGAGGTCACGCCCGCAGTCGTCCTCAGGCATGTAGGCAAAGTCGACCGGGTGTTACGAGCATGTCCGCTACTTTTCACGGGGCCTGAGGGCGGATCTGCGCGTACCCATCATCGCCCAGCACCAGGCCATGGAATTGACGGTTGAGGACATGCACGACATTGCAAACCGTCTTGATGTGGCCCTCAACGGCGCTCGCCCCGACTACGTAGGGCCTTCGGCCACCGCCCCATGTTTGCTTCTTCGTCCACCCCTAAACCCCTGCCCGCGCTCCCCGCCCCGGCCAACCCCTGGCCGTTGAAACGAGGCGCGGCCGTCCAGCAGATCAAGGCGGAACCACAACTCAAACGACCGCGGCTGATGGTACCACGACTGACCCCAGAGGAGCGCGACCGTTGCATGCCGGAACGGCCTCTGTTTACGGTGCCGCCAACCCGGACATCTCGCCGCGCAGCGCCCGACATCCAACAAATTGAAACGGACGCACCTCCGACGCCAGGGGCGGCTGGCGGCGCCATGGTCCTCCACCCTGACCGCGAAGCTCAAGTGGATTTTTAGAGGGTCCCGGGGCGACGACCACGCCACTGGGACCCTACCAAGGTCGCCCACCCGACACCGCTTCGGGCCCGCCCAAGAGACGACGCCCGCAAGCCCACCGCGATGACGAGCTCAGGCCCCCGAAACGCGTGCGCTTCGTAAACCATACAACTGTCCGCTACTTTGAGAAACACCGACCTCCACACTCCCGGTCGCCGCGGACCATATCCAACGAAACCTCAGAACCTCTTTCCATCGAACCCCCTCCGCGCTCAGAACCCTACGAACCTCCCGTTGACAACGAACCACCCGAACCCCTTTCCATTCAACCACGATCCCTGGGACACTCTGAACCTACCACTGATTCCCCTACGCCGAAACCCCCGCACAAAGACAAACCACAATTCCTCGAACACTCTGAACCTACCACTGAATCCCCGACGTCCACATGTGGGTCCACAACCCTAACCCGGTTAGGGTTACCAACCCTAATCCCCAACCTCACAACCCTAGCCCGGGTAGGGTTACCAACCCTGATCCCCAACTTCACAACCCTAACCCGGTGATAACCCTAATCCCCAACAAACCACAATTCCTCGAACACTCCGAACCAACCACTGAACCCCCGACGTTCACACCCCGCACATACAGTAGACGCCACAACCATCATGGACCCCCGAGAGCCCCAGGACCCGTCGCCGTCGCAGCCGCGCAAACCTCGCGCAATCTCTGATTCACGGCTACAACCACAGACGACTGCAAGAGTACGACTTGAAGATACAATACCTCCCCGGAGAGACGAACACGCTCGCGGACTTGCTATCCCGTCGGCCAGACTATGCTCCTCGCTGTGTCAAGTGCCAGTCGCGGGCACAAGTCGAAACTTCCTCCATCGTTCTCAACACCAGCACCGATCTGCACCAGGAAGTGAAGACCCTCCTCGAAACGGACGACTACGGCCATAAGATCCTCGCCGCCCTGGCTCTTCCGGAGGCCAGGCGATCCCAGCACGAACCCCGATTTCATACGTCCGACGGGTTGCTATACTACGACAACCGCCTATACATCCCGAAAGGACCCCTGCGTGATCAACTCCTCTTCGACGCCCACGCAGCCGACGCGGCAGGATGATCATATACCAGCTGTACCACGCGTCGAAGCAATCTTGTGAGAAGTTCGTCAGCCGGCTCCTCAGTTCTCTCTTCCGGCCGACGGCCGGCAATTTCCACCCGGTACCACCGCGCCTGAGCACCGACATGTTGTCTTGCTCCCGCCGCATCCCGGTTCCTCATCGAACCCAAAAGCCTGGCCAACGACTGACCCGGCGCCACGCTCATCGTGTCCAATCCGAAACTCTCTCCGGTAACGATGTCCTGGAGGTGCCCGTCAAATATCAACTGAACCGCAGTTCCGGCAAAACGGGTACCACCGGCACTCGGTATGCCAAATCTCGTTTGAAACCCACCCCCCCCCCCCCCCCCCCCCCCCCCCGGCCTCCCCGTGAGCCCTGTGTCGTTGTTCCCCGGCCTCGATCTCCCCGGCCTCGCTCCGGCCGCGCCCCGCGAGACCCAGTCCTACGGCTACCGGGAGGGGGGTTGAAGCCTTGTGGACTAGCCATCAACGGAGCTGGCATGGTTTCGACGGCAGGTGGAGGGGAGCGTGACTTGCAGACATCTGGACCAACTGGAGAACACGCCCCTTCGGTTCTTAGAGGAAAAACCCAAAGTGGGAATGTCTGCTGGGCGGTCCGGATCTACTGTACGTACGTCCATATAAAGACACCATCGACATCGCCAGAACATGACCAACGCCCCACTGTCTCCAAGTACTTTCTCCACGGCGAGCCCGCTCCGACTGGGGAAACAGCAACAACAAGCAGGTTTGGTATCTCACTAAACATTTCTGATTAACGGGTACGCTCAAGGAATATCACTTCAAGTTGGGCATGTTGATAAGGGGTCCTAATATGTCGGGAATGTGTTGTTCGCTATTTTGACTAAATTTACTGCTTGGTCTGAAGGGACTTAACGAGAGCGATGTACTGCTTCTGAGCGTCCTCCTTGCTGGTTCCTAGATTTGAGGAAGGGTGCATTTGAATTTTGGAATTGCCAGACGGGATGGCGGGGTGTGATGTGATGGACTTACCCTTCAGCTTGGTCCAGGCGTCCCACTTGGCCTTGCCTTGGAGGTCGAACATGCCGGGCTTGGCTGAAAAGAAGAGGGACGGGCATATCGGTTAGCTCAGTGTCAGGCAGGTCAGCAAGATGAACATAGTCCAGACGGGCATATCGGTTAGCTCAGTGTCAGGCAGGTCAGCAAGATGAACATAGTCCAGACTTCGCAACCCCTATGCTCCGCCCTCGGTCAGGCCGTCCCTCCACCGGAATGACAGACCATTGTTGCCCGCCTCGCCTGTGCTGCTTTGGCCCCCCTCCCATATCCGACCGCTCGACCGCCCTCCTCTCCCTCAACGCAACACGCATCGCCAATCGAAATCAGAGTCTGCCTTCCTGGCGCTACTTACAGGTGTCATTGTCACCAACAATAGACTGCTTGAACAGACCGTAGAGCTCAAGAAGCTCGTCGTTGCTGGGCTTGTAGGTCAAGTTCTTGACGTCGGCGGCGGCTTGCACGAAGTCGGCCTGTTTCGGAGATGGTAAGCGTGAGATGCGTGATCAGGCAGGGGTGGAAATCCCAAAGAGTTGGCATCGCTACACATCTTCTTTATCTGGCCTGCGTGCCTCCCATTACTGGTCTGGGGGCGAGCTCTCCGACCCCTGAGAAGAATGCCATCTTTCCCACGCTCCTTTGATAGATCATCTTGACCCGCCCATCCCACGAAGGCCAAGATCACCCATCAAAAGGCAACACCAACCCTCTCCCACCAGGCATACTTACGTTTCCGGTGCTTGCGGGGTCAGACATTGTTGCGATGAAGGAGTCGGCTATAAAGATTGGTTTTTGCTGTTGTGTTGAGCGGGCGGTCCCTCTCTCGCAGTGTCTCTTATGCGTTGTGACGCCCGCACCACCGGAGCAAAGCGACATGTGCCATTCTGCCGTTCTGTGACTCACACACGCGCCGTGAAACGGTCACCTGCTGGATCTATGTCTGCTTACGTCACGCGAAGTCCCGCTGGCTGTCACCTCATCCTCCGCCTTTTGCATACCCGGTACCATCCAAGAAACTCTCCCAGATGCAACATACCTGCGCATAGTCCATCATTGTCTACAGCTTTCCGCATAGTCACCGCCGTCGTCCTCATAACCCGCTGGATTTTCCCAGTTCACACCACGTTTTCGTTGCGTCGGGGTTGAGCAGGCCGGCTCGTGCACAACCAGTATACACAATGACATCCACCCTCGCCACCCCACCTCCCCACCTCAAACGAGCATCCACAACCGACTTCCACCCCACACGCCACACCCGCACGTCATCCGACACCATTCCCCGGCGAACAAAGAGCGGCGCATCAAAACTGAAATGGCCGTCTCTCAAACCCGCAAAAGCGGAGTACGATCCAGACGGGACCGTGGTGGATTTGAGCGATGTTGGGCTTGACGGTGGGCATGTGGGACGGACGCGGAGTAGGGTGTTAGTTGATGGACATCGACATGCGCGGGCGGTCTCCGCTTCCGCGATGTCGCTTACGCGGTCGGTGAGTGTCGAGTCCAATGCGTCACTGCCGGGGCCGAGAAGGTGGAGGAGGGGGTTGAAGGGGTTGTTGTCTGGGCGAAGGGGTGGAAATGGGAAGGGAGATGGGATGATCAACGCAGGTGAATATGACGGCAGCGCCCTATCGATCCAAACCAACGATGACGACGACATTCCGACGGACCTGTACACGTCAAGCTGGCGTGGGTTCCCGTTTGCGCCGGGGAATGCAGCTGGCAGGGAGATTGAGAAGGATCCGGTGAAGGCGGCAGCGGACTTTGATGAGTTGGTGGCGGGGTGGGGACGGTGTACGGCCGATGGTGGACGAACAGAAGATGGGGGAAGTAACGGAAGACAGAACGGTGCACCCTCTGCAACGCCTAAAAAGCCCGGCACACACCGGCTAGTCGACCGACTCAAAGCATACGAGAACCCCGACGCCCATCAAGTAGCGTCGGAACAATATGCCTCCAATGCTACGCTCAACGCCTCGGACGAAAACGAGGACGAGTACAGCGCCACGCAATCGAGTTCCCTCAGCGAGGACGAAGTGCGGGATGGGGAAGAGTACGGGCTGTTTACGCGGAGTCGGAAGAGTCGGAGTATCCGGAGCGCCGCGAGCAGCCGGCAGGGGAGTCTGGCGCGCCGGCCGCGCGGGAGTGCCAGCGGCCGGGCCGAAACGGAGTCCTCGGGAAGTCTTGGGGCGGTTGTCGACGATGATGCTGTCTGGCAACGTGGCCTGGTCACTGTATCGGCGCCATCAACGCTATCTCGTCCCAGTACACCCATCCAACATGACTCGCCTTCCACTACCCCCGACGAAGGCGGCCAGCAACAACAGAAGCAGCAACCTGTACCCCTACCCCGTCCAACCCGCCGCATCCGCTTCGAATCCATCTGCGCCCAAGTCCTTGGTCCGAACTGGCTCGATCAAATCACCCCACCACCCAAACCCACGCCTTCCACCACCATACCAACCACAACAGCGTCAACACCACACCCACTCCTCCGCACCCGCACGCCGACAACGCCGAAGGGAACCGATAGCTCTTTGCTGGATCTGTTTGAGTTTGATTTGTTGCTGCATGAACGGCAGAGGATGGAGTTGAGGCAGCGGAGGGGGAGGAGGCGGGGGAGCGGGGGCGGTGGCGGCGGTTATCCGGCCACTGGGAATAAAGCGGAGGGGGGCGAGGAGGGGTGGGGTGGGTGGGTCGGCAAACTGCTCCTCTCGCGGGACCGCACCCCTGCGCATGCCACGGCTCGCCCATCGCCCTCACCGCCGACGCCGCAGAGAGGAGGTAAACGCTCGCGACGGCCAGGACGGCGGGGCGGGTGCGGCGTACGGCGGGGGGGTTCCGGCCCCGAAACCGGCCACGGGGACGGGGACGGGGACGGGGACGAACTGGTGCATTCGATCGACTGGAGCACGCGCGCGATCGTCGCCACCCGCCGCGCCGACATGGACGCACCGCACGCCGCCAAGCTCGGCGACTCGCAACTCGCCGATCTCCAGCGCGCGTTGGAGGACGAACTGGTGGGTGGGGAGATCGATCTCGCGGTGAAACATCACCCCGTCGATGATGGACTGCACGCGGACCGTCAGGCTGCCTCAAGCGAGATGACACCCCCCCTCCACCTCGGCTCCGCGAACCTCTCCGTAGCCCTCGCGCTTCCGCCCCCGCCCCTGCACTCCCCGCCGCCCATTTCGCGGCGGTCGCGGTCATCGTTGCACCATCCGCATACGACGAATACGAAACAAACGCGCGGCGTGAGGAAGAAGAGCACGCAGGTGCCGTGGTCAAGTATGTTTTCGTATGTGAGGGAGTGGAGTGGGCTGGGGGGGTATACCGGGTTGGTGAGGTTTTTGTTTGGGGGTGGGGAGGGGAAGGGGGTGAACGAGGGGGAGGAGCGGGAGATGCGGGAGATGCAGCAGATGCGGGATTTTAGGTAACAGGTGGGGAGGGAAGGGGAGTGGGGGTTTCCATTTTTAGTGCCAGGGTGGTTTTCTTGGGTAGGGTTTGACGTGCACGGTAGTCTAACCCGCCTAGCTTAGATCTAGGTATGCAGCTGCTCAAACCCACCATCCTCCCTCCGCATACCGATACCTTAGTTGTTAGCGGCGGCCTTTCTGCAGAGCGGCCTTTCTGATGCAACTGTAACGTCTTCTCTGATACTGCTTTTTCGACCGATTGTCGTCACGAAGTTTTTAGCATTCGCTCGTTCTCATTATGGCATGGTGTTCATTCTTGCCAATGAGAGCGTCGGCAGAGTAGATATAGCTGTTGCCATCTTTCCGATGAATTGGTAGGACAAACCTTCTGTTCGCAACCGCAACCGCAACCGTCTCCACGCGTACTGTCGCACTTTGAAGCGCCTCACCGCGAAGAGACGCACAATTTTTCAAATCTCCCTTCCCGCTGCAAATGCACCCTCGAAGCGTTTGCCTAAAAGATCATCTCTGTTCTCCGCCCAAATTTCTTTCGTGTGCGTTTTTATCGGTACAAGTAATCAGCCTTCAAGTTCCTCGCCAGTTCCGGCTCCCACTTGTCCCCGTTCGCCAGCAGCTTCTCCTTATTGTACAGCAGCTCCTCACGGGTCTCTGTCGTAAACTCAAAGTTTTGCGACTCGACGATGGCGTCTACGGGGCAGGCTTCTTGGCAGAAACCACAGTAGATGCACTAAATCATGAAGGAGAGACGTGGGTGAGTGATGTGGGAGGAAGATGAAAGATGGGGATTTTTACGCACCTTTGTCATGTCGATGTCGTAACGGGTTGTTCGACGACTTCCGTCCTCACGAGGCTCGGCTTCGATCGTGATTGCTTGCGCGGGGCAGACGGCTTCACATAGCTTGCAAGCAATGCAGCGTTCCTCGCCTAATCAATAGTAATCATACACTGATGTCAGCTCTCCAGTCCCACAAAAATATCTGTGATTGTATGGTGGAAGAACCACGATGGATGATGGCGCAAACGATATCCTGCTCGCTCCGCTCACGAAAACGAGATTGGGCTACGTGCGTGAGGGGAGTATTGCGCCCTCGGCGCAATGTGGTGCTCGCTCCGCTCGCGAAGGCGTTCGCTCTGGTCGAGCTCGCAAACCCTCGGTCCCCCCAGACCGACCCAAAGTCCCTACGCTCAGGCTCCCAGCCCGAAACTCCCTCGCCACGCTCGGTCCCCTTACCAGTCGGGTATCTCCTCAACGCATGCTCCCCCCTAAACCTCGGGCTGATCGGCCCCTTCTCATGCGGATACATAATCGTATAAGGCGGCTTAAACATCTGCTCCAAGACAAGCCACATGGTGCGGACGATATCGGTGAAAAACATTTCCGTCGCGACCCTGTCCATCACGGGCTGGTGCATGTGGGCATCGGGGTTCTCGGCTTCGCGCTGGGCTCGCTTGCCGCGCACGCTGAGGGTGTCGGCCGTGGAGCGATGGGCATTGCGGGTCGCTGGGTGGGGCGGGGACGTTAGATTGGGGGAGTGCGATTTGAGGGGTGGGAAAACTAGCACCATCGGGTGGGATATTCGGGGGAGTTACCTGACAAAAGCGTGGGAGAGGATATCCTGATCCCTGCGGAATATGCTGCTGGCCTGAGCACCGCGAGGGCGCTGGCGGAGGGTATCAAGCGCCTGGCGAACATTGCAGCTGGTTGCGAATGAGGCAGTATGGGAACTTCCAGTGCCAGAGCGTCGTCGTCCCAAGTTGCAAGTCAGTCGAGCGGGGAGCATCATTCAATTCCAAATCAAAGTCACGTGCTCAGATCACCCTTTTTTAATGCGAAGGCTTGTCGAACGGGCAACTACGGGCAACGACGACGAACATCCTCCCCCCCAAACAGACGCCAAGGGCTATCATAACACTACCAAACCCTCCAGTCCGTTCTCCCCCCCCCCCCCCCCCCCCCCCCCCCCGTCCCCAAAGCACAACAATGTCCAGCGCGGCAATGAACGTCAACGCTCAACTAGAGCACCGTAAGTGAAATTCACTCCCCAGGCGCACTCCCCGTCCGCTCCCCCGTCCTAACCACCTCCACTGCTCAGTCCAATCCAAGCACGTCGGCACAGGGCACGCCGACACCAACAAATTGTACGTGCCTCCTCACGCCCCGTCGTCCATCCCAATCCCCCCCTAACATGATCTCGATTTCTCATTAGTGAATGGGTGGTCAACCAACATCGCGACACGTACGCCTCGATCATCGGCCACAACACGCTGCTGGCGTATGCGTCGGTGGCGGAGAACGAGAGCATGGGGAGGAAGAAGTTTGAGATGGTGGAGAAGATGTTGCAGCCTTGGTATGTTGTTTCGGGGGAGGACGAGGAGAGGGAGGGGATGGGGACGAAGGGCTGTGGGATTGGGTGGTTGAAGGGAGTTGGGGTGTTGGGAGGGTAGCAGCTTTGGGGTGCTTGAAAGGGGAGCGAGGGGGCTGAGCAATGGAGTTTGTCTGCGGCGTGAGAGTGCGGACGGGGGATGGCGTGCCGGGTCTGGGGATTCGGCGGATGTGGTGAGGTTTAAGGTGGCTCCAGCGAAGTGAGGGGAGACGAGCAACAGCGAGAATTGGGATGGCTCTGATCTGTGAGAGATGTCTTGCTAACCTTCCGATCCCTCTCTTTTCTCATCACACAGCGGCCTGCCCGTCCCACGCGACGACTGATTCGACCTCGAAAAGCATCACACGCACTCTCAACGCCGTCAGTGGACCCACTCCCTTCCTGTAAATACTTTTTCCTCAGCCGCGGCAGTGTGCCCAACGCTTTTGATACCTAGTTTGTACCATAACTTATCACGACGGAACAATCATACCAGTCTCCTGTGTATGCATTCAGTTCATACCTACATGTGGCAGCGGGACCTAAATGTTTTCAAATTGCTGTAGTCGACTGCCCCAAGATCACCGAGGAGGTCATAAAGGTCATCATTAACCACCGTAACACCACCGAACAGGAATGGAGCCGTACTGGGACCCGTGGGGAAGAGAGCAATAAGGAGTTTGCGGGATTCGATGATGATGATGCGCAGGTTTGCTTAGATTAGGTTTTTCTTTTGTTTTTGTTGTAACAATAAAGAAAGTAACGAGACACTTTTGAAGAGCAGCCTCTTGCGCACATTATGTACCACAATTGTTGGGTGTCCGTGTCCATATTCACAGAGCTCGTGGGGTTTGAACATGGTGAATGGAGGTTGAGCAGCTCCACCTGGCGACGGTCGGCGCGACTGCGCAAACATATGTGAGCGCTGAGGTTTGGCGACGAGGCGGGGGTGACTACTGTGGAGAATTGGCACAGAAGAGCTCGGCGGAGAGTCGCAGCTCGTACACGCGACCAGGGATGGACTGGTTGTCGGTGTGTTGGGCGGACATGTTCGTTGCGGGGGAGGACGAGGGCCCCATTGCCTCTATAGAGAATGTTCTTCAAAGGCCAGAAAAAAATGCTGTTTGAGTTTCGGGTGAGGAGGAGCAAAGCACGTTGTGTTACGAGTATCATTTAAATAAAACCAAGTCCAAAAAAACACGTCAAGGCGTTGACACAAAGTTCTGAGACGAAAGGCAACGGAGCGGGATGGGTATTAGCAGAAGCGGCGCGGAGAACGCTACACTCGTCAGGAAAATGCGGGGATGCTAGCGCTGAAGTCAACAACGCTATGGGTGGTTGACGTGCAAGGTGATAATTTATCCTGATGGCGTGGCGCTGTTGACCGATTTCACTACCGATACGATGATGATGATCAGGATAACGAGGACGATGGATCCGATGATCAGCTTGAGCTTCAGGTCTTTCCACCACCTAAAGAGTACAAAAGGGCGTTCGTGTGAGTCCTTTGCATACATAAAGCAAAAGCAGACGTAGCTGACGGTAAAAGCTTTTCGCCAACATCGTTCACCAGTCTATTCAGGAAACAGGCTTCAACGCTTGTAAAGAGGAAAAACTTACATCTGCCTCCTGACTTTCGTTGCCCCACGCTTGAATTGCAAAGCGCCTTGCTGCAGATCATCCGTCTTGTTTTGCAACGTTTCGAGACGTTCACCTCGTTGCATCACCTTCTCGATCTATGGAGGGAACGAGAGTGTGAGCATGCCAAATCGCCTCGCCTTGATCGCTTTACCCCGCCGACTGTTCCCCACACGTACGTTGTTGTGCATAATCCCTATGACCTCATCCACTTGGTTCTGGACTTGGGCCGTCTTGGCCGGTTGTGCGCTTCCGGACATGGTTGCAGACGAAAGGTGAGGGGGGAAGGTGGAGTAGTGATGGGTGAAAGACGCTGAACGACGCTATGCTATGCTAGACTGCGACTGCTGTTCTATGAAACAGTGAGTGGGGAGCGGGTGAGGGGATAGAAAACGGCGCATGGGAAGAGAGTGAGTGCAGTGATGGCGAAACACCTGCGGCGATTTATACGACTTGTAATGTGGGCGGCACCAACGCTTTTTTTTGAGTGCGTCTATCCAGCGACACACGACGCATCCCCGAATAAGTAATAAGTTTATCTTCCAGAGGTTAACGAATGAAAGCACCGGCAGCTGCAGGCTTGGAGCGGCCTGGAATGTCCATTTTAGATGGATGCTATCTTATGTCCATTTTAGATGGATACTATCTTTGGCATTTTATTCAAGCTCATTGTCCACTTCGAAGACAAAGACGCTCTCCGACAGATTATGACAGCGCGTACCTGCAAGGGAACTGAGATGTCATTCCGGTTCCTTTGGAAATACAGTACACACAGAGGCGTGTGATTGGCTGGCTGGCTAGATGTCCTGGCCAGATTATTCTGCATGGAGGCGTGTGATTGGCCGGATTTTCTTGCGGAGGGGTCTTGATCTGGTCGGTTGCGTTTGAGTATCAAGGCGTCGCGGATCGTGGGATCGATGAAAGCAATCGATGTCAGCGTGGTCGTTAAACGGGATGCGGTGAATGGGCTCCGGTGTCAGATGGGCGAACTGGCGAGTGGTTTTTTCTCGACAACAACACTGGCCGCAGCATCTTAGGGTTAGGGCTAGGGTTAGGGCTAGGGCTAGGGTTAGGGCTAGGGTTAGGGTTGTATTGTCAGGAATCGTTGCCAATTTCACAGGGCGTCTTCAGAGTTGTCACTCTACAGTCGTCGCTCTGTGCTCTGGACGATGGGCGCACTCAACACTGGCCGCAGCATCTTTGCATTACCAGGTATCGTTGCCAATTTCACAGGGCGTCGCCAGAGTTGTCACTCTACAGTTATCGCTCATCTTGCCGGAAATAAGTGGCCAGAAGTCTGGTTACCTCGCCTGTCAATAGTGTCATTCTGTGACATAAGCGCCTGTCAATTTGTCGGAGGGATATTTTTCTCCAAAGAATGCCGATTAAGGAAGCCCCGCAGACATACAGGCACAGCGAGCAAATATCGTTTGGCGCACCACAGTTTGAGAGAGCTCCAGAAGATACGGAGATCCAGTCAAAGCCACTAAGCCAACTCCCACACAAACCACAAACTGCCCACCATGTCCGTCGCCATGGGCAGCACCCTCTCCGGCAGCCTGCACACCTCCGCGCACCCCGCCGGGGCCTCCAGCAGCCCCAAAGCCGCCATGACGGGCCCGCAGCTCGGTCCTCGCCCCGCCTACCTCCGCCACAGCAACCCCAACCTCCGCGGCGGCATCCCGCGCGAGAGCGTCTACGCCCTCATCGAGCGCGAGGTGGAGCAGGAAGCCAAGCCGCCCCGTTATACGAGCATCTATGCGGAACGGGTGAAGCATGAGTTTGGCGGGAAGAAAAGCGCGGCTAGTATGGGGCCTGCGGAGGTGCCGAGGCCGGATCCGGAACGGTGGTTGAGGAAGGGGGAGAGGGAGAGGGGGTGGAAGAGTGTTGTGAAGGGTAAGGAACTGGGGATTGGATGCTGCTGGGTTTGATTGCGTTTGAGACTGGAGGACTGATTTGATGGGAATATCTTTTGTTTTGCAGTGGAGCCAAATCGCCCGGACTGGACAAAGCTGAAAGCACCGCTTCCGGACGCCCCGGGCATCATCCCTCGTCCGACGAAGAAGGATTTCATCAAAATCAACGCATTGGACCAAATCAACTCCAGTAAGGAAACACAACCATATACTTGATGCTTTCCCCTCCGTCAATCCTAACCAGCATGTGCCTAACCATCCATTGCAGGCGCAAAACAACCACCCCGCCCACCCCCCGCCTACCGCACCAAAAAGGACTACGGCCTCGTGCCCGCCTACCTCACCCCCAGCGACCCCAAACCGCACGCCCCACACGTCGAAAAAGTGCAGCACATCCAATCGCACCTCAAAAACACGCGGTTCCACCACCACCGCGTGCGTCTCGCGGACGAGCGCGATAATGAGAGCAGTGAAGGGCTTGTGCCGTTGCCGACGGAAGAGCGGGAGAAGATCTTGGAGGGGTTGAAGGAGCAGTGGAAACGGTTGAATGGGGAGTATCAGAGGTTGAGCTTGACAGTGGATACTGTGCCGAAGATTGCAAGGTGGGGTTGGAATAAGGGTGTCCATGGGATCTTTTTTGATGATCACGGATTTTTTTTCTGATGCGGGTGATGTGATTCGCAGGAAAGTGAACATGGAACAGCAACTCCGTCTCCTGGAGAGCAACATCCAGAAGTTCACGCACCCAAAGATTCTTGTTGCGTTCGACGACGTTTACGAGCCTGCGCTGCCATCTTCGCAAACGGCGCTGCATGCATGATCTCCACATCATTAACCAAGAAGAAAGGACTCGGGTGGGATCGAACGTATCAATCGTTCGCGGTGCCTGATGCAAACTGGATGGAGAGTTTTGGAGCGAAAGAAGGGGTGTGTTGGAGTCCCGAGTGGGATTGGACATTGACGTGTGTTTCGGGCGTGTTCCTACATCTTTACACTTGTACGCTACCATCAATCATATGCGTGATTTTCTTTTCGAAGTGGCGGCTGGGAGTCGTGCGTGGGAGTGACATTATTGTTAAGATAGGATGTAGGGGTTTTCTGAGATGCATCCTGAGTACGACGGATTGTTGAGCCTCCCTGTGCAACCTGGGAGTCACTGGCCAGAAACCCAGAAGTCACTGGTCAGAAACCCAGAAGTAACCGGCCAGCTGTCAGTCTTGCCGTGGGCTAGCGATCCTGCTTGAAAGGGTTTGCGAGGTGTCGGTAACTTGGGCCGATGGCCCTGGTTGGGATGATGTGTCCGTCGGGCGTCGTAGCCAAATCTCTAGCAGCTTACTAGCCTACTGTAATGCGGACACCAGAGCTCATCAAAGCAATCGATTTTTGGGTCGGGAGGGCGTCGATGGACGCGATGTTGGGCGTCGATGTTGTCGGGAGGCGCACCAGATCGGCCCGACGGGAAGAAAAGGGGCCCACCGGACGGGGAAGAGGTTACGATTCTTTCACAGGACAAAACAGTAGGTGGCCAGATATCCGGGTGAATGCCAAGTCCCGCTAGTCCCACACGTCAATTTGCCGCAACGGACAGCTGTTGTGCAACAGATCGCAGAATCGATGACTTTTGCGCGTTGGGACGGCATCGGTGTGTAAAGAGTGCAATCTGCCGATGGGCGTCCATATGTGCGGGGGTACGGTACAACAGACTGGGACATGCATGCGGGGCGGAGGGAAGACAGACCAGACAGTACAGTAGCGAGCTTGGGAAGACTGCCAAGGAGGATTCGAGCGGCACCTCACTTCTAACCATAGCCCTAACCCTAACCCTAGCCCTAGCCCTAACCCCAAGTGCATGGGCATCGCGGAAGGCTGTTACTCGCGACTTCTGAACCCACTTCTGATCCCAACCAGCATCAACTTTACAGGAAAAAGAAAAGCAAATATGCTCAAGGCCGTAATGATATTTAATAACCACGGGAAGGTGCGTCCTACGTTTGTTTGCCCGCCACTTTGCTTCTGAGACTCGCTGAGCCAACTTGAACCAACTGACCTTCCATCTTGCCTTGCAGCCACGGCTCATGCAGTGGTATCAACAGATGGTATGAGTGGTATCTCTTTATCGCTAGTGATGACCAGATTCAAGCTTACTCTACGCTCTCTCAAAAGGATGTCAAGGTTCAACAGGAAATGTTGAAGGAAATCTTCCGCCTTGTCAACAAACGGTAGGTCTGGATGCATTCCGAAGACCCTCACGATGGCCGGGACGACTTGGAAGCGGTGTATGTGTGAGCTGATACTCATGACTTCGAATCGGATAGGCCAGATCATGTGTGCAACTTTCTGGAGGGGAGTGAACTTATTGGCGGCCAGGACACGAAGATAATATATAGGGTGAGACGAAAGAGTCACATTCGTTGGAAAACGGGCTATCGACTGACTGGTGGCGACGATCTCTCTTCATAGCACTATGCAAGTGAGTATACGGCGACATCAGGACATAGCCCGGAATGACATACGTTGCTAATCTAGGAACCAGCGTTGTACTTCGCTTTCGTTGTGGACTCCTCTGAGAGCGAGCTAGGTAAGGAGCTAGAATGCGTTGTTAGGGTGAAGAATAGCAAGGACACTGCTGACTGATCTCTCTCAGGCATCCTTGATCTGATACAAGTCTTTGTGGAGGCATTGGATAGGATATTCTCCAACGTTTGCGAACTGGATTTGATTTTCAGGCCCGATGAGGTACGGTCAGAGATTCATCATCGGACAGGTCTTTATCGGCGTCCTCATCTGCTTCGCTTCTGCTGCAGGTCTCGCAACTGCTTTCAGAGGTTATTTCGGGAGGGATGGTAAGGTGGTCGATTTGCACACCGGCGTTCCGCTCAGGATGTGTACTCCAAAGCTCTTTGCGAGCAGAAAGTTGATCTCCTTTCCTTTCCGACCTTGCAGGTACTGGAGACCAACATCACGGACATCGTTGCATCCGCTGGGATCAAAAAGATTACATCCGCCAGATGATCCGGACCCACCGTAGGGTGCCTCTCCGTGCGTGGGGTTGCAAGAAGGGCCTGCCCAGGTGTTGGACGAGATGGATTGGTTGACGATCAGTTTGGATTGGATAGAACTGCCCTGCCGGGGAGGAAGCTGCGTACTATCCGATGTAACGACCTTCACTACAGGCGCCAAGTGCCGGGTCGAAAGATGTTCGGGCGGTAACACGGCATAAGAGGGGCTACGCGTTGTGAACCTTTCATATCCGACTAGCAGGGCTCATTCGACAATGTCTGCAGACCGCATCCATGCGTGTCAAAGAGGAATGGTAGGGTAAATTCCGCAAAGGACGCTGGGCAGTTGCGGTACATAAGCCCAGACGGCCCGTCTGACTGTTACCATTCGGACAACCTGCGCATGAACCTCGGAAGCCTCTATTACTTCCATTATGCCGTGTATCCCCGCTGATGTCAGGACTCGGGACTCAAGGAAGCTGTCTCATCAGCTTCCAAGTTAGGTTCTGTCGAAGCTCGGCTGGAGTCACTCTCAGGGAGGCTCATCGAGAACATGGCGCCCCTTTCCTTCCCTCTCTCTCGCTTGCGTTGGCAAGCATCGACTGTGCATACAGTACTTGTCAGCGCCCTCCCGCCCGCCCCTGCGCTGTATTGTATTGTATTCTTTGTCGTGTGGGTTTGCCCACGACGCTAATTACAACGCCTACTTCCACCACTCTTCGTACATGTTGTTGCGAGCGCCGGAGTCTAGACCCCCACAGCCTTTTCATCATCCAGAGATACGCAAGTTGCCATCATCGGCGACGCCTCAGGCAGAGGTACAATGATGTGGATGGCAGATAACCACCACGGAAAATGGGATGGGGTGAGGATTCTAGACTACCTACGGTTACGGGAGAATGCGTCTGGTCTGCGGCCATTGCCAAACACCACCGAACGCACAATCGAGAGGAAATTCTTGGTGCTTAGGACGTCCCGATTGTGCACTCTCATCCGTAGTGGTCGTCTTCCAGGAATCTCAAATGGCGTCCAGTCTTGGTTGATACATTCGGGGTTGGGGCAACCCACCAATCCATGGACGAATTCCATTCTTCCCTTTTGAGCTTGCCGCGGCCGAGGTGACAGCCGGCGTCAGATGTTTTTCTTCACACGCCCGTGGCAGTCTGGGCACACGGAAGACGTTCGATACTCATCTAGCAAGTAGCATGGGATGCTGTTTCTTGCAAAGAGTGTGCGGAATCTGATTTCCATGATGATGAGTTAGCATATTAAAATACATAAAAAACAATGATGGTCACTCACCCCTTGGTGTTTGATGACTCCTGAAAGCGCATGGTTTTTCCAGCGTCGCTCCAATCACCCAAGATGACCGCAAAATGCTTTCCATACAGGCGTCGCATGTTCTTGATGAGCTTGGTCTCAGACTTTTGCCGCAGTGAGAACGCCTTGAATCTGTGAGCTACGTGAATCGCATTCTGGTAAAACTCATCCAGGGCGGGATCTGGGATATGGATGGATGTCAGCCCATGTGTTACCAAAGTTGAAAATCAAAGTTGAAGTAGAACATCATACACGCATGTCAGTGATCCACAATGAACGCTGAGAACGCCTCGATTTTCATGCTCTAGTGCGATGGAATATGTGATTCCATCTCAGCGATGCCGGCATTGATCTTTCGCTCCGTCATATCTCTCCGAAAGTAACGAGACTTTGTCTTGACCGCCCGTTGATTGGATGTGTATCTGATGGGGTGGTGCATTCTGAGATTACTACTGCCCTGCTATCCCCGCTATCCCCGCTATCCCCGCTGTCGCCGCTGTCGCCGCTGTCGCCGCTATTCCCGCTGTCCCCGCTGTCGCCGCTATCCCCGCTGTTGCCGCTGTTGCCGCTGTCGCCGCTATCCCCGCTGTCCCCGCTGTCCCCGCTGTTGCCGCTATCCCCGCTGTCGCCGCTATCCCCGCTGTCGCCGCTATCCCCGCTGTCGCCGCTATCCCCGCTGTCCCGATATCCCGCTGTCCTTGCTGTCGCCGCTGTCCCCGCTGTCACCGTTATCCCCGCTGTCCCGCTATCCCGCTGTCGCCGCTATCCCCGCTGTCCCGCTATCCCGCTGTCCCCACTGTCGCCGCTGTCCCGCTATCCCGCTGTCCCCGCTGTCGCCGCTGTCCCCATTGGCGCCCTCCTCAACCGTCCCCGTCCCCGTGCCCACGATCCCCTTCGTTCGACAGACATTCCGCAATCAGCTGAAATGTACCTAAATGGCCGCTCCTTCTTGATGTCTCGACAGAACAAGAGGTCACGCTTGCCCAGATCAATGCTGACGATGTTTGGAGCCTCCCTTAGTACGGCGATGTGGTGCTCAAAATACAGCTGTTTGACTTCTTCCTGCATTTGGGCTTTGCTGCGCTTCCGGGCGCGATGGCCGTACTTGAGCCCTGGCTTCTTGAAGTGGATGGTAGCGGAATACCCGTTTGTGCTGATTGACCCATCAAATTTGAGACCAAGCTTCTTTCAATGCTTGAAGACCTTGTCCTGCAATCCGTCATTCAGCGAGGTGAGGTGAGTGAAATAAGCGCAGAGGGATAGAGACTTACATTCACGTTGAGAAACTGCCCCCACAGCTCCCGCTTGCGTTGATCGGTGAGTTTCCCCATGCGATGGCAGCCCAAGGCCAGGATATGAGTGGTTAGGATCTTCGTGTCGATCCAAACAGATGACTGGATTCGAGATTTGCGCAGCGGGATAGCGGAAAACAGCCGCATTCCACGGCGCTCATAGAGGCATGAGAGCTCACAATAGGCACCTGTGATGAGGCGAGGCAGGTGCGGACCATGATTAGACAAAAGAGGAACCCGCGGGGAGGGGGGGGCCGGAAATATACTAACTCACCTAAATATGGCATTGCGTCCACCGCAAGGCTGTATGCAAACGGTTCATCCTGGGGAGGAAACAGAGCCCATAACTCGTCGAGGACAGTCCGCTCAAGTCGTGTGAGGCGGGCAAACTCCTCTTCGGTTGGAAATCTCTTCAAATGTCGCATACTTTGTAAACTGACGGACACGCCGATAATAGCGTCGCCGCTGCGCTCGGTTGACTCCGGCACGGAGATGCAGTACGACTTGCTTCAAACCAAGCCTTTCATTGACGTAGCGCAGAAGCATTTGCATGAAATGCTCTTTTACGTTAACTTTGAGGTTTGTGAGGATGCTCGTAGCCGTGTACGCTGCGGTCTGTTGGCAATTTCGCATGCGGATGGGGGCGAATCCGTGAACATCACAGTAGTCTTGAACCCACAGACGCAACTCTTGCGCGATGACTGGATTGCCATTGTAGCCTGGATTGTTTAGCAGCTCAAATATCACACTGATGTGCTTGTCGGTGATGTCCGGGAAATCGTGTAGAGGATGATCAGCTGCGGTCAGCAGAGCAGACGTAACAGTCAGGACATTGTTTTATGGCAAATATACAGTGCACCTCAAAAACTCACCAAGGTAGTACTTGAGAAAGAAGGTGGTGTGGCGCGCAAGGATGTGAACATTGCCGATGAACGTTGTCAGGCGCTCCCTTTGAGCTTGATTTTGATTATGGATTCGGTGAAGCAAAACCTTGGTGCTGGCATGTGTTTGCGGGCTGGGTCGTTGAACTGGTGGTGGTGGCGGGGGCTCAAGCACCAGGGATCCACCCGGTGTGCTGGGAAAAAGGAAAGGGATGGGAGCGGGGAGGTTCAACGGGCGCTGCAGACCCCTGTCCGCGGTTGAAAGCCCTCTCTGCGGCTGCTGCTGCTGCCCGTCTTCATCGCCGGAGCTCTCGCCAACCATGTCTGCAATTGCTTGGGGCAAGTGGCGTTGGACCGAAGGTGGGAACTCGAATTGCGGGGGTTGCAATGGTGTGGCTGGCAGACGTATGGGCAACCGCAGGGTAACCGGAGTAACCTTCCTCCTCTTCCGCCGCCGTGGTGTGGTTACTCCGGTAAAGATGCCACACCACAGGTGCCCCTGGAGCGCCTGGTGTGATGACATGATGGCTGTGCTGTGCCTTAAGCCAGCCGAGACGGGTGTTGCAGGTGATTGCCGTGAAGCGTAAGGGGAGAGCGCGAAGAGTGAGGAAGAGTACGTAGAGTGAGGATCCCCACGTTTTTTATTTACACACGTGTAAAGGATGTGGGGTAGCTTCCAGGGCAGCTAGCTGGGCAGCTAGGGTACGTAGCTTCTGAGGTTGATTCTAGCTCCTCCCACTCCGCCACTTGGCCCCCAATGAACTCGACGAGCTACGGCAGCAACTCGAGCGCCTATCATCCCGCAGGTGGATCTCCCACTCAAGAGCCCCTGGGGGGCACCCGTGCTGTTTGCCCCGAAGAAGGACGGTGGCCTCCGCTGCTGCACCGACTACCGGGCCTTCAACAAGATGACCCATAAGGACGCCACGCCCTTCCCGAACCTCAACGTGCTTCGGGACCGCTTCGTCGGCATGAAGGGCTTCACCGCTATCGACATCCGTGATGCCTACCACTGCATCCTCATTCGGGAGGAAGACCGCAAGAAGACTGCCTTCCGGACGCGCTTCGGCCACTTCCAGTACAACGTATTACCCTTTGGGCTGATGAACGCGCCCGCGACGTTCCAACGCCTCACGAACAAACTCCAGGGCGACAAGTACGATTCATACCTCATCTCTTACCTCGATGACATCCTTATTTTCAGCCCCGACATGGACTCACACATCGGGCATGTCACCGAAGTGCTCAAGACCCTCTCGGCTCACCGCCTCCACGTGAAACCGTCCAAATGTCAGTGGGCAGTGGACCAGGTTGAGTTCTGCGGGCACGTGGTCGGTAAGGACGGCCTTTCCATCGCCCCGTCCAAGGTCGAGGCTGTCCGCGCTTGACCCGAACCCACCAGCGCCCTTGAGCTCCTCTCCTTCATGGGGCAAATCAACTATGTCAAGGAATACATTCCGCATTATGCTGACACCGCCCTCCCACTGACCAACCTTCAATCCGGCACCCGCCCGTGGCAGTGGGGCGCCAAGGAACAAGCAGCATTTGACAGCATCAAGGCGCGCGTCGCCGATGCCCCTTGCCTGGCGTTCTTCGACCCCGATAAGTTCCCCTACGTCTTCTCTGACGCGTCAGGCTTCGCCGTAGGGGGCTGGATCAGTCAGGCCACGGACGGCGACTTTCCCATGCCGAATCCACTGCCCACCACGAAAAAGGGCCTCAATGACCTTCCGCGCCTCTGCGTCATCTCATATGACTCACGCAAGATGGCTCCGGCCGAAACCCGATACCCCGTGCACGAACAGGAGCTCCTCGCATTGGTCAAAGTGATCCGCGCTAACCGCCACTACCTCATCGGTCGCCAATTCCGTGCATTGGTCGACCACAAATCCCTCATATACCTCCAGAATCAGCCTCATCTCTCCCGGCGCCAGGCCGGATGGGTGGAGTTCCTTCAGGACTACGACTTCAATATCGAATACCTCCCCGGCGAGTTCAATCGCATCGCCGACATACTCAGGCACCCCGCTGTACGCCCTGAAGTGCGCCAGCTGTCAGATGAAGGTCGAAGTGTTCTCCATTGTCACCGGGACACCTCTACCGGACATCACTGGCCGCCTCCCTACCGACGCCGAGTGGCTCACTGCGCTCGACGATGACAAGTTCTGCAAGGACACCCTCGCCCACCTGCAGACCACCGCAACGAACCCCGATGACCCCTCTACCCTCTCGGGTTTTGCCCGCCGCCTCACGCGCGACGACCGCGGCTTCCTTTTGTACCATGGCCGCCGCTACGTCCCCAAGGGCCTTCGGGGCCCCCTCCTCAGGTTCTATCACGACTCCCTGGCCAACGGCGGCGACTCGGGTGTCCAGCGCACCGTCGCCAAACTCCTCGCGCTCTACTACTGTCCCCGCCTCGAGCGCAAGGTCCACCATTATGTCCGGACTTGTCCCGACTGCCAACGCAACAAGCAGGCTTCCAACTTCGGGCGCCTACGCAGCATTCCGGTCCCCAACGAGCGCTGGCGTTGCGTTGGCTTGGACATCTACTTCCCCACGACGAACTCTAAGGGGGGGGAAGCGGGAGACGAGTCCGTCATGGACAAGGGAGCCGTCCTCATCCTGGTGGACTACTTATCCAGCCGCGTAATCCTCCTCGAGACCCACCCCAAGGCGACGGCAAAGGAACTCGCCCAGCTGTTCTTCGACCAGGCCTTCCGCATCACGGGCATGCCCCACACAATCATCAGCGATCGGGACACCAAATGGACCGGCGCCTTTTGGAAGCACCTTCTGAAGTGCGCCGGCGTAGAGCAGGAACTCTCGTCGGCACGCCACCAACAGACCGACGGCAAGACGGAGAACGTCATCAAGACAATCAAGAAGATGATGGTCCCCTACCTGAACTACACCGGCTCAAACTGGCGCGAGATGCTTCCCCTCCTCGAGTACAACTACAACAGGACGCCCCAGACCTCCACGGGCATGTCCCCGTACGAGATCGACATCGGGTACATCCCAAAGGTACCAGACCAATGGGGACCAGCGACCCAACAGAGCAACTGAAACAGGCCGATCGAAAGTGCATTGAGGAGCGCATGCAGCAACTGACCGAGGTGAGCCGCATCGTTCAGCACAGACTCCGAGAGGCCCAGGACAGGCAGGCAAGATACTACAACAGGAACAAGAATACGGACGCGTTCGTAGTAGGCGACCAGGTCCTGCTGAACCGCGAAGGCATCCAGATCAAGAGTATCTCGGCCCGAAACAAGAAGCTGTCCGCGCTATGGATCGGGCCCTTCAACGTCAGCAGAAAAAGGCCCCACCCGGACACCTACGAGCTGGAGCTCTCCCACGAGTTCAGTGGACTACACCCGGTGTTCCACGTCAACATCCTACGCAGGTACAACCCTCCGGAGAACGGCCCATACCGAAAAGTGGACGCACCACCCCCCCCGGAGGAAGTCAGCAGCAAACTCGAACACCGAGTTAAAGACATCCTCGACTCCAAGTGGGTACGCAACACCGAGATGTTCCTGGTCAAATGCGCCGGCTACGACGTGTCCCAGAACACCTGGGAGCCACTCCGACACGTCCGTGGCACCTCGGCCCACAAGCGATATGTCCGAAAGCAAGCCGCCAAGCGCCAGGAGACTCGGGAGACCAAGGCGAAGGAGAGAGCGGCAGTCTCTCGTCGCTGTAAACGTATCTGAACCTTGTACATACATCAAAACAGAGTTTCTACTGTCCGAAATGATCATTACCATTACGGACTCATGCGGGCGGGTACTAGTACCAAGGCCTATGATGCGGGCGGGTACATAGTACCAGGGCCTATGATGCGGGGGGTATGTAGTACCAGGTCCTATGATGCGGGCGGGTACGAGGTACCAGGGCCTATGCGAGCGGGCAAGCGAGGTGTCAGGGCTCATGCGGGCGGGTATGCAATACCAAGGCCTAGGATGCGGGCGGATACAGGGTACCAGGGCCTATGCGAGCAGGCAAGCGAGGTGTCAGGGCTCATGCGGGCGGGTATGCAATACCAAGGCCTAGGATGCGAGCAGGTGCGAGGCACCAGGGCTCAGGACAATCGGTGAAGTACTAAAGGGAAACGCTCCAAAGAGATCAAATTCAACAAAATATATACAAGAAAGAAGAACGACGACGCCAGGCTAAATACCAGCCTGTGTGGCGAAAGACCATTGGCAATGTGAGCCGTGGCAGGCGGTCCCCATGCCACAACGCAGCGGGACAAACTGCTGGACGTTCATCTGGCTAGAGGGAGCGCGTCACGTCAGTGGCGGGACCTTTCGAAAATTCACGACTGTTGTACTTACGCGCGGACATGCCCCATACACTGGATGTGGTCGCAGGGGAAGACCCGCACGTCCTCGGCCAGACAATCGCAGTCGGGCCACACAGAGGTGCAGCGTAGCGCCTGGCAGAAGAGCGGCACTTCACACTCCTCCCTGAAACCGTCCACATGGCCGCACGTGAACTCCCCGATGGGCGTGTCGGTCTGTTGGGAAGAGACATGAGCTGTCAGTCATTCCACGGGAACCACCCATGACATGCGGTTCCTTACGGTGTCACCACAGAGCGGGAGGATGCAAGGTCGGCATATAACGTGCTGGCAAGCCGAGAGGAACATCTTGCGGTGGCGGTACGTGTTGCAGTTCCAACTGGGGGTTCCGGGGTACTGTCCAAGTGCACCCCAGGGGTGTCCTGAGATAGATTTGGTCGAACCACGTAAGTTCGGTCAATTAGGCAACCTCCGTGGACTCACCACTCGCTGTCGCTTGAGAGCCTTCTTCAGGCTGTCCCCTGTGGTGGGGCCCTTGCCTACTTTCTTCTTGCCCGATGACGGGCCGGCGGCAGTGGGCTTGGCAGGAGGAGCTACGCTGGCCATAGTGAAGAGGGGAACGGCGACGGTGAGAGGTTACGAGATTGGGAGCAAGAAATGTAAGTCCAGGGACTGGCGGGAAGGTGCCGAGGGGACTACTGCCTTCGTTTTATATGCCGCAGGGACAAGGACCATAGCGCCCCACGACCAGCTGCGGCCGAATCATCTCTACCTCAGATCGACGTGGATCTGATTGCCATCGTGGTGACCACCGGTGACGCCAGCTGCTCCAGTAGAGCCATGTGCACTCCTCATGGCCGACACCTGTGTCAGCTTCACATCAAGTAACAGCGGTGAGCGACTGACAGGTGCGGTCGGTGTCGGAGTGACACTTGGCTCTAAGGGGGGTGTAATGAGGTGCTGCAGGTGTCACCTTAGTGCGGGGAAGCGCGTAGGGCATGAGATCACGTGTAGCATAGATTATATTGGGGTTCTACGCTCTGGGGTGACTCCCAAAGGGAAGAAAAGCCTTCGGGCGGCGCCCCGGGAGGTGGGAACTCTAGAATTCTTTCAATACATTGAGCGGAGACAGAGCTAGCCTCTGGCAACGGACCTAGCATTATTACATCGTTCCCCCAACGGCGTCGTGGAGAATAGACGGAAGCACCCTACACCCTTCAAGCTTGGCCTTACGCCCCTCACGCTCGCCCTTACGCCCTTCACGTTCGGTCTTACAGCTTCACGCTCTCAGCGCCGTGGTTTACCATTTGGTACGGCTGGTACGTAGGGGGGTAGGCACTACTACCCCAGAATTCATTTCCCACAAATACTCATCATCCAAAAAACGAATCATGGCTCGAGTCCTGCAACATAGGGCACTCAACTCTCCTCTTCCGCTTATGCAGATACCGATAGACGTACATGTGCAGTTTTCGTGTTTGAACCGGAGATGAGATATGGTGGGTGATCAATGATGACTGATGAGGCTTTGCGAAAAACCGGAGATGGAATGGGGACAGGATGGTTGGACAGAAACAGGATGGTTGCACGGTTACGGGATGGTTGGACGGAAACGGGAGACGCAAGGATGGGATGTGGAACTGCCACCTCGTTGCTGCAGGCGTCCCTCTGTCTGATATGGGCCCATACGCAGACCGCCATCAATGCCCGCCATAATATCGCACTGAGCATCGTTTTCGCGACGCTTCTTAATGATGGGGATGCTCATCAGTATATGAATGTGACAAAGTGCTAGATCTCTGGTGACTCTAGCCGTAGTCCCTTCAATAGCATCATTGTACAGTAGTAGTCAAAATGCTGTACAAACATCGGCCACGCTTCGGCCAGGTCTACAGAAAAGATCCAGTCCTGATCAGGGCCGCTGCCGGATTCACCTGGAATATATCGGCGGCCACAACGGATGTGTTGAACTTCGGCGCATCGAGTCCGGAAACCGTCACAGTAACCGGATATGGCTTGACGAACTTCATTATTTCTGGAGGCGCCGTGCAGCCGACCTTCCAATGTTAACCCTAACCCAAGAGAGGTGACCTAACACTCCCGAGACCCAAGTTAGGGTTGCGGGTAGGGTTAGGGTCGTTGCGGGTTGCGGTTAGGGTTAGGGTTAGGGTTGGGTTAGGGTTAGGGTTGTGGGAAAGGAAAATGTGCTCGTACAGCGTTGCGCCAATAATGAAAAGGGTTAGGTTAGCGTTAGGGTTATATCCTGTGCGAAATTCTACCAAGTGCGGGTAAACGGCGGGAGTAACTACATACAGAGTCCATTCGGACCTCGCGTCCTCTTTCTACTTCAGACAACACTGTATAACTTCATATACAATAAAGGGCTTCGTCTCCCCATTACACAGAGTTCGCTCATTATCTGTTTCCTCTGCCAGCTACCGCTAAGTGGTTATGAGCCCTGGCTTCGCCCGCAACTTGCGTACGAGTCAGGATAAAGAACTCACGGTCTCCCGTCACCGGTTCCCTCAGTAAGCACCATGCAACCTAAGGATTCAACAAACCAAACTCAGAAAGCACGCTCTGAGGATAAAGTGAGGGAGATTGCGTGCCAGACGGGGCCATTACCGTTCGCGCCGGTAAGTATGGGTCATGGGAAATGCTTCCTTCAAGTCAGGGAGACAGGGGACCCGGCAAAATGCTGATCTATGTTTGTTTCATTTCACGACACGACATATATTTACAGAAAGTGGAAGCCAAATATCTCCTCGGGGAAGTACGGTAATGGGGCGCGCCGGCACTCTCTTTGCCGCAGAAGGGGTTGGAGCAGTATGTCGCGCGGCGGCGGTATGTGTCGCAGCCGCCGCAGACGACGATGCCCGTGGTGGGGATTTTGGTAGGGAGAGAGGGCTGGGCCGGCTTTGAGGTCGTAATTTTCATGTATATCATGTGCGAAATCACACGATGTTTGCTGCCGAGACCCTCCTTCCGATGTTCCTTGTCCTCGCATACTACGCTCAACGTCCTATATCCTTTGCTATCGCTGAGCCTCTAATCCTCGGCCGCGGGCGCCTCCTCCTCCAAATATTTGACCAGCCTAACCCTCAACTCCGTCACCTCATCCCCCCTTAACACATCGCTCACAAACCACGCCTCGACCTGCATCTGCACCATCTCGAGCGCGCCGCGCAGCACCCCGCACAGGATGTTGGAGTACCATAGTTCGGTCACGGCGTCATCTGGCAGCTCGACGAACTCGGATAACGGGTTGTCGTCGAGGATGAGCGAGAATTCTTTAGAGTCGGCGGAGAAGGAGGTTATTGTGGGGGTTATGTTGAGGAAGATCTTGAAGCCGACCTGCGGGTTGGGAAGGTCGTTGAGAACTTGATCATCAGAAACCGTCATGAATAATATCTTTGGCCGCTAGATTCATCGCTCTCACCTTTGCTATCGTATCAGCCGTCTCCCGAAAGTCGCCACACTTGTTCACCCCAGACTTTGCCAGAAAGTCTTCAATCAATTTCACTCCAATATTGTATCCCCTACAAATTGATAGCCCATAGGAAACAGTCAGCCTTACCACACTAATACAGCCGCCTATGTACGTTGCGCGGCCGGCTTCCCTCTCCCCGCCCCCAAAAAACGAACCTACATCTTATCTAGATGCTTATTGACCTCAATATAGTTCTCGTGGTCTTTGATCAGCTGGGCGACAACGGAGCCGTATGTGAGGGTGAACAGCTCGGCGCTCTGCCAAAACGGACCGAAAAGGGTTTGGGGTTAGTGAGGGCGAAGGACGGGGTGTTGAAGATGAGCGGAACTTCACGCACGATCTTGTCGACGCGGGTCTTCCATATGTCGTCGCCTGTCTGTCGTGGTTGCTTGAGCATGGCTTATTTCGGTTCTGGTGGGGAGGCGAGAGAGGATGGGGTTTGGGGTGGGGATGGGTCTTTGAGGCCTTGTCAATCTGCTTGTCAATGGGTTTTCTGAGTGAACGAATCCCCACCGTCGCCTCGCATGGGATATGGGTTTGCTAGAGGTTAATAATACAAGGCTGGCCACGGCGGCGTTGCCGCCTCTAAGGTCCAGAAGGCTCTAAGCGCAGGTCCAGGGCTGGCCAGAGTGCAGTACCGGATATTCGGGACATTTTGACGGTCGGATGGTCTGGCCAGATGGTTTGGTCAGGAGTGGATAATCTAAACCAGATTCTTCTGGTTCATTTCCCGCCGTGGAGGGTGTCGGGCACTTTCTCATTCATTGTCTGGCCAGGGCTGGCCAGAAGTGCGGTACCGGATATTCGGTACATTTCACACGCGGGGTGTACCGGCGAAGGGTTTGGCCAGATGAAGTGGAAGGCTCTAATAAGTTCGCCTGGGGCGGCCCAGGGCTCCAAAGGCGCGCGTGGTAAGGCAAGCGTCCGAGAGAGCTCGCCGTGAAGGCCGTAAGTCCGCCGGTGAAGGCTCCAAGTCCGTTAAGTTCTGTATAGACGGGCGGCCACCGTACAGTACCTTCCTTCCCCTTCCTTCCGAACGCAATTGTGAGCAGTAAGCATCCCCGTTTTCAGCTTCAACCGCCACCAGGTAACAACCCCAATTCTTCACCGTTCTCAGCTTCATTATTACCACAGCACTGACGCGAGTTCTTTGACACACAGCTATCACGGCAATCACCTGCAACACCTGTACTGTACATGTACACACACCAGGTGCCGGTACACACACAACCGATCGTACACACACAATGCCGAAACGATGCAACCACGTTGGAGACGCCTACGTCGGAGAGGCCTACGTCGGGGGAGCAGTTTCAAACGGGGGAGGAGGAGGAGGGGGAGGAGGAGGCCGGGGACTCGGCCCGAGCGCTGGCTCTCACAGTAGCGGGAGCCGTAGCATCTTACGCACGATCGGCACCCGGAGCACCACTTAAATTACAAACCTCAACATCAACTCAACAATCCCCTATTTAACCCTACCCTACAACGCCTCATACGCCGCCAACCTCCAGAGCCCCACCCTCCCCTTATCATTCCCAACCGCCAGGTACCCACCCCCCGGCGAAAACGCCACCGAATTGACATACCCCAGCGGCGTCATTCCCGTCGGCCAGTTCAGAAACACCCGTCGTGTGGGCACATGTAGTAACTTCAGGGCATCCTTTTTGTCCCGCGAGGCCATGGCGAGGATTTGGGAGTCGGGGGAGAAGAGGAGGGAGGTGATGGGCGTTGTTAGGTTGAGGATTGTTTTGAGGGGGGTGGGGTGAGGGGTGTTGAGGTAAGCGGAGGGAGAGTAGATGTTGATGACGCCGGTGTCGGAGCTGGGGGGTGGGGGGAATGGGGTTAGGTGTGTGCGAGAAGGGGTTTGATGGGGATGAACTCGTTCTTACCCTGTGGCGATCAAGTCGGTTGAGGATACGGCGAGACAGGTGGCTTTGACACATCCTTCGTCGAAGAACCTGTGGGTGCATTTCCGGGTTTCTAGGTTCCAGATGTAGATCTCGCCGTCGCCTGCATCAAAACAGAGGGAGGAAATATAATCAGAGGTACGTTCACCAAAGCGGGGATGTGACTGCACACGTACCACCAAGAGAGTACATTGACTCCCCATCCGCGGAGAACTGGACGGCCACGATGCGTCCGTTCATCTTCAGGTTCCCAATCCATTGCTTGGTATCCTTCGACACGAGGATGATGTAGCCGTCGCGGCCGAGGAAGACGATGTACTTGTTGTTGGGGGAGATGTAGGATTGGGCGAGGCTTGTTTCGTCACGGCCTTAGGGAGATGAGAAAAAAGAGTAAGCAACTGGTCTTGCATCCCCAAACCGACATTCCAAGTATAATAAAATCCAAACCTCGTATCCCCGGTACCCTCATCACAACACCCTTCTCAACATCATACGAATAAAAAAACTTGCGTTTCCCCGTCATAACAACCTCCTTCCCGTCCGGGCTGAAATGGGCGGTGTGTAAAGGCAGGTCTTTGATGTGGATGCTCTGGATTTTGGGGTTTATCCGGCCGTCGATCTGGAAGAGGCGGAGCGTCTTGTCGTAGCCGCAGGTGAGCAGGACGGGCGCTGTTGGGTGGAATTCGATGGATTGGACGACCGACTGGAGGTGGGAAACCATTGAATTTAGTCACGAGGGGCTATGGAGATATCCAAGCGTTGGCGGACCCCGTACCTGAGAGTACGCCATCTGGTTGGCATCCTTCATCCGCACAATATCCAGCGACTCCGGGGACAACTGCTTCGCCTGTCTGCCTTTATCCACAATCCCCATACTCGTCCGCAGAATCCTCAACAAATCATCCGACGAGCTGCCCCCGTTCTCCTGGTCCCTTAATTTAATCGTCGCCCACTGCGGCGTCGGGTGCATCTTCACAAATTGCTGCCGTAACCGTTGCTCGTACTCCTTTCCCGTTAGAACCTTTTCGGAGTAATCTAGTCGGAGTTTGCGCAGGCGTTTGGAGTCGATGATGTTGACAGGGACGTCGTCGTCGTCGGACCAGGCGGCGGGGAGGTCGGAGGACAGCAGCTTTTCGGTGGTGGAGACTGGTGGTTGAGGTTCGGTCTCGGTTGTGCTGTCATGGATTTCCTCCGCGTGTTTCCCGCCTGTGTCGATGAAAAACCCAAAGTCCTAGAAGACAAGAACACCAAGTCAGCACCCGTTTCTCCCATTTCGGCCCTTTTGCACGTTGGGCAAGCCATACCTCTCCCGCATCGCTCCCCTCTAGGCCATCCCCTCCATCAATCACAATCTGATCCGCCTCCTCACTATGCCCCCGCTCGTCTCGCTCGTCATGTTCTCCCACCCCATACCCCCTTGCAGCCTCCACCAACCTCTCCCTCACACCCGTCACATCCCCACCAAACACCAATTCCTCCAACTCCAGCTCTTCATTGTCCTTCGGGTCCAAAGCAGCCGCTGCCTCCTCAGCAGCGGTCTCCTGTTCTTTGCTGAGTGAGGCGGAGAGGAGGGAGTCGGCGGCGGTTTTCTTTTGTTTCTTCTTTTGGGGGCCGTCCGTTGTTGTTGGTTGTGCGGGTTTTGGTGGGAGCGGGATGGCGTCGTCTGCTGATGTTGGGGGATGGGGTGCGGCTGCTTTCCGCTTGCTGCCTGTTCTTGTTTGTATGGAGGACATTGTGGTGCTTCTGTTGGTGGGGGGGGTGTTCTGCTCCTGCAATGTCGAGACTGTGCAAAGTGGGTTTCCCATTTTGGGGACGACCCTTTCTCTCGTAAGCGCAGGTGTGGCGCACGCTGCTCCGTCGCATGGGCGTCCCACTCTGCTTCCCACTTGACTTGCAAGCCCAAAAACACGCCGAAAAAGTTGGAAGCGGTTGTCTTGGACTGCTGTTGGGCTGCTTGGAACTCCTCTATGCTGCTGACGAGTGTACTGCGACGGATGGACGGGGAGACCGGCTGGTGCGTGCGCCAACCTTCAGATACCGCCTGAAACGTATATTCTGCTCAAAGTCGCGACTTTCCCAGCGAGCGGATCACATGCGACCGTGGGCACCAGTGTATATTCTGCATTCTCTCACCCCTCACTTTGCATTAGAAGAGGCCAGAGCTGATCATTGAACACAGGTGAGCTTTAAGTTGCTAGACTATGGAATATGTGATTGCGGGTCACTCCTTTATCGGCTGTAATGCCCTGCTTCCACGATACAACTCACGCGCGGCACTGACGGAAGCATCATTAGGTTTGGAAAGATTAGGGCACTGAACTCCCCAGCAATTCACTACTCCATGGCAGCGTCGATGTATGATCCTGGGAATTATGACGACTGCCAAAACCCTTATACTCAATGAGTTTGCACCTGAAGACGCAGAGGACGTTTTGTGGATGTTTGACCTGGACGGGTGGACGACGGTTTGGAAGCGAAGGGGGGTCCAGCTACGTGCTTTGATCACTTCGCTGGCCAACAGTGGGAGAGAAGTGCCATGCAATTTGATTTGATTTGGCAGCACGGAACTGCGTTACTTTGGTCAAGTCGTTGGAGGCCAGCAGTCATCCATTGACCGGCATGGGCGTTTCTCCCTGCGGGGGCCAATAATGACATTCAACTCCTGTACAAAGTGCCTCTTCCATCGCGTTAGAGTGACATACCCGCAGCCATCTACTCCAGCTGGGCTTCCACCTATTCCGGACTCTCACATTCCCCCCCGCGGCCAAAATACCAGATTGTATGCACGAGCAGTGGGGTTGGAGTGTTGGGGAAAGCCCGAAAGCGACGCGTTCGAGGGTTGTTCGTCCCAGACGCGTTTTAGGAACCGTGCGTTCGCTCTCACACAGGGTTGTCTGTTCCTTCGGAAACTCCTGGCAATCCACCTCCCAACAGCAACATGAAGCCGTTCTGTGAATCCACAAGAAAGATAGCCCTCCTGGCCCTCCTCCTCACCTCCTCCAGCGCAACCACCTTCACCACCCACTACGACATCGACCTCTCCTCCCTCCTCCACCCCGGCATCCCGCGCTACACCCCGCGCGCCGCATCCCACCCGCCACCCCGCCACCTCCTCCGCCGACAACAATCCCCCGACCTTACGACCCCAATAGCCCTCGACTTTACCTGCGACCCGTCCCTCCCGCCGTCCCTCCTAACCCGCACCCAAATCGCGCAGATCTCCACCGGCTCAACATCAGCCCTGCCGGGACCAGACTCAAACACATGCACAAAAGCCCACGCCACGATCCTCCGCGCCCTCACCCGCATCTCGCACGTCATCTACCTCCGCACCCCGATCACCGTCTCCGCCCAATTCTTCTCCTTCTGCGCGGCCGCGCAAACACCCTCAAGCACCCCGGACGACCTCACCCAGTGCAGGAACGCCGCGGAGGTGCTCGGGTCCGCCGGGCCGGCCGGGTGGCACGAATGGAACGCGACGGCTGCGGGGGCGGTCGGGGTCGACGCGGCGTACCTGTACCCATCCGCGTTAGCGAGACAGTACGCGCCCGCGGAGCTGGCCCTCCAACACCAAGTCGTCGACATCTCCGCCAGTTTCAATTCCGAGCCGCTGTGGTGGTTCCCGACCCACGACGACCCCACGGGCGGGGCGGGCGGGCCGGCGTCCACCTCGGACTCTGATTCATCCGCGTCGGTGTGGTCGGCGGCCCTCGCGTGGGCCAGGCAATGGGGCGGAAGGGTGTCGCCGCCCACACGGCTCCGGGGGCAGATCTACGATTTCGAGCAAATCTGCTTACATGAACTCGTCCACGGCCTCGGGTTCATGTCGTCGTGGTTCCCCTACCTGTCGCCGACCGCCCTCCTCCCCGCAGCCCCTCTTGTCTTGAACGGGGTGAATGTGGGGTTGAGCAAGGAGTATGTGTTCAACAAGTGGATGCGCGATGTGGCGGGGGGGAGGTGGATGAGCGAGTGGGCGGGGGAGATCTATGGCGCGGCGGGGAATGGGACGGGGATGGAGGGATGGGAGGAGACGTTTCGGGCGAGTGGGGCATACGTGGTGGCTGAGCGGCTGTACAATCGCACGGCGACGCGGCCGGGGGCCATGGCGGTGTATTACCCAAAGTACACGGGTGGTGGAGCGAGGAGTCGGGCCCCGGTGGAGATGGCGTACGCGTTGCTGTACACGCCCGCGCGGTACAGCCCGGGGAGCACGATGAGCCATGTGGATAACGCGGTGTATTCGGGGACAAGGGAGGTGCTGATGCGCGCGTTTGGGACTAGTGGGGTTGGGTTGGATGGGTATCGGCCGAGGGGGGAGCCGATTGGGGAGGTCGTGCAGGGCGTGTTGGCGGCGATGGGGTATGCTACGAGTTTTTTTCAGCCGTAGAGCGTGGGGACGAACGTATGTGCAGCTCTTTCCATTTTTGTACAATGTCCAACAAATATCACATCAAACACATGTTCGCGGGATGTGCAACGTCAGTATATGCAACAGTCCTTTTTCTTACGAGAAACGCCGGTCTCAGGAGGTATATGTATGTACAAGAAGAAAAACAACTACGGACGGGGTTGCAGAGATACTCCAGGGATATAACCAACTACATACAGCCCATCAGCGAAGCAGGCAGGGGCCACGCAAACCACGAATCAGTCGTACATCGTAACAGCACACAGCTAACCAAAGGACAACACTACGCTGCCGTGTATAAAACCTTCCATTCACTCGATCTTCGCCTCCTTCACCCCCTCCTCAGCCGCCGGCGCAACAGCCTGCACAGGGTACGCCCCAGCCACCCCGGTCCCAGGCACGGTAACCAGCCTCATCTTCCTCACCCACATCCTCCGTCTCGTCAAACTCGACATATACGGTGCACGCCTAGGGTTCGCCCACAACTGCCACCCGCCGGTGTTCGGGTCGACGTCGGCCCACCCGACATCGAGCAGCCAGTCGTCGTCGGCCCATTCCCAGTCGCCGAGCGGGTCGGGCGGGGGAGCGAAGAGGTCTTTTGTGGGGCGGGAGAGGGTGCCGGTGGAGTCGGACCAGGCGCCGCGAAACCAACAACCACAATACTCCCATCCCCCGTCTTCCTCGCCTCCTTAACCGCCTCCTTGAAAGTGTCCACCTGGAACTTGAGCTTCTTCAGGCCTTCCCAAAAGTCCACGGGGCTGATGATCATGGCCTTCCCTCAACATGTTCTGGCTGGGGCTGGCGCGTGAGATGGTCGTTCGAGTCCGTTCTAAGAGGTTATCAACGCTACAGTATAAACACTACCTCTCGTGCGTACCCACCCCATAGATCCACCGACTTTCATCATCATCCCCGGTCCCTACTTGCGACTTGCGAGTGTGTGAGCTGGTGTGTGAGGCATGTGTGAGGGCTTTCACTCAAGTTTCAACGCGTTGTGAGGGCTGCTGTGGACGGCTGCACGCGAAAGGGAGATCGCGCGCGGTGGACACTTCGAACCCCGGCCGCTTTCATTCCCAATGCGATGTCGGGGGTCAAGATGTCGGGTTCAATCTCGCAATTGCGGCATGTCTGGTCTGGCCGCCTTGTCTGGTCTGGTCTGGCGCGACCTACACAGGGGGATGGGTCGCGTATTCAAGATGCAACTCGGTTCAGAGTGCCATCGGGAAGGGAAGGGAAAGGGGTGTGAGCTTTGGGCCTAAGCTAGTTAACTATCTACGTACCCAACTACTGTACTGCACCCGTCTCCTCTCCTTTCTACATATCTACCACAAGGGAGCCGGATTCCGCTCCCACGGCCCCACATTCCACCGGGGTCGATGACCTTGATGTCGGGAATAAGCTTAACTCGGACTACCCTCCCACCAATGACGAGTCTACTTCCTTCCTTCCCCCTTGATGTCATGCCCCCGGCTTCTGTCATTTTCGAATCAACCCAGCTCAGAAATAAGGCAGGACAGGAGGGATCCACGTTCGCCGAAAGCGCACGGTCAACAGATCGGTTTGCAAAAACGAGCACCTCATCTATTCGTTTCCGAAAACACAACCATGGCAGCTGTAGTCGACCCCAACACCCCGACCCCCGCAGGCACCAACCTCACCACCGTCAACGTAACCCTCACCCTCGACACGCCCACCAATAACTCTGTCGTCGGTTTCGGCGACGCCACCGCCCCCGACGCAAACTTCCGACCCGTCCCCATCCTCCCCGCGCCCAGCACCACAAACACCAGCACAAATGCCACCGCCCCGCGCCCCGGGGGAAGTCTCGGCGGGCCGCCCCGCGCGTTGGTCCTCCAATCCTTCACGGACCTCCAAACCTCCAACCTCAACTCCGCCATCTTCGGCTTCCTGACCGCGTGGTGTCTGTACACGACGTACACGGCGTGGCGCGCGTACCGGTCCCGGCGCAAACCGATCTACCTGCTCAACGGGCTGCAGACGACCCTCGTGGCGATCAAGACGGTGTGCGCGACGTGCTACGCGACGCTGAATGCCGCCGGGCTGGACTGTGCCGCCCGCAGCCCATTGATGAATGTGCCGCTGGTGTTGGCGTGGGACAGTATCTGGGCGATCATGTTGGTCAAGCTGCTGTTGTTTACGGAGTGGAAGAGGACTAGTAAGGCGCTGGTTGGGGCGGCCGCCGTGGCGCATTTTGCGGTGGTGGTGTATGGGGTCGTGAGGCGCACCAGCACCGTGTCGGTGACGGGGTTGTGTGGGGATAAATATCCGTTGGTGTTCAAGCATCAGTATGCTATTGAGGTAAGAGCGAAACAGAGCCCGGCCTTTTTTTTGCGTTGGGCACGTTGTGATTTTACTCATCATGTGAGATTTACAGTTGGGGCTGGAAATCGTAACGACAGGCATGCTCCTGCAAGGCATCACCTCGCGACGTCGCGGGGGTGTGTTTGCGTCCACGAAAGAGGTGTTTCGACAGCTGCAGGCGAATGAACATACGAGAGTGTTTTTCGCCCTCGTACGTAGACCCCCGGTCGTCTCGCCTCCCCGACCCCAAAATCTCAACTGATCTCACATTTTCTGATTTTTTTTTTAGATATTCGTAACACTCAAAATCCTCTTCACCTACGGCAACTTCAGTCTGGTCGCCGGGCTAACACACGCGGTCGACTCGGCTCGCTCGGCCGTGGTGTCATGGGCGCTCGTGAAGGAACAGCGCAATTCAGTAGCGCGGAAACACGCCGCGGCCGCCGCATCCAAAAACACTCAAAGCCAGAACGCACGGTCCCGCAACCAAAGCGCCAAACCGGGCGGAAAAGCAGGGTATGACACACAAGGCAAAGGGGACGGGACTGTAAAGACAATGCAGAATGGTGCGGTGAGGAATACACGTATCGCCACCACACCCCCAGTGCAGGAATCGCAGGATGAGGATTTGGATCTGAGTTTTGGGGATATACCGGGGTTTGATTACCATGGGCGGGATGATGAGGAGGGGAGTCGGGATGCGTTGGCGCGGAAGGGGGAGGAGGAGGGAGACGGGAGTCGGGAGACTGTTGCTGGGGATGGTGATATTGTCTAGCGGAGGTGAGGGTTGTGTTGTCGGGAGTCGGAGCGCTAAGGGATTAAGCCGTATGTTCTATGAATATGTCAAGTGTTCATATACGTATAGGTACTGTACGGAATGGGCTTTATTGGGACGTGCTGCTCTTTTGGGTGGGTGGGTTTTCTGAAGGGCGAGGCCCAGTGCGCACATCCTGGTACAGTACGCTATCCTAAATATAAACTCCCTGCCACGCGTGACGCGCTCGAAATTAAATTCACATGTCATTCGAGCCATCGCTCAAAACCACACCCGGCTCAGCAAGGATCCCGCTTGTATCTCATCTCAACGCACAGCAACAATGGCAGAAATTTACGGACCAAGCGAGTACGAATACACCGAGCGTGATCTCGCTCTCTACGCCCTCGGCGTCGGAGCCACGCGCGAAGACCTCCGATGGGTTTATGAGAATGACGAGAACTTTGCTCCTCTGCCGACGTTCGGTGTCGTGCCGCCCTTTAACACGATGATGGAGACGCCATTTGGTGACTTTTTGCCTGGGTTCAACCCGGTAGGTGGATTCGACTTTTGGGGATGAACGTGAGGCGGGCGTGTCGTAGCACGCCGAGAGCTGGTGGAGGCTGTTGGAAGCAAATATGGCAGAGGGTGGGAACAATGGGCGGTGACAGTGCGGTGTGTGCTGGAGATGGGAGAAGACGTGCACCGAGGGGAAACAGGTTATTCGAGAATGTGCTGCTGTGGATGATTATGGGGCGGAAAGGTGGGAAACGAATACGGCGCAAGCGGGCGCGGTAAACTGCGGACATGGCAATTGAATCTGGATGCACATCATTGTGTCAACTGACGATGTGATATTTTGCGGACGCATTTACTAAATGTCCTCAATCGGTTCTCAGATGATGCTCTTGCACGGTGAGCAGTACCTGGAACTGCACCACCCGGCCCCAACATCCGGCAAGCTGATCACAACGGGCAAGATTGTGGACATCGTCGACAAGGGCAAAGGCGTCGTTGTCGTCATGGGCACAACCACGAAGGACGAGGAAGGCAACGTGATCTACTACAACGAATTCTCCAACTTCATTCGTGGCGTCAAAAACGTTGGCAACAAATCGGGAAAGGACCGTGGACCGGCGACCGCCTCCAACGACCCACCCAACCGTAAACCCGACGCGATCGTGCAGGAAAAAACCACCGAAAACCAGGCGGCGTTGTACCGTCTCAGTGGTGACACCAACCCCCTCCACATTGACCCGAACATGAGCAGCATCGGCGGGTTCGACGTGCCAATTCTCCACGGCCTCTGCAGTTTCGGCATCTCTGCGAAACATGTCTTGAAGCACTTCGGAGAGTCTGATGGGTCCAAGGTCAAGAGCATCAAGGCCAGATTCTCGAAACACGTCTTCCCCGGCGAGACGCTCCAGACGGAGATGTGGAAGGAGGGAAACAAGGTCATCTACCAGGTCCGCGTCCTCGAACGGGACGCTATCGCCATTTCGAACGCTGCACTTGTCTTCCACGGTGATGCGAATGATGCATCAGCATCCGCTGGCGGTGCTGCTGAAGCGTCTGCCCCGGCTGGCGTTTCTGCTCCCGGGTTCAAAGCCAGCCCCGTCTTCGAGGCGTTGAAGGCTGCCATCGAGAGCGGATCTGAAGAGGAGCGTAAAGCTCGGGTTGGCAAGGTGTGTGTCGGCCCAATACACCTTTTTGCATGCCTCATGACGATTCTCATCCCATCCCCACTCCCAATCCAGACAAAAGCCCTCTTCCAATTCAACCTCACCACCAGCCCCAGCTCCGAGCCAACCTCGTGGACAGTCGACCTCAAGAACGGGCTCGGCAGCGTGAACCTCGGGCCCGCCAAGAACCCCGACGCAACCGTCATCGTTTCCGACGACGACTTTGTGGCGTTGGCGGCTGGCAAGGCGAATGCGCAGAAGCTGTTCATGGGTGGGAAGCTGAAGGTTAAGGGCCAGATGATGTTGGCTATGGTGCGTTTATTAGTTGGGTTTTCGGTCCTTATGAGGGGGATTTTGGAACTGATCTTCTCTTGTTACAGAAACTGGACTCGGTCTTGCAAGAAGCTCGCAAGAAGGCAAAGTTGTAGATTACCAAATAATGCGGCGGATGGTACACATATAGCGTAGGCGTGTATTTAGGAACGTTGTATGAGCACGGCTTTGACCGAAACCAGATGTAGTTTGGGAAATCTTATAGATCCTGTTTTTCGCCTTTTCCTTTCGCCGATTTTCCCACGACAGTTTCCACGCTAAGTGCTTTGCAGACCAGTGATATTTGTTTGCAAGTATTGCTGCTGTCTATGATGAGTGGGCTTCCAAAAAGAATACATCATCTATCTACATACGCTATCCTAAACTCCCTGCCACGCACATTTGTCGGAGATCGGCCACCTTCCCCAGCAGAGTCCATGTGCACAACGTATCCTCTCTTCAATACATCTTCAGTCACAACTACTCCACCGCCCAATCCCCACTCCTCCCGCCCGACTTCCTCACCACCCTAACATCCGCAATCCGCATCCCCTTATCCACCGCCTTACACATATCAAACACCGTGCAACACGCCACTGAAACCGCCACCAGTGCCTCCATCTCCACGCCCGTCGGGCCATGACACGCTACTGTCGCCCGTGCCTCCACATAGTGCCCAGCATCCTCCCCTCCATCTCCACTGAGCGTCAACCCCACATCGATCTTGGTAAGACTCAGCGGATGACATAATGGAATCAACGTCCCCGTCTGCTTTGCGGCGTTGATACCGGCGATCTTGGCGACCGTTAGGACGTCACCCTTTTTGTGCCCGTTGGCGCGGATCAGAGAGTGAGCGTGGGAAGAGAGGTAGATGCGGCCTGTGGCAGTGGCGGTGCGGTGGGTTGAGGGCTTGGGTGTTACGTCGACTATTTGAGCGCTACCTGTTTTTGGGTCGGTGTGCGTTAGGTGCAGTGATGCGGAATGGGGAGATGGTGGTAATGCCGGTTTCGTTTGCGAGGGAGGTTTATATTGAGTCTCGATTCTGCGGATCTGTTTGGAATGGGAAAGCGGCTGGTGTGGGAGTTGTTTCCGGTCTACAAAAATTGGCCGACATTGTAGAGCCACCTTGCACGATGTTGCAAGATGAACCACCCGGCGATAGGACATGACCTGGTGAAGGGAGGCTGGTCAGGTCCGGTGCGGACTGCAGTGAGAGGGACACAGCGGAGAGGTGGCACTTGCCATACAGATATCCAGTATCCTCAATAGCTTCCTGTACGCTCCAGTGCTTGCGGTTATGCTCGATCCCTACTTGCGACTTGCGAGTGTGTGAGGGCAGACTCAAGTTTCAACGCGTTTTTTCGAAGGAGGCGAAAACGGTGGGACTCCGAGGGAGGGAATTAGAAGACTTTGCAACGCACGCTGAGGTGCATGGAGTGAGGGACAATAAGCCTCATACATATCTACATGCTACTGGCACCCCTCCCAAGCCTTCTCAGCCGCACGGGGACGCTTCTCGCCCGACTTCATAGCCACCAAAATATCAGAGTAGCGGCAATTGGTAGCAGAATGAGCACCCACCAACGCAAGCCGGTGTTCGCCGTAGTAGGCACAACCGGCGTCGGGAAATCACAACTAGGGATAGAGCTCGCAAAAGCTATTGGCGGGGAAGTCATTAACGCGGACTCTATGCAAGTATGTCTGTGCGTCTCCTTTTGGTTCGGAGTTTTCGGACAGTTTGACCAACATACCATTCTTCCCAAAAGCAAAGGTGTACAAAGGCCTCGATATTGCAACCAACAAAGCGACGATGCAGGAACGCGACGGCGTGCCACACCATCTGATGGACTTTGTTGAACCATCGGAGGAGTATTCGGTGATTGAATTTGAGAGGGACGCTTTACGTGTGGTACGATCGGGTGGTCGTCTCTTCACAGTGACTGCCTGGATAACCGTCTGGCGGATATCAGATAGACGAGGTCCACTCCCGGAATCGCATTCCCATCCTCGTCGGCGGGACAAACTACTACATTCAATCCGTACTGTGGGAACAGCAGATTATCTCGTCGGCAGCGGGTTCGGATCCAGAGCGGGTGAATCCAATGGCAGGGGATAGAGACGTGATCCATCCGTCGCTGGCTGCTCATCCGTTACGAGCACGCATTGCGGAAGCGTTGGCGGCTACGCAGAGCGGGACGAGAGGTCCTGCGCTCAATGCCAGCGCGGACAGCGTGGATTTGCTGGGGTTGTTGGCTGAGGTTGATCCTGGTACGATTACCCTTTTGCCGTTGAATGGGAGTGCGCTGCAACTTACTCATGATGTATGTCTACATGTAGGCATGGCGGACAGATGGCATGCGAAAGACACCCGCAAGATTCGTCGGAGTTTACAGGTACGGTATCCTACAGTTCTTCCCTCTTTGCCCTCCACTGACGGTGTCATCTAGGTGTTCTATACGACTGGCAAGGCCCATAGTACACTACTAGCCGAGCAGAAGCAATCGGGAGAAGCCGGGAGTCATTTGAGGTTCGCGTAATATAAAGGTATTCGGTTACAAACTTGAAAATGACGCCTGGTCTTGCTAGGTTCGACACATGCGTGTTCTGGATCTACTCTGACCCAGCAACGCTATACCCACGCCTCGACGCACGTGTGGACGAAATGACGAAAGTGGGTCCCGGCTTGATGTTCCCAAACAAAAGTTCAAGTGAAGTATTTTAGAAACTCATCCCTTCCGCTCCACAGCTGGGGCTCTTCAACGAACTCTCAGAAATGCGCCACAGAGTCCGCTCAGGACAGGTCCTCGGCGCTCCCGCATCCGGCTCTGCAGATTATACGCGCGGGATCTTACAAGCCATAGGTGTGCACCACCCTTCTCGATTATCATCACCACACCCCCGTTCCCCAATTGACTAACTCCTCCTGTAAAGGCTTCAAAGAGTTCTCCCCCTACCTAACCGTGCTCGAATCCCCCCAGCCACCATCACCAGACGCACTAGAAAAACTGAAATTGGAAGGCTTGGAACTGATGAAGCGCGCGACGAGACAGTATGCGAAACGGCAGGTTACGTGGTTGAGGAATAAGATGGCTGGGGCTGTTTTGGAGGAGACGCAGGGTGGGAGTGGGGAGGTGCGGGGGAGGGCGGCGTTTTATGTATTGGACGCGTCAGGTAACGATTGGTTACCTTGCGAAACACGGAGAAATTGTCGCTGATGGAATGGGTACTTCTCAAATGTTAGATATCGCAAAATGGACCGCCAACGTCTCCACCACCGCCCTCACGATCGCCCGCACATTCCTTTCCCCCACCACCTCTAACGAGCAGCTACCCTTCCCATACACCCTCACCCCCCTCGCCTCTCAACTCTTCCCACCACCACCGCATCCATCACCGGAACACCCCACCCCAAATAAACCAACATGGAAAAAACACACCTGTCCCTTCTGCATCGACACACAAACGGGGAAGCCGAAGGTGTTGAATGGGGAGCATGAGTGGAGGGTGCATTTGGGGACTAGGGGGCATAAAATGAGGATGGGTGGTGGGGAGAGCGGGAGGAGAGGGAGACGGAGGGAAAGTGGTGGTGGGGATGTGAGCAGGGAGGAGGTGGCGGGTAGAATAGATGTGGAGTAGGTAGGATGTACGGTTTTTTTTGGGTGGCAGAGACGTGGAACGTCCCCAACCATTCACTTTCTCGAACGTATCGACATCGTGTGGGGGTCTTCGAAGGGGGAACGCGGAAAGTGCGAGGAATGTGGAGAAGGGTGCTTGTTGTTGTTGTTGTTGATGATGACGGCGCCGGTGGGGGGGAGCGAGCGGAGACCAAGACGTGGGTCGTTGATGATGCCGACGACGGGTGCTGGGGCGTTCCAACACCTACCAGGCGGGGCGGTGCGTCGGAAATCACCTCAGCAATCGACAAGGGGGAGGGTATGCGCATCAATGGAAGCAGGAGGGCGGAACGCGGCACCACACCCCCACCGCCCACCGACGACAGGCCGGCAACCGCATCCCCTCGGTACAGCCGTCGACAGTCGTAGTCCATCATCCACCCACACCCCCATTGCCCAAGAAGACCAACAAACAAACCTATCCACAAAAAAATTCAAAAGCCTCCGCCTCCCCCAATACCCCACCCTCTCTGCCTCACCCTGCAGCACCCAATCAAATGGACACCCCTCCACACAACCCCACCTCCTCACCGCCCCACAACACCCCCGACACAGCTGTACAAACACCTCGCGGATCATATCAACGCCCGGGTCGGGTCAGGGCCACGTGACACCGGGTCAGGAAGACGTGTTGGGCGATGAGGAGGGGTGATCAGCGGGTGGTTGAAGAGGGTGGGAGGGGAAGCGGGGAGTGGCGATAGTGAGATACGATCGAAGATACATTGGCCTCTAGCATACCACCGAACTACTCCTATTTGAATCTCATCCCTCTCCCGGTACAGTACAAAAAAAAGATTTACGGTGAGGGAGGAGGGGGCTGCGTGTACTGTACAGTATGTTACAGAGTATGGACAGTACGTGGGCTCACAGCGCGTTACGAAGCAGGTTACGAAGTTCCATAGGCTCAGGGCATTGCATTGGGAAGGAACGCTCAATGGGAAAGGCAATGGGAAGGCTGGCCAATGGGAAGCTGTGGTGCGAGATGGACATGCTGTCTCCGAATATCGAGAGAATGGAAATGAATGAAGCTGCCCCAAACCCGCGCACATCTTATCTGCTGAGGCCCCTCCACGCTCACCGCCAACCCCGCATACTCTCCACACTCGTACCCCAACATCATGCCATGTGTCCTGTCAGAATCGGACGGAGATTTATCCTCGCGCCATCGGAATTCGACAGCGCGTGCGGTGTCAAGCCCGTCACTTTAATGCGCTCCAGTCAGCTTCCTCCATACCTTCCTCCATACATACGGTTCCACTTACATCAGCGCGGGTTCGGCAAGCATAAACACATAGGAGTTACAAGGTCGCCGGGTGAAGTGGACGGGCGCTTAATCAACCTACACACACCCGTCTCGAGGACAACAGGGGACCGCGGGGGGCAATTCAAAGCCGCTGCTCAGTCGGGGGATTTATCGCCGTCCCCCTCCCCCGTCGAAAGATGACAACTCAACCCGCACATCCCCTCATCCCCACCTCAAAATGGGCCACCATCCTCTCCCACGCCCACGCCCGCATCGAATCCTACGGCGGGATCGAGCGCGTGCTCGCCGAGCTGCAGCTATCTCCTCCACCGATTATCTCCGACACGAAGCCGTCGGAATTGGATACAGCGACGTTAGATGATATGACGGAGGATGAGGTTAGGAAGTGTGAAGAGCTTGCGGCGAGGGTGGATGGGATTGTGAAGAGTGGACGTGTGAGGGGCGTGGGGAATATGTATGCGGTGCATCCTAGACCGCCTCCCGTTGGTGGGATGGGGATGGGGCCAGCAGAGGGGAGGTTGAAGGGCGTGCGTGAGTGATTTGATTTTGAGATTGAGCCTTCTTCGAGGGGTGCTGTGAATGAGGAAACTGATTTGTTGCCGTGGGGTGGGTACAAGAGATGTACATTGAGAAATTGGGGTACTGCCATTTGGGTAAATGTCGCCCCGTCCTTTGAATCTACATATACCTGCCACACATTTACGCATGGGCTGATTATATTCTCACAGGCACAACATTCCACGAAATCCGCAAGACCGCCTCCACCCGCAACCTTTTCCGCCAAGCGCAAGACATCATCGCCGCTGGGCTGCCCATCAAATGTCTCGAGGCTGTCGTCGTTGCCGCTTACCTCACCGCGTCCAACAACCCAGTGTCTTCTACTGCGGATATCGATCGTATTCGTATGTGCGATCATGCGGAATTTAACTTCAAAAGGATACTAACTCATGATTGATGATTGCTTTCTTAGCATGTAGTTTCAAATCACGGCACGGGGCAGATACATATAGGCATATCGTCTTGTTGGTCAGGCATGGCGAGCGGTGGGGATCGGTGGGGTTGTCAAGGAGGAGGGAGTTGGCGGGAAAGGATCTGGGATTCAAGGTTTGTTGCGATATTTGGGGCGGCGTGTGCAGGTTTGGAAGTGTACTTACGGTGGTTGTGTATGTAGAGCTTGCAGGAAATCTTGAGGGATTTTGAAGCGGGATACCGGACGAGTACGTGCCCTGGGAATCTGCAGTCGATCAAGACGACGTACGATGGGCTGAACCACTTTCCTCCCGTTCTTTCTTTCCCACTACCCATAGATGGCCACGTTCTCCTAAAGACGAAGCTAGGTTTACCGTTCTCGCACGACACGACGAGCAACGAGCGTGTTGTTTGGAAGGTGAAGTCCGTGCGGCATATCAAATTGACGGGATACTGATCAACTGATACACCTTTCAATACCAATGTAGTGCCTCACCCTGTCGCATGATGGGTCACATGTGTTGGACCATGAGCGGTTGCTGGAGCGCTATTTGAGGGGTGTGCGGGGCGGGTGAGTACACAGCGGGCGAAGGTGGTGATATATTGTGATGACCTATCTAACATGGTTTTGGGGCGGCGGGGCCTAGGTTCAATCCGTTCTTGTGATGAAGGGGGTTGAGATTTGCTTAGCGGTAGCCTGTATGTAGATTTCTCGAGAGGTAGCGAACTGGGTTTATTGCTGTACGGAATGGTAGATTGAGACGATGGATTCACAATGATCGACTGGGGCGGTTATAGGGTTACATGCGCCGCGCCACAGCCAATCACAGCCTTCGAAATGCTCCTTTTTTCGCAACTGTTTCTTCAACGCCCTCCCATACAGTAGTACACTCCCTTCCTCCAGCACGCACTCGGCTTCTGCAAACTCCTTCGCTCCGCCATACCCTCGTCGCTCACTATCTGCACTTCTCTCCACGCAGGAACCTCGCCACAATGACCATTTCAATCGACGCAGCAAACGTCCCAAACGTAGCAACCGCAACACCCAAAACCTACGCCCTCCTTGACGCCCTACTCAACCCTCCAACCACTTCAACAACCTCAACTCCAGGCACAAACCTCCACAAACGCTTCCGCGCCCTCTTCACCCTCAAAAACCTCAACACCCCGGAATCAGTTCACATCATATCAAAAGCATTCAGCGACCCCTCCGCGCTCCTCAAACACGAGGTCGCTTATGTCCTCGGTCAAATGCGAAACACCGCCGCTATCCCGAAGCTCTCGGAGGTTCTGAATGATAATAACGAAGATCCCATGGTTAGGCACGAGGCGGCTGAGGCCCTCGGGGCGATTGCGGATGCTGAGGCTTCGCTACCGCTGTTGAGGCGATACGTTGAAGGCGGCGACCTGTTTGACACCGCGCCCCGTGTCGTGGTCGAGACATGTATCCTCGCCATCGACCGCATAGCGTACGAAGAGGCTCGCAAAAACCGTCCTGCTGCCTCTCAGACAGAAGACCCATCTCCGTATGCATCCGTCGACCCCGCACCCCCACTCAGCGCCACAGAGACCAAGTCAACCCAGGAGCTGAAGACGATCCTCCTCGACCCGGCATTGCCGCTCTTCACTCGCTACAGGGCGATGTTTGCGCTCCGCAACCGCGGGGATGAGGAGAGTGTTTTGGCACTTGCGGAGGGGTTTGGAGACGAGAGTGCACTGTTCAGACACGAGATTGCCTACGTCTTTGGCCAACTCCAACACCCGGCCTCGATCCCTTCCTTGAGCACCCGACTCCGGAATACCGCCGAAGAATCCATGGTCCGCCACGAATGCGCTGAAGCCCTCGGTTCCATTGCCACCAAGGACTGCATGGACCTTTTAGAGGAATATAGGAAAGACGCCGATGTGGTTGTGAGGGAGAGCTGTGTGGTTGGGCTGGATATGGCGGAGTACGAGAATTCGGCGGAGTTTCAGTTTTTGGACGGGGTGGAGGTCAAGGCATAGAGTAGACCATCACATTTTCTCGCCAGTACCCAGAGTCAGACCACCTTGCGTAGATCGCCCCTCCCTGCATTTTCATTTGTGTATCATACTGTGCTTCCATCTATCTATCTATTCACGCATCTTAGCCATTTCAATACACTCACACCAAACCACGTTTGCGTACAGTACATGCCGCATGCCACGGCAAGTATACAACTTCCTCATCACGGCCATCAAACATTTTACACTTAGAATTTACATGCGCGAGTAACAGCCAATAAACAGCCCACGGATCTAGAGTCTTTTCTGGAGGCGGCAACGCCGCCGTGGCCAGCCTTGTATGTATGTACAGTACATGACACGCAAGCATAGATATAGCCCGAGATGACAAGTGTGGCAACACATGTAGCCACACACGAACAACATTTTGATCTCTATTACCGCTGTATGGATACATGCCCACATGCATCCCCCCCGTTGTGCGGCGTCATCCCCAAAGTGTTACTTCGCTGTTCGTGAACAATGGTGCGTGTATATATGACGGACGCTTGTGAAGTAGGGAGAACGTGAAAGTACCCCTAAAGATTGTACGTGGATGCGGATGCCCTTTCCTCAAACGCGGTCTACCGCCCCCTCGCGTTCCCGCACAACCAGCTTGACCTCCGGCGGAGTCGCGCCCGCGGCCGCGGTCGATGGTGGAGGAGTTGAGAGCGTGACTTCTGCGAGGGGTTCGTCGTCTGATGAGAAATAGGGGTTATGGTGAGTAACACAACACGAACACAGCAGAGGGTGAATGTGAGAAACTGTACCTCCTGCAGCCGATAGGAGTTCAAACGTCGCGTTTTTGGCCTGTCGGAGATGAAAACATGGATGAGACGTTGACACCTGCACGTCCATCCCCCATTCCACAAGATGAAGCCTCCCCCCAAAACTTACATCCCCAACCCTCCACCTAACCCCCTGCCCCTTCTCCCCCTCAACAATCCCCCCAACCTGCCCACTCAACGCCTCCAAAACGCCAACCCTATATCGCACCATCTCCGGCAATCTGGTAAAATAGTACCGAAACGTGCCCAAGGCGCCCGGGTACGAGAATCCACAGAGTGCTTGCGTCCAGATGTAGGCGTACCCGCCGGCGAGCGAGGGGGAGAAATGGAAGGGTTGGGCGCTGAACGAAAAAAAAGTGGGTTTTACAATTAACGGCTCGCGGGGGGGGGGGGGGGATCAAAGGGTGGGATTATGTTTCTGCACTTACTCGCCACCCAAAAACGCATTAGCAGGGTTAGGTGACACCAACCCCGTATCTTCCGGCCACAGACACGACGTCAGCATGTGGGAGGGGATGTGCGGCCAAGGTTTGGCCGGTTCGGCGGCGACGACGACGATTTGGAGGTTGGTGAGGTAGCTGAATTTTAGAATCGCTATTGGGATTGGGGTGCTAGCTGCTGTGAAGACGGATATCACCGGTGAGAATCAAATGGGCACTTCAAGGTCGGGGGAAGGGTTGTGATAGATAGATTGACTTACGAGGAGAATAGATGGTCATAACGATCTCCAATGGGTGTTTACTGTAATACGTCGCAGACCGGTCAGCGTGGCCTTTATCTTTGGTCTGATCTCGCGCGTGTTGGTCGATGTCGATGTCCATGTCGTCTGCTGAAGCGCTGCGGTCCACGGCTGGTACAGCTGCCTCGTTGATTTCCTTTTCCTTCGTTTCTGAGGAGGTTTTGGACTCCATCCGCATTGTAGCAGCGAGGTCGATATCGCCTTTGATCTCCACGCTAAGTTCGTTTTCGGCTGTTGCCATGTACCCGAGGGCGTGCTTGTACAGCACGTAGAGCGGTTCTGGGAGGAGGTTGGCTTGAGACGCGGTGGCGCGTTTGGCGGTGGTTTCGATGTTGAGACGTTTCTGGAGCGGGAGTGTGGCCTGGTGGTTCCCCAATCATCAATCAATACACGCGCAGATAAATCCATAGTAACCCCCGGGTACACGCCATACGACACCTTTAACGCCTCCATCAACTCCTTATCCAGCGCCTCCAACTCTGCCGTCTCCTTCGATAACCCGATTTGAGCACGCGCAAGCTCCACCTCGAGCGCCTTCTCCTCCTCGACGAGCCGGATCCGCTCCTCGAGTTCGTAGTTGAGCCGCTTCAGCATGATGTCGTGGGAATCGGTGTCGGTGGCTGCGTCGAGCGAAATTTCGGCTTCTGAGACGAGCTCGATGTTCTGATAGTTTGTCCTGATAAAAACCATGCACAAAGATGAGATTTGCTCCGCAATCTATGTAATCGCTAGCTTCCTTGATCCCAAAATCACAGATAGACAGACCGACATACTCAAGCTTCTTGCAGTCAGCGATTGACTGTTCAAAGTGGCGTATCTCATACAGCAAGTTCTGCAGTTCCAGGTTCAGTTTGTCCATGCTATGCTTCGCCTCCTGGGTTGCCTGCTTCCGCTGGGCGGTATGAGACAAGGCTTTGCGCTGCGTCTCTAGGAGCTCCATGAACCGGACGGCTGCTACGTTCGATAGGCCGGCTTGGATGGTCACCGTCTGCCAAAGGACATACATAACGGGGGTTGAGGGGATATTCGTCGTGGCTGGAATTTCAGATCCACTTACAGCGTTGGGTTCTGTTGCTTTGCTTTCATCCTCCAGTCTTCGCTTCTTGTCGGCCCTGGCCTCTTCACGAATGGACTCGCATATTGGGCCGATTGCGGCCACATGGGGTAGTGTCGGTGTCTCCTGCTGCTCGGACCTCTTCCGTTTTTCGATGGACATTGTGTTCTTGATATCAAACTCAAGTCTCGGGGAGCAGCAGGTCCTTCCTGTCCTGCTTCCTGTCCGCGCGTGTTAGGGAACCGTGCCTAACCCTAAACCTAACCCTAGCCCTAACCCTAACCCTAACGAACCCTAACCCGAACCCTAACCCTAGCCGTCTATAACCCTACCTCGCGTGCGTATGGAACTTGCCACTGGGAAAACCAGGGACAACTTGGACGACGACAAGCTTCATTTTGCGTCGACGACGCCCCACCCCAACCGCCATCCACATCGGATCCGCTCCCACCGGGCCGTCTCTAGATCCCCTTGACCCACCAGAGCAGCCATGTTCTTCCTCGTAAGTGAGGGGTCATTCACTTCAAACGTGCAATGCACAGGAGCTCTTCCCCGTCCCACACTGATCTCACCCCCGTCCCGCGCAGAAATACCTCCACAAAACAATCCGCCTGCCCCCCTCCTCCTTCGGCCCGCACATGCGATCCCACGTCGAGCGGCGCCTCTACGACGAAGTCGAAGGGAAGATCGACGGGCGGTACGGGTACATCATCTCCGTGCTGCAGATTGTGGAGATTGGCGCCGGGGTGCTGCAGCCCATGACCGGGTTGGCGGAATTCAATGTGGTGTATCGGGCGTTGGTGATGAAGGTGTTTAAGAATATGGTTGTTGATGGGGTTGTGACTGTTGTTAATCCGGTAAGCGTTTGGGGTGTGGGTGGGAGGGGGGGTGTGGGAGAGTGGGCGGCGTTAATGAGTTGGATGCGCTCGGTGGGCGTTGGCGATTTCTGGGGAGCGTAGCGAGCCTCTGGTGCTCCAGCGAAGGCGCGGGGTCTGCCAGGGATATGAAGCATCCATGGTTCATGGCGGAGCGCTTATGGGGCACCGAACCCTTCTTGTTTGTCGTTGGAGACCGCCGGCATTGACTCTTTCCTTACCTCTTTTAGCTAGGATTCTGGGTGGAAGTAGGCCCAATGACGATGTTTGTCGCATCTGCCGTAAGTATCGGGAAATGCCCCTCTTCATATTCCACAATCTCGATCATTCACTCACATCACATCACTCACCCAACTCCCCCAGCTGATACCCTCCTACTTCAAATACGACCCCAGCGCAAACCCGCCAGCCTTCGTGTCCGATTTCGGTGACGTAAGTACCCGTACCTCACAATAACGGGATATACCCCACCTCTAACGCATCGTTTGACCGCATTGCGACCTAGGAATCAGGCCAAGCCTCACGGATAGAAAAAGGCATAGCGATCCGGGCGCGGATTATTGGGATACGGACTGAGGCTACGGATATTGTAAGGCGTTAACACCTCGATTGCAGCCTGAATCGTTTTACGGCAACTTATGAGGACGAATACTTTTCTTTTAGTTCTGCGTCGGAACGATCAAAGAAGACTATCTCGGCCCACAAGCCGGGGTATAAACCCCTCCTCTGATTGCAACGATAGTCATCCCGATGGCGATGCATTTTCATTTTTGGAAGAACGACAAAAGAAAAAACGAGAACGTATACATGGCATCTATCTATGTATTCATCTGATCCGCAGACGTTTTTTCCGGCAATCGTTGCTGTTCGATCTTTGCCCCCGCTTTCGAATACTCGAAGACGACGGAGAAAGTTGAGGTTGATGCAGGGGCAGGAGGGGTTACGACGACGGGATGGCATGGATGAGGAAGGGGCTTGGGGTGAGCAAGAGCGGCGGTCGCGCGGTGATGAGGGACCCGGATCTTGCTCTCAGTCAATTGAAAGACTGGGACGAGGGTGGGTGAGGTTTTAAAAAGAAGGGCGGGATGCGGAAGGAGGATGGAACGTTGGAGGGGGGTTCAAAGAGAGGGGTTGACAAGGGGCGTGAGTCGGGCGGGGGGGGGTGATGGATCTGTGGGGCGTGGACGGGAGCGGGAGGAGGTGACGGCCCGGACAGTCATGCACATGTCCGCTGCAGGATTTGCAGAGGGAAGCCTCGATCGAGGAGGGGGTGGACTGGATGGTGGGGAAACTGGCCACCCTTTTATGAATGTGGGATGGTCTTTGGGGGCATATGTTTTTCGTGTGTTATTGAACTCAAACTCTTCAACTTGCTTGATTCTGTGTTGTATTCCTATCAGATGATATGATACGTGCTTGCGCAAACGTAACATGGGGAAGACGGGGTATTGTGCGTGGGACGGTTGACAATAGGCGGGTTCATGGTGTTAAAGCATAAGTACCAAAATGTCCCTCATCCCCGCGCTGGACGGCTGCATATGAGCGTCAGGAGACGGGATTGGCGCCGAGTCGGTCGATGAGGCCTTCATCTTGTTGGTTCTCTGGGGTAACGGCCCTCATACGACACTAGGATCAGCCTTCGGCGCGGAATTATAATTATCTATACTGTCTTCTGCACGGAATAATTTAGGGTTAGGGTTGAACAACCCTAGCACCTAAGTCATACTCAGCGTGTTTCTTCAGTAGCTATGACAAACGCCTGTAGTGCGCTATAGCCGAAAAGCGCCCCACATATGGATTTTATCCACCTAATAGGACGACCGATACGTCGAATAAGTCACCCCCCTTGACACTGGATGGTTAAACAAACCGCCGTAACTCACTGTTTGCCATCCATACCGAACTCGTTTCAGTGGACCAACTCTTGAGAGTATTCGTTCATCGGTCGACAACGTTATCGGCAAAAACACGCTGTTACTAGTAGCCACTCAGTGGAAACGTTTTCGAAGCGGGAAATTTACGGACAAGCGCATATCTTTCTTCGCCATAATAGAACCCCAATGAGTTTCATAACCGTCAAATATGGAGGTAAAAAGCCATCTGTCCAATGCCCTCACCCCTCATCCCTCCTTTCATTATCTCAACATCTAACCGGTACCTCTCGCCCAACCAGCCAACGAAGAACGCCTCGCAAACCCCAACGTCCTCTCCTCCGTCCTCCTAAACCACCTGAAAACGGCGGAAGGTCATTATTGACTTTGTGAAGAACTGTGGTGATAAACGGGAAGGAGGAATATGTCCGGAGGAAAAGGTCCAGCGGGAAACTATTTAAGCGCACCGCTTCTCAACAGATGCCCTCAGTCATACATCGGAGTGAAAACACGAAAAAAAACAACATCAAAACGCTGGCGCTACCACCACCGCTCCAACTCCTGGTCTCGCATCTGACCGTCCCCAATGGCGGAGGACGGTCCATTCCAGTACTGGATCACCCGGCCAGTCGGACGGCTGAAGAATTTCATCAGGCCACCGGATGATGAAAACGAGGCAAACGTAGTTCCTGCCGGCGAGGCTGTTTTCCGCGCAAGGTCAACCTTCATCACCGACACCGTCTTCAGTGCCTGGCATCTCCTCGCTATCTACCTCAGAAGCGAGGCCGACGACTGGCTATCCACCCTCGACAATGATCCCCTTGTTTCCCCGGCAGGAGACGCAGCCGGGAATCACAGAATGCGGAAAGGACTCAATAAGATGATCCAGGACACCTTGAGAATCATTGCCACGGATGGTGACCGGGGCAGTGTTGATCCGGTACTCCTGGAAACCTATACTACCAAGCTCCAGCCAACCATGATGACCGGCTACCATTTCGAACAACACGACCTACCTGACGAACCTCCAAACAATGCTCAGTACCTCTTTACTCGAAAGATTCTTCGCACCGCAGCCAACACTCCCACCGGGGAAGGGTGGACGGATTATCGGTTGCACTTCCTCCACCACCCAACAACCCACTGACCACCTCGCAACCCCACCCATAACCTCCACCCCACCCACCAACGCCTTCGACACCACAACAAAAGCCGCAGCATCCACCACGCAGGCCGCCACCCTCGCCGCCTACGTGGAACACGACCCTGCCAAGCGGGACTCCGAGAAGAATCAGGAGGTGGGGATCAGAAAGGGTGGGAAGGGGACGTTGCCGCCGAATCTGGTTGAGGAGAATGGGCCGTGAGGGAGGATATACGCCTTTTTGTAATCTGGGCCTGTTCTGGGGGAGGGCCGCGCCAACCCACATTATTTTGCGCGGAAGGCCTAACCTGTAAGAGAATGCTCGCAGAGATCTGTATTCTGAACGTTTATAAAGCTCTCGCTCGATGATAACTAAAAAGGAAAGGGAAGGTCCAGCGTACTCTGCTATGTAGGGAAGAAAACAATAAACTGTGCTAGTGTCACGTGGACGCATGGGAGGCTTCTCTCACACCCCCCTTAAAACTCGAAGAGTTTTACAGAGAAGCACAGAGAATGAGAATGGGGATGGGGATGGTGAAGTCGGTGGTTGTTTCGTTTTGTGGTGACGGTGGTGATGCCTAAACTTCCGAGGAAATGGGGTCGGCAGAGGACCGGTGTCTCATTGTTGGTCGCTTGCGGTGGGGTAGGAGGGGTCGTCGGCGGTAGGGGTAGGCGGGAGGGGTTCGTGTCGGTGTACAGTAGTCCAGATCGGCCAGTTGTTCTGGTATGCGGCGAAGGCCAGGGATTTGGCGACGGCGTGGAGCGGTACCCAATCGGCAGTGTGCGGGGGTTACCCTGATCTGCGAGCGAGATAGAGCATGCGGCCGTATGTTTTGCGTTCACGTAGAATCTCCGCATATGGATGGCCGTCCGCGCTGACTGTGTACAGTGGTGGTTTGTCGGCGGTGTAGAGTCGGAGGACGTCGCAATGAAAGACGGGATGTTGTCGTGCGAGGGTTGGGGGTAGTTTGACTTCATACGTATTTGGTTGGGGACCGACCTTGACGACCAGGTATGGACCGAGGAATTGGGGAAGGATTTTGAGGTTTGAGTTGGGGAGGTTGCGGTATTCGGGGACAGTGAGAGTGTTGCGGTGGCCCAATACATGCGTGCCGGGACCAAGGCGGGGAACTTGGGGAACGCGGCGGATGTGGGCATAAGCGGCGAATCGGTCTTAGGCTTCGCGGATACGCTCCTTGAGAAGGACCACAATGTCCCCCATGCGGCCGGCCCATCCTGTCTGCTCTATGGGAGGAGGAAGGGTGGTTGCCCCCATGTTGCGCGGTGTCTGGAGATGAAATCTAAGATCTGCCTTGAAGGGAGTCACTCCGGTAGATGCGTTGATGGAGTCGTTATAGGCAAATTCGAGTGAGGCCAGATAGCGAGACCAGTTGCGACCGGTGAGATCCAGTGTAGCCGCTAGCATGTCTTTGAGAGTTTGAATTGCCCGCTCTGTTTGTCCATCGGTCTGTTGATGCGCGGCGGTTGCGATGGCTGTTTCGAAGCCGAGGTAGTCGGATATGGTACGCCAGACCGCAGCCGTGAATTTGGTGTCGCGGTCGGTGACCAGGGTGGATGGAATTCCATGGAGCTTGATGACGTGTTCGCAGAAGAGCTCCCCAATCTCTTCGGCTGTCACTTCTCTGTGGGTCGGAATCAAGTGAACTCGCTTTGTGAGTCGGTCTACGACGATCATGAGCAGGTCTCTGCCTTTTGAGTCCATGGGCAGGAAGGCGAAATCGAGGGTGACGTCGGACCAGCGAGCGTGAGGGATCGGTAGCGGTTGGAGAAGTCCGTGGCGGCGTCGACCAGTCTTGGCTCTCAGGCAGTTGTCGCATCCATGGACGTACGCTTCGACGGAGCGCTCCATTTTCGGCCAGTAGAAGTGGTGTACGAGTCTCTCCCATGTGCGAAACCATCCGGGGTGGCCAGCGGCGCCGGCAGTGTGAGCGTCGTGAAGCAATTGGAGCCGCAGCAGGATATCTGGTACGTAGAGGCGATGTTCGTAGAAGAGGAGCCCGTCTTCTTCTGTGTAGCGCCGCTCTTTCTGACTGCGACCGGTGATCGGGCGCTTGAGGGCTGTGCGTATGGTGTCCGCCAGAGGGTCTTTGGGTAGCGCTGCGCGAATGATCTCGTGTAGGTCGGTGGACGTGGTCACAATGGTGGAGATCTTGGCGACGTTGCTGCATTTGGAGCACTTTGGCGCATAGTCTGCTTGTCGGGATAGGAGGTCCGCTAGGGTATTCGCCTCACCGGGGACGTACTGGATATTGATTTCGTACTCTTGCAGTGTCTTGATCCAAGCTGCTTGTCGCCGGGAGATATGGGGTTGGGTTTCGAGCCACGTGAGAGCCTTGTGGTCGGTAAGGGCATAGAAAGGCTGCCCACGGAGGTATGGGGACAGGGCCTTGAGCGCTTCCACGAGACCGAGGAGTTCCCGCTCGTGCACGCCGTATCTTGTTTGGTATGGAAGTAGTTTGCGGCTCCAATAGGCAACGGGTTTCATCTGGGGCAGGAGTAGTTTCCAGTCGGCGTGGGCAACGTCGATGTCCTTCCCGGGGGGGGCTGGCTCAGACATGCTCCGATCGCAAAGCCGCTGGCATCAATTTGGAGGAAGATCGGCCGTATCGGATCGTACCATTGCAGTACGGGGCTGGTGGAGATTGACGTCTTGAGATCTGCGAAGGCTGCCGCCGCGGACTCGGTCCACAGGTACGGGACGGTTTTACTGAGGAGGTTACTGAGTGGCAAGGCGCGGTTGGCATAGTTGTGTACGTTCCCGGCCAAGTGGTTGGTGAATCCTAAGAACGCTCTCAACTCGGCGCGGTCGACGGGTGTGGGCCAGTCTCGTACGGCTTGCGTCTTCGTGGGGTCCACGGTGATGCCGTCTTGTGACACAAGAAAGCCACAGAAAAGTGCGGAGGGCTGGAAGAACTTGCATTTGGGCAGTTTTGCCGATAATCCGTTGGCCGCCAGTCTTGAGAGTACGATGTGCAGGATTCGCAGGTGCTCCGCGTCGTCGTTGGTGTAGATCAGTAGGTCATCCATATAGATGATCAACCCCTTGTCAATAAGGTCGGCGAACATGGCGTTCATACAGCAAGTCCATGTCGCGGGCACGGAGGTTAGACCCATGGGCAGGACTGTCCATTCGAAGTGCCCGAATCGGGTCCTGAAGGCCGTCTTGTGCATGTCCGCGGGATGGAGAGCGATCTTGTGGTAGGCGTCCAGTATATCAATGGTGGTGAACTTCGTGGCACCGGAGAGTCTGTCGCGGAGCTCGGATAGGTGGGGAATTGGGGTGCGGTCGGGCACTGTCACCCGGTTGAGTGCACGGTAATCTACACAGAATTGTAGACCCCCGTCTTTCTTGGCAAAAAATAGAACGGCCGCGCCCCAAGGGGACGAGGAGGGCTTGATCCATCCTCGCTGCAGTAGTGTTGTGATGCGGCCCTGTAGTTCCTCCAACTCCACGGGTGCCATGTGGTGAAGACGTGAGAAGGCTGGCTTAGCTCCGGGTTGTGTGCGAATGGAGTGTGCGACATTGGGTACGACTTTGTCGTTGATCCGGAAGACCTCCTCATGGTTGGCAACGATGTCTCTCACTTGCGGCGGGACGGTCTGGAGGTTCTTGGCGAAGTCAATCTTGTCAGGGTCTTTCAGGGGCTTTACGTGACAGCGCCGATTATGGTTCCTCCTTTGCGAAGCATGCGGCGCGCCTGGTGGTGGGAGAGCGGTACGTCATCGGATTCATAGCCGGAGTCGTGTCCATCGACCGTCAACGGGGCAATCACTGGGTTGCGGGGTCGTTTGAAAGGTTTACGGGGGCGTGGTAGATCACTCCAGGCATCGGTGGGGAGGAGATGTCGGGCATTCGTGTCGGGGTCAGTGATGGCCAAAGAGACGCGAGGCCGCTCGTGATGAAGGCGGGACTAAAGGTCATGAACCAGGGAAGACCGATGATGGCGTCGTACCGTATGTTGGCAATGATTCATGGGAGCTTCTCGGCGTATTCGTCGATGGTGATGTCCGCAACAGTGTAGGAGGAGGATGAGCGACGGGAGTCGCGCGCTGCGTATTCAAGTTGGATGCGGGATTCACGAAGGCGTAGGCGGTGTGCTTTGACAAATTGATCGCTTATCATGTATGTGGAGCACCCGGTGTCGAGGAGGACGGTGGCGGGGTGACCGTGGATGGTGGCCTGGGTGGTCAATCGAGCGTCCGTCACGAGGGGACCGCTGATACAGTTCCGAGAGTGTACGCAGAGCTCCGCCAGGAGGGCTTGTTCTTGCCGCGCATCTAGCGTACCACCGATGGACTTCAGTCGGCGTTTAATGTGCACGAGAGCTTGCGAAGTGGATGGCGCCGAGAGCCCGGTGGTAAGGGAGGGTTCGGATAGATCTTGGTTCTGTGGGGACGGTGTTCTGGGAGGTTTTCTGGGGAGTCTGGGGTCTAGGGTCACCGTCGCGGCCAACGGGCTCAAGGTCTGGGTCACCGTTGGAAACGGGATCTGCGATCTCAGGTCACCACCGCGAATAGCAGGGGTAGCGTCGTGGTCACCGTGCGAAACGGGCAGGAGGTTCGCCAAACCGATCATCGTGGGATCAAGGACAGGGGGGGCGTTGGTCGTTGTGAAAGGGGAAGATACGTGTTGGAACGCCGCGGGGTCTACTGCGCGTCTCGTGTGGAGAATAGGTGGGACAGGTGTTGGGTCCTCCGTGGCGTGGAGGGGAATACAATTGGCCGCGGTGAGTGGTGTAGGTTTGGGGATTTGCGCGGGCTCGGGGAAGAACCCGACGCGTCGGCGTTTCCGCGGGGCGGTTGGCTCGCGGCCGGCGGGCAGATCAGGGGGTTGACCAAGGTTAGGTCCCAAGAGCGTGGTCGTCGCTCTGAGACGTTTTAAAAACCCGTCTGGATCTGGCGGTCCGGGTGGTCATGTCGATCTCCGGCGCGCGGTCGTCCTGGTTGTCTGTTGTCGGTTCGAGGTTCCGGATGGCGACTGGCCAAGGGGGCATGTTGGGGCAGAGGTATGCAACGTGACCATGTTGGCGGCACCGAAGGCATAGCCCTTCTCGAAGACTGCCAGCTCTCTCTTCTGGGGTCAAACGTTCAAGTCTCGCGGCCGGCCAGTTGGCAAAGCGGCTTTTCTTTGCGTCGGCTTGGGCTACGGCAGCGCCCGGAAACGCGCGCTTGGCTGGCCAGGTAGATGTGGGGGTGCTGCTTGAAGCGAAGCGGTTGCCGTGGGTTCGAGGGTCTTGTTCTTGTTTGGCCTTCTGGCAAGGAAGGAGCGGTAGGTGGCGCAATCGAGACGGTCCGCGATGTCGTAGACCTCATCAACGGAGAGGGTCTTTACGTTCGACTGGGCTAAGATGTGTTCCGCGATCTTGTCCTTGAGGCCTCGAATGAAGTACCTCGCAGCGTCGGTCTCGGTGACCTGTGGGCCGGATACATGAAGTTTCTGAAAGTCTTTGTAATAAGCATCAACGGAGGTCAACTGCTTCAGGGTCTCGAGAGCGTTGCGGGCTTGGTTGGTAGCGCGGCTAGGGATGAAACGGTTGCGAACCGCTGCTGCAAAGTCCTGCCAGGTGACGACAACGCGGCAGCCGACCTGATCGAACCAGGTAGCAGCGAGACCATCCAGGCGGCCTGCGGCCATCTCGATCTTGCCGACATCGGTCATAAGAGGGGCTGTGCGGAAGTGGCGTTTGAAGGCCGCAAGGAATTGGTTGCGTTTCGCGATGTCGCGGGTGCCGTCGTAGCGATGGACGCTCTTGCGCAAATCTTTCGCGATGGCAGTTTCTTGGACAATGAGGGTTTCGGGGGTCACCGGCGAGGGAAGCTGGCTCCAGGGGTCAATGCGCAGGGTGCGGTTCGGGTAGGGGGCTTGGCCGCGTGGGGCGTTGGCAACCGGGTTGCGCATCGACGGAGGTCGAGGAATAACAACCGGCTGCGGCGCAGCTTTAGCGTCTGCGGTTTGGCAATGGAGGAAGGCCATGATCTCTTGATTCTGCAAATAGAGGCGCTTGGACAGTTGGGCCAGCTCAGCGCGGGTGGGCAGCTCCTGGCCGTTGTCAGCGTCGGAGTCGTCCTCGGCGATCGGTTCATCTGGCGGAGTGGGAGGGCCATCGATCTCGGTTCCCTCCTGCTGATAGTCTTGGTGTTGAGCCTCTAGGTCCTCCGGTAGAGCGTCCTGGTGTGATTCGTTGTCGTCGTTCCCACGTTGGTCAGTGGCATCGTCGGGCCCAGCCTGCTCCGTACGCTCAACAGCTTCCTCAACTCGCTTGAATTGGCGGCCGTCAGAGGCTTCGCCGCAAACGAGAACGGTGCGGGACCTGGTCTTTCCAAGTTTGGTCATTCTGGCGAGAGAAGGTCGTGGGAAAATGGTGGCGAGGTGAAGATGCACAAAGACGTGGTGAGGCGGCAACGACGGTAAAACGCAGGACAGTGTACAGGTGAGGTGGTGGAACGTCGGCGGGTTCTCTGGGGCTGTCTCAACGTTTGGTGGATGCTACCATGTAAGAGAATGCTCGCAGAGATCTGTATTCTGAACGTTTATAAAGCTCTCGCTCGATGATAACTAAAAAGGAAAGGGAAGGTCCAGGGTACTCTGCTATGTAGGGAAGAAAACAATAAACTGTGCTAGTGTCACGTGGACGCATGGGATGCTTCTCTCACATAACCCCACCCCTTACCCCAACCACGCCTAACCCTAACCCTAACCCTAACCCTAGGCGTGTTGTGCACGGCTAAACCAACGCTGAATTCGTTAGGTAGGCGTGGGGTTAGGGTTATTTCTCCATGCGTCTGTCTCTTTGGTAATAACATTCTGCATTGGCCCTGAACCTAGCCTTTCCTTTGCATGCATTCGTCAGTGGTGTATTTAGTCTACCTTGAACACTTTCGGTCAGGCTATTTCTAGTTCATATTATATGTACTGGACAAGGGACGTCATGTAGGTAGGATACGGGGGTACCGTCATGCGCGCCAGAGTATTTCGCCTCGCGCATCATCCCTCGTCCCTGCCCCGCCGCTTATACTCCCAACTCCCTCCTCGCCTCCATCACAAGCCTCACAACATCTGGGTCCGGCATATGTCCCCTACTCACCATCGCATCATACGCATCCACACACTCCCTCCACCGTCCCCTAACCCCCAACGCCCTCACCAGCGCCTGACAGCTGCCCAAATCGGGTATATAAGCCTTCTGCCGCTGGTCAAATAACCTCGTCACGGCGTCCACGTCCCCGCGCCGCGCGTGCAGGGCGAGCATGCGTGTGAATGTCGATGCGAGGGGTACGACTTGTTTTGTGTCTGCGGATTTCTGGGCGCAGAAGGCGAGCAGGTCGGCCCACAGGGTGGAAGCGCGGGAGATGTTGTCGGCGGTTTCGCAGGCGTGCAGGATGGCGTCGTAGGATTCGAGGTCGGCGGGGTGGGATGTTCTGTTGTCCCGAATCGATTCGAATAAATGTAGCGCGGAGTTGAGGTCGCGCGCCACAGCGTGCGCTTTGATGAGGGCTTCTACGATCTTGCGGTCGGGTTTGCGCAGGGTGGAGGATAGCTCCTCGTAGAGTTTGAGAGCGGCCGGGAGCTTGCGACATAACCCGCCATTCTCGATCATCAGCGCCCACGAGTCCATGTCCGCGCGCGCACCGGGAACGTTCCGCGCCATCTCCTCCCACACCGCCCTCGCCCCGTTCCAATCGCGCGCGTGGCCGTACGCGGTTAATACCATGTTGTATGCTCTTATATCGGGTTTCTCGCCCGCGTCAAGCATCCGGTGGAACTCCTGCACCGCACGTCTGTAGTCCCCGCTTCGTAGTTGGCAGAGCATCAGGGCATGGTAGTCCCGCAGGTCGGGTTGGTGCCCACACACGGTGCGCAGATTATGCATCGTTCGCGAGGCATGGATCGCCGCGAGTCGCGGTAGCGTGTGTGAGGTCAGCCAGCCGAGCATGGTGGAGTGGTCGTCTGGATGCAGTGTATGGAGTTTTTTCTCCTTGAAGAGTTGTTTGTACACGTTCCAGGCATCGCGCGGGTTGTGCCGGCGGAAGGCGTCGTGCAGGGCTTCGACGGTGTTGCCGGCAAGATGGATTGTGTTGGAGACGGGGCGGCGCCGGGGTTTGGCGGTGAAGCGCGGGGCGGTGAGGAGGTGGGCAAAGTCGATGTGTGCGAGAGCGGTGGGATCTGAGGGGTCTGGTATTGGTGGGGGGCTGTTGGGCGATGCACTGCCGGTTGAGTCTGTGTGTTGGGCTCGTTGGAGACAGCGGGGAGGGAGGGTGCATACTAGCCGAGTCGATTTGCTGTTCGTCAGCACCCTCATTGTTATAGTCTGCTGCAATCTCCACAACAATCCTGTCCAAGTATGTTTCTCACTCCTAAAAGCCGTTGTCCTTCCAGTGAGTGACTCGAGGCCGTCGCAGGTGATGCCTGGTAGCCTGGTGTCGCTGGGCTCGGTGGGAATGCCAGCCTGGACGGCTGGACGGTGGAGGCGCCTTCCACATGGTTTTGGTTTCTGCGGCAGTGGAAACGGATGGCCAAAATAATGCATATAAACAGCCACGTGTGCGCCGCTTCCCACTTCTCGCTCATTGCTGCAAGCGAACTTCAAGGCCACATCACTACCTATTCGAAGGCGCCATCACAGCCGCCGAGATGGTTCTAAAGGCGTATATACCGAGCGACAGGGAAGACTCGTCGGGCACATCCAGTAACGATGACGATGACAGCAGTGGCGGTGAGGATGGCGACAGCGAAAGCGGGGACGACGTGGTCGAATTCGATGGTATTGGGCACAGCGACACCGGATCGCCAAGGACATTTCCGTCGTTCCTACCACCGTCTAATTTATCGCTAGAAGGAAATGATGGGCAGTCGTAACGTCGTCCGGCTCTTCCACCTCCAAAAAGATCCTATAGATATGTGGCACACTGCCATTTCCCCCCTCTGTATATACACAATATTCGAGCATCTCGAGCGCTGCTGGGTGATTTGCTGATGCACTCCTGATTAGCTTACGGAGCCGAAGATGAGCTCGTAGACGATTATGACGATGTTTATCGCGACCAGAGGGACTAGGATCGGAATCCATTAGTATGTGATTGAAAAGAAGAGGCTTGGTGTCATTCGGAAAAAACTACATCGCAATAACGTCCTGATAGCAGAAATGAGATTTATGATCTCATACTTGACTGTTTGCGTTTGGTCTCCGAACTGTGCTTGTGATGAGGAGTGGGCTAAACCGACTGTACGATAGCAAGAGAAAGGGTACGTAAATTCGTTAGCACCTTTGCCCTTCAGTTTGAAGGAGCGGTGTGAGGTGACCAATCGATGCACGAGACGTGGATGGTAGAACGATAGATGGCCCTGCTCGCTCATGCTCGCCGTTAAGATGCTGGGCTCAAGTGACGCAAAAGATTCACTCGCTATAGGTCGCAGGAGCGACCTCGGCTCGCTCACATTCGCCAAGCATTCTTGCCCCTCGCTTCACTCGCACTCCGGCAACATGGGCTCGCTACCGCTCGGGTTCTCACACTGGGACGGTCGTTGTCAAGCTCCTTCAGTCCGCTTCCTCCAATACTTACTTCTAGCAAGAAACCGCTCCTCGTGCAAGATTGCGACCGCATTGGTCAGCAGTAAAATGACGTAAAACAGGGTGCCGATGGACTCCCTGATTGACATGGTGAAGGGAGTCGACGTCGGTAAAGCTGCACTAGATTCGCCGGGGAGGTCGTAAACGTGAGTCCGCTGAAGAGTGGTCAAGATGGGGCAGGTTCTCTGCAAGCCGGTTGAAGATGGTGGTAGATGGTGGTGCCACTTTGAAGTTGAGTCTTTGCCGGTCCAAATCTCAGCAGGTTGGGGTTAGACGACAACAGGCCGGTGGACTGGGGGACGAATTCCTGTTCGGCGGGCTGGATATTACTGACCAACAGCAAGACCACCAAGGTATCACATCACGATCACATTGCAACATCGTCGAATTCTCGTCTACGCAATGGGACCCTTCAGCATCCCAGGGTGGTGGCAGGATGAAGACTCTGTCCGTTCGTATGAAGATCCAATCGCGACATACCACTGGGCCAGAGTTCTTCGGCGACTCCCTGGTACCGGTATCGTAGGAGCGAGGAGAGTCGAATCATCCTGCGCATGACATACTACATGCAGTATCTTTCCAGAGAGGCCACTGCTGCTGCCTAATGCACACCCCTCACTATGGAAGGCGCTAAAATTTTCTTACCATTTCGCGTCGTGCTAGAAAACGAACCTGGAGGAATGTCCAGGAAAGTCGAGCAAATGAGTGGGTCCGCTATTTGTCGGTTTAACGGCAAGTCTGAGCGGAGTTGCATTCGACAGTTTTGACGCGTGCGTTTAAAAGCTTTTCGAGTTTACACCCCTACATGTACATACGTGCCCTACCCACCTTTGCTGAGGCTCTAATCGACGAATACCAGTCCTGTTTAACCTGAATACGAAAGTCTACCCAAAACGCTCGACGAACTCTGCAATAGAAGCCGAACCTCAACATCCCCATCAAGCTTTCCCCGATGGCAAAAAGTGCGGGGCGTCGGCCTCCTTCTTCTGGTGGTGGGTATAGAGGATGTTTTACGGGTCTTTTTCTGATGCGTCTCGAACGAATGTTTGATAACTTCTCCTAGCAGCATCAGTCAAACTCACCGGAACCTTCATTTACACCGACGGGTCGCAATACGGTACGGTTAACGTTTTCAGGGTACGTCCACACCCCTGCACCCAAACCCAACCACCTCACTCCGCACCTCTCCCCAAACAACAGAAGGCGAATTCGCCGGCGACCCCGTCATCGTCCCGCCCCCCGGCACACCCCTCACCACCGCCCCCTCCACACCCCCATCTAGCAACGGGTTCAGCGGTTTCGGCCAACGCACCCGCAACGGACTGGGGACGTATCGGTGTGAGAAGACCGGAGTGGTGTATGAAGGTATGTGGAGCGGGGATGCGATGGCGGGGAGGGGGCGGATGAGTTATCCTGATGGCTCTGCATACGAGGTATGTCCCAAAATTCGTCTCGCGCATTGCATGTCAACATGTTGATAAGATCTTTTGAACAGGGAAACTGGCTCAACTCGAAATACAACGGCGAAGGCACCTACACCTTCCTCGACGGGGCGAAATATTCGGGCGAGTGGACGGACGGGCGGATGAATGGCGCGGGGGTGTTTTTGGATAAGATGGGGAGGAGGTGGGTTGGGGTTAGTGTTAATGGCGTGGGGGCGGATTTCGCGCCTGATATTGTTTGAGAGATGGGGGATTCGGAGGTGGGTGGGTGGGTTTGTTTGGTGGGTTTGAGGAGATGGGAGTGAAGATGTACAGTATTTGAACCAGCTGCTTTATCCCGTTGTTGGGTTCAGCTGGAAATGGACTTAAGCGTGCGTGCTACCGAGATATCTGAACGTTTGGAGATTAGACATGTGCCCAAATCAAGATGAGGTGCCGGGAGAGGCCGAGGGCAAAAATCCAGACGAAGCCTGCCCTTCCGGAGAGTTCCACCTTTACTAGGTCCGTACGAGTTTCTTCAAAGACGTAGAAGCGTAAAGTATATATTTTGCTGTACATCTGCGGGCGAGGCGGGCGGGTGGGCAAGGGCGGGGAATGCGCCGGGGATGACCCTTACCACCGCATACCACGGGGAGAAAAGCTCGTTCCTTCCTGCGTATTCCTCAGAGCTGCAGTATTCCTCCGTCGTCCTACTTCCTTCTGCCGTATCCTCCACCCCTCAAATCCTTTTCCCCTCTCCCAACGCAACCCCGCACGCAGACCCTCCCAATCCCACCTAATCGGCCTTCTCAACAATCCGCGTAAGATGCTCATCAATCTGCTCGGTGGTCAGCTGGACAAAACGCGGGTTGGCTGCTGTGACGATCCCAATTTCGAGGTCGGCGGGTTTGAGGTCAAGGGAGAGGACGTTGGAGAGGGTGTTGATTGCCAGCTGTTGGATGATAGTCGATTGTCAGTCAATGATTACGCTTTCCAAAGAAAGTGTAGAAGATGAATCGGTGGGGTAGCCGGGGCGGTATGTACCTCGACGGTATCCTCCTCATTAAGCTCCGGCCGCTTCTTGAGCTTCTTTTCAAGGTGGTTCAGCGCCTCTTGGTGCTTGGAGCCTGCGCTGGTGGCGTAGTACCCGACAAAGTAGCCTGCGGGATCGCATTTGAAGAGTTGCGGGCCCCGTTCGTCGTCGAAGCCGATGAGGATCATTGCTATGGTGTGGAGATTGCGGTGAGAACTTGGTTTTGCCATGGCCTGGCAGGCAGATCTGAAGTTTGGGGAGGATACATACAAACGCCGAGAGGCCTCATGGCGGCGTGCTGCGTGTACACCTGGTTGATGTTGGCCATGCGCTTCGCCAGCATGTCCGCTGGGATCTCGTATCCGAATTTGTACCGCCATTCGGCAGCTTCCATCCGGGCGCGAGAAACTTGGTTTCGCGCGTCGGCTATCCAGGTCAGGAAAGGAATTGGGGATGAGTGACCTAATGAGGAAAACCTATGACTTCTACTCAGAGAAGGGCAACTCACGTAATAGTCCAGTCATCACACATCCGATCTTAGGGGTGATTTGAAACACACGGGTAATTGTGGAAGGGTCGAAGAGCTTGTCCTGAGATGAGAGCGAGGGCAAGAGAGTGTCCGATAATAAGCTCCTATACCCCACATTCCCAGTATTTCTGCGGTGCTGACAGCCCCATCCTATCCCTTGACGTACCGGAACCTTCTTCTGCGTTACCACAACGGCGCAGTCCTTCCCTCTCACACCGATTGAAGTGACCCCAGCATTGGAAATGGCCTTAAACGCGTATTCTATTCGATTCGAAGGGGTGTCAGTAAGCAGTACAGAAGTGTACGAGACTCACAAAACCTTAATCGCCCAACCTACCGACTTGGTATAGTCGTCCCTCAGGGGAGAAGACAGTGATATGCCTATCGTAGGCGGCTGAGAGCGAGCGTAAATTCGCAGGTTAGGACTATGCACCTCTCCGTAACTAGAATTCCCAGCTGGCAGCGAAGACACGACTTACAGCTCGATCCTCGGCTCATGGTGTTTCTGTACTACCGGTGATTTCGAAAGTAGAGACCCTCCGTTTAGAGCTGGCGTTTTTCAGGGTTGTTGATTTGTGAGTAGAGGGTGCGTGGGAAAGAAGGACAAGGCGAGATGGATATGATCTGTCGCCCAAACTGAGGACGTTTGCGCGTCGCACACTCTTACGTATAGCGTTGTTATTTGCGAGAGAAGACGCAGGTCTTTTCAGGCTGACTTGATGTCCCGGATGCCGAGAAGGAGCAAGACGATGATTCAGCAGGAAAGGACTGCGGTGATGCGGGTTTTGGGAGCTCTGATAGACAGCACTGGCAAGCAACAAATTACGTGTCATGCCAGGGGGACGCTGTAACCCTAACCGGTCGTACTGTATGTGGGTTAGGGTGGCCGTAACCCTAACCAGTTAGGGATACGTATCTGAGTGGGACAAGTTGCCGCTCCATCAACCAGTCAAGGTAGCCAATCAGATCCCTCAGGCGGATGGAGGGGGCCAACTGCATCTTCTCTTTGCCTTGCCCAATGGCACGCACGACCCGGCCATTCGCGGGTGTCGATCCAGGTCAACATCAACATTCGCAAGCGGCCGTCGTCTGGCCAGACATCGCCACCCTGACTAGAAACATTCTCCAGACACCGCGAGAGGAGAGACTTCGACACGCTCGCCGAAGGACCGTCGCCAGGGTCACCGGAAAGCATTATCGGGTCAAGAACAAGTCCGCCTGGTTTCAGCAACGGGATTCAGCAACGGTTTCTGGGACAACCCAGAGATCGACCTCAGCAACGGAGAGCGACGGACACATCGTGCGCACATCAGTAACGCTCTCCGCTGCCTTTCCAGGAAGAGAACACCCACCGCCGGTTATTGCACTCCGCAGCCCTCCACGTGGGCCCCATATCTGAGGACGAAAGAGTGATGCTACGAAAAGCCTCAACATCACTATGTGTGCCCCTGAAGGAGATATGCACTGCGAGGACAGTGAAGCGGAAGAGTGCTACTTCGCGAGTGATCTGTGTGGCTGCTTTTACGAGTCAGACGGTGTGTCGGTATCCGAGACGGCCTTTTGGGGCTGGGGGTGAAGGTGAGCTGTGCGGATTGCTAAGGGTGGTTGGGGACGCCCGGCGAAGAAAGGAGGGTGAGGGAGAGAGCGAGTTCAGTGGGACCCTCGGCGCATGAACACTTGAGGATGGCGAGCGTAGGGAGGATTAACGGTCCTTGGGGTTTCAGCCATGCAAAGAAAGTGCGACCGAATGCGAGCGTACTGTGTTGCAGGCACAGGATTGTTTAAGATCGCGCGTCGAGCGCCAGGGGCATGGATTGCAGCCAAGGTGCAGGAATGCTTGGGGACGCTTGCGCCGCCCAACATCCAGGTCATGCGGGGAGCGAGCATGATCTCCTTTTGCACGCATCCCCAAATCCACTACCATCGCCCAGCGCACATATTCACAACGATCCACTCTATATTACACAGGCGATCTACTAGCAGCGACGACGGCAACCATCCCTGCTCCGCTAAAGTCATCTTCCAACTCACGAGGAGAAAGATCACAAGACACCCTGCCGCCGGTATCGCAACCTCAACGCAAACGCTTCCAAGTCCGTTTCGATCGCGAAAAGATCCGCAGCCTCAGCGGGTCCGACAAAGTAGATCTCTTCCGCGACTACATCAAATGCCATCAAGCCGACGATGCGCTGTATGTCTACACGATCCTCAAACAAAACGACCTGAATGTCCGCCTCAAATACGATGACTACCACGGGTTCTTCCACACCCTCATCACCAACCCGAACAAGTACCGCGACGCCATCAACACCCTCGTCAGCGATATGCGCCGGTACGGATACAAACCGAGCGACAACTTCTTAATGGACTTGCTGGTCTGCTGCAAACGCTGCGGGGATTTCGATACCGCCATGAGCGTGTACGACGAGCTGAAAGCCGCCAAACGCGCCATCTCCCTGCAAGGCTACAACGCCCTCCTCGACCTCTGCACGCACCACGGCGGGCTCGCGCAACGCCAACGCGGCGTCGACATCTGGTCCGAGATGCTCGCCTCCTCCACGCCGAATTTTTGCCTGGACTCGGAATCCTACCGCATCGGCATGGAACTGTTCGGCAAACTCTCGAATTCATCCGAAGTCGACAGCATCTACGCCCGCGCAATCACCGAGTGGAAAAAACACCGCGTCGCCACCCTCCAACCCACCGCCGCCGCCAGCCGCATCCACATCGACAACGCCTACCTCGGCGTCCTCGTCAACACCGCCCAATACAGCCGCGCCAAAACACTCTTTGACCGCTATTACCTCCCCGGAGCGCCCCTGCACGGGGATAAAGCTTTCTCACTGGCAGCTCTCCGCCGCACACTCAACATCCTCCTCAAAATGTGCGAAGCCACCCGCGACTACCCCTTGGCCCACGTTTATTGGACGGATTTCACCCGCCGCGGCGTGCACCCGGATGCTGTCGCCTACGGGCGCATGATCACACTATCCTCCCATGATTTAGTTTTAGCGCAGGAGTACTTTGAGAAAGCGGTCCAAGTCCACGGCGCCGACGCCAACATCCGCAAACTCACTAAACTGCGCACCGCCCTACTCGCCGCACACGCCCTATCCCCCTCCGGTGATATAAAAGTTGCGTATGAACTGTACGAAGGGATCCGCAACGACGCGGGGGGAAAGGTACCGAGGAGTGCGGTGGGAAGTATGGTTGGGATGTGTTTGCGGGCGAGGGATTTGCCGATGGCGTTGGGGGTGTGGGAACGGGCCGGCGTTGAGGGGGGCATTGTTTTGGGGGCCGGGGAGGAGAAGGAGGGGAGGGAGGTGAGGGAGATGGCGGATGTTGTTGCGGCGTATCGGAGGATGTGGCCTGGGCAGTAGAGGGCGGAGGGAGGGGGTTGAGATTTAGACACCGTAAATTTAGAGTCCCTGAACGAAGTTACCTTGTGTCATTGGATAGCAGTGACAAAGACCATCTAACCGTCGGGTACGGCGACCTCTACACATATCTGTCTGCTGTATTGTCCAGGGTCTGTCTGCCTCCCCCGATTCGTACGCACACAAGCGCATGTGGCATCGTAACGAACGCGACGCAAAACTCCTAACGCGTTCTCGTCCGCCCTCTGCCCAAAATCCCACTTCTCCTTTTCGCTCTTCCCACCCACACCTCCAAAACACCGCAATATTATAGGCCTTTGACATAGAGGATGGCGGCAACAGCAACGACAGCAGCCGCGGCAGCTCAGGACGCTTCCTCCTCAGCTACCTCCACCACCACTTCAAGTAAGTACGTCCCCCCCCCCCCCCCCCCGGCCCCCCTCCCGCTGCCTTACTCCACCACTGACACCCCACTCGCCCCCTTCACTGCCCAGCCGACCACCCCTACCTCGTAACCTTCATCCCCCTCAACCCCCCCGGCGCCCCATCATCCAGTACATCACACACACGAAGAATAGTCAACCTCGAACACCCCGTGTCGATCGGCCGGTTGTTGGATAAGGACGAGCCGGATTTTAGGGGGTTGAAGTTTGCGAGTAAGGTTGTGAGCAGACGACATGCTGTTATGGGGTTTTTGGATCGGAAGGTAGGTCTGAGAATCATACAGTTGTGTGTGTGTGGGGGGGGGGGGGGGGGGGGCTTGCGATGTGGGTTGTGGGACGGCGATGTTTAGCTTGTTTCGTCGACGGGATGTCGGACGGGATATCTCCCTGTTCTATGCACCCTTCCCAACCCCCACGACTTACGCGATCTCACACCCACCCTATTTGATGTCATTCAACCCACAGCTCTACATCCAAGACACATCCTCCTCCTCCGGCACCTTCCTCAACTCCAAGCGGCTGTCCCCGCAAGGCACCGAGAGCGGGAAAGTGGAGGTGCGGGATGGGGATGTGATCCGGTTGGGGGAGGAGTGTGAGGTGAACGGTGGTACGTGTTGGTATCATACCACGTCATATCATATCATCCGATGTTAGCGAAGAGGGGGGACTGATCCATGATGTTGACGTGTTTTTTTTTTCGTTTTATAGTGGTGCATCAGGCGGTAACCCTGAAAGTAGCCTTAGGAAACGTAACGGCGCTGAAAGGGAGGGAATCGCAGCCGGGGCGTCACCCATCCGAGGATTCTGATAACTACATGTACGTCGTCCATCCTCCATCCTCCAACCATTGTGGGGGTACATAACACACTCATCTATGCCCGCAGCGACCTCTCAACAAACCCGCTAATCCAACACGCCGTCGACTCCGAGTTCACGCTCATCTGGTCCTCGCTGACACGGGGGTTAGACCACCCGCTTAAAAAACTGCGTGACGCCGCCGTCTCCGCCTCCCAAGCCACACGCACGCCTTCGTCCATATCACAGTCGTCGTCGAAGGGTACGAATCGGTCGAGTAGCGGGTCGACGGTGACGACAGGGATGGGGAGACGGCCAAGCGCGACGCCGCCGAGGGGACTGGTGATTCGGGAGGGGGAGGTGTGGGGGGAGACTCCGGGGAGTGTGGTGAGGAATTTTAGTGGAGATAGTCTTGCGACTGTTGGGGGTGCGGGCTCTGGGAGCAGAGCAGGAGAGGCAGGAGGGCTGGGGCAAGGGGTTGTTTCGCCGGGACTGAGGACTGCTGTTGGGGGTGAGGGGGTTTTGGCAGGTGTGTGTGTGAGTGATTGGGTGCATGAAGAGGAGGGATGGTCATACTTACTGTATCTTGTTTGCGGTGATAGTTGAACCGTATATCCCGTTTGGAATCCCGCCGTCCGACCCGCCGTCTGATGAACTGAGGCCGCCGACGCTCGGGAAACAGTGAACAGATCGGGTCAATCACCCCTCGCCTCTCCAACTCCACCGAAACCCCATTTTTAGACTTTTAGAACACACTCACACAGTTCATCATCACGTATATGATCTCCCTATCCAAGTTATCACAATTATCATCATTAGAGAGGGGCTGAGGGAGGATGGACAATGCATATTTCCACGCCGTTGGGTGCGCGGGGAGTTGACGCCGGGTTATCAAGCCCGCTTTCTCTTCCATTCCGTGACATCGGATGTGTACCATTCTACAAACGTCGGCAGATAATAGAACCGGACGAGGTGTCGAGGGGCGGGTATAATTGATCTTATAGATGGCGAATGTATTAGGAGCGCGGAGAGTTGTGCTAGGAGGCTCCGGCCGACTTCATAGATATCTCCACCGCCTCCCTCACAACCAAAAACCTCCCTGGGGCCGGCGGGGCCGGTCTCAGCTCCTCCACCGACCGTAACGTGTGCGTTGGCGCGGGTGGGCCGGTGGCGGCCATTGTCGCCGCGACCCAATTTGGATCTGTGAGGGGTGAGAGGTCTTCTGCGGGCGGGGTTGCGGTGGAGGTGGGGCGGATGTGCCAGGCTGGTTGTTGGCTTGGGAGTTTCTTCAGGGGTTATGTTAATGGAATGCGATGGGAGATTAAGGTGGGGCAAGGTTTTTTTACCTCGCGGATGGTAGCGTACTCCTCCTCCCTGCTGGAGTACTCACGGACGAGATGCGAAGTGCCGAACTCGTGGTAGACGCGTGTATCGTTGATGCGGAAGAGAACATCGTCGACCCGGAGGAAGAAGCGTTGGAGGACTAGGAAGCAGGATGGCATTACGCGCTGTGGGAAGAAAAGGGCGTTATGAGCCGCGGCACATCTCGCAATACCGTCTCCTGGTCTTGGCCCCTCATAACTTGGCAAACTCACCACCCGTAACGTCAAAAGCGCCGTCCCATTGTCCCCCAACTCATCCTCAAACAGCACCACCTCATCGTAAAACAAGATCGGATCTGGCCGCTTCAGCCGCTCCACATCCACCCCATGTGTCGTCGTCGGCTCAAACGGCCGTTGTGGTGATGAGACCACCGTGCCGGTGTAGTCAGTGCTGTAGGTCCAGTCGTAGGGCTTGACGACGTCTTTGATTTTGTGGGCGTCGGGGCTTGGGAGAATATCACATCCGTGTTCGTAAGATTGCATGTTTCGATATGAAATATATGCAGTTTCATCATAGATGCCCGCCCCCTCACAACATACTTGTTCTTTGCCCAATGCGCCGCACAAGCGACTTTGATCCCCTCTGCGGACTCTGGCGACGCATCCACCCGTTTCAACGCATCCACCGCCCTGAACGTGATATGTAGCCCAGATTCGTGCGTGATATCTAGGAAGTTGTTGCCAAACAGCATCTCGGGTGTTGGGACCGGTAATATCGCGGATGCCCTAGCATGTCCATCACGAAAATTCTTGTCAGTATGTGTGCTCCATGGTCATTGGTGAATAATGGGGAAACCCACTGCTCGAGTTCTCCAGCGTTGCATATGGCGGCTTTTCCGGTGGTGATTGCCCAGCCGTGCAGGGCGATGCCGGACTTGCCGGGCCCGCCAGAAAGCCGTACTGGGGCATCGCTGCTCGTCGTCATGGGAGGGATATGGGCGAGTGGCTGGTCGTAAGCTCCGAGGACGAAGATGACAGGACGATGTGCGCACTTGGCAGAGGATCCTCAGACGGCAGTAAACGACGAGGCGAGCAGCAAAGTTGTGAGCGGCCTTGGAAGCAGTATACCAGTACTAGTGTTGGAACTGTGTGATATCAGTTCGAGGGTAAAGATCACGCCTTGCAATTGAAGAGATTGAAGTGGGAATGAAGGCACCAGCGACGGTGGGGATTCTGGTGGGGATTCGTTCACTCAGGAAACCCATTGACAAGCAGATTGACACCCCAAACCCCATCCCCTCTCGCCTCCCCACCAGAACCGAAATAAGCCATGCTCAAGCAACCACGACAGTAAGTTTGGACTCCTAAGTTTGGACTCCTGATTAGATCTTCAGTCTAACGCTCTCCCAACGGAGCTAAGGAAGCTGGTTGAAAGAGCGATCGTTTATAGAATGTATTACCATACTGGACAGCTGTGCGGTGATGGCAATCCTCGAGGAACCTTCTTATCAGATAGTAGGATATCTGTTGCTTCTGGCGGGCTCCGGCCTGGTTTTCTGTCTTCCCGTATCATACACGGAGTGAGTTTCAGCCCGGGCGAGGTCATCCCTGCCAAATACATTGGTCCAAACGAGTGAAGAGAAATCTGATGCAGACGACCCCGTGCATCAATTCAGTGTAAATGTTGATGTTTCATACGAAGTGATATGTTCTGAGAGCTGCAGTACGCCGAGATGTGAGATATTGCTCGAAATGTCCTGCCATTTCATCCCCCAACCCTTGCTCTCTATCTCACTCTACTTGAACCCGGCAGTCTCAACCAACACCTTCACCAACCCGTCCACACCCACCCGGTCCTCCTCATCAAACCCCTCCTTAACCAAACAATCAATATCCAACACCCCCACGACCCTCCCTCCCACCACAATCGGCACCACCAACTCGCTCTCGGTATTCGAATCACAGGCAATATGTCCCGGGAACAGATGCACGTCAGGCACGAGTTGCGTTGATGCGGTCGCAGCCGCCGCGCCGCAGACACCCTTGTTGGGCGGGATGATCGTACAGGCTACCCGGCCCTGAAACGGCGCCAGGATGAGTTTTGGCGGTCCCTTTGGTGGTGGTGATCCCGCCTCTGGTACTCCGGCAACACCGTCCAGAACATCCTTCGTCAGATAGAAACCGAGCCAGTTGATCTCCCTGCTGACGGGCGGGTCGCGGTAAGCGTGGAACAGCAGGGCGGAGAAGTTTGCGAGGTTGGAGGTGAGCGGGAGGGAAGGGTCGACGAGGGCGGAGGTTTGCTCGAGGACGGCGGCGTAGAAGGCTGGCTTGGCGAGGGGGTAGGCGAAGCCCGGGACTGTTTCGAGCATCGTTGCGGATGTTCTTTGGAGGTGTGATTTTTCTATACTCTGCTTTCCTATGCCTCTCTGTCCGGCGCTACCTGGCGCTTCAGACGGTATTCTTATTATGTTGCGAGACAGGGTTGGGTGGTGGGGGGATGACCCTTCTGGCTTGACTTTGGAGAAACGAAGGCGGTGCATTTCACAGCGTTTGTCACACTGCGGGATCTCCCTCGTCGGGACGCGTTAGAGCGATTGCGCAATCAAAAAGGCGTGTTCTCCTGTATTATCGACACTCTTCGCTGTTTGGACAGGACTTGCTTCCGTCCCACCCTGACGGCCCATGTGCGATGGGTCAGTCCGGGGATGCGTTGCTCCTGTTTGAGTTGACTAATAAGTGTTGATCAGAGAAAAGAAGCGAGAGAAGCGCAGAGTGGAGTTGAGCTGGGATATGAACGCGTTCTCCAACTTCCAAATCGCTCTGTCGGGCGGAGAAACCTCAATAGGATGATTTCAGGTTAACGCCTAGTGAGAGAGAGAAAATGGCTCTGGAGCATGGAGGGAAGGAGGAAGTTTTCTTGTGAGGAAGGAGACTCCCTTGAGTGAGTTGAGTTGAGTTGAGGCGCGTCATTCGTGGGGGGTAGAGTTAACGTTTGGACTCTCACTCATTTCTACCCAGGCTCGTCTGGCCAGATCAAACCTGAGTCATTCATCCATGTCATCAACAGCAATATTATTTATATCCGCCCTGGTCTCAAGCCACGCAAGTTCGTGCGACATCGCATTATGATAAGTGCGATCATTATGACATTCCCCCTCCCTTTCCTTCGCTTTCCTTCTCAACAACAACCCTCCCTCATTCCTCATTCCTTATTCTACACCACCCGGTTCAAACACTCGCCCCCTTCACAACCCTGCCGAAACCCCCTCCGCAACCCAAGAAGCTTCAGCGCCGGGCGCTCAACCAGACTCTTCACACCCGCGGCGTCCAACATCACACCCCCATTTCACACCTCCCAGTTCACAGAAGTTGGACAAATGCGGCACCATCTCGAAGCATACCACACCCACCTATGGGGCGCCTTCTACCTCACGCTTGCGATACTCGGTGGTGTCTTTGCGGGGGCGCTTAAATGGCAGGCGCAGACCGAGTTTAGCGGGGAGCATGTTTGGTAGGTGATTCAGGAAAAAGCGAGGTGGGACGAAGGTGGGAGGAGGATGAACAGGGTGCGGGGTGTTGCTCAAGCGCCAGCGAGCGCGTTCCTCTGCGGCGAGGGAAGCGAATCGAGGTGTCTCCGGCACGCAAAGCGGAAGTGCAGGGTTGGTTTCGCTTTGATTCGCGGAAAGAAACCCGAAGCGACAGCGGCCGGCGATAATCTTCGGGAACCCCCCCCCCCCCCCCCCCCCCCCCCCCCCCACCCCGGGATTGTTTGTTTCTCGTCGCATCGCATCGCTCGACCCATCGCTCATCCTCCTCTCATCTCCCCCCCTTTCCCAGCCTCTTATTCTGGTCCGCAGCCGACCAAGCCCAGGGCGTGAAAACCTCTAACATGTGCGGTGTCGCCATCGGGTAAGCTATCCCCCCCTTCGCACCCTCCCTCCCTCCCACCCACTTGCTAACCCCCCGTCTCCCCACCCAGAATCGGCACCCTAGGCCTCCTCCTCTCCCTCACCCTCGGCACCCTCACCACCCTCCTCCTGACACGCTCCACCTCCGGCCGCGCAAAACGCCTCATCCGCGCCCTCGCCGCCCTCTCAACCCTCTACACCCTCCTCCTCCTCATCGGCGCCTCGCTCGCCACCGCCGGCCTCAGATCCACCTGCGCGAACATCGAAGCGGGCACCGAGGCCGCCCCAGGGATGCGATGCGAGGACGGGTTCGGCGTCATGGGCAAGCGCCTGGGGACCGTCAAGGCGGGGGTGAGTGCCGCGTGGGTCGGGGTGGGCGCGTGGATGGCGTACAGCGCCGCGGAGTGGTGGAATTGGAAGGTTGCTAGTGAGCGGTGGTGGTGAGGGGAGCGGGACCCCCATGTGCGGCTGTGGATATGAGCGGGTTGGGATGTGGGTATCCCATGAGATTATGACGCGGGGGAATGAGAGCCGGGCTCTTTGTTTCCCCCCTTCCCCCCCTCGGGACTTTGGGTTTTGTTTCCTAGACGTATGCTTTGGTTTCCCGTTTTTTTCGAGGCGTAAACCTTTACACATCTACACGGCGTTGGACCACTTTTTTATTTACGGTTGTTGGGGTTGTAATATAGGCTATGGTTGATATGTTTTGTGAATAGAAATGCAGGAGACTCGGATTATTGCTTTCGGTATGCTTTTTATTATGCAATGTATTTTGGGTGAGAGTGTACAGAGCGGGTTGGTGCAGATATATACGATTTGAAGCGTCTCCCAAGAGGCTTGCAGACTACGGGGTATTGTGCGGTGTAGGGTTGGGCGCCTATGCTGTGGGCAATATGTAGGGTCCCTTACAACACCTTGGCTTCGTTCTTCAATTTGTCGATGAGCTGGAAGAGCGACAGGGATAGAGACAACGGTCAACACGATCATCCCCATTCATATTGCATTCTACCAACCCAGTGTGATCCCTTGAACAACCCCCTTCCCCTGCTCGCCCCCACCCAACCTACCTCATCAACACTCTCAACCTTCTTCCCCCCGCTCCTCTTCTGCGGCTCCGCGATATCAATCGTCTCAATACTCGGCTTAATGTCAACGCCCAAATCCTGCGCCTTGAACACCTCCATCTTCTTCTTCTTGGCTTTCATGATGTTTGGGAGTGTTGCATAGCGGGGTTCGTTTAGACTGCGGAGAGGTATTAGCATTCAGTTCGCGAAACAATGCGAAGGAGGAGAATGGGGGGTGACATAACACATACCGTAAATCCGTAGTAACAACAGCCGGCACCTCCATCTTCACCGTCTCCAACCCACCATCCACCTCCCGCGTCACCGTCACCTTCCCCCCATCCACCTCGACCTTATTAGCGAACGTGCCCTGCGACCACCCCAGAAGACCGGCGAGCATCTGCCCTGTTTGCGAGCTGTCGTCGTCGATGGCTTGTTTGCCGAGGATGATCAGGGAGGGCGATTCTTTGCGTGTTATGGAGGCTATTAGCTTTGCTACCTGAGTGGGTGAGAGGGAGGCGATGAGTGGGGCATCGTATGAAGCGAACGAGGATGATGATGCGAAGCGAAGTGATGGACGGATGAAAGAAACGAGATTCTGCTCGCTCCCGATCGCGACAAGGCCGTGGAAGGAAATCAATGTTCGCTGACGCTCGCATCTACCAGTCGCTGTTGCTCGCTAGAACGGCGCCTGAGCGAACCTCGCTCCGCTCACGCTCATAGTCGCTCGCGTGTAGACTCATACCTGAAGCGGTAAAACCTCCGTCCCCTCCCCCACATCCACATGCACCGCCCGATCAGCCCCCATCGCCAACGCCGTCCTTAACGTCTCCGCCGACTTCGGCCCCCCGATACTCAACGCAATGACCTCCTTCGCGACCTTCTTCTCCTTCAGACGCACGGCTTCCTCGACGGCGATCTCGTCGAAGGGGTTCATCGAGTGCTGGGGGGGGATGACAAGGAGGTTTATTAGCACGCTGGAATTACGGTCAGTTTTTCGGGGGGAATGGAAGGGTTACCTTGACATTGGTATCGATTTTGCCGCCCGTGACGCGGACCTTGACGGCGTAGTCGATGACCCGCTTCACGGGGACGAGGATGCGGTTGAGCGACATTGTTGTTGTGGTGTTGGAGCTTGGCTGGGTGGTGGGAGAATGGGGAAAATGGGAAGGGGGATGGGGCAGCTCCAAGCCGGGCTGTGATGTGAGCGGAATGACCCGATGAGCCGACGCGTGCGTTCCGGGTTCCTCCGGCCGTCTCCGCGACAGACGCATCTGATGGAAGGCATGAGGCCCACCTTCCAATCCACGCGGTACCTGAGAAAGATTCACTCTTTCGGAAAATACATACATACATCAGCAGCGAGCGTAGACCCTTGGAACACAACACACCAACCTCTCTCCTTTATCTGCTTGCAAGGACCTCTCCGTAATTCGCTCGCGTCTACCGTTTTATGGCCCTATCCTATTTTTCTACTGTAACTTTAGCTGATATGCACAATTCCATGGCATCTAAAATGGCCAAATCCCGCCTCCTTGCATTCGACTCGAACCATCCTCGAGACAGCTATTTCAGTCCAACCCCAACTCCCGTACCCAATATGCATATCATAGATATCAGCGAGAACAGCGGGCCAAAAAAAAAACTGCGTGTGGATTAGGGGATTTAGAGTGATCTGTTTTAGGTAAGTGTGAGGGATTGCGGCAGGGTGAGGGATTGCGGTTGTTGACCTGGTGGGTGGTCGGCGAAAGGATGGTACTGTACTGTACAGAGCTGCTCGCCCATTGCGTTGCGAAGGAGGAAGGTTAGTGGGCCGTTGAGAGCCTTCGCAATAGCGTTGCGAATTTGGGAGGGAACGCTCAATGGGAAGGCAATGGGAAGCGTGGCCAACGGGAAGCAACATTAGGCTGCGCGTCCAGAGGCCTAAGTTCCGTCGGTTCACATCCCGCCGTCTCGTGGATGATGGCGGGGGGGACGTCGGACCCGGTGGGTAAAAATGTAGCCATACTTGATGATGTCGTTTCGACGGATGCTTGTATTATGTACAGATTCTCTAAGCAAAAGGTCCCCGGCGAACCGGGTGAAGGAAAGGAATCCGAGTATGTGCGGGTGACTGGAAGCAGAGACTATGAAGGATGGGGTCGTCCACTATCGTATCTACATGCGCTGGCCAAAAGAAATATCTACATGAAGTGCCTAGCCAAAAGACGAATGTTAGAATGCCTTCGTGCGCATAAGGAGCGGAACATAGTCGGACTTACTTTCGCATGTAACCTGAGACGGTCTCGAAAACCACCAAGAGGATACCACCGCCGGGTCCCAGACGAAGTACTTTCGGTACAAAGCCTAGAATCGAAGTGAAGGATGAGGACACGGTTATTCTGGGTTCTCGGGATTCCATGATCCCGCTCCGTTTACCCCTCAGGCGTACCTTTGTAAAGAGCCCGAGGTCCTTCCTCACGCAGGACCAGTCCAAGTGATGGTAAGGCACCCCGGTATTTGTAAGGAGCAGCCAGCTGCGACTGGATTCTTGTCTTCACTGAAAGAGGGAAAGTTTTGTTTAGTTGGCAGCATGATAGCTAGTCATCGGGCCTTCAACCGTAACTGACCGACATCGAACGGGCACTAGGGGAATTCGGATTGATTAGCATTTGGAATGGACGCAACCCAAAGATCGGCAACTTACGTTCAGAATGGTGGCAAAAGTACCGCCAATGGCTCCGCAGACAAAGTTCCTCATGAGGACACCTTCCTTGGTCTCAGCGACGGGCACAATGTCTCGCACAGTGCTAATGACCCCAAAGTATCCTCCGTTCCAGACGGCATGTCTCCACATGGTCGCTTCAAGGCCTCGGAAGAATGCGCGGAATCCTGTAAGACAAGATAACATCAGTAAGATCATCGACGCGAACCGATTTTGTGCATTTATCCCAACAAACCTTCTTCCTTGAAGATTGTGGAGATGCATTGTGCCCTGCGTCGTGATGAGGTTAAAAGTCGGCTTCCAAGTCGTCTGAACTCTTCATTTTGCTCCACACTCACGTTCCAGTGTATTTGCCAGCCTAAAGTACGATGCGGTGAGGACCAAATTGCGGGAGGTACTGTGCGAGACGCAATAAGCTGACTTACATTTCGATTGTCCTGCATCCTGATTTTGATCAACTCCGGCGTCGCCACAATGAATGCTTCCGTGATACCCGCGCTAACACCCGTCAAGACTGCCAGCTGACTCCCACTCTGCCAGCCAAACTTGGATTTGTAGAGGGCGGTATATTGTTCATTTGCTCCGAACTTGATGGCGCGCTTCGGCGCCTCCACCAATATTGGCGGTACGATTCCACGGTAGAGTGTCCCGAATCTAGAATCGCACATTGAGCTCAGCATCTTGCTACTCCGCATCACGACGGTAGCTGACATGGTACCCTCACCCTTCCGTTTTTATGATGTGTCGAAACGTTCCAACAATCGACGTTCTCTGTTGCGCACCGACGGCCAGTTGCAACCGTGTTTTCACAACGTCCAGGGGGTACATCGTGAGAATCTCCGTCGTACCGGCTATCGCACCAGCCACCTGTTAACATCGGGAGAAGTTCCCTTGTCAGCCCCGAAGCTAATCCTAGTGACTACGACCGCCTCCTCCAACCGCGATAGTTGACTCACCAGGCTGAAATGGAACGGTAGCGGCGCCTGAATGGCTCTCAGCTGGGGTTCTGCTCAAGGTGAAAGTTCACAAGTATGGTTAGGATACACCCCGCGATGTTGTAATGCCAATGGCAGACGTATTCTCCCACGTACGTGTTGCAGCAGCGTTTGCCGCCATGTTGACGTTGGTTTTGGCGGAAATGGCGAGGAGTGGGAGATCAGGAGACAGCTCAGCAGGAGTCTGAGGATGGGCTGGCAGGGCTGGACAAGAATACGGGTAGTATTTACAGGAGCTGCGGCTGCTGCTTATGCTTATGGGGCTGGCTCCGAGAGGCTGGGGGGTGAGAAAAGGAAGGCCGTGGCCGGGAAAGCACGGAGCGAGAGGACGCGGGGAGATGCGCCGTGATGATGACTCGCCTCTCACAGGATGCTGTCACGCGCCTCACCATTGATATTAATATCGCTCGCCACCGAGATGCACCATCTGGACCATGCCAATGACTGTGACCAACGGAGCGAGGAAAGGAAGGCCGTGGCCGGGAAAGCAGCACCGTGTCTCAGATCTGAAAGCCATTGGCATTCTGGCCTGGCCTGGCCTGCCGCTGGCCAGGCTGGCCAAACTGGCCCGCTGCACGCCGCGTCTCTTGTGACACGGACACTCAATTCCATTAAGAGGTGGGTATAGCTTTATGTTCCCTGACGGAAATTCAGTTGACGGAAATTTCATTTCAGTTGACGGAGTCCCGGATATCGTTGCTGAACTAGCCAGCACGAAGAAAAAGTAAGGGCTGTCGGTCGGTCGTCTACACTGGAGCCGGGAGAGCCGTGAGGAGCAAGACGCGTTTGGGGCCCGTCCACCCCGTCCAAGGCCAGAAACATCGACTCCCAAAAAGGCACAGCAACACGGGCCAAGACTGCCAAGATCAAGTCCCCTGAAGAGAGTACCCTTACGGACCCCGCCTCCGGCACTTCAAACGTCCCACCACCAGCAGCAGTAGCACGCCTCGCAACGACAATGACACAAACTCCCATGGACACAGGCCAACCACCGCAAACTCTGCAGCAGCACGATGAAGGCCCGCGGATGCGCACCCTGCGCCAACTGTTCGACGTGGCACTCGCAAACTGTCTCAACGCTAGCAGGTGGGTAAAGAATGTGTGTGCGTGTTGTGAGAAGGAGAGTGACCCCGTGGACGTTGTTAGCAATCCAAACGGAAAGTCTCACATGACTGACTCTGGAAGGTGATTCATTAGCTACGATCGTTTCGCACAAGCGTTCCCGAAACTGGCCCGCGACGACCCTGACGCTCTGAGGATAGCCCGGGAACAAACGGTGGATTTCATCAGGAACGCCATGCAGGTGGGATTTTGAGCAATGGAGGCGGGAATGATCACCTGTCCGAGAATCCTCAGACGCTCGACTTCACTTGTAGGAAGAGTTCAACGACATCAACACAGAACGCAACGTTGGCGAACATCTCAACACCCTGGACAGGGTAATCGCCGCCGCTCTCGCATCACAAAAACAGCATCAACTTCAACAAACGTCGTCAGCAGCAGCAGCTGCAGCTGCAGTATCCGGCACCGGGATAGTCAACCCAGTCCAGGCAGTACGAGCGCACGCTGTCCAAGCCAAACGCGCCGAAGTTGAACGACTGAAGGCGCGCCTACAATCGGTCGAGAACGCAACAACAACCTACGAAACAACCCTGACCGACCTCCGCACGCAAACAGAAACCCTGAAAGACCACATCGAGACGGGCATCGCGTCGTTGTTGGCGTCGCGGACGGCGGTGGACCAGTTGGCGGTTGAGGCGACGGGCGGGACGGGTTGTGATGTCGTGTGCAATTGATGCGGGATGTGGACGGCGTGCGTCTGCGTGTATCGATGTTTCCTGGCGTTTTGGTGTATATTAGTACGTTCGTCTTTTTTGAGACGGGAGGGGATGGCGCAGTGTAGCGGAAATAGAGATAAAGACACTGTAGGACCTTTGTTGAGTATGAATGTCTTGGAATCAAACAACCTGCGAAAGTCGAACTCGAGATGGCCCACACAAGATGGTGCAACTTGTAAACAACCGCTCGACATCTGCGAATATTATAGTCCGAATATCATGTTGAATTACGGACTCGCGCTGTGGTGTTCAAATCTGTTGACCTTGCACGTATTGTATTGTACGGCCATTCAAGTCTGCCTTTGAACGCCTCGCTTCACAGCATAGAAATCGTAGATCTTGGGGATGAAACATCCTTAAAAGGATCAGAAACGCTCAATCTTCATTGAGAAGAGTTGCGGGCCAGGAAACGGGAAAGTTGTTCAAGAGATGGGTACAAGACTAAGCTGGCTAACACAATCTAATGACTATGAACGGTAACTGATACATCGTCGGTTACACTGCTTCTTCCTCTTCTAATAGTCTTCCTCCGCTCGATACGATGTTCGCGTGGCTCCGGACAACACGATGGTCAGGTCGCAAGTGCCTCTCTGATACTCTTCGGCGTCTGAGTCGCGTGCCCAGGAGTATCCCGTCCATCGTCGTGTAATGGGCCGGCGTACGGTGACAACAGCGAGAACGTAAACCTTCAATCTGCCCTGGATGGATATCGCGCGTATGATCGCCAGTATTGCGCTAGGTGGAGCGTAGATTTCACTGTTCCCAAGCCAGCCTTGTAGATATTCTCGTCATTGTCCGCCGCGAGCTTGTCCCCTGTATCCAGCAAGGCCAGCAATGTCCGCATTGCGTCCAAACGAAAAACGCCGATGCTGCTTGACCTCAGCAAACAACGTGCGGGAAAATCTTGGTGGTCGTCCAGTTCGCTCGTTGACATAGCTGTCGACACGGACTTTCATGACGTCCAACCATAGCTCCAGAGTAATGGGTTCGTTCAACGCCCAGTAGATCAAAGTGCTCCCAAGCGGCACATGAAACTTATGCCCGGCAATTTCAAGTAACAGGCCCGCCGACATTCGGCTGACAACGGGATATACGACCTGGGCTTTTGCACCGCAAGCAAGGCAATTGGTGCCCATGATCAGAGACAAGAAGCGACTGTAGGGCGCCTCGAAGAATGTCGTAGGTGTATTGGGGATTGTGCGGGCTTTTGATTGACAAGATCGTCGAGCTGTCAAGATGAAATGGCCAGGGAAGGCGCCGACATCACTACATTATACCTACTATACCTACTATTTCATTGTACCTACTATATACATGGCGTTTCTTCCCACCTTTCTTTGAGTAGTATGCATGACTTCATGAGAGTGGAGTGATGTGTGGGGTGATGGATGGCGTCGTTGTGACGTATGGAAGGGTTTTTGGGGAAATAGTTTTACTTTCTCTTAAATCTAATGCATATAGTATCTGCGCTTCCTCCAAAAATGCGACCCAGAGCCGGTCTCCCTCCGCTCGTCCCACGCATATACGCCGAGCAACAGCCGCACTGGCATTCGCCCCGATATCCTTCCTGCTGACGGCCAGGACCCGTTTGCGGCTACGGATTGGATTGATCAGGGGAAAGGGAAAGAAAAAGTACGATAACTGTCTCGTCTCAACTTCCATCTGCTCCTCTGCTTGCTCCCCCATCCCTCAACGCCCTCCCGCCGCTCCGGCCGCCCTCTTCTTAACATCCATCTCCGGATCATGGAACACCTTCCTCGCATTATTCAACTCGACCTCCATCGCGAGCAATTCATGCGCGCGGGCCAGTTTCTTTGGATCCCTCCGCAGCGCATGAAGGAAATCTGATGTTTTCGGTTTGGGTGCCGTCCGTTGTGCCTCAGTGACGAGATCGGAGAGGTAGGTGAGGAGCAGCTCCTCCATTAGGTCGACGCTGTCGGGGGACGGGTTGTCGGTGTCGCCGAAGCCGTACATTAGCGTGCGGACTGCGGTAAGTAAAAAGTGAGTGGGCAACCGAATACGGGGTGGGGAAGAAAGACAGGTGGGCTATTGTGGTTCACGAATTCTTACCTTCTCGTGTGAATGGTCGATACAGCTTCTTTGACCTCTGTTGTTGTTGCTGCTGCTGTTGTGCTGAGTGCTGGTCCCGCGCATCTGTTGCTCCAAAGGAGGCCATTGCGTTTCTTTTCGTGGGGAGCTGCTGAGCGATGAGTGCAGGATGAGAGCGGTGTTTTGGAGCAGTTGCCGAGCCTTCGATGTTTTCTTTTCACAGACGCAAACCGCCGTGAGATGGCTGTCCAGAAGGCTCTCACGAAAAAAGCAACTGCGTGCTTTCCAAACAATTCGTAGGCTGGCCTCTAGAGACGCAGCCTAACGCTCCTTCCTTCCCAACGCAATTGCGAGCATCGTCATCACGGCAATCACCGCACTGCAACTCTGTACTGATCTTGGCTGTTCTGGAGCAAGCAACTGACTTTGACGCATTCACTGTGTCGGAATCAGCTTGTTCTGCTAGAGTGGTCTACAACAGACATCATCTCTAGCAGTCACGCAAAGCAATTCACAGCCATCTCGACATGTTGTCCTCCCAAACTCTGAAAAGGCGCAATAAGAAACCAGGATGGAGGATTCTATAGAGTTCATTGCACGTGAGGTTCTTTCCGAGGAGGGTTTAGCAGTGTTGGACTTGGAGAACCTAGACCTAAGTGAAAAATAGGTACCACGTAGATACCCGGGATACCCAAAATACCCCTGTCATATGGCCTTCTCCCACTCCCATTTGAGGCAAGCTGTGTAATTGAAGGTTGTGAAGCACGCTCCGCACGCTCGCCGAATGGACCCCTGTTCAGTAACTGAGACGCGACTGTATTACATGTTTAAGAACCAGCCGCCGTTTTGTCGGCCGCTTTCGCTCGTCGGGCTTTTTTCCGAAGGCCGTCGAATTTTTTTTTTGAGGTATAATAGGCTCTCCACCCAAGGATTCTTCCCTGCGCTGCCGCAATAAGGGGCAGATGCCGGACCGCTTCCAATATGGTTGATGTGTTTTCCCACTTTCGGCACCCACTCGCCCTCCCGCACCCCCCCCCCCCCCCCCCCCCCCCCCGGCGCGTCTCAGTTACTCGCGAGGTGCTGGTGAGGACGAGGGCGCGGGAGCAGCAGCCGCCAAAGCCGAGCCCAGCATCACATCCACCAGACTCTCCTCCCCATCCATCCCGACGGCCCCCACAAAGCTCTCCGTCTCATTCCACGGCTGCGGGGAGTGCATCATCATCCCCGCCTCCTGCGGCTCCCGTCCCACCGCCACCGGCTGCACACCCTCGTCCGCGCACACCACCCACGCGCCACCGGCCGCAACCTCCCTCGGAAAGCTGCGGTCGGCGACATGCAGTCCATACAGCTTCTCTCCCCACGCGAGCGCGCCGACGACGTCCGCTTGCTGGTGTCGTGGGACCTCGCGCGCGATCTTGGTGAAGACTGCCTTGCGGAGTTGGTCCCGCGTGGGTGTGTGCGCCGGCGGGAGGGGGAGGAACGGGGGTGCGGAGGGGTCGAAGAGGCCGAGGATTTCGAGGTAGGTCACGCTGGGATGTGTGAGCAGGACGTGCGGGGTGGAGAGGCCGATGGGTTGCAGGCCGACGGTGGGCGGGTGCGGTTGGAGCCAGCAGAAGCGTTTGGGGAGCTGGGGGAGGGTCGGGGGGTCGATGATCTGTGATGATCGGGGTGAGTGAAGTTGCAGGGTATTGCGTTTGCAGGGGTGGTGGTGCAGGGACCCAGGGTTACAGCACGTACGTTAGCGCCACATTCATCGTCGAGCAAGGCCAGGGCGTGGCGCCAGGGCACGCCTTCGATCTCGGTGAGTTTGGCGGTGAGGAGGCGGGCAAAGACAAACGCGAGGGCGGTGCGGCTGCCGACGTTGATCGCGCGCGGGCGCCGGTCCTTGGCCGCGTGCAGGATCTGGAGGACCTGCGCGAGCGTCAGTGTCGACGCATCGAGCTGCGCGCGGGTTGCGGGGCGGATGCGTACAGGGGCTGCTGATTCGTCCTTCTGCCGGGGCCGGGGGGGTTGAAACGGAGAAAGTGGTGTGAGTGATGGGGATGGAGGACATGCCTCCACCATCGGATTGCATACTCACCACCACCCTCTTCTTGACCAACACCGCACATTCTTCCCCCTTCTCATCCCTTCCAACCTCCATCCGCTCCGCCTCCCTTACCCACTCCAACGCCTCCTCCACCGACGTAATCACATCCGTTCGCGCCCGGCGGCCATGCTCCACCGTCCACGTCGGAGCGTACGGGCTGCTCCCGTCCACCGCCCCGTCCTGCTGATCGAGCCCGGCTTCGTCGCGGGTGCGGCGGCGGTGGCGCGCGGCGGGGGAGGTAACGTCTATAACGTCGACAATGTCTGTGTTCGGGCATCGTCGTGTGACAGGCAAGCCGGACCATGCCTCTTGGTAGCGGAGCGTGAACTCGCTCGGACTGCCGCTGTTGTGTGGTTGGCGATGTGGGTGCTGACCGCTGCCCCCGGACCCGACGCTGGTGGTGCGAGGATGGGTAGACTGACCCCCGCTGCTGCCGTCCAAGCGCTCGTGCTGCGGTAGCGAGCTGGCCACGGGCACGGGCTTCCTGGGCGCTTTTCTCAGCCTTCCGACGGTCGATGCCATGTTTGAAACGGTTTTGGGGCTTGGGTTGAGTTAGATGTCTGTCGCCCGATGTAGTTTTTTCCCGGGGGGGGGGGGGGGGGGGATTGTGGCTACGTCGGGGCTCTATCAGTCTCGGTTCTCGCTGTGACTATGTATGTATACCCCTCGGTCTCCGCTATAGGTCAAGATTTGTGTGCTCTCGTCCGTCCTCGTGTGAATTTTGGATCCCTTCCGGTCTCGGACCTGCCGTTCGTTGATGAGGGGTCGAGCAACGTGTGATCGCCACGATCTGCGATAGCACAATCTGTGATAGCAAACAAATGCTCGCGAAGCCACCTGTATCGGAGGCGGGTTACGGGTCGGGGGGGTTTTTTTTTTCGTGCTCGCTTGACCGTACGCCGAGATCAGATCAAGCGGTGGGTTAGGGAAGCTGGAATTAGGGGCGGGTCCTGGGGGTGTGGAGAATTACGGTAGGAGGTTTGATGTCCGGTTTGGGAAAGAGGGTTTGTAAAGAGTGCGATGCTGTTTGGACCGTTGTGTGGGGAAGGTGCGATGGAGGTGTGCATATACCCTCTCCACAAATGTCGGGAGAAGGCTTTCCTCCCCCCCCGTTAGCCCCGTTTCTGTGATATGCGTGTGATGCCTACGTACCATGGCCCTAGGGTGGGTTGACGAAAGACCGCCAAAAACATGAACGCAAGACCCAACTTAGAACAGATGATTTCTTGTTGAGATGACACCAACGGACAAAAACAAAAAAAAAGACGAGGAGTAAAGAAAAAGACAAAAAGAGGTATGGTACAAGATGCAGGTTTTTTTTTTGCATGGGGGGTCGGTCAAGGATGGAATGTGAGGGGGTGCGGTACAGAAGAGGGATGGGGATATCGGGAGAGGGCATGAGCGCCCAAAACGCACATATCTCCAATGCGCGCGGCAATCCAATGCGCGGCGCCTCCCAGATTTCCCCGACTCCAATTTCCTTCAGTCATGGTGATCAGGCACCAACGACGTGAAAAACAACGTCGCGACCAACTTTGCTCTCTGCAGCGACGCCACAAACCCCGACTCGGCAGGAACAGCTGCTTCCGTCGCCACACTCCCCTCCGTCGTCGCCGCCGGGGGCTGGTTCTCGCCGTTCGGCACAACCGCCGCCGCCGCGGGCGGCGCCACCACCCCATTGATTCTCCCCCCATTCGCAGCCGCCCGGACAGCCCTCGCCCTCCTCTCCATCTGAATCATAAACACGGCCAACGCAACAAGGTTGAGCGTAATGATGCGCGTGAGGGATGTGTTGTGGGAAAAGACGTAGACGAGGAAAGTGAGTTTGAAGAGGAGCCAGTAGGGATTTTGCGGGGCTTCGTTTTGGGGAAAGTCGCGGAATTCGGGGTCGATTGGGGCTAGGGCTGCTGCTGGGGGGGCGGGGGCGGGGGCGGGTGGGGGGACAACGGCGGGGGCGGGTGCTGCTGCTTCGGGTGGGGTTGCTGGTGGTGTTGCTGTTGATGGTGGCGCGACGGATAGCGGTGATGCGATGGTGGGAGTCGGCCCGTAGAGGTTGTTGTTTGGGTCGGGTAGGAGGTGGTGGGGTGGGAAGTGGTCCATGGGGGTATGCATGGCATAGGGGAGGCCACTAATCGATGAGAGAAAAAACAAGGAATTGTGAATCAGCATCCGAGATCAAATCCCATGCATCTGGAACTGAGTAAGAGTAACCAATGCAATGGCATCCGAACTTACTTAATCATGACGATTTGGAAAGGGGAAGCTCCGGGATACATGGGATATGCATGGTGGTTGGGGACATTGAAGGGTTGCCCCATAGGGCTCGTTGCCAAAGCTATTGGCGGCTGGTCTTCTGGTACAGGCACATTAGCCGCCTGCGTACTGCTGTCAACAGAAGTATCGAGATGCGCTGGGCGGCGGAGTCGCAGTCCTTCCGTCGGTGATGAGATATTCGTCGGTTGGGAAGATTGCAGCGGCGCCGTCTTGAGCACCAAGTGAACAATATGAGGCCCAGCCGCACCGGTATCAGCCTTCAACGCCATGCGCACCGACGACTCGTCCGCCAACAGCTTCCCCGCATGAATCAGCCTCATCTCTTCCACGGACGGACAGCCGGGAACGACGGCAACAAGGGCGTGTTTGAGCTGTGATATGGTGCTGTCCAGCGCCTCCTCCACTGTGAAGGACTCGTTCGGGTAGCTCGGGCAGCGGACGGATATGGTTGTTTTATCGGCCGCGGCGGTGGGCGTTGACGGTACGGTACCTACTGGGTTGTTGTTGTGTTCTAGGGGTAGCAGTTTCTCCATGATGGCACCGGTACGGACGGCGCCGCCGCCGCCGCCGCCGACAGGAACGGTCGGAGTTGGGTTGTGTTGTTGAGGATGGTTGTGGGCGGGACGATGGAGTGGGGGTTGGTCGTGCGGTTGAGGAGGACGGGAGGAGAAGTGGCGAGGAGGGGAAGGGGAGCGTCTGGCGAGCGGTTGAACAGGCGAGGCGGCGGGGTGTACGGAAGGGAAGTCTGCCATGTTTTTCTGGGAGAGTCTCTGTGTGCGTCTCTTTCTGTGTACGTGCGAGGGTGGCGAGGGTATGTGACTGTAGGTTATTCTAGTGTAGTGCCAGTGCAGCTGTGCCCGAGTGAGTGTAGAGTATTGTTGTGTAGCGAGCAGAGAGGGCCGTGGAATGCGGTGAGTGGAGGTGCGTATGTAGATGGGTGGGTGGGAGATGCAGAATGATGAGATACGTATGCGTGTCACCGTCCCACTATTTACTATCTATACTTACCTACTACGTAATATAGCAGGATTAAAGTGGAGATAACGGCGGCTGTAGCGGCGGGTGGATGAAGGCACGCGAAGAATCAATCGGTCACACATCTGGCCTGGCCTGGCCAGAGCTGCCGGCCTGAGAAGACCCATCGGCACAACGTCCGAATGCGACGCCTTAGAAACAAACCACCACTACACTACGATCGTTTACACCAATGCCCCGCGGAATAATGACATACACCCAGAAGACAGGCTTGCATTGAATGGAGCTTGGAACATCAACCCGTTTTCGCCTTTGGTTCCGGTGATTTCACACGTCGTAGCTGGCGGAAACCACATGGGGCCGTGCCAATCAAGAGCCTTGCCAGACAACTGGCCGTCGCTGCCGCAACTGTCTTCATCATGCCTGAAATGGGCGTGCGATCGAGAAGCAGATGAAGTGGAACCAATATTGTTTTCAAGGTGCCCAGAGTCCCGGTGAAAACTGGAGACTTTGGAATCAATTGAAGTTTCTGTTCAATTGAACAACACACGCCCGACGGAAATACCCGCTTGTGTCCTTCACATTCACAAGCAACTGCATTCCCTCCCCAAACTTCAACCAACGAGAAAACTCGCTCAAAATGGCTGGCGGTCACAAGTAAGCCTCCTCAACGGAGCTCATAGCAGTCTACTGGTCGGTTGCAATTGCGGTAGGGACTCACTTACTGATAAATCTGTGTCTCTTTCCACGGTCCTCGCTCGCCTTCGGTTGATTCCCCCTCTCGCTCGTCTTCGAACATACGATCACCTTCCGCCTTCTCCTTCTCTCGGTGCTAACACCTCACCAACAAAAGATGGTGGGGAAACCAATCGCTGCAAAGCGGATTCTACGAATATGGTTTGTCGCCATTTCAAACACAGACCATGAAGGGCTTCTTCAACCCCGGAGCCTTCAGGCTGTTCAAGCGCTTGGGACGACAGGCCTTGTTCATTGGTCCCCCAGCGCTGGCCTTCTTCTACGTTAAGGACTGGGCTGATGCCAAGGTGCGTTTGCTGGAGGACTTTGAGTTTTATATGGGAAAACCGTACTGACGGACGATTTTGACACAGTTCGAGCACTACAACCGGAAGGCATATCTCTTGAGCCCCGAGCACAAGCACGAGCACTAGATACGTCGTTAGAGGCAGAATCCGTCGAATTGTCATCATATACCGGACTTAGCCCAAAATACATCAAATATGAATCAGAGTTTCGTCGCGGAGCTGAGGAGTGGTTGAGATGCTAGGAATCGATGCGACGTGATTGCTGCTGCCGGGAATCACAGAATGCGGAAAGGACTGCATCAGATGATGCAGGACACCTTGAGAATCATTGCCACGGATGGTGACCGGTGCAGTGTTGATCCGGTACTCCTGGAAACCTATACTCCCAAGCTCCAGCCAACCATGATGACCGGCTACCATTTCGACAAACAAGACGACCTACCCGACGAACCTCCAAACAATGCTCAGTACCTCTTTACTTGAAAGATCCTTCGCACCGCAGCCAACACTCCCGCCGGGGAACGGTGGACGCATTATCGGTTGCACTTCCTCCACCACCCAACAACCCACTGACCACCTCGCAACCCCACCCATAACCTCCACCCCACCCACCGACACCTTCGACACCACAACAATCGCCGCAGCATCCACCACGCGGGACGCCACCCTCGCCGCGTACGCGGAACACGACCCTGCCAAGCGGGACGCCGAGAAGAATCAGGTCTTTACCCACTTGGAAGCGATAAAGCAGATTGATAGACATTCCAAGGTATCGAGCATTGCCCCTATCTTTTGGGAAGTAGAGTCGGGGCAAGGTAGCGCATGCGCAAATTCCCAGCTACCTTCTGATCCATATCGCAACGGCGGCAGTGTGCGCGCTGTTTTCGGAGTCTGTTCAGACGTTCAAAACCACACGAGTTAACAAACTCCGCGTGAGATAACAATAAACGGCGGGGAAAGACATATACAGTACATATAGAACAAAAAGGGGGTGACACTATCCTACAAACGGGTTGAATCTGTGACAAATCCGATCGCCGGCTGAGATCCCTGCGTCGGCGGAGGATTCTTTTCGTACTTCTTGAACCCAAACAGTTGGCGCAGCTCATCCAACCGCTTCTTCTGCAGGTCCTCTTTAGCCTGCTGATGATTCATCTTTGAAATGGCTCGTGACCGGGAACGAACGGTGACCGCGGCCTGGTCGTCGAGGTTCTCTTCACGGAAGGCGGTGGCGACCAGTTCGCGCTTCTTTGCCTTGATGTTCTCAATGACCTCCTCGACGGAGCCTTCGACCACGAAGCGGATGACGTCGACTGGCTGCGTTTGGCCCATTCTATGGACACGGTCCTGCGCTTGGTCCTCGACGGCTGGGTTCCAGTATGGTTCGAAGATGTAGACGCGTGAGGCCATTGTCAGATTCAGACCCACTCCGCCGGCTTTGAGGGAGACGAGGATGACGGTGACGGTAGGGTCAAACTTGAACTGCTCGAGTGCGACCGTTCGCGCAGCTCGCGACATTTTGCCGTCTAGACGACAGTACTTGAAATCCGCCTTCTCTAGTGCGGGTTCCATCAGGTCGAGCATCTGCGTCCATTGGGAAAAGACGACGGTCTTGACTGTGGGGGTGTTGTTCGCCATGTACAGGTTCCGTACGTGTACGAGATCGTTGATGAGAGTGCGAACTTTCGTGCTCCCGGTTTGCGACAAATCCTTTCTATGGTTCTTGGGTTCAACTGGTTCAGTTGTGGCTTCTTCGAGACTTTCGGCCTGTAAGGTGAAGAGTGCATTTAGACACGAGCTGCATCTGAAGGTTCAGTCTGACAGAGGCTTACCGCTTCTGTATCTTTGATCTCCCGAAGGCCACATTTCCGTAGCTCCGTTTGGCAGAGAGGACATATCACCGACTCATTCTCATTTTCGAGTACGCCGCGCACACACTCGTTGCAGAACCTACGAGAATCGCATAAATCAGACCCTAGACCATGATGCTGCAAAACCGCCTGTGGTACTCACATGTGACCACATTGAGACACAACGACCGTCTTCTCGCCAGTCCCTTCAACTTGGGAAGAGCATATGCTACACCCGTCATCTCCAGAGTCCTTCAACAGGCTAAGCAGATGCGCCGCTCTTTCCGCCGTCAAAGGTTGCTGATTGGCATTCTCTTGCACATAGTCATCAAGTTCATCTGCGAAGAGAGTTCAAGTATGAGTAGCAGCACTTACTGTTACAGAGTCATCGCCCCGATGAAGCGACTGTTGCACAACCACCGCCGGCGATGAATATCAAAACGGCGCAATTCATCACTTACCAAAGCGCTTCCAATCTCTCAGCAGCCCAACATGACAGACAACCTGCCGCATCCTCAACAACATCTCCAACAAAAACGCATAATGCCTGAAAACAGTGCCGGTTTTCATCATGCTTTGGAAAACGTTGCGACACTTGTCGAACACTTCATCGTAGACTTTCTGCTCCTCCGGATCCAATGAAAGGGTATATACATGTTGACGTTTCGGTGGCAATGTGAGGATCGGTTTCCCGTCGACCTTTTGCGTCTTGGTTCGCCGTAGGGTTATGAGTTTCATGACAGTTTGCAACCGCGATGCTGCGCGTGAGGCCTCCAGGTTACGCGACTTCAAAGGTTTCGAGAACACGGCCCCGAAACTCTTCCAGACGTTGAAGGGCTCCAGTCCGAGGAATCGGAACAGACTGAAGAGGTCCTCAACTTTGTTCTGGATGGGCGTCCCAGTTAAACACCATTTCCTTTGACCCCGGAGTGCAATCGCGGCCTTCGCTTGGTTCGTATTTCGTTCTTTAATAACATGTGCCTCGTCCAGAACGATGCGCAGCCAGTAGACACACTGTAACGCAGATCTCCCGGTGGTAAGATCTCCCTCTGCAAACGATTTGAAATCCCTTCCAAACTCCAGCCCAAGGACATTGTACGTGGTCAGAACCACGTCGTAATGCCGGAGAAACTCGGGATCCTGCCGTCTCTGCGGACCGTGGTACACATAGACGCTCAGAGAGTTTTCTTTCGCATGACTGGCAATCTGCTCCTCCCAATTTGAGACCGTGGAAAGAGGGCAAACGATCAACGTGGCACGCGATGGTTGTCGCAGACCGTCGTATTGATCGGGATCCGGCTCGGGCGGTGGTGCTGGTTTGCCAGGAAGGAACGGGTACGGATTACGAGCGACAGTTGTTGGGGCTCTTGGCGGTGGGGCGCAAACGTAATCATTTGCCTCATTCTTCAGTAGAAGCGAAATGACTTCGATCGTTTTGCCAAGTCCCATGTCGTCAGCCAGAATGCCACCTAAACATTGATTGGGCTCGTCCTGGACCAAGGTCTCCGTTATCACGTCCCGGTATCCGTCAGGAGTCTTTCTCCATATTGATCGCGTCGCATCGGCGGAATCAGAGAAGTTGACCGGTTGCTCGCGTTGCATCATGAAATGCAGCGCTTGTCGTTGATGTTTATACAACGGGGTCACAAGCCGGGAATCTAAGCGGGAGATGTTAGTAAGTAAGATCAATGTTCAAGGGATGCCACTCTCCGCAAATACCTGGCTCGGCTTCCTGCAGGTTCTCGGCTGATGTGATAGCATTGTAGAGGGCATCGATCTGGTCATTCACATCCTCAGTCTCCGAATTCGTCGTAGAGGTTATGCGGTTTGTCCCAGCCTTCATGACAGAATACGCCGACGTAAAGCCAGGGAGTGCTCCCGGGGCAGGTTGGATTGGCTGAGCCATCATCATGTTGTGAGGGTTGAACATCCTGTATGACGTGGATTTGTTAACGTCGTGCAAACGGATGTTGGCCTGCTTCAGCCGCGCCCCCAATAATCCGGCGAGGTAAATGGGGCCCGTAAGAATCAGTGTCATCGGCGCGGTGTATTTCTATGGCTGAGACATTAGCAACATCGAATGAAAACGAAAGGCAGGCACACCTGATGTTCTTACGTTGTATTGGCAGCGTGGTATATGCGCATCGATTGATAGGTGTCCAAATAGGGGCGCAATCGCAACGGCGATATCATCATTCAGCTTCCCAACGAACTGAAGGTCAAGAAATACTGCTTGTTAGCCAGTAGTTCTCTCACTATCCGGACATTCATGCAACTTACGTGGCGAGTTTTCTCCGTGATCAAACTGTACTTCGGTCCCTCGGGTGTGAGTATGACTTTCGTGTATTTTTCCGATCCACAGCTATTCTTGTACCCTTCGTAATGCAGCGGTGACACTATTGTGTTGATCAAGCCGAATGTGACCATCTCCTTGTTTGTCTCGTCTAGAGGCTCACGAGCTCCCATTTTCTTCTCCGCTACCCTCTTTAACCGCATCTCCTCTTTGGCGTTGATATCTGTCAGATCAACTACTTCGCGGGGTTGATATGCGTTCAGTTGTTCACAAAGCTGACCGGGAGCAGGCTTCTCGTCAACGAGGATGACATCAGAAGACTTGGAGGAAACCGAGCGGAGACTTAAAGGACTGCCGGAGACAGCTGGACCGTTCTGCATCGCGACGAAATGTAATGGGTGATTCGGCGGTAGCCCAAATTCTAAGGGGGTCGACGCAGGCACTGGAATGTCCTGGGACTGAGCATAACGTGGCCGGCGCGGAGAAGATGTCGGGGATGGGGTGGCATCTGATAGTGATGAAGCAGAGGCCGACCCGCTATGATAGTTCTCTGTCGCTCGTCGTTTCATGGAGTTTATGGAGCCCGGATAAAGGTGCCCATGTGATGCATCCGCTCGACGTTTACGAGGACTCGACGTTGCCTCTGAAAGAAAGCAGCGAGGATGAGCGGAAAGGTCCGGAACAGTCCTTCCATCGCGACACGACCTACCATCGCCGCTAGATGCGTTAGTCAAGTCGATAGTCTCCAATCGTTTCGAAAGCCGGTGAGGGACCGCATCTGACCGAAAAGCAGGATGCACGGATGCTACGCCGGTGGTCCCATCATCACTGCTATGATTTCGTGACATATCTGGAGTATCTGATAACGAAGAAGGAAAGCTCGCCGGCAACCTAGTAGACCAAGCCGACTGCTGTGCCAGATCTCTCGCCGCGCTGGAATCTTGGTGCCCAATTCTGAAGCCCGGTGGAATAGGACTCGGGGGATACGGTCTCAAGGCAGATTCAGGAAGCTCCTGGTTCGACGCAAATTGCCCCGGAGTGAGAGACGGCCACCCTTGCTGTATTCCTGGACACAGCAAGCTATTGGCAAAAGACTCGCTTTCCTGCGCGCCATTCCCTAGATGACCAAAGTTTGAAGGATATTCGGAGCTTTGCGCTGCTGGCCAGTTGCTATTGGGAGCCGCTTGAGAGCTGTTGTTGAGGTCTCGTGGATCAGGGCCGTCAAGGTTTTGCTTCACGGCTGTTGCAGAATTCGGGTCCGAAAAGTCGTAGGGTTCTTCCATTACAGAATTGAACTGGTCCTGCACAGGAACCAACGCGGAAAAGAGTAGTGCAGATATCAACGTATGGAAAAAGGCGCCCTGCAGATTCAGTCCGTGTGTTGAAGTGGCTGCCGTGAGGGTGGGGAAAAACCTGCACGCAATAGGGGGGAGAATTGAGGGGCAACGCGGACAGAGCGGGTCTTAGCCGACGGGAGAACATCGCCCTCGTGACGCAGCGCGTGGCTGTCCCTCTTCGATAACTTGGACATTTCGTATATATAATCCTGCGGTTTTCCTTAGCTTGGCGCCGGCTGACTAACCTTTGCTTCTATATAGTATGTATAATACGGTCTACTGCTCAGAACATGTACAGTACATGCAGTTCAGTGGGTCTCCCTCCTCATTTGCCTTCGGAAGGACGGCGTCGTAGGTCAAGCCAACCTTTGGCTTTGAAATCATACCTTCCTCGGAAAAATTCCACGTCTGTGGTAAGGATGAAGACCGACGCCTACGTAGCAACCATCCCTGAGGCAGGATTCCGGGGCGGTAGGGACACACATATGATGGCCAGCCCAGGCAGCCCCTGTTGAGTGCAGAGGGGGCGTTGAGTGCAACCTTTCACACGTCTCGACCAGGCCTGACATGACTCCCATGTCTCACATCGAGCGGAATGAGAGCAGGTTCGGATTTCTGCACTTTGGATGCATTCTCGGCGTACAGTATACTGTGAATCCGAAGTGCTTCACCGAAATTGGAGATGCCAAAAATGACGGCGAAAAAGGAACTGTCAAGTGCCGTCAAAAGGGTAATCGTTTCACATCCGATGAGGAAGTCTGTGCTTTTCTATTCTCTCCTACAAATGGGAAATGTCTTGTTCATACAAATTAGGTTATGAGTCTCTGCTACTACTGGGTCTCTCAGAGGCCTGGGTCAATCACACACCAGCCGCGAGCGGCGGCAAACGCTGGCACAATACCAATATCCGCGTCACCCTCACCTTTCAGACCTCTGTGATAATATCACTTTGCTACCTTGCATCTTTGCAAATCTGCGCATGCCCATCCAGCTGTAAACGCTTCGTTCGCTTCGTTGAAAAGTGCCGAGGCTCGGGAAGATTATGAGGTCATGTTGCCCGACATCCAGACCTGGCCGTCCTAGCAAATGATGCTTGCTTGTAGACCAGGTCTGCTTCGGCGACTTGAAGCTGATGGGGGAGTGAAGATGCCGGCTATTGGACGCCTCGCATAAAATAAAAGTAAGGAGAAAGCGCAAGGATGGGAGCAACGCTTCCAACGAAAGAAGGGCGTACTAATACACCTCCTCACGCAGATGCCACCAACATCTGGAAAGTCCTCGGGACCACCCTTCTACACCGACGCAGTCTCCGAAGCCGTCTTCCTCTACCTCCGAACCGGTGTCCTCCCAGCAACAGACCTCGACATCCCCATCCCAGGTCCAGACACCGGGCCAGGCCGCGGCATGACTGGCTGCATCACGTCCGCGCACATCAAGCAGTATGCGAAGGATTGGTATATCGGGATGGATGGCGAGCTGCATAAGAATGGGGAAGGGCCGGGACCGGTGCCATCGGGACGGGATGCGCCGCATGGGAGTGAGGTTCTGAATAAGGTGAAGAAGATGGTTGGGGTGCAGCCGAAGGAGAAGGAGGCTTTCTTTGATTGGAATGATTGAGCTGGGCGGAAGGATGAACAGCTTCGTTTGGCTCTCTGGGCCATGAGGACTGAATCCGCGAATGGGTGTTGATAGTACCCAGCAGTCATGGACCATGTGTCAGGGGCCTAGAGTAACCACTGCATATATCTCCAACATTTTTGGCAAGAATAAGCGAACTCTTTGCAGTCCGCGTGCTGGGACTGCTGGGGATGCACGCGAACCCATGTGGGCTTCCAACAGCTTACAATTCTGTAGATCTGCGTCACAATGGCCACCCTGGGTTGCCGACGGCGGATATGCGCCTTCCGGCGGGAATACTTACCACTCAGTAACCGCTCAGCGCTGCGACCATGCTCTCGGCCAGCTCTTCTTATACCGCCCGGGCTTTCACAGCCAAGACTTTCCAGTTCGCAAGGCCTGCAACGGCCACAGCACATCAGTACAGAAACACAACCAACAACAGGAAGACGGCCGGCACGGCGGAAAATAGCGTGGATTATAACGGCGGGCAGAGTTGGGAAGGATAAGCAAGCGGCCGCGTTGGCGGCGAGGATGGGTTGTGAGGTCGAGTGGAAGAATGTGATTCCAGCGCCAGGTGTGTAGATGACATTGCCGTCTTCATATCCCCGCTAAGCTCGTAAAGCTCTGTACTGAGTGCTATTGGCTTTCCACAGCGATAAAATGGCTCTTCCCCGCCTTCCAAAAGCGCCTCCTGGACTACCGTCAAGAAACCTACGGCCCGCACTCCGACCGCCGCGACCTCCCCTGGTTTCTGTTCTCCCCAACCCACCACACACTCGCCCCGCCCTACCCGTCCGTCGTCCTCTCCACCTGCGCCGAGACGACATTAGCAGCCCTGCACACCAAAGTCAGCAGCCTGGGCAGAACGCGGGCGGTATGCGTTGGCATGCCGTTTGTGTCGCTGGAGGAGTTTGATGCGGCCGTGGTGGCGAGGTGGGAGTGGCCGGCGTTGGCGTTACAGAAGGATGCGAAGGTCGGCGGGAGGGTGGTGCCGGTGGAGCTCTGTCTTAATAGTGTGGGAAAGGGTGTGCTCGGCGCTGGGTCGACGGCTGGGGAGGGAATACCGGAATGCTTTAGGGCGCAGGATGGGATGGTGCTTGCGGTGCTGATAGGGGGAGGGCAGGAGCGAGACTTTGGGTGGCATAATGATGATGTGACGAAACTCATCAAGATGCTTCAGGTAAGACCGTGCACGTGGGGATGTGTCCTTCCGTGCAACGTCCCTAACGTTGCGATCTTTTCAAATAGCGAGTGCTGGATGTCCACCAAGCCAAAGTCTTGTTGACCTTCTCACAACGCACAACGCCCTTTGTAAGTGATAGCATCGCTTTCCCCCACGCTGGGTATGTTTGTTCCTGAGTATCAATCCCATTGACTTTCCACACTAGACCCGCGAAATGATAACAGCATGGCACGACCGCCAGCCCGACGCCACAAAATCACGTATACATATCTATAAGGAGGAGCCTAGAGGAGCCTCAACACATAACATCGAGCCCTTAAATCCGTATGAAGCATTCCTCGACCTCGCAACACATATAGCAGTAACGGCGGACTCCCTCACCATGGTGTCAGAGGCTTTGTCTGTCCGGTATGTTGTCAATACCCAGAAAATGGAGCGGGGACGTTTCACGCTCACATGCATATTGTCACTCCGCGTACCTCCAGCAAACCAACATACATAATATCCCTCGCCACCCTGACATCCCGCCCCAAACAAGCCGTATACGCCAAACTACTCGAACAGCGGCGGATCCGGCGTTTCGTCCCTTCACGATACCCAGCCATCGACGTGCATGACCGGAAATTCGACATATTAAGTGATGTCGGCGAACACCCACCTTGGTCTTTGGAGGAGACTGCGGATGAGACGGACGCTGTTGCGGAGAAGGTCTCTGAGCTGATATGGGGCGCAGAGAAGGTGGCGGAAGAGAGCAAGGAGGATTCTCTTAGAGTAGATAGGGAATTGGCGTAAATTAGAATGACAGTACAGCGTGGACTACGTAGATTCCACAACCATATTGATGCTACGGCAAGCGGTTGACATGAAAAGATTATTGAAGATACTATCTGTTACAAATACAGGTAATAGCAATGGGGGGAAGGTATGGTGATAACGACTAATATGAGGTGTGTCCATTATCTACATGTGCACTGACGAACGAAATTCTATGTACTGGAAGGGACCACGAAGATGTCTGTAAACTAAGCGAGGATTGTGTCATTCGAGCTGGGAAACCGAAAATGGGCTATGAGGAGTATACGCCGTGAAGAGATTCACAGAGTCGTTTTTTCGAGCATCGGATTCACAGATTAGGTGCGTGAATCTCTTCAGCCGGTGGGACATCGGAGTGACGGGAAATTTCCGACGTGCGTGGCGAGCGGACCGACGGAGATCGGGTAGAGTACGAATCCCTCCCTTCCGACGCAATGCTCGGATCCGACCCCAACGTATACTTCCTCGAAGTTGCCTGAGGAGCAATGTAGTCCGGTAACACCGCCATCTTCCCGGTAGCCTTCCTGGAGATGGTCTGCAGAGGCGACTCGGCTGGGGAGATGGTGGTCGGCGTGTTCCACCCATCCTGCGATCCAGAGAATCGGAACTCGTTCGACGGGACAGGGCTGGTGGCGAAACCTGTCTGCTCCTCCCCAGCGGATATGCGAGTCTTTTCGTATATGTTTCCACGGAAAGGTGACTCGTCCTCGGCGTCCGCTACGGCCCCTCCCATCGTCCGCTCGGTGAGGATCTGCATAGCGTTGCTGATGGCCACGTTCCATTCCTGGTAGTCGGTGCTGGAGGAAGCACCAAACCTGTATTCCGAGGGCTTGCCGTCTACGTGCAGGGTAAAGTTGCACGCGGACCGAAGCTGGCTTTCATCGGATATGGCGTGGATGTTCGCAAAGTGAATGAAGGTGGGGTTGTTGGTGGACGTTTCGGACGAAAGGATAATAAGGAGTGGTGTTCCTTACGACAACAGGATTTCAAGGATTAGCACACAAAGATTTTCCCTAAACGGACACGACCTTCCGTTGCCTTACCCTTCACCGCGGCACTAGCCATATTCCCGAGCCATTGAATCGACTTCGGTTCCAAACCCTTCTGGGGGTTCTGCTTAAAGACCAAGGTGAACACAAGTTGCAGATCCTCAACGGTGGACGGGGCGCACAGAACGACAAACTTCTTCGCTGGAGCGAGGGGCGAGCGCTTGAGGGCGAGAGGTCCCGCTTTAAGGATGCAGGCGAGCTGGGTGTCGGACATTGCTGTTGAGTTGGGTGAGAGGTTGGTGTGATTCTGGCGAATGACGGAAGAGCCAAGGAAGGAAGTGTCGTGCGCCGTTTCCGCTCTCGTCTAATTACGTAGGCGCGAAAGGTTTCGTGTGGGAAGCGCAATTTTTGCCACACTTTCGAATTGGTCCAGAAAATCCAGCCGGGGACAACCTGACATTTATTTGGCCAAAATTTCGTACGCCGTTCTTCTACCTACGTACTCGCTTAAAGCGGTTTGATTGCCCTCAAGTGTAGCATGCTGCACGATGCGATAACGTTGAAAAAATGCACCACCTCCTCCGCATCCATAACCCCGACTTGGGTTGTACACGTATCACACCTCACGGGCCAAAATACTGCATCATCGTCTTCCCCATCCTGATCCTGTTCGGCCTCCGTCAACGCTTTACGCTTCTTCCTATTCGGCGGCTTTTGCACGGGGTATTTGAGTTGCACTGCCGTATCCACAGTGCAGTTCTCAAAGAACATCGCTCGGAACTGTGTTTCATAGAGTTCATGCTGTTGGCAATCGTGACAGACGGGCGTCATGCAAAGAGGACATGCTAATGTTGTTGAATCTATGATATCCTCCGATGTGTCATTGGCGCCACGTTCTTCTGCAAATGGCCATCAAGGATTAGTGAATGGGGATCTTATAGATGAAGTACCTTCGGAACTTACGTGCTATCCGCTGGCGCATCCATTTCTCGTCGTCCGAGTCCGCATTGGGATCGAATAAGAGATCTTCGTCCGTCATCATTTTCACCTTTCTTGTCTGATGTCCTTCAAATCAGCCCGGTGTGGAGCAAGACAAAGTAAGGGCAGCTTTGAGAAGGTGAGTCGACACAAGACGCAGACACCTAGGACACGGATGCTTGAACTCCACCTACCTTCTCCAGTGGCCTTTGTTCGATCTCCTCCGGCAACTTCTCGTCCGTCCTCCGAATCGCTGTCAAAATACGCCTCATCATAATATTCGGGCTGCGGTTTTGCGTTATGATCAGGAGCTTTGCTGGTATTTGCAGACTCCTCGCAAGTACTGCTTCCTTTGAGACTGCCTTTCTCGTTCGCTGGCTTGAAGCCTGCCGCTCTGAATATTTCACTAGCCTCCATAGCTTGCAGTCCGTTTCACATGCTACGTATGGATTGTGTTGAGTATACTGAGCGGAGCAAGCACGGGGAACACGGGGAAGATCATTCAGACGGTTGTGGCTTGCCGGCAGCCGCGCCACCTTAGCGCCACATTGCGGTGATGACCATTGATGACCATTGCGGGACGCGCTCAGGTCCACCCTGGCTAAGCCACTGACAGTTTTTTGACGACTTTTGGACTTAACGAGGTTTTCGCAGACCCAAAGTTGCTGCACATGTTGAGCAGTATCTTGACAGCCAGACATGCTAGCAGAAAGATTGATTAGGCAGTTTGGTGAAGAAGGCACTGGTTCAGGGTTTGACACCTCTAACTGGCAAGTTTTACCCAAAAACGGCGAAGGAAAGACAGTTTTACTACTCAGACTTTTGGGCCTCTGTGTTAAGTTTGTTGCAACAGCTACCCCCACAGACACTTAGAGGGGATTGGCCAAAGTAGGCAACTGGAGCCGTATGCAAAGGGAATAGGTCGTCCTGCATGTCTGTGGGATGGTATGGCTGCTCAAAAAAGAGGGTTTTGTGAGGAAACTGCTTTAATTTCCCTAATTGTGCCTTAAGGTAACGCGTAGAGCGTTTGGGTGGCGCAGCCAGGGTGGACCTGAGGGGACGCGTGATGCGGCGACAGAATCCGATAAGGTGCGGCTCTTCTCTTTCCCCTTCTTTCTTGGCTTCCCTTTCCCACGCGATTCGCAAGCAATCTCTCGCTCACTTCCTGCATCTCTAATACCTAGACCTACATATATAGAACCGCCAGTCGGCCTACGCAACGTCTCTTGATTCGAACCTTTCACCTTTCAAGCTCCTAAGCTTCCATCAATATGTACTCCACCACCTTTTTCGCCTTCCTCGCGACATCGCTCGGCCTCGTTGGTGCCGCATCTGCTCAGATCGTCCCAAGTTGCGGAACGACCGGCGACCCAACTTGTCTGATTACTACCGCCCAATACACCGTCCTTGGAACAGTCATCAGCAACAACGCCAACACGACCGGCAGCCCGACCAACTACAACGCCACCATCGACGTTTCCTGCGTATACGCTTCTTTTGGAGTATCTCAAGGTAATAATAACTTTATTAAAGTGGTTCGATCCGATTTATCGTAGTATCTGCCGTTCAAATAAAAATCACTCTACAGGTGTCGGAGCGGGCTTGGCGGACGCAAAAGTTCTCGTTAGCGGCTTCGGCGACCCATACCCTGGCTGCCCCAACAACCTCGGTGCGAGTGCTCCCGTGAACCAGACGGAGATCTTCTTCATCTACGTTGCAAACAGGGTCGGACAGAATGCGACACCTTTCTACACCATCTTCAACCCATGCGGGGGTGGTTTGAGCAACAGCACCGGCAACCTGGAAGCCATCCGATCGACGCTGGAGAAGAACCCCAAGAACTCTGTTTTGAAAGGATCCCAATGCGCGCTTCCGGCCCCACTGGTCACGTCTACTTCTTCAACCCTTACCGCGACAGCCTCCGGATCCACGCCCACACTCTCCTCAAGCCCAAGTCCTAACGCCCTCACTGGATCGGGATCCGGCGCATCGCACGCGTGGTCCTCAGTTGCGGCTCTGACGATGCTGGTTGCAGTTGCAGGACTTTCCTCTGTTTTCGTTGCGTAAGAGTGTGATATCCCATTCCTATTGCCTGGACATTGTAGATAGGAGGATGTCCGTTTTTGCCCTTCCCTCGTCCCCTTGTACCCTACAGAATGTGCTTTTCATATGCAGTTCCTTGTACTCTATTGTCTCTAATGTGTGTGAATGTACGTAATGTGAATAGTACATAATGTGGATCATTAAAGCAATTTGGTCATCATACGGCAAACTACCAATTTCCTCGGGAAGGTTGACACGGCTGCAGGGATACGAGTTCATCTTGAGATTCGAGTGATCACCCTCCACCCAGACGAGTAATCACCGTAACGTCCCAGGCAGATGGGTTGGTCAGAGCTATCGAATCGCGACGCCCATCTCGAACTCGGCGTTGAACTCGCGGCTTGACGAAGGCGTCCATGGGGACTCAGCTTTATGTTTGTGCAATCTGCGGGATTGAGGCAAAACGTCGGAACTCTCGTAAAACATATCCATCTTCAGACTCCTTTGATTTCCTCGGCGTTTCTTGCCCTCGCCCTTAGGGAAGTGCCGAGGCCACCCAGACGTCCCGGAGTTCCTGAGATATGAGACGCAATGGGTTCGTTCCTCGACTGAATCCAGAAAAGAATTCTCAATTTGTCAATCCTTCTCCCTGTCTGGACCGGGGCGAGTTGTCCCGTGTTGACTCGTGGGCATTCCAACTTTTCCCGGAATTTGCTGTATCCCCGCACATCTCGTCTCGACCATTTGCACTGTTCCCACGCGACCCAATGGAGCAGTCGTGCGTCATTTACGAACATGTCCAGGTGGATGTTGCGGATCCAGCGTTGCATTGATGGCATTTCGAATCATGGGTGAACGTTCCTTGGGCGAAGCTGCTCGCCCATACAATCTTCTCGTTCCGGATGCCGTGGATGTGCTTACTCCATGCTACATCCCCACGTGCAGATGCGTTTGACCTCCGACAGCGCCTCAGACATCATCGCGGGAGGACCGTATTGAAGGGAAGGTCCCCTGCATTCGCACTACATATCGCATTTCGCTATTGGTGGATGATTCACTGAATTCTCAGAACGCTGAACGTCCCTATGGAGACTAGAGCAGATGATAGAGCTCGTTCCGCAATTGTTATCGTGTTGGAAACGATATTCCACATGGACCCAAGTCGTCCAGCGCACATCTCCACCGGGCAGGCTGGCGTTGTGCAGTATGTGTAAGGCCGGGTGCGGTTTCCTCGCTTTCTCACCGACGATTCTGACCTCTGGCTGGACGGATGTCTCCAACAGGTTTTTCTCACGTATGCACAGCGACGACTTGTGCCATGAGGCGATACTGAACGACGAGATGAGCATGGTACGAGTCTGCGAAATGAATCCCCACCGGGTTCTTGCCGCTTGTTGGTAGCGATCGCACTGAAGTTACCCTTTCCCGACGATTGTTTCATCGAACGTACCCTCGTTGCATCTCGCATCTTCCGGGGAGGCTTTTGAAGGTCAGTCCAATGTTCCTGATCTACGATTCCCATCTGTCCCCACGGTGTCCCTTCTTGGCTTCCGCCGAGTGAGAGATAGGTTTCCAACCTGGTTTCAACGCAAGCGGTGGATTTGGAGACTCGGAGCTGACCTCACTGAACGACATCTCCCATCCTCCCACATCTGCACACCGCTCTCAAACTTCCCCCTCTCATACGCAAAAGATTCATAAGAGTTTCCGCCTTTTTTTGATAGTTTTTTTCTCAAAGTTTGAGAAAAGAAGGGTTCCAAAAATTCCGATCCGCCCAGAGGACGTATCGGGGTTCGGATGTAGTTTTCAACTAGCGAACGATCTGAGCTCAGTCGAGACTTCACAGCTGCAAATTTGCTCCCGCGCAAGGATAAAGAGAAAGTGAAGGTTGCCGAGGGGGGCTTCCTTTTATAGGCGCCAGCGCGCGAGTGAACGGACTGTGCCACCCGCAATCAGTCACGTGACCGCAAAACGAAGGTCACGGAAGATTTAGAAGCTTCCCCTCCCGCTTCCCCGCACCAATTTCTGGGTGGCGCAGCCCGACAGCTTTGGATACCAACGCGTTCCCTTACGGAATGCTTATCGCAGCCGGCTGAAACTCCCACGTCACCTGGAGGGGAAAGTGGGACGGAATAACCTGCGCTAATCAAATCAAATAAGGAAGTCATCCGGACGTAACCAGCCGCTAATCCAGCGCACAGTTTGAAATAGGAGATTGATTGCAACCACTCGCGCAATGAATAACGCGATCAGCCCCCTCCTGCTGCTGCTGACATACCCGCATTTGGGAGTGTGTCACAGCGCCCAGCCCAGCCTGCTCCTCCACACTCCCCGTTTCCCACGCCAATATAAAACCCCTTCCGCTTCCTGAGACTTCGCTCATACTCTATACTTGCCCAGAACCGTACCTACCCAGTATTGAAAGAAATCGCTTGAACACTCTACTCAAAACTTCATCTCCATCTCATCGTCACCCGTCAACATGCAAATCTTCGTGAAAACTTTGACCGGAAAGACCATTACGCTCGAAGTCGAGTCCTCGGACACGATCGAGAATGTGAAGTCCAAGATTCAGGATAAGGAGGGAATCCCCCCAGACCAACAACGTCTCATTTTCGCTGGAAAGCAGCTTGAGGATGGACGTACTCTTTCTGGTTAGTTTCTCGCAGGCCTGTCATCGCGTTCTGCAATCCTTGGCATTCCTCCTCATCGCGTGCTGACTGGGACTTTCCCTCCTCTCTTCCTCACTTGCAGACTACAACATTCAGAAAGAGTCTACTCTCCACCTCGTGCTTCGTCTCCGTGGTGGTATGCAGATTTTCGTCAAGACGTTGACCGGCAAGACAATCACGCTCGAGGTCGAGTCTTCGGACACCATTGAGAACGTGAAGTCCAAGATTCAGGACAAGGAGGGTATTCCCCCAGACCAGCAGCGTCTTATCTTTGCCGGAAAGCAGCTTGAGGACGGTCGCACTTTGTCAGGTATGTCTCCTTTATCTTTTTTCCAGGCATTGGTGGTGTTCATTAGCGAGTTACTGATTTTCCGTTTCCCATTCTTTCGCGGTCCAGACTACAACATCCAAAAGGAATCCACACTCCACCTTGTGCTCCGTCTCCGTGGTGGTATGCAGATCTTCGTCAAGACCCTCACGGGGAAGACGATCACTTTGGAGGTCGAATCGTCGGACACTATCGAAAACGTGAAATCCAAGATTCAAGACAAGGAAGGCATTCCGCCAGACCAGCAGCGTCTCATCTTCGCTGGCAAGCAGCTTGAAGACGGCCGGACGTTGTCGGACTACAACATCCAGAAGGAATCCACTCTTCACCTCGTTTTGCGGTTGCGAGGAGGAATGCAAATCTTCGTGAAGACGCTTACCGGAAAGACGATCACCCTGGAGGTGGAATCGTCCGACACCATCGAGAATGTCAAGTCGAAGATCCAAGATAAGGAAGGAATCCCACCAGACCAGCAGCGCCTCATCTTCGCCGGTAAACAGCTGGAGGATGGTCGTACCCTCTCCGATTACAACATCCAGAAAGAGTCGACGCTTCATCTCGTCTTGCGGTTGCGCGGTGGAATGCAAATCTTCGTAAAGACTCTGACGGGCAAGACCATTACTCTGGAAGTAGAGTCCTCCGACACGATCGAGAACGTCAAGTCGAAAATCCAAGACAAAGAGGGCATCCCGCCAGACCAGCAAAGGTTGATTTTCGCTGGCAAACAACTCGAGGATGGGCGCACTCTGTCTGACTACAACATCCAGAAAGAGTCTACGCTCCACCTTGTGCTCCGTCTTCGTGGCGGAAACTAGTGCCCTTGTAGTTCGTCCCCACATTGTACCCCTTTCTGTCCTGTGTATGTTCACGTCTTGCAGCTTGTGGGTCGTTTTTGATTGAGTGGGGCGGGTAAATCGAAGGCGCTTCAAATATATCGAATTTTCTCTGGCAAACATGCGTTCGTTGAAATCAATGGCTCCGGCGAACATCCGAGTCAAAGCCGTTCAATTGTTCCTGGTTTTTTATTGGATCGCATCTCATGAATGTTGACTTCTGGCATCTCATAACTGGAAACTTCTGGCAAATTTACTATTTTGTAGTTCGCGCATATTGGCCTGCCCGCGCGCCTCTGCACGGAGATGAAGCGAGGTCATATCCCCTCCATATGTGCGACTCCGTAATTCACACCTTTCGTTGTTCAGAAGCGAAGACAGAATCTGTAAGATTTCCGCAAACTACATCTGGTTTCGGTAGAGCCGTGCTCATACAACGTTCCTAACTACACGCCTACGCTATATGTGTACCATCCGCCCTTATATGCCCCACATCCAACGCTATCAACGAAAAGATGGCTCCAAAACGGGGTGGTCCAACTTTTACTCGTTGGATGAGCTCGCAAGTTGATGTCACGTGCCAATTGAATGTGGGGCACTTCTGCTCGTTTTTGTGTAAAGATCGGCGTGATCGTTACCCACGAGTCACGGGGATTTGCGCCGACCCAGCGGTATAAGCGAGTCTCCATTGTGCTTGCAAGAAAGCCATGCATGAGTCGTGCGCCAAGATCGACAAGGGGCTAAAGAGAATCATCAATCATTCAAGCAAAGCCATCTCCAAGCCCGCCGCCGCCCCATGTCCCGTCTCCCACAGCAACTTCCTTTCTCCGACAGTGGGATACTTTTTCGCCAAATAAGAGGACAGACACCTTACTGCGGGCTTAGACGCCGACGTTCTAGACTCCGTCAGAAAACGATATTCTCGCTAACCGGCATAAGCGTCATACGTAGGAGTGCCAAGAAATACAATACGTGCGTGGGTTGCCCGCCGCAATGGCGGACTACAAATAGGTCGGGCTGGGAGTTCGTGACCCTATATGAGGTTGAGAGTGAGACGTAAGGCTCGTTGGGGCATTCGGCTGACGAGAGGACAGGACAGGAAGGACTACACGGCATCGCGTAAGCGCCGGCGCGCGTAAGTGTTCGCCACTGCTGAGCATTGCCAAACCAACTACGGCCGCCACTCATTTTGAGCTTTGGCGTCCTTGACGTTCAAACCTCACTCGCCACGATATCCGCGTATCACCCCGATAGGCCAAAGAGGAACAACACGTACAAACGGTTCTTGCGATACTTCCAAAACCTCGATTTTCATTTACATTATGGTTTTCCGCTTCATCCTTGCCCAGGAGCTTGAGAACAAGACAATTCAAAGGGGGAGAAACTATATAATCCGCGGCTAGATCGGCCTTCCTATTTCGCGAATCTCATTCAACTGAGCCCATGCGGCGGCGCTTCACAGGGATACCCGCCTCCCGGTGGATATCGGCCTGCTTCTCAACGATCTCATTCACGTGCGGTGCGACTCGCTTGTGGCCTTGAGAGAATACGGGCATCCCATCACCTTCAGCAGCCGGCGACACCGATGTGGTCCGCTCCGGCACTTTGCTGAGGATATGCGCGGCATGCTGTTGAGCGGATGCAGCAGGCCTCAATATGCCGATGCGACCAGCTTCGCCACGACCGTGCTGGAGCTCCATAGCGTCGCAGCGGCTTTGAAGAGCGACGCACTGCTGTTGTAAAGCGCTCTCGCGAGCGTGCCAGGCTCGTCGCTCGTTCTCGAGCATCGCCATGCGGAGGACGAGCTCGCCATTGGATTGTTCGAGCTTGCGAACTTGGCCCTCGAGATGTTGGATGCGTTGAGCTTTGCGTTCTCGGCAGCGACGTGCGGCCTCTGTTTGCAGAAGGAAGGAAGAAGAAGCATAGAGTTAGCGTGTGAAGGGAACAACAACGACATCAACACAACACACTCCCTCCGTACAACGTACCAGCATTCATCCTCCGCTTATGCGCCAGCTTCTCCTGCTTCGTCCCCGGCTCAGCGTCATTCATAGGCGTAGGTGACGCTGATCGCTTCGCCTCACCTGTCGACGAGTTCAGTATCATGCCAGACAGCCGAGGCGACGTCCTCGAGTCGCTCGGCTCATCGGTCACATCAGAGTCATCGTCATACGTGAAATGACTGCTCAGGCTTCGCCGACGGTTCGAGTCGACCGACTGCCGCCTGTCGTATATGTCGGATGGCCGAAGTTGCTGGTGGTCGTCTTCGCTGGTGGTGATGTGTCCTATGGGCGACTTTCCGGATGGGGCGCCGGGCGTTGCGGTCAAGGCAATCTCTGGTGGGCCAAGCATCCGCTGCTGGTGACTGTTATCATGACCGTCTCCTGGAATCTTCATCGACTCTACCACATGTTGACGTGCTTGGGACGACGACGACGACGACGATAAGTGCGAGTGCGATGCCGGAAAGTACGATTCAGTAGCGTTGACGAGGGATGGAAGAGGCGAATGCGCGCCGACCGTTGGCCGAATCTCCGGCAGCCGGACTCGATCCCATGTCATCGGCAACGGCTCCGGGCCGTATCGCAGCTCAGACAGTCCCGGCAATGGTTGCGTCGCCGTAGAAGGCAACGGATCGATCGCATGGAGCGATGCTTGGGTCTGCAGGTGTGCGGGGGATATGGGCTGCGGTTCCTCTGGCCTTGGTACTGGCGATCTGGTGGAGAGCGATGGTGGGTATGGTGATGATTGATGCAGATGTGATTGATGGTATTGCTGTTGACTATGGTGTGGAGGATGCGTTTCGATCTGAGGAAGACGCTCCGGCTGGTCTGATCCGCTGTTGCGATTCGGCGGAGCGGGGACGGGTGGCGATGGGGTCCTGACGATGTAGGGGAAGGACCCGCCGGATGCCCGTGACGAGTAGGATGACCGAGTCGACGCAGACTGGGGCTCGTCTGCTGCCGGAGGTACCGATGCTCCGAGCTTGGCTGTTCTGATGGGGTTGATGGCTGGCGTCGCAAATTGTCTGCCGGGACTTGTGCCGCGTATCTTTGCTGATGAGCCCGATGCAGCGTGAGTCGACATGTCACCCTCTTTTGCGACGTTGAGCTTGGCGAACTCTGTCGGTATTGGATACGGCAAGTATGGCGGCGCGCCCGGCTCTGGAGATATCAAGGCAGCCATGGCGGTGGAATCCTTTCGATCGGTCATACGGAACGATGTAGGAGCGGTTACATGCATGCTTTGGGAAGGGTCTTGCCGACGACCCTTATGTGGGGCGTTGATTGGAAGCGGGCTGCGACGATACGCAGGCAGGCGACGGCGAGCGATTTTCTGACAAATGTGGCCGTGTGTATGGGATACCTGCACAGGGGTGTCCGCTCACAGAAAGTAAAGATGGTGCCGTAGACGTAGGCAGTCGAGAAGGACGGATCCAGAAAAGTCTAAAACGATGGAGACGAGGTCAGGGCAATCAGGTATATAAGGCATGTGTGCTTTTTCTACCCCTTCTGCACAGCGCTTGAGGCCAGCGAGCGACAAAGAGGGGGACAGAACCGACGCGTTGGCTTGGGAAACCCCTGGTGACGTACCAAGTCCGCCCGAACGATGACGTGGCGTGGGGGTGTGCAGGCTTGCGGCGAGGAGGCGGAAGCTTCCAATTCTTTGATCACTGGATCACGGTTACTGCTGGAATTGCGAAATAAAGACAAGGTGAAAAGGTCACTACCACCCATGCATGCGCAGGGTATCCGTCGGCGAGAGCTGAAGACCTTGCTTACCTTTGCGACGAGGTATTGCAAACGAAAGTAGGCCTGACTCTGACGTGGAAGTGATGATATGCGCGATATCCTTTTTCGACCAGTTGAGATATCTGCGTTGAGCGACGTTGGAGGAACGGGAGAAATCCATGCTGATTAACCAATACCCGAGGACTTGGACGTACGTACGGGTGTGATCAATAGTAATGCATGCCTTGGGTTTTGCTTAGTATTTGATGTGATGAAAGCGGGGGCGGGAAATGAAAGGGCATTCACGTCGCGACTGCTGGGCAGCGCCGTCGTCATCATGTGCATCTATATTCAAAAACGCTAAAAATGATTCGTTCCTTGAGCCTTCTTCCCTCCTCGAACGGAGCCTTCCTTTCCTGCGCCCCGTTTCACGCGGGGCAGTCCGCCTGGCTCATTTGGTCATCACACTCACAAAAACCCACGAGCTAAAAGCCAAAACATGGAAATAGGAGATATCTTGGCTCTTTTTCTTCTTCCATTGGCGATGCCCTTTCGATATGGCATATCTTCGCGAGCGAAATGAGAGACGGGAAGAACTTGGCGTCGGATTCTTGCATGTCTGGCGTGTTCGGATTGTGATGGCATGAGTTTTGTATGAGTTGGGAGGCATGACGTTTTCCCCATCCCCTTACATGTAATGACATCATGCTGCAGGGAGTCGAAGCTTCAGGGAAGCACTCTCAAGTTCAGCACTCAGTCGAGTTTAGAAAGCCAAAACCCGCCTGCAGAGTCACATGGGATGGGGAATGTGCATCCATGTCCGCAAAGCCTCAGACGGTCGATGATTCAGGCGGAGTTGATATGCGAGCGTGCGACTCAAATTGTTGGATATGAAGTAGCAGAAAACGACCATGGCAACCATTGTGCATCCTCACCACACCTGCCACTCCATCTACCCTCTGCATCTGGCCAAATCATCAGTCTTCGCTGACATTCGTCGTGAGTGGTATAGTAAAGTCTTTCCTGAACAGAGGACGCCCTGACGCGAGAGAGGTACCGCCCGATTTCGAGTGTGAAAAGGCTTGGCTAAGCACAATTTCGCGTGGGAGACAGCATGATGACGCATTGACGTCAGACCTTACGTCAATTGTCACGTGCCCGCGCGAGCTCCGATGGGTTTCGACAGCGCGTTCCCCGCGATTATAACGTTGCGGTCGAATTGGTCCAGAAAATCCAGCCGGGGACAACCTGACATTTATTTGGCCAAAATTTCGTACGCCGTTCTTCTACCTACTGTACGTACGGATAAAGCGAAGACGTTACAAGATGAGTAACCGCCGCCCTAACTCCAACCAGGATGGGGACCGCCCACAAGGCCCTAGTCCGAAAAAGCAACGATCCATTGGATCTGGAGGCCCTGTGACATCCGGGCCTCCTCAAACTGTCTTTGGGCAATCCGCCCCCACAACCGACGCAAACGCAAACATTCTCGCCTTGCTACACGGCTTGGATCCGAATGCACGAGAAGCCGTACAAAGGGTGCTGGCATTGCCTGAAACACAACTCAACGCATTAAGGTCGCATTTTGGAACACGCGGTGAGACTGGGATAAACGATGGTGGTCCAGCGCACGGCGATAGGGAAATACCCGATCGCCTGGATGTGCCAGCACCTCCCATAGAGGTGTTCTCACAGGATGCGCCACTCAGAAGCAGCTTCGAAGATTCTATCGCTCAGAGCGCACTAAATGCCCTTCCTATCGTTTCCAACCTCCCGCCGCAAGCTGCTGAATCCCGTCGCTCCATTCTTCACGCTCTGTGGAACTACTTGGAACATCTGCACAACAATCCGACCGAGACGAGATCTTTTGACGTACCCGATCGCCTCAACAGCGACCCTTTTTCTGTGCATAGAAGCATCGTTTTTCACACGAGACGGAACTTTGGCCATGCTGAAGCGCGACGGATGATCGCAGATACCCAAGGGGCGATGCGAAGGCACAACCCGAGCTGCGAAATGTGCCAGCATAGCGCGGCGGCTTGCATCTATTTCACTCTGCTGGATTGTCACCCACAACTACAGCTATACAACGCCAGCGTCTTCCAGCAGGCCCTGGCAGATCTCCCATACGATGTGCATCAGGAAGAGGCGGTCACTGCGGATCCGGACAGCCCCTTGCTGATCAACGCAGGGTATGTGTAATCTTCATTTCGGATTAAACCTCTGGCATGCTCATTCAAGCCCGCTAAGGTAGACCTGGTACGGGAAAGACAGCTACTCTTGTTGGGCGGGTCCGTTATCTCTTGGGACACGGTACCCCGGCGCACAAGCTGATCATCATCACATTCACAAGAAACGCCGCGGAAACGCTGGTCGAGCGATGCAACACCTTGAATGATGGGGTCGTGAAGTGTTCTTTTCCTTTTGCTCGCACGATCGACTCCTTGGCACGTCTGTTCTGCGAGCTCTTTGTGCGAAGCGGGTCCCCACAATTGCTCTCCGACACCGAATATGCGGACTTGGTTGCTTCCAAAATGTTGGGCGACGATGCTCATGAGCAGGAAAGTAAAAGATTCCTTTCGGCATTACAGACCTATTATCGCACGACCTATTGCGACCCGGAGCTGCAACCGAGACTAGCGGAGTTAAGTCAGATTCACCACACTCTGTGGGAAGAAGGGTATTGCAGCCACAGAGTTCGGCTGATATCGGCCGTCAAGAAATTGGAAAGCTCTCCAATTCTTGCCGAACACTTCAGACTTCGATACTACTTCCTGGTCGATGAGTACCAAGACGTCGATCTATGGCAAGAAGCGTTTATTATACGATTAGCGCTCGGTCAATACGCTTTCCAAGCCCCGGCGGACGTTCCAGAGCCTTGGCGAAGAATCACCGTAGTCGGAGATGACGATCAAAGCATCTATCTCTTCAGGGGCGCTGAACCTGAGATTCTTCATCGATTCCGGAGCCATTTTCCGCAGGGGAGGCGGGAGGTGACGTTGACGTCCAATTATCGGACGCTGCAGCGTATCATTGATTTCAATGCAGGTGTGGCGGGACTTTTGAGTGCAAGGCTGAAACCACCGGACACACGGTTTATATCGCAAGTGCCGAGTGGTGTGAGGAGATTCTCTTGCGACGTCATTGGGATGTGTATGGAGACTACGGTAAGGCAGGAACTGTCATTGAACACACGCAGGATGAAAACACTGATCCATACTCGATTTAACAGCTTGATGAGGCTGTGAATCATACGGCGCTGACCATCTCGAGGCTCGTAGTCGGCGAAGCAGTCGATCCCTCAACCATTGGCATTTTCGCCTACCGGAATGATGAAACTGCCCGCATTTCGCAAATCATCACGGAGGAGAAGGCTTTTGATCCGAGCGCCATTCTCATATCCACCATTCACGGCGCTAAAGGCCTAGAACGCGAGCACGTCTTTGTCATTCTCGCCATCAGGAAGGGAAAAGTCTGCGCGGACGATGAGGAACGAAGGCGTGTCTACGTAGCATTAACCCGAGCCAAATTCACACTGCACGTGGTTCTCTATGGACAGTGCGGGGTCGGTTGGACGGACTTGATGTCGGGATTCTGTGGAAGCACATATGGATTTTACGAGCCGAGATGCATAGTACATAACGTGGAAGAGGAAGAGGAGCACAATAGCGATACAGACACCGGTGTTGTGGATCCCTCAGTTCGACGGCGGGAGATCATCAGTCAGGATTCAGACAGGACCACTTTGGGTGTGCCGTCCCAACAATCTTCTTTTCCACCGTCAATGCCGTCCCACCCAGGGCTTTCATCAGGCCAGGAGGCCTTCTCTTCGTACTCACCAACCCCGCAAGCTCCCGCCATTCTCTCGGTTTCATGGGATACGGGCATACCTCTCCCGACACCTACGCATTTCCTCTCGGCAACGAAGCTGTCAAGCTACTTCGTTATGCATTGCCCGCGGTTACTACACCGAATGGCACTACCTCGGGGCGCCGGGGCGCCGGACACCAATACGGAAGACTCGGCGTTGTCCAAACTTCTGATGCAGAGTGGCGATGCATGGGAAGCACGGATCGTCAATAGCCTCGGGTCATCAGGCAAGCTTGCCTCCAGCCAACAACGGATATCCTCGGACACCGAACTCGTAACGTTATTGAAAAACGTCCCCGATGGCCATTATGTGTATGAGCCAACCATCAAGGTCTCTCCTGAAGTAAATCTCGCCATCGGTCTGCTATGGCCAGATTCTGCTGTTCACCCGAGCATCAATGTGATCAAGCCGGATTTCTTGCTTGTTAATCGGTATGAAGCGAAAGTCATTGTTCAAATTATTGATGCCAAGTTTAGCACAAGCACGAAATCATATCAGGTAGTGTTACTATTTCCTTCGGCAGTTTCGAAAGAAAAATATTGCGCGCAGACTAATTTGCGCCTATTCTGTATGTTGTAGAGGATACAAGTGGCGATTTATGCGCTGATTCTGGAGACACTCTTTGCGAGAGCCCATGTTTCCAATATCGCTATTCACCATCAGGGCGTCATCTGGCTTCCAGGAGCTCAGGATAGGGAGGCAATCCCTCCCCAACCCGCACCGCCGGAGGTTATGGGTGAACGAAAGCCTTTCGAACTCCGTGGTGTCATCGCGGGTCTTCAGGCGTTCCTACAGAACAAGTTACCTTACATACTCTCGAATCGAGGAGAACAAGATTTCCACATCGCGCTGGAGTGTCGAAAATGTGCTCATCTACAGGGATGCATGAGCGAAGCGGCAGCGAAAAACGACGTTTCCTTGGTTCCGGCTATAGGCCGCGAACAGAAGAGCAGACTCGCTGCAGAAGGGATTCGTGATATTGAATCGTTGTGCACCGGAAAAGGCAACCATATACTTGACAACGCAGACATCAGGGTTGGTGCTTGCAAGCGAACTGTGATGCACACGAACATTTCTCACTCGGAATTGCTTTGTAGGCTCGCTCCGTGCAGTTAAGACGACCAGTGCTTTTGGGACGCCCGTCTCTCCGTGTCCCGAAATCCGAAAGCCAAACGCTCATTTTGACTTTACGACAAGACCCGCTGACACGGAAAGTTTGCATGTTCGGATTTGTGCATTACATCGACAATGTAAAGCAGATTCAGCGAGGATATGTCGAAGACACCACCGCAAATGTACAGAGCTTTATAGGACGCGTCGGGCATATCATGCTGGGTACCTCTCAAAACAAGAATAGCTTGCAAATCTGGGTGGGAGAGCGGAGCGAACTCAGGATATTGGGGGACCTCCTCATCTCCGTTCTGTCAGAACCGAATCTGGATCGGAACGTCCGGAAAGCGACAGAGGCAGTCTTACGAGGTTCTATAGTCAATGCTGCAGTTGCCGCGTCGCTAGATCGGCACTCTGATCCTACTCTGGCGCCCTGCGCATTAAGCATCGTAAGCGAGGTGCAGGCTGTCATTGCACTGCCTATTGCTTCCACCACTGTTCGACAACTTGCCAGAATCTTTGAACGGCCGGCTCAGGATGACTGGTCATCTACTGCTGCAATCTTCGCTGATGGCGATGAGGACGACATTTTTTTGGAACTACACAGGGCCCGTGCTCATTTGCTATTGAAAGATCCCGACTTTCTGGATTTGATGAAGGCGAAGATCCAACGCCAACTGGATGATTCGCGCATGGTTCTGCTAAGGTTCCGGGAATGGACTGCAGGTTGGCTGAAGTGCGAACCTCGTCCTTTCAAATTCGCGGAAAAGCTTCGAATCAAGAATCCTATTTTGTCTCAGCTCGCTTACTTGCGACTTGTGGAAGCCGTGGATGCTTGCGAACAGCTGGCCTTCGACAGAATTGCCGATCCGGTCCCGATGATCATTGTACCAATTGAAAGCATTAAGGACACAAGAGTCTTTAAGTTTAAAAGCGCCGGAGACGTCGCCCACGAGCGAATCTCACACGAGACCGCCAATATTTTTAACCAGTATCTCATATGCCGAGAGGACGCCAGAAATGAGATGGGGAAAATCCGGGATCTCGAAATTCTGGAACTAGTAAGTCCTGCGCAGTTCAACATGGCACACCGGCATTCGCCGGTGCGAGCTGCGATGGTCCAGCTTTCAGACAACACAGATGGCTCGCTCCTCATCGACTTCGCAACGAACGTCGGCGACTTCATTCGATGTGATAACGTTTCCCGGTATGTTGCTTTCCCGCGATACATGAACGCAACGCTCCGGAAGGGGATTTCGCACTTGAAGACTGTGGACGAGCAGTTCAACAAATTGACCCAGATTGGAAGGAACCCGGTCGAGCCGCTGGTTTGTAAACTGATCAAAGGGGAAGCTATCGTTTCACGCCCCGCCGATTTCAATCGTTGGTGGCCGCTGGATGCCGACAATAGCTTGCATACAGGGGACGCGAAGCGATTTCCTCTCTCCCCGCACCACCGCTCCATCATTCAAGCAATCGAAAACAACCCCGTACAACTCATAGTCGGCCCTCCCGGCACTGGCAAAAGCTTCTTTCTTGCTGCACTGTTGCTTGCTCGTCTACATACTGCCCGCACCGGTAATCACTCTCGCAACCAGATTCTGCTCCTCACCGCTTGGACACACAGCGCTGTCGATACCGTCATTGAAAAAATGATGGAGCATACCACGAGCTATATAGACCGCAAACAAATCGTGCGGTTGTCGGACAAGCCGAATCCGGACAACCCGCATATCACGTACACATCGCCAAAATCCTCTCATTTGCAAAATGTAATCAAGGACTTGAAACATGTTGTCATCTGTGGAACTATTTGGCAACTAGCAAAAGTCAAAGAAGTCTTGCCCTCCGTCACTCAAGCCGACCGCATGCTTTGCATTGAGGAATGCTCTCTGATGCCTATCATTGAGACATCCGTCGCTCTGTCGCTCATGGTTCCCAACCCACCTAGAGGATCAATTGTTATGATCGGGGATCACCTTCAAATCGGCACGCTGAATAAGGGACAGGGAGGACCTGACGATGAGAGGAATGATTTGAATGACTCGCTTTTCAATCGGTTGGTCAACGCCAATCAACCCCGGCCAGTGAGTCTGGTGGCCACTTGGCGATTGAATAAGGTTGCAGCGAGTATTTTGCGGCGGTTCGTCGGCTACAACGGGTATGCTCCAGCCAATTTGGAAGTCGGCCGACAAAATCTCGGGCAACTCCTCGACACGGTGCAAGCGCGCGCTGAGGTTGCGAACTACGCGCTGTCAAAACTCTTACACTCGGTCTTTGATCCTGCAAAACCGATTGTCCTCATTGTTCTGAGGTGGGAATGCTGTTCATCTCCTTATTCATCATGTATGCTACTGACATTTAAGTCTCCAGGGATAGTGAAAAAAGCGGAATACTACCGCATATAGAAATAATGCTAGCAACCTATTTGACGGAACAGCTTCATATGTTCACACGTTCAGGCGATCGTCCGCTTGACATCCTGCACATGGTAACCCACCATCGGAAGCGGATCCTTTTACAACTCGCCCTATCGCAGTACTGCAACTTCCCACACCAACCAGTTGTTACGATTCACAAAAGCCAAGGAAAGGAATCAGATGTCGGCATAATTCTATACGCAACCGCCAGCGAGTACGACACGACGGCTGAGGCGCAATATCTATACGACCGGACGTTGATGAACGTCGCGCTTAGTCGGGCAAGGCGAAAGACGGTGATGATCGTGTCCGATTCGCTGTTACAATGTTTGACGGTAGTGGGCAACGACAACGCCATAGAAGGCTTTCAGCTGCTACATGGTCTGTCACGAGAGACGCAGATGCGGCGTACGCACGTCGAAGTCGAATCGAAAGTGCTGGAAGAGCTATTTGCCAATGGCCTCCCGTAACTTTTTACACAGCCACATATACCCCAGTAACAGTATTTCTTTGAGACATCTAATGAAGGAGTTTCTGCCTAACAGCAGCACATTAAGCTTGCTCAGGCAGAAGTGTCGGTAAAATTCTATACGCAACCGCCAGCGAGTACGACACGAGACAGACCATGTAGCAGCTGAAAATATGGGGAGCCATCCGGGTCATAAATACCCGCTGCGAAATTTTTGGGTCGGAGCGCGCGTCCCCACATCTTTTTCGAGAAGTGCAGGATTCCGAAACTTTTTTTGAACGTTTTGACAGTGACTGACAGCGGGGCTGGACATGAGAACACGGACCGAGGTGGGCGCTTACGTAAGAGTTTTCTGGGAAACTCTTACGTAATACATTGAACAACCTGATAACCCCACCAAAGCACACTATTCGCACTTTTTCCTGACCTTCCCTCCCGGTCGCAAAATGTGTAAATACATGCCATCCAATTCCATAGAAAAGAAAGGCTATGGAACAGAGTACACAAACAACTTGCCAAGCTATGGAATCTGGAACCCTCCATCTCTGCATAGCCACACTGCATACCACAAGCGATCCGCTAGGTGGTCCGCATCTCCGAAACCTAGATGCAGCTCCAACGTGTCACTGCAAGTACGAGACGAAGGCAAATGATCCCCTTCATGCTGAGCGATATCCACAACTATCCTGTCCTTCAGCGGCAGTGCACGGCTTGACGTCCAGAAGAACAGCAGGTCCCGCAGAGACATGCCCCTTCTAGGTGCAGTGAGCGCCATGCGAAACCATCCCTTCACTAGTTCTGTCTTTTCCTCTTTACGGCGATCAACAATGGGAGGCAAATACACAATCTTCTGGAACAGCTGGTCGACATCCAGACGCCAATTGAATAGATGAAACAATACCGCGCATGGCGTGCCAGAGACGAAGTCGCCGACCGAAGCGATCCCTTCCTTGTTCTGATGGGTGGCTGGGCGACAACAGGTGTACAAGACATGTTTGGTTAGATCTTGAGCAAAAGCGACGGGCTTGTCCGATTCCGCTTCAATGGGGTAACCAAAATGCTGGCACAACGTGGTGACTCTGGAGGTATGGCAAGGGGGGGGGGGAGGGGGGGAGAGGAGTCGTTCATGTCAATACACCACGACCACAAGAAGGAAAAGGAAAGATACAGAATAGCAGCGGGCAACGCACTCTTCCTCGACTTTTGCTGTCTTTTGTGCAGGAGTCAACGCGGGGCCTGAGTCGATCGCCATGTCGTCCATCCGGTAGTCCGTAAGAACCTTCACAACCCATCCAAGGGATCGGTTGAAACGTGATATCATCTTCGGTGATATAAACCGGCAGGACATTTCATTTTCCGGATGACAGAGAACATTGATCAGGATGGGTGAGAGGGTCTCTGGAAACACATTGCCGTGCAATGCAGAGTGAGCCAACAATCGCCCGAACCCCCTGAAGTCCAGGTTTGCTGCCGGGATGCCGGACACCGGAAGGAAGCACTGTGCACCTTCCCAGTGAGGGTCGCTTTCTACAGTGAAAGTCTTGATGGCAATCTGGAAAGCTTCCTTGGTGAGACCGCCCCCGATGTGAAACCCCGCATCCACGCCGTCCTCGCCCACGAAATTGAACGATGACTTAAACGTGGCGTTCTTTACGCCCGCGCACCAGGCCCAGACGGCATCCGCCACTGAATTCTTTATTCGACCATTCGGGAGCGTTACCAATTCACTATGAGTTACTATAAAGTGTTGAAAAATGGCACTTGTCAGTTCGACTCCACCCAAAGGACAGCGAAGACCCATTCTGATTACGCACTGTTAACCGTCATGTCCACATCCCTGTCTTTGTTCAACCCATTGAGACGGTCACAGAAATGATTATACAAATCCTGATAAGACCAAGGGTCCTGTCCAGGCAGACATTGCATGCAACGACCTTCGTCGCTGAGGTCCTTGGCGGTTGACTCTGCGATGCTCCCAGAAAACAGGTCTTCTGCATCACGCGTATGGTAGAAAGGGAAACGGGTCTTGTCTCGGGTGGAGGGCACTGCGGGCGCGCCGCTACTGGGTTCACGGGCCAGCAGTTCATTTGGTTTCGGCGTCGGTAAGATCAGATCATAAGATTCAGGCGTCTTAACGTACTTCGAGGCGTCGGCAGGGAGGGATGGCTGTGTGACCCGTCGCTTGGTCTGCAATCTTGTCCCATACGTGTGGCGCATGCCGGCACTGCCAGCAAATCCACCGAAGACGGACTGTGTATCCTGGACGGTGCCGCTGGACGTCGCTGGCACACTCCTTTGTTCCACCGTGTTGGGACACCGAGCATATGCCTCTGAAATGCGCTGTTGCGCTAGGTCGATGACAGCGAGTGACACCTCGTTAGGAAAGTGCCCCCGGGCGAACCCCATGCCTGGAAAGCATAACCAATTCTGGTAAGCCATTGCAACTGCGTGTGCACCGCCGTCATCTACACATCTTGCGCCGTTCCCGACATCCATCAGGTCCTGAAGAAACTGGAGAGCGCCCTCTCTTCCCTTCTTGTAAAAACGCAAATCTTTGTCTGTCTTGTCGTAGTAGCCGGTTTGCTCCTTAAGAAACATGCTTAAACACTGGTCGACCGGTAGTCTCTCGAAGGGCCTTGCGTTCTCCTCCGCTATCTTTCGTCTGACTTCCTCCAAGGTTGGAGGCGATGGGATTAAAAATGCATCATCAGGAGGTGAAGACAAACAAGCAGGCACGAGATGAGCTAGTTTTGGGAAAGCATCATCCGGAGGTGAAGGTGAACGAGCAGGCACATAAAGAGGTATGTTTGGGAATGCCAGACCTGGAGGTGAAGGCGAAGGAGCAGGCACGATATCTCCAGCTAACGGCGGAGCTCCCGGTTAGGCGATTCCCGTAGGTAGGCCAGGTGGGGGTTTCCTAGGGGAGATGTTCCATGTGCCACTTTTCGGCCCACGCAGGGCTTCAGACGTCTCCGTTTCGTCCTCTGGCAATCCCCCCTTTCCCTTTTCATATATGGCCCCAGCCCTGCTGCGGCCCACGGCGGGGATAATGCCTTGCATCATGTTAGTGAAGTCAGCCGTCTCACCATCCGAGTCCGACTCAATGGGAGGCCCCATGGCAGCGCTCTTGACAGGATCAGACTGAATGTTGTTGTCTGGAGGGGGGGCACCGAAGTATCAGTAGAGGGGCGGGAGAGTGTATTTTGAGTACAGCGACATACAGTGCATAATCTCAAAGGCTTCCGGAATCTTCTTTGTCCGAAGGGATTTCTTATCGTGAAGAATGGCATCCCGGATCTCCATATGGATGAAGGCGTACTGGAACGCCTCTCGATCGCCCCACACGGAGCAATGGGGTTGAACCCAAATCCCTTTGTCTATCTTCTTCGCATATTCCCAGAAAATGTCCCACTTAACATCGTTTGGCTGCCAGCCGAGCGGACTGATATTCTGATGCCTGCGTTGTGAGAATTCCAATGCCCAAGGGGAATCTGGAAGATGGCGAAACACTGCACTGGTAGCGCCGTATATCTCGTTGTGTCCCCATCCCTTGCCTTCCGCTTTTTGGCTTTCGGTCGCCCCTTCTCGTCCCTGCTCAATGTCAAGCCAATGTCAAAGTAAGCAGGTGAAAGGAAAGCTAGGCCCGCACATGTCTCCAGAGACATTAAAGTTCATACGCTGAAGGGTTGTGGTCCACATGCGGTGCTCTTTTGGTGTGCCACGTGTTCGTTACTACCGCCACTCGGTCTGGCTGATGCTTAGGCTCCCACATCGTTTTCCCTGAAGACTTATGACAACTGCTTCTCCACAATACGGTGGAGTGGGACTTTCCGTAAAATCCAAATTTGGGTGAGGAGCGTAGGACACCGGAGTACTGGCAGGCGTTGGTGGCAACGCCAGACCTGCGTGACTGGGTCGTGGTCCGTGGTTTGTCGCGTATTGCTGAAGCTCGGAGATGCGAGGAGTCAAAAGCATGGGCAAAAGCCCACTCAACGGCGTTTCTATGCCTCCCATAGCTCTTGGGGGACGGGTTGAGGTCGGACTAGCGTAGTGATCTGTGGAATCCACGTGTCCAGTGGGCCGAAAGCCCGCTTGGCTTTTTGCCTGAGCCAATGCCTGGACTTGAGCGGCGTAAAGGGGTCCGGTCGTCCTCATGGCAGCTTGGAGTTCCGCAATGGTGAAAGGTAAAGCAGCCGCCATCGCCGGCCCTAGCGGTGGGCGTTGCTTCAATACCTCGAGCCATACTTCGACGGGGAATGGGTTTACACCAGCTTTGCAGTTTTCGAGCGCTGAGTCGCCATTGTCGACGAGGATGACCCCGGCGCAAACCTGGACGTCTTTTTCGGTCAGTGGCATCGCGGTACCGGATGCAGTAAAAATATATGGCAGGTATCGAAAACGGCACCGTTTGTGATGCCGAAAAAGGACCTCATCGAAAAAGTGGAAGTTGAGGTGAAAGAAAAGGATCGCACACGTGATATCGATTATCCACATATTGCGACGGGTCCTCTCCTAATATGGTCCTAAGTAAAGGATTGTTACGGGAAAGTAGAGCATGCACACACAGCAGTCGAGGGCCCGGGCAAGCGGGAATTCAGAGTCCTCATGAAGAGACGGAGACACGAAGGCTTGCGTTATATGTCCGATGTGCACCCTGAGGGTGGTGGCTCACCGTCGGCGTCGAAAACTTCCGCCCTTCACTTTGGAGGCATACCAGGTGACCCTCGGGAGCGAGAGACCTACCTAGCAGAGGGACAACGGTCGGAGTTGGAGGAGGAGCGCAATTCGCTGCCACCGATGTACATTCAAGACAACAGACACAGGCGCCAACGATTTCAGAAGCGGCGTAAAAATATCCTGAAGAAGGTGCGTCCTGGCCACTCTGTAAGGGGGACGGAACGCCAGTTTAATGACCAGACTTTGTGGAGCAGGTCCGCGAATTGGAGGAAATGACTGGTGCGCACGTATGGACAGTGTTGGTCAGCGAAGATGGGGTTAAGATCGATGTTCATGCGTTGTCCGCTTTCGAGATAATGAACGATGACACCACCCGGTCGTGTTTACTGCAACTCGTTCACAAGAGGCTACGATGGAAGCAACGGGACGTTGCTCACAGCACTGCGAGGGCGTAGGGAGTTCCGTTACATCCATAGCACATGGTAAACGGTAACGGCCTGCCGAAACACAGACAGGCGAGAGCTGAAGCCGGTGGGAGCCATTGTCATGCTAGAAAGCAGCACAGATCACTAGTCGTACTCGGCCCCGCTCCGTCATACGCAATGGCCGTAAGATCACACCTGAGGAAGCCTGTGGCCACCGTCCCGGTTCAGACAAAGAACTATCCGATTCGGTTGTACATAGGACGAAGCAATTTTTTTTGGGTGCGCTGGCATCCCAGTTCTTAAATTCATCGGCGTCCGCAAAGGGCAGATGTTAAATATGTGTTGCAAGTTATCATGTAAAACCAGTTCGTACAAAGTGTGTGAACAGAGCTTTTCAAGTAACAGTACCAAAGCGAATCCGGGTCACAAATTGAGTGGCTAGCATTCGAACAGCCCCTCCTTGCAAAAAGGAATGGGGCGGATATGTACCAGAATTTGCCATTTCGCTAAGAGATCTCTTTTGTTTACGTACAGAAGCGCATGCTCGCAGGATACCTAATATATGTGAACCCCAACTGCCTAACTACGTGGTACTGCCTAAACTGGCGGAAACAGCTGCCTACATTGTTGGTAAGCATAAGCGTGATTTCCATCATGTGGATATTTCAAGACTGCGGATAATGAATTCAGCCGATAACTTTCTCGAGACGTTCTCAGGTACGCGGCGTGCCCAGCGTGAAGGGGTTGATGCCCCACTGTGGGAGATCGCGAATGTTTCAGCTACTTAGCGCTGCTATGTCGCTTGACGCTATTGTAAAAATTTGACTTGCTGAGAGCCTTGCTAATGTGAAGCAATGCATTTGCGTCTGCCGCCGGGAAGTCCGTAATACGGCCCCGCACCTTGGTCAACTCGGTTGTGACAACGACGCCATCAAAAAGGCGTAGTGACTGCCCTTCCGTGCAAGGTCCGTCATGTTCTTGACGACATCCTGTATGACCTCATCCATTCTTCTTTCCGCAGCCAGGGAGATGGAGGGCCAGTCGGGGTTGATATCCCCATGAGAGGAGATGGAGGGCGTGACAGGCCCCAGTAGCGGAAGGTGTTGTGGGGGTGGGGGCCTCTGTGGGAGCCTGTCCGTAAGGCCGGCATGCTCCACAAGCGTGTATAAAAGCTCAGGTCTCCCTCTGAGGTACAGTTTGAGCCAATCCGACACCTCATTCTTCTTCGGGGGACGACTGTTGATTTGCTCGTATAGCTCTACAAGGCTGCTCTTGAACTCTGTCCAACTGATGAACACGTTAAGGAGAGCGACCCGCCTGCTGGCTTGCGCTGTCGCGAACATTTTCATCGAGAGCGTAAGATTCTTCTCGGCCACTGTCGGGGGGTCAGCCGTTGGGGTTGATACCCCGGTGATTGGAACCCTTAAATAACTCTCCTGATCGGTGCCCGTATACTGGTCCAGACCCAAGATGAGCAAGTGTGCAGTGGTATCCAGCGTCATGATGGCCCCCGCTCCTCGGTAATATTCGCGCAGACCTGCGGCGATATCATCTGGTGTCTTCGGCTGTCCTGATGGACGGCGAGAGATGATGCCTGCTGTCGAGGACGTGACATCCCATGCTTTGCGGGCTGCGTTGGCAAAATAGCCGCTGGCTGGTTCGCGATCTTCTGCGATGGCCACAATAATACTCTGGGACATTGTCGCGTCTAATTCTGGCGCAACTTGCGAGACGGGCCGCACACTGGAGTATGAGATAGGGCTGACATCCCCTTGTTGCAAGTGGTGTTGATGGATTATAGACCGTGTGTTGTCTACCGGTTCAGGTGTAAGCACCTCCGTTGTCACGCTTGTGCGGGAGACAGTTCGTCCATCTGCGTCTTGTTCTTCGATGATCTCCGTTTTGCGCAGGTAGGGCCAAGGTCCGTCACTCGAATCCGACACAGAGGCACCGGATTCGCTGCTGGCATGCCTCGAGGGGGTGAGGTCGTTGTTCGGGGCGCCAGGCGGAACGTAATCATTGGTGGCCATATCAGATGCGTCTTCATCGGGCTGGAAGGTCTGGCTGGGGTTGATACCCACATACTTGTAGGAGGGGATATCGTTTTCGGGAGATACATCCATCTCAGGGGTGTATCCTCGATGGAACAGGGGATCATCCATGTGTTTTTGTCCGTGGCCTTCGCCTCCGATGCCGCTATCGCATCGGAAAGAGCACTGGTCGCTCTTGCTGGGGTTGATATCCACATCATGTTCGATGTGAATATCGTTCCCGTCGCAGACCTCCATCCCGTCCATCCCATCGTTGTCATCGCTCTTGCTAGGGTTGATATCCTCATCATTCTCAATGTGAATATCGTTCCCGTTGCAGACGTCCATCCCGTCCAGCCCATCGTCGTCGTGAGCGAGGGCGTGTTGGATGGGCAGAGGGAGGGCGTGTTGGGTGGGCAGAGGGAGGGGGTGTTGGGTGGGCAGAGCGACGGCGTGTTGGGTGGGCAGAGCCGTTGCGTTGGCGATTTGCAGAGGCCGAACTCGCCTTGACGCCCGGTTACGCTCTCGAATCTGCATAAGTCAGAAAGAGGTTAGAAAAAACATACTCTCACGCCTCAAAGCCACACCCCTTCTGTCTCTTACCCGCCTTGGCGTATAATAGCGTTGCCTGAGGTACGGAAAGGATCCATTCCCCTGTACTCAACCACTTTGCCACGCGTCGCAGGCATTATGGTTGCTGTTACACAGGAAAGAAAGGACGTAGTTGTTACTGATAACCGGCCGTGACATATTCCCTTTTGTGAAAGGGCTCGGGACTCAGCAAGTTGATACGGGTTTGGTTCCTTGCGAGAGGGACGCTGTTGGTAGAGCCGTTGTTGGTGGGTATCGGAAAAGGGTGGTCGTTGTCCCGCTGTGATTTGCGAGAGGGACGTTGTTGGTGGAGCCGTTGTTGTTGGGTATCGGAAAAGGGTGGAAGTTGTCCAGTTGTGGTTTCAGGGGTTTGCGAGAGGGAAGCTTTTAATACAGCCGTTGTTGTTGAGTACCGGAAAAGGGTGGAAGTTGTCCAGCTGTGGTTTCTGGGCCTGGAAGGGAAGCAGATGCGATATGTGTGGAGAGAAACAGATGCGATATTCAGTCCCTTTCCCCCGCTCCCAGCTTCCTTGTGACGCCTAAAACCGGAAGAAAGGGGATGCATGCATGTGACAGTGTAACGTCAGAGGAAACGTAGACGATATTGGGCCCTTCTGAGGGGGCTGAGAGCAGTGTATTGTAGTGAAGAAAAAGTAAGAAGCACTTTGCAGCGGCCGCTCGACTGACAGCTTTATATATGGGCTGCCAGTGGGGCTTGCGTGGCTTCAGTGAGGCTTGGCGCCTTATGTAATGTATCAACGAGAGGTCGGGTGGCCAGCCCGGGTCTCAGATCAAGTAGAAGTAAAGAGATATAATATGAAATACAAGTGAAGATGAGATATCCCCGACACCTCCCTCAGATCCTGAGGAGGGCGCCGAATAAATAAGAGGTGAACTGCGAGGGATATGTGAAGAAAGGGAGAGCTCATATTCATTTTAAAGTGTTGACGCACTCGTTCATTTAATAGTGTTGACGCACTGTGTGATGTGTGTGTTTGAGGCAAAGGCGTCCCTAAGCCAACGTCGTGTGTGATGTGTGTGTGTGTAAGGTCGGTTCTTGCGTCGCCGCGCGTGATGTGATGTAGTTTACATTGCTATTGTCAGCGGTGTGATTGATAGTGAGCGGTTCTTGCGGCGTCGCGCGTGTGATGTGATATGAGATGCTCTATGCTGTTTGTCTCCGTATCCACAAAGATTGTGGGTGAGCTTTTCGCCATCGTTTGTAGGCAGGCGTGTAGCGGAGTGCGGATTCGAGTTCCCAAGTAGGGTCAGGATAGCCAAGCCATTTGACTAGAAGATTTCGTACGGCGCGTCGCTCGTCGATGATATCTTCTACAACCCATTCAGGTTGTCCGCGTTCTTCGATTGGTGGAGGAGATTGTGGAACTGCACGTGGCGGATATTGCTCTTCGCGATGTGGTCGTAAAATATCGACGTGAAAGACGGGCCAGATGTCACTGATCTTTGATGGTGATAAATCGAGTTCGTAGGTATCAGGCAGGATGTGCTCCCAATGCGATGATTTTGAATGGTCCGATCCACGTAGCTGAGTATCGAAGTCCTCTCCAAGCGTCCACTTCTACGTTGATTCCTTGTCGATTTAGATCGACGAGGTCGCCAATTTTGTATGCGATTGGCGGCGTTTGACCTTTGTCGTGTTGACGTGCAAATTGATCTTGCGATCTCTGAAGGTTTTCGCGTACGATACGGGCAATTTCTTCCTGCCCTTTCTTGAAGAGTTCGATTTCGTTTCGATCTACAGCTCGAAGTTTGAGTTCTTGTCCTTCGAGTGTTGGATTCCAACTTGAGAGGATTGGAGAGCGTCCGAGATCTACTTCGAATGTCGATAAACCTTCATATTCCTCCCTTGGAGCGGTGTTGTATGCGAAATCATACTCTTGTAGCTTCTCCACCCAATTGGCTTGTCTTCTGCTCAAATGAGGTTGTGTTTGGATGAATTCAAGTCCCTTGTGATCGCTAAAACATTGGAAGTAACGACCGATGAGATATGGTCGGTTGGCGACCAACATCTTGACAAGAGCTAAGAGCTCCTGTTCAAGCGTAGGATATCGAGTTTCTGCGTCCTTCTTCTTTCTAGAAAAGAAGACCACAGGCCGGAGCCGAGGTAACTTCTTCCATTCTCCGACGAGAGTAGGCAGATTCGTAGGGATTGCTTCATCGCCAGAAGGTTGTCCAATCCAGCCAGCGATAGCGTAGCCTGATGAGTCGGTATAGACGTAAATCAGCTTGGTTTCATCGATTGTTGCTAGCGTAGATGCATTGATCAACGCTTCTTTCAAATTTTGAAATGCCTCTTGTTGCCCAGGACCCCATCGAAATTTGACTTTCGAAGATTGAATACTTGATAGGGGCAGAGCAATGTCCGAATAACCTTGTACGAAGTTGAGGAAGTAATTCGTGAACCCGAGAAAGCTTTGGACTCCTTTTGTTGACTTTGGAGTAGCCCAATCATTGATAGCTTAGATTTTCGAGGGCGCGATGCGAACACCATGTCTTCCGACAATATGTCCACACCATTCAAGTTCTTCTTTAGCCCATACGCACTTTGAAGGCTTGATGAAAAGGGCGTGTTCTTCAAGTTTCTTCAGGATACGATCGACGTGTTCCCGATGTTCGGCTAAGGTCTTCCAGAAAATGAAAATGTTGTCCAGGTAGGTAGCGAGGAATTCGTTGTAATCTTTATGGAAGATCTTATTCATAAGACATTGAAATGAGGCAGGTGCGTTGGTAAGCCCGAATGGCATAACCAAATACTCGAAATGTCCGAAGCGAGTTCGTGTTGCCGTTTTTTCTCGATGTTGTTTTCGGATAAGAAGACGATGGTATGCTTCTCGAATATCGAAAAGCGTAAACCATTTACAACCTTGAATCCGATCCCTCATTTCACGAATATTGGGTAAAGGAGTGCGATCTTTCTTGGTGACGGCGTTGAGACCTTGGTAGTCCCAACAGATGCGTAATCCGCCATCTTTCTTTTTCGCAAAGACAACACTAGCTCCCCAGGGACTTGAAAAGTGTTGTATCCATCCTTTTTCGAGCATCGAGGTGATTTGTTTCTTGAGTTCAGCGAGTTCTTCTTTGTTCATGTGCCGAAGAGGTTGCCAAACAGGTTCAGCACCTTCAGTGAGTTCGATCTTGAAATTATCTTCTCCTCGATCAGGGGGTAGACCTTCTGGTTCCTTGAAGAGCGTATTGACGTATTTATTTAGGATATCCTTGAGATGTCCTGGATTTCCTTTAAGCTCTTGAGGAGCGTCTGGTATTTTGTTAAGAGGGAGGCGACAGACCGTGTCTTTTTCAAACTTGTTCCGTGGCCAAGCCTTATTAAATCGCTTGGAAGTCATTTCTATGACTTGAGGATTACGAAGGGCATCGGCTTGAGCGAATCGAGAGACGTAATGAGGTGCGGCTTGTAAAGGACGTGTATCCACAGGTTTGATGATTCGAACAGGTCAAACGGGTCTTTTGTCATAGACCGGATCTCGTTGCACATCGGAGTAAGGATTGTTGTGTTTCGGGATGTATTTGACGTCTTCCCAGTTTCTTGAAGTTCTTCCGCACTTGATGGTGACAGACTGCGGTGCGTTTGGCCTAGGGCCATAATCGGTCCAGCGAAGAATAGGTAAGGTACTCATCGAGAATTGTTCAGCGTAATTAAAGAAACGCCAGAAAGGCATTCCAATAATAGCGTCGTAAGCCAGATTACTGACTAGCCAGGGAAGTTGTCCAACTAAGAAAAGCGACTGAGATTCGAGATCCCATAGATCTAACTTTTCCGACACGACCGTGTCGAGAATCATGTATGATTCTTTGTCGGCCAGCCATATCTACTTCGGTTCGATACGTTTCTTGGGAAACTTGTGCTTTTCGACAAATGTCTTGTCAAGGAATAACCCAGTTGCGCCGCTATCGAAAAGAACACGAGCAAACTTGTTTCCAATGCGACAATGAGAGACCCAGAGTCCAGCAGACAGTGGTCCAAAGGCAGGTTGATCGGTAGGATTGTATGTTGTAGGCCAAGCAGAGCTACCGAGGGGCTCTATCGACCTTGGAAAAAACTCGAAGATTGATTTGTAGTAGTATTCGTGGTATTTGCAGAGTTGACGGCGTCATTGAGAATTTCCGTAATGCGTGACCCAGCATCAACCTGATTGGCTGAACCTTGATTAGGTTGGCAACTGCGCTGCAGAGTTTGAGCGCCACAACCGCGCTCTTGAAAACCGCCGCGTCGGTTCTGGGTTTGCGAGCCTTGCTGTCAATTTTCGGGATTTGACCGGCATCCAACTCTCCAATGTCCCATTTTATTACAAAGGGGACAAGGAGTTGTTGGACGTTGACGAGGAACATGAGTAGTTTGCCATTGTCCACGTTGACAAAAGGGCTGTTGACGTTGGTAGGGACCTTGATCTGTAGTGAGACGACTCACTCCAGGGGGATAGTATGACGTACTGAGGGCATTGAGCCCAAAGGTCATATCATCTAAGTCTTGCTTGAATTCCGTAATTCAAGGATTGGTGTAAGGGGCAAATCGTCCGCCACGACAACCGCCACGACTACCTTGACCGCGGCTGGCTCCACGGCCGCCACAAGCACTCGATGCCGAGGCAATCGAACAAGGGGTATTGGCTTGGTTGCCGTCAGTGACCCCATGAGCTACATGAGCACGACGGGCTGCAGTGATAGCTTGATCGAGAGTGATAGGGGTGTTGATGTTGGTAGTCTGCGAGACTTCGAAGTTCGTAACGGCTTCAACGAGATAATGACCGATTACTGTATTCTTGAGAGGACCGGCCTTGAAGTATCGAATCTGATCGATAAGGGGAATGGTGCCTTGGGTGTTATCGAGACGGTGAGCAGCTTCGAGCTCATTATTGGTGTCTTGAAACTCTTCTCAAGAGAGTCGTCGAGCTTGAGGCCGGAGAGCTTGAGCTCAATAGTATTACGCAAGTTGCGAGGATAAAAGTGAGCGACAAGAGCCTTTTTAAAAGCTGACCAACTTGCGGGAGCGCCGGAGGCGTAAGTCGTATTGTACCACTCGAGGGCAGTACCCTTGAGGTAGGTAGTGAGCGTAGGGGCGTACTCTGCCATAGTAAAGGGTATGGCATTGGCAGCTCCAGTACCGTCTGTTCCAGCTGCTACAGCCGGGACAGTGAGAGACTCGAGAAAGTTGTGGTGAGACGTAACGAACTCTTCGATCTTTTTGGCAGCTTTGGCGCCATCGTATTCGACGAGCTTGTTCTTGCAAGCGTCCATAAGAAGTCTGAAACGTTTGGCTCGTTGGGTTTCTTGAGTAACAGCACGCTCCTGGTTAGCGAAAGCAGCTGCAACAGCCGCAATGATAGCTTGAGTCTGTCTGTCCATTCTTGCTTGTGAACGTGTGTAAGGGCGACGTGCGGTAGAGGGGCGACGTTGACGGTGAATGTCTTGGTGAGGCGGCGGTAGGTGGTGCTACCATGTAACGTCAGAGGAAATGTAGACGATATTGGGCCCTTCTGAGAGGGCTGAGAGCAGTGTATTGTAGTGAAGTAAAAGTAAGAAGCTCTTCGCAGCGGCCGCTCGACTGACAGCTTTATATATGGGCTGCCAGTGGGGCTTGCGTGGCTTCAGTGAGGCTTGGCGCCTTATGTAATGTATCACCGAGAGCTCGGGTGGCCAGCCCGGGTCTCGGATCACGTAGAAGTAAAGAGATATGTAATGAAATACAAGTGAAGATGAGATATCCCCGACATGACAGTCCCCCACTCCGACGAAAACGCGCTGTCGAAATTGGTACTTACGTAAGATTTCTAGGGAGAAACCTTACGTAATGACACCCTTCTCACCTCCCAAGCTTGCATTACCCCTCATGCAGAAACACACGCTTTTCCCCCCTGACAATCTTTATCCCACTTTCACACCACAAAATACGTACCAAGGTGAAGAGGATTTACCAGAACCTTGGCAATCACGCCAGTCGCGGCTCCCGCTGGACCATGCTCACCACACACTTTGTCCCCTGCTTTTTGATCCCCCTGACACAATTCTTCAGAGCTCAGTGGAATAGGTCGCCGTTGCCGACCTACCACCCAACTGCACCATACTGGATGAGCGGCCACGTGGATGGGCAAGTGCCTCTTCGCCGACTGCTTCTGTGCAACCATTCAGCACAGACTGGAGTATACGCACAAGGTCAAGAAGGGGAACAGCCGATACCTTAGCGGATGGGCATTGATGTAAATCTTTCCTACCCACCACTGTATACGTTGATCAGAACAACAAGCAAGATGACCGGGGCGACATGGGTTCGCAACAAACAACTCGGCGTGTAACGGAAATGATAGGATGGGAAATGCAACTGCAAGCGAGTTTACGCAAGTCGTACACATAGCCTATTGTAGTTGCTCTGTAAGAACGTAAAGCAAACCCAACCACCAGCGAATAAGGGCGTATCTCAAACCTGTAGGATGCTGGCGCGCGAACTGTACCGTTGCCGTGCAGGCCCTGAATCACTTCTGTATGTACATACCTTCAAATATCATGTGAGCATTTCTCACCAACCCAACCTGACGGGCGAAGAACCCTCCATCCTGGTGTCAGAAATGTGTTGTGAACTCAAACGCGTTTCCATCAACCCTTGATATCCTAGTTCAGCTTACCCCAACCCTAACACTAGCCTGGCCATTGAAACACATGTACGCCACATGTTCTAGCTCCCAGTCTCCAGCTCAACGGCAATCGCGTTTGGCCCTAAAAACGTTGTCTTTAGACCCCGGGGGATCGATTCTCCGGATTCCCTGCCCATTTTTTTTCCTACCCCTACACAAAACCCCGTTTGACGCAGCTACGCTATATAGGTTTGTGGATAAACTCATGGACAACGAGATCCGTAGTATCGATCATCGATAAGGGGCCTCACTGTGAACCCTCACTGTGAACCTGCCAGTTGGAGACGCATTATGTACATTTAAAGCGGTATCATGTACGCCCTTCCAACTCCAAGTTGATGCAGGGCGATGACAGTCGGAAGCACAGCCACATACAATACCAGCTCCAATGCGAATAGAAAGCATGGCCACTTATATACCTCCGCACGTCGGCCGTAATGAGCTGAGAGGGTACATCAGTGGGTACTTTACAAGTGTCCTCTACAAGCTATGAGACGGGTATGACATAGCACGTATAACTCCACAAGCTATTACGTACGGATGAAAGAGTGAAAGCGGGTGAAACGGGTGAAAGCTCTGTATATGTAGGATCCATGTGAGAGCTATTACGATGCATGTGAAAGCTATTACGATGCATGTGAAACAGTGCTCCACACTGAGTCCACAGGCATTATGCATACGTGCAATTCATGCATGCCATTATGCCATTACATTGTAAGCCGTAATTGGATGTGAGTCACTCTAAGGCAGGCTCTCCACACTTCCTGCCACACTTCCTTTGAAACCTGCCTTGAAACCGCGTCTATAAGCCCGTACACTCCCTATATAAGCCCGTACACTCCCATCCTTCCCCTACCATTCGCCCACACCCCCTTTCTTCCCCAAGCATTCGCCGACCAAGGTACAACTATTCCACAGCCATACGCCGTCTGTATGTATCGTACGCTGTAGGTAAGTGAAGCTGCCACCATGCGTGAATATCGGGTGGAAAGGATTGTGCGTGCTGTCCAATCTCGGTTAGATCCTGAGAGCTGTCACTCACCGATCTCGGGACTCGACCCAGTTGAGATTCCTAAACCTTCGCCGATCAAAATACACACCCCAAGCCGTAGGTAAGTGAAGCTGCCACCATGCGTGAATATCGGGTGGAAAGGATTGTGCGGGCTGTCCAATCTCGGTTAGATCCTGAGAGCTGTCACTCACCGATCTCGGGACTCGACCCAGTACAGATTCCTAAACCTTCGCCGATCAAAATACACACCCCAAGCCGTAGGTAAGTGAAGCCGCCACCATGCGTGAATATCGGGTGGAAAGGATTGTGCGGGCTGTCCAATCTCCGTTAGATCCTGAGAGCTGTCACTCACCGATCCCTTTTTGTTCTCAGCCCCGCCATGGACAGCGCCGACATGGACGTTGTCGAGTACGTTGACCATTTCGATCACGACGACAACCTCAGCGACAACGTCAACGACAACCTCAGCGACAACCTCAGCGACAACCTCAGCGACAACCCGTCGGATGCTGAAACACTCGAAGCGTCAGACCTACCCATCTCTGGATCAGCCGCATCAACGGCAACAAATCGTCCGGCCCTGCTGCCCCCAGCCATTCTCGAACCCTTGATAACGCAAGTCCAAGGTCGCCCGTGTTGCGTTGTTTGCCACAGCGAGCTGGCCGACGTCTCCGATCTCTTCCGATGCCGCCTGTGCGATGTTTATCTTTGCAACTGCCACACTCCCTCGAAGCAGGACACCATGCGTCTCCGGGTGATGCACGTTGTTGCACACATGCGGATAACAGGCCACATGGATCTCGATTGGATCTCCCTTACCCAAACGGCCGTATCAACGGCAACTCGCATCCAATGTCAAGACCACCCGCACGTTACCAACCCCTACACTCTCTTCTTTGATACCCACACCCGAACCATGAAGTGCGACAGCCATGCAGGAGACTCGGCATGCATCCTTTCGGAGTCCAACGGCGTACAGTGGCTCGGGGGACCCATGGGATGCCAGCCCATTGCTAAGGAACCCCGTAGCAAGGCCGCGGTTGAGGAGCTCCTCCACAACTACCTACTGCTCTCAAGGAACCCGACGACGTTGAAAGAACCCCAATGGGTACAGGCTCTGCAAGTTGCAACTGAGGAAGCCGCAGCGGATCTCTTGTTCCACACCCGAGTGGTCGCGTATGGCAACTGGGACGCATTCAGGTTGTACCAGCTCAGTCAGCTCCAACGGGAGCGGATGGCTTGGCGCCGGGAAGTGAGCATCCTCAATGTATGCATAGCTTGGAAGCGAGACAGCGAAAACGTGGAGTGGACTGTTGGAACTCTCACGTTTCCCGCCTCCGCCTACAGCGGTTCCTTGACCGCCCTCCGCGAGATCGACCCAGAGGTGCGGATCGTCCGCGCCAACAGCTCGCTGAACGCCTCGGGGACCCTTTGCTTCCCAGGGGAAGTCGAAGAACGCAATCGCTTCCCACCCCCCGCCATCCCAAACGCCAATCAAGACACCTCCCTCCCAAACGCCGATCAAGGCACCCTCCAACCCTTCACGACAGCATACGTCAGGGTTGCCAAGCAGATCATCGACGATATGTTTGTCGGCGCCTCTCTCTACCATGTCCTTGTCCCGGAGGTGCACGTGGACCTCCTGAAGGTGATGAGCGCCTTGAAAAACCCCGACAATGTCCCCGAGGTCGTCCAGAAGATTCTTGTGGCCCCACCCCAAAAACACCAATGGTTACTCTCCCCAGACCTTGCGATCAAGCAATGGATCAGAGGGAGTTGGCCCCGCTTGACCGACGAACAGGTCACCGCCGTCGCTCTGGCCGTCGACCCCGTTGATAGAGGATCACCTGCATTCGGCATCATGGGGTGGCCTGGTGTCGGGAAGACAGAGCTCATCGGCTGCATCATCGATCGACACGACCATCAACTGCCCACATCTCCACGACACGGTCGATAACCAAAGCACAGATGCCAATCAATTCGATAACCAAAGCACAGATGCCGATCAGTGCCCTGATCTCCACGACACGGTCGATAACCAAAGCCCTCAAGACGGAGAGAATGGAGGTCACATTCTCGTCACCAGCAATAGCAACGCTGGAGTGATGGTCGTGCTATCCAAGATCATCGGTTCCATCGGGTCCGAAGCTGTCGACCTCAAATCCGACATCTTCTGGGTCCAGAAATCCATCTTCGATCGATCTTCCATTCGCGACGAGGCCCTTCTTGCTCTGAACAAGGGCCAAGCCTATCAAGATATCCTCCAGCAGCTCATTGATAATGGCGAGCCCTTCCCGGTTCTGCCGTTCTGGGGCGCAAGCATCAACTCCGGCAGCTCAATCTCCCAGGGGTATCAACCCCACCCTTGCTCGGTGACACCCCGGGAATGTCTCGAGCTTCTTGAAGCACACCGCCAGCGGCCGCTCGTTGGCCTCAACATCGGCAAGTTCAGATGGGGCCTCAGCCGGATCAAGGCTACCCTTTTTTTGAAGAAGAATATCTTCGTCGCCACTGTGGGCATGTGGAAAGTAACTCTTCCTTTCGTGAGGAAAATTGGGGTCAAGATCGGAACTATCATCGCGGATGAAGCCTCCGCCATGTACGAAGCGTCCATCGCCGCCATGGCCACCCCCAACCCCACAAACATCGTGCTCCTTGGCGATCCCAACCAGCTCAGACCACACGTGGAGACTCGGGGCGGCGTTGCGAACGCCATTGCTGGCTCCCTCATTGAGCGAATGGCGTACACCAACAACCATCCCCACAAGTGGCTCCGCACCCAATTCCAGCTTTCGCCGAAGCTGTTAACCCTGCAGAACGTCCTTTTCCTCGGCAACCACACCAGTCAACATCCCGCGGAGGAGCTGAAGACCCGATGGCAAACCACCCCTACGGGCGTATCAACGGCGACCTCGTCGACCCAAACCACCCCTAGGAGCGTGTCATCGCTGACCGAGGAGCAATTGGCTTTCATCCACGTTGCAGGCAACAAACAACCGCATCCCACGATTTCGTCGTCGTACCGCATCCCACAATTTCGAGGAGAATGAGACGACGATAGAAGATGGCGAAGCTGACGATCTTCTCGCTTTCCGTTCATCGGAACCCTTGGGTGTGGCTAGCCCATACAAGAAGCTGAAGCTGTCAACGTGCGACATGTTTCAAGGCTCCGAGTATGATATTGTCATCCTCTCCTTGGTGCGGGCCGCAAATGGGTGTGACATCGGCTTCCTTTGTGAGGCCCAGCGGGTCAACGTGGCTTTTTCTTGCGCCAGGCTCGGCCTCTATGTCTTCGGGGATCTGCGGGTGGTCGGTCGCGCATCTTGCATGTGGTTGATGATTGCCCTAAACAAGGACAGCGTGTGGTCCTACAACCAACCCGTCTCAAACGCGAATCAAGGCACCTGCACCGTCTCCCACGCCGATTGCTTTCTCAGGATGGAACCCAAAACCGTGGAAAACAGTCTGAAAGGGAAGCAACCCGCCCTTGAGGACTTCCCCGAGATTCGTTGGATGTGTTGCTTTGGCGAGCCTCCGGAGCCGGAGCCATTGTTAAAGGATGAAGTGTGGTGGAATCACCTGACGACGCAGTCCCAACAGACGGAGTGGCTGCAGTTGATCGCCAATGAAATGGAGATCATAGCCCCGGCCCGCACTCAACCCGTCTCACATGCAGACCAAGGCACCCGCTCAGCCAACACCACCCGCGCTCAACGCACCCGCTCCGCCAACACCACTTATCTCGTCTCACACGCCGATCAAGGCACCTGCTCCGCCACACACCACCCGCACTCAACCCGTCTCACACGCCGATCAAGGCACCCGCACGCGACCCGTCCCTCTGCAAAGGGCGCAACCTTGCCCCGTCAGGCTGCCTTCGCTGCCTTCGCTGCATTTGCTGAAGGTGTGGGTGACCGGTGATCGGGGACTCACGATCCGCAGCCAAGTCGACGATGGCTATCGGGTCAAATTTTGTCCGGTCCGCCGAATTGAACTCAACGACCAGGAACGCTTCTTGACGTTCCATTTCTCGGAAGGAACTGAGACGCTGAACGTGGAAACCCCATCAATCAACCCGAGTCAGCCGATCAAGGCCCCCATATGTCCATGGCAGCAAACCTGCATGGATCTGGTTGCCGCTGGCTCCCTGAGGGTCAAAGTTTTGGAAGAATGCATCGTCAACAAACAATTGAACGGCTTCATCAACCTGACCAGACGCCACAATGAAAACCAACCCCCGGGAATCAACATCAGCCATGCACAAATCCTCACGCTTGAGGATTGAAATGTATCTTTAGATACTTAGGTAGACTATCTAGCATAGTAGGGGCAAACATGGCGCACATCGCCGGAATGTACTTTAAAAGCGCAAAGTTAGGAGTAGCATGGGCGCATGGAATATCAACAAATACGATATATGTACAAATAAGTCCATGGTCAGGGTTGAATCAAACACTTCATTCCGAGCGTTCCTCTAGAGAAATCGAAACAAAACACGCTTTATCACACATGAATGCCGCCGCCCGCCCTGTCCTTTCTCGAGATGCAACGCTATCCTGAAACCGGGAGGAAAGAAGAAACGCCGTCAAGCAAGGGAACCCTCTGCAGCATCCAGAAACGTTGCTACCATGTCACGCAAAGTCTTTGGACTATGCTGCAATGCCATTCTCTATCATATGAGTGACGAAGGCCACCATATCCATGTACGGTTGCCTACCGTGGGTGTCTTCGAAGATTCCCGCGGGGATTGTAGCTCGGAGGAGGTTGTACTGTCCTTGAGTTACAGGGCACTGTATCTTCTGCACTTTGACATGGTCGTATTTGTCTTCATCACTGTCCTCATCGTAATTCCCACCCTATAGTCCTCCCATTGCCCTTGGAGTTCATTGGCAACATGCAATACATCGGTGTCGAGAGAGGCATCTCCGCTCAACCTTTTCAATTCCATCCCCTCAATCCAGAGCTGTCGCGGGGTTCGGTTGTTTGTATAGGGACCCTTGATACTATGGTGATTCCATTTCCCTACGAACTCGTACGAGTACATTTGAATGAGGAGCAGGTATATGTAGTGCAAACACCACATCTGCAACTCGTCATCATGGGATAAATCTCCGTTATGTTCCAGCGCGCGCCAGCTGGCGCAAAATATTCTACCGACATTTCTTTGCACGTCCTTCCAGAGGCGTTCGATGCGTTGATTGTGAACGGACTTGCCTGTCAGGAATGAGGTTGGGTTTCCTCGAGTTACCTCCATCATGAAGTCGCGGATGCCGAGGTTTTCGCTGCCTTTGTCGCATCGGACGCGTTGGGGACAACCCAACTCCGCAAGGGCTTTTACAAAGGGTGCCAGCACGGTTTCTTTCCGGTTATTGTCCGCGACTTGGAGATGCGTAATCAACCTAGTTTTCCCATCGAGGCCACCATGAACGACAAATCTCCAGTTGATCAGCTTGTGCCATCCATCCATATGCCACAGTGACTTAGGATGAGCCACCCAGTATTCCACTCGCTCAATCTTCTTTTTAGTGCGGGCATCGACTCCTGTTGGGTCCACCAGGCCAAGTACATCCCAAACCCGTTGCCTCGTCACGCGGTAACCTCGCATCCTCAGGTCACCTTGCAACAGTTGGCCTCCGTCATGAACCACGAATGTTGCCTTCAGGTCACGGACGAGTAGTTCCAAATCCTCGTCCGATATCTGCCACCAATATTCGCGCCGGCTAAGATTTAAGCGTTGAAGCCGCCGCTTGATTGTGGCCTCACTGACGCCCATATACATGGCAATCACGCGGTTGGAGAGGCCCTCTCTGTACCAGTGGAGCATCTTCGTTTCGTCGATCTCTGCGGGCGGCCGCCCTCTTGGCCGGTATTCCTTGTCCTCTTCCTGTTCATCCGAGTTGTCGAATGACTCGTGCCAGCCGGCGGCTGCGGCTGGGCTCCATACGCCGGGCGGACTTTCAAGTCGCTCAAGAACGGTCCCCACCTGCCACCGGGCTTGATCCAGAAGGATGGTGAAGAAGTTCGGGTTCCGGTCATCCTCGCCGCCAAAGTGACCTAGAAGTGTAGACAATCGACGGTGGTGTTTGTCGACAACAGTTTGCTCCACATATTCCCCATGGTCTCTCCTCTCCGCTATGTCTCGAGCTTGGCGCATCATATCAAGTATGCTTTCTAAGAACCATTCTGTTTCGGTCCACTGCCACCCGCTCAGAATAGAAGCTATACGCAAGGCCTTGCAGGTCAAGAACAAGTCGATTACCCGTCCGTCTTGACAATAAAGCGAAAACTTACCCATGGTTTACAGTTAGGGACAGCTTGACCCTGAGGATTCGTTCGATGTGCTTAGTATGAGCGATGGCTATAAGAGTATTTGTCGCACTTTGGGTGGTCGGTTTCGCAAGGCGTTAGCACAGATAGCAGTTAGTAACAGACCTCCGGCTGTTACCAGCTGTGAGTTATCTGTAAATTGTCTGCTTACGTAAGAATTTTCCTGGGAAATCTTACGTAAGCAGAGAGACAAAACCGACTGTCACTATCAAAACGTCCAAAAAAAGTTTCGGAATCCTGCACTTCTCGAAAAAGATGTTGGGACGCGCGATCCAACGCAAAAAATATCCAAAATCCATTTATGACCCTGAATGCTCCCCATAAAAGCCTTCTATGGCGTTGTCGTTGCCCACTACCGTCAAACATTCAATACTGTCGATGGCCGCCGATGGCCGCCGACGCTGTCAAAACACGCTAATTGAAGGCATGCCTTTGTATGATTTAAGCTTAACGCTGGACCGCGACAGGCCATGTCAACCTGCATGTCAAGAGTTCATATATAGAAGGCATTGAATTGAATCGAAAAACAAACGTCAAAGCGATCGAGATAAATACAGGAAGAAAAGCTGCTTTTAAATGTTATTTAGGTTGCATAAGGCTTTCTCTAACTCGAAGATTGTCAGATCATCGACGAAGGTTGCTTCTCCGATTCCGTGCATCAGAGGGGTGCGCTGAAACCCCCCTCGGCCAGCCGTAACATCCTTCAAGCTTTGCGCGCAGCAGGAAGATGTCAGCTTGGGATGGGAGATGGCCAACCCGAGATTCCTCATAAGGTTGATAACCCGCACGGCTTCCGCTGAAGAAAGTAGGCCTCGGTTCCGGGCAACGATTGTCGTCAACGCCATGTCTATGCAGACTGCTTCTCCATGCAACAGCGACGACTCGGAGGAAAGAGCGGCCATTTCCAGACATGGGGAGAACGTGTGACCGTAATCCACAACACGACGGAGGTTGAACTCCCATAGGTTAGGCTACAGCCAGAAGCAGTCAGTAGAAGCAAAACGACAGACTCTGCAAAGCTTCTCGTACCTCTAATTCCTCCAGCATTCCTTGGATTGCCCGTCGCATTATTTCTTCGCTGTTCAAGTAAACATCGCCTTTAAAGGAGGAGGGGTCCTTCGCCATTTCCTCCAGCAGGACGAAAAGTTTGTAATCTTTAACACATGCCATCTTGAGGATTTCCGCGGAACCATTTCGGACATGGCGGTCAGCGAGGGTTCTGAGGAAGCTGATGTCAACGAAGACAGCCAGCGGGGCACAATAAGTCCCGATCTTGTTCTTGCCGCCGTTGAGATTGACGGCCGTCTTCACACCGACTGCCGCATCAACCATTCCTATCAGGGTGGTGGGAACCTTGATGATGGGGGTATTGCGGCGATACAGGTTCGCCGCCAGACCAGCAATGTCGAGCGTTACTCCGCCACCAATAGCTATGATCGGCTCTCTGCGTCTGCAACGTGTTTACAACATGTGTAAGTTCGTACATGTGATCATGGATATCGGGAAGAGACAGAAAGTACCTGTCAATGTTGAACTTCTGCATCGCCGTGCAAATGGACAGCACCTGCTCAATGTTCTTGTTTTCCTCGTCCGGTTTGATGCGATGGAGGGCTATCTGAACATTGTGATGGGCGAAGTACTGGACGAGGAAAATCAGTGGTGTCGGCGTAGATGGTGCATACAATGGGGCAGAAGATCTAACCTGCTGCAATGCGGCGTTATACAAATCGCACACATTTGCGTCAATAACTATGAACCGACGAACTTGCGTGGCGGATGACGGAAGAGAAGTGGCTGTGCTTAACTGTGGAGGGTGTGCATCATCAACTGTGCGCAGAAGTGTCTGTAAAGAAGGCTTCAGCGTCGAAATAACCAGAAATCTATAGTCATGCAAATCGTTTGGGCAACATGAAACTAGACAGTTTGCAATACCTTGTTGACAATATCGAAGAGGGGGGTAACCACTTCGATGGTGTACCTCACGGGCATGACAGCTTCGACCATAAAGGTACCGGTGCTAAGCCCATCCAACCCATTCCCAGCCAAGCCATTCAAGCCGACAAGATTGCACTCGGGATGGTGTTGAAATTTCACGACCGATGCATCCTCTTCCGCAATGCTCACACCACTATCCCTGCGGAAGTCAGCATTGACCTTGGTTTGCAGCAGTATTTTATCGGTGGTCTGTTCCATTTGAACGTGAAGGGGCACTGCCACTAGTGCGTTGTCGTTGAAAGGCATGACGAATTGATGAGATGTCGCCACTGTTGGCCGGGATGGTAGGTATTCTCAATTATTCTCAAGCAAGTCGATGAGAACGGCTCTATTTGTCGATGTATGTCGCCCTGGGCAACTTTATAGATATCGGTTTCGGGGGAAGTTCTTCCTCGGGTCTTTTTCCCATCTTCTCCCGCTGTTGCATGTTCTCTCCATCTCGCATTTTTTTCCGCTGTATCTCATCAGCAAACTGGACCGATTCCTTCACTGCAGTCTTGCAAGAGGGGGGTGTTACATGTGCCATCTGGCCATTTCATGTTCAGCCGCCTTGACCAGGCACGATCGTCGCCCGCCGAGCCCAATCTGTCGCCTTCCACTGGACGGATACCCTAGGGAAGCCCATGGGATCATGAAGCTAACAGGATCTGTGGTACGGGGTGGAAAATCATCAGGTTTCGACAGCGCGTGCGCCGTCAAAGGGCAATTTCCACGCATAGACCCGTCACAAAATCTATATAGAATTGAAATTTGAGACACCTATACGCCTGATATGAAGAATCTACCAACCTCCAAGGGGCCAGTTGGAGATTAAGAGTCCTGGTGCAGCGGGTTCTACATGAGCATAACATTTTCCGCAATTAAGGGTGATGATGGCGGCAAACAGGTGTTGCGGCGGGAGTTGCGAGCTTATCTCTTGGTATCCCCCGCTACTTTTTCCGCCGAGCTCTGCTACATGTGATCGTTGAGGAACGCCTCCGAGGGGGTACATCATGATTCTTGATAATGAATGCCCTTGCAGGTTGCAGCGTGTCACCTGCGACAATGAATCTTCGAAGTTTTTGCCTTGCCGTCGGGGAGGGTTTTTCCGTGCGCCAGTATGTATCTTGATACCTTGGTAACAGGACGAGCGATCATAGAGCCTGAGGGGGAATAAATGGTAGCAAAAAAAGGAGCAGAAACTTCGAAAAGTGGTTCATATAATTCTGAGGAGAGACTACGATCTGCCTAACTACTGTCCATTGCATTTGCTTCAACATGCCACCATCAGCGTCAACGGGTCGGTCTGGGTCTTTGAGTAGCGTCGACAACAGGAGTATCGCTAGCCACTTAGCCCTGCCGTCTGGAAGGGCGGCAGACACACCGCTGGAAATCGCTGCGTGCCTCCTCCGCCGCAGCCTTGAGAGCCCCAATGAACTGGATTTCGTGAAACAGGCTTTGCATATTATAGAAGGAATCGATGAATACACCGCCGCTGCTTCAACCCCGGCTAGTGACTCGTTACTGAAGCATGTGGAGACAACAATGCGACAAGATTGGGATGCGGTTTATCAAAATGTATGTGAAGTCTTTGGCGCTGCTGCTTGCCTATGTGTTATGCCATCGCCTGAGATTGCATATATTTTCAAACAGGGGCATACAAAGTTTCACCAATCAGCCAATTGTTGCGCCGGCAGTTTTGAGGCTGCCTTTGTGTCCTCCATGGTGTCCGCCACTCGAGCTACGCGAGTTTTGGAAGTGGGAATGTTTACTGGAACCACAACAATGGCTATAGCCGAGGCATTGCCAACGCATGGCAAGGTGGGTGCGTCGCGGCTCTTGATCCGAATGGTGATCGCATATTGATTTTCTTCAAAAGGTCTACACATTGGAGATTGAACCCTACTTGGCGAAACTTGCGCAAAACGCTTTTGATGCTGCAAACTTAGCGGACAAGATTGAGATCAAGCTCGGAGACGGAGCCGAGTCGCTTAGCAACCTTGCTCATCAGGGCATTAGTTTTGATCTGATTTTCATCGACGCGGACAAGCAGGGATATCGAAAATACTATGATACCATCATGAAGAGCGGCCTGCTCTCTCCCAAAGGAACATTGATTGTTGACAATACACTCTTCAAGGTACGTCTGAGACTGCTCGACTGCCGGACTGAGAAAACTCGACTGCTAACACTGGTTAAAGGGAAAGTACCTCTTGAATCAACCAGTTTCCGATGACCCGAACGCAGAAGCGCTTCGCCTGTTCAATCAGCACGTGCTGTCCGACAAGCGAGTCTCAGTAGTTGTGCTTCCCATTCGCGACGGTGTGAGTGTGATCACTCGGCGAAGGTTTGTTCCTTTCTGCTTTCCACCTTTAATGAGGCCTGCGTAACTCGTCTTATGCCCTTCCTCTTAGCAGTCAGCAACCCGATGCATCGAGCGATTCCGTCATTTTAGGCGAAGGAGGACTTGACATACTTCAACGACTAAAACTTTCGGACAAAGTATCCCTTGTGACTGGTGCGGGGCAGGGAATTGGAAGGGCATTCGCGCATGCGCTGGGCGAGGCTGGTGCGGCCGTCGCTGTGGTCGATATAGCGAAAGTCAAGGCAGAAGTGGTGGCGAAAGAGTTGAAGGCTAAGGGCATTAGGAGCATAGCTGTTGGAGCCGATGTTACGAAGAAATCAGATTGTGTTCGGTGAGCAATGACGTATTGCATCCCATCGATGTTCCTGACACTAATGTCCAATGTTCCAGAATGGTCGAAGAAACTCTCACTGCGTGGGGCCACCTGGATATTGCGGTGAATAACGCCGGAGTGAACTTCAACGGTGCTGCGGAAGACATTACCGATATTCAGTGGGATACAACGTTCAATGTCAACACGAAGGGCGTGCTCTACTGCTGCCAGGTCCGCGCTGCCTCCTCAATATTGGCAAAATTGGTATGGTGCTGACTCAAGATGTTCCGACAGGCTGAGGCGAGATACATGCTACAAAGTCAGCGACCTTGCTCCATCATCAACACCGCGAGCATGGCCACTCTTCTTGTGCCGCACCCGCAGAAACAGGCGGCATATAATAGCAGTAAAGCTGCCGTTGTTAAATTGACGCAAAGCCTTGCGGTCGAATGGGCTGACCGAGGCGTACGAGTAAACGCTATCAGTCCTGGAATCGTAAACACTGCTCTGATCCAGGTTGGTAGTAGCATTGGAGCGCTTCACGTCGTAGATGTGCTGACGACAAATATCCGGAACAGGAAAACCCAGATCTCAAGCCTCTCGTGAAGACTTGGCTGGGCCAAATCCCGCTGAATCGCCTTGCTGAGGTTACAGATCTGCAGGCGGCCGTAGTGTATTTGGCCTCGGATGCAAGCTCGTATCTAACTGGGCAGAACTTAGGCATTGAGGGAGGACAAAGTGTGATCTAAGCTCTGAAGTATATTGCCTAGATGCTCATGCAATCCCCATCTTGGTTCCTGGCATTGCAGTTTTCATGCTCGGATATTGAGGAAACACTTCCATTTAGCCCGCTGCAGCGCGCCATCATGGGAGAATCCTTGCTCTCAATCAACAGGGTTCATTTGACAGGTCCCAAAGACGACGCGCTGTCGATTTCTCTCACGGTTTCGATTTTCCGCTATTATTTTCCAATGACGTTCAGATATCCCGTTGTGCCGAACCTGACGTCCACCTTGCGTATTCGTATATAACGGAAGCAGATTCTCTTTGTTTTCCTGCCGCGCGCGCGGCGTCAGCAAAAGTATCCCGAAGCATGAGTATCATTTGACACAGAGTGTCAAATATATGGCGCCTTCGGTATTTGGGCGGTCAACCAGTGGGGTAGCGGCGTAGGCTGTGAGGATCTCTCTGAGTTATCGTCGCTCGGTATGGCGTACGTTTGCCCCAAGTGAGAATGAAGTAACGTTTATAGCTATATCCCCTCATTTTCGGTATTCGACAGCTTACAACATGGACGACAACGTGACAAGTCTACCGCCTTCGTCATTAGGATGTCACACCCGACGGCTATAGGCGAAGGTGAACGAAGATGTGCGGAGAGGGAAGCAGGAGAATGCGACTTTGATGGGAGCTTTTCCGCTCCGATGCCATGGCATGGATCCTTGACGAGGGGGATATAGGATTGGGCATGTTCGAGCGCCCCGGCGTGTGAGCAAACAGCAGCCGTTCCCGAAGTCCATGCACAGGCCGATTGCCTTTTTTAAAGCGAATCATGGGGCCCCTCAAGGAACAAACCACGCTGTCCACGAAGCTTTGGACTGTCATACAAACGATATCGGTGCTGGTTCTTCTGCAATGCGTCTTACTGCCCATCAACCTTTGGATCTGTTCGACGACCGACGTGTTTCGCGTTTTCGCATCCCCGATCCGCCGCTCCAAGTTCCGTTCTCATGACTTCGCTTCTCCCCAGAAGACGGTTCTCATTGACGGGGGCCGACTTTCCAAGGGGCTCCTACTCGCCCGGCTTTGCAAACAAGCAGGCTACCGTGTGATCTACACCGCCACGCCGCAAACATGCTTTTCGGGTGCCCGGTTTTCCCGAGCCGTCGACAGATTCTACGTGATCCCCAATCGAGCAAACGATGATTACGTAGCGTGCGAAAAGGATGTGATGAAGATTATGCGCAGGGAAAAGGTCGACGTTTACATGCCGGTCAGCACAGCTAGCTCGGCGGTCGGGGATAGCAACATCGCGGACAGTGTCCGGAGGGCTGGGCATCGGGCTGTAGCGTTGGGAAGTGCGGATGCACAAAGGTTGGACGATAAGCACCTGTTCGGGCAATGGGCGAAGGAGGTTGGGTGTGATGTGCCGGTAAGGAAGCGGAATCATGTTTCGATGAGTCGTTTCATTTTGACTGATCGGAACATCAGGAATCGCATCAAGTCACATCTCCCCGAGATATGCTCGTCACTCTCGCGAAGCTCTCGTCCGGCAGCACTGAACCCTCGCGCTTCCAACTCAAGAGCATTCAATACGATGACACGCATCGCACGGAGACCGTCTGCTCGTCAGAGGTGTCCAAGCCTGAAGTGCAAGCTAGAGTTCTGTCGTTGCCCATCAGCAGAAGCACACCGTATCTCATCCAGCGCCACATCAGTGGCAAAGAGTACTGCACCCATGTGCTTGCGCTCTCCGGGGATGTATTGGCTTTGGCGATATGCCCCTCATCGCCCTGGCTGTTGCAGTACAAGCATGTGGAGCACGCGGGCATTAGCGCATGGGTGAAGCGGTTCGTGCGCAACACGGGATTGAGTGGGCATGCCTGCTTCGATTTCATTGTTGAGGACGGGACTGAAATCGTGTATGCGATTGAGTGCAATCCCCGGGTTTCAACCGCCATCGCTTGTTTCAGGGGTTCTGAGCAGTATGGCAAGGCATTGGACCATTTCCTCGATAACCCGAAGGCGGAAGAACATTCGGCTGACGCAAGCACGATCACACCGCATCATTCTATGGTAGCCCAGCACTGGCTATACCATGAACTGCTGTATGAGTTGCCCCGAACATTCTGGTCGCCAACAGCTGCGCTCAATCGCATCCTCTTCATCGTAAAGAATGAGGACGCTTTGTATGATTTCGATGATCCATGGCCGTTCTTTGCTCAAAATCATTTGCTAATCCCACAGCAGTTGCTGTGGCATCTCTGGCATCTGAGGCCGTGGACCCACATAGATTACAACCTCGGTCGCCTGATCGATTGATGAACTGCGCATTGTAGCGTGTAAATATCTTCTACAATTACATCTACTGTGACATTTGCCAAAGACGAATTATGTGCGGTTCCAGAAGCCCCACTTGCACATGTACATGTAGATGCCCGCGATGCGTACGCCGTACTTTCAAGTTGTGTAGCACAGGAAGGCTGGAGCAGGCTTCTTAGAGAGTACGGCATGTTATAACTGCAGCTCATGCCGAGCTTCTCCGGTGGGTGCCGCTTTCATTGCGGCTCGTCTCTTGTAGTTCGTCGGCAGTAGCTCACGCAAATCGTCAGCTACCACCATCGGAGAGGTGTGCCTAGCCGAGATCGTGACAACGAGAGATTTTCAATCGTCAGATCCATGAAGGCCAGCGGCTGTGACCATAACCATCTTGACCGTGTTCATGATGGAGAAGACGTGAGGCAATCCGTGGGAGGTCTGGAGTTCAGCAATAGCATTTTCCTGTTATCCGGAATGAAGTTTATCCGGAATGAAGTACGGAGTGCGCCTAGGAAATAGGAGCGATGAGTCAGCAGTCGGAGTTGTCGAGCATCGTCCAATATAGAGATCCCTCACCTGCACGCATCCCAGCGAACAATACCGATACATGAACTTCTCAAACGGCGTGCAGTTCGACAATGACTTGCCACAAGCCGCACACTGATTCATCCGTCCCCTAATCCGAGCCTCAGCCGCCAACGCCCTCTTTTCCCGATCAAGCGCCATCCGCTGCTCCGGTGTCAGCCCAATCATTTCCCGTTCGGTTTTGTTCAGTTTCGCCAAGAGCGGTCTCCCACTGGAGGAGGACTTCTGCGGTTCGGGCTCGGGCTCGGACGCCGATTCCTTCTTTGCCGCGTTGTATGCCTTCTGCTTTTCTTTTGCTTTCTTCTTTTTCTCCTTTTCCTTTTCCTTTTGTTGCTGTTCCATTTCGGGTGTCAAGGGACCGGGTACGTGAGCTTCTTTCCAGTCCCACCGCTCGGGCTCTTTTGCCATGTGGCGACGGAATGCATCACGCGTTTCCTTCGAACTTGCTGCATCGTATGGCCTTAGACTCTTTTTTTCCGCAGCTTTGGTTGGGTCGGCACCAAGGTCGAGAAGGAACGCGACAAGCTCAGGATGGTTGTTGCTCGACGCGATGTACAAGAAGCTGGTCCCTGCAGAATCAGGCAGAACCGCGTTGATATCGAACGTCGGTTTCGATTGCAAGAACCCCTGTACAACCTCGATTTTGCCTCGTTTGCACAAGTCGGCGAGCTTAACCAGCTCGGGGTCCAGCGCCGGCTCCTCCGCTTTCGGCTCCGACGTCGCCTGAAGCGCTGGCGAAGACCTTCCTGAGACGGGAGCTTTTGGCTTTGGCGGAGCTAGCGTTGCGGGTTCAACCTCTTTGATATCCTCGATAGTCACCGTGGACAGCTCCTTGAAACATCTCATCAACTCTCCATGCGTCGGACGTCGGGTGGTGAATGGGAAGGATCGGATCCTTTCATCGGCACTACTCAATGGGCTATCCTCGAAGAACAGAGTCCGCCTATTCTGAACGGATGAGCGGATGAAAATCAGCTCGCTGCCTTCAATTTCGCTTCTCCATTGAAGCAACAGATCGTGGATGTCATCCTGGAAATGCCAACCCATTGTCAGCGGTCCCGCCACGCGAAAGTACGGCTCAGATCATTACGTACCTTCAGAGCCTGTTCATTGTATCGACGGAGCATGGCTCCCGCACTTTTGGCGGAACCTTTCGCGCTGTCGTTCCTAAACCAAGCGTTAGGCATGATTCCCCATCACGACGCACACTCATCCGCAACACATACTTGCTCTGGGCTCCTCCTTGCTTTCTCCTCGTCGTATACCGATGGAAAGTTTTCTGCACCACAGACTTTCCCGACGCGCAATCGATAACCGTCCCCGCAAAGTGCCCCGCTCCCAACATGAGTAGCGTCCAATGCGTCTTTCTCATATCCCCATCATGAAGCTTCTTGACCACGGAGGCGCGGTCCAGTCCAGCAAACCTCTTTTCGCCCGACACAATCTGCCTAAAGAGCCTCAGCGCCTTTTTATTATCCGGCAATGGAAGCAGGATATACGGCGAGCCTCGTTCTATCTGTCGTCCCGACGCCTTACGAGATGCGGTATCATCGTCATCACTCTCGCTGTCGGAGTCGCTCGCATCGATACTGCTGACTTCCTCAATCTCCTCAAACTCGGCCTCTGAAACAGGAGAGCGACCGGCGACCTTTCGCTGGAGGTTATATCTATGCCAGTCTGCTTTGTAATGTTGGCGCATATCATCGCTGGATGTGAAGGTGACCCCGCAGGTACTACATGACGTCTGGGTCCCGATCGGATTGTTTTCGGCAACGCTCTTTTCCACTGGCCGGGCCGTCTCTTGTGCTGCCTCGACCTGGACGCTGGAGCTGATGGCATCTACCACGGTCGGTAGGAGTTGCTGAAACTGCTTGCCGAACAAACTTAGAACTTCTGGCTGTCCTCTGACCACCATTTTACTAGTCAGCTAGGAAATAACTAATCAGAGGACGCTGCAGGGGAACGGGAGAGGTAGGTAGAAGTAGAAGTACGGCAGCGACGGTGTTTTTGAAGTGCTTTCCGCAATGACAGCAGGCTCAAATGGACCGGTTATCCTCTGTATTGCCCTCGCGACGGACCCGCGTCTGCCGAATGTGAGCGCTGAGGTTATCCTGACCCAACATGGGAACCCGAATCCTCCGAATCCGCACTTCGATACACGCCTGCCTATAACGACGTGAAAGACGGGCCAGATGCCACTGATCTTCGATGGTGATAAATCGAGTTCGTAGGTATCAGGATGCGCTCCAAGTGCGATGATTGATGACGAAGTAGATCTCGGACGTTCTCCAATCCTTCCAATCCTCCCGGGTTGGAACCCAACACTCGAAATTTCGACCCACAAGTTGTATTCTTCTCTTTCGACATGAACTCTCATGCATAGATCTTAAGACCCACGACCAGTAACGCTACGCTCCTGTTGCAGCTGGGTCATCCTAGACTCCCCTAGGTCTAATCCTGTCTTTGTATATGTACAAGCTCATGAAGTTCTCCTTGCTCTCACTCCATCTTGGTCTTCCCAAACCACCCGACCATCCAAATCCCTTGAGCTATCAATGTCCAGCATCCACTGAGGGGCTGCACAAGTGCTCCAATCACGCCCACACCCAAAGTTCCCCATGCTACCCCTCTCGGGACATATCCCGCAACGTTGATATTCTCCCTTATAGAAATCCCCAAAAGTATCATCGCTGCGCCGGCGAGCTCGAACCACCAGGCTGCCATACGATCGTATTGCGGTGCGCCGCTCGAGGTGGGGTCCAGACTTATGCCGGTTATCGAGTCGAAGAGGCCCGAGCGTACCATGGAGAGGAGGGGTGGTCCTAGTCGAGGATGGGTGAGACCGACTAGGATGTGGGTTACACCAGTTAGGACGAGGGTTGCACCGGGGTTGATGGAGGATGGCATTTTGTGCTGGTTTATACGTTGTCAGGTTTGTTGATGTGAGCGATAATTATTGACTGTATACCAATGCTCTGAAGTGGATGCTATCCCCTTTTATATGCAACGCGTCCGGTTTCCGACGCGGAAATTGACGGAAGCGGAGGCATCGGAGGCGGAAGGCTCTTTTAGGGACATGCATGGAGACCCGGGCAAAACGGAACGGAAAGGAGGAGTCTATGTGCAAAGAGGATGTGCTTGAGTTCCTAGGCTCGGGTAGTCACGGCTACGACAGCGCCTCCCGCCGTCTTACCTTACTGCTCCCGCCCTCATTCCTGGTCGGATGGGCAGTCAAGAAATTTGGTCGTTTACGCTTCTGCCACTAACTATACGGCGAGTTTGTTCTTTGAGTTTACGCAAACGGAAGGATCTTTTGCAAGAACGAAGCATGCGCATGGTGTATTGAATTAGTGAACTGAAAGAATCGTCTCCGAGGGTATATATGTACATGAAGGGTCAAAAAATCCGTTACGCCGTATGCCGAAGCACCTATCTTAGATACGCCGGTTGAAAGTACTCCCGACATATAGCTACCGCGTCGCAGCCAGATTCGGCGTCGAATAACTTGGCGGGGTATCCATGTACACCGTCGCCGCGCTCTCCAACGTCGCCGTCCTCGGCATTTCTCGCCACAGATCCCACATCCGGCCCGATCCTATTCCCGGGGAATCCGGCCCCACATTCCGAAACGTGCTTGTCGACGGCCTCGACTGCTCCACATCAACTCCCACCACTAACTGCTCATGCTCCAAATCGTTGTACACAATTTCAACCGGTTTAGTGGTCGTTACTTTAGGCCGGAAGAATAATTGGCGCGCTGGTTCGGCCATTCGATACCCAACCCATCCTAGGAATACAACGGCTAGTATGCCGACGATGACGAATACGTATTGGACTGGCATTTGGTTGCTTTTGAGGGCTATTTGGTTCGAAGAAGAGTCGGGTGTGCTTGGGGAGGGAGAGGGCGAGGAGGAGCTTTGGTCCATAATTGCCGAGTGATTGGTGTGTGATACGGTGATACGCAGAGGTGAAGGCGAGACGATAGTTGTCGGCAGGCTTTTGCGTGCGTTATACCAAGTTCGTCGTCGGGAGTCCCTTTGTTCACCCAGCCGCTAACAGGAACTTGAGGTAATTCCAGAGGAGCTTCCGAATTCGACGTGTGTCACTTGTAGCTCTACGCTCCGTAAGACTATTTGATATCTACGACCTTGAGAGCAGACGGACGGTCGTTCGAACGAATGGCTGCGAAACTGCCGAGCTGGAGGGAGTCTTGAATGCAGGAGGTTATGTGAGACACGGCAGGAGGGAGTTGTGGCTGGCTCGCCCCTATGTATTGTATTTTTTGCGCAACATTTGAGCGCGGTGACGAACGCAGAATTCGACAAGCGCTGGGCGATCACTTCCGCCAACAGGGCCCACCATCTCGCGTTTCTTTTTGTCCCCATAGAAAAAAAAAGTTGTATCGGGACGGCAACGAAAACGTGAGCGCCGTAGGTTTTTGCATTCCGCTGGGATGGACAATATTCCAACCGCCTTTTTTCCACCTTCGCAGTTGGGGACGCTAGAGAAGGCATCGAAGCGGGATGCCAGTGGTTTGGCTCTTTGATACCGTTGGGCCCAGCGTTGGGCCGGGCTTGACGTGACCGACGCGCGGTAGAGCTGCAGACATGGCGGGCTTACATTACGTCGATGACAACTTTCATGAAGTGTAGAAGTCCTGCATAGGAAGAACTGTAAAAACCCACTTTTACATACGTATACTGGGCTACCATTTGCACACTTAACCGGTTCCCGTGACCAAATATCTCGTCATTAGCGAAACCTGTTTGTCGCGCGCGCTGGAGCAGCGGAGAAGCTGGCTACAGTTTGGGTTCGATATAAGGACCAGGCATACGAACCCGGCCAGAGCTTCACGCAAATAATGAGGAACTCCTTCACCAAGCCCGAGAGGATTGCTTCTGAGGTGGTGGGGCATCAAGTGAGTGGTGGAGCGAAGGCAAATCGGAACAACGGGCTCAATGGACGAAGGGCTTGATGGACAAGGAGGCGGAAAGAGACATCGGTTCCATACCTGCCGCAATGAGCAAGCATGGGCAAGCTTTATCCCTCATCTGACATAGACAATGGTATTGCAGGGAAGCCACAGCAAATCCTGGCGACAAATCTTTGTTCCTGGCGGGGAACTGGTCTCTTCGCTTTCCAAACTGGCCTGCATTGATGCCAATGTCATGCTCACGTACGGTCGTATCGTGGTTGTAGCGCACTTTGGCAGAAGGTATTACTATCAGTCCAATCCGACACTGAGCAAACACCAACCTCCTGAAGATGAAGAGAGTGAGAGTCATATTATTTTCATGCCCTCGCCCTCAACGCCTGACATGTACCCTAGATTCTGTATCTCGACGACTTTATTGGGTACGATCTAAGATCTAGTAAGATTGATGAGGTGACGTTGCGATGTTTCAGCCTGTCAGATAGTAAAGATACTGTCTCCACCTCCCTTTCATACTCGATGAGTCCTTCATCCCACATAGAGGACTCATGAGTCTTTTCATCGCCGTCGTTAAATATATCTTGGCATGCAGATCTGTGCAGTGCAGTCGGGGGCCGAAGATCCAATGTGGGGGTGGTTGTGCAGGGTCGCGCGCAATTGACAGGCGGCCTGAGGTGCTGTCAGTTTCAGTTATGCGTGCAAAATCACAGGCAAAATCATAACGAAAATGCGCGCATCGAGATAAACAACCCCCTTGCAATCGGCGGACCTCCCTACGTAGACAAACCATGGTATATTCCCCACTCTGACTTGCTCTATCCAACGGCCTGGAACCGCTCTTGCCTCTCGCTTCACCGCCCAGCAAGTATGGGCTTTGGGTTCTTCAAGTCGAAGAAGGACGCCACCGGCGGTGGCAACAGGAGCAGCAGCAGCAGCAGCAACCGCCGGACCCGCTCACCATCCCCACTGAGTTTTTCCACTCCGGCTACCAGAGGAGGGTTTGGACATAAATACCCCGCAGCTCCCGGGTCGCCCGTCGACTCGGCCTTCTCCTCGACCGGCTCGTCATCCTCAAAGTCGAATTCGTCGACGGGCTATAGGACCCTGGATCCTAAGGCGGATTACTTTGACCTGGCTGGCGTCGGTGCCGCGTTGCCTGGTGGGGAGGGTGGGAGGGGTGTAAGCGGTCTGTCGAAAGCAACGACACTGGATGCGCCGTCGTTTCTGGACGACCTGGTCTTTGATTTTGACGGGCGGAGTGGGGTGAAAGACAAGAAGAGTCCACACACGACTCGGGAAGTGTCGTCCTCAGGCAGACAAAGGGATTTGGAACCGGTGGTGGAGGGAAATGAGGGAAGATCTCGTGGCGAGCCGCCCGCCAGGCGACGGTACTCGTTCGAGAAAGGAGACGATCTGACTGGTGAGTTTTGTCATCGTGAGTGTTCGTTCTTCATGTCTGAGAACCTTTCATATTAACGTCTTGTCCCGCTCTCAGTTACTGCCCTGGCTGACCGGGCAGTGACCACCCCGGAAGCTATCAGATCGACACGGTCAGAACCAGAGCGCCCGTCCTCTGGGTCATCAGTAACAACGAAAACGAAAGGCCTCAAATCGAAAGCTGCTGATCTGCTCAAGATGAACACGAACCAAAATGCTCTCTCATCACACACCGTCCCAACATCAACAACTCCACAAACTAGCAAAAGCTCCGTCACAGCACCGAAACGTCGAAAGAGCCGGCGAGATGCAGCGCGGGCGCCTTCGCAGTCCCGCAATCGTTACCAAAACGCCCATCAATCCAGCGGAACAGAATCCGACTCTGATGACGACGTTGCGTTAGTCCGCCATGTCGTTTCCAACCCTAATATGTCCGCTGCATTCTCACGGGCAAATCTTAACGCACCGGCTGCACCACCCCAGCGACTCCGGCCTCAAGCGTCCTCGCCCAATCTACGAGGCATGGTGCAGCCGTACAACTCCTCGTCATCGTCATCATCCCACGACCGCCACCCATCCACATCCACAATCTCTCAGTCGTCGTCAACGGCCTCGCCACCGGGCTCCCCGCGGCTAGCACCCTCTGCGTCGAACCGGTCCCTGTCAAGGACGGGCAAACACCCACTATCCCGCTCATCGTCGCGGCGCACCAACGCATCGACAAGCGACGAATCGGATGATGAGGAGGCCCCGCTCTCGAGCGTACGACACCAAGCGATCTCGGATGCCCAACAGCGGGGCAGGCGACGACGCGGAGGTGCGGCCGCGACGCCCGCGATTGTTACAGCCGGGACGGGCAGGGTTTCCACAGACTCGCAGTTTTCCGCACGGTCCAATGCGTCTTCTGCGACTTTGGCCGGCGCGTCGCCACGACGGAAGAACGGAGACCCAGGCTTGCCTCCACCGCCAATGGACAAGGTCATGCCTGCCCTCACACCTCATCTGCAACAACACGCGCATTATCCATCACCATACCCACAACAGCCACCACAACCAACACAGTACTACCCGCAACAGCAGCTCCAACAAATGCCCGCACATGCCTCACCCTCATACACACCCCAGCAACAGGCCATGGCCGTCGCGCAACAGCAGCAGATGTGGAACGCGTACTTCCAGCAAGCCGCTGCGATGCAACAGGCGGTGTTTGTCCAGCAACAGCAGCAGCAGCAGCAGATGCATCAGCGGGCTATGCTGGGGATCGCGACCGCGGACGGGGGTGCGGGGAAGGAGAGGAGTGGGCGGCGGGGTAGGAAATGAGAATGGGACACGTTCGCATTGGACGCGGCGTTGGAATGGCGTCGGCGTACGTTGGTTCTCAGACATAGCTTGGCCCACTGGGGATATAGCATAGGTCAGACTTAACAGACAGACAGGCAGAACCTATATTACCTCCCCGCTCCAGCCCCTTCGGGCTTGAGTTCACATGTGGTTGCTTGAACTCTGGTGATACGGCGGATGTATTCTTTCTGTACATACTTACATACAGACTATTGCACAACTCGACTTTCTTCAATATCTGCTACCTCCGTAGGTATCATCAGTAAAACATTTTGATTCAGACAGCAAAAGAGACCCCGATATGCGGTATCGAAACATCCCCAAGATGTGCGATCCTCACACCTCCACCGCGGTATTTAGGCACATAGGGCACTGAAAAATCGAATTTGCATTGCACTACGTATGTACATACAGATTATACAGATGTTGGAGGAAAAGCAAAAGACTACGCCGCGCATGACATAGAGGGAAGAGACAGAATCCGAGTGGGGAAGAAAGTCCTACGAAAAAGGCCGGCGAAAGGGGGGTATGGCGAAATGATGGATATATACACGCCGGTCCCATTGCGCGGTGGGAACTGAAAAAGTGAAGTGGGTGTTCAATGCAAGGTCAAGTCCGGGATATCAAGGGCATTGTTGCTCTGCACAAGAGTTTGGACCGAGAGTCTTAGTGTCTGTCGAGGAAAACTCATCCTAGAATGCTTTGCGGAAATACGCCGCTGAGCCCTGTTCGGGTATTCACGCCAGATGCCCAACCGTCGTTGAATAGTTGACTATAAAGCGAGATGCGGAGTGGCTTGATGAATAGATGCCCATGCCATGTAGAAAGGTAAGAGACAAAGGCTCTCACCTGATCTCAATGGTATCCCCGGGAGCAATCTCAATCTCATCTTCCTGGCCAGGGGTGAATCCTTTCATCGCTTCCCTTCTGTCGAAAGTCGGGCTACCTCCGTTGGCCGAGCCAGCCGCTCCAGCCGCCGCCGCCGCACCCAAGCCTCCCGCCGCAGCCGCGGCTCCATACGCTGGGTTGTACCCATGCCCATGCCCGTCCACGTTCAGCACGTCGTGGCTGACCGGACCGTCCCCGGGATTGCCGTACATATAATACGGCGATGGCCCACGCTGAGCGCCGTATTCGTCAACGTAACCAGAGAGCATCTGTTGTCCTGAGCCACTCGAATACGGGCTGATGGCTCTCATCGATTGTTGGGAGGGACTCTCACGAAGACTGCTGTCGTGCCCAACTACCATGTTCTCGTGGATGGCAGGAATGATGGATGGGGAGTCAGACCGAAGGACTTTGCTGTTGGCCCCAAAGAGACCAGTCATAGGCTCGTTGAAAGGTAGATCGCGGTCATTGGCTTTCGCGCGTTTGTCGCGCAAGTAGCGGTAAACGCTGGTTCCCAGCACTCCGAGAACAACGAGGCCAAAGAGACCTCCGACAATGCCTCCGATAATGGGTCTATCACCAGACGAGTGAATACATCTCTCAAAGCACTCAATCATACATTCGGGAACCATGAAAACCTACCCCGTGTGAGTGGTACTCCCACCATCTTGCAAATTGCCGATATCTATGACGAAATAGGATGAGCATTCCGCCGGAGCAAAGCGAGCATGAGGGTTCATGGATTGCATACCTGATCTGCCGGTCGTGACCGGCAAGGGCGTCGATGTGACGACAACATCATCAACCCATACGGTGGTAGTAGTTCTGACAGCACCGTTAGAAGTATACACGAGAGCTGAGCTGCGAGTCACAGGAGTAGTGTAGACGGTCGGCGACGGTGTGAACGTGGTGAGCTTCGCCGGATCTTTCGGAGGAGGGGCGGGGTTGGTTGTAGGCTGAGTGGGAGGATTGGTAACTGGATTGGCAGTTGGAGGTCGAGTATTAGTCACTGTTTCAATGATCGGGGGATTCGTCGGGGAGGGTTTGGGGGAGGGGGAATTGGAAGGGGTATCGATCGGGGGGATTGGGGTATTGGGGCGGGTGGTAGGGTCCGGGGTATCAGACCGAGTAGCAATTGGGGTATTGATTGGAGTATCAACAGGGATATCAATTGGGGAATCAATCGGGCCAGCGGGAGTACCAGTTGGGGGAGCAGGCGATGCCGGCGGAGAGTCGACAGGAGATGGCGCAGTCGGGCCATTCGGACCGTTGGTGGTAGGTTCGGGAGGAGGTCGAGTGACGGGGGAATTGGGAGGGGGGTTGGGGGTAGGGGAGGGACGATCAGTAGGAGACGGGCTTCCATCTGTCAAAGCTATAGGTTAGCCAGAAGGCTCCTACGCCACGACAGGGACAGAATACGAAATCTGAGCAAAATGCATACCTCCTCCGTCGCTGGGTGGGAGTGTGGTTGGGCGCCCACCATCATTACCTTTGTTACCAGAGACGAGATGGGATATGTATTAGGAACAATGTACGCCAGGCACAACCATAAGCAAACGTCATACCTGGTGAGTTTGTCGGGGAGTTTGTCGGTGGAGGAGGTGGCTCGATTGTTGGGGGAGGGGTCGGGGGCCTTGTCGTAGGAGGAGGACGCTCGGTTGTCGAGGGCTCGTTTGGACGGTCGGTTGTAGGGGGAGGTGGAGGAGTAGATGGACCGACTGGCGAAGCTGGTGTCGGTGAATCTGCAGGGTTCCCAGGACTAGGAGCGGCATCACTAGGACTGGGTGCAGGTTTCCCAGGACTAGGAGCGGCATCACTAGGACCAGGTGCAGGGTTCCCAGGACTAGGAGCGGCATTGCCAGGACTAGGAGCAGGAGCATCAGGGCTCTGCGCTGGGGGCGCCGGTGCGGGACTCTGGGCGGTGGCGGAGCCCAGGATGGCAACAAGGGCCATCATCAGAGCGACGATGACCCGGAATGGCATGTTGAAAAGCATCTCCCTTGACGGCTTTGGTGAGCCCCAATTGCTGTTGTGTGTTGATTCCCGGATCTCTAACTTGGTTCAAGTTGAGAAGAGATTCCTGTTCGTGGTGGTGGTATCGATATAGCGGTGGATATTTTTGTTGGGGCGTGAGAAAGGGGAACTCTCAGGCAGATTCATATACGCTACATCATACTGTACAGTACAGTACGTATGTACGTACTGTAGATAGATCATATGGAGGCGGATTTCACGGGCACTGCCGCATCCAGGTGGTGCCCAAAAGGCGTCCCTCGCGAGTCGCAGCCAAGCGCTCCAAGCGCCCTCCGGGTAATTTTGAGTGGAATTGACACTGATTTTCCTAAAATCGCTATGAACCATACCGACGGGGAAATCGTACGGGTGTGCTTGCAGGTCCGCTTTGTCCATTCGTTCAGGGGCACACCATCCAGCTCAAGGACATTCACGGAGGAACGAGGTGCAGGAGTGGATGGAATCATGCGGGCGCACGTGACGGAAAAGGGAGATTATTTACGAAGCTAGGTGCCCCATATGGGCACGGCATTCTCCTTTCCCCTTTCTCTTTCTCTCCCTCCCTTTTTCCCACGCCCGCATAGTCACAAAGCTCAAAGCACCCACCCTCCTCTCCCTGGGATACGTACTGTATTATGTATATGTTTGTGTGGGTCGGAGCCCACGCCGCAATATGATGGCCCCTTTTTCACCCAAACGGCGAAGAGTGCGATGAGCGATGAAGTCCATTCAACGCACAAATCTGATGGAAGGAGGAGGGATGGCTTTCATCAACGCGTTCCCCGGATACAAATGTCAAACGGCAGAATCACCCGCCTCCGCCGCAGCAAGGCTTTGCGCCAACAAAAACCGGTTGCGTAAAATGTCCGTGAGTACCAACCTTGAAACTTCGGAAAACCGATAGGGGAAGAGAGTGTCATGTGCATGGGAAACGATGTTTCTCTGATGGTTTTCTTTAGAGTATATTACAGAACGGCAAACCGCCGAAGATGACGATTATCAAGTTGAAAAGAGCATCTAACTACACAATCATATGAGGGACAAAAAGTTCGCAAGTACGCCGAGAGGGGTTATGTAAAGCTACGGCATACTGTATACAGGGGTACGCGGCGTACGCAAATATAGGGAAAGAACAAGGAAAACTATAGCTCAAGTATCTATGGAGGTGGATAGTACGGCGTAGGAGAGGAAATAGCGGCGGAAGGCAGTGGAGTCGTACGACAATGCGCGAAAGAAGCAACAGCGGTAGTTGGCACAGGTATATAGGCGTCATCGAAATCGTCCACAAGGCTAACGGATGTAATCGCTGCCGTGCGCCCGGTCCGACTGTCTCAGATCATGGTGGAAGCTCTGCCTCCTCAGATCGAAATCCCCGCCGCTCTCCTCATCGTGTAGCGGCAGCGAGCGGATCGAATCCTCATACCCGTCGCCGTCATGCCCATACCCATCGGCCTCCATGCCACCATAGCTGTCTCGGCGGTGGTGAGAGCGAGACTCCTCACCCTCGTAGTCGTCTCCGTCGCCTTCGCGCGGCAGAGTCCCGATCATGATGTTGACGATGGTGGCCGAATCGTCGACGGACTCTGCGTCCGCGTCGATGCCCCCCTTCAGATGGCCGCCTCCCATGCCGTCACCGCCGGACGGCGCATCGTCGTCCGTAATGGTGGGGATGCCGCCAGCCCGCAACGCCGCGAGCGCCGCCGCCTCCTCCGCGGCCCGTCGCCGACGCAGCTTGATGTGTGCGTAGGAGTACCACGCCCCGACAATCGTGACGGGAGCGAGCACGAGACCAAACAGGAGGCCGTATAAGCCGTGGCCTTTACCCCCACCGTCGCCGCCGTCCCCTCGTGGCGGAGGCTTCGGTGTGTTGATAGGGTCGTTGCCCGGACCGCTAGGGGTGCTGGGGGCGGCGTTGGCGTCCGCCGGATTGTACGTGACGAGCGAGCTTGCATTGGCCCAGACGAGGGTATCCTGCAAGGTGGTGAGGTCGGTTTTGAAAGCGGCCAGGACGTCCGGTGCGGCCGTGATGCGGTAATCCATAGAGGCATTGCGGTTTTGCAGGTCGTCGCGGAAATTGATCATCTTTAGAAGCGGGAACTGGGCGCGGAAGTTTCTGTCAAAGATTTGTCGCCACCAGGCCTGCTTGACAGCTAATTCGGTCGGGCCGCCGGTCGGGGGCACGGATTGATTCTTGTTGTCGCGCAGGTACATGGCTCCTGTCGCCAGCAACATGAAAGGAATGTTTTTTCCCGCGGCCGTGGCGTACGTGTTGTAGAAGTTGACGTTACTACGAGTATTGACACCCTGGATGACATCAGACACGAAGGTCTTGTTGGGCAGCTCGTTGCGATCCCACGGATACACGTTCCCTTTGTAGCTGACGGACAGACCGACCCAGGCTGGCTCAAACCCTTGCTGCGGATAGTACGGTGAGTACGGGTCATCGTTCTCGTCAAGGCGACCATCCCCGTTTGTATCCACATTCTTAGGAATGGCTGCGCCGCGTGTCGAGTTGACATTTGCTTTCCAAGGATAGCCCAAACCAGCCTCTGGTGCCCATACGAGCGCCGTTTTATTGGCCATTTCTTCACCCGCTAAGAATTGAGATATTCTGTTCCACGCTGAACTGAACGTCGTTGGCTGCTGGCCCCAAGCGACGCCATACAGAGGATTCGCATTCATGGAAGGTGCGAATACCAGGAAGACCCCTCGCCCCCGCATGTTAAGACCTTTGCAGATATTGACGATTTTCTGGCAATCCGTGTCGGTAAAATTCTTGACGTCCAGACCCTTCCGTGGGTACACATTCAATTGCACGTAGGCGTCCGTCTTGGTGGCATCGATGAGGTCCAGGTGACTCTCGACGTTGTTTGGGCCTTTTGGGATGTCCGTCCGCGAGGGGACATACATGGAAAAGGCAAACGCCGAGAATTGCCTGCCTACTCGGTTGTTGAAGTCGGCGGGGTGGTCAACGTCGTTATCCAGGGTGGCTCCGATGAGGATCTTATTTTCGGGTGGGAGGAGCGGTGGCCCAGCGGGAGGTGCTGGGGTGGTTTCCGGTAGTTCGACGGATGTAGAGGTCGCTTCGGGGTCCTGGGCGAGAACAATGCCGCACATCAGCAGCAGGAGGATGAGAAGGGCGGAACATGGTGAGGAAAGGAACTGGGTGGTTCTCCGGGGGAATCGAGACATTGCGAAAGGGTTTCTCGGCTGTCAGTCGAGTTGGTAATTGTTGTGGTGTGCGGTGGGGTGGTGACGTGGAAGTGCAACGCAGGAATGTCCTTGACTAACAAGAGCTGGCTGGCTAAGACACCTGCGTAGCTTGTCTGCCTGCCGCGTGAGCGTGCCTGCTGAACTTCGCCGTTCCTCTGCTGGCAGACGAATGGAACGTTCTGCCCTGAACCAAGATCGCCGCTGGGAGTGTTAGTTGACTTGGGAGGTGTGAAGGGAGGCCCGCCACCTTACTGGGAATGAAGGCGGACGAGAAACACCTTGTGATGAGAATTAGACCACCCATCGATGTTGCGTTTTGATTTGGGGCTTAGGATTTTGATTAGAACCCTTGCCCTTTCTTTCCAGCGGCAATCAGAAGGGTTCTCCGGGTGTCGCGTGTGTCGGCCAATTTGAATTGCAACGTCAAATTTGACTTTCCTGCGGTTCACATTAGTGCCGCAGGTGTGATCTCGTGTTCTGTGAAGGTGGCCTTCCGGATGCTGGTAAAGCTGAATGATGATCAGAACCGACACCGTGGTTCGAGGACATTGACGGTTCCGCCGTCAACGGAGCTCTGAGCCTCTGACTGATGTCTGCAGCTGCCAATCGCGTGTTCTTCAGGGTGACGTAGCCGCGTCCTTTGCGCGTCACTACGTAATTTCGAGATCGAGCTTTGGCGGCGGCTTTCTTTCGACAGACAAGCCTCTTTACGTTGCCAAGTTCGCCATTTTAACCGTCTACCGTCTCAAGTCATCTGCAGTGTCTCGACTCTCGAGCGCTTCGTCCAGCTGTTCATATAGAGTCAGACATCTCTGGCCCGCACGAACCATTGTCCACCAGGTCGGTTAAGATTCTATAGCTCCTCCGACAACGTCTACACGACCAACGTGAATGACTCGAACGGCCAACATGCCCCAAGAACGAGTGCACGTCCTATACGAAACAAAGTCCGACAGTCTGCGGCACCTGTTACGTGAAAGTCTTTGGGAATGGGGTAAAGTTCTTCACCACATCGTACTGTACTCCGCCGACTTCCGCTTGCTCACCTCTTGCCCCCTCAGTCGCCGTGGTATGTCTCCTCGGCTTCAGCGGAGGACTGGAGTTCATCGACCCGTTCCAGCGGGTAGCTTTCGCCGAGGACTTGAAGATCGTGTACCCGCTGCGCACGCAGACGGTGCCGAGTTGGATGTTGGGTGTGCTGGCTGCTATTGTGCCGCTGGTTGTGATTTTGTTTACGTCGATTTTCGTCAAGAGGAGTGTGTTTGATGCGCACATGTCGACGTTGGGTGGGTGAAGTTCGTGCTTTTAGCAGACGGTGGACTACGAGGATCTTGTCACCAACGACAGATCCCTATCTCTCAAAGGCCTCGCAGTGTCATTAGTCTTCACCCTGATCTTCACACAGATCGTAAAGATCGCCGTCGGAAGTCTGAGGCCAGACTTTCTGGCGAGATGCCAGCCGGTCTGGAAGTACGACGACATGCTAACAGTCACTATGGTGGACAGATGCACGGGCGACGCAGGAGACATCAAGGAAGGACGGAAGAGTTTTTTCAGTGGGCATTCAAGCAGTGCGTATACTTCTCACTTGTCTCACTGATGGTGTGGTGGAAAACTTACTCAGTCCGTTCTCGTACGTCTCATTACAGTGGCATGGAGCGGCTTGGGCTTCCTGGCCATCTACCTCGCCGGCCGCCTCAATCTCGACCGCAAACCTTTGGCACCGAAATACGCCGTCGTCACGATCCCGATCGTAGTTGCCCTCCTGATTTCAATCTCCCGCGTAGACGATTACTGGCACAGATGGGAAGACGTCGTTGTGGGAGCCGTCGTCGGAGCCACCATCTCCGCCTGGTCATACAGCTATCACTGCACGATAGCCGAATCGGTCGTAACCGGCGACGACAGGTCGGCATCTGGAATCGATGATACACATTCTTCCCAGCATCGCGGAAGCACGTTGACCCAGGAGGGCTCGCACGAAAGGCTGCGACCTGGCGCGAGGGTATCGTCCCACCGACAATCCACTGGCGATGTGAACATTGCCGTCGACGACGAGAGTCAGACGGCGGGAGGAAACATCAGGCAGAACAATCGCCTCGAACAACGTAACGGCTCTTTCTTCAGATCTTGAGTCCCCTTCCATCATTCACGATACTAGTCTCTAGGTAGAGGGTAGGGATATCCTCGTAATACTGCCATCGACTTAGGCGGTAGATAATGAAACCCGGCGTATACGATAGACGTAGACCTCAGCCCCCTTCATATAAGGACTCGCTCTCTGATCTGTTTTCTGGTTTTAGATACACTATGTACAGGATACAGGGGATGGTCCGACGCTGAATCACTCCTGCATTGTGTCGCCATCTTCCTCTTCGATTCGTCGTACCTGTACAATGGAGAATTGGATCGAAAACACAGTGAGAAACAGGGCGAGAAGGTGCGACGGGCGAACACTCGAAAACAGTTCCCTGCTGTGCCGAACTCTGTCTGAACTGAGGACACTTACGTAGAGAATGTTGTTACACCTACGGGCGAAACGAAGAGAAAGTTAGTCCCAATCGAGTGGCGCATAGCGTTCGCCCTGCAAAGCAGCAAGTTCCTCCAGACGTACCGAATCAGAACCTCCCCAAGAGCCCCAGTAGACGCCCCATCTATGTACTCCTCCGTGTTCGCCAGCTATGAAAAGGAGATTCTTAGTCTGTGATCCCAGTCAGGGTGTACGCAACCCACCAGTCGCCCATTTTCGTACCTGCATGTTCATGTACGAATCCACAGACACCAAGAAGCCCTTGTACTCCTGGCCCCACTTCAACCTGACCATGATGGGTTTGCCGGTCAGCTCGTTCAGGAATGGCTTGGGGTTTACGGGGACGAACTGCGAGTGGGGAGGGACGGCCGAGAGATCAGTTCTTGAAACTTTGATACGGTCGGCACGGCAATAGGAGAACGGAAGGTCCGAGCTGAGTAGCCCTGCTCAGCGAACGATATGATACTCACAGACATGGTGTGCGGTGTTCTTTGGGGTTGAGTGGCCGAAGATCGTTAGAGCAAGCGCCAGCTGTGAATGTGAAACCAACTAGACCAACTTTGAGCAGCTGCTCTGTGTAGCCTGTGTGAAGGCTCATTAAGGGCGCGGTCCGTGACTTCTCGTCAAGTTGCATCGAATCAGTCGCGAGGGTGGTGGAAGTCACCGACCATGCGCGGGGTCTCATTGCGTGAACTGTTCCCTTGCCTCGAGCCACTCTCCTTTGTTCACAATCGTGATCCTTTTGCACTTTTGTGCTCAACCAGAAGAAGGGAAATAGTGATAGATCCCCAGATACGCTCACGTCAAAAGAGAGGTCTCATATTGAGTTCAGACCGTCGCTTACCTGCTATGGAGTTCTTAGGTTCCAACGTCGTAAGTAGCACTTACAGGACTTCCTGGTGTTCACCGACTCGCAAGACGATGCTGAGGGCTAACGGTCATCGTTCGGGCAATAGCGGCTCTATCTAGCCAGTGGCGTAGTTGTTGATGGGAGGGTCGCCAATATTGATCAGGACACTCAACTGCTGACCTTGCAGAATGGTAAAACAATATCCTTCTCGTTATTCGCTGTCCTCGGAACACAGCTGACTTCTTGTTCCCGATTGCCTCAGTGAGCGCTACCATCAATGGCTCGACGCATCACTATCCCAGCTATCCAGTTTCGGGTCATGATATCAAGGATCTTCAGATTGTAACGGCAGTGGATGCACAAGCTCGTCGTCCTCCAGAACCCCCGCAACCCCCGGCACCTGCCGGCCCGCCTCTTCCCCAACCCCGCTACCAAGAGGCTCCACTGCCTCCTCAGTACCCAGTTCCTGGACAGCACCCTGGTCATCATCCACATCAGCATTTTCATCATCCCCACCAGCACGTTCCGGCACCCCATGGGCCCCCGGGTCCACCAGCGTTCCCGTACGCTGCTCAGCCTGAACCGTTTCATCAGCATCAACCCCCGCCGCATCAATTTCATTCTCAAGCACAACCGCAGCATGTGTCGTCGCATGCTCCGCCATCTCATGTGCATAAAGTTGAGTCGGAGCAAGGGCCCCAGGCGCGACCAAAGCCAACTACACTGTTTCAAGATCCAGCCATTATCTCGGTAACGTAACATGGCGTATATCTTCCATCATATGGGCTTCTCTGATTCTCTACAATCTCTCCAGATGTCACCCAGTCCAAGCAAATCGCAATATCCTACAAAGATCCTATCCAGAGGTGCAAATACTCCCAAACAATCATCTGGTTTGGCACGGACGCCGCCCGTTATGGCCAAGACACCATCAGGTGGCTCCAGCGTTGAAAGACGCTCTCAAACAGTAAGGATATTGGGTAGTAGAGTCCACACTCGCAGCAATGGCTGATTTTAACCCCCTCTCTAGCCGAAAGCCGCACGTCATACGGGAGGACAAAATCATGCAGCACACGCTATAACAGTCACTGAAAGCGAGTTGGACGGCGAGGTGGATTTCTCAGATCTGAATGGTACAAGCGCCAATGAATCTCCAATGCAATCTAGAACAAATGGAAACTCGCGCAGGAGGGTAGCTGATGGCAGACGAAGCAATTCGAGAGGAGGGCGAGAATCGCAAGGAAGACGCGATGGGCAATCCCCCAACGGCGGGAAATTAAGGAAGGGCCGACGTGAAGAGACCTTCAAGGAGGATGTAGCAAACTTGTCCGATGATTTCGACTTTCAAGCGGGGTTGACTCAGTTCGACAAACGTCGCGAATTTGAGAAGATCAGGGAGGCAGATGAGACCGACCCCGAAACGCTTCTCGTCAGTCACAATCGCCTCCGACCTGTGCCTCAGGGCATGCAGAAGATGGGAATCAGGCAAATGGTTCTGGACTCGTCAGTAGCTCCGAGTGGGGAGGAGACGGGAAACGAAGCGGAAGTCGAAAGCGCATCAGACAGCGAGGAGGCGGTTGCGCTGGCCGGCCTTCCCGAAGAAGCCCCACCTCTCGTAGAGTTTGGGGGCTCGAGAAGGCGGATTTGTCAAACGTTGGGCGGCGTGGCCGTCCCAGCTGTCACTCCCGGCGAGATGTTGGAGATTGAGAGGATTGCAGGCACGGAGACCGGGCCGAGCGATGAACAAATGATCGAAAATGGTGGACGTGGGTGCGCCATGATGATCCTGCAAGCGCTTGGAGGGAACAGACGGATCAAACCTGGAAATCATAACGATGGGCCATTGGTCGTTGTGTTGACCGGGAACAACAAGATTGGCGCGTTCGGGCTCTGCGCGGCACGACATCTGGCAAATCACGAATGCAATGTCATCGTCTCCGCTGTGGGCACTGAGGCGGAGATGGTCAACTCTGTTGCTGCACAGCACAAAACATACGTGTTCAGCGGCGGGAAACTCGCCAAGGGCATGGTTGATCTTCCACACCCGGCATCACAGCCCGTCGATTTGATTGTCGATGCGTTGCTAGGCACACACCAGAGCATTTTGGATCTGAGCGAGCATGATCGGAGTCTGGTCTGCCAGTTGTTCCAGTATGCGAATGAAAATAAGGCGAATGTTTTGAGTTTGGATTTCGCGAGCGGTGTGCACGGTACAACAGGTGCGTTCAGTGCTTTCTCCCTTCCCGTCCATTGATGACAGCTGTGGACTGAAATAATGAATTCCATAGGAGTCCCCATGTCTCCCCTGCACCACATCAAACCTAAATGGACCTTAGCCCTAGGTCTTCCCAAAATCGGGCACCTACGCGCAGACCGCGAAGTCGTCGGCGAGCTCTTCCTCGCCGACCTTGGCATCCCACGTGTGGTCTTCCAAAAAGTCAATCTTTCCAAAAGCCAGGGGAATAACAAGTTTAGGTGGATCCCGCCTTTCGGCGACAAGTTTTTGGTCGGGTTGGAGATTGCCGACGTGTAGTGTAGAGTGCAGCTAATTATCGACCAGTCATATTCCCCCTGCTCTTCAATGTACATTATTTTCCTGTAAGGGTTCCACCCCTACAGCCGTCTAATTCTTCGAATCCCAAAACTGCATCTCGGCTTCCAAGTCCATCGTACACGCGTTCATGAAATGACACCTTTCAGTGACTCGGCTTGTGCTTTTATCGTCTCGTACTGCTTCTCATCGAAGCCTCGCCTACGGCTGATCCGTTTCCGCAATATCCCACGGACCCACGTTCCAATGTTGGTGTACTCGGGGTCCCGCTTCATGAGGACGTATATTGTTGCGGAGAAGATGCCGCCCGACAAGCTGGCGAGGTATGACACGGGTTCTGTGAAGGTGAGTGCTTAGTTAGATTCGACAATACATGCGCCCAAGTTCAAGGCTGGCTTACCCATCAGATCCCACCCCAGCTATAAGACGATAAGGTAAGAGAACACAGACTTAGCCAATCGTCGAAGATCACACCGAAAATCCATCAGACGAAACATACCTGCTGCGTGAGAAAGATGATAGCCCCCAACTGTCCACTAATATACGCCAACCCCGTCCACTTGATTGCCAAAATCACCCTCTCCACGCTCCGTGCTATCCCAGCATGCGTGCTCTCCATCTGCGTCACAGCGCCCTCCAACGCCCTATGTCGCGCCTCTATATCTCTCAGACTCGCCAGAATCTGCCCCTCATCGAGGTTTAGAGCTAATCCTCGTGGAAATTGGAAACTTCCATGGATTTTGCCTCGGAATAGCTGTCCAAGTGTGTGTCCGTTGGATAGTGGGCTGCTTGGCCCCCCTGGAGTGTTGGAAGGGTGCTCTACAAACCGAGGAGCGCCGAGGTCGGGGTACTCTTCGCGTAGGATGGTAAGCAGCTCTGAGAGCGTGTCGTTTATTGACACGTTCAACAGGCAGGTTTCGGGTTTCGTTTGTCGGGGTATAGATGGGAGATGCGGCTGGTGATTGAAAGTGGCTGGGACTGTTATGCGGAGCCAGAGACGTCGTTCTTCCGGGCTGTGGCGGGCGATGCTTATGGTTCCAGCATGATTTGCTGGTAAACGGAATATAAGGCTTCATATGTGCAGGAACGAAGACCGTGCCGTGAAGTTACCATTGGAATCCGTTGCAAGATGACACCGCTGCAAGATTGACGATCCCGCAGGACGTGGGAAGCCACGCCTGTGCAGTGTTTTGAAGATATTTAGCATTGTCGTGCGTGGGTACGAACTCATCATCTTGTGAGAGTTGCGCCGGAATAGTTCAGAGGCTTGGGCTAATAGGCATATGGATGCGGCAACCTTAATACGTAGTAGAAGGTTACTGAAGTTCCTTTTCGTCCATTGGCGCCTCAGTTGGCATAACATGACTCATGCATGCGCAGATCCGATCGGAGCCTCCCGTACGTCATTGTCTCCCTGGGTCCACACCTGACGTGACTTTGAAACGCCCCAAACGCCGGTATCAGGAAAAGTCTGGGTCGGTCGGTCTGGGCAATTCCAGACTTTCGGTTCACCAATACCCATAACGGCCTTCTCCGTTATAGGAAAAGGGAGCTTGGAGGGGTGCTTCCCTCGCCCATTACAGTATATGTAATCGTTTCGTGGGAAAACCTGGCTTTTTCGCTCTCGTTTCTAATCTTCACCAAAGACGGCTTTCATACGGTGCTCGGAGCTCGAACTGGTTTCCTTTCCAACGACCGTCATTGTCTTTCAACGACAGTCATTGTCTTCATAGTCATACAGTTCCCCTCCTCTGAACTGCCTCGAGTTTCCAGAACTGTCGATCCAGGAGATAATTGAAGTGGGAAAACACCTTACTTCCGTGGAGCGCCATACCTCATAGGCAACCGCACAGCACACCCTCACCGTCATGCCGTCGTATATGGAAGAGGGGGAGTTGAATTTGCTGGAGCAAGGGGAAATGGCCAGACGGGTTCGGGAGTTCAACTGGGCAACTACAGGGGTTGGGCCAAGAGATAAATGGCCTGCGGTTCTAGCAACCGCTGTTAATATGATCTTGGCTATTCGTTTCCCGATCGTCATCTTCTGGGGTCCTAAATGTGAGAAGGCTTCAGCTACACTTTCGCTGCCTTGGTGCTTTGCTAATCCGATTTGTTTCCGACACCAGATGTTACGATATACAACGATGCTTGTAGGAAGCCTGTCATGCTCTTGGTCATAATACCTCTTCAATGACTGATCGAAATGCCTTCAACAAATATATAGATATTGATGTACTGGGACCGAAACACCCATGTCTGGGGCGCACTGGAGCTGATGTCTATGAGGAGTTCTGGGCACAAATCCTTCCGGTACTGTGTTTGAACACCCAAAATCGGTTGGAGGAACAGTCTAAGCTGACCTCCGGATACTAGGAATTCAAACGTGCCGAGCTGGGAGGGTCGGTGCTTCAATACGATCGCCATCTGCCGATGTTGAGACGCGGTTACCTGGAAGAGGTAAGGGGCAGATACGACCTTCAACTGTGAGACTTGGGACTCACTTCAGATGTATCCATCAAGACCTACTTTGTGTATACCTTGTCCCCGCTTTCTGATTCGGATGGGGTGGTGCAAGGAATCATTGGGCCATCATTTGGTAGGATCTTTATGTCGTTCATTCGCGGGTATCGCCTACTGACGCCCGTGCTATCGAGCAGAGGTCACCAAAAAGGTCTTTCAGGAACGAAGAGAAGCCTGTTTGCGAGATTTGGGGTCCAAATGTGGAAAAGCGCACACTGTCAGCGATGCCGTAGGCATGGCTTCTGCGTCGCTTCAAGACGCAAAGGCCGATTTTCCATTTGCGTTGGTGTACTTGATAGAGGGAGAGGAAGATCAAGCACAGGTAGCTATCAAGGAGTCTTGCTGGCCGCGACGTTCCATTAAAAGGTTTGACAATCCCTCCTTTGCATAGGCGGTTCTGAGAGGCAGTTCTGGGATACCAATGACGCACCATCTTGCGCCATCGGGGATACCACTGGGAAGGAACTTCGCAGGCAGCGGCATTTGGCCTATTCGCGAGGCTATAACCTCAGGGGAAGCGTGCGAGATCTATGATCTGAATGATCCTTCGTTACCTGGTGGCATTTGGGAAGAGACGCCTACAGAGGCGATTGTGCACCCATTGTATGGAACGCAGCTCGATATAATAGGCTGCTTGGTCATGGGATGCAACCCGCGGCGACGGCTCGACCAGGACTACCGGAACTTCTTCACGTTGGTTACTCGTCAAATCGGGGTCAACATTGCCGCTGCTCGGAATTACGAGGAGGAAAAGAAGAAGCAGGAAGCTTTAGCGGCCATTGACAGGGCAAAGACGGCCTTCTTTAGGTTCGTTCAAACCAGTCTGGCGCAATCGCGCGGCACAATGTCCTACTGACTCCCGATTTCAGCAATGTCAGTCACGAGTTCAGAACTCCTTTGACTTTGATCTTAGGTCCGCTCGAAAAAGTCTTGCGGGAAAACGAGGACCTTCCAGTCGGAGTCCGTGAGGAACTCGGGATAGCACAGCGCAATTCGCAACGACTGTTGAAGCTGGTCACTTCGCTGTTGGACTTCTCCCGAATCGAGGCCGGTCGCATGCAGGCATCGTTTAGACCGGTGGATTTGGCAGCGTTTGTCAGCGATCTCGCAGGAGTGTTCCGGTCGGCTATTGGTCGGGCGCAATTGGAATTTCGCATGGAAGTCCCACCATCAGGACGCATTGCATACATTGACACGGATCTATTCGAAAAAGTGATTTACAACATGCTTTCGAACGCAATCAAGTGCACGCTCAGAGGCAGTATCACGGTGGGTTACAGAGAAACGGACGCGGGCCCGGAAATCACCGTCTCGGACACGGGATGTGGAATCAAATCTGAAGATTTGCCTAAGGTTTTATATCTCTTTGTTGTTGCGTGCTGAAACGTGTTCATCATACTGAACCTCATCATAGATTTTTGACCGATTCTTCCGAGCTGAAGCGACTGAAAGACGGTCCACCGAAGGCAGTGGTATCGGACTGGCCTTGACGCAGGAATTGGTACACTTGCACGGAGGTCAAATCCGTGCGGAATCCAAAGTTGGAAGCGGGACTTCCTTCGTGGTAACACTCCCTTGGGGCAAGTCACATCTCGCCAAGGAAAGCGTTACCGAGGTCGTGAACAGCCAGAGCGATCTTGTTACGGGCGTAAGGGATCAATTTCTGGAAGAGGCGATGGGATGGCTTGGAGACGCTTCCTCCGAAGAGAAACCGGCTACACCTGAAACGGAGGCTGAGAAGTCTGAGACTACCCACGCATACCCGGTGAGCACAGGCTCTGGGCAATCGACACCATTGTTCAGGCCTCCCAGCCTGCCACGGAAATGGACAGCAACAGGCGCGCACCACATTGCAAGCGCTTCGAAGACGTACATTCTCGTGGCCGATGACAATCGCGACATGGCCTTTTATGTGAAGAAGCTCCTGAGCCCAATCGCTCGCGTCCACGTGGTTCACGACGGGGAGCAGGCATTAGCGCGGTGTCGCCAGTATCCTCCGAGTCTCCTGCTTTCAGATGTAATGATGCCTAAAATCGACGGTCTTGAGTTGGCAAGAGCGGTTCGCGCGGACAAGTCGCTGAACTTCATCCCCGTCATTCTGCTTTCGGCTCGTGCGGGCGAGGAGGCTAAAGTAGAAGGGATGGGGACCGGAGCCGATGATTACATGTAAGTCTACTGCGCAGAGGCTGTCGAACCGAGGAACTTTTGCTGAAGATTACTCTTTTCAGGTGCAAACCCTTCTCCGCCAAAGAGCTGATTGCCCGAGTACGCGCTCATCTTGAGTTGGGGAGACTGAGAAAGGAGCTGTTTGAGTTTGCCAACATCTGCCCAGTGGGAATCATGCGAACAGACGCTGCAGGAGGGAATATTTTCCGCAGTACAAAGATGCAGGAACTCAGTGGAACGGCCGCGCATGATCTGTTCCTGCAGAACGTGGTACGTATCACATCCCAAGCATTCCCGCCGTCTGAGAGCCGCGTACACCATAATGATACCGATTCGCACATGTAGCATCCGGATGATATCCAATACGTAATGGAAAGCTGGGATGAATGCCGACGGCAAAAGGACCCAGGTCACATCGAATTCCGCTACCAGCATCCTGATGGTCGGGTTGTGTGTGTCCTGTCGCAATGGACGGCGGAAGTAGACGAGTCAGGCAGAGTCATAGGTAAGCCTTCACGGTGCATCTTGGTGTCGACGGGTAAAACCGGGGCAATGGATGGTCCATCTCAAACCCCTCTCTATATAAACAGGATTCGTTGGGGCTATTACGGACATCACTGAGCGTACTCAGATGCAGCAGAAGCAGCTGAAAGAGGTCAGGGTCAAAACTCAACCGGGAGTCGACGTTTCTCTCAACTCACCTCATGGATTATCGCGTTACACGCAGGTTGAAGATGACCGAGTAGCTTTGGATCGGCTCATTGACATGATCTGCCATGAAGTGAGTTTTCTTTGGCCGCCGTCTATCTGAGTGCGGACATTAATGACAAGTTCTCCGGCAGATCCGGAATCCATTGAATGCTATCTACAACAATACAGATCTGTTGAGAACAGGGGTGCAACGACGCCGTGATATTCTCGCAAGAATCCTCTCTGGCGCCACATACAGTATAGACTCAGCCACCGATCAAGTAAGCATCAGCCAGAGAATTTTTTTTAGCTTCCGAATATCATCACTCACTCGTTGATCTAGTTTGCTTTTGACGAAGAGTGCCTCGACGCCATTGAAAGCGCTGCGCGACATCAGCGAGTCATTGCCGATGACGTGCTGCATCTATCCAAACTCAGGAACGGGCCAATGGCTATGAACAACAAGCTTTTCGACCCACTAGAGATATTGGGCAGCGTCGTTCAGATGTTCAGGGCGGAATGCGTCAACAAGGGCGTGAAGCTTGACACTGAGGTTGAATGGGAAGTTGGCCAGGTGTGGGGAGATCCCGCTCGAATCAAGCAGATCCTCATCAAGTAAGTCCATAAATCCATATGACGTCCATATGAGGAAGACACTGGACTGCTACAGTTCTCAACGCCAGAAAGTAACACCTGTCGCGCAGCTTATTGTCGAACGCGGTGAAGTTCACGCAACACTCGGAGAAGAAGAGCATCATTCTCAGAGTCTATCAACTACAGAGTGAAGAAGGGTCCTCGCTGCGACTCGCTTTCAAGGTCATTGATACAGGTACGTCGTGCGTGGCTCGAAATACTACGTATATCAAGCCTAAACTGACTTGGACACTTAACCACTGTGTGCGTTAATAGGCATTGGGATGTCCGCCGCCGCGCAAGGGGTGAGTTGTGAAGCGATTGTCCACTGAAAATGCCAAGTTTATTTGATAAAAATACTCAATGGTTTTGCTTTACAGAAACTTTTCAAACGCTTTTCCCAAGTTGGCCTTCGGACGCATCAAGATTATGGAGGCAGCGGTTTGGGCCTTCATATTTCTAGGTGAGGATTGCAAGCCAGATACGGATTTTGTGAAGAGCTGTCATTACAAGTGCTGATCCTTCCGTCTTTGGCAGGCAAATGATCCAAGTGATGGGTGGAGAAATCGGGGTAGAATCCGAGCTGGGCAAAGGAACAACATTCTGGTTCTACGTCTGTGTGGAGTTAGACCAGAAAGAAGACCTCGGAAGCGATCACGGTGACAGCGTAGGGTCGTCCATAACTGCGAAGCAACCCCCGAACGGGATGGATCTGAGCAAAACCAAAACGGACGCGCCCGTGGAAGCTGTCAACGGTCTCTCGCCGACTAAGGAAAGCGACCGTGGCACGCCGATTTGCGTGCTTGTAGTGGAAGACAACCTGATCAACCAGCGAGTCATCAAACGCCAACTCGAGCTTGCGGGATACAAGACTTATTTGGCGAACGACGGCTCGGAAGCCGTGATGTTAGTGAACTTACATCGGGAAGAAATTGATGTCATCCTGATGGATGTCGAAATGCCAAGTAAGTGATGGTTTTGGTGGGATGCAACGCGAGCAGATCGTGTGAACACCTGCTGACATATCTCTCTTCAGTTATGGACGGCATAGAAGCCACCCGCCGCATCCGACAAAGCGAGTCGCATCCCAACAGCTCGCCAAATGTCGGTGACACAGTGGGGACACAAAAGTCTGATGGCGAAGAATTCGCGAAAAACGAGCTATGCCCGTCATCGCTTCCGATTCTAGGTCTGAGTGGCAATGCGCGCACGGAGCATCGCGACGTAGCGGTTCGTGCCGGCATGAACGATTACGTTGTGAAACCGTACGAGAAAGCGTCACTCTTCAAGCTGATAACATCGTATGCGACCAAGCGAAGAGAGAATAGAGAGTTGTGGACATGATGATATCGCAACATCAGAGACAATGGGTAGCAAGAGGCTTGTATATAGCATTGTGGACGCCAGTGGTACAGTGGACTAGAATCACTAGATGTAGGCCATGAACTTTCTTACACTTGGGGCGCAGTTCAGGGATATTCGGCTAAAATCAATAATAGCAGATTTTGCCGACAGCATAGCATGTTGCATGAAACTTGACGGACCTCATCGGCGTAGATGTAATGTAGAAATGGAAAGTTGTGATAGCATTGGGAATAATTGGACATAGAGTGCTTGAAAATAGCCATAGCTTCTCGGAGTATTGCGCAGACTGATATTCAAACGCAACAACAATGATCGTAAATTATGCAACGCTCGTGTATTGGCAAAAGTACAAATGTTTAAGCAATCAGCTCAACCTTGCCACCAGCGGCAACGATCTTCTCCTCAGCCTTCCTGGAGACGTAACGAGCCTTCAGGATGAAGGGAACGTTGGGGAGACGTCCCTTACCGAGAACCTTAGCGTAACCCTGATCGAAAGAGAACATCTCGAATTAGGACCCAGACATACTTCGATCACTGTGCCCAGCTTGTTGTAACTTACGTGACGAAGGACGTCGATGACGGGGACGGGTCCAGTGGGGTTGGCAGCGGCCTTCTCGCGGGCCTCCTGGGAGACGAAGGACCACACCTTGTCGAGGTTGCAGACGGGCGCCCAGTGTTGTTGGCGGGTCAAGTGGAATTGGCGCATACCGACCTTTCCGAAGTAACCAGGGTGGTACATGTCCATGTTGATGCGGTGGTGATGTTGACCACCTGCAGATCGATGTGTGAGGCGCAAACTCCAAATGCTGCGACAAACAAATGGGGCATTTATAGTTGACACAAGTTCTTACCAGCAAGACCACGACCACCTGATATACAGTAGAGTGAGAAGATGATCTCACGCAAATGAAAGAAGGAAATAAATAGCCTTACCGGGATGCTTCCTGTGTTTTCCTATTAGCGGGCAGCAGAAAACACTTTTAGATATGTTGCGAAACTATGGCCTCCATCTTCGTGGATCATTTTACGACTGCCCCTCGCAAAATGATCCTGGAGAGCCGATAGCACAGAAAATTGCATAGCTGACTGAAATTACTGACCAACACGACCGTGACCGGCGGACACGTCTGGAAAAGAGAAAGGGTGAGGATCGAGCCATGCGAGCCTAGGCCTGGGGAATGCGACTGGACAGTTGACACTTACGACCACGCTTCTTCCTGTTCTTGCTGAGTCTGGACGGCTATCATAGCGGAGGCAAAAAAGAAATAAGCCATTCATTCGCCATTCATTCGTTTGGGCATTGGTCCTCCCATTCCGACGATCCATCCAATCATCCATCCATCTATCCATCCATCCATCTCTGCCAGACTACCACTCGCCCTGTAGGTCGGCCCCTCTACATTCGTGCTGCTGTCCTCGTCTGTGTGTCCTTACCATCTTGACGTTTATCCGAAACGATCTAGTTGTCGTTTATTTGGATGTCTGTGAAGATCGAATCACCACAAGCTTTCGCTCGGAACAAGGGCTGTCGCGCAAGTGCAGTTATCCATGTCACGTGCTTGGATAAAAGCAAACAAATTCAGTCTGTTGATTCAAGCAACGCTACGTATGTACGGCGCGTTTCCATAACTGTCGGGCATTGGTCCTGTTTGACGGCAAGTCCATTCGACATTTAACTCCGATGCCGTGGTCTTGATTTGAGTCGGCATCACAAAGTCTGCCTAGTCTACCTCTGATCCCCACTATGCTCAAAGGCCTTGGACGTGGGACGACGTCTTCACTCCCGTGGCTGTAACATTTACACTTCCCGTCGTCGCTGTCGGAAACCATCCACATCGGATGGCCCCCACAGTTTGCCCTTGTATATTTCCAGCGCCCACATTTTTCGTTCAAAGCCGTTGGAAGAGGAACGGTTTTTGATAACAGTTTATTTCAATTATTTATCCAAGGGATGAACCGCAGGCTTCAAAAACAGATATGGACGAAGCCTATATATCAGAAGCCGCCGTTGCCGCCTTCGCCTTGGCCTTGGCCGTCGTCACCGTCGCGCTTGGTAACGCGAAATCCAACTCCACCCTTGCCTTGGCTTGCGGGGTTGCCTCGGGCAGCAAGATCCTGGCCGTCGTCACTGTCGCGCTTACCACCAGCCCTACCATCATTGGAGATGCGAATTTTCGAGGAGCCTGCGTTTCGGGCAGCAAGATCCTGGCCGTCGTCACTGTCGCGCTTACCACCAGCCCTACCATCATTGGAGATGCGAATTTTCGAGGAGCCTGCGTTTCGGGCAGCGAGTTCCTCGTCGTCACCGTCTCGGTAGGCAATGCGAAATTTCTCTGGGCCTTTAATTGCGCGTCTGACCTTCTCGGCGACCGCATCGTAGATGTCCTCGCTTTCCTCGACCGCGCCCTCGACGGCGCGCCTGACCTGCGTGCCCGCCGCAGCTATAGCGTCTCCCGGGAGATTAATAACGTTCTCATAGTACGTGTCGTCGCCGTCGCTGCCATCACGGCGGGTTGGGTAACGGAAAGGGGAATATTTGTTGGAGGAGTACTTTTTGTCGATCTCGGCATGGTCAGCGGAATCAGCTGGCTCGCGGCGAAGGGGGAATGGGAATCGGCGCCTCTCGAGCTCGGAATCGTCGCCATCGCCACGGCGCTTGAACCATGTGTACCGGGCAGGTGAATAGCGGCTAGGGTTTAGACCACGTTTTATGACTCCGGTCGTTTTGTCCCAAACTTCTTCGGCTTGCGAGTGAACAGCGTCCGCCCAACCGCTTCCGGCGCCACTAACGTCACGGCGGAAAGCAATCCTGTCCGGATGCACACTCGAGGCGGTCTTCCACTCATTGGGAGCGAAGGTGCGTCGAACTTTGTCCGCTCCAGCGGCGGCAGCATTCTTGACCGTGTCGGCGGCGCTGCCCGAGGCACCCTTGACGGTACCAGCAACGAAAGCGTAAGCACCCTGAGCGGTGCCGGCGGCATCAGCAGCAGCACCCTCAGCTGTTCCGGCGGCGTTGTTGACAGTACCAGCTACGTAGCCATAAGCATCTTTTGCGGTGCCAGCAGCCCTGGCAGCGATGTCCTGAGCAGCACCAGCCACGCCGCCGGAGGCCTCTTTGACGGTACCAGCAACGGAGGCGTAAGCATCTTGAGCAGTGCCGGCGGCATTCGTAGACGCGTCTTTGAAAAAGCCACCGACGTAGCTGGACGCGTCGTGGGCGGTGCCAGCGGCATTGGCGGACGCATCGTTAACCGTGTCAGCAGCCCTTGCATAGACGTCCTTGGCGTTGCCGACGGCGTTGGCAGAAGCATCCTTGACGGTACCAGAGGCGCTTGCATAGGCGTCCTGGGCGGTGCCAGCCGCTTTGGCAGAAGCATCCTTGACGGTACCAGAGGCGCTTGCATAGGCGTCCTGGGCGGTGCCAGCCGCTTTGGCAGAAGCATCCTTGACGGTACCAGAGGCGCTTGCATAGGCGTCCTGGGCGGTGCCAGCCGCTTTGGCGGAAGCATCCTTAACGGCGCTAGCGGCGTTGGTGGAGGTATCTTTGACAGCGCCGGCGGCGTTGGCGGACGCATCCTGAGCAGTCCCAGCAACATAAGCGTAAGCATTCTTGACCGTGCCAGCAGCATTTGCGGATGCATCTTTAATAGCGCCAGCTGCGTGGGCGGAAGTATCATAGATAGCATCCTTGGCCTCGTAGCCAGCTTTAACTACCGCCTTGGCACCGTGCTTGGCAGCCAGGGCTGCGGCTGCAGCCGCTTTGGCAGCTTCGCCGCTCGAAGAAGTGTCGGCAGCAACACCGGGTATGAATTCGATCTTGTCGGCAACGCGTGCGATCGCATCTCTGTTCAGAGAGAGCTATGAGAATGGTGCTAAACAAGGTGGTTCTGCACAACTTCTGGCATGCAGAATCGGTCACGCCGCCAAAGGTCCTCAACTCACCTCGCCTTGTTCAAAGAGAAAGCGCTGGAAGCCGAAGCTCCAGCTACAAGCAGTAGCAAGGTGATTTTAGCGCCAACCATTGTTGGTCGATGGTATATTCGGCGTTTAGTGTAGTCTGAAGGTATATTCTGGAGTATATGTCCGTAGATTTCCGGTTTCAGCGGTCTCTGGAGTAGCGAGGGGGGTATGGGCTCGGACCCGGTTTAATAGACGTTACGAGGCGCAATCATCGCGCGTGCGCCTCCTTTGCTCTTTTAGCGAGCGGGAAACCTGACCCCTGCGAACAATTCGCCGAAATTGCACTTAGTTCCCAAAAGGCTGAGCTCCCCATCGGGAGTACGCTTATACTAGCCTTTTAGGGAAAGCAAGTTTGTCGTTAAATCGGAGTGTGGAACTAACGATGACGTAAACGCGTCGCACTAGATGATACTGTCGAGAGGGGAGGTCAATCATAGCTCTTCAGACGTAGTTAGCGTGCGATCGCAGATCAAACATTGTTGACTGAACTCTCTGAATGAAGGACTATGATGCTTCCTGTATTACTGGGACTAGCTACATCCAGGCTTCTGTTCAGTGAAGCATACCCAGGACGGCTTTGCCTGTCTCTACGATAAGATGCCTTCTAGACACTATATACTCTAGCGCTCAACGCATGGTGACTATCTCCTCGGAAGCCGTTGGGTGGATGGCAACGGTCCTGTCGAAGTCCGCTTTGGTTGCACCTGATGGAAAATGACAGACATATATTAGTAGACTTGAAATAGCACGGAATTGAGATCTGGGTGATGTGAACGCATACCCATATTGAGCGCAACAGCGAAGCCTTGAAGAATTTCATCCGAAGCCTTCCCAACGATGTGCAGCCCAACAACTTTCTCGTCCGGACCTGCACAGATGAGTTTGTACACGGTCGGCTCTTTGTGCTCTGTAACAAATTAAAGTCAGCTACGGGCACAATGCTTTCGTAGTTCCGATAACGGTCGGAGACAGCCTGACGACTTACCGGTGAGCGCAAAATGCATGTTGGTGAACTGATGATGTTCGAGGGGATCCGAGAAAAGGAAGTGAGTGAGACCGAAACATGAGTGACAGGCCAGGTGCACTTACCTTGGATATGTAGATTTTGAGAGCTTTCTCGCCAAACTTCTCCTTGGCCTCGTTCTCGCTCAGTCCGACGCTCCCAGCAGGAGGATGGGAAAAGATCACGGAGGGGATGTTTCTGTAATCGAGTTTGGAATTCGGCTTGTTGCCAAACAGACGGTCGGAAAGCCGACGTCCAGCGGCGATGGCAACTGTCACAAATGTGGATCAACAAAAGCCTCCCAGCTCGAAATCGTAGCGAAATATCACGTACCTGGTGTCAGCATGGCCTTCCCACACACATCTCCGATAGCATAGACACCTTCCTCAGCGGTGTTTTGCCAATCGTCCACTTGAATGTACCCATGGTCATCGGTCTTGATTTTCGTCACATCCAAGTTCAGTGCCTCGGTGTGGGCGTTCCGGCCTACGGCGTATACTATCTCTTCGAATCCGGTGAAGGCGTCCGCGGCAGTCATTTGTCCTTTGATCTCCACTTGGATGTTCAAACTCTTCTTCACATTTGAGCCGGTGTTCTCAATTTTCTTAAGTCGTGACGATTTGACGATCTTCACGCCGGCGTCCTCGTAAGTCTTCATGACCGTCTGACTTTCGATCCAGAAGATATGAGTATGGTACAACAGCCTATGCAAGGTGAATGAAGCCTACCTAATGACCGGATCGAAGGCTCGGAGAAATTCGTCGTGGCGGATGAAGAGAGTTGTATCTGCTCCCAGGGCGTTGAAAATTCCGGCCAACTCGACAGCGATGTATCCACCTCCGACTAATGCAACCTGAAGACGAGGGAGTTCGTCAGTGAAGCCGCCCGAGGGATATTTAGCTTGAGGGGCGACGCCCACCTTCTTGGGTAAATATTCCAGTTGAAAGAAACCATCGCTGATCATGCCAGTCTCTTGAGCACCGGGAATGTCCTGCAAAAGGGCATTACGAATCCACTTCGGCCAAAACAATTGAAACGAGCTGTACTACCTTGGGAATCCAGGCATAGCTGCCTGTAGCAATGAGAACATGCTTGCCCTCGTATTGCTTCCCGGCCACCTCTACAGTCTTCGGGTTGATGAACTTCGCGATCCCATTGATCTTTTCTATACCGTCCTTGTCCAAATTTTTCTCGTAAATCCCGTTCAGGCGCTCAATATACGCATCCCGTTTTTGCTTGACGGTGAGCCAGTTGAAAGGGCGGCCCTCGGTGATATCGAACCCATAACCCTTCACTTCCTTCAGGGCGTCGGCAAAGCTAGCAGTCGTCCACATGATTTTCTTTGGCACACAGCCTGGGGGACGAGTTGAGCTTTCCTCAGCTATGTGGCCCGCGGAAAAGGGTTTGTCCGCAACCGATTCTTACCGACATTAACACAAGTGCCTCCATAACGTCCTGTCGAAGATGAGGATGAGACCTTGTTCGCGACCCGGAGAGTGGACGGAGGCGACGCACCTGACTCAACTATTGCAACCTTTGCCCCATAGGAAGCGGCCCTCCTCGCCGAAGCAATGCCTCCAGAACCCGCGCCGATCACCAGATAATCGTAGATCTTCTTTGTAGCCATTGTGACGGTACTCTAAGTTAGACGACTTCGTTGAGTCCACGCTCGTCCTTTTATGCTTTAGACTTAGGTAAACTGCCGTCCCGATTTCCAGTGCGTCAGGAAAGACGCCAAAGGCATTCGTAGTGTGCTTCTCGGAGCCTGCCCGTGACGTGATCGCCCCACGCGAACACTCCGACGAGCCGCCCTAATTTTGACGGGTTTCCCACTGCGCATGCATCCCTGCGGTTTCCGTATTTCTCGAAAGGGTGGCAATGGCACACTACGAAAGCGACTTTGAACCGCTCGATGCAGAGATTCCGGGCAAACATGCTCAGGGAGCACAGTCATCCGTGCGAGTGTTTGGATTGAGAGGTTCGGAGTCTGATATCTATGCTCCATACAAGACGTCCAAGGTACATTCCCGGACTGGTGAGTGCGTTTCACAGTGGTTGATGATGATGAACTTCACTCTCAAGCGACTTGCTGTCTCTCAGAACCTCCCGCGCTTTCGAATAACGAGCAGAAAAGAGCCGCATCCGGTGAGCTCCGAAACGAAAGCCTTTACAGCTAGGTGCCTTCACAGCTGGCCAGTTTGGGAAAGGAAACTTACATTGCATTGTAGGAAAGAAGCGGCGGAAACATGTAGAAAAGCCAGTGGCCCGGGCGCCAGCAGTAGCTACGTCGTCGCGATCAACAGTCCCCACCAACTTCGACGACATTGCCAAGCTGGTCGCTGTCATCGATGAACAGCGAGTGACTATCGCGAAACTGAAAGATGAGCTGCGAACGTCTAGAATCGTAAGTTGCGAGGCACACCCGTCATGACTACAATAGGTGGCTCACATGCCGCACTCTCATTTAGGTGGCTCAAAGGCAGGAGAAAGCTATTCAGCAGTTGAACAAGGATCAGAATGACTTCCCCAGGCTGTACAGCCACCTGAACACGGAGATTCGTGGACTGAAGGTGAGATGTCATTCTGCCATACGATCCGTCGTGCGTCTCTTCTGATGTTTCCCGTGGCACATCGTGTTCAGCTCGAAAAACGGCGGGACCGAGCAAATTTCGAGCAGCTATCGCATAATGCACAGAGTCAGGTTGCCGAGAACGTGCGCCTGAGGGCGCTGGTACAGAAACTCCAGTCAGAGAACAGAGATCTCAAGGACAGAAGGAAAGCATCAGTGGCGAATGAGGAAGTACTAGATACCCCGGTTGCAGTCAATAGCAAAGGCGATCGAAAACCGACGCAGCAGGTACATAGCCTCAAATATATGGGAACGGCCTCACACCAATGTTTTGACCTCCCCTTGCACGTAGAAGGCCGTGTACGGAACTCAAAGACTACCATCAAAGCCTCAACCAGTTTTGAAGGCTAAAAGTGAGCAGAATGGTAAAGCCGCTCCAGCGACAACCCAAGCTGCAAAACCGGCACCGAAAGGCCCGAAGGACCCGTCTGCATACGAGGAGGACTTTGATGACGAGGAACCAAGTGATGAGGGGGACGGGTACGATGATGACTTTGCGAGCGAAACAGGTTCAGCGCATTCCGGCTCCGACTTGGCTTCTTCATTCATGGCATCGTCGCCGTCGAGGAAGAGCATACCACTGGGAACCGTGCGCTGAAGTGTTCGAGAGGGGTCATGTAGGCCATATGTCACAAGGAAGCCGTTCAACAATGTCGGCGCGACGGGGAGGGGCCGCAGATATGCTCCTGAAGAGACGACAACCAGCTGATGTTATCGCTGGATTGGGCCGAAGCTTTGATGGAAATGGAACAACGAGTATCTCCGGCCTGCTCGATGGACATCTGCTTCAGCGCTGACGCATAGATTGTAAAATACGTACATATTATTGGGTAGTAGATGTTCGTTGTGCGCTGTCCGCTGTTCGAACACCGTTTCAATTGGATTCCGTCCTCCCGACGGTCAATGGACATGTTTGTGTTGCAAGGACAGTGTATGCTACTCCCTTACTGTAGACCGATGTCCCAGGTCCGAAGCTCGAGCATTCCGAGCGACAGCATAATGTGCGTGTAAATCTTGCTCCTTGTCATGGTCTATTTGAGATCTGCATGAAGCTGTTCTCGTTCTCTATACAGTTCTTCTACCCACTTCCGTACTGTTGGGTGACGGAACTTCCCTTCTGTAGAAGCGTAGAACGTATCCAGCTTCATGTTATGCCCTATTTGAGGACCCACCTGTGAGCCTAGTGGTATGTAAACACATATGAAACGCATACGACACTCACGCTTCTCGTATTCGAAGGCCTGAACAATCATCTCAAACTTGTCCAGGTCTTTCACATATAGTGCCTCCTCTGTTGTCGCCTCTTCATACTCTGTCCACAAGCTTCTAATCTCCAAGGCTTCCGGTGATGAATCCAGGTGCCTAACTACCTCGTCCATGCCCTCCTTCTCCAGCCTGAATTTCTCCTCTTTGCTTACGCCGCTGTGTGGCGTTATGTCCCCTGCTATCGATTCCGCAAGATCGTGCACTATCGCCATCTTGATGCATTTCGTTCGGTCAAGCGACTTATCGTTTATCAAGAGTGCCAGGACACCCTAAACGCGCCGCCCATACGATAGGTTCGATCGGTGAGGAAGTGTGCCGACCTCGAGGTTGAGAAACCGCCTAGTGTCGGGCTCTGAAGACTCTGACGGAGCGTTAAACATACCATCCTATGCATATGGTCGCTTATGGACTCTGCGTCGCCAATTTTGTTGTCCACCCATCCTGTCCGTTTGGTCCGCTGCATGTCGGTCAAGAACTCCTAAGTCATGGGGTTCCGTCCCCACGGGACTCTCAACAACGAAGGCACATACCTTCAGGTTCTCAATGACGTGAAGGAAACGCAGAACTCCCGCCGGGGTAGACATTGCACCGCCGCAAATGTTGTAGGGCGAATAAGGCTGTGAAAAGAAGGTTAAGTGAAATACAGTGAACGGGGGTCGGTGTCAGCCCTACAGACTTGGTCTGAAATGAAACCGAGTCGGACACCGCAATGGCCTTACCTGAGCAAATTGCGTTGCAGTAAGGAGCTCAGTATACTGTTGGTGGTTTTCCGAGTAAGACTTGAGCGGAAATGTCCAGAAGGGGAGGAAGAAGGGCATCGGCTGCCCCCAGCTCCGCCAGTTCAAGACGCGAAGGGCCTTCACGCGAAGTCGAAGACGACGTTGCGCAGGACGCAGCATTGGTGGCAGCCCAGGACCCGCAGAATGCGGAAGTACCAGGGACTGTCGGAGAGGCAGCGCAAGGCGCTTCTGTCGCGGAAAGTACAGGGTCGACTGAAGCGCGATCGCAACCCGACCTTGCTTCGGATGGTTCGGGCCCATTAGCGACGACGACATCATTCAGCGTCATAGCACCGACAGATGCGCCCGCTGTGGGGGCGGACACCTCGCAGGAAAGCTTGGCGAAAGATGTAGATCCCTCAGCGAACCCCGAAGCAGCGCTCTCACCTGCTGCCGCTCCGAGTGCGCTTGTCACAGAACCAACGCCGACGCAGCCAGAGACTGACAAGCCCGAGGTCGACGACTTGCCGGGAGCTGAGGACAAACGACACCATGATAGCCTGTATCTAGCGATGGAGTTGGAGTATGATGAAACATGGCAAGACATTGCAGATATGAGTTCGTTGGGTCCTTTCCGATCAGAGTACGAGAAAATGCACCGAGCGGTGCTCAAATCGCGAAGCAATATCGAGAAGATGTATGGCCAATACGAAACATCGTATCGGGAGTACTGTGTCAACCTGGTGCAGACGCAAGAGGCGAAAGAATCTTCCATACAAGATCAGCATATGATTAAGTCACTTCGCACACAGATCACAAAAGCGGAGGAGACGGTGGAGGCGAGCATGAAACTGGAGGAGTCCTTCAAGGAAGAGTTGCGGCAGCTGAAGATCGAAGTTGGCAATCTGAACGCAACTATGCAGCAAGGGGTGGGACTCAGTGCCACCCAAGAAAAGACGCTTCAGGAGCTCATACAAGCGAAAGAGCAGTCCACCAAGGAATTGGAAGAGGAGCTCGAGAAGATCGTCCACCTGCGGAATAGCATAGCCGATGTCTCCGAACGAATCAAAATGGCAGACCAGCAAAAGCGCGAACTCGAACGCGAGATCTACGAACTTCGTGACAGGAGCGCATCGAAGAAAGCTGAAATCGATGCCGAGCTTCGGATAAAAGAGAAACTGGAACGAGATTTGCGCGAGTTGCGGGTGGTTGTCGGTGTGAAGTTGCAGGAAGTGAGGGGAAAGCAAGACGCGGTAAACCGTGCCACGGATGATATTACCATAATCGAGTCTCAAATCCGAACTCAGAGGCAGATGACCGAGAAGCTGGTCAAAGATGAAGAAGCGCTGAACATCCGAATGGACGCGTTGCAGATCGAAGCGAACGAGCAGATGGAGCTCACATCGGATTTGATGGAGCAGAATGTCTTGATGGCGAGCGAGCTGCGGCGGCGGGAAGGCCAGTTGGAGAAGAACCTGAGCGAGGTCAGGAAAGTGGCCAAAATCAAGGACGCGCTAGTGAAGAAGCTGCAAGCCTGTGAGGAGCAAAAACTGGAAGCCGAGCTTGAGCGTAAAGACATTCGGTTGGAATGCGAAGGGAAACTCGACACTATCGAGGCCACCAAGCGTCAAATCGACGTGCACAAGAAAGCAATGGACGATTTGACGAGAGAGCGAGACTTGATTGAGAATAACTTCCACAAGGCGCAATCCGAGCTCAATGCTCACGAGCGCATGATCCTGCTCTGCAAGCAGACTCGGCATAACATCGAGCTTGACATTGCACGCTACAATCGCGAATGCACCGATCAGACAAAGACCATCAAAATGCTACAAGCAGAGCGGGATGGGTACATTGCAGAGTCCATCAAACTGCAAACTGCATGCGTTGCGGGCTTCCAGGAAATTAAGAGCAAGGAGGTGGAGCTCTTCGATTACAAAAAGCGCACGAGCCAGGCAGACACGAAGCTCAAACACCAGCAGAACTTGTACGAGGCTGTGCAGAGCGATAGAAACCTGCACAGCAAACATCTTATTGAAGCACAGGCAGAGATAGCCAAAATGAAGCGGAGGTTGAAAATTATGAATTTCCAAATCAACGGCTTCAAAGAAGATATCAACTCGAAACAGCAGGCTCTCACCGCCGAAGCAGCAGAGCATGCAAAGCTGCAAAAAGATATCGAGATCATATCGGAGGAGATCGCGACTTTGCAGCATCAGAATGATCTCGGCCAGGCCTACATCCGATCACAGAGCGCCGAGGCCAACAAGCTCAACCAGTTTGTGAAGGAAGCGGAAATGGAGCGATCGCGGCAAGAAAACGCACTGAAGATTCTCGTAACGGAGCGCGACAACCTGAGCAACCAACTGATCAAACAGAACGGGGAGCTAGAGAAAGCCTATGACGCACTGAAGTTACGGCAGGCATCCCTTCTGTGCAGTGAAAGGCACTTTGCGGCGCATATTGAGAAGATCTCTGAGCTCCGCCGGGAGATATCGAGACTCAGGCGAGAAAAAGCTGGCCTGGATCTTGAATCTTCTGCTCACCTTAACACGCAGGAAACTGCCCGTCACCTCGAAACCGACCTCCTCACGCAGCAGATGCGGATCAAAGCCCTCGAAGACCAGCTCAAACACCGCATCAACGTCCACCGCTGGCGCAAACTCGAGGGCAAAAACCCAAAAGTCTTCGATATGATCCTACTCCTGCAATCCTTGCAAAAGAAGCTTATCATGAAGTCTCAGGAGGAAAATGACAAGGAGAAGCTGATACACAGCAAAGAGATGCTGTACCTGTACCTCAAAACACTGCTTGCCAAGCAAGTCGGCCCCGAAGCCCTCGAGCAGATTTCAGAGTACCAACAGATCCTAAAAGATAAAAACATGCAGTTCAGACACATGGGCACCGAGCTGAACATGTACCAAGCGCAACTGCGAGAATATCGATACGAGATTTCCCAGTTCGACAAAACCATGCAAGTGCTCAAGTCACAATACTTGGTGGAGCATCGGGATCGAGGGATGAATAACAGTCCTGTGGGGAAGAAGAAGATCAGAGCCGCGGTGGGAAGTGGGAAGTTCCCCAACGGGCCGCCTCCACCGCTTCTGCCGTCGATGGATAGGGCCGACGCCAACCGGACGCCTCCGTTGAGGAGTCGAGCGTCGGAGGTGGACGTTGCACCGGAATCGCAAACGAGCGGGCCTGAACCGATGATTGCGGAGCCGGCGGAAAGATCTCTCGCACCGACGGACGATGTCGCATATGGTCAGGCACCACTGGGCGATGACCTTGCACCGCAGGATGAACCCGCTCCGCCGCACGATGATCCGATAGCAGAACAGGCGGAACAGGACCTCCCACTGTTTGCCTCAGAGGATGATGGGCCGAGCTCTGCTGCGAGCCCTGAGGCGCATGATTATGAGAACGATGGGGAGGCGCGGAATGCAGATACGCAGGCGTCCTCGTCGCCGGTAGTTGAGGATGACGACATTGATGCGCCAATACAGCAGCTATCCTGAGACGGGAATATTCTCTCATTCGCGGCAGGCGGGCGATGTCTATAGTGGCCCCGTACCCCTAGTATCTACATACAATTTTGGTGTTCTGTGCTTATATACAAGTCTACAATGATAGTCGCCGTGGCGTTCGGATACTAAGCTGCATACGTGACAGAGAGATATGTCTGGACGAGGATCCATAGCCTGGTGCCTAAACCCTTCTGCGCGTTACTGATGCTACAGCTACATCCGAAAATCGCGCCAGCCTTGCTAAGCACGCAAGCAAGGTTTGTTCACTCCAAAAACATCACCCAATCAGAGCTGCTGTCGTAGCTTGTGAGTCGGACGCGTCTGATGGCACAAGACGCCGCAGTTCATTGAACGCCTTTGAGAAGAACGGGCGAATCTCGTTGATTTCCATCAATCCCAGGTTGTCCATCTACGATTCGAAGTCGTCAGATCAACTCACACTTCCCGTGCGTTCGATCATCCTGAGTACAGGCCGCCCGTTCGTCCGTACCTGTAGATAGTATGGATCGAGTGCTTGCAAACCCTGCCGCGCCTTTCGTTGCCGTGCCTCCCGCAGGTCTTTCAGCAGTGTCCGTACCAGGTCTGCCTGCGGTACATCGTCGCTAGCACTGTGGGATGGGGACAACTATGTCAGGGTTGTTTCCTTATCTCCGATATCCCATGAATGCCTCGACAGTTACCACGCTAATAATAAGTGGGCTGTCTCCATATAACGAAATGGTAGCGCACTGAACTCCTCGTTGGCGTTTTCTTCCTCAATTTTCTCCCGGAGAAACTCTGTAATGAGTATGCACCTAGCTTCAGCCGATGCGGTAGAGAAGTCCATGCCCAGATACACCACCAATCCCCACCTACGTCCATCCAGTTTGGCGGTTGTATCTGACACTTATGCTTCTGCTTCAGCGTTATTGCAAGCCAAACCGGCACATCCTGCTTTATCGGTGGTCTGAAAGGCCCAAAAGATCCCTGTATTATGAGATTCGGTTGGTATCAACAAAAGATTTGTGGTTTTTTTAGTTGCTTGAAAAACGGCGTACATTTATCAGCTGAAGCTGGTCCATCCTCTGCCTCGGTATTATGGATATTGTGTCGCTTTCGGCCAGGAATTCGATCTCAGCAGGCGTGAAAGCGTTGCGCATATTCTTTGGAAGGGCCATAGCGACCGTTGCAGCGCTCCTGGGAGCGGAGTAGGAAGCCGGATGTTTTGTTTCGTTGTTGGGCGCGGCCGGAAAACGTTCTCTGAGCGGAAAGTCAGAGGCGGCTTCAAGTATCGTGTCGTAGAGGGAGACAAGCGGGACTTTCTTCGACAAGACCGGGAGGAGACCTTTCAAGCACTGAGAGAGGCTGCTGAAGCTGATGCATGGACTTGTGTGTATGTGCCTGTGCAAGCCGGGGCTTCTTCTCGGTGGTTGCGGTGGGAAAGGGAAACGTCCGACGCATTGGCCGCGAGAGAGCGAGACTGAGAGAGCGTCCGGACAAGACGGGAGACTTTCCGCTCTTTCCCTCAGACCCGCAAGCACTGTGCCCATACGCTCCTACATGTACACAGCCGCACTGACACACATACAGGAAAAGAAGGTGAGCGGCCGCCTCCTCACACCTGTATGCTCTCTCGGCCACTGGCGGGAGTCGCTAAGCACATAAGTCTTAGCTCCTAAGATTTCGCGGCTCCCAACATCATCACCTAGCGCACAAGCGCGTTTTCTCGGCCCGACCTGCGCTGGCCTTCTGTTAATTCCACTGACTTGCGCCTCACACCCTTGGCCAACCGCATGATATGATCCGGAACGTATCCTCCGTTCGGGCGGTCCAGTTCCAACTTCAGCGAGGAAACGAGAATGGCGGACTCGACAAGGAAAACGCGGTGGTGGGCAGGTCGGCGCCCGCAAAGACTCCCATGCCTGGAAAAATCGGGTTCAGGACGCCTTCACGCACGGGCTTGACCGCCAAGAAGACTACAAACACTGTCATTTTGGATAAGGAGAACACGCCGTTCGCAGAGCCGACTGCGACGAAGGGTGCGCATCGCGCGTTGAAGACACCTGCTGCTAAAGGTTGGGACTTGTACGGCGTGTGCCGCGTATGATGTCTCACGATCGCGGCTCTGACCTCTTTGATGTACGCAGTCCTCGTCGCTTCTACAGCGCTCCAAGGCAAATCAGTGAATGTGCGACAAGCCAAGAAGCCTCTGGACACAGCAGCCAAGAAAGAGATCAAGCACATATCGCTCGTCACTTCGAAAACACCCAGCCAAGCAACCACGACCCGTCCCTTCCTTCAGCAAAAGCCCATCAATACCCCGCACACGCACGCATATAGAGATTCATACAAAACGCCCCTCAACCACCCTCTCAAGTATTCTGCTTTCGAAACGCCAGATGGATCGCAGAAATCTCTTGAAAAGTCGGAGAAAATTAGAGAAGCGAGACGGGCGTCGGTTAGGAGGTCTTCTGCTCAGAAATCCTCGGTGAAGAATGAAGCGGGAAAGAGCGGTGTGAGCGAGCCTCCGGCTCCGGTGATTGCGAAGGAGGAAGAGGATGTAGAGGTTGAGTATATGCCGCCTGTGTCGAAAGGTAAAAGCAGCATTACCGCTTTTGAAACGTCTTTATCGTACATGTGCATTGACGACCGTGCGTCTTTCAGCACTTCCATTTGTGCCCCACCCGGACCTGATCGTGGACCACAAAGTCCTCACTACCCCCGTGTTAGACGTGCCTTGGAACGCAATCCCTCCCGGCCCGGACCTGCCAGAGTTCATCCCGCCAGACTTTGGTGCTTTCTCGCCGCCTTCTGTTGCTTTTGGTGCGTCACTACTGTGAAAATTATTCATGCCCGGCTGATGCTAAACTCTCGTTCCTCATTAGACCTGCCCAACGCCGACGATATACCCTGGTTGGAACTGCCTGACGAAGATGATTTTGGACTGCGCGATGAAGTTTTCCTTGAACTCAAACCTTTGAGTGCGTGAGCTGCATATAAAGTCACTTCCCGGTCTCCCACTGTAATACCCCCTGTATATGCAAACTGTACAAAGTCCTCGCGCGCACATATCCTGCCCGTGGACTGGAATACGCGCCATTCATTTGGTTCCGCCGTTCTGCTGTGTAAATAATTCGTAAATGCCATACTGTAAGGTGACTCGGACGGTGACTCTCCCATGATTGGACCACCAAGCGTATGCGGCATTTGCATTAGATGTTGAAAATTGACACGATGTACATTATAGTCTATGGCAGCGCGAGCAGTCCGTAGTACTCCAGATCCTCTATGTGAGAGGAGGGGTGTCAGTAGCGCAGTAACCATAATCTCAGCAGCAGGTATCCACCGTACCTTCTTCCTTCTTCTTCGTGTCCTCCTCCTTCCGCTTCTTCTTTTGCGGTGGGGCTGACCTGAACGCAATCGGCTTGCCTGTCTAGAAACCCCGTCACATTAGCTCCACGAGCCCCAACAACTCCACCGGACCCCTCATCCCAACCAACCTTCTTAATGACCGGCGCCCTCGCCCTCTCCAACGCCCTCTGCACCCTCTCCTCCTGCAGCAACCTCTGCGCCTCCATCTTCTCCTCCCGCAGCCTCTGCCTGCGTTCCTTATCCTTCATCTTCTCCGCCTGCTCGACCTTATCCGGGGGCATCATCTCGATCGTCTCAAACAGGCTCTCGAGGCGGTTCTCGATCGCGGTCAACATGGTGAGCGTCGAGAAGGTGGCTTCGTTGTCGCCGATACAGCGGCGGTAGACCTCTTTGACTTTTTGGTGCAGCTCTTCGAGGAGTTTCTCTTGGGATTCGCCGCCCATCGTGCCGGACGAGAACATTCTGGGGGTGAGGAGGATGAGGAGGGGATTTGCATGAGGGTTGACGAGTATGTGGGATACATACTTGGCTCGTTCTTCGAGCATCTGGGCTTTATGTTCCTCTCGACCTATCGCGGCGTTCAAGAAATCGATCTGTTGTTTCAGACTCTGTGTTTCCTGGTCCCTGTATTGCCACAAAACCCAAATCAGCCCACGCCCATCCGGTATCTTTTCTTTTTGGCACGGCCGACTGCCCGTTCCATTCCCCTCATCCCTAAAACCTACATCCTCGCCTCAGTATCCACGATTTTCTGCTTCAACTCCTCCAACGTCTCCTCCGTCTCCTGACAGTTCTGGATCAGCGCCAGATTGTTCTCCTCGAGCTCCGCAAAGATGTCCAGCAATTGCTGCGGGGTTTTGAAGTACAGGGAGGGTTCGTCGTCCGCGGTGTCGGTGGAGGATTGTTGTTGCTGTTGTTGCTGTTGCGGCTGTTGCGCCTCGTCGTCGTCGGCAGCGGTGATGTCGGAGTCGGAGTCGGGGTCGGCGCTGGGTTTGGAGTGGGGTTTGGTGGGGGCGTGTTTTGAGCGGGTGCTTTTGGTGCGACGCGGTTCTGTGTGTGGTACGTCCTTAGTGGTCTGTGCAGACTCGACGCTCCCCAAGTACGTGGCCAGAGATCTTACTTGAGTTGGAGGCGACACTCCCATCGTCATCCCTTCCGTCCGTCGATGTGCTGGTTTTCAACTCCTACAAACAAACAAACAAGGTCAATATCCCATCCATCTCTCCACCCACCAACCAATCCTAAACGTCAACATCCCGCCAACCAACCTTCGCCCCTTCCTTGTGCTCCTCGAACCACTCCCTCGGCGTAACCTTATCCAAGAACTCCTTATAGCGCTGCAGATCCTTCAGCTGATCCTCGTTTTTCGACATGTCGCTGCGGATGCTCATGATCTGCATGTTGAGTTTTTTGATTTCTTGAATTTTCTCCAGCTTCGCTTTGGTTTCTTGTTCGGCTCTGTTGGAGGGGGGGGGGGGGGGGGGGGGGGAGCAAAGTGGGTCGTGAGTAAAGGTGAGGAAAAGGGGAGGGATGGGGGAAAGGGATTTGTTACTTTTTGATAGCTTCGACGGAATTCTTGTCGTTTTCCTTCAAGAAAGCGTCGAATTTGGCCGCGTCTTCTTCGAGCGCTTTTTCGTCGTCCAGGAGTTTCTGCTCTTCGGCCTGGGCAATCTCCTCCAGTTTTCGCATCTCCTCCCGCTTTACACCCAAAGCGTATTGCACGAGAAACATTTCACGCTTTTTGGCGATGAAGTCATGCAGGTTTTCTTTCCCGAAATGTCGGTCGACTGGGGGTGTGCGGATGTGCGCAAATGGTTAGATTAATCCTCATGCATCAAGGCTCATCGTCTCACATGGCGACAACGATGTTGGGATACAGAGAGCGAGGCTCGCTTTGCTCGCAATAGATCCAACCGTCTAGAGTAAGTGAGGAGAGTATTGCGCATTTTGGCGCAATGAAACTCGCTCCGTTCGCGCTCCCAGGAGGGTGCGACCTCAAGCATCCTCGCACCTCCGTACAGTAAATCTTCCGAAAACCCACCTCTAGCCTGCCGGTTCGTCAACACCTTATCCGAATCCCGCTTTTTCAGCCGCTCGTAGAACGCAATATCATCCTCCTCCTCGGCCAGGAGCTCCTTGAAATTCTTGCGTTTGACCATGGACTTTTCGTAAATGTGCAGCTTGCGCATCTGGGCTTTGGCCTATATCACAGGGGACGGTATTTAGCATCTTGTAAGAGGTCTGCAAATGTAAAGGGGAGTTTTCCCCAACCTCCTGCTTCTGTCTCCTCTCATCCTCCCTCAGGGCAAACACCTCCACATCAGATGGCATGTGAAACGGGTTGGCCGTTTCGCCCGATGATCCTCGACTGTCATTCGTGTTTGCGGTGCTTGCTCTTGCACCGGCCGTGTTCAAGTCAGTCTTCGAGTGAGGAACCGATGTGATGCTGGGGAGTTTGAGCAGCTTGCTCCGCGGCGATGCTATGGGGATGTAATGAACTATTGGTAAACACATAGGCAAATCGCATGTGGAGAGTGGCAGACAATGTCTTACGTGTTATCGGGACTCGACGCTTATGTCCAGACGGGCTGCTGCTCTACGAAACGAACCGATAGGATATAAGAACGGTTCCTCCCCATATCTCACCAACGGAACCAAACATACCGTTGGATTGTGATGCCCCTTCCATATTTGCGCTGTCGCTACGGATGTCATTGAGTGATACTTCTGGTCACCTCCCAACCCTCAGAGCGTTCGCATGCAGTCCAAATGCCGCCACCGTCAATGCGGAGATTGAGGAATGTGGCTTGGTGCGGTCGATGACTCACGCGTCTCTCTGTTGGGGCGTACCATGAGCCGAGTGGGTGGTGTGGGTGTCTGTCTCCCCCCAAAAGATGGCCCGCCCATTAACCCCTCCCTCGGAGTCCCTCATGCAAGTCCTAATGCGTGTCTTGTGGGAAGGAAGCCGCCCGCACCAGCGGGAATTCATGCTAATAGCGACATTCTCATACGGCGCGTCGCATCAACAATCCCCCCTCCCGCAAGCCTTGCAGGGAGACCCTCGCATTACCTTCTTCAAGCCTATTGGATTCTGTCGCCCGTAGGAGTTGGAGAAGAGCCGTTCCAAAAAAGTTATATGGTAGATCCCACGACAAAGCCGCAAGGAATGTTGTCGGTAGCAGAGATCTCCACGTACCCGGTGGGCAAGGTGCCCGGCCAGGGTGCAAAAGTTGAAGCCTACCTTCGCAAGTCGCTGCAGGAGCGAATCATGTTCATCGACGGTGCCATGGGAACAATGATTCAGCGATACAGGTTCTCCGAACAGGATTTCAGGACGGAACGGTTCAAGGACCACCCGAAGGACTTCTTGAAGGGCAATAACGACTTGCTGTCCATCACCCAGCCCAAAGCAATTTACGAGATCCACTGCAAATACCTGGAGTCCGGGTCGGACATGATTGAGACAAACACCTTCTCCTCGACATCGATCGCACAGGCCGATTATCTGATGCAGGACCTCGTTTACGAGATGAACATCGAGTCGGCGAGATTAGCAAAGAAGGCTTGCGAGGAGTACACGAAGAAGGATCCCTCAAAGCCACGTTTCGTCGCGGGTGCCATCGGTCCCACAAATCAAACGTTATCCATCTCTCCGTCAGTCGAGAACCCGTCATATCGTGCGACAACCTTCGATGCCATGGTGGCTGCCTACGCCGAGCAGGTGCGAGGTCTACTGGATGGTGGCTCTGATGTCTTGCTGGTTGAGACGATTTTCGACACATTGAACGCTAAAGCCGCGCTATACGCCATCGACGTGGTGTTTGAGGAAGATGGGTACGACAGGGTTCCCATCCTGGTGTCTGGAACGATTGTTGACCAATCTGGACGTACGCTGTCTGGTCAGACCGGAGAGGCTTTCATTGCCTCCGTCGGTCACAGTGATCCATTGGCCATCGGACTCAACTGCGCTTTGGGTGCCGACCAAATGTTGCCATTCCTGCAAAACATCTCCAAGAACAACCCCACTTTCATTATCTGTTATCCCAACGCCGGTCTTCCCAACACCTTCGGAGAGTACGACCAATCACCTGCGGACATGGCAGAGCAGGTTCGACCGTTCGCCGAGTTGGGACTTCTGAACATCGTTGGAGGATGTTGTGGTACCACCCCCGACCACATCAAAGCGATCGCAGACATGTGTAAAGGATACGCACCCCGTGTGCCGCCCACGATAGATCCGGAAACGTTGATCGTATCCGGTCTCGAGACACTGAAGATTAACAAGGAAACTGGATTCGTTAACATCGGAGAGAGATGTAACGTCTCCGGTTCCCGAGTGTTTGCAAAGAAGATCTTGAACGGAGCATACGAGGAAGCCCTCGCCATCGGACGAGCCCAAGTCGAAGCCGGAGCGCAGGTCATCGACATCAACATGGATGAAGGTCTCTTGGACGGCAAAGTCGCCATCGCAAAGTTCCTTAACTACATCGCCTCCGAGCCCGACATTGCAAAAGTCCCCATCATGGTCGACTCGTCGAATTTCGAGGTCGTCCTCGCCGGTCTCAAATGCGTGCAGGGGAAATGTATCGTCAACTCGATCAGTTTGAAAGAAGGTGAAGCCGATTTCATCAAAAAGGCGAAAATCGTTAAGCGCTTCGGTGCCGCTGTCGTCGTTATGGCGTTCGATGAGACCGGTCAGGCCGTCGAAGCGCAGCGCAAGTACGAGATTTGCGCGCGGTCGTATAAGATCCTGACGGAGGTTTGTGGGTTCAAGGGGTGTGAGATTATCTTCGACCCCAATATCCTGACTATCGCGACGGGAATGGAGGAGCATAACCACTACGCTGTGGAGTTTATTGAATCCAACCGCTTGATCAAGGCCAACCTCCCCGGTGCCAAGATCAGCGGAGGTGTCTCCAACCTGTCGTTCTCCTTCCGTGGAAAGGAGGTACTCCGTCAGGCCATGCACAGTGTGTTTCTGTACCACGCCATCAAGGCCGGGATGGACATGGGTATCGTCAACGCTGGTTTCCTGACCATCTACGACGATATCCCCAAAGACCTTTTGGAAATTTGCGAGAACGCCATCTGGAATAGGGACCCCGAGGTGACCGAGAAGCTTCTCGCCTATGCCGAGACGCACGGAAAGGACTCGACAAAGTCCGCTGCTGAGGCTGAGGAGTGGCGCAAGGAAGACGTGGAGCAGAGGTTGAAATACGCGTTGGTCAAGGGGATCACCAAACACATCATCGAAGACACCGAGGAGGCCCGGCTGAACAAGGAACGGTACCCGCGACCACTGAACGTCATCGAAGGCCCCCTCATGGCCGGCATGTCCGTCGTCGGAGAACTCTTCGGCGCCGGCAAGATGTTCTTGCCGCAAGTCATCAAATCCGCGCGTGTGATGAAGAGCGCCGTGGCGCATCTGATCCCGTTCATGGAGGAGGAGCGGCTGGCCAACCTGGCTGCGGGCGGGATCGACGACAGCGATCCGAATGCGGCGTATAACGGGACGGTTGTCCTGGCGACTGTGAAGGGTGATGTGCACGATATTGGCAAGAATATTGTTGGGGTTGTGTTGGGATGCAATAACTATAAGATTATTGATTTGGGCGTTATGACGCCTTGTGATAAGATTTTGGACGCTGCGATCAAGGAGCGCGCGGATGTGATTGGGTTGAGTGGGTTGATTACGCCTAGTTTGGACGAGATGGTGTACGTCGCCAAGGAAATGGAGAGGAAAGGATTGAAGGTTTGTAACGAGCGATGGGTGAGCTGTCATAGCAGAACTCTATGCTAAAGTGTGCTATGCGTACAGATCCCTCTCCTGATCGGCGGTGCCACAACATCCAAAATGCACACCGCCGTAAAGATCGCCCCCCGCTACTCCGAACCCGCCGTGCACGTCCTCGACGCCTCGCGGTCCGTCGTCGTAGTGTCCAACCTCCTCGACGGCAAGGTCCGTGAAGACTTTGTCGACGACATTGCAGACGAATACGAGGACCTGCGTGCCGAGCACTACGAAGGGCTGAAGGATCGGCGGTACCTGACCCTCGACGAGGCGATGAAGAAGCGGGCAAAGATCACCTGGGACCAGGCCACCGTGCCATGCAAGCCCAAGTTCTACGGAAGCAAGTCGTTCAAGGAATACGACATAAAGTCGCTGATCCCATATATCGACTGGAACCCCTTCTTCCAGACATGGCAGCTGCGTGGAAAGTACCCCAACCGTGGGTTCCCCAAGATCTTCAACGACGAAACCGTCGGCGAGGAAGCAAAGAAGCTGCACGACGACGCCATGGAGATGCTAAACACCATCGTCGAAGAGAAGATCCTCTCCGCGCGTGCCATCATCGGGTTCTGGCCCGCAGCGTCGATAGGCGAGGACATTGAGATCTTCTCCGACGACAAGAACCTTAACACACCGGTCGCGACATTCTACGGGCTCCGTCAACAAGCCGAGAAGGACGCAGATAACGACGAGCCATACTACTCCCTCTCCGACTTCATCGCGCCCAAAACAACCAAGATTCTCGACCACGTGGGCGCATTCGCCGTATCCTGCGGGTTCGGCGTCGACGAGAAATGCGTCGAGTACGAGAAACAGCACGACGATTACAGCATCATCATGCTCAAAGCCCTCGCGGACCGTCTCACCGAGGCCCTGGCGGAGGTCGTGCATGCGGATATCCGGAAGAACTGGTGGGGATATGCGCCGGAGGAGGATCTGTCCCCGGAAGAGATGCTGCAGGTCAAGTACCAGGGCATTCGGCCGGCGCCGGGGTACCCCACGCAGCCTGACCATACGGAGAAGGAGACGATGTGGAAGTTGATGGAGATTGAGAAGGAGACGGGGATTGGGTTAACTGAGTCTCTGGTGAGTAGGATGAGCCAGTGTATTTTATCACCGCCTTCGACTGGGATCTAGATTCTGATGATGTCCTCTCTCCCTCCTCATCCACACAGGCCATGACACCAGCAGCCTCCGTTTCCGCCATCCTCTTTGGCCACAAGGACGCCAAATACTTTGCCGTCGGCAAAATCGCAAAAGATCAAATCAACGCATATGCCGCGCGAAAGAGCATGGAGGTGCATACCCTTGAACGGTGGCTTAACTCGAACTTGTCGTATGATGCGGAGTAGGGGATTTGACTTGACGTTAAGGTGTAGATTTCGGTAGTTTTGGTCCCTTTATTTGGGATAGACTCGGTCCCCTCTCTTTCCTTATTTTGATGACGGGCTTTTCATGTATTTAATGCTTTTTAGTTGATCGATTGGATGAAGATATTAGCTGCGTATACTGCACATAATGGGTGGATAACGTACGGCGGAAGGGTGAAAGGTGGTAAAGAGAGGTTTGTGCACGGCAGGCCAACCCCGCATACGCCGCGTGGAGAGGATGGGAAAGGTTCACATGTTTTTCGCTGGTCATATGCTACCAATTTCGTCAAGGAATATCAAGATTGACCAATTTTCGTGAGGAAGATGCTACCAATTTCGTCAAGATCATCTTCTATTCGCAATCGGGTCAGAAAGCTCGAATCCCGTTTCTCTATCTATGCAACGTTGCGGGGAAACACGCTTCACGGGATGCCATTCCAAAAATTATGTGAAAGCTAGATGAGGGAGAGTCTAAACACCGCTCTCATAGTTTACGTGGGAATTCTAGACCGTAATGCTCCGACAAATAATCGATGACCCCGGGTGTTGATGTGAGAACGTTGAAAGTTTTCTTTTCTGCAATCACAGACGTTTGATGAGTCGATTTGTGATCATTTGCCTGGTGCTCTTTCGAAGTCCTCTCGCGATTTTCCGCCACATACCTGCTTTGCTCATCGAGGAATCCAGCATATACATAAGATGGTGATGAAGGATGAAATGCGCTGACCCATACCCCGTGCTCAACCTCACAAACTTCTGCACGGCCTCAATCGGGGTATGCTCGTACCCCGCAAACAACGCTGGATTCTCCAACAGCCCTCTCGCGGCCATCACACCGTCAACTCCCGTGTAGTCAACGATCCGGTCGGCATCGGTGAGCGAGAACACGTCTCCGTTGGCGAGGACGGGCATCGAGGGGCTGGCGTGCTCCTTGACCAGCTTAATGGCATCCAGCGAGACGGGCTCGGACGATTTCTGATGTCGTGTGCGGCCATGCACCGTGACCCAGTCGACGCCAACGGATTCTGCCCTGCGCACAAACTCGACCGTCTTGCGTGGGTCGCGGTGTACACGGATCTTGATGGAACAAGGTAACCCACCCCCCGTCGTGCTGCCGTTGCCGGCCTCACACCCATTCGTCCGCGCTTTGACCTGCCGCACCATCTCCCGCACAAGCTCCGGTTGCTCCATCAGGTAACTCCCGATCTTCTCCTGCACGGCCCATTTTTGCGGACATCCGCAGTTGAGATCCACGCCGTTGGCGTACGGCGCGACAAGCTCCGCGGCATCGGCTAGATCGCCTGGTGTCGAGGAGGCGAACTGGATGACGACGGGGTCGTCGGCTTTGTTGGTGCGGTATTCGTGGTCGCGGGATATTTGGGAGTGCTTGTAAACGTCGGCGAGGATCATGGGTGTGTAGGCGATATCCACTCCATAGCTGTATGTGGGGCGGAACAAAAGGACGTGAGACAGAAAGATCTTCGATTTCAACGTACCCAAACTATCCCATCGGCGATTACCCACCCTCGCACCAACTCCCTGAATGGCAGCTTGCTGTATCGGACCATAGGCGCGCATATCGTCACATAAGGCCGCTCCGGCCTCCTCTTTGCGTCGTGAATATACTCCAAAGCCGACCTTCTCTGTGTCGGTAACTCAGTCATATCATCAGATTTATGCCCTTCTTCCTCCTCGTAATGGCCTTTGACGAAGCTTGGGCTGTCGTTGAAAGCTGCGTCGTCGCCGTCAACATCTTTGCGGGAGTATTTCAAGTCGGGAAGGGTTTGGTGGACAACCATTTGGGGTTTGCTCTTTGTTGGGCTCAAACGTGAAGTGGCAGCTGAAGAAAGCTCTACCGGCGGCGCAGGTGTTTTCTATTCGAGGGAAAGGAAGAAATTGTATATTGCAGCTGTTTTGAGCGTCGGAGGGCTTGGGAAGGAAATTGGGCATTGGGTTTGCCCCACAGAAACCGGAGGCTCCGAAAAAAGTCTCAAACGGCGTTCGACGATTTCCAACGGTCGACACACACCGCCATTGCACCGCACATCGTAGACATCACATAAACACCCTTACGGACCTCGTCGAAATATCTAGACTTCCCAAGGTGGAAGGGAGCCATTTCCGACCGGCAGCGAGAAATATCCATACAAGAACAGCACACCACTTAACGCCATCCCTCATCCCGCAAGATGGGTCTCTCATTCTCATCCTGCCTACGAGGCCACGATGACGAGCCCGGAACCCATCCGCACCAGGTTTGCTATCAGCCTGGAGCCGCTATTCATTTGTCCTACTTATTTCTGCACACAAATTCACTCACTCTATGTTCTCCACATAGCCAACAGAACGCACGCCATTGCTTCCGCCCGTGTATGAGTCCGAGGAACAGCCTCGGTAGGTCAATGTTTGATGTTATCCGGGGATATGCGGGCTGGACTTTCTCAAGTGACGTATTCTCTTCTTTCGTGTGGTAGGTCGCCAATGGACGAAGAGGCACAGGCGCGGTTAGAAGAAGAGGAAGAGCTGAAGAGGATAGTGCAACGGACTGCAGAGTGAGTGGGGGCGACGGAACGGATGGTGCGAATCGTCGACAAGAGGACCGTGGGACTCACTAGTGTCTACGTTTATCCGAACTTACAGCAACCTCATTGATATATCCGCAACACGGATACTGGACCCGATTCCGCCGGACCTTGCTGCCGAGCGGGCTGCGAAATACAGGTATCGTTTCTCATCTCAGCAACGTTCTCCAGTTTCAGAATCAAGAACAACACCTTCGCCTTTAGATCAATACTCGCTGAAATCGGCCCTCAACTCCGTCCCTTCCTCCCCGCCTCCAAACCCGCCTCCTCCTTCTCATCCAGCCCGCTTCCCCGCCCACACACCTTCGAACTCCTCCAAGGCAGCGGTCTAACAAAACGCAGGAAGGAACTCATGGCCGAGGCCGAACGGGTGCTGGTGCCGCCGTTCAAGGAGATTAGGATTAAGCCTGTGGGGGATATTTGGGTGCCGTTGATGCCGGGAGGGCCGCCGTCGGTTGCGGGAAATGCGACGTCGCCGGCTGCGGGTGGGGCAAATGGGGGTGCGAATGGAGCGGGGGCTGCGACGGGTTCGGGGCCGTCGACACCAGGGTCCGGGCCGGCTTCCTGATGGGGATTCCATTAGACCGTTAGTGGTTGTTGGGCCGGGGGAAGATCTTTCATCGAGATAGCGCGAGGAAATCTCTCGGGCTTATCGTCGATGAGCACATCTTTAATGCAAGAAGGGCGAGGGGATATTTGTATTATAGTGAACCGCGCAGCGAGATGGCCCGCGGTGGAGGCAAGGATTGCCGATGGCTTTTTTTGGTGTAGGATAACAGTGTATATAAGTTCTCGAAGCTCTTCCATAGTCCTAGACTCAAGGGAGAATCCGCATCCCCAACGGAACGTCTCATCCGAATATCAACGCGGTAGTCTCCCCGCCGGGTTATGAATTTTATTTACATTCGAAGAGGACCAAACCCGCCGGTTGCATACAAAAAAAAAAGGGGAAGTTGGACCGTCGTTCATTACAGGAATGAAACCGAGGCATCCCTCCTCCACTCAAACAAAGGGGAATTGGGATACTCTCTTCGTAGACTAGGAGGGCGTGGGGGTTTTCAAAAAGATAGTATGGCAAAAAAATCTCGGTCCGATATGCTTGGCTGGCTCTTAGAAGAACTCGTAGCCGAACATGCCGGAAGAGGCGAACGCGTGTGATCGCTGTGCTATGTCATGTTTCGTAGGTTGGCTTATTTGATGATATGCGGTTGGTCACATATCCATGCTGCCCATCGTGTATTGCTCAAAGGATAGTTCCCTGTGGTGAGACATAACGCATGAGCTTACAAGCATAACCTGCAGATGCCACAGAGGAGGAGTCCTACCTGCTCTCGTCTTCGGGGATATGCAGCTCATCGACGCTCTGCCCATCAGTATCGTCCATCATGTAAATAGCGTTCTTCTCTTCTGGTTGTAAAGGTGCTAGACAACTGACTGCTCGGGCAGTAAAGAAGACGATTCGTTTTTGACGGCGGTTGACGAAGAAGTAGTAAAAACTCCATCTGTTTGGGCGGACATAGATGGTTCTGTCAGTCAACCCCAGGTTCCGCGATCAAATTCGAGCGCTCACAAATGGGGAATCGCCGCCCCAACGTACAAGTTTCCCTGCTCCTCAGCATCTGGCTCCACGTCTCCATCTGGATTGAAACTGTAGATATCGCACTCCTTCAAGCAAATCGCTTCATCAATCGCAGCCCATATCTTTGCGCCAACGGCATGCTGTGCGCCATCTATCCCCAAATGCACAAGCAATGTCGTGTTGACCGTATTCGCAACAATATTCACCGGTACAGTCGAGAACGAATCGGGTCTCAGATCGCTGAAATCGTAATCAGGGAACGCGGCGTTCATGGTGGCTAGAAGGTAGAAGAAGGTTTTGCGAGATACATGTGGATGACCTAGTGAGCCTGCGTGGGGCGAGCTGGGGGAATTGTGGGACCCTTGCCAGGAGCCGATTTCCACATCGCCGCTTTTGTCTGGGAACTTTTCGTCCACGTGTCGTTTTAGACGGCGGTCATCGTCAGTGTTCTTACCTACATGAGCGCAATGATTGGCCAAGAGATTAGCGAAAAGCAATGGATAGGGATGGTTGCAAAGCGAAGGTTGAATGGTTGGTTAAACGATACCCTCGTGACAACAAGGTTGGGCGGCGTCTGAATCACAACGGCCGCTCGCTGTAGCTCACATTTACTGCTCGCTGTCGCTGGCGAACGCTTTTGGGGTGGTCGCGCTCGCCTATGCTTGGGCTCCCATCGCAAATCCAAGGCTCGCCTATGGCTCGCCTGCTTCGCTCGGCGATCGCCCCACTTCACTCGCCGGACGCTCCCACTTCACTCGCCGATCGCCCCACTTCGCTCGCCGCAGTACGCGTATGCCCAATACCGCCCTCCCCATCCTCAGGCTCTCAGAGCGAACCAGTCTCCCTACGCTCAAACGCTAGCGCTCTCGAACATACATGAATAAGCCTCGACACGCCCAAAGAGTCTACAGTCTCCGGTATCGATACACGACAGCTGGTTATTTATATTTTCGAGCGACTCGAAATCCGTAAGGTACTTCATCCTTCGACTGAGTTTCCTTATTATTCCAAGCGAGGCGGTTGAGGTATTCGTAGAGACGAGGCTCTATAAAGAGCGCGGGTCTGGGAGAATATACGTTCCAGTATGCTGTTCTTGGTATCCGTTTTGCGTTGGTTTGCAGCGGACAACAGGTCATAGTAGGGCCAAAGGGGAAAGACGGGTGCAGGGTGCAGGCGGGTGCAGGCTCTCGACACAAAGTTCCAACGAGCCTGGGATGGGTCCACAAGGGCGACAAATGGTGGAGCAGTCGTCTCACTGTCGACTTCGATGGGGCTTCCAAGGTGTTTACGAGTAAGGAAAAGCACGTTCAGTAGCCAAGACTGGTGTATCGCGGAGGCCTCGTATATGGAGTTCGATTACGTGGGTGTAGCTTGTGCGTGTGTATTTGCGATTGAGTTTCGTTGGGCTTTCGAGTGGCTTTGGGCACGTTGCGCGCGACAGGCTGAGGCTCTGAGGGGAGAGACGGACGGAGACGGACGGACGTTGGCCCTGATGACATCCGCGACGCTTTCGCTCGTGCGGGCAGCAGCCCAGCCGAAACGCAAACAAAACATACCCAGCCAAATCTACAAAGCAGCCGCCGCCACTTAGCAGCAGCTGTATGTACAAGGAGGAATAGAGTCTCTCTATGGCAGAGTAGACTGGTAATAGTGTGGATTAGCCCAGCTATTTGGCCGACACTCAAAGACTGGGCGAAGCTAATATAGATCTGCTCTATGCCGTCCATGCGCTCGATCTAGCTATCCACACATGTCACGTCAAGGGCCCTTGGAAAAGCGTCCAAACTCCTAAACCCCTAAGAAAGAAACCACCTAAAAGTACAAACTAGCTGCAAAAACAATATCCCTCTTGATGCACTCCCGCGCCTCCTCCATCTTCTTGAACAGTCCCGCATCTCCAATCAGCCGCGCCGTGCCTTGCACCTCGCGGCACGTTTCTTCAAGTCGGATGATGGTTCGGACGATGGAGCCTGGTATATCATAATGCGGGGGTGCTCAGCAATCGTACTTTTCGAGATATCAAGCAGACAAAAGGTCGGCTTACCTTCCAAGACGTCCGTGAGATGCGTGATATGCTTGAACGGTAATCCACGTGCCCATTCGTATACGACCTCGACGAGTCCGATTTTGATGTTTGATAGGACGTCCTCTGTACGGACGTCCAGTCCGCAGCTTCGTTGGATGTCGCCGACACGCGTCGCAATGTCTACGATGGCTTTGACGCCCTGGCGAACGAGGAATGGGTTTATCCCGGTCAGATTGATGTTGGCGTTCATGTGAGGTTGTGCAAAGCAGAGACCATACGAACCGTTTCGAGCCTCGGCGTCATAGCCGGCTCATTCTGCGTCTTCTCCTGAAACACAAAACAGCTGAGCAACGCAACAATCTCTGCTGGCTCATAGTCTGCCAAAAAGTTTTCGAGAATGAGCTCCGTCAGGATCAGTTCGTCTGCGGTGTTGATCTGGTTTGTCGGTCATTAGAAATCCTTCCGCCATCACGTCGAAATGTAATACTCGCAATGTACGGTTTTCGCATTCGTACCTCGCACGCAACCCGTCCTTTTATTGTTACCGTGCCGTTCTCGTCAATGAAATTCATCACACGGAGAACCTCCACACGCTGATGGTAGTCAGGAAGCAATTCCAGATTCTGGTCTGAGATCTTATGTGCCAGCTCTGCGACTTGTTTCTCCAAGGTGCGTTCGTTGTGAACCTTGGCGTACTGAGCAAACAATCGAAGAAACGTCAATGATCCTATAGAAGCTGGGTGCATCATGACATGGCAAGTACTCACGTGTTCCATGAGATCAGGACATTTGACGCATTGGAAGTTGTTAAGCTGGGCAAGCAGGTGTTCCTTCTCCCGATATCGCTCTTGGAAGTCGATGTCCCGTATTTTGCTCCAGTCGTATTCCGATATCTGACCAGCAGCGTTGATTTCTTGCCCGATGCGCAAAAGCTCTTGCACAGCTCTTGCGATCTCTGCGCGGTCTCGTTTCGCTGTTACCAGTTCTGGGTCGATCTGAAACAAGAAAGTATCAGCACTCATTCACTGACAACGTCTCTCGAGACAACTAACCTTGATCTGCAGCTTGGTAATGACCCATATGTCGGTCACCGGAAGGTCAACAATCTCATTGTCGATCTTCTCCGCCGAAGGCACAGTGACACGGGTTACAGGCATGGGGGCATTCGCACTGGCCATCCCCTCCTTCGTCAAGTCGTTCTGATCCGTCAAAATCAAGATACTGTACTTTTTATCTTCCCCGCCCGCACGGTCAGGCCCACTCCCAACAATCACGCCAACAGCGTTGCGGTGGAATTTGCTGTTAACGACCACGATCCTCCCCACCGCCAACGACTTGCCACCCATTGGGGTCTTCATGACCCGGTCCCGCAGGTCGAACTGCAACGTCGCAACTCTGTATGACAGGTCGTAGTATGGGTATATATCGGCCGAACAGATAGGACACGACAGCTTGGTCAGCGTTGATAGGGTTTCTGCGTGCTCGGCATGCTGCTTCTGCTGCTCAGGCAACAACTTCTGCGCAACATTCTCGGAAAAACTCCTCTTGATCATCTCTTCCACTTTCAAGGCTTCCACTCGGAGTAGGTTAAGGATCATCGTGTATGTAAGACGGAACTGGGACGCGAGCTTCGTGGGCTGGCCCAGAATCATTTGTTGCAGACCGAGGCTTTCAGGAACCTCGTCGTTGCACGCGATGATAACGATGCCCCGATCGTCCAGTCCACGACGGCCTGCTCGACCTGACATTTGCGTGTATTCCCCGGGCAGCAACTCGCGGAACGACCGTCCATCATGTTTCCGCGTTGATGAAAAAACGACGCACCGAGCAGGGGCGTTGACACCCATCGCAAACGTCTCGGTTGCAAACAGGCAGCGGACGAGCCCACGCGTAAATAAAATCTCCACCATCTCTTTCACGATGGGCAGCAGTCCACCGTGATGCACGGCGATCCCGCGACTTAACAGATCCCGCATCCGCAAGATCTGCGGCAATTCCTTGTCGCTGCCTTTCAGCCGCCCGACACATTTCTCGATGAATACGTGCACTTCGCTTTTTTCGCCGGCGCCGGCTGTGAAATCTACGTTGGCGAGCCCGTTTGCGTACTCTTCGCATTTCTTTTTGGAGAAAGTGAAGACGATGACGGGGAGTAGCTGTTTTTTCTTGAGTAGTCCGAGGAGGTGGACGTACATGTTCCGATCCTGGTATGGAGGATGTCTCACTAAGAGGCCTGCCCACTAAACATGAGAAACATCTCGACTGAACAGCACACTTACAGTCTGTCCCATAGCCCTAGCATTAGGTCCGGCCCGACTCCCAGCCGACGTAAAGGTCTGCTGAGCCCCTCCACGCCCACCACCTCTTCCACCGCGACCACCACTTGCTTGACCGCCCCGCCCGCCGCCTCGTGCCGGAACACCGCCTGACCCCGGGCGTGGTGCTTCCTTCTTGGGTCCTGCAAGTGCTGATTGGGCAGCCTTCCACCTGCGGAGAAACTGATGATCAGATACAGGAATCACAATGATTCCAAAAGGCAGATTCATCGTACCCCGTGGAAAGGAACTTTTTCTGCGAATCGACAACCTTGTAGAGCTCCTTGTCCGTTGTGGGGACGTACAGGTGATGCTCCAGGGGAACAGGACGTTTTGCTGTGGAGATGACATAGATGTTTTTCTTCTTTGTGCGTCTATGATCGGACACATTAGCATACAGCGCCTCATGATGAAGAAAATATGATGAAAGGAAGGCCGACATACCCGACCCAGTCTGCAAATTCTCGGGTATTGGGCACAGTCGCGGACAATAGAATCAGGTTGACGTGCGCAGGCAGCATAATGATAACTTCCTCCCATACAACTCCTCTCTATGAAACAAATCACTCGTTATCATCTGCCCCCCATGAAACCTGTGCTCAACCACACCCCTCTTACCTCAATATCATTCACATAATGCACTTCATCAAAAATCACAAACTCCACATCTCGGATAAGGTCGGCGCCACGATACAGCATACTCCGGAGAATCTCGGTGGTCATGACCAGGCAGCTTGCTTCGGGCTTGATCTGGACGTCTCCTGTTAGGATTCCGACGTCATCGAATGTTGTGCGGAAGTCGCGAAACTTTTGGTTGCTGAGTGCTTTGATGGGGGATGTGTAGATGGCTCTGAGACCCCGGAGAACGTTGGTTGATGTTGGCTTTTGCATTTATTGTTGGTCGGGGCATTGCAACGCGGCTCCTTACCTCGTCATATGCTTCTGGGCCAATGCTATGGCGTACTCGGCGACGACGGTTTTCCCCGCGGACGTGTGTGCCGCTATGAACACGGAATCTCCATTTTCCAAGTGGTAGACGGCTTGCTTCTGGAAGACATCCAGCTCGAAAGGAAACTATGAAGACCGGCGTTAGACCTTATAACCATATGGACATGAGTCGGGTTGAGCCCCACCTGATGCGCCAACTCTGGCACCAGATCGTAGAACTCTGGGAATCCTTGTTCAACATCGACGACTTGCGCCCAGTCGACTTTCCGCGGTGCGTCGACTTTCGCCGACGATGTGAATGGCATGTCGGGCTGTGGCAACACATTGCTGAATATAATCCGTTGAATGAAGCTGGTGCAATATATTCGAAAGTACCTTCGATGGAAGAAGCGAGTCGATTTCCTGAGTTCCCTCGCTAGTGTCCGACTCTGGTTCGGGGGCACTTTCGGCTTTGGCCTGTAACGAGAGACCACTACTGTCAGAGACCAGCAATGGACAAATGCTAGGCTTCCAGCATACTTTGTCATCAGCTTCAGCGGCGGCTTCCTCTTCTTTTAACAGTTCGAAAGCTAGATCATCCCCGCCGGTAAGGATATCTGCAATGTCGATAGTGTTGTTTGCCGAGACCGTAGGTATGGTTGCATTATCTGAAAAAGCGGTTGGTGTCAATCTACGTTCCCTTCTGCCGTCTGTAATGCTGATACATCGTTATCGTCCGCCCACCATCAAACACCATTCCCTGAACAAATCCAGGTGGCGTCGTCAATAGATCATCTAATGTCAATGGCACCATTAGCGATGTCCGGTGACAGGCTACAATGAGTGTAAATCGTTACCATCGTCGAACTTCAACAGCTCTGCCAACTCTCTCTCGAGATCATCCATGGGGGTTCGATCGACGAGAGCCACTGCTTCCAAACCACCTAGTGGATGATGGAGGTGCGGGAGTCAGATATCTGTTCGACAAATCATTAGACAAAGATACGACCTGGTGCGAAGGGCAGGTTTGTACTGCGGCCGCGAACGAAATCGGCCATCGCGGTCGGGTTACGAAGCATCGACGTTGAATTGTTGGCATTGAGGTTGAGATCAGACAATACAACCTTATATTGGTGACAAGTTGAAAGAAAGGACATCAGACATGATTCTATTCTGTATACGTGCATTCGGGAATGTCACAATTCGTCGGAGATTCAACATATGAAGGACAGCGTTCGTGGAGGAACAGTGTCAACCCATCAACCATCACCCATCAACCATCGAATGCTAACCATCAACCACCCAGCAACTTAAAATACTCGTGAGTGACCGGGAATCTGGCGCCTTTGGCGCAATGTGGTGCGCGCTTCGCCGCAAAAGATCTGGCGCTCGCTGAGGCTCGCTAAGAGCCGTGGTTTGGTGAGAATTGCGCCTTTGGCGCAATGTGGCTCCCTCCGCTCGCAAACCAGAAGGCGTTCGCTCTGGACGACCTGGCGGTCTCCCAGACCGAACCACTGCCACGCCGCCAATCTACAGATTCTACACACTTTCCATCCCGAAAGAACGCCTCTATCTACCATTTGCGCGCAAAGTGCCAATGTTAGCTTACCTCCTCCCAGTCCCAGAAGTTGAGCTCTCCAGAAAGCACGTCTCGCTTTATCTTGAGCTGCGTTCCCGCTTTCGATGACTCCATCACAAACAGCTCATCCCAGTTTGGCTCACGGTCAATGATGCGTTGAGCTTTCACGAGCATATCTTCGCTGAAGTGAGGTTTGGGCAGAACATATCGCTCTTCCAGCTCCGCTCGTATTTCGTCCGTGGTGGGGGTTTCAAAGGGACCTAGCCCTAGAGGCAACTATTCTCCATCCACTTGAGTTCCACACCGCATTCCAACTTGTCCTCTCAAAGTGACGGCTGCTTCCTTACAGTTGTGAAGTCCCGGATCGGAGATGTATGATCTGCGTCGGACCGAAGGGCAACGTCTCCAGCTCGCCCGAGCTCCAGGAAGTCAAAAAACACATTGGACTCGGTAGAGACGGCTGTGGGTTGAGCCGTCGTCTCAGCAAACCTGCATATAGCATCAGCGAGTGAGGGGACTTACTTACGTGGGCCAGGAGGAAGGCCCTCCAGTTCGACGAAAAAGTCGGTCTTGCCTTGAGCCGTCATTCTATAGAATTTGGTTAGTAGCAATTGAAAGGCAAGGCTCCGTGACCTTGGGCGCGGACTTGCAGCCTGCGAAGGTTCAATGACCTAGTGCGGGTGAGCGTGAAAGTCCAAGGGGAAGCGCTCGACTCGTCAAATAGCAGCGCGTTTGGATGGAACGATGTTGACTCGGAAGCATCGCAATCATCGTTCTGCAGTTGGAAGAGCTTGGCCGGTAACCAAGTATGTACTGTATTTCGCACAAAATAATATACAGAAGGGAAAAAAACGAACAGCGTTCTCCTCCCACACACTCGTCCACAACCTCCCACTCCTCCCACCCCTCCCACGTTCCTCACTTCCTCAAAGGCCTCAAAATAGCCAAAGCCTTCTCCAAATTCTCAATCGCCGATGCCACATCATCATACTGCAACGCGCTAATCGCAAATTTCGAGTGCTTTTGCGCCGATTGCACCGCTTTATAGTTGATTTCGTAGGCTTGTTGGGCTGTTTTTGCTGAGGTCGACGACGGTGGTATGGAGGTTTGGGCGGTTTTCTTTGGGGATGAGGGGGGAGGGTTGTAGGGTTGTTGTGATGGCGGTGGGGCGTCGGGGTATTGCGGGTACGATGGACCGGATTGGGATTGCGGGGGTGGGTACGAATTTGGTTCGAAATGCGAAGACGGTGCCGACGGAGGGGCAAAATTGTCGCGGGGGATGGTGTTTGGGTCGTAGGAAGGATCGTACGGGGATCCAAAGTCTGGATGGGGGAGGGAGCCAGCTGGTTCGCCATTACCGCCGGGCGGAGCGGATTCGGATTCGTCCGGCGGCAGCTCTTCCCCTGGTAGGCCTGGTGTCGGTGTCCGGCCCTCTCGCAAGGCTTTTATGATGTCGGCGGCTTTGAACTTCGAGTATCGGATCTTATCCGCAATCTGTGAGTGTAGTAAGAGAAGAATTAGGACCACTATTCAGATGCTCAGTTCGTATGACGACTTTCTTCCCACACACCTCGGCATCAATCTCGCCAAACACCCTCAACAAATCCAAGAATATCGACGCAGCGAGGAACACTTTTGCTGTTTTTCTAACAACCACAAAGAAAAGAGGATGATTAACTCTCCGCCCAATCTCAGAATTCCCCTCCCACTAAAACTTCTAACGAGCAAACTCACTTCGAAGCCCTCCCCTGCCGATCCTCCGCATCAGCATTCAAGAAAATCTTCAACGCAAAGTTCTCGAGGTGCGCGTATCCCACCACATCGTTTGTGATGGCCTCGTTTCCTGCTAGGTTCTTCTTGTCCTGGAAAGCGAGTCGATGGACGATCAGGAGAGTTCTCGGCAGTGAGAAGAAGAACTGAGAGAAACTTGAGCTCCTTTTTTTCAGCGCTCTAACCTGCTCCACTTCCTCCAGCATCTGCCCCAGGTATCCCTGAGCCTCCTTCGAATGCCCTCCTTTACTGATTGCGAGCTTCAGCGCGTAGAACTTGCCTGGGAAACGGAAAAGAACAAGCATACATGAGCCGAACAGCTTGTAGAACACATCAATGGGGCCGGCTTAGGCAAGGGGAGATACTCACAGTAGTAAGCGACAACGGGCTCTTTTGCCTGCAGCTCGTGGGCCCGCTGCAGGTAGGGGGTCATGTACTTCAAGTCCTCTGGTGGTGATCCTGACATCTTGTCTTTAATGGTGTTGGAGACTGGGTAGGTGTCCTCTTTTCCTGCCTGCCTGGACGGCTATGAGTGCTGGAGGCGGTAAGGTGAGGTCTGTTATTGAGATGTGTGGTGAATTCTCTGCCCACAACTCAACTAAAGACAAACTGTTGCTCCTGTTGCCTGCTTACCGTCGGTTGGTCTCTGGGTTGGTCTTGCGCCTTCGCGAAGTGCTTCATTTTCACAAGTCAGGAGCTTAAGCAAGCGGCCCAACCACGACTGGAGACCCATCCTTCTCCCTGCAACTGAAGTCAAAACCTCGGTCTTTACCCGGGAGTCAGTCTCCTCGAATATACGACCAGGTCCTGTTGAGTGACGCCTTCGTATAAACTGCGATGGAGGCCGCCGGGGAGCCTTGCAAGGCTTCCAGAACCATTGGCATCTTCATACAGTTTGCACACTTCGCCAATATCGATGTCTATCAACGGGGGTATGTACAACGCCTTCAACCTGTTTACGAAGGAACACAGTTTGTACTGTAAGGCTCAACTTCTCTAAAAGTCTCTACCAACTGCAGGTCAGACTATATGCCCCCGTGGCGGTGGACCGGCTCTTGGGAAAACGAGTGAAAAGGACAGACGGCAAACCTGTTAAGACGATACCATCGTATGACCATCTCCAGGCGAAGCCGGCCCCGCTGTTTGTTGCTGGTATGGGCATTGACTATGTGACCTCTGTTTGGCAAACATGCTCCACCTCAGACCACTTTCCCACGCGTAGAGACTGCCCACGAGCTTCGTTACAACTGCTTCCCAAGCTATACAACGAAACGAACAGCATGCCCAATACATCTACGAAAGGCATGTCCGTGGCAATGCCGCCCCGAATCATCTACCACGACACCAAACGTCTGGATCAGCAAAAGCTTCTTCATCTCTCGAGCGAACGAGCAAGTGACCCTCCATCAGGGCGTGGTGTTCGAGCTCACGATCGACGAGCACGACCCTATGCTGACAGATCGAACGGGAACTACAGACGCATTCCTCGATGTTGAGCTTTGGCACTGTGAACATGAGAGGTGGGTACGAAGGGCCGCGCCATCCGTAACAGGCGAGTCCTGACGCGTTCTCATGCATTGCTGTTGGTAGTCGCGATGGCAGGCTGCTCACTGTGCGCACCTGATACACAGGATGATCAACCCTGAGGACTTCGAGTTTCGTCAACTTCGCCGATTTCGTTTGTGGGAGGTTTTGGGGAACTCGCTGCACATCCCAACCTCACATCGCGGGCAGTTTCAGTGTGTGACGTACACGGGCATATTCTATGCGAATGTGGCCATGCTGGTCTCGACCGTTGATCTGGGATATCGGATACCATCTAGTTCGGCGAGTCAACAAGTGTCCAAAACTGACGATACTTACGTGGATCGGTTGTGGACTGCCCTCTCCTATTGGGCGAAAGCGCCTTCACCTTCAGGCAGTTATGCACACACTTCCGACGGATCCGCAGCACAAAACGACCTTTTTCACACGACTGTGCTTGCAATCACCATCCAAAAAGCTGTAGAGTCTCAAATGACCTACGCCGAGTCTGTCGACAGCCCTGGGGAAGGAACCATCGCAAAAGGAAGGCTTCACACGGGAAGTCTGCTAGGAAGTTTACATTATGCACTGGCATTAACGTGGAATGCCAGGAGTTCATGGGACAACGTCACCGTGTGGACACCAGAACACTCACAACGCTTGGCTGAAGAGTGGATTGCCTGCATTCATGTTAGTCCGGAAGTCTCAATTCCTTGGGCAGCCACCCATATTGCATGCGTATGCTCTACTTATCGTTGGCGTTGCTGCAGCATGGATACCGGGGGAGCCCAAAGAAGGCACTGCGCAAGCTGTTGAACCACTTATCTGATCAGGTAAGGACGTAGGCGTTGATTCTTAAGCGCCTCCGCTGTACTGAAAAAGACGATCCTTAGTGCAAGCACGCTTGGGATACATATATCAGCGGCAACCCGATGGTGGTGATGGATCGCATCGTCCGAAAGAGAAAGGCGTGGGCTATCAGAACCTGCGCCATGTTCCGTCGACACGTGTTAGCCGCCACGGCTGTCGGAGATTATGCCCAAGTGAAGCTCTAGTGAGTACTCGGGATCCTCCACACACGTTACGTTGCAGACTGACCGAAAGCGCAACCTTCCAGCATCGAACAAGTTCTCTCCGAGTACCGCTCCCAAGGAGGCCTCTTCATCTCAGACGAGAAAGCCAAACCCATACCCCTCCTCATCGACCAAACCGGCATCGGCGACCTCACCCGCCCGGGCTCCCCAACCTCCCTCATCGAGCCCCGCCGCTCACCCAGCATCTCCACCGACTACTTCCGCATGCGCGGCTCCCCAACCCCGGACGAAAACGCCAGCGTTCGCGGCCTAATGTCCCCGCGCAGCGTCCGATCCGAACGCACGCTGATGTTTGCGGAAGCTGAGGAGCTAGCGGATTACAGAGCCGCGCAGGATGGGAAGCATTTGGTGGTGTTTGTGCATGGCCTGCTGGGATCTGCGTATGATTTTCGGCAGTATCGGAATAAGGTTATCAATGCGAGATTGAATATGGGGATACCGGCCGATGAGATTATGTTTTTGAATAGTGATTCGAATGAGGAGGATACTTTTGATGATATTTCTATGCTGGCGGTCAGTTTACACGACGGGATTTGGGAACACTGTGAGTTCATACTGAAACCGACTGCGATTTTAGGATAATCTTGTCAAGGAGATAATGGATTTCGTCGAATCCAATCTATTCCGAGTCGGACGATTGAGGTAGCGTATCATTCGACCGTAGAATCCGCCCAGTGCCTTCATCTAGCGCCATATGGCAAAGTTCTAACCAATTCACGTGCAGCTTTGTATGTCACTCACTCGGTGGCCTCATCGCCCGATGCGCAGTTGAGAAGCCCGCTATGGCGGTATTTCGGGACAAACTGGATACCTTTACTACTTTCGGTACACCGCATCAGGGGATCGACGCCGTCGACAACAAGGTGTTAGGCTTTGGTAGGGGTCTTCTCCGCTCCGCCTTGAAAAAGGATGTGCGTACAAGCACTAAACCGTGGATTTATTTTGAACAGTGGCAAACGCCTACCGGTACCTCGACCGCTCCCCCGCCCTTGACCAACTCCTCCTCCGCGACGCCGACGACAAACGCCAATGCCTCCTCTACAAACTCGCCACCGAGTCCACAGCCTTGCAACAATTCCGCACCGTCCGTCTCTTTGGCGGCGCGCAAGACGGGTACGCGGGGCTCGCGAGCGCGCTTATGGTTGAACGGCCACGAAGCAATGGGGGGCTGGATAACTCGAGAAGCAGTGTGGTGAATGAGTTGTCACAAGCGGGGGATCAGGGGTGGTTGTGGACGCGGTGTGCGCCGATTTGTGTTGCGTTGCCGTGTGTGCCGTTAGGGAGTGGACAGCACCTCTCACCGGTTCTGTCGCCGCTTACGTCACCGCTTTCACCGGCGCCTGCCCCTTTCGGGTCATTCTCATCTTCCACCACCCACGGGGATACGCAACAACAAGACTCGCCACTGCAAAGCAATGAGATCGCCTGTGCAGAGATGCTGGTGGGCCTGACGCGCGCGCTGGCAGCGACGCAGGCGGAGCGGTATGTGGCGTGGTTCCCGGCGCTTGCGAATCGGAGGGATTTGCTGGGCAGGTTGGCGCATGTGGCTTTTTTGGAGGATCCGATGTTTTTGGAGGTGGCGGCTGTTTTGGCGAATTTCCATTTGGCTGGGTGATTTCATTAGGGCTGAATCGGAGCCGAGTGTGCGTACATAGTTTTCTGCTGTTTCCGAGATGTGATGGTCGCGAATTGCTTCATAGCTTTGTACATATTGACCATATCAATGCATTTTCTAAATAAGCCGAGGCTCTATGTGGAGGTTCAAACGTTATCGTACACAACACCTAGGTGATCTACTTGCTGCCGTCTTCAGCCACTAATATGCACCACCTTTCACTGTACCCTCCAAGACATCACCTACGCCAAAACCCTAATGGCCAAAACCTCGACGCTGAACCCCCCCTTCTCCTGAGTCCCAAAGAAACTCTGACACATCAGACTCCACCCCGTAACCTGATGCCTGGTCACATCCAGCGGCGGCAGTCCCTCGACCTCCCTGCCCCTATAATTCGGCTTGAACGCCTCCCACGGCGCGAACGTCGTTTGCACATCTGTCGAGTGGGTGGGTGTGAACGAGTATTTGTAGTTTATCCGTGATGTGGGCGGGGTGGAGGGGGAGCGGTTGGCCGGTTGGGAGGTTAGGATTAGACGATCACTCCGTGATGGTAGTGGTGGTGGTGGTGGTGGGATAACCTCGTCCGTGTAGATATTCAATGAATAGGTGCGGTTATCGCCCTTCACAGCCGCGGTAGATATTTCGAGGCCGCGTGGGTAAGCGGACACATCCCAGGTTAGGTCAGACGAGTGCAAGGTCTGTTGTGAGGCAAATCCTGCGTTTCCTAGTGTTCCGACATCGAGAATGCCTGAGAAGAGGACGCCGGCGGACGGTGTTTTGGGGTTGAGGTAGGTTAGGTGGCTTTGGGACTTGCCGCCCCGGACTCTGCCAAGATAGTGTTGAGTCAGTCGGTGGGTGAGACGAGAGTCGTCCATGCGTGCGGAAAGATACGTACCGATCGTCGACGGCCTCCCAGAGGGATGTGTTCCAGCCTGCATCTCCGCCGAATATGTGACGAGATGGCTTGCTGTAGGTGTATCCAGCTCCTGTGCCCTAATGGTGGACAAATGCATTTTTCAAAGATCAGTCAGCGGACGCGTATGGACATTGGAGTGCAAGCAAAGATACATACAGTAGCTAGCCCGCTGCCGCCCCTGATGCTGAGGGCGGCGACGTCCTTGACGAAGTGGAACAGCACGAGGAACAGCGTGAACATTTGCGTTGACAGTGGGGCTTTTGGGGAGTCTCTTTCGCAGACACTGGAGGAGGAAGAGGACGAGGGAGAGCGAGAGGACGCGTGTGTTGCTAACCGGGTAGTCACAGCGTTAAATACCCGCGTGTTAACTAACAACCACGGGCGGGCGGCTTCCCCCTCGCAGTCTGAATCTGTCTGAATGAGAGCCGTTTGAGGAAACTCTCCCGCTTTGTGATTGCGCGAACTTTCTCAGACTGCCCCTCCTCTCTCTCTATCTCTCGGCTCAAACCCCCTCCCTCCCCCATTTCCAATCCACAACCACCCTCGCTCTCCAGCTCAGCACTGTCCCCGAACAACACCCAACACCCAGCTACAACCACCCACCCACCCACCCACAACCCACCCACTCGCAAATATGGTCAAGCTCACTTCTAGCGACGGTCAGGACTTTGCTGTGCCCAAGGAGGTCGCGTGCCAATCCGTCCTCATCAAAAACATGCTCGAGGACGTGGGTGAGGCCGACGACCAGCCTATCCCGCTCCCAAACGTGTCTGGGCCCATTCTTCAGAAAGGTTTGTGTTTTGTGTGAGCGAGAGCGGCGAACGAATTGAGCATAGCGCCGGGCGGGAGTCCAAGCGTCAGTGAGGGTGGGATGCGAGCGAAGCGAGGTGCCGGGATGCCTTGAGGCAGGCGAGCCTTGGTGCGGTCTGAATGACTGAGCGTTAGCGCGCAATACTCCCTTCACCGCTAAGCGGACGCAATTGCATGGCACAGTTTTCGCGTGGGAAACTTGCAGCTGAAACCGAACCCCAACCCAATCTCACATCCCTCCACACACACACAGTAATCGAATACGCCACACATCACAAGGACGACCCTCCTGCACCTCCGGAAGAAGAGGCCAAACCCAAGTCTTCCGACGATATTGGTGAATGGGATAGGGAGTTTACAAACGTCGACCAGGGCACCTTGTTTGAGTTGATCCTCGCTGCCAACTACCTCGACATGAAAGGCCTGCTTGACTTGGGATGTAAGACCGTCGCGAATATGATCAAGGGAAAGTCTGTAGAGGAAATCAGGAAAGTGAGTTCTCGGGAGAAATATGTATTTGTCTTACTTCTATTCTGCTGTCCGAAAGAGCTCACTGTCGAATCTTCCTTTTCCTCAGACCTTCAACATCCAGAACGACTTTACACCCGAGGAGGAGGAGCAAATCCGCAAGGTAACGTTCGCTGTGAATTACGCTGCTTACTCATCGTCGAACTCATCATTTATCCCTTGGTTCTTACCCTGACAGGAGAACGAGTGGTGCGAGGATCGCTAGGTTCTCCCCCGAAATCGCCCACTCTTGCCGCATCTGTACAGTCCGAGAAATCAAAAGAAATGAAAATTCCCTTGTTGTCCTTCATATCCCCTTTCGGGAGTGAACGATCCTGAAAGGGGACGTTTCCCCGCCTTGCTTCGAACTTTGTGTTGTCCTCCCATTCCTTGAACTTTCGGCGCTGGTCTGCAGGAAGTGCGGGAGAGGTTATCTTGTTGTTGCTGTTTTATCTTTGGCCCTCGCCCCGTTACCGGAATGGAACGGAGTAGGGCTGGAAATATATATATCATGCGATTCTCTTCCTTCTCACTATGGAGCAAAGTGCTGAATATCCTTGGCCCACGGCCCAGTCTACACTCAATCCATAAAAGCATGAAACCCCGCACATGCGAGTCAGTCCAGTTCCACAACTTCGTACAGGTATCAGTGTTCCTCATTACACAAAGCTGAATAAAAAAGTGTATGGTTTCTACTACATCAAGTAACAGTTCCGGTCATGATGTCTTGCGGCGAGTGGCAGAGATGACAGAATAAACTACGCTTTTCCCCCTGCTTGCACTCCCGTCGGAAAAATCCCGTCCCAAAATACCCTATGCTTGTTCCGTCGTCTTGTTCTCAGAGCTCGTCTTCGACGTGTTCCGTTCCTGTCTCGTGCGCTACCGCTGCCCGCGGGCCATGATCTGCTGTCGCGTCGTGCTCCCCTTGCTGAGGGGGTACTGCAGGGATGTTCCCTCCTTCTCCTGCTGTTCCGCTGGCATCACCGGCATGGGAGTGCGCGTGGGCCGGCTCACTTGCAGGGTCAACCACCCCTTCCTCGTGTCCCGTCCCCACATCGTCTGCCGCCGCGACGGTGCTTCCCGTCTGTTTATTCACTCCTCCCACAATCTCGTCTGCTTCAGCCAAAGCAGGAGCAACAGCTGGGTGTCCCACGTTCACGTTCGCCACTTCAGGTGCCGGTGGCGGTGGGGGAGGTAACACGGGTATCTCTAACACCGGCACGGTTCGTTCCTTCGCCACCGGCGGTGGTGCTGATTCAGTTGACTCAGTTCCGACCGTCGTTCCTTCTTCTTTGAGCGGTGGGGCATTAAGCATATCTCCGTCCGTTGCTACCGATGCCGCCCCCGATGCGGGTTCGTTCACTTCCTGCTCGTGGTGCTGGCGACCATCCTCTGCGACATGCTCAACATCGCGTGCCCGTCGTCGGACAGGTGGCGGGACCGGGGGTGCGCGTTGGTTCATTTCCTGCTCACTCTGCGCCCCACCAGCCAGAGGTGCGGTGCGCGCTGATTCATGTTGCTGTTGCGCTACTTTGGGTATTTCCGGGACGGGTGGGATATCAGACGAGTAAACCGGGTCCTCTCCGGTCTGTGTCGAATCGGGGAATTTAGACGCAGCAGCCGGTTCAACGCCGGCGTTCGGTATGACCCTTGTCTTGACATCCTCCAAAACTTGTTTCGCCGCATCCGTCCCAGCGGATGCCGCAGAGCTGACCACCGACGCTATTTTGGTGACAGCAGCAGCCGGCGGAGCATGTTTCGGTTCCGTCGGGAGAGACTGCGCGGTATCTTGTTTGCGTGCATCAGGGATCGGTGTGCCAGCCAGACTCGCCTGCGCTTCGTGCACAGCCTCCTTCACAGCGCTAACGATCGGTGCGGCTTGAGTAGCTGCCGCTTGCGGGATTCCGCGAATAGGCACAGCATCCTGTGCCGCGCTTACGACCGGTGCGGCTTCAGTAGCTGCCGCTTTCAGGATATCGCGAATAGGAGTGGTGTTCGCTTCCGCATCCGTACTTTCGTCCCTGACGTCCTTGATTTGTGCTTCAGCAGTGTGGCGAGCATAAGCGCCAATCGTCTCCCGGGCGTCATGAGCGGCCCGACTGACTTGCGAGGAGCCTTCGCTGATAACGGAAACCGCGCTGCTGATTACCGATTTGGGGATGTCTCGGATCGGGATGTGTTGAGCTTCGGCTGCGGGGGTGTTCTGAGCAATGTTATCCTTTTCGATAGGTGTAGCAACTCTGCCTGGCTCGGTGGCCACAGGCTGTCGAACGGACGGCGTCGACACCGGGGGGTTAGGCTGGATTGTCTGTGAGTGAGTAACGCTCTCGGCAGCGAGTACGATGTCAGACTGGTTGTCTTTGGACACCGCTCCGGCAGGCGAGTCTTGGACAGGCTGTTGACTTTCTGAGCCCTTAAGAAAGACTTCCTCGGCGCCGCTACCTCTCGCATACGCAGGCTGGCCAGTCGTGACCTCAGCGGCATTCGCTTCAGCTACCACGGTGCCTGCAGATTCCGTCGATTCAGAAGGCGTAACTCCCGTGGTTCCGGATACAGGAGCCAGCTCGGTCCGCTTATGCGGAGGCGCAGAGGTAACGATGCTTTCCGTGCCGTACGGTACGGTGGCAGTCGTGAACCCCGGACTGACTTGGGAAGGCAAGTCGTCGACAGAGGTAGCTTGACTAGCTTCATTCTTTTCAGCACCGGTACCGCTACGCACCGCGGAATCATCACGCAAAATCTCGCTCTCTGCCTTCTCATCAACAGCAGCGGCGGACGTAGTCTCCCACCACGCTTTCCCCTCACCCACCTTCCTCCCCACAACCCTAACAGCAACCTTCCCACGTTTCGCGGTCCATTTCAACCCCTGCCCAATCCCGGGCGCTACATCGCCTACAAACTTCTCCGCCGCGCCGTGCCAGGTGCCCATCATCGTGTTCCAGCCAGGCACGACGGTCTTGCACATGCCGTCGTAAGGGGCACCCTGATGTGCGCGTAGGTGGCTCGGGGAGCACAGAACGTAGATGGTCGAGTAGGTGATGAACCAGGCGGTGAGGAAGAGGGTTGTGAAGCTGAGGAAGGATGAGAAAATGCTGCGAGATTTCGTGGGCTGGCCGTATGCTTGTTTGGAGTACTGCTCGATGGGCCAGAACTCGGGGTCCCAGCTGGTAGTCGAAGCAGCGGCCGCGACGGGCTGGCCAAAAGCAGCGGTGGGAGGAGCGATATCCGCCATGAACTGAAGGTTATGGCCGAACAGCATCCGTAGCACCTCCTCTGCGTTAGAGCTGGTAGGGTTGCTGACCAGCATCTGCCGCGCGGAGTCCATCTGCATCCTAACATGGCTCAATTCGTTCTGTGCGCCTTCGAGCTCGGATCGCGTGTAAGAGAGCTCCTCGTGCGTCTGCGCCAATTCGGTCGCAGTGTCATCGTTGCCGTGAAGGGCATGCAGGCTCATGCCGAAGGGAGGCGGCGGGATCCCGGCAGGAAGCGGGACAGCATCCAGTCCATCACGCTCTGCGCTCTGTGTGAATCCATACTCGGCGGCGTTCCCGTATGGAAGTGGCGGGGCATGCAGGCGAATAGGCGAAGTTGCCCGGTCCTCGAACACGGCGCTTCGCTGATCAGCATTGTCAGAACCCTCTTCGAGGCTCTGGCGCTTGGCAGCCATGTCCGCGCGGACGTTGGTGAGCTCGGTTCCTACAATATCTGCTTCGATCGTAAGCTCGGAGTCTGCTTCTATTTCCTCGGCGCGGGTAGAGGTCAGAGTTAAGAAGGTCGCGCGAGCAACTTCTAGCTCAGCCTGAACCATAGCGAGTTCGGCGCTTAGGGCGGCGCGGTCAGCGATTGTATGGGTCGGTCGCTCTTCCACTTCCAGTAGCACACCGCGCACCACCAGGATCTCACGTCTCAGTCCTTGAATTAAGTCCAATAAGGACTGCTCCTCGCCATTGCTCTGTGATTGACCGGCGTCATCGTACAGAGAGCCGGCGATAGTGGCGTCGGCAAGTGCGCGCGCTTTGGCGTCGGCGTCTGCACGAGCCGCGACCAAATCCTGTTCTATTTCGAACAATTTCGACTTCATAAGCAGCATCTCCGCTCTCATCGTAGCCGGATCCTCGTCATCACCAGCATCGGGGATTTCTGGAGGTATCTCAGCGCCTTGCTCCATTATCAACCTCAACCTCGCAATCCGCAGCTTGACCCCCGCGATCTTCACTTTCAGGGCATCGGCCTGCTCTTGGGACTCCCGCGCCAAGGCCAACTCTTCCCGTGCCAGATGGTATCGCTGCTCCAGCTCCTTGGCCTCTTCAACCCTCTTATGCGCCTGGAGGAGTTCCTTTTGAACGACAGCCATTCGCGCTTCAATGTTGCCTAATGTCTGCAGCCGGGTTCTGGTGTCATGAAGCTGTTGTTCGGAGGTGCGAGAAGTCTCCTGGAGAGCGCTCAGCTCGCTATGAGCGGCAGCCAGTGCTGATCGAAGGTTGACTAGCTCCCCTCCAGCATAGTCCAATTCTTGGCTCAGAGCCTCGAGCCTATCCCTGGCAGCTTTCCACTCGGCTGCGGATGTCGCAATATGGTGACGAGCGCGTCCGAGATCCGAACCTCGCAGGTCGTACGACGGATCCCATGTCACTTCAATAATCACCGAGAGGGAGGCATACCAGTCCATCGATTCATTCAGCTTTGCCAGCTCTATCAGCTGCGGCCATCCGCAATCCAGATTGTCGTCCGTGAAGATGAAGCCCCCGGTGATGGTTTTGGAGGTCAGTGGCGTTTGGTTCTCGCCGGCTACTAACTTCATCGTCAGAGAAACGATTGGACGTGACCATGCAGCGCCAAGAGTCAACTCGGTCTGTGACTTAACAGGAAGCACGTAAGCGGAAAGATGAGACCCAGCGCCGTCTTTGTTTCCTTGTCTGAATATCTGGATTTTCCATTGGTAGTTCGGTGGACCAAACGGTTCGGACATGGTTTCGTCTTCAGTCAACTGAAGGAAACTCGGAATGTCCCACTTGTACTGATACACAGCCCAGTCCACGGACTGTTCACCGACAACGTCGGCCTCAATATTTAGCGTACCGTCGTATGAAATGGCGTCGGATACATTTTGGATGTCCAACAGCTCGGGAAAGCCCCAACCCGACATGGAAGCAGAGAAACCGGTGAATGATGATTCGGATGTATCGGCGACCAGGAAGTCCTCAGACGGATCTGGGATCCCGACTATGGGCGAACCGGGAATCGCTCTGAGGGTGTTAGGAAAGAAGATTCAAGTAAATATCCATGCGGAACAAGGTAGAAGAACAAACAAGGTCCTGATTCGCCGCGTCCTCAACCCATGCGATGGAAGCCTACCTCCGTATCTTGATTGTAAACTCTGTGATCGGCCGATGCCACGCATCCCGCGCCGCAGCTTCCGACTCGTTTCTCAAAGGGCGGATGAATGCACTGATATGCGTTCCCGCGCCATCCCCTGCTCCTTTTGGGTATATCACAAGCTGCCATCTCCAGCTTGCAGGACCGAATGGCAACGATACCAACTTCTCGTCATCAGACAGCATGAATCCCTCGATCGCCCATGGGTATGATGCGAACAATCGTGACCTCACTGGAACGATGCGGTATTGACCCCCGCTGGCATCCCTGCCCTCCGGGATGTACGTGGGGCCGACGCCACTGCTGACCGTTTTAGCTAGTGCCGAATGGTGGAGATGCGAAACGGGTAGCGGAGGAGCGACGTGGTCGATGTTCAAGGAGCCGGCCCCATCGTTACCGACGGCCTGGTCCTGTTGATACACCACCCTGTCGAAGCCGTTGTCAAAGCCCGATTGCGCTTGCTTGTCTCCATTGTCGTAGTAGATGTTGTCGTCGCCCATCGGAGGCAGCGGTCCGTGGGCTGTCTGTGGTGATGTGTAGTCCGTCATCGCATTACCTTGCGCGTAGTTGCCGTTGGCATATGAGTACCCCGAGTCGTACCCATAGTTATAATCTGTCGCTGGTGGTTGGTTGGAATAATCTGACGGATTGGAAGAGTGGTTAAAGGGCTTTTCGGAAAGCGCTTTTGCGTCCTGGCTAGGTGATGTTGGTCATCGTCGCTGGCTTACCAGAGTACTGATTTTGTTCCGCATATGAAGTGGAAGCTGCGGCGAGCCCTCCTGGCCCTTGATGGTGCTGTTCGCCGGCACCGCTGGAGGGCATGGGTGGTTGACCGTGTTGCTGTTGTTGAAAGCCATCGAGGGCGTACATCATGTGCAATGAAGTTACAGATGAAACTTCGAGAAGTAGATGAAACGAATATGAGATGAACGACAGCCAAACCCGCTGACCCAGTATGTATAATAGTGGTAGGTGGGAGTGTTTGTGTGGCGAATATGCCTATGCCTATGTAGCCCAATGGGGGGATTTCTGCCAGACCTTCTCTCCGCCTTCTCTCGCCCCTGGTTGCGCGCTGCAAGTATACCAGAGCGTACATGTACAGTACAAGGCGTCGAAGAACACTCCCCTTCTTCCTGACTGGCCCCCAAGTTCCCCAGACTTGAATATCATAGAGCGCCTCTGGTGGATACTCGAGCAGAAAATACACACTCATGACTACTCGGCGCCATCGTTGCCTGCGTATCATCGGGTAGGACGCATGAGAATAGAAAATCGTCGTGGCAGAGACTTAAGATGTCGGACCAGAGAGTGTACATGTAATGTACAGTGTACCGCTAGTATATGGTAAGACCCCGTTCTGTTCTCCCACTCCTTCTTTCACAACTGATCGATACTTTCCTCACCCTTGATCTCCATCATCCCAACTGTATATCCGCCATGCCCGACTCCTGGCCTGCCTTCATCGATATCCCAACGTTCGTGAGCAACCTCCCCGACGCGACATGTGAGGAGTACTTAGAAATGTTGGCGTCAACGGAACCCGCGGCACACCGACTGCTTGCCAACAACACGTCCCAGCTTCCGAAACGGGAATACACGACGCTGCTAGGGAAGATCAAGAAGGCGCGGACGGTACGTACATGCGCACAGGTGCAACGAGAGTCTTTGGCAATTGTCGGGTTTCGCGGCATGCATCGTCCTCGTTGATAGTGGGGGAGGAGGTTTTCTTCCCGAAGTCCAATTCTCCTGGCAGGATCCTTTGGTATTAATCTCAAGCTGTACCTGTCCAGTCAGAGCGAGTGCGCGAGCTTGGAGCAGGCTCGTATTTGTCCGTCCCACTTTTGGGGCCGCCCGGCATGGAAAGCCTAGGAAGGGGAAAAGGTTTTCGTGCAAAGCGCGAAGTCCAATTCTCCTGGCAGGATACTTTGGTGTTAATCCCAAGCTGTACCTGTCCAGGCAGAACGAGTGCGCGAGCTTGGAGCAGCCTCGTATCTGACCGTATGGATGTTCCTGGATGCTTCCGGCCGCCACAACAGAGTATTGGCTTGAAATTTCAATTTTTTGGGGTTAATCTAACGCACTACTTTCTCCATTTTGTTCGAGCGACACGATGCTGGAGATACCGCTTTGGATTACTTCTTTCCAGGATAGTCAGACCTTCGGGTACAGGTTCGTGAGGCCAGCTCAAGCGCTCTTTTATCATCATTAATAACAGGTATATCTCTACATCTACATTATATACACACAGTACAGTGCACCATATTAGATAGTCCACGAAGAGCAAAGATCTCACTTGGGAATCCCCAGTCATGGGAAGAAGGGGTTCGTTTATCACTGATGGTTACGCTTGCCCTTGGGGAATGGCCCGTCCTTGGACGTCCTCTTGTATCCGTTTCCGAACCGGCCACAGTCGTCGTAGACGCCCGTGTCAGATTCCGCACAACAATTGTATTTGTACTTGGAACCGACAACGGTCGGGTCCTCACAGCACATGTTTTCAGTGCGGATCCACAGGAAGTTGGGGAAGTCGGCGTCCTTGCAGACGGGTTTGGGAGCGGGACCGGCTGTGGTGGTAGGGCGAGGAGCCTGGGTGGAAGTGGGAGCAGGGGCGGCGGTGGTTGGGCGAGGACCCCTGGTGGTGGTGGTGGGCTTGGGTGGTGGTGGGGTGGTATTGCAGGACAGAACCTCGTCGAGGTAGGCGGCCAGACGTACGGCACCTTTGGCGATCTGCTCGTCGACGGTGGTCTTGTACTTGTCGTAGTACTCAGCACCGAGGTCAGCGGTGGCCGAGTATCCCTTGTACACACGGGAGCAGTCGAGGCCGGAGGAGTCGGCGGCCCACTCCAGGGGGCAACGGTGCTGGGTGCCGGCATCGGGGTTCGCACAGGTCGCCCACGACTGCACGGAGGATGCGTAGTCGCCGGTCTGCACGCGCTTCAACGTCTTTGCTGCATAGGCATCGACTTGAGCCTGAGACACCTTCTGGGATGATTCAGATGTCGTACCGCCCATCGTCTTGACGAGGATGCTGCTGTCCCAGATCCAGTGCAGCTGGAGGCTACCATACGGGGACTTGACTTGCGTATCGAACTGAGCGACGAGATCGTCGTTTCCACCGCGGTGGAAGCCACAGGCGTGGAGGGGTTGCGCGATATCACCGAAAAAGTGAATAAGGTACTTGAGCGCTTCAATCTGCTGGGTGGTGGGGTTACCGCTGCTGCACGCACCCTTGAGGATCTCGCCTTGCTTGCTGATGACGGAAACTATGCAGGCGTCTTTGTCCTGGCCGGCGCAATCGCGCTCCATCACAGGAGTGCAAGTTCCCTTGCTGTTGTTGGGGTCGTTTGCCGGGTTCGCACCGGTGTTGATGTCGATGAAATGCCAGTTTCCGGTCCCGGTGGCCTTCTTGACTTCGTCGGCCCAGGTCGACTCCTTCTCCATCGTGTCGCTGCCGAGCAGGCGGTTGACGACCTTCAGGGTCGAAGGCTTGATGAGGTCGCTGGCGATGGATCCAATGATCTGCAGAGAGGGAACGGTAACGTGAGTAAAATGTGGGGGAGGATTCCGGTGCGTCCCCGAGAGCCCTTGAAAATCCGAATGAGTTTCTCAAAAGCCCGAAAGCGCGCGAGACGGGGTGGTAACTGACAGCATCGCTGTCAATGAGTCACTTTTGCGGTGCTAGCGCGAGAGCCCTCTGCTGGTCTTTTCCCCCAAAGCGGGCCGCCTTTTTCACTTTCCGTAGCGCTCTGTTCAGGCATTGGGACTACTCGCCAACCTACCTCATGACCTTCCCGACCCCAGGCGGCGACGGAGGCGATTCCGTAGCTGGCGAGAGTAGCGAGAGCGAGTGTGACCTTCATGGTTATGATGCCGGGATGGGAGGGATGGGAGGGAAGGAAGGATAGCTGTGAAGGAGTGAGGAGGGAGGGCTTCGAAGTCTTCTGCTTTTATGGGATCAGGCGTTTACGGATCACTGCCCATCCCCAGTCGAAAATATACCAGATGTCAGAGGGGGGTCCCGAGTTTGGGTCATTGGATGCTGTCAAGCATGGCCCGGATATCACAACGTGGTGCAGAGAGGCATTTACACACCGATCTTCTCCGACGCTTGGGATCTTGAAATCTATCGAGGCCAACGATCATACCGTCACCGTGGCCGACGACTGCGCGCATCACAAGCTGGGTAAGAGCTCCGAGGGTAGAGGCGTACCGATTCGTTGGGTGGTGTGGATATCTTTGGAACTATCGAAAGGGAGGCGGGCTCAGGCGGTCGCCGCAGAAAATAGAACAAACCACGGTCGCCGTCGGCCGACCAGCCGCACCCAGCAAAATGAATGGCACGCTGGAAACAATCTATTACCGTAACTTTCCTGAGAATGCCCGCGCTGGATGTGCTTTGTGCATTATTGTGAGAAAAAAATGCGCATTTGATCGGGTTGTATTTTTACAGTCAGGGGACATCAAGCTGTGCACCCCCGCTAACTGAAATCAATGTCGGTTACTCACGTGAATTTGGCGTTGCGGCAGTCGCTGATTTATTTTGTCACCTTACGGCCCCGGTCACGGGAATTGACGTAGCCGCGGCCTTGCACCCCACAACTGACTGCCAATTCCATGTCCAGACGCACGTTTACACCCAAAGCACATTGGCACGAACACAGGATGTGAGGAGAAAAACCTGCTCGTCATGCTTCCACTCCATTAGTTATGGTCGATCCACGGACTACGTCAATCAAGTCGTACATTCAAGTTCCTATCTGGCGATAGCATGCGTCAGGCGGTCCATGACTACGTGACCAGTACTGTCAGAGATCATTTGAGCGTTGTTCGCCATTTTCAAGGTGAACGAGCACTGACCCATGCCTTAAGAAGGGTTCTTTGATTTGCGGACTTTACACCTCTCAGGTGTCATTGGATTGCTCGTTTAGGGGTATGTATGTATGTATGATATACGTACTTGACAGCATGTACGCGTTGTCGAATTTTTGATTTATGGACACTATACGATGTCAATTTCACGTCTAAAGGCCGCTCCACACATCGACGCCAATGAACTTGATCATATTTGCATGAAGGCCCGCATCAGCAGAAATGCTCAGAGAGGTTGGGAGATGGTATCGTTCAATTGAACTCGCCTTTGTCCTTCTTCGATTACCATCTCCCAACCTCTCGAGGATGTGTGGAGCGGCCTTTGGTGTCAACAACATTATCGTTCAATGAGGTTACCGCCTCACGACTAACCTCCACTTGATTCTCGGCAATGTACACTGTGGGGTCCGGTCAGAAATCCCTTCAGGTACAAGAAGAAAAAAGATTCTCTGAGGGAGAGCGGAGCCATGTCGCCCACATTCATATCGACTGACGTCGTGAGCCGCATCTCCACTGGGTATCGCACGCAGCCTTAAAAACGATGCCGAAGCTGATCCGCCGCCGTCGCATCAACGGAGTTTCCATCTATCTTGCTTTCTTAACGTCTAGGAGAGTCGACTTCCGGACAACTGTAGCCACTCCCCCCCTACGAGAACGTTTAAAATGAAGCTCTCCTTGGCAGTCCTCACGGTGTTCGGCCTCGCTCTTTGTAACAACGGCGTCACCGCTCTACCTTCGGGCGCTTTGTCCGTAAGTGAACTGTTCCTTGCATCAACAATTGCGCGGCTTTATGTACTCATGCACGTCCCATTCTCCGCAAACACTAGCGCCGCGAGGACGCTCAGGCTGCTGGCGTCAACAAAAAACAAAACGAGCATCACAATAACCAGCATTATCAGGACAACAAAGACTACCAGAACAACGATAAGAAAGCCTTTTCCCACCAGCAGGACAATCAGCAGCATCAGGCAGCTGCTAAAAAGACCAATCAGAAGGATCTCCAGGCTGATTGTTTCCTCACTTACGAAAACTGGTACGCATGCTGTTCCGGCGGCATGTTCACTATCTGGTTCCTCAGCATGGCCCATTGCTCTTCAAAAATTGTACTTACGATTGTTCTTCATCTCGGGTGCACTAGGAACGACTACGTTGATTGGGATCAAAGCTCCGAGGATGATAAGAAGAAATGGGGAAAGGGCAAGAACAAAAAGAACAATGCAAAGCAGGCTCAGCAGCACTGCGTCTTGACGTTCGACCAGATTCAGACCTATGAGAAGTATGGTTCAAGCATTCGCCCCTCCATTGATGGACATCGAATACTAACCTCTTTTGATTTGTCATATCCAACCCTGTAGAATTCAGAAAGACCGCAAACAGCACGAGAACCAGCAAGGCTATAACAAGTATGTACATGAGGGCCCTTCGTCTTGCGTTGTTTACCGCATGCTCACAGGCGCTTCGACGAAGGAATGGCCAGAAATACGTCGATAATCAGCAGGTCAATGACAAGGAGAGCATCGATCATCAGCTCATCACCGTCGAGTACGTGGTCGACGACCTCGGTGGCACTTACCTTTCCAGACATCTCCCTTCAGTTCTAAGTGCCCAGCTCACTGACTACTGCCTTTCCTTCCAACCCAACAGGAGGTACTGCGTCGCCTATTACAACACCAACTGGCAGCAGATTGAGGGACAGGTCAACCCTCAGAAGAAGGATGCTAGCAAGCTCAAGCAATACGCGTTGAACAAAGGCCAGGATTACTACAACAACAACCTCAACAAGAACAAGAACAATCAACAGCTCCAGACCCAATGCATGGTCTTTGAATTCCAGATCTCGGCCTACGCCCAGTGGGCTTTGAATTACAATGACGGTTACGCTGACGATTACAAGTAAGCATGCAAATCCAATTGGCATCGTACGTCTTAAGGAACCATCCATTCATTAAAGCATCCTTTTTCCAAAGAAAAAAACTCGCCAACTATTACTGAAACCACGTCAAACGCAAAGGCCGCGATGAGGTTTCCCGTGTTCACGCGATATTCAGATACATAGGGCAGAACATGTCATTTTTCTGATATCGGAAAGCACACGAGCTGTCTTCTGGAAGAGGATGTAATCAGCGATGATGGATAGGGCCGCTCATATAATCGGATGCACATTCGATTTCCTCGAACGGCCTCTTCTGGCGTGTATGCATGTAGGCATTGTTTGTGTAGGCCTTTCTGATTTTTTGTTTCATAATCCTTTCGATACCGTACTCGGTTTGCTGCTCCTAACTAGTTAAAATACAATACATGCAAATATAATGAAGGGAATCTACCATTTCCGAAGCGTCAGTAAGCTCCAAGCGTTCCGCAACTCACGTCTCTGGAATGGAATCCTTTAACCTCGTCAACTCATCAAGAACCTGAGCCATGGTGGGCCGCACAAAGTGTTCTTCCGCACAGCATCTCACGGTCATATCCACCAGCTGACTCCGCACGGCGGAATTTTCCACTGGAATACTCGATATCTGCAGCCTCTCCCCTTCACAGATCTTCCAAACCACATATCCATCTTCCTGCCCCTCCCACGGAGTTTTGCGTGTGAGGCATTGCCAGATCAGCACGCCGAACGAGTAAACGTCCCCAGCCACGGTGACTTGCTGCTCACTTTGTATGCACTCCGGTGATGCATAACGAGGGGATAGGCGGGCCTTGTTTTCGCGAGCACCGTCAGGCCGTGAGGCGCTGAAATCCCCGAGACGAGCGCGCCAGAACGAGCGGGGTTGGGCGGGCGCGCCGCTGAAATTGAGCAGCGAGGCGCGGACGGATACTCGCGATGTGTTTTTGACGCGTTCGAGAAGGACGGCGCGGGGTCGGATGCGGCCGTGCGCGAAGCCTAGCTTGTGCGTCGCTTCGGGATGTAAGGGGAGAGTAGGTGGCAATGTGCCCCGATCAGGATTCTCAATACTTACTGATGCCGAGAATGAGTGTTACAACCGAGCCAAGAGCACATACCTATCAGCGCTTTAGCGACATCCATCAGGATCCCGAGCGCACGGGACTCGGGAAACTCAAACCGGCGGTTGCCCAGGATGAACTCCAGATCTCCCTCGTACAGATCCGAAACGATAACCCTCGGCACGGTGCAATAACCGACGATCCTCACGACGTTCTCGCTTTTGGCAAGGGCGGTCATGATTGTGACTTCGCGCACAAATGCCGCCTCAGCTTCGCTGTCGCTTTCGGCCGCATTGCGCCATACGTGCTTGACTGCGATCCGACGTGGCATGAACCCTTGATCCTTAGCCAGCGTCCCGGCGTAGATGCGCTTTTCATGGTTGTTACTGGGAAGTGGTTCTCCGATGCATAAGTCCGTGTTGTAGTTGAGTTGCAGACGTTGGGGCAGGACAGTCTCTCCGGACGCGGCTGGTGGTTGGTCAAGTTGTGGTGGAGCTGAGCAATGGGAGTAGTCGGATTAGTTTGGGGTTACTCACCCACACCGAGTAACATGTGCCAAAGGTATACTCACGTTTATGAGAAACTCGATGGCTACGCAGTATCATTCCAGATAGACGTGCCAATGGATTCCGCGAAGAGCTCGCTGTATTGGTCTCCGCGCCCATAACCGGAATCGAGAACCTCATCAAATCATTCTCCTTATTTCTTCCCTTCTTAGTCGGTGCAAGTGGAACTCCAGAAAACCTGATTAGGTCTTGCTCCGTCAGGCCTCCGTCGTTTTCCGTCTCCATTCCTTCCTCAACCGTGCCGAGACTTTGATCTATGTGACCGGACATCGTCATGCGCTTGCTGCGAGGGGAGCCGGATTCTTCATCCGAGCCCGACTCCCCAATGCCGGTCGTGTCCGCTGGTAATTGTGCAGACGATGGGCTTACAGCAGGTTCCTCTGCCAGCGCACCGCCGAACATCGACAACGGTCTCATTATGGCAGCCGAGATCCTTTTCGCATTGTACCGCAGGCCCGTCACAATGGAGCCGCTCATGAAATCCATCCCCAGAGCATTCAGAGAACCCCGTTTCTCCAGCTGTTCTGCACGATGTTGCGCCATCGCGCCCTCCCATTCCACTAAGCGACGGTCTGTGGCCTCCATCCGCTTATGGCGGTTCTTGGACCGCACGAACCAAAAGCATATACATGCGGCGGCCAAGCCTCCCGAGGCAGCGATTCCAGGGACGTACCAATGGTCTTTGACCCACCCCTGGGAAGCGCCGCCATTAGTTAGAAAGGCTGATCCGGCACCCCCAGCGGTCGAGTTTGCGGAATCGGTCGAGTTTGATGCCAGGGGAGTTGTTGATGTGCTAGCAGCTTCCGGAGCAGAGCTCGATGAAGTGATTGGAGTGGGGGTCGTTGATGTCGTTAAACTAGAGGTCATTGATGTCGTTGATATAGAGGTCGTTGATGTCGTTGAAGTAGAGGTCGTTGTGGTGGAGGATGTTGAGCTGGAGGTAGGGGACGCAATTGGCGACACGGACACAGTGACCGACGTAATCATGGTCTGGGTTTGAGTTTGCCACAACGTTGCAGTGGACACCGGGGGGAGTGCAACTGAGGAGCTTGTGGTGCTCGAGACACTGGAAGATGTGGAGCTGCTACTTGACGTGGAGGGAGGGGTGGTCGAGCTGGAGCTGGAGCCGCTCTCGGTCGTGCTGGTGCTCAATGTGCTTGCTGTGGACGTTTTCGATGTCGTAGTGGGCATAAAAGTCGACGTACTGGTCGAGCTGGAGCTGGAGCTGCTCTCGATTGTGCTGGTGCTCAATGTGCTTGCTGTGGAGGTTGTCGATGTCGTTGTGGGCGTAAAACTCGATGTACTGGTTGAGCTGGAGCTGGAGCTGCTCTCGATCGTGCTGGTGCTCAATGTGCTTGCCGTGGACGTTGTCGATGTTGTTGTGGGCGTAAAGGTCGACGTACTGGTATTCGGCGCGCTGGTGGACGTTGTGGTTGACGTCGAAACCGAAGGAGTTATAGAGCTCGTGGATAGGGACGTAGTGATCTCGATAGTGGTGCTAGTGGTGCTCGATGCCGTGGTGGTCGGAGTACTTGAAGATGTTGAAGGAGATATGGTTGTTGCGAGGTACACTGTCGTGGTCTCGGTAGAAATCTGACCAGCGACAATCGAGGTGGAGGTGGTCGAAGTGCTAGACGATTCGGACGTCGGAGCAGGGAAACATGCGTGGCCTGTAGACGCCAAAGTGTATCCGCTCTGGCACACACAGGTACCAGTGGTGTCGAGCATCGCGCCACTATCGCACACGCAGGTCTTGTCCACTGTCGATGGGACTTTATCCGCGTCGCATACACATCTGTTGGTGATGTCTAAGTGTGTACCCGAAGGGCACTTGCATGAGTTGTCGATCGTCGAGGGAATCTTATCAGCGTCACACACGCAAAGGCCGCCGACCAAAGAGGTGCCGAATGGACAAACGCATGATTTGTTTGCAGGCGATGGGACTTTATCAGGGTCACACATACAACTGCCAGTCGAGTTCAAACTTGCGCCAGAAGGGCATACGCACGTTTTGTCGGTGGTAGAAGGAACTTTGTCGCTATCACAAACGCATGTGCCAGCACTGTTCGCCGCCGTGCCGGATGGGCAAACGCAGCTGTTGTTGGTGGTGGAAGGCACCTTGTCGTTCTGGCAGACACATGTACCGCCGCTGCTCAGTACTGTACCGGGAGGACATATGCAAGTGTCGTTCGGTCCTGCCGGTGTTTTGTCGGCGTCGCAGACACACCCTCCAGCATTATCTGGTGACTTCCCGTAAGGGCACACACATGCGCCACTAGAGTTGAGCTCCTTTCCAGCGGGACAAGCGCATGCGTTACTGGAACCTGACTGCACTTTGTCGGAATCACAAACGCAAGTTCCAGAAGCATTCAGATGTGTGCCAGACGGACACACACACGTGTTGTTGCTGGACACAAGAATCTTGTCGGGATTACAAACACAAGTGCCGTTAGCGTCAAGCTGCTTTCCGGCAGAACAAACGCATGTGTTATTCGTACTTGACGGGACCTTGTCTGATTGACAAATGCAAGCCCCATTCGATTGCAAAGCCATACCGAAGGGGCACACACAGGTGTTGTCGGATGAAGATGGGACCTTGTCAGATTGGCAGACACAATGTCCACTTCCACCGGGATCAAGTTGCGTTCCTGAAGGACAGACGCACGCTCCCGTATTGTCCTGAACTTTGTCGGAGGGACAAATACATAATCCTGCTCCACTCAACAATTTTCCCGTTGGGCACACGCAGGTGTTGTCGGCACCGGAAGGAACTTTATCGGTTTGACAGACGCAGGTGCCTGAAGAATCGAGTTGCGTGCCCGTTGGGCATACACATTGGCCACCACTGTCTTGCGTCTTGTCATTCGGACATACGCAGGTCCCCGTTGCATCTAGAATTTGTCCGGTGGGGCATATACATGTGTTGTTCGTTGGGGAAGGGAGCTTGTCCGCCTGGCACACACAGTTGCCACTCGAAGAATCTAGCCTTCGTCCCAGAGGACATACGCAGTTGCCATTGATATCTTCGGTTTTGTCGGCAGGACAAACGCAGTGGTTATTACCGTCGAGTGATTTTCCATTGGGACATACGCAAGTGTTGCCGCCGCTCGCGGGGATTTTGTCGCTCTCGCAAACGCATGTCCCACTCCCCAAAGGATCGACTCTCGTGCCGACTGGGCAGACACAGTTACCGCTAGCATCCGCCATTTTGTCCGCAGGGCATACACAGACATTGCTAGCATCCAGTAATTTCCCAGTGGGGCAAACGCAGGTGTTGCCGCCGCTCGCGGGGATTTTGTCGCTCTCGCAAACGCATGTCCCACTCCCCAAAGGATCGACTCTCGTGCCAAGTGGGCAGACACAGTTACCGCTAGCATCCGCCGTTTTGTCCGCAGGGCATACACAGACATTGCTAGAATCCAGTAACTTCCCAGTGGGGCAAACGCAGGTGTTATCGGCAGTTGATGGAACTTTATCTGCCTGACATACACAGCTCCCGCTACCGGAAGGGTCCGTCATCGTGCCAAACGGGCATACGCAATGTCCAGTGCTGTCCTCTATTTTGTCGGCAGGGCAAACGCAGATGTTACTGGAGTTTAACCCCTTCCCCGTCGCACAGACACATGTGTTGTTGATGGTTGAAGGAATCTTATCCGCTTGGCATACGCAGGTCGCGCTGCCACCAGGGTCAAGCTGTGTGCCAGACAGGCATACACAATGTCCAGTGCTGTCCTCTATTTTGTCGGCAGGGCAAACGCAGATGTTACTGGAGTTTAACCCCTTCCCCGTCGCACAGACACATGTGTTGTTGACGGTTGAAGGAATCTTATCCGCTTGGCATACGCAGGTCCCGCTGCCACCAGGGTCAAGCTGTGTGCCAGACGGGCATACACAATGTCCAGTGCTGTCCTCTATTTTGTCGGCGGGGCAAACGCAGACATTACTGGAGTCTAACCCTTTTCCCGTAGCACAGACACATGTGTTGTTGACGGTTGATGGAACCTTATCCGCTTGGCATACACAGGTCCCGCTGCCACCGGGGTCAAGTTGTGTGCCAAATGGGCATACGCAATGTCCAGTGCTGTCCTCTATTTTGTCGGCGGGGCAAACGCAGACGTTACTGGAGTCTAACCCTTTTCCCGTAGCACAGACACATGTGTTGTTGACGGTTGACGGAATCTTATCCGCTTGGCATACGCAGGTCCCGCTGCCACCGGGATCAAGTTGTGTGCCAAAAGGGCACACGCAAGTACCGCTGCCGTCCTCGGTTTTATCCGATGGACAGTCACAGTGACCGGTAGCTGTATTGAACGTTTTCGGCGTGACGCAATTTGCCAGGCATTGATTGTGCCATAGCTGATATCCATTTGCGCACGTGAAGCAGGCGTTGATTGCATTGCACATCGAGCAAGAGGTATCGCAGGCTACACGTCAATGGATGAGAATTCCAGACCCCAAAGCCATCCATGAGCTTCTGCTGGAGTCTGCGCTTACCTGTACAGGTTCTATCCGCTGCTGCATACTGTCCTTTAGGGCAAGCGAGAACGCATTGACCGCCTGACAGAGCGAAAGGCGCCGAGCATGCAGTGCATTGGTTTATTGCCGGCCCGCTGCATTGAGCGCAATCAGGGAAGCAGCCTGATGACACAGGACGCTCGCCGGTGAGCATTTCTTCAAGCGGTTTCATCAGCTGTTCGACGATGTGAACCTTACCAATACATTTCGTATTTGTAGAATCGGGGTATTGCCCACTTGGGCACGATAATGGAAGGTTACATTCCCCATTCGTCAATGTCGCGCCGTTTGCGCAAGATGTACAATTCCGGTAAGTTGGTCCAGAACATGTTCCACAAGCGGAATGGCATGCTAAGATGGCAGAGTGATATTTAGCTGAATGAAATCCGATAGCACAAGAGGGTATCACCTACAACTCACCGATGCAAGTCCCGGATCCGTCATCAAGTTGTCCAGACGGACAGGGAGAGTAAACACAATTGCCATCGACAATGTTATACCCCGGAAGGCACTGTGTGCATTGCAAGTTTTCCCTCTGCGATGTCAAAGACCAGGTAGTAGCGTTATAGTAGGTAGTCTGTCGTGCGAGCGATATATTTGCATATCGATTAGCGCAGCGCACGCAGTTCACTCGACATGCTGTAACGATAAAGTGTTACTGTTTCTGGAGTCTGGTGGCAAACCTCGTGCAGCGAACAGTACGAACCATCACAATAGTTCTTCTCCGCCATCCAAACGGTTAGTGGGCCCGCGGGCCAGTCTGTATAGACCCCGTAGCCCACGTTCCAGGGTGATAAGCCATTGTAGTTGAAGCAAGCTCCCGTTGTAGGGTCTTGTGTAGTGCAAAGCTGGCTCGTAGGGACGCCACTTTGGCTTCCCGGAACAAGAGTAGTATTAGCGTAAGGGCAATGTCCGCACTTTTCGGCGTCCCTGAGTTCCGGGCATTTAGTGGTGACACCGGCTGCGAGGAAAGAGAAGATTAGCAGATTCTTTCGTCTCTTTGCAGGCATAACCCTATCTCACCCGTGCAGTCCGTGGCTGTTACAGGTTTGCTCGTGTTGGACGTTGCCGAGTATGTTCCCTTCCAGAAATACCTCTCCGAGGCGCAGCCCGGACACGATATCGATTTACATTGCGAATCCGCGGTGACCGCCGCGGTGTCGGTGCGTTTTATGCACTGCTGCGGGAAAGTTTCATTTCGAACCAACCCCAGATGTGCACATGATGTGCAAGCACCATCACCGTCCTGGCAGGCGTGACATCCGTGCCAGCACGCTGGCACACAAAGAGGTGAGCCTCCACATTTATATTTGGATGCAAGTGATCAAGCTTACCAACGCAATCCCCGCGCACATCTCTGTAGTATCCGGTTCGACAAGAGCTGCATGGAACCCCATCAGCTCCGGTGGTGTAACCCCAAGGGCAAGTACACTTCCCCGTGGTCGTACTGCATGATCCATGGCTACCACAATTTGTACAAGCTATTGAAATGGAGAGCTTCTCGGTGACATGGAACACACAGGCTGAATCTGGCTGCGGAGCATTTACCTGTACAGGTTGGAGTCAGACCAGCAGCGTTTTTCGTCCCGTAGTATCCAGGTGCGCATATGTCGCAAAGACCAGTAGAGCTACTAGTCCAGCCGTCTCGACAGGTACACGTCCCATTGCCGTAGATTCCATCATTACAGGTGCTATACGCGTTGCACTGGCATGGCTTACACCCCGAGCCCCAATTGTTTGCAGTGCAATCAGTGCACTGGGTCCCTGTGTAATTCGCGAAGCATGCACAGCCATTGTTCGTGCACACTCCTTTGGAAGAGCATTGTGGATTACAAGTTGCTGTGAACAAGAAGGAAGATGAGGATGATGTTGCTGTTCAAGATATGTGCCGTCCTGACTTACAGTCTACCACTAAGGCATTCCAATCTGTGGCCGAAAATCCTGATATACTCGCATCGATAGCTGAAACGCTCTCGAAAAAGACAGAAGCAGCACCTGCAGACTGGTCTCGACCGTTGAAAATGAGAGCTGCGAGGTTTGTTGGGACACCGATGGATGTTAAGGTGTCAAGGTTTGCGTTTGAGTAATTCGCATATGATGTTAGGAGGATCTGCGTTCCAGTCTGGGCTGTCCCTGAGTAGATGGCAACCTGCTGTGCCAGGACTGCATTCTATTTCAGTTTCGAAAGTCACTGGAACGGGGATATCAAAGACCCCATACCACTAATGACCCATGTCAACGCAATCAGGATCCGCAATAAGTTCAGTCCCAGCATACTGATTGGACACCCCAAGTCTTCCTTGGCACACTCCGTGGGTACTGTAAATGGCGACTGCCAACGACTTTCACTGGGCAACTATTCCAAGGCAGACGAGGCTAGATTTTGCATGCGTTTCTCCGGAAATCGGGATTGCATACCATAAGGCGGAAACTTGCCCTCCAGATATATATCATTGTTAGCGGGCCCATGAGAGTATTGCGAAATCCAAGACGATTACAAACAACGTCGATCTGCCCCACGTCATAACATCCTGAAGGATGCCACGGAACCGGGTGGCATCTCGTCGCGGGTTTCGACACGCTTCCGTAACAGGCACAAGCCCATCTGGCCTGAAGCGGATTGAAGTAGGAGCTTCGCGGGTACGGACGGATGTTGACGGTTCAGCTTCAGTGCTTGATAGAGCCATCGTCTGCTTTTGTCGTTTCTTACGGCCCGCCTGGAGCTGTAGGACTGAAAGAGTGAGACTGGACGAAAGCTTTTCTCCAGGCAAAGGTACTGCAAGGTTGGGGACAGACTTGCAGAAGTTCTCCGGTAGGATTGACGGCAGTTTTTAAAACGCTTGCCCGATGTTTCGTGAAGCGAGCGGCTGTAGGAACGAAGGCTGATTCTTGAAGGGAACGAAAGTCTTTTAGTCTCTTCTTTCGTTCCCTTGTTCGGACGCTGTCTCGTATCAAAGAGTTTACCTTAAGCTTGAGGTTCTCTGCAAGAAAGCAGGGGACAGGAGAAAGAAAACGCGAACCTTGACGAAGTTTTGAAGGACTGTTTGGTACATGTATCGGAACGGGAACACGATGAGGGAAGTTGGCCAAGAGTTTCTCGATGATCCTGCAGCGAGTATATATCGAAATTCGAGCGGAGTTAGGCTAATGCTCATGACATCACACCATTTGTGACGCGTTCGAAATGCGGGTTGGACCTGGACGAGCAAGGCGGCTTATTGCACTACGAAGCGGGCAAGACCCTAAGAACTGATATTCACTTGCAAGCGAGAGGCCGTTTTTTCGATCTCGTCTGTGTTCTGCGAAGGCGCTGGAATGGGGAATTATGTGTATTTGGGCGACCGTACTCCAAACATGGCTACAAAAACATAAGACACAATACCCTCTACTGCGAACAAGAAAGCGTGAGAAAAAAGGGAAAGAGTACAGGTCCACCGTATTTATAAGGAGAAGCGGAGGAACTAAAAGCAGCGGGCAAGGCCCTATGCTTCATGAGCGTCGAGAGAGAGAACCGCAAGTCTAAACCATTCCTCTGTTAATACAGTATCAACCCACAGACCTCGCCTCATAGCGAGAAATGTGCACCGAATACGTGGCGTAAGGACCTCAGTTGTGGGTATGTATGACATTTGAGTGCCGCAGAGTGGTTGTCTTGGAACAATGGCTAATGGACGCTACTCTGAACTGGGAATAGGGATGTTCGCACTCGGTCTCGGTTGCCGGTCAAGGTCAATTGGTCAAGACAGAGAGTGAGCCAGAATTATGTCGTATTATGTAGAGATAGTTCTGTGCGTTGGCTGTGGATAACCCCCCCGTGCACAGCATCCTGCACGTATACCCATAGGATAGCATAGTTAACCCCATACAGTGCCGAAGGGCATGGGTTTAGTCAGTCTTGTACTGTACACCGGTGATGACGTTATAATCGCAAAGACGCTTACGCCGGAAGTGACAGCGCGTCAAAGCGAGCACATTCATTTTCGCCAGAGTGACAGAGCGCCAAAAGCGAGCATTTGAGGTTTCTGCACAATATGGGAATCGACGTGGGTTACGTACCGCTCGATGCCATAGTGACCGGAAATCTGCGGGAGGCGGATTTGCTTCCGCGCCACAAATATCAGCAGAAGCACGCTGGTGTAAAACGAGCGGTTGAACGGAAGAAAATACTACGCGAGCAACAGAATCAGCAAGAACACTTACCCTACGTGCCTCTATGGCGATGGCTCCCTCCAAAACAGACCGAAGAGCCCGGAGAGGCGGATGCAAAAAAGTACCAGCACCAGCAGGAGATGTTGAGGCACTTGCGCTCGAGGGCGAAACTATTTGGTTTGAGTTTTCGAGCTTGCGCGGACGACGAACCGGATGTCCACTCCATTAGCTTCTTGACCCCACCGCACTCGGCCACTGGCTTGGAGAACGCGGAGTATCAGAAGGATCTTTCAGCATACGGTGTGCAAGAGAGGCAAGGAAGAACGATCAGCTCGGCCGCGGAACGCGATAATCGACGACACGGTCTAAACAAGTCCATTGATGAAACAGTTTCAAAGACATCCGCGATAGATTCGCAAATGACGAAATCGTCCGATAGTAGTCAGAATACCCGAGGAGGACCCAAAGAGACGTTTTCTCAGCCCGCCGCACGTATATCGGGGCCTTCGCTTTCTTTGTCACCACCATGGTCCCCGGGACATGAAACGAAAGGCCAGGAAGACTCGTCGAATGGGAGCCGCTGCATCGCCATTGCACTAGTAACGCCGTCCCCACCCTCATCCAGGCCGACGACCTCTCCCGCTACTGCGGGGAAACCGAAACCAAAAACGGCGCCCGATAAACCACAAAAAATCGAATTCACGCTATCCGACGCCTTCACTAAATCGCGCCGGCGAGCACGGAAGGCTTGCCAGCGTGCTATTTCGCGAGAAGTACGGGCGCGCAGTGGACGGGTACGGATCAAGCACGGGAGGAACAACACAGATAGAGATAGGCCTTTAGAACGGGGCCGCAACGTTAAGTTCTCCATGAGCCATGAACGTCAGTCACAAAAAGATGTTAACCTCTTGTCGGACCGACGAGTGGCGGGTTCTTATGCCGCAGGGCAACAGTCACTGTCAGACTCACGGGGCGGACTTGGCTCAAGAGAGGATTATCGGAGTGGAGGTCGCGCAGGTAGTGAGCCGGGAAAGAGCCCTTCTGAGCTATTCAACAACTCCAACGACTCAAATTTCAGCAGCACCGACGACGATGACGACGACGATGTGGACGAGCTGCTCTTTGGTTCAGTGGAGGGATGGAACACGGAAGGCGGAGATGAAGGGCACGAGCTGTATCTATGGACACAGGCCGCTCGAGAGCTGCGCACAACCATTTCGGAGGCCAGCCTGCAGTCACACCCGTATGCATTTCCGGAACCTCGGAGCTCTGCTCAACCACAGAAGGAGGGCGCAAGTGGCCGGGCGGATAATATGGCCTCAAAATCGGCGGACGTTGATGAGAGACAGAGAAAGACCGCGAGATCGAACGCGAAGAGTTGGTCGCAACGGCTGAATGATTCATCGACGGTCAATGTTCACCAGCCGAATACTTCCAAGGAGCCCGCGATGGAAAAAATTGATACCTCCAGCAATGGGACAACCATGTCTTTGGACCCCTCCAACCCTACCGCCTCAATCCAAGCCGAAGTCTCACGTGCATCTCTCTCATCAAGAGGCACACCCCACGTCCTCCCCTTCGCCGACGCCGAGAAAGCGCTCGGAAACACCGCGATCTCACCGCCGGGACCCGAACCGACCCCGCACGCCATCTTAGCGCAAAAGGGCAATCTCGCAACATACCGCAGAGGCGCGGGATATACCTGCACACAACGATTACCGCCGCCCGTCCGCAGTATTCCATCCGCGCGGTCGGCACCGTGTTTGTTGGATGCACACGGGACTCGGAGCGCTACCCCCAGACTGGAGCTTCCTGTCGTCCGGCCGAGTACTTTGCGGCATTTATCGAATCGCGGGGAAGCGCAGCAGCGGCAGCGGACCGGGCGACCTAAGCCGACGAGGACGGCCGTCCCCGGTCCTACAGCAGATCCGCCTCCGAAGGTCAAGGTTGATGAGATGGAGGCGGACCGAACTGGCCGAGAGGCAAAGCAGGAGGGCCCCGAACCGCTCAAACTTCCTGTGTTGCGTTAATCATGACAGATCATGCGCTGGTGCAAGGTTTTACTGGGATTGATTGATAATTGATATGCACTAACCATCAGAGCAAGGACTCAGAATGTCTAGCTAGATACCTGGGAGGAATAGCTAGAATGTAGGCAGCGTCCGAGGAGTGTAGATTTTTAGGCATAGCTTCTCTAATCATAGGTTAAGGGTTCTTACGATAATGTGGGTACCCATGAAGAAAATAGGGTTCATTCTAATGGATAGACGCAATCAAACCACGATAGCCTGCTCCATATATCAATGAATTATTCGAGATAGACCTTTCATAATCAACAGTTTTATTCGATTTCATCAACCAAGCTGTTACATATGCTGGCACAGATACAATTGGGGGAGACAGTTAGGTGAAGGATATAGAAAAGTAGAATGTTCCCGACATATCCGGGAAACTGGAGAAGCTATATAACGATACAAAATGTCAGAACACGAATGAACAAGCAAGTCGTAAAGAAAGCAGACGTGATCAAAACAGGGGAGAGACGACCCAAGGAGGGCGGTAAGTAAGACAACTGAAAAATGTCATGCGGGTCCACCGCAGGTTCAACCTGCATATGGCTGTCGCCACTCGGTAAAGGTGGTAAGTGTCGGAGTAGAACATCGAAAACGAAAATATCATGTCGGAGTAAAGCGTTGTGACTAGGCGGTAGCAAAAGACTGTGTAATTGATCACACGGAGTCCAACCGACCACATACGGCGGAGGGCGGTGAACAGAAGGGAGGTGGAGAGTAGCCGGGGAGGATAGTGGTTGCCAAGGATTTGGGATGACGGCCCAAGTGCGGGGTGGGAAGACCCGTCGATGGCAAAGGGGCCATGCGAGGGAAACGGGAATGGTGTGTCGGGGATGGTTGAGGCGGCGGGAGGGAGTGGAGGGCGGACATCGAGATGGTAGAAAAGACGAGAGTGCGGGGTAAGAAAGCTGGGGAAGCAATGGGTTTAATGCGCTCGAAAGTCGTGCTAACGACCGCGACAGCAGTTATAAGACTTGTAGTTCGGAATAACTGTTCGCGTACTGACGAAGCGTCTGATGGGCGACTGTCGATGATGGTCTATGGACCGGGCGTATGACCGCAGGCGAACCATGCTGGGGGAGGGGATCAAACTTGGATAAGACATGGTCGCCCTAGGGGCGTCGTGGGTCGGACATCGAGGCAATCCTTGGTTCCAGACACCCTTGGCTACGCGGAAGGGGATCTCGGGTTTGGTGCCTACTCTGTAACGCCCACGTAGGCGAGACCCTGGGGATTTCAACCAGGAAGGCGTGCATCTCGTATCCATCGGATGCTCGAAGACCGCGCAGCAGAGCGATGATTCACCCGTGGGCAAGTTTATCAATGCTCCAGAATATCGTGCCCCTGCCCCAGAAGGGAGGATACGGATGTGGGGGACTGGGGCGGCGATGAATCGCTGACTCCCTCTGCCCGGGACGGTGGTGGCATGCCTGTGGCAGGTTTTGGAGAACGAATATCCAGAACGTACGAGAGCATGGCGGAAGAGGTCGTCATCGTTTTTGCACACAGATGAGGAAACTTGGGTTGCGAGAAACCACTAAGTGCAATGAAAGGAGAACGCGCGACTCGGATGGAGACTCGCCGTGTCAGTCAATCGGTAGGCCGCTACGGAGAACCCTTACACCGATTCCCGTTGACGTGACGATGGAGCGCATCCAGTCGAGTGACTAAAAGGAATGAAGGTTCAGTATCAGACAGGGACCCGGCCGAGAGTAAGAAACTACACTTACACGTAGTATGACACACGTCGCAGGCGAACGGCGTAAAAGTCTCCATGTGGGTAGTCGCATGGCGCTTCAAATCATGCTTGCGCATGAAGCCACGCTGGCACACCTCACACACGAAAGGCTTTTCCGGCGTCGGGTTGAAGTGCGACTGGTAGTGGTTCTTCAGATTGTAGAGCTTCTTGAAGAGCTTCCCGCAAGTGCACTTGAAACAGGCCGGGCTGCACTTCTTATCGACATCGTCACCACCGGTCTTTCGAGCACACTTGTAACAATCATCGCAATCCATTGACAGCGGCGGACTGGAAACGGGAGAAGGCGAGGGCGAGAACTTGGTACGTTGGTTTGGCACGTCGACGTCTGATGAGACCCTTCCAGAGGAATCTGATGAGGTTCTCGTCGACGATGCGTATGAGGTCGTCGGATTTGGTGTCTTTTTCCGGTTCGCCTTCTGCCTCCCTTTTCCAATAACTTTTCCTATGGCAATGTCCGTTTCGTTCGTCATGTGGTACATCGGACCCGTCGGGCCGGGGTCGCCATGCCGAATCCATCTTTCGTTCGTATCGCAGCTCCTTGCCGACTCATTGGAGCGGCGACCCAGTCGCGCTCGGGAACGATCGCGTTCAGAATGGATGCTGTCATGGTAGTCTCCATCGGAGAATACCGTGGATCCACCAGATGCGATGGATTCGCCAAATGACGACACGGTACCTAGAGAGCACATGCTCGGCTTCTTCTTCGGACAAGACGCAGGAGCTTGACTACGCGACCGGCTACGGGTGCGACTCCTGCTACGACTGCGGCTCCTGCTCCTACTGCGAAGAGATGCATCTGAGCAAAATGTTGCACCGGTGGTAGTCGGAGGGGCGAAAACGAGTTCCCCGAACGCAGAGGGGGCGGAAACCGTGGTAATGACATCGGCAGATGTAACATCGGCCTCGTCGGTTTGCAAGTCCGGTGATGGGGACGTCGGAAGAGGTGTGGGGAAACAGATTTCGGGACCGACTCCGTAAGACACCGAATCGCGAGGAACTGTCCTACCGTGCGCGTCAGAGAGCATACCAGCGGGTAGTAAGACGGTCGGTGCAATGAACCCGGACGCGATTGCTGCTGTGAGAGCAGCGTCCATTTGTGACAAATCATCCACAAGGTACTGTTGCGAGTGAGTGCCGGCGTCCTCAAACTTGGACATGGAGTCATTCAAATGGCCACTAACCAAGTCTTCCCCGTCGTCATGCGCCAAGGGTGTCACTAGGGGGTCCGGTAGCCTGTTGACTTCGTGCGAAAGGGAGTCCGTTCCATAGAGTTGCACAGGTTGAAGGTGTCCGTGCGCATGAGAGGACATGTTGAGTTGACTATCATCCGAATAGGAGAGTTGGGCACTGCTAACGTGTTGCAGTGTAGACGCTCCTGAAATGAAGTGCCCGTCCTGCTTCAAAGGTGCGATGTTGGCGGTTGTATATGCTTGTTGCAGAGGCGGTTCGAGTTCGAGAAGAGGAGCTGGCCATTCCAATCCTGCGTGCGAGTCAGAACGGTTCAGATCCATCCCACGCCGTGCGGCTCGAGACATGCTACTGTTTCTTGTGATCTGGTACGACGCAGGCAGCTGCACAGTGTCGGCCGGCGGGGCAGGGATGTCGAAAATCTCATACATGGATTGCATTGTGGAGGCGCCTGCGCCGGGAATGCCGAGATTGTCCAGCATGACGATTGAATCTCGAGCGTTGTATCCGACAGTGGCACTCCCAAACTGCGATTCGAAATTGATGCGGTTCAAGAATGCCGCTTCTCCGGCAGCGTTCAGTGCGGCATCCTCAAAATCGATAACCGTATCCAACGTCGCCATATCGAGAAGGCACTGCGAGGTAGCTCCTCGTGATAGATGTTCCTCAAAATTATCCAGGTAATTGCTTCCGATACCCTCACCAACAGCCTGATCGTCGGTTGCATTGCATCCATCTTCTTCGTTAGGTCCAATTTCACGAGAAATCAGGTTATGTTCACGTGCTTGAAGTGAGTCGGACGATGTAACGTCAATGGCAAGAGCCAGCTCTGCCAAAACGTCCGGGGGCGATGTCGGAGGGGATGGAGGCCCGAGAGTACTGATTTGAATCTCCGTGGTTGGAGCCGCAATGTTCTGCGACTTAGAGTAGTGCAAAGCTGGGCCGGCCAGCGTCACTTTTTCTGAAGAAGGTTCCGGTGAAGTCGGGGGAACTACGGAGGGAGATATCTTCGCCGCTGAGCGAGCCCCGCGACCAGCGCGAAACCAAGGCAGGTTGATTGCTTTTCCCAAGCCTCGACTTGGGATTGATAGTGGGCTTCGGCCGGTCCGGGTGGAATCCGACGTTTTCGAAGCGATGGTGCTGCCAGCAGCATCTGAAGTTGTCGTAGTTACGTGAACCGTCATGTTGAGCAGTTGTGCGTTTCAAAGTGGTTCCTCTCTGCGTCTCGTTCAATGTTCCAGCAGCTACGGAAGGATTCAGCTAATATATGAAGCGAGCCCTATGCCTTGATGAAGAGGGTTTTAATTGTCGTGACGTTCGTGCCCCCTAACTGGCGTCTGTGACGTAACACCGGATGGAACAGAAACGCAACACCCAGCCTTGGCTCAAGATGGGTGCGGAGCGGACAAGCAGGGAAGTGAGGGCCCAAGGCGCTCTTACCTTTGAGACAGATCAGGGCACGTACTCGGCTTGCCAATAGCAGCACGCGAAAGTATTTGACAGGCAGCGAGCGCCCTTGGGAAGAGATGAATGGTGGAGCGACAAGCGTGTATGTCTCGACTTGGGGAGTAGCGGAATGGAGGAACAGCTCTATGTATGTATGTATGTTCGTAGTTTGCTGTGCGTACCTGGGGGGATCTTGCTTCTGTTGGTTGTGTGTGCGTGGGAAAAGGGGACGACGCAAAGGGGAAGAGAAGCAAACGGCCTATTATGTTGGATCGCGCGTTCCCACCTGCTGTGACCAAGAACTGATCACATCGACATCGACGCCCTTCCTTTGCCTGCCTGCCTGCCGTCGGGGCCTCGAGTCAATTTGTCTCTCTCTCATCCTTCCATGTCTCCTTCGCTGCCCTCAACCTTGCTGCCGCACTCCCGCAGCACATATCACTCATGCCCGCGCGCCATCCGGAAAATCATGTCCCGGTCTCGGGGAAATGCGATTTTTCTCGCAAAGCTTTCCCTCGCCAATTACCATATTTTATTGACCCTCAATTTCAATGGTCCCTCATCATAGGGTCATACCTCCAGCCCAGCTTGAAATTGAGCGAAAGAACGAGGCAGCGGCAGTGCTGGTGTGCATGGGCGATCGTGGGTGAGTGGTGGTTGTTGTGCGTGAGTGGTGCGCGTCTCTCTGATGTCTCCCCACGCCCCCCTCACGTCCGAACGTGTCCGAGAGCCGCTCACGTGACCCCGGATGAGTTGATTCCCTCCTTCTTGGGCCGGTTACGTATGTAGGTAGAAAGGAGAGCGCATATATACATACATAGCACGACAAGGGTGTAAAATGCATATTACAGCAGCGTGGAAACCGTCGGCAACGAAAGGAACGCGGGCCAAAAACGATCTTGAGCCTTGTGCCATTCTAGGTCCATTTTGAGCCCGTTGTCGAGTCGCTCCAACCTCCATAGCTCGAGAAGGATCACGGCCTGGATTTTGGAGTTCCCACAATACGCCGTATCACCTAAGCCTACAGACAGCCTTGTCATATGGAGGACTCGCTGAAAAAAAGCCGAGTCATCCTGCACGTAGACCTGGTGAGCCGGAGTATGTTCGTTGCCGCGCTTCTTGCCCAGATTACAAATCTCACTCGCGGCTTGTGCCGTACTTGCTGATGTTGGCGGTATTCACCAGGACGCTTTCTATTGCCAGGTGAGTTGATACAGCAGGGCACGTCAGAGCACACTCTCCTATAGTGGTGCTTCCAATGTAACTTCAGTTCCTGGGCAGGTCGAACACGTTAGACTGGGGATTCCGATAGATACCCCGCTAGGAGTTCAACAATGGAATGGACTGATCGCAGTCAACTACGCTGCGCGTGCGAAAGGGATCAAAAGGTTGGACTTTGGCACCCATAAGGGTACCCGCCGACTGTTGCTCACTCTGTTACCATCGAAGGCACACAACACCGCAGGAAGCGAGAGAGAAGGCGCCAGATATCGTGTTCGTTCATGGTGAGTAGAGGGGGGCACCCGGGTTACTGCCGTACTTTTGCTTACAGATGGCCCTACATGATTTTCCGCCACAGTGGCGACATTCGCAAACGGCGATACCACTTATCAATACCATACAGAGAACATTACATATCAAACACATAAGGTGCGCGTTCGGCAGCTTCCGAGCCAAGGGCTTGACCGATACAAACTCACCGCTTAATTTGTTAGGTCTCATTAGACCCATACAGGTAAAGCAGCGTGTTTTACTGTCCCACTGGCTCTCTCATTGACTTCCGTTGGCTTCTTCAGAAATGCAAGCCAAAAGATCATGAGCATCTTCGAGCGCTTTTGCCCGACGTATCAGCGCGCATCTATCGGTAGGGCTCGGTAAATCGTGGCTATCACCATTTCGACCTTGCTAATGGTTGGTATCTTCACAGATGAAGCATATCTGGACATCACAGATTTGGTCAACATCCGCATCAAAGCGCAAATGCACAATTGGTCTGATGCGGAAGGTGTGAACGGCGATGTTGAAGAGGGTGACGGACCGGTCGTGTCCTGGCTCGGAGCCGGCGTACTGGTCGGAGAACAGGTCGCCGAGTCGCGTGGTTGGCTGTGGGTAACATCCGGCAGTTTTGCAATAGCAACTCCGTATCAAGCTAACGCTCTCACCGTCTCTGAAGCGATCTGCAGCTTCGCATCGCAGCAGATGTCAGTCAGGAGATCCGAAAGACGGTCTACGACGAGCTTCAGTACACATGCAGCACCGGAATCGCACATAACAAGACATTAGCGAAAATATGCTCCGGACTCAACAAACCGAACAAGCAGGTACATTGGAAGTGACAATGCTGGGAGTTTGAGATAGGAGGCTGAACGATGGTCTAATGAGATGTCCTTCATTAGACCATTTTGCGACAAGCAGAAGTGCTGAAGTTCATGGAGTCATGTCCCATGTCAAAAATTCGGAACCTTGGTGGCAAGCTGGGCGACGAAATAGGGCAGGAACTACACGCAGAGAAAGCCGGGGATATATGGTATTATCGTGTACTGCTATTCCTCCTTCACATTCTTGCACACCTGCGCTAACAGGTCTGGCGGACAGGAAATACTCCCTGGAAGTGCTTAGAGAGAAGTTTGGTCCGCAAACGGGAACATGGGTGTACAATATTAGTCGTGGTATATGCCACGAGGAAGGTATGTGTGGCATACCGCTGTTGTCAAAGGTCATTGTCCCCGATCGACTGATGTTTTTTTTTCAGTGACGGAAACATCCATCCCCAAGTCAATGCTGTCATGTAAATCACTACGGCCAGGCGCCACCAACGGGGCTGCATTGGAGCATTGGATCGGCATCCTCAGCAACGAGCTGTACACCCGCCTGCAAAACGACCACGCCCAATACGCCCGATGGCCACGTAGCCTAGTCCTGCACATCAACCACGGCGGCCGTACGGGAGGTACCGAGCGTAGCAAGCGTGGAGACTTTCCCGCCTATCATCTCGTTGTCAATCCCGACATCATCAAGGAGAAATGTCTGTCACTGCTTAGAATGTCTCCAGGAAGCAGCGGGGCCGGATTGGTTGTGCAATGGCCGTGCGACAGGATCGCGATCGGAGTGAGCGGATTTGTTGAGGAGGAAAAAAATTCTCGACGGCTGGATCAATTCTTTACGAAGATTGCGGGGCCGGCGCCTGTTTCTACGGAACCTGACGCTAACGATGTGTCGATATCACGTGGAGATACGGATAAGGGAGACGTACATGCATCTCGTCGAGGACGGCTGGATCCGTCTGCGAGTAACAGACCCTTGGATCGATTCTTCTCTAATAGAACATCAAAACCGGATGACGGTGCTGGCGGTGCAACGGCGAGCTCCAGCAGTGCTATCGGTGGGTTAAGTAACCCAACACAGCCTTCTCTTGGGCACGACAAAGTTTCTGAGCAACCCGATTCAGCAAGGAAAGGCCGCGGAACGTTGACTTCCTTCTTCCGACCCTCGTCAGAAAATCCTCATTTGCAACCTCTTCAGCCCTCCCATTCTCCATCATCCGCGAATCTGGAGCCTCCGACCACAGGGTCGTTAGCAAGCATGGAGGTGGACAGTGTGCTCAAAATGGACAGCGAGGCCGAGCTTGGGACAGGGGTAGCGGACTCGGGGGGTTTAGATCCTGCGCCTCGTTCCGATGAAGACGCCGAGTTCCGTTGCCCAAAATGCAGCGAGGTGCTAGATAAACGTGATACTGACGGCGTACAATGCCACATGGATTTTCACGTCGCTATGGAGCTTCAAGATTCCTTCAGGCCCACGGCACCCGCGAATCCTCAAAACGGAGGCGATTCAACAGGGAGTGGTAATCCAAGAAAGAGAAAGGCGAATACTTCATTATCGAATCCACGGCGAGGAGGGTCGAGTGGGAGTGGCGAAGCGGGTAGGAGCAGGACAGGGTCGGTGGCGGCGTTCTTTCAGCAGCATAATCGGCGTGCTGAATGAGGTCTGGAGGTAAATGCCGGTGATGTGCTCGTCTCCGTGCGGAAGATGGCACGTGGAGATCGAATTTTTGAGTTCAAAACGAGTGTCGTTGGACACTGCAATACACTTCGCTATATCTCCTTCTTTGCAGAAGCGAGAAAACCGCGTGAAGCAGGCTAGAAAGGCAGAGGCCAGAGCAATCGTTGTTAAACTTGCGATGTGACAGAATAAAATAGAAAACACGCATATACGTAAATACAAGTGAGCTGATATGGAACGGGAAGTGAAGTGGATGCACATCCCGGCAAGTGAGTGCTAATATGCAAAAGGTGAAGGCTACGCCTACCATAATATACGCCGCTACCTATATATTAGGACCATTCCCGACCTTGATTGATGTACCTAGCGACCAGCTCGCTGACCAAGAGGTCGTCCTCTGCCGCCGCGTGTACCTCTGTCGCCGCCATATCCGCCTTGTCGTGCCCCATCGCGACGTTCACCGCCTCGGAACCCACCGCCAATCTGGCCCGCGTGCCCACCACGTTGTTGATCGCGCGGCCCACGGTGGTCACCCCGTTGCTGCGGCTGTTTGTCGTGCTGCGCTTGCTGCAGGCCCAAGTTGATGGCTCTAGCTTCGAGTAACCGTTCGTTGCTCTCGACGAGAGTTGCCACCTTGTCCGCGTACACCTCAGCCAGGTGCTCCAGGTGCGTAGTATCACCGCCACTCTCTGCAGCACGGTGGAAGACGACCGTGCCAGTGCCCTGGTCGATAGAAGCTTGAATCTCCTCGTTGATGATCATACGCGATACGATACCGCGAACGCCAGCGGGGGTGAGGTCGAACATGGACGCGAGTTGCTCAATCCCCAGAGATTCATAGTGTCGAGAGTAGGAGAAGAAGTATGTTCGCAGACCTTCCTCCTTGATTTTCTCGCTCAACATGCTCATGATGCTGTCCTTGTTAGGCATAAGATCCCAGATCTTGACCTCCTTGATCAGCTCTTCGCACTTGCGCCACTCTCCTGCTGCAAGAGCTTTGGCAGCACCCATCACGTGATCTCTGGTGTTTTCCGGAGGACCTATAGATAGCGAATCAGTACAGATGGAGAACGAGCGTACTCCTGAAAACAACACCTACCAGAGAAGACTTGGCGTTCGTTGTAGTCAAGCATTCTTCGGAAAGGCTTGCTGATCACTCGCCGGCGAGGCTCATGCGCATTCGCTGCCAAGTTGGGGATCTCGAGCAACATCGACGATGTCAGGTACACGCATTCCAGGAGTTCAAGGTTGATATGCATGTGGAAGGGTAGCTGACGAGCCTTCTCCAAACGTTCCTGCTCAGCAGTTTTGTCGGAGAAGCGCTGCATTTGGACGCCTTGCGCGAGAAGCTCCTTCACTCTGCCGGAAGCCGAGATTTCCTGGAGAGTGTACGATGCGTCTCTGATCAGACCAGCGCGGAATGCACAGAGCCCAAGCTGAACCATAGTCCTGTTGAACAGGATCTGAGCCGAAATCTCCATTTGCGCAATGTGATCCTGGATGTGAGACATCAACATCATGTCTCGCGCTGCCATGAACTTGTCGTGCAGCGCAAGGTGGTACACGTGACAAAGCAGAGCTCGAGTTCGGACGCGATCCACATCCGTCTTGTAGAGTTCAGTGCAGAGACGCTCCACCAATGTGACAGGCTCGTCAAGGTCCTCATTGAGAGATGGACACAAAACGCGAACTTGCTTCTCGACGGCACGAATAACTACATCGGGCTTGTAGTAGACGTGTTCCACTCGGCGCATTTTCATCAGGTCCGACGCCATGGCGAACCCTGCTCCCTCGAGGTATTTCTGGCCTCGGACAATAAGAGCGTACAGCACGGTTTCGTCTCTCAACCTATTCACATAGTCGAGAGTGTGAGGATCCATGTGCTGCAGTGATTTGCCGAACTCGTCGTCAATCCGGTCGATCAAGGATGATACGCTTCCTCGGATGATGACGTTATCGGCGTTTTTGAACTTTTCCTCCGCAATCACTTCCGAATCTTCTTCGTCTACCACCTCCAAGATTCGCACATTGTCATGTTCCTCCAACAGGCTGAAGAAGGTATTCAACTCTGTTGCAGCGAGCTTCCACATCTCGGCGGTCATATGTCCAGTCGTGGAGGACACGGAATCGAAACGGGCAGGAATCAGAGCGAGTAGAACCTTGATCTTCTGGTACGGGGTCTCTGCGACCTCCAACACTCGTTGCAGGTTATCCAACTGAACTTGACGATCCGTTCCCTAAACAGTCGGAAAGTGACAAGTCAGTAAGCCACTCCTTTGGCAGTAAAGGTTCCATCGCCACTGGTACCGACCTTCTTTCCGCGAAGATTTATGAGCTCTTGTAATTTCTTGAAGAGGTTTTCGGGTTTCACTTCGAAAACCTTGCCACCCTTCCCGACCACCTGAAAGTCATCACCGGCCTCGACTGGGCCAACTCCCTTGGGCTTACGCTTCCGATCTTTCGACTTTGTCCGTTCGGTGTCGCTTTGTTCTGTTCCGTCCTCGGCTACTTTCACCCACTTCTCCCGTCCAGTGAGCCCTTCATCGTCAGAATCTGATTCGCTAACCGGTCGCTCTGCGGCAGCCCTCTTAGCCGCCGCAGCTTCAGCTTCATCAGCAGAGGCGTCTTCATCGATGGGATTCTAGAAATCGCAAGAAATTGTATGAGGACGGAATATTTCAACTTCTGAATCTTAATCGAACCACTCACTGTCTGAAACTTTGCAATGTCCGACTCAAATTGTTTGTTGTGCTTCCTCAACCTTTGCTTCATAGCGTTCAAGCCACGAGACGAGGAGGCGTTCATCTTCTTCACGGCAACCTTGTTCGTCAACACAGATTTCATGAAATCCTCCAGCTCCACAATGGCCCGGATGTAAAATCGAGGAACGCCCTCGCGTTGGATGATAGCATTCGATTTGGCGTAAGCTTTGTTGAGCTTCTCGAATTCATTCTGGATAGCAACCCAATCGTTGATCTTCTGTGCATTCTTCAACGATTTGACGGTGCCCCGCATTTCATCAAACCGCTTATCCCTCGCAGACTTCACCACGCGCTTGGTATCATCGTCAGAATCCTCATCAGAATCTGAGCCTGCGAATCCTCTCATGAACTTGCTAGCACCAGTGGCAGGCTTTCCGGCCGCGCCACGGTCGGCGTCGGAATCAGAGTCCGAGTGGGAAGCATCGCTACCATCCTCGGAACCAGAGTCTGTGGTGGCATCGCTGTCGTGGGCTTTGCGATTCTCCTCGTCGGACGAGGAGTAGTCGGAGTCCGATTCCGAGCTGGAATCGCCTCCACGAAAGAAACGAGACATGATTGAACGCGCGGGAGGTTCTTGTTAGAATCCCGCGGCAATGAGTTGACGAGGATTCTACAAGCGGCAGGCGGGCGGGCGGTGCTGTGAGCGGGAGCGAGTCGTGCAGCAGCAAAGTCGCGGTGAAAGTCCGCCAAGATAATCTCCGTTAGAGGGTTCCTGCGTTCAAGTGATGTCGGCAAATGTACCAACACCGTTACTGACGGACGGCGAGGGAGTAAGTGTGGCGTTCAGTGTGGCGTCCACGTGGCGCGCGACCAGACGGACAGCATCACTGACAGCACAACGAGGGCTCTCAGTATTGCATGCAAGCATTATTTTGGACAAGAAGATACAGAAGTAGTTTGTACGGGCGACGTTTACAAGAAAAGGCCCCCGCAAAGAGAGGGTGATGGGTGCTTCAAAATATACAACACTCGCACGCTTTACTTGGGGTCGGACGACATGGGCATACTTCCTCCCATCTTTCCAATTTCGCTGACCCTCTCTGGATCCATTGAAGCAAAACCCTGCCGGCCCTTGTAGGTAATAACATCCGGGTCATCGGGAGAAATCGTTTGAGACAATGGCTTTTCGTCACTCTCCATCGGGTCCTTGCTCCTGGTGTGCTGGGCGGGCGAAGAGTAACCGATGTCTGTACCCGAGGGCGGCGTGAAGTCATCTTGATCGTCACCGCGGAACGTGTCTTCGACGGAGGAGTCAGCCGCAGTCTTGCTCGTGCTGTAGGCGCCTGTACCGTCGTTGTTGCCAGAGGCACGGCCACCCTTTGCCGCGATTTCACGCTGATGCGACGAGGAAGATGGAATAAATCAGAGACCCCGTCGTAGGAAGGTGACCGCACCGAAAAAGAGTAACTCACCACTTCGTCGCGATCCATAGATGCAAAGCCTCGGTTTTCGGTCATCTTCCTCCTAAATGTGTAGGGTGGAAATGCGTGGGTTCAAAAGGCTGTCTAGAGTTGATTGAGTTGAAGCGTCGTGTAAGATAATTGAGTTGAGTTGTGTTGAGAGAGGTCCGGCACCCAGAGTGGCCCCTTATATACCGAGGGAGAAGTGAGGAGCGGGGGGAGGGGCGGCGAGGCAGTTGCGAGTGAGTGACGTCTGTTGCGGATGCTCTGGGAGTCTTCTTGATGAAGGCGGTGGCAGCTGGAATCGTCATGCTGCAAAGGGCTGAACTTTTTTCCGAAGCCGTCATTGAGGCTCGTTTCTCCGCAATGCACTTCGGTTCCCCCGTTTGTGCTTTGACGTATATATATAGGCCTGAGCGGCCTGCGTCCTAACAACGCGTGACCAGGGGCAGTGTCCTAGCTATGGACAACGGAGAGACGACGTTCATGAAAGCGGGCTGTTTGTATGCACTTCATTTTCGAGGACAGTAAGTCTCAAGTTTTCTTATTCGGGGAATAGTAAATTCCAAAAAGATATACAATCTTGGGTACAAAAGGACTCGAAAAAAAAAGATACGCGACGACGAGCTTCACATCCCCGTTTTTACACAGACATCGGGAGAATGACGCATCTAATCACATCGGCTTCATTCGACGATCCCGCGAAGGTTCTCATGTGGCGCGGGCTCAGCCTTGGTCCTGGATGGTCCAGAACTTTTACCGCCTTTCGAGGAAATATCGTGCTGTCGAGGCGGAAAGTAATGAAGTCAGACGGTGCATTAATTTCAACTACGAACCGGGCGATGAAGCTCCCACCTGCTTCTCGTGGGGATAATTCTCACTGGCAAATCCAAATTTCGCCCCAGTACCAAAGTCGTTCGGGTGCTCCCCCGTTTGCGCTTCGTCCTGCACCTCTTTGTCGAACGAGGCGATGAGCTCGGGATCCTCCCGCTCGACAGCGAGCGTGGGCTCGTTTTCGCCGTAGGCGCCTTCACGGTTGTTTCCGCCCCGTTTGACGTGCCCTTGGTTGCCGCTCATGATTTGGCTAGGTAAGTTCAAGGTAGTGCTGACTGAGTTGCAGATGATAAGTTTTCTTGGTAATGGACGAGTCGTTGATGTTGAAATGAGCACCGGGAAGCAGACACAGCTCGGCTCTATTATATACCTTCACCCAGCGCTCTCCGCCGCACTCACTTCCCCATCGCACGTCACGGTGATGTATGTACTAGGGTTTGCTTCTCCCCACATTTCTCCACGTCCAGGGCAATAATGATGCAAGATACTGATTTTCCGTCGTTACCCGAAATACGACAGCGCGCAGCGGCTCGTCAGACTTTTGACGGGTTCCTTTCGAATTTTGACGGGGTATAGATCGAAAGAAAAGCGACAAGCACAAAAGCGAGCACATTATTGGAATTGACAGCAGAGAAGCACATAAACTCACAGGCAGGTAGGAATCTTCCGCGCAGACGCTAGTAATGCAACCGTATATGGTTCCGAAGTCTGAAGGCGGGGATAGCGAAACTGCCCTTCTTCTATATCCCAGGGAAAGCACTGGGAAAGCACCATCCCGTCGCGTCTCGCACTCACCCCAACGCACTACTCAGCCGCTGCTATCGATGGGAACTAGTTCTTAGCCACTCATTATGCGTCATTATTCCATATTAATGCGTCATTATTCTACCATTGTAATTCGGCGCAGTCCAGAAAACCAAACGGAGTTTCTTTTGCTAACTCGAAACAGATGTCGGTGGACGCCCTTGAGCAAATTGTAATCGATTACCAACGCCCCCTTTTCCAGAGGGTCTTCGCCTTGCTTGGTCTCCTTCAAAAAGACGTTTGTGTCAAAGTGTACTGAGCATCGAAAACGCAATCCGGAGACGTTCATATATCCCTCATTGGTGGACGAAAGCCATCTCGACCAAAAGTTTTGATGGATGGTTGGCCGAATGTTTCCAGCAGCGGATTTGCTTCAGCGCAACGCCGGCACTTCATGAATTCAGTCCCCAGAGTTTCAGTATCCACTGATTTCCGAGGGGCGCGACAAGGAGGCGATACCGAATGGAATGCAATTCAATCGACAAACAAACAAAAATCTGATCTGAATGTAAGTGGAACCAAATGTGCGGGGACTGCGGTGCGTTCATGTAGAACTGCGGCCAGCGGAGTTTGTAATGGAGCAATGCGTTCTGTGAGCGACTACTGAGGGAGACCTCCCTGCGAGAGGTTCTGGTGGATGCAGTTGTCAAAGTTCTCGAATACTTTAGGAGCATCTTTGTCAAGACGCACTGGCGCTCCACAAATGCACCTCCATAGAGGTTCTGGGTCAGTACCAGCTCCTCTTCTCCATTTGCTTCAAGCACCAAAGCGCCGCATTGCTGGTCACTTCTGCCGACCGAAGGACTTCTGCCGATTTAGCTCGTCAGATTTCCCATGATCGAAGTCTTCGTGTCGTAATTGTCGTGAGGCGCCCCCACAGGTCTTTTCACAACCCGCGCATATGTGTCGTTAGTATCGGCGGGAACTCAAGGAAATGGAGTTATTCCCAGCTTCGATTACGGGCTCTAGGTCTCCATCATGGTTTGCACTGATACCCCAACTCCTCAAGAATATCAAGCGTGCTTATATGTTCTGGAAGATCAATGCCCATCTTGGGTACTCAGCCCACGAAGTCGATCTAGCGATTATGAAAATGCATGATGCCCAAGAACATGTTGAGAGTGACGGTGGCTCCACGCATTTTGACAAGAATTCGGTAACAAATTCAGCAAGAAACTGCGAGGCAGTCCGAGATTACGGGATTGTCTCATAGCGGGAAAAGGACTTCAACCCGACATCAAGGCCCAATGTTTTTTTGAACACTTGAGACTCGGAGATGTGCCCGAAACGCAACTCCATCCTTTGTTTGTCGATCTTGGAGTATCCCAGTCTTTATTGGCTTGAATCTTGGACGGGGCGATGCGAACACCACGTCACATCCGTTCACAGCGAGTCCGAGCTCATCAACCATCCGAATATCACGAGACGGACCTAATGAACGTACATCGCGCAGATGCTGCTTCCGATGCACGCGACAAAGTCAGCGGACAAGGTGCGCTCCCGGAGCCGGAGTGCAATAGACTAATGAACCAACCACGATGGATGTTGAAACGGGGAGGGAGGGGACGAGGCGTTTTCTAACCAATTCTACAGGCAAGTGAATGAAGGATACATTCATACTGGGGACCCGCTCGAGAAACGCTCAGTGCCGCATGGGAAGCGGCTGTGGAGAGGACCAGGCCTCTACCAAGCCCTTCCTCGGTAAAGTGAGAGGCGGGAGAACGTATAGTCTCTATAATGCAGCGCACTATGTCACTGGCCAGCCCAATTTTGAGGTCTCTTGAGAAGGATATGTTTTGACTTGGAGACTGACTTTCCCTTAGTCAGCACGACGCGTCGAGGGGTCGCGCAGCACTCCGCTTGTTTTGGCGCGCAAGGGCTTTTTTGGCGGGCGGATGGAAAAAAATGTGAACGAGATTAGGGAAATGGAACTGGATATATATACTAAGAGCTCGCGGTTGTTAATGGATCGGAAAAAGATTGTCTTAAGACCGTTCCTACGTATGTCATGTCACGAGGGGCTGGCTGCAACTTGCATAACCCCGAAGCAGGGTTGGGAATGTTTGGGGCCGATCCGTCTTCCGTCTACGTAAGCCCAGCTCACGCGTTGCCGCTTACTTCAAATCCCTAGAACGTCACTTGGACATGCGCTGCGTCGAAACCGATTGTAGCGTTCGCAGTACAGTATAAAGTTCGGCACGGACCACCCTCTGGTCTCTTCCGCCGCAACTTCCCACGCATCTCGATAGGTTGCGCATTCACCGTGTTCAGATAGCCGCATTTCAGTAAGACCGCCCCGCTCGCGACGATATCCTTTTCCAACTCTCGAAATCCAGGGCACAGCGTCCGGAGTCAAATTACGGAAACGCAGGAACGCGTCGCGCACACGTCCTCCGAATCCAAAGCGCGCATTCGTGGGCTCTCCCCCCCAGCGTCGGCGTCAGCGTCAGTTCAGCAATCCCGCCGTGTACATACATATATATATTCGATGACGGAGTACCATACCGCCAATGGCCCATTCCCAAATCTGGGTCGAGACTCAGCTCACAAGCACCGCCACTCTAGAGATCGAACGGAGGACCTCGAGGCTCTCAGGTGGACGCTGTCGTCCCTCCCGCTCGACAGCCACCCATCACCGTGGAGTATTGCGAAACCAAACGCGGAGCGACAGGCATCTCATCAAGATGGAAGCCTACCGACTGTAACAACAGATACCTCCGCTCGTAGTCAGGAAGGACCGTCGGCGTCACCGTCAACGGTAGGCAAATCGCTTGATCAGCTACCCAAGTCCTTCGAAAGACCGACGTCTCTTGGCTCCCCGGATTTGCTCCCCGCATCGCGGTATTCGGCGATCGTCAAAGCTGCTGTAACAATTCAGCGCGCATTTCGGCGGAGAAAAGCTCAGCAACTCCCGCAAATCGCCGCCGCTGTCAAGATACAAGCCGCAGTTCGATCTCATCTGACAAGAAAACAGGTAAATTGGCGAGAAATCGGCTTACTTGAGCATTCTAATGTGATTTCTCAATCTGAAATGGCTTCTCTTTCAGATCCTTTTGCAGATTCACGCCCAGAATGCTGTTCTCCACAGGGAGCTCGCGGAGAGGAATGCCTTCATCTCTCGGCACGCTGTGGAACTCACAATGCGGAACAACATGATCGAGCAGTTCGGAAAGGTAGATTCTTGATCTCGTTGCTCACTTCTTCGTCTAAAGGAGTTGAAAAGACTGAAACCTCGTTGCCCAAACTAGACGATTGCCAACTTGCGTCGGCATGTGGCAGACACCTCCTCTTCTTACGAAATAAAATTGGACGTAAAGGAGAAGCAAGTGGAGCAGCTTGATCGCGATCTGCAGACTGCACTTCGAGAGTCCAACGAGCTCAAGCTTAGCCTGGAGGCCAATGCTGCAGAATACGCAAAAATGGCCTGGGAGATGAAAGACCAGAGCTTCCACGGATCTCACATTAGCCAGGTGAGCTTTTTGTCATCATTGCCCGGAGCCGTTTCATCCCTGCCTTACTATATATGACCCCGCTTTCGCTCAGTATAACGGCGACATACAACGCGAGTTAGAAAGCGTGCGATGTGAGCTCTCAGAGACCAGATCATATAGAGCAGCGGACAACATCAGACTATCTTTGAAAAATAAAGAGATACAGGAACTCCGCGGGCAGATGAAAGAAGTGCGGCGCTCCCTTGAAGCCGAGCTGGCAACGAAGAATACCGAGATCGACGAGCTCCGCATCAGAATATCCCGTCTGCAAACCCAGCATGGCCCGCCACCACTGACCCCACTTGATACCGACCTACCGCCTCGTGCCCCTTCCTCGGCCAGCGCTCACAACCCTCCCTCAGGTTCCGTCAAATCGATTTGGGGCAGTTCAGATCAACATGTGCACCCATTCGGACTGTATTCGCACGATGTACGTAGTGGCAAACGCGGGTTGGGTGCTGTTATTCACTTCAAATCGGACTGCCGGTCTAATCAATGTCTATCTTTGGCACAGCAAATGTCGTCGGACACTCTGTACAGCAATGGCAGTAGCAAGGGCAGCACCCCAATAATCGAACATGGACCGGCCTCATTCAAATCCTACAACATGAATGACAATGCAGTGAATGGCAGAGGAATATGGAACCCGATTGCGTGCGACTTGGATTTCTTGAACATGTCCCCCGCCATGGTACCCATGTCGGCGGAGGTAAGAGATGCCACCGATATACTTTTCGAAATTCGAGATTGCTCATGCGTTTCACAGTCCTTGGCAGACATTTATGGGGATGCACCTCATTCGCGGGGAGGGGATGGCATGGGCGATGCCGAAGATTTTTCTCAATATGGGCAGAACGCCTTGAGTACAAGACTCGTGCCTGGAGCGCAAGAAAAAAACACGTCCGCAAACTTTTATGTATGGTGCAGGTTGTCGTTTCAATCAAAGCGCGTTCTTGCTTACCCTCCACGTTGTAGTATCTTGTGGACAAAATCGTGCGCACGAATGATCAGCCGGCCTCCCTTCTCCTTCAGCAAAAGCTCAAAACTGGTGGCACCGACGTCAAGAACATGATTTTCGATGCTATCTTGGGACAAGCTATTAGTCTTATTAAGAACCGCTTCGGAAACTTCTTGATGCAGAGAGTCCTTGAATTTGGTGAGTGATGCCCTGTCTTGTCCTGAAGTCTTCATGACCCTATAGCGTGTGTTAACAGCGCTTTTGTTGCACATCTAGGTACGCCACAGCAAGTGCGTGTACTGGGTCAAACCTTGCGGGGCAATGTATTATGCCTCGCTTGTGATCGTTTCGGCTGTCATGTGGTGCAGAAGGTAAGACAACTGACAACCTGAATTATCTTATCGAGCACTCAAATGCTAATGACAGCCTTTCTCAACGATCCAGGCTTTGGATACAGTGGACGAGGACCTGAAAACCCTTTTAATCTCCGAACTATTCCGTTGTGTGAGGGAAACCATAACGCACAGATTTGCATGTCACGTTTGGCAACGCATATTTCAAATCAAGTGGAGCGGGGAACCCCCGGCCGTCATGCACTATCTGGATGCGGCGTTGAAGGGGCAATGGCATCTCATCGCGAACGATGAGAACGGTAGTTTGGTTGTTCAATGCATCTTCGAGAATTGCGGCCAAAAAGAAAAAGGACCTATCCTTTGCGAAGTATTATCAAGAACGGTCGAGGTCGCAAGAGGTAAGCCAGGCCGGAAGATGGGGAAGTTAGAGAATGGCCTTCCTTCGTGGACCATGTGCTGATCAAGGTTGGCGAACTCTAGGACAATGGGGAAACTGGGTCATTCAACACATTCTAGAGCACGGAGCTCCGGTGGACCGCAACTATGTGATGACCATTCTGGTACACAACTTCTTCCCGATGGCGATCGATCAATACGCCAGCAAAGTCGTGGAGAAGGGTTTGAAGCTTGCGCCGAAAAGGGAAATGTATGAGATGATAGAGACAGTTCTGTCCCCCGGCGGAGGAGGGTAAGTGACTGCATCAAACAAATTGGCACCGACGATGCCCATCTGACGCTCGTTCATCGAACTGATTGGGCCTCGTTGCAGTCGTCCGACGATTCTCGAAATGATGAATAATCAGTTCGCCAACTACGTTGTCCAGCACATTCTCAACCTTGCGGATCCATTGCAAAAGGACATATGCGTGCGCTTGCTTCTCCCTCATGTTTCAACTCTGAGAAACTCCAAGTACGGACAGCGAGTAGCCGCCATAGTTGAAAAGCACATTCGGAACAGTCATCAGAAGTTTGGTCTCGGAGCAACTTCGGCCGCAGCAGGGTTGATTCCTTCCTCTCTTACCATGGGTATCACTGCTTCATCACACTCCATTGGGCTCCGTGGGTGAACGAAACGCGCCAGAACCGTGAATTTAAACATGCAGCCGACCGAGGGAAGGACTGATTATCAGGATTTTCTCAACGACCTTGAATTTACATCGGCTCCGGGTCTGATGCCGGATTATATCCTTTTGGAAAGGATGAAACCGTGTCTCACCCATGACAATCCGATGCCTTTTTGGACTTATAGATATCATTTCCCACCTTCCTACCCTTATGTGCTTATATAACTTAATATTGTACGTATCGAAAGCACTGTACCAAACAAAGAACACCCTTACACCATATGGGGATGCCAGATGCCGTTTGGGCAGGCATCTTTTGCTAACGACTTCATCAGAAACACACTTGAAACAGATGAATCTAGCTCGACATGATGACTGGAGACTCAGAGGCTTCGAGACTTATGGTGGGTAAGTTCACGGGAGAGAACTACTGTAATGAGGTGCGACACGTGCCTTTAGCTAATAGGTTCACACCGAGATGATCGTAGACACGCAGGGATTAGCCCCGTGGGTCGTGTGAAAGTAAGGCTTGCGGCTTGAGGGTATAACAGGCCCGGGCTGCTGTCAGAGTAGGTTTAGAGGATAGGATTTTAGAGAAGGAGAGAAGAGATATACATTAGCCTCTGGCAACAGACCTAGGATCATTACATGGTAGCACCACCTCACGGAGATATCGAGATTTTACCCCGGCAACCTTCACAACTCGGTGGAGGCTAAATTAGCCTCTCTTAAGTTCGAGGACAGCATGTCGGACTGCATCTTGGCATTCAACGCACTCACCTCCCAGATTGCTATCCTCCCGGAAAGGGAACACCTAACCCCAAGACACGAATGTGAGTTCTTTCTCAACGGGCTCACCTTCCGCCAGTTCGGAAGGCGGATTTGTGAACACTGTTACCAAATCATACTCCAGCAGGGAGACAAGGACGAGAGAATCCCCATCAAAACCCTGCAGGAGGCCGCCCAGTGCGCCTTCCGCATCCAGGGTTATGCCGACAGGATCGCACACCTCTTGGAGACTGGTAAATGCCTCCCCACGAATGCTAACCCTGCGCAGGCTCAACCCAGCAGACGGAATGAACCTCGCCACATGAATGTTAACTGGGTACCTCTGGGCCGTAACCAAAAAGCACAATCGGGTGAGTGCCACACCTGCGGAAGGAGGGAGCACTACGCATGCGCATGCCGGAAGAACCCAGACAGACCCCTGGTATCAGCAGCACCAGCAGAGATCTCCGAGGTGGAGGACAAATTCCATTCAGCCATGGAGGAACCACCGAGCCCACAGGAACCCATCAGCAGTGTGAATTTTCACTCCCGGGCCTGAGTACCTACACTCCGGGGGGATCCACACTGCCCCAGCTGCAGGACACCATCCCGGGATAGTATCTATTGCCACGTCTGTCTGGGATATCTCATCTTCACTTGTATTCCATATTATATCTCTTTATTTCTACTTGATCCGAGACCCGGGCTGGCCACCCGAGCTCTTGGTGATACATTACATAAGGCGCCAAGCCTCACGGAAGCCACGCAAGCCCCACTGGCAGCCGATATAAAAAACTGTCAGTCGAGCGGCCGCTGCGAAGAGCTTCTTACTTTTTTCTTCACTACAATATACTGCTCTCAGCCCTCTCAGAAGGGCCCAATATTGTTTACGTTTCCTCTGACGTTACATGGTAGCACCACCTACCGCTAGCATCACCAAGACATTCCTTGTCAACGTCGCCCCTCTACCGGACGTCGCCCTTACACTCGTTCACAAGCGAGAATGGACCAACAAACTCAAGCTATCGTTGCGGCTGTCGCAGCTGCTTTCGCTACTCGGGAGCGTGCTGTTACACAAGACACCCAACGAGCCGAACGTTTCAGACTTCTTATGGACGCTCGCAAGAACAAGCTTGTCGAATACGATGGCGCTAAAGCTGCCAAAAAGATCGAAGAGTTTGTTACGTCTCACAGCAACTTCCTCGAGTCTCTCACTGTCCCGGCTGTACTGTTATGGACGACGCGCCCATACCATAAGCTTACCTACTGACAGCCGCCGATGTCAACCGCCAGATGTCAAACGCCAATGTCAATGTCGATGTCAGGGTCAATGTCAGTGTCAATGTCAATGCCAATGCCACTCCCCCTCTCTCCTCTCATTTCGCCAATCCTCCCGCAATATCGCCACTCCTCCTCTCTCCTCTCATTTCGCCAATCCCCCCTCGGCTTCTCCACACCCCCCACTACTTCCCCATAGCCAGCAGCTGTAGCAATGCTCTCTACGCTCGCCACGCACGCTCTAGGAGCATAGCTGGCGCCCCTCCCAGTCCCCTCTTGTTGTTGTTGTTATCTGATCTGCTGGGTTGCCTATCTATAAATAGCCTGCCTCTCTTCGTCCATTCCCTTCCTCCCCAGCAGATCAACACCGATTCTTCTCATCTCCTGTTCTAGTCCTTGTTTCTTGTTTTGCCAATACAATCTCTTGTTGCCTATCACCCTCGCCTTGTCTTCTCTGCTTTGCTTCCGCCCCCGTCGTCGAGATCATAACAGTTTGATCTGCTCCAACACTGCGAAGTTCAAAACCTGTCCAGCCCTGCATCCGACAAACCTTTTTCGCCATGTCCCAACCCGAATCCGTACCTTTCACCGCCAAGCAATGGAACGATATGTGCCAAGCCATCGCCGCCTTGCAAAGCCAAAACGCCAACTTGCAGGCCAACCTAGCACAAGCCCAAGCCGACGCACAAGCTGCCCAGAGCATCGCCGCCCAGGTTCAAACCGATACGTACACCCGTCCCCAAGTCGCCAACCCAGCTCTGGAGCCAAGAATCAGCTCGCCTGAGAAGTTTGATGGTACCCGCAGCAAATTCCGTGGGTGGTTGAACAACATCCAGTTGATGTTTGCTCTCCAGCCCGACCGCTACCCCAGCGACATCATCAAGATCCAAATGATTGGCACCTACCTCACCGGCACTGCGCAAGCCTGGATGGCGCCCCTAGTCGAACGCCAAGATCACAGCCTTCAGAACTTCGATAGATTTATCGGTCAGATGCAATCTGTCTTCGGAGACAACGACAGGGTCCGCACCTCTGAGAACAAGCTCCAGAACCTTTGCCAAACCCGTGCAGCCACCGAGTACGTCGCCGAGTTCCGCCAGCTACAATGCAATGTCTCCTGGAATGACCAGGCCCTGATTGCTACCTTCCGCCGTGGCCTCAAAGAGGACGTCAAGGATCTGATGCTCACGGTGCCTCCTGCTGCCACCATCGATACGGTGATGGAGCAGGGTATCCAGTGCGATAACCAACTGTTTGAGCGCCGCCTGGAACAAAACAGAACCCGCCAGACCTTCCCACTTCCCCATACCTCGTTTCCCACTACCACCACCGTCGACCACAGCGAGCCCATGCAGATTGACGCCGCTTGTCCCCGCGGCCCTCTGTGCCCCCAGGAACGCCAACGCCGCATTTCCAACAACCTCTGCCTCTACTGCGGTGGCGCGGGGCACATTGCAAAGGCCTGCCCAGCCAAGAACAAGACCACCTCCCGTGCCGCCAACGTCGACATCAAGGAAACCTCCACGAAGCAGGGTTTTCCCAAGGTCCAGCCGCAGTAAAGCCACAGCGACTGGACAACACACACTCCTCCGGGCCTCCTAACCTCGCAGCTCCTGCAACAGAAGAGGCCACCCCCCCGGTTCCCGACTCCGTTATAGCCAACACAACCCTCTTAGCCGTCGCCCATGTCGAAAACTTCGAAATTAACCCACGCACCCTGCTTGCGCTGGGTCCCGTCAAACCCTTCTACTACCCCGTTACCATCATGGTATCACCCAGCCGCGCCCCGATACCTACCTCAGCCATGAACGACAACGGGGCCCTGTCGTGCTTCATCGACAGAGACTTTGCCCGCAAACACCGCATCCCCCTAGTCCCGCATCAGCGTCCCCTGACGAAGAACTCGTTGACGGACAACCCAGCTCTGCTGGGCCCATCACCCATCACACCCAACCAGTAGGCATGTGGGTCAACGACCACTTCGAAGAACTCGTCTTCCATGTCACCAAATCACCCCACGCTCCAATCCTCCTTGGTCTCCCTTGGCTCTGCCTCCACGACATTAACCTTGACTTCAAGAACCTTCCAGTCGGTTTCCATTGCGACTGTCAGTACCATGAATTTGCGAATTGGGACCATCCTCCAGCACCCCCAGCCCAGCACCCGCCAGAACCCCCAAGCCCTTGATCCGCATCCCTCAGGATGAAGTCCCTGTCGACAAAACATGGTCGATTCCAGTACCCAAGGTATCTCGCTCCAGCACCCCAGAACCGGCTCCCACGCCGCTCCGAGTCTTGTTCATCTCTGCCCCAGCCTTCCGGGTGGCAGCAAGGCATGACCAGGTCTTTGTCGCCTACGCCAACCCTGCAAAACCCGATCTCCCGGCCTCGCCTAGCCCCAGTAACCCCCCGACACCTGAGAAAGACATCAAAGACTTCCTGCCTCCCGAGTATCAAGACTTTGCCGTCGTTTTTGAAACGAGAAATGCTGACACTCTCCCCGAGCACCCACCCTACGACTGTCCAATTGATCCGGAAGAAGGCAAACAGCCACCTTTTGGCCCGATCTACAGCCTCGGCAAACCAGAAATGAACGCACTCTGCGAATACCTCGAAGAAAACGTCGCCAAAGGATTCATCAAACCCTCAAAGTCCCCTGCCGGAGCGCCAGTCTTATTTGTGAAGAAAAAGCACGGTTCTCTCCGCCTCTTCGTCGATTATCGGGGCCTGAAGAGCATCACAGTGAAGAATCGCTACCCCCTGCTCCTGATCAACGGTATCATGGACGTTTGCGCGGCGCTCGCCGTCTCACCAAGATCAACCTCCGCAGCGCTTATAACCTGTTACGCATGCGCCCGGGCGATGAATGGAAGACCGCCTTCCGCTGCCGCTACGGCCTATTCAAATACAACATTATGCCCTTTGTGTTATGATCTCGACGACGGGGGGGGTGTTATGGACGACGCGCCCATACCATAAGCCTACCTACTGACAGCCGCCAATGTCAACCGCCGAATGTCAAACGCCAATGTCAATGTCAATGTCAGTGTCAATGTCAGTGTCAATGTCAATGTCAATGCCACTCCCCCTCTCTCCTCTCATTTCGCCAATCCTCTTGCAATATCGCCACTCCTCCTCTCTCCTCTCATTTTGCCAATCCCCCCTTGGCTTCTCCACACCCCTCACTGCTTCCCCATAGCCAGCAGCTGTAGCAATGCTCTCTA